TTAGGCTGTGGAGGGAGGAGAGGACCTGAGATAGGATAGTTTGGTTAGTTTGGTTTGAGCGAGCGGTGTTGGGTGGAGGAGGATGTTGGAACGTACCCGGTTATTATGTTGGACGGCCTCGGGGACGAGAGGATTGATTAGCAGGGAGAGTTCCTGCTTTGTTGGGGCCATTTTGGGCTTGTTGCTGCTGGGGTCGTGCTTGGGGTCTTCCTGGCGGGACCGTGGGGTCTCAGGGTGGTGCGACCGATTGTCGTTTTGAAATCTGCTTTGATTGTGCAGATTAGGATGGGTTTGGATCCCGACTTGAGCTCTTGTGCTTCGCAATTGGGTTGCAGCAAAGAGGACTTCAGGGTGGTTTGTGCAATGGTGGAAGAGGGAGGTGAGGCGGAGGTCGGAGGTCGGACGTGGTTTCCTATTGGCGCACGGGCCACCCGGCGTTTGGGAGCAGAGTTACTCGAGTCAAAAGCTACACAGCTACAATCTACAAGCTACATTGGAACCATTTGTATATAGGCACAGTGCGAAATCATGACATATCTACGATTAACCCCGCCATTTTCAATGTTCAGTAGCCCGAAGTTTTCCCTCATGAATCCGTTGCTTGACATCACTGCGTTTGACACATGTCGAATCCCACATCCATCGTATTAGGGTGAACCACCAAAGATCATAGAACGAATGAGAAGATAGATAGAAAGAAAGAAAAGAAAATGAAAAGAGAGAGAAAAAAAGGAATAGAGAAATAAAGGGCAAAAGAGCACACATGATAGATATGCGAATGCCGGTTCCATGCAAATCGCTGGGACAGCAGGTTAGTTTTGCTTTGAGTCAGGCACTACTCATTGCATACAGGGCACAAAATCAAACATCCTCGAGCTTGCCGTCCGCGCGGGCGTCTCGAACTTGGTCGAAGACCTGTTATCGGATTATTAGCTTAAAGTTCAAGTAAAGTGAAAAAGGGGAAAACACTAACCTTCAACATCTTGTTACGCGCACCCAGCGCGTTAACACCACGGTCTTCCAAAGCCTTGTCGTCAAGTTCGACCAACTCCGTCCACTTAAGGTCCTTGAGGTGATCGGTATACTTGTGTAGCCGAAGGGATCGCAGCCAGCTGGGGATATCCTTCAGGAGAGCAGGGTCGGTGGGGTCCTCTGGGGGCTTGGAGCTTCCACGTCGACCACGCGGCGATCGGCCACGAGTGACTTCAGAGTGATCGGACAAGTAACCTTCGCCGCCCAGGCCGAACTGCCCGATACCTAAAGATGCTAGTCCGTTGCCCATGAGAGGGTTGTTCGGGTCGTAGGCGGCTAGGAATCCGTTGTTCTGTGGCGAGGTGAAACTCATAGGGTTAAGACCACCACCTTGCATGGCAATACCAGGAGATGTCGGGCGGGAGCGACGACCAGCCATGGCAGCTTGTTGCTGAGCTTGCAAAGCGGCAAGCTGTTGGGCGTTGAGGAGCTGTTGACCCATCGATCCGTGCAGACTTGGACTGGCCAAGCCTTGGGAAATTGCTGGGTTAACAGCCGAGTTCCTGCCCTGACCATCGTTGGAGCGGGCCCGGCGGTACTTGCGAGCGTCATCCAGGGCAATTCGGTTGTTCACAGTAGACAAAGCCGCCAGCTTCATCGCAGTCGCATTGGCCACCATGTCCGCCTGGGAATTCTGGTTTTGCTGATTCTGCTGGCCGAACGTCGCCGTCATGGGAGTATTCGTCATGGATGCCCAACTGTGGTTCCCGACATTGTATGGCGAGAGGAGGGGTGGCTCGATATCAGGGGCAGGGATGTTAGCGGTCTGCGGGAGAGGCGAACGCATGCCTGAAGGCTGACTGAATTGGCCCATGGGCTGATGGCCCGATGACGACTTGGGCCGGGCAATTGGAGGCTGTGTATCCGAGAGACCACCACGCTGAGCCCATGGCGAGGCTGGGGGCTGGCCCAAACCGTCGGAGTTGTTGTCGGGGGCAGAGATAGTCGGGGCAACGAACGAGCCACGGTCCCCAAAGACAGCGCTGTTGCGGTTCGAGGGAGGAGCGTTACCCGTTTGTTGCGTGAATTCCGCCTTCTTCTTCGCGATCGCGGCGGCGGCATCAGGGAACATGGCATTAATGGTAGAGGAATCGAGTCCCGAGTTGCGCTTCGCGCCTGGGGATGGCGGGGGCCGGCCCAAGGAACTCCGTGAGGTGTCCATATTGAGTTTCGACATGGCATCGCTCAAGCGGCTCGACATAGCATCTAATCATCGAGATAACGTTAGAAGGCTGGGTCTTTACAGGTGGATAAGGATCTGCAATCTATTCTCCATACCTTTTTCACCAAAGTTGGCAGGGGAGAGCAGTCCAGACATGGGGTGGCTCTGGGACATCTGCTGCAGAACCTGGATGAAGAAGCGAATCTGCACCTGGGTGGTCTGCTGCAGCAGAGCATACAGAGCAGCGGTCCGCTCGGCCTCACTCAGGACACGGAACCATTGCTCGATAGCACTGAGTTCATCCTTGAAGTCCTGGTCGAGGGTGGCAGCTGCCATCTCCTCCAACGTTGTCTCATACTGATCGATATCCGCCAGCCACTGCTGTGCAGCCCGATCTAGCGCATCTTCCGTTGAGTTCTGGCCTTGGGACTGTTGGTTGAAGAAAACCTCCGAGGATGGACGCAAGCTGCGGGAGGACAGCGGCGAGGGAAATCCGGACATATCGGCCGAGGCTCGCAGCTGGTGCGTACCCAGGTTGCGAGCCGACGATGGGGGACGCAAGGTGGAATTCGGGGCAGCCTCCGGGGTGCTGTTGCGGTTACCGATGATATGGCTAGCCATGGCTCACAGGTTGATAAAGGTGAATAGTAAATACAGTTGGGGAAAAGATTACTGCAAAACACCTGCAGCACCTGCTGAGTTTGCGTAACAAAATAGAATCAAAAAAAAGAACCGGACCACACAGGCCGGGACTTGGACAGTTGACAGAGATAGATTTCGAAGCCCGAATTTCGACTTCTAGGCGACAATGATTGGGGCACAGACCAGGCCAGTGGCTGCACCTCGAATTTTTTGGAGGAGGGGGGGGGAAAGCAAACACAGCTGAGAGGTCGTGAATATTAGGGAGATCCGAACGAAGGAAAGTCAGGGACCAGGAGGCAATAGTGTGTCAAACACAGCAAGCCGACACCTAGAACCCAAAGAAAAGAAAGGGGGGAGGGGAGGAAGTGAAGATCAAAGATGAGGAAGATTGAAGTTGGATGGAGGGAGAGGCTTTTCGGTGCGGCGGAGTCGGGTTGCAGTCACGGGGTTCCGCACGGAATGAAGAAACTCAGACTTAGACTACCTCAGAACTCGGACATTCCTCTCGACATCAACTTATCACTTATCAACTACTTTTTGCGCGCGTCCGCTGTGATCCGCCTTATTATCTGTGCTGTGATCAATCGATTGGCCAGGTGGAGTCGTTACTATGAATAATCGGGGCTGCTGCATCTGAAACGCCCTGAAGAGACTCAGTGCGCGCGTCTATACGGTCTGGGCCGTGGTCCCAGCAGTCCGGTTCATAACACACCTTTCCTTTCTTTGACTCTACGGTCACGACCCTCTGCCATACCAAATCATCATTGAATATCATTCAGCTTGTTTGCATTCCCCGACATTCTTTGTCCTTGGAAGCTGAGAGAGCTGAGCCGGCGTTGCCGCCGATCTGTTGTGATGGCTAGCTCGGATTATCCGATGGGGTCAATGTCCCCCACGGAGGAATTGATATATCCAGATATCGATGAATCCATCCACTACCCATGGCAAGATGACCAGCAAATTCATTCGGAGGGATTTTCCGCGTCTGTGATCGACCCTCGTCTTTACCAGGGCTTGGCTGAACAGAACGACGAACTTGCCGTTGACCAAGTTCAGCCAGATTATGAGGATCAAATGAATCACCTGGAATCAAATGGCTTCCTCACAGACGAAGATTCAGGCTCTGAATACAACGAAGAAGATGCAAGGTAACGTGGTTTGCCTGAACAGAATCTCTTTTTCCTTGATCTGACGAAAAATTCAGTGAATCGAACGACTCCGATGAATACCCGATAGAGGATGACTCTGAAGACTCGGGCGCTGCACGGCGGCGTCGTCGTCGTGGTGGAGGGCGCTTCTCGGGCCGCTATGGTGCTCGTGGTGGCAAAGGCATCAAGAGAGGCCCGCGAAAGCCAATTGAACCAAGCCCGGAATTCAAGATACTCCATTCAGACGCCACCTCTGCCTTCATTGATGGTGATTATGGACGCGCTATCGAACTGGTCATGCGCGCCATCCAAATCAACCCCGAAATGTTCCCAGCCCACTCACTTCTTTCTGAAATTTTCCTGGCCCAAGGCGAGAAAGACAAAGCTTTGGCTGCCCTGTGGAATGGTGCTCACACCCGACCCAAAGACACTAAAGTGTGGCTCCAGGTAGCCAGGCTTATTCTCGGTCGCGCCGGTATTGATCGAGAAAGTGCACTCCCGGATGTTGTTTACTGTTACAGCCGTATCATTGAAATTGACCACAAGAATTTCAATATTCGGTTCCAAAGAGCAGCTGTTTACCGAGAACTCGGTTACACTGGCAGGGCAGCCGGAGAGTACGAGCGAATCTTGAAAGAAAAGCCTTATAGCATTAGAGCGCTTCGACACCTGGCTGAAATACACATCGACCTCAATGACATTGAGCGGGCGCTTGAAATTTGGTCCGAGAGTATACTCTTCTATCGGGGCCATTCCGAGAAGGTCCGGGACTTCTCATGGTCTGATGTCAATATCTATGCCGAGCTCTTCGGCTACGTAAATAGACACGCAGAGGGCCTTGCAGAGATGAAGACCCTCTCGAGATGGTTTTTGGGTCGCAAAAACGACGACCCTATGTGGGAGAAATTTGAAGACGATGACCGAGAATGGGACTCCGAGCATTCCCCCGTCGAATCAAGACTAGTGGCTTTGACCCCGACCAGTGGCCTTTAGATTCTTACGGACTCGGTCTCCCTATGGAGCTGCGGATCAAAATGGGTCTCTTTCGCTTAAAGATGGGTGAGGAGCACCATGAAGAAGCACTGGTATGTTCCTGTCCCAGTTGAGCTCCAGCTATCTAAATCTAAAGGTCAGGACACTGACATGTTCATTAGCATCATTTCGAATGGTTAAATCCAGATGACACTTCAGAGAATGCCCGCATTTTTGACTACGGCGATCTTTTCAGAGAGGTTGCTGATGCCTTGCAGAACGTTGGCTTGTTTCAAGAGGCCTTTAGGTTTTACACACCGATTCAACAAACCACTGAACATGCGGACCTCGGCTATTTCATGGCAATGGCGAACTGTTGCGTGGCGTTGGGCAAAATGGAAGATGCAGAAGCTTACTATCTTACGGTGGCTGAAAACGACCCAAGGCACATGGAATGCCGTGTCAGACTGGCGACTCTCTACGAGGGTGACTTTGGCATGAATGACGAGGCCCTGAAGTATATCAACGAAGCCCTGTTGATTGGTCGACAGGAGGGCAGAGCTCGGAGAAGGAAGCGAGATGACAATAGGCTTGAGCAGCTCGCTATTGAGTTCCAAAAGGCCCCTCGCTCACCACTGACCGGACCCGAACAGACAGGAAATGGAGATCGTTCCCAGATTGCACAGAGAAGAACAGACGACATCCGATTCCTGTTCGATAAATTGAAGGATCTTCATCCCTTCATCAAAGAAGGCAACTCCGATGTGATCGAAGATTGGCTTGATATCGCTGATGCTCTTTTGCGAGATTTCAGGACTAACCGAATTTTCTATCCTATGGCCCGGACGATGGAATTTCAGGGATACACTGGCGACTCACAACGAAAGGGCAAAAAAGCTCGTACATTGCTCGATGAAGCGCAAGAGATAGCCGTACGTTTACAAAAAGCAATGGGTAAGAATCACTCGACAATATCACTGTTAGAAGTTGAGAGCTAATCTTTATCAAAAGGCGACGGTACTACCGAGGAGGACTGGTCGGATACCATTCCAACCGATTACCATGGCATTCCCTTCGATGAATGGCTCGACATATTCCTCGAGTATTCTCTTCTTACGACCAAGCAGGGTGATCCAGAAGAAGCATACGATGCACTAGATGGAGCAGCAACTGCAAGCATTTGGTTTCATTCCAAACCAAAGTCTCGATTGATCCACACCTGCTGGTTTAGTACGTGATACCCCCTCCTTCATCCATAGACAGAGCTAATGAATTATAGCCTGTGCACTTCATGCCCAAGACGAAGAAGCTCTCGCTGGCGAGGCTCGGTGGTTCATGAAGGAATACCAGTTTGTGACAGATACCTATCGCTTATTCGCAATGCTGAGCAACCTGGCTGGCGATCCCCACAAATCTCTATTCCACTCTTCCCCAAACATGAAATTCATGCTTCGTCAGATCAAAGCTATGGACTTCACCATACCGGGAGATACCTCAAAGCCCCAGCCTCGACAGTCTATTTGGAAAGAACGTGCTGCCCTATCTACAAAAAATGATGCCGGCGAACTCATCCCGGCCGAGGAACTGGATGTCGCCCTCCTCGTACTCTACGGCCATATTCTTTATTCCGGAAACAGCTTTTACCCGGCTCTGAACTACTTTTTCCGTGCATACGCTCTGGACGACAAAAACCCAGCCGTCCTTCTCTCCATTGGACTATGCTTCATCCATCACTCTATCAAACGACAGGCTGAAAATAGGCACTACCTCATCATGCAAGGCCTGTCCTTCATGGACGAATATCGTCGCGTTCGTGAGAAACCTGAGACTCCTTTGCAGGAGAAGCAAGAAATGGAGTTCAACTTTGCACGTGTGTGGCACAGCCTCGGATTGCTTCATTTGGCAATCAATGGATACCAAAAGGTCCTCGGCCTCGGCGAGAAAATCCAAAAAGAAAACCAGCGGTTGGTCGAGAATCATGCGGATGGCGGTGGTGACGACGATACGGTGATGGGCGAGGCAGATGCAGCTCCCCGAGACTCTTCGCAAGAGCCACGGCGCTTTATTGAGGACTTTTCTTCCGAAGCTGCCTATGCCCTGCAGTGTATTCATGTTCTCAGCGGAGATTCGAAGACCGCAAAGGGTATTACCGACCAATGGCTTGTTGTTTGAAGGCTGCTTCCCTTGGGGAGCTTTACTGCCATGTTAAAGAACTAGCCAACTCGCTTAATAAAAAAGATATCAAATTTCACGATAAAGAGACTATCTATGTGCATGGGATACTTCAGGCCCCCGGATAAAGGCCCCCGATCTCTACTGGTTAGAGTTCATGCTGCAGAATTTACCACGTGCTTGAGTTTCGTGCAGCTACAAAAATCTGAAGACTGAGATTTCCTTAATCTTTCTATCTTGCTTTATTGCCAAATTTTTCTCCCCTCATACCAAGTCTCTTTAATCGAAGCCTTCAAGAGAGAGTTTGCATCCCACTCCATATCCACAATTATAAAATCGGCCTTCTTTCCAGCGGCCAGTGTCCCCACCCGTCTCTCTGAGAACACACTTCTAGCGGCACCTCCGGTCGCAGCAACTATTGCTTCACACATACCCAGCTGGAAATGTTTGTTCACTATATCAGGATATTCGGGGTCTCTCGATGAGCGTCGTGTGGTGGCAACATAGAGGTTCTGCATTGGCTCCCATGGTGATGTGGGACTATCACTTCCAATTGCCATCAAAGCCCCGGCATCAGAAAATTCCCGATAAGCAAATGCTCGCTGGCACCGGTCATTTCCTAGGAGACGAGGCCATTCTCCAAGAATAGACGGGTCGGCATGCACCGGCTGGATGGATGCCGTAAGGCCTAGAGCACCGAGTCTCTTTGCATCTTCTGGAGATGCCAGCTCGAGGTGCTCAATCCGATGCCGCCTTCCTGGGGTAGCGTGCTTCTCGATTGCATCAATTGCCATTCTGATCGCTCCATCACCAATAGCATGGAGGGCGATTTGAAGGCCATGGCTATCTGCCTCCTTAACAACTAGATCCAGATCCTCCGGTACCCAGATGGGAGGAGGGGAGTCCACAGGAGCATATGGCTCAGATAAGTAGGCCGTGCAGGCGTCGATGATGCCGTCGCAAATGACTTTGATCCCAACGATTCTGAGATCTGGGCTTGTTGTGCTGTTGTATTGCTGTGAAAGCTCAAGAGCACGTTGAACTTGCCTCGAGTTCTCCTCAGGCTTATCACTTGGCTTGATCAACCAGTATGCAGCGATGCGCATGGGAAGAGTGGGCTCTCTTCCCCTCAGAGTAACTAAGGCATCCCATGCATCTTCGTCCATAGCCATCTCCACCAATCCAGTATATCCGGCTGCATTATATTCTGCAATACCAGCTCGCATAGCCTCAATTCGCTCTTCCTTCGGGCTTGACATTGCCTGGTATGGCCAGATAATAGACATCATGGCGCCTTCATCAAGTACTCCAGAAGGCTTTCCATTCTCATCACGATGAATCTTGCCTCCAGCAGGATCGGGCATATCGGCAGCCCCAAGTTTCTCCAGTGCCGCATTGTTGCACCAACAGGAGTGTTGGGAGCTTGCATCAATGAAGATAGGACGTGGGTCAATATCGTCTATCATGGCAGCTGTGACCCCATCTGGCGTCATAGAATGGAACCAGTTCTTGCAAAGAATAGTCGGGACATCTAGATTTGCAACAGCATACTCACGAATAGTCGATCGTATATCATCCAGAGACTTGCAGTACTTCAGGTCAAGTTTGCGAAGGGATTGGCCGAGGAGGAGAAGGTGCATATGACCATCAATGAAGCCTGGCAGAATAATCTTTTGCTGCAGATCGCGGGTTTCGAAGTTTCCGCCAGTACTTGCAGCCGTGACTTCAGCTTGTGATCCAATCGCTACAATCTGACCATCTTTGACAAGCATGCTATCGGCGAAGACTGGTTCATCATGATGACCTGCATGCTCGTTTGTCAGGATTCGACCATTCAGGAATAAGATATCGGTTGACATTTTGAATGATGTACTGGGAAAAACAACAAGGAAGGATCATATTTCTCATATCAATGTATGAATTTAACAGCCCGCTCTTTCCGGCGTGGGGCGACACTAGACTGACTTGGCATTCACTCCGAAGTTCACTTGAAGCTTGGAGTGGATCCCGCTTCGAGTTTCCCTCCCAGTATCACACGGTGACACCTGCCCAAGTCACCTTTTGATACACCTGGACATTTACCATCTACATCAAGATAATCAAAGTGAAGTTCTGGCAGTTTTCTTGGGGTGGGATCTTGAATTTTCCCCCTGAAACTAATTCTATCATCTTCTGACATTCCATCCCAGACCAATTATGACCGACCTGACGCTTTGTTCGGTCGATGATTCGGTTAAGATCGAAGACTCCACTTCAAGACCCCAACAGATCCCCAGTTTGAAATGACAAAAATGCGGAGAGAAAGAGATCCCCGGAATCCTTCCAGTGGCCCCCGCGGAGCCGGCCCGGCAATAGCCACAGGTGTCAAGATAAATCCTCTTCGCCAATCTTCTCAGCTGAAATTCTCAATCTTTTGGTCTCCCTCCTCGAGATAACACACCATAAATCATTTCATCATATCGACAGCGAACGATGCCATACGATATCACAACTACCTCTGATACCAGTGTCAATGTCAAAAAGGAGATGCCTCATGTGATTGAACCCGACCAATCTGAGGGCGAGATTATTGGCAAAGTCCTTCTACAAGAGGACCATGAGCGAGCCATTCAAGGAGATCAGCATTTCCATCGCCTTGGGTGGAAGCGCCTTACAATAGTGCTCATTGTTCAGTCAATTGCATTAGGCAGCTTGAGTCTTCCCGCGGCATTTGCAACATTAGGAATGGTTGCAGGAATTATCTTGACAATTGGGCTGGGGGTCATTGCCATCTATGCCAGTTATATCATCGGTCTTGTGAAGCTAAAATATCCTCACCTACCTCATTATGTCGACTTTGGCCGTCTCTTGCTGGGTGGTGCTGGTGACAAGATCTTTGCTGTCGGCTTTGTGGCCCTGATGACCTTGACAGTGGGATCGCATTGTTTGACCGGAAAACTCGCACTTGCTACCATTACTGGGAGCAATGTGTGCGCCCTCGTTTTCAGTGTTGTCTCGGCAATCATACTCTTCGCCTTTGCCGTTCCTCCTTCCTTCGCCGAAATCTCCATCCTGGGATATATTGACTTTGTATCCATTATAGTGGCGATTGGGATCAGCGTTATTGCAACGGGTGTTCAAAGTCACGAGTCAACAGGTGCTTCGTCATCGTGGTCGGCATGGCCCAAGGCGAACTTGACATTCAGCGAGGCTTTCGTGGCTATCTCAAATATCGCATTCGCCTACGCATTTTCCTCCGCCCAGCCATCTTTCATGGACGAGATGCACACCCCGAAAGACTTTACGAAATCCATAACGACATTGGCATCAACACAGATGACTATATATACTATTACCGGGTCACTCATATATGCATTTGTGGGACAAGATGTTCAGTCACCAGCACTGCTATCCGCCGGGCCCCTTCTTGCGAAGGTCGCCTTCGGCGTGGCATTGCCTGTCATCTTTATCTCTGGTTCAATCAATGCAACTGTTGCCTGCCGTTTCATTCATGGGCGTATGTACCAGAAATCGATTGTTCGTTATGTCAATACTACCAAAGGATGGGTGACCTGGTTGACGATCGTGGCCTTGATCAATATTCTTGCTTGGATCATTGCTGAGGCCATTCCTTTCTTCTCGGAACTACTCTCAATCTGCGGTGCCTTGCTTGTATCTGGTTTCTCTTTCTATGTACCCCCCTTTTTATGGTTCTTTCTCCTGAGAGAAGGTTCTTGGTCTGAAAAACAAAACATTCGCCATGGTATATTGAACTTGATCGTGTTCATCGTCGGAATTACCATTTTCGGGTGCGGGATGTACGCAAGTGTAACAGAGGTGGTGAGTTCTCCTTCTCCTTGAGCGGGCCCCGTATTCTGAAGCTAACTTTGACAGATCTCGAAATTTCGTACGGGATCTCTTAACCGTCCATTCTCCTGCAACGCTGGATGAAGATCGATCTGATGTCTCTAAGTACTATGGGTTCACGTTTTGGTTAGCCTAGATGAACGAAGGATTCAAGTTTATGTATTGTGGAATTAAGGACACGCATCAGCCATGGAGTGTAATTCAAAAATTCATGTTTTAGTCCATTTCAAGTTTATCTAGAGAATCCACAAATCTCCAATTGCTTTTTACCCGAGTAGTATTTAACAGTTTGCATTCTAAACATGGACAGAGCCCTGGAGATTGCCAAGACCGAAATGATTACCTCATCGGGCGCTTCGAGCTTCCTAATTGAACTCCCACCTTTGCTATCTAACAAGCTCCGACCCCTCTCATGAGACCTCACCTTGCACAAAATCAACGATATGAGCTTGAAATATGCCTCTAGTATCACCGGGATGCTGGACCTGTCGCGTAAGACATCGGAGATGCGACTTGGAGACGCCTATGTGCAAAGAATGCACTGATCGACATGTTCACTGCCACGGCTATGGCCCTAAGCCGACATGGATGGATGGTGGATCTGAGGAGCAAAAAGAAAAGACTCGCATTAAAGCAGCTATAAAGGAAAATTTTCGCCGGGTTAAGAAGATGCAAGGTCGAGCCCGAAAAAAAGCCAATGACCTGTCTCGATCACTATCCGAAACACCAGCACTACCGCAGGGAGACGAAGAGTTGCATGCTGTGAACACGCCTCGCAGCCCACCTTACTCGTCATTGCCAGACCATGAGCGGACTATATCAGAGTCTTCTCTCGAATCGGAGGATAATATCAACAGCGGCGCTCGAGACGATGCCGTTGAAGTTGATGCAGAATCTAGCCCGAGGTCTCTTGAGGGCAGCACTAATATTGATTCTCAAGAGGCATGGTTGCTGATGCATTACCTCGATCAAGTATTTCCATGGCAGTTTCCATATCATGATTCTCGCTCTCGCCTAGGCAACCGAGGCTGGCTGTTCTCTCTTCTAATAAAACGGGGGCCACTCTATCATGCCGTGTTGAGCCTTGCGTCCCTTCTTCAAAGCGCAATGATAGGAACCGAAGAAGAGTTCCAACGCAAGCAAAGAGCCTGGGACCATCATTCGAGGGCTTTGAGAGAGCTTTGCGATCTCATGAGCGAGAAAGGTGATAAGTTACGTGGAAATCATACCGAGTTGGCGGAGTTTCTGACATGCAGTTTCATGTTGATAAGCTTTGAGGTGAGCGAAAACCTATCCTTTTTTTTACTCTGTCAATCATCTAATAGTATTTTTTAGGTGTTTAGTGGCGCAGAACACGATTGGCTTGTACATCTTGACGCTGCTACCTCCGTGATGAATCTATTATCTGCCGAAGCGATTTTCAACCCGGCACTGCACGATCGCAAGAACCACCCAAGTCCCTTGATCGAAAATCTGCAACTCATAAAAGGTAGCGTGAAGGATGGTCTTGAATTCCTCTTGGTGACTGTAATATGGTTCGACCTTTTCGCCTGTCTTCCAACTGGACGTGCGCCCCAGCTTCCTTACCATCGGTGGCTCCAAATACCGGGCTTGAACACAGCGGATCTCATGGGATGTCAGAACTGGGTGATGGAAATGATTGGAGACATTGCACAATTTTCTATCTGGAAGGAAAATCAAGAAAAAGATGGAGTATTGAGTATCCGTGAGCTTGCCAACAAGGGCCAAGGCATAGAAACACGACTGGAAAATGGAATCCAGAGTCTCGATCTGGCCCGAAGTGTAAGTCGATGACATTTACCATCGTTCTTTTTGGTTCGGAATCATACTGATGAAGTCACTCATAGGATCACCCGAATGTGGAGCCATTGTCAAATTGGGTTACTCGACTCTTCGCGCTGGCCGCCTTGGTACTGCTACATAGTACCGTATCAGGCCCCTTGCCTGCATTGCCTGAAATTCAGAGTGCAGTTGCGAGGAGTGTGATTGCGCTCCAGAATAGACCATGGACTTACTCTCTCACGGGTTCGGTATGGGCACTATGTGTAATAGGTTGTATGGCGCAATCGCACACTCGCTCGTTCTTTGAAAACTTAATGTCCGACATGGTTCGCGAATCGGGGAGAATGGGAAACAGTGCGACGGTTTTGAAAATAATTAAGAAATGTTGGCTGCTGCAGGAGACTGGTCGGGCCGATAGCAGGATCACTATGCGTGAAATGGGGATCTCTGCTATATTAATATAAGATTTATAGATAACGAATAACAAATGACTTAGAATTAGTGGACATACAATGATTTTGTAGCTCGATTCCGAGAACTTCAGAGTAGCTACGTAGTTCCAAGGTTGGCAACAGGGGGTAGAGGCTCTCGGTCTTTTAAATCTGTATATGAATCTTTCTGTTGAGGAAAATATCGAGCCTCAAAATCACTTGAGTGTCTCCCATGAGCCTATATTCCACAATTACACCCGTTGAAAGTGAAAATGCCATCATTTATACGCTACAAAGCACATGGACCTTGAGATTTGAGGGTATCAACTATTGGGGAGACAAGTTCAAGCGAATCAATGGTCTCCATCATACTTGACATTGCGAGAATTACTAGAATCCTTCCTAGCATTCCTATTTGAAACCCCAAGGAAGATAAGAACCAAAAGTGGGAGATAAATTGGCAATACGAGCCGGGTCGTTTTAAAGGGAAAGTCGAGCCGAAAGATGGATTCTCACCAATCAGAACAGAGCCAAGGACTCTCGAAGTATCGAGGTCCGAACATCAAAATGTAGCATTCATTCATATTATTCAGGTGAAAAGAACCAAAAGTAATGCCACTTAGATATAAAATCAACTGCAATCAAAGTTCTAGTACTACAAACAATTCATACTACCATTTTCTCTTCTCTCTACACTTCGGCACTGCCACAGCGACAAGCTACAACTCCGTAATGAAGATGTCGACCCTTGATGTTCAAAGAACATCAAACAAAATCAACCTTGTCGAAGCCAGCATAGAGGAACTGCTTCATACTTTGAATGTCCGTGCGATATCCAGCGTGCAGCTTGTCTCACTCTACCTACACCGAATTGGATACTACGATTGTCGTGGCCCTTCGCTGAACTCAGTTTGTGTTCTGAATCCAAATGCATTCCACGAGGCCCAAGAATCAGATGACTATCGAGCAAGTGGTCTGCCACCAAGGCCTTTGGAAGGCATTCCATTCACAGTGAAGGACAGTTTCAAGGTCAAAGGCATGACCGTAGCCGCCGGGTCGCCTGCATTTAGCGACCTAGTCGCCTCGGACGACGCAGCAATTGTATCTCTCCTTCGCGAGGCCGGAGCCATACTAATAGGCAAGACCAATATGCCGGCAATGGCTGATGGTGGGGGACAACGAGGACTTTATGGCAGGGCAGAAAGCCCCTACAACCCCACATATTCAACTACGGCCTATGCATCTGGCTCTTCAAATGGGTCTGGCACATCAACAGCTGCAAGCTTCGCCGCCTTTGGACTTGCTGGCGAAACTGTTTCTTCGGGAAGGGCGCCGGCATCGAATAATGCGCTTATTGGATACTCGCCGTCTCGGGGGTTGATACCGAATAGGGGCCAATGGCCTCTGTACCCAACCTGCGATGTTATTGTCCCTCACACGCGAAAAATGAAAGATCTATTTGTGCTCCTGGATGTCATAGTAGCTGATGATAAGATTTCAGGAGAAGGGGTTGACTTCTGGAGGAACCAACAATTCGTTCCGATTCCTCATGCTTCGGACGTTCGACCTGTCAGCTTCAACTCTTTAGCGGATCCGTATTCACTGGTCGGGAAACGTGTTGCTGTTCCCAGGTGTTTTATCGGTATTCAATCTGCAAAGCCGTTTTATGTCTGCACGGAATCTGTGCAAAGGCTTTGGAAGAAAACACGTGCGACGCTGGAAGGTCTTGGAGCGACAGTCATTGAGTCCGATTTCCCCTTCCTCGAGCAGTATACCAAAAAGGACTTCCCGGGGCAAAGTTGCAATGTGCCCGGGATGCCCAGTGACTGGAATAGCGTTGAGCGCTGTCAAATGATCGCCACTGCCTGGGATGACTTCCTCCGACAGAACAAAGACCCGAATTGCTCAAGCCTTCCTGAGTCTGACCCTGACAAGATCCATCCACACATCGCACCGATGGATGATCCGATAAGATTTACCGAGACACATAACCAAGTTCGTTATTCTGACATGATTGAGTTTGTCAAGAATCGAACAAATTCAGTCGATACCCTTCCTGGTACAAAAGAAGCTATCCAGTCATTGGAAAATATGCGGAAGAGAGAATTCGAGGATTGGATGGATTCTAACGACTTTGACCTTCTCGCTTTTCCGACTAACGGAGATGTTGCGTACGCCAACTGTGATGAGGAGATAGAGCCGTTGACCCATGCTCTACAAGACGGAGTCAAGTATTCTAACGGTGGGCGATCTCTCAAGCATTGCGGTATCCCTTGCATCACCGTCCCAATGGGCACAATGAAGAGCAAGCGTATGCCCGTGGGAGTCACATTTGCATCAAAAGCTTACGCAGACAACGATCTCCTTCGCTATGCATATGCATATGAAGCGGCAACTCACGCTCGAACTATTCCTTCGTTGACTCCTCCCTTGCCGACTGACTACATTTCACTGTCCCCTCTTCCGCAGGCGAATTTAATGAAAGCCAGGCCTTTCCTTGAAGTTACGGAATTGAGAAGTGAGCCAGTAGAGGGGGTGAAGCAGAATATTTGCCGTCATATCTCGATGGAAGGCACTGTCTTATCCAGCGATCAGAAAATTGGTGTATCTTCTGTCAAGATATTTGTCAATGGTGAAGAGTCACCCGTGGATCATCTCAGTCACGAGAAATGGAAATGGGAAACTACGCTTTCTCGACCTGAACGAGTTGAACGATTTCCCGAAATTGGCAAAGTGCCAAAGAATCAGTTTCTCATCGTTGTGATTGCTTCTTTGAATAATGGACGGGATGCGGCCTCGATGTTCTTGTTAGATTGAATAATATTTAGATTGAATAATATCGAAATGAGGCTCAAATTTTTCTAGTCCATAGTAGCCAATAATATGTTGGAACGCATATAACTCTAGACATACCCTGGGCTGACTCTAGCATAAGCACCAACTTGAAAATAAAAGACCTCTCCTAGTAGTGCAAAGGTCCGATTCCAACCTTGGAAGGTTGCTGGTCAGTGAGTCGTCATTCCGAAGCGCTGCTCCCAAATAGAATACTAGTAACAGGCAGTACCAATTACCTATGAAGATAAATTTGTATTTCTTCGGAGGCAAAAATACAACGTTCAATTTGCATCGCTTGCTAAATCTTAAAAAAAGACAGCAATCCGAAATCGTTTCACCAATATAAAACGTCATCTGTCCTATATTGTACATGTCGCACGATGTCACCATGCACACAATATGGACTGAACTATATATTAAGTGACACCATCGTACATTGCATTAGCGTCGAAAATTAGATCTGCTACCTTCAAGTTAGTACATATAGTCGCGATAGCCAAGGCTGATGTCATCGTACCTCTGGGCCCCGCACCGGAATTTCTGTTACTATGATAAGAACTACCAAATTCATATTATACTTCGGAGCTAGGAGACCCTCCCGGCCTGCTACACTAAGATCAAACTAACTCAAAAAGATGTATTATATTCATTCTGATGAGGAAGATTGATGAGGTGAGATATAGTACAAAAGACGATACCGGCTATAAACGGTACCATGTTTATCCAGCAAAGGCAACCAGCAATATCGTAAGAATCGTGAGAAATTTGCAAAGAGGCAAACGCAAAACGCAAAACTCTAAAAACCAATGTGATATAATGTATATCAAGGCTAAAAACCAAAACTCCTTGGCATGCGAATGTAAGACCCTTCGAAAAGCGGGGGCGCGGGGGCGCGGGTACCCTAGGATAAGACAAAAATGGTCGAGGGAAGTCAGACCCGAAGGTATCCGCCCTCAGACAAAGTGATCAGCAGGAGCCGCCTGTCATATCGAATATTGGATTTGGGCCGGGGTCAATCGTGACGGAAGACAGGGCTGCAGCTTGCTCAAAGGGGAACACTCTGTTCAACGTCATGGGTTGGCCGCCTCCCATGAAATAGGCGCTTAAGCCGCCACGAAAAAGAAACTCAGGTGACAACGGCATATTCGTCACCGTACAAGTCCGTATCATCAAAGAAGACAGCCGACTGGCGCCGCATCTCCTCCATAAGGCTACCCCTCCTAGAACTCGGGGTCTGAGGGCGCGAGGAGCCGGTTGAGTGTGATATGCCATCAGAGAAATCCAGATAATGCGACTCGGACTTGTATCCAGAGTCGCTGTTTCTTTCGGGGAAGTTCTCATCCAGTCGCTTGAGCAAAGCGTCAGATGGCCCAGACTCCGGATTAGGGCGTCGACGTGATAAAATAGGAGATAACGAGCGACCCCCGGTGACGGAACATTCTTGGAGTCCTCGCATGATCGCCGTTTCGATATTAAGTCGATTTTTGATGAATTGAATTTTAGGGAAAGTACTTTGCTGACCGGTTTGAATCATGCGAGCGAGACGCTCGGGCGTTGGATCAGAGAGAATATGGTAGAAATCGGAAGCGATGCTTTTAGGCCAGATCGTGATAGTGCCACTAAACTTTTGTAGCCAAATCTCACTCCAGTCTTGCCCCAGTGGCCGAGGCAGTAGCTCCAGATGGCGTAGAACTCGAAGCCATTTGTTAAGATCGAGTTTGATGTATTGCTCAATAGCGGTGCCGAGAAATCCGCCACGCCAGCCACGTCCCTTGCGGTGGGTGACCGGTCGCCCCACGGTTCCTCTGGAGCTAAAAAAGAAGAGGTTCACATGCGGGTTGACCTAAATTAGTGTGAGTGGCTGACGATTTCACCAAGGATAGAATCTTACCTGAGATACGATCGTGAAGTTTACATTGAAATGTAAGTTCAACGCTTTGATAGGGATATCGGTCCGCAGACTTCCGTCTTTCCACTTATGCCCGAAAGAGTATGGGGCAAGTGTACCGTCCCGCTTTTTGGTCATCAGAACGACCGGATTGAGGATGCCGGGCACGGCGGCTGAGGCGAGCACGGCACTCCAGATGACACAGTCGGGGCATGTCAGGTAGTTTGCCAAAATAGTAGGAGAGTGGGGATCCGAGGGCACGCAAGACACATTCAATATGCGGCCGGTTCTTTCATAGGCTTCTCGAAAAGTAGTCGAACCCCTACAGAACCAGCTGCATTGTTTAGCCCAGTCTAGAGTATCGAACCGAGCACCTGTCTTCCACCAACGACGAACCCACGTTGTGATACCTTCGTGACAAGCGCGAATCCGGTGGGCAAGTGCCGGTACCAACAGTTGTTTCAGCTCCTCGTCGGTTCGGGTTGCCACCAGGCCAGCAACCAGAGCCCCGCCCGATGTGCCAGTAATGAGTTCTGGCAGCACACCATTATCCAGTAACGCCTTGACGACCCCGAAATGATAATATGCAAAGGTAGCTCCTCCCGAGAGACATAGCGCGGTCCTCCCGAAATTGGTGTCAAGGTGCTTGAAATGCTGATATTTGGCTTCCTTATCGAACTGCTTGCTGTTCAGTACCAGCTGAATGCACGCATGTACCTCATCGATATACTCTTGAACCAGCTCCTTGGTTCCCGAATAGGCCTCGCTGTAGATCCTAGGGTTCTCCACCCCAGCAAAGTTGTTCTTCACGCAAGCCTCTAACAGAGACCGAAGCTCTTCCACGGCCGGGATCTCGTTGACGCTCACCCGACCATGCTCAGCCTCCCACTCTGTATCTGCCCTCGCTTTCTTCAGCTGGGCCACCACTTTATCGATTGTGATGTGATCGTAGTAAGCGTATTCATCGGTCTGCTTCCATGTTTCATTGCCGAGATGGACATCTAGCGCTTGAGCCGATTTCAGCCAATCTGCATAGTTCTTTTGTCCTGATAGGTCCTTTCTCAGCCGCTGCCTTTTGCCCCTCCATGTGACCCATTGCTCATATAGGAAGATGTAGACTCTGACCAAGACGTAGCCAAAGCTCAGCACGGCGATCCATGCGAAGACCGTAAGGAGGAAGGGCCATTTGAGGACTGTGTAGAGGACGCCTTCTCTAGTTTCATCCTTGCTTCGCTTCGGGTTCTTGCGGCGACCGCGGGTCTTGCGTACACGTTGGTTGATCGGGCGCCAGTCGTTAAGGGCTACCAATGGGGAAGCTTCTGGGGCATTGAGTGCTTGTTCGAATCGGCGTAGGTCGTCCGGGTCGATGAAATCTTCGTCGTAGTCTGGCAGTCCGACCGGATCAAAGGGGTCGGATTGCTGCTTTTTCTCCTCAGAAGTCATGTTCACCATCTATGCATGGCGTTGAAAGGCATGGACATCAGGAAACAAAGCCGGTTGGGGAAGCTTCTCAGCGCACGACGTCAGCATCACGTGCCAGGACCCACCAGCCACTCCGCAGTGGGGGTGTTGTATGGTGTGGCTGGTGACTGTGGCTCAAGTGACCGTTGCCCCGCAGATAAGCAAGCAGCGCTATTGTTTTGGTCAACCGTGGTTCGATTTTTTGCATTCGCGGGAACTACACTTTTTTGACTTCCAAACTACCAGACCGCCTCGAAGGCGTTTGAAGATATTCCGGCCCCTCCAACCCCTCCAACCCCTCTACCCCTCCACCCCTCCATCTATCAAAGATCGGGGACGTGGGCGGCAGTTGTTCCAGAGGTCTCGTCCGAATTCCGAGATTGTACCATCCCATCCTACCACGGGGTGTTACGCAAGAGCAATCAGAGTCTGCCAATGGCCTAATCTCGTGCAACGGGATTGGCATTCGTGGCTCCGATTTTTCTCGTCAAAACATCGTCGAATGCTGCTCGTACGGACAACCCGAATTGTCTTTCTCCGGACTACACCCCCCTCCCACCTCTCCAACCTTACAGAAAGTTCATTGGACAATGGTCCTTCTCCCCGGATCTTCTAGCGTATCAGTCCGAGTCTTGCAGGCTGCATTTACCCCTCCAAAAACCTCCGGCGCATGTATGTACAGATGTATGGCATAGCGACATCACTTCACCGCTAGATGGTAGCCCGGTTCAGATCTCAACGGAGATGCCCATTGACCCCTGCTGATTGGCGGACCCAAGAAAGGTTTGAGACAAGATACCGAAATGGAGGGCCAGGAAAGCGTCCTATGGGCTGACGACAAGTTAACTCTCTGTCGATTTAGCCGCATGCGACCCGGCGCGATGTCGGATGTGCAGCAGAACCCTAGGTCTCTCGCGCTAGCGGGCTGCACAAGTGGCACTCTACCTACAGGCACTTGTCGATTGGTGTGAATTGGGGGGGGCAACTCCAACCAACTGGCGGGCGCTATACGCTGGAATACTTGCACCTGGATCACCTGACCCTGTTCGTGGCGATGACCACCTGCATATTAGTGGGCCTTTCCTTAGGATTGGTCGCTAATTAGGCTCTTTTTGGCGTGTGCCGGACTCTTTTCCCAGTCATCTGCGCCCCTTGATGTTGATCATGTCGATCGACCTGAAATTCTGTGAATCCTCGAATTCCCTAGTTGAGAAAATAAAAAGCAAACATTTCCAAGGCGTTGTGTTTCGCTCCTCCCGAGACCTCAGCCCCTCAGCTGTGTACGGAGTATACCAGCGGCAAAAAGACGAACGCGACTGATCTGACGCAGACGACGGAGATACAATAACGCATTACTGGACATGGACTGAATTTGTTGCGCGGTAGCCGCCTCTAATTCTACGTTCGGTCTACCGTAGGGCCAGGGGGTTCCAACACCCTACCCGCCCCCCAGGTTTTCTCTAGTAGCGGGCAACATTTGAGGGTGCTCAAAGATCCTATCCCGATGGCATTTCCAAATTTGTCTCTATGCATATCCCGAATGTTTGCCAATAGTGCAGGGCCACTCGGTATCAAGAGCTACGAAGGCTCAGCGAGCCACACTAGTCTTGGCGCATGCTGCAAATGACGAGGGCATGTCCAATAAGCGCAGCCCCCGCGATATCACCTTCGTATGCTCGTGCTGGATGGATCGCCCAGCTGTGGAGAGCCGGCCAACGCCCGATGGCTGCTTATTCGTCTCCTCTGCGACGGCATACGTGCTAGGCATACCCAGGAAGGGGGCGGGGCGATCAAGTGGGTGATCACATATCATATGTTACCCCCCCCCCTTTTTGGCCATACTGTCGCAATTTCCATGTGCTCCAACATTCCTCAATTGGGCGGGGTAATCGTGTTGTGTTTTTGTCTCTCAATGACACCTAATGGTCAAAAGGGGAAAAGCATAACATGGTTATGCCAAAAAATGGTACACTGTACTCTAAAGTATACAGAGATGCAAGGATGCTGCATGCGAACTCCTTGCAAATGCAGGCTTTCTGCAGTGGGCTGGGATCTGAGGTTGAACCGAGCGTTCAGCGGCGCCATGGTCCCAGGAATGTGAATGGTCATGGAATTGTTTGACTACCCCGCGCCTTGGAAGATCGGCTTCAGGGGGGGAGGATTTTGGCTCTACCAGTCCGATGCCATGCCCCTACTTTCAAATGTGGTTGAAGTAGGAAGTAAAGGAGCATGCACAATATACCCCGTACTGTTTAATTAATAGTCTTCAAAACCTTCTTCCATGTCCATGGATGCAGGCTGGTCCCGAAACAGCATGGAACGCCGTTATAAGCGACTTCGGGTGCGACCTGTCAACAGTATCCCGGCCGTATTCACATAGATGAAACCAAGGGGATCGCGTAGTACCATGGCTCGGCCAACGCCCAGGTTTACCCCTTCGGGCCGGAATGCGGGAGCGGTGTAAACGAAGTCAAGTCCATCGTGAGTTGTATGACTGAGAGGTGAGTAAAATAATGGGATGACATCGTATCCCGATATCAGTATCCATATTGGAGACATTTGATGTCATCGACAAGAGGATTTACTCCGAATGCTCCACCACGATATTTGACGCCGCTCTCCAAAAAAAAAAATAAAAAAATAAAAAATCGTACATCGTAGGCTCCATCCGAGAATGTCAGATGTCAGTGCGAGCTGACCCGGATGGCGCCAGATAGCGTAATGTCCATATTGATGTGGGTCTGTGATTGGTCAGTCGATAGTTCATGGAGGCCCTCCAAAGCGCCAAACAGTCCGCAGTGATTTTTTTTTTCCCTCTATTTTCCATTCTCGCAAATGACCCATGGTTGCGGAGATTCTTTACGCAGATATTCTACTAGGACCGATGCATCTCGACCAATGGTATATCGGGATGACAAGTCAACGTGCCGCACGCCTTTGTGAAAGAGCGTGCACTGCAGATGACCGCCAGGGCAAAACGATGAGCAAGACTGGACACAGCACTCGGGAACACGGGGTGTCCACAGTGGGTCTTTTAGCACAAAAAAAGAAAAAGCGGGCCAGGAAGAGCACGGGGCAACTGGGCTAAACATCTCTCGGCATTCCCACCCGGTCTGCACCATCGAGAGAGAGAAAGAGAGGGCGGCTGGGTTGCCTTTTGGTGTGGCTGCGTCGCTGCAGTTGGTGAGATCCAGGACGATCAGCACCCGCCAGTGTGGGATTTGCAGTGCATCTCAGGTGGGAGTGGTGGAAGTGGTGATGGTGGAGCGGATTGTGGATACATAAGGTCAAGAGAGAAGTATCGTATCGACTTATCGCAAAGGGTTTCCTCTCTTTTTTCTCTCTCTCTCTCTTCCTTCCCATGTCGATCGAGGGGAGGGGAGACTTTAGGGGACCCACCGCGGGCGTGATAGACAGGTTATCCTTGCTCGAGGGGATCGACTTAGAATGCTGCGACAATCCACACGGTTTAAACCATGCAGCAGGATCAAATCAAACCACCACGGACATTCCTAGTCGCATGTCCCATTTAGGAGGGGCCGGTCGATCCAACCGAAGATTTCTGATAGACGCGGCCGAGCAGCGAACTAAGTCCTAGGCCCCTCCATATCGCTCTCTCTATAGGCTTGCCACCCACCGGGGTCTGCTGCAGCTTTTTTTGACCGGCGATGAAAAGGAAAAGAAGGAGGGACCAATACTCCGTACGCCATTGAATGAATGAGAGTAAAGGAAAAAAAAAAAAGGACCAAACGGGGCCTCCAAAACGAAAATTACATTAGACCAAAAGTGTTGAGATGAGAGGGTGACTTGACGTGAGGGAGTGTCAGTCAGCATAAAGGAAATGAGGCCATGCGATCAGACTGTACGAGGAAGTCTATAACTTAAGTTCTCGAGAAATTCGAGAAGTATTACTAGAAGGGGGTAGTAAATTTAAAATTATAAATTATAAAACCATAAATCAAAATCAAATAAGGAACCTTGGAATAATACAAAGGTATACAAATTTGATAGGTAATTTTAGTGTATTGTTATCTTTGCACCCTCTGCCCTCCTGCTGTACCTTCTTATTGAGCGGTTACCCCGTGCCACCACCGACTTCCCTTCTTCCCCTTCTCCTCTTCCAACCTTCTCCCCTACCCCCCCCAAATTTTTACACACGGTTTCTTTCCCTTTTCAGGTTCATAATCGGACCTGTCAAGTCGGTACATTCCTTTCGCACGAGGTACTTGACTGCCCTTCCCCCTGAACCCTGCTGCTCAATCGCACGCGCTAACTCCTCACATCGCCTAGGCGACACGCTCCTTTTTCTTCTCCTGCTCGCACCAGCAAAATGTCGGGTCTCTCTGGTTGTATCTACTGAGCCTATCCTCTTCAGAGTTCTTCGAGCTACGATCTTATCTCGCTGGACTCCTCTCCAACCATGGAGAAGTTGAACACTGAAGATGGACAACTCTTCATCAAGGTGTGTCCGCCCCCACTTCCCAGCTGCGATGATCGCCCGTCTCTACCTTTTTTTCCCCCCCTGCAGTTTGACTTCTGGCCCTCGGGTTCTTTTGGCTGATACTTTTTTTTCTATCGTCCTATAGAACCTCGCCAGCTTCGTTCGTACTCACGAGAAGGCGCTCGCGAACGCTTTGCAGCTCCGACGCCAATCCAAAAATGTGGTGACAGCGCAATCGCCCGCCAGCGCCTCGAACTCGAACGGCTCAGCCTTCTCTCCCACCACACTCGCCTCCGCCTTGTCTTTTGGGGCACTGAAATTTACCTCGCAGAGCATCAAACCCGCCAAACTCACCCTCACTCCACACCATCTATTCTATCTGCTCTCACAGTTCGAGGATCTTTCTATTGCGGTGGGCCCAATGAACGTCCGACTGGAGAACATTCATACCGAGGTCTCTCAGTCCTACGTGTCTTTCCTGAATAAGCCACAACGGTCTAAGGGCGATGGCGCCTCTATCCACTCCGTCTCCAGTGTTCGTAGTGTTATGTCGGGCATGAGTGGTCTCTGGTCTTCATTTGGTCTAGGATCCAAGGACTCATCATCCAAATCGGAAAGGGCCAAGGTTGCTCTAGAGGCAGACCTCAAATATCTTTACTCCGCATTCACCAAAATCCCATGTTTGCGCCTTGCCCGGACCACCGAGCCTGTTTGATTCGAGGATATGAAGAATTCCCTTTCGATACGGCTGTGCCGCTTCACTCCTTCAAAAACCTGAGTGCTCTAGAGATCATTGACATAGACTACCGTTCTTTCTATGGCTGGGACCGACTGTCTGAACAGTTGCGAACTCTCTCCATTAAGCGGGCCCATCTGGATGACCCCGCGGACCTGTTGACACGCATTGTGCTAGATGACATGGACAGGCGACGGCGACGTTCGACAAAGTCTCAACAGTCACCGCCGCTTGGATGGACGAATAGCAATTCCACACAACCTGTCCGCGCACCGGATCATACATCGCTGTCTGCCCCTGGCTCGCCTATTGTCGGCAACGCACTGGCTAGCAGCACCAGCCCGAGGTCCGCACCCATGATTCGAGGCAGTTCTGAAGGCGGGAAAATCCGTTCAAGAGCAGACAGCATCTCACCAACTCGCCCGACCACGAAGCAGAGCCACCAGCGTCACGCCCGTGGTCAATCGGCGCGAATTCGACGAACGGGCTCCGGCAGCTCCAATTCGAGTGATAATTCGGCTGGCTATCGGACTGGAAGCTCCTCCACCCTTCTTCCAGGGGTTCTACCTGCATCGAAATGGCGATTCTTGCGCCATTTGGGTTTACCTGACAATGCGTTGACGTCGATCTCTGCTGCCAGCCTGGCTCCTGTGGCCAACTCCCTGAACTCGCTTGATCTCTCTTCAAACCTTCTGACGGAGATTCCCGATAGCCTGGCATCTCTCATGGCGCTCCGAGCTTTGAACCTTTCCCACTGCATGATTGAGTCTCTGCACTCTCTCTCACGCAATCCCCTTCCGGCTATAACCGCCCTCAACCTCCGTGGAAACCGACTTCGCTCGCTGGCGGGTATCGAACGCCTGCTGTCTCTTGAGAGACTAGACCTTCGTGACAATAACCTCATGGATCCGACCGAGTTGGCTCGTCTCACCAGCCTCCCTGAAATACGGGAGATCTGGGTGTCCGGCAACCCTTTTACCAAAACTCACTCCGGTTACAGAGTTGTGATCATGAATTTGTTCCGTCGCACCCCGGGATACGCAGAAGATATCATCATCGATGGCCGGGGTCCCGGCTACACCGAGAGGAAACAACTTGCCGAACGAGTCGCTGAGCCTGAAAGTGCTCCGGTGGTTCGCTCCAGTGTACCTGACCAGTCCACCGTGGTGCATAAACCCACTAGCACGGTTATTGCTCAAGGTATCCCTCTTCCCAACCCAAAAGATGATGAAGTGGAAGTGTATGCCAAGACGACACAGCGGAAAGATCATGATACAGGAACTGGTCGCCGAAAGAAAACCACGCGTCGAAGAATCGCCGATATATCGACGGATAACCCATTCACGACGGACGGTTTGGGTAGTTCAGGACCGTCAATGCCGCCAGTCTTGCCCATACAGCAAATTCATTCTCCGATCAGCCCCTCCATCATCCTCCCATACGACCAGCAGTGGAAGTTGGATAGTGCGACTCAGTCGGGATCCTCCAGTATACAGAGCCCTGTCAAGCCTGGACAGTTGGCGAGCTCATCTCACGCCCAGCCTGCTTTTGTGCAACCGGCGGCGGGAAAGGATTGGGCCTTGGATGAGGTACTCTGCCGTCAGCAACTAGAAGCTCTGCGACAGGAAGTCGGACAGAATTGGATCACGGTCCTTGGAGATCACCCTTGGGATAACTCTCAAAACAATTTACCTGGTCACCTTACACCGAACGGATTGGACCACTCACCAATACCACCAGCATCCATCGCTCGGTCGACTAGCCATGCTATATTGAGCGGCGGTCACATATTGGGCGGCTGAGAGCTGCCACGACTTTTTTTTTTAAAAATGAGGAAACAAGTATTTCCACCTCATCACCCATATTACATATTTCAAACCCTCTCCCCACTCACAGTGACCGGCTTTCGGAGAGCAACCGGCATACCTTTTTTTTTCGGGATAATCTTTCACCCTGGCGAGCACGTCTATTGAACTACTCGACCACTTTGCATTGTTAATGGCGTTTCGATGACTTACGAGTTATGGTGGGTTGGATGTATGAACATTTACGGCCGTTTTCGCTGCGTTCTGTTGTTTGCACCTTTTTCTTTGCGTGCGTTTCTCATTGACCTCAAAATGTCCTTTTTCTGCGGTATTCCCTCACCCATTTCCCGGAAGGCACCGTTGAAGACTTTTGTCTAGAGCGCGTGTATTGTACCCTTTTTTGTCGTCGTTCTTATCTCAGGCGTTGGTGGATCGATTGCTCTATTCCCCTTTTGTTATTTCCAGTTCTCGGCGGGTGTATTGTGCAGATTTCTCATAGGCCATGACAGCGATATGTGCCTCAGAAGATAATATAAGTCTTTTGTCCGATCCGGGTCTTTCGTAGAGAGTAGGTTGTGGTTCTTTTTCCTCATCGTGGGTCAAGCTGTCGATGTTGGGACGTGAATATCAACATATCGCGATGTGACGCGCGGTCTGATTTGGCAATGACCATCGGGTACCCGAACAACCTTGGGAACCGCCGTAGGGTACTAGTCAGAGAGAAAGTCTGAGAGATGCAGCACCTTGGGTCTCTCTTCAAGTATATAAGTGTCATCGTACTGCAGCCTGGTGCTCTGGTCGCCGTGTTGGGGCCTCCTGAGATGCAGTCGAGAGGGTCTCGACCGGTTCCAAAGTCAGCCCCTCCACGCCGATGAAGAGAGGGGAAGCGCAGGGTGTGATGGAAAGAAGAGGGTGTGGTGATAACTTTGGAATATAAGTATTAGAGTCGACTGGTATCCACTGGCATCCAGATGAATGAATTGACGGGAGGATCAGGGAATATTAAAAGGGAAACTATTTATAACCCTATGGAGTACTTCTATGCCTACAGGTAACCGCGGAGGCCAAACCAAACACGACAAACACAAACTCTGGGAACTTCCCGCTTCTCTCCCTGCGCAAGATTCTCCTCTCTTCACCCTTCGAGGCCAAACTCATCATCGCGTCCACCTTGTTTGAGATCTTCTCCGTATCGCTCACTCCGTTCGGTTAAAAAAAGTTTTTCTTCCTTGATTGTCCAACTCCCTTTTCTCACCTCATCCCCACACGGAAAACTTCGATCGCTCGGAACCGACCCCCCTCCCTTCATCCCACCCCAAATCGACTCGACACTTGATTTGACCCGCTCTCGATCACTGTCGGCCAAAGTCACGCAAGCGCACGCATCGTATTCGTTTTTCGATCGAGCTGCCCACTAGCTTACATTCGGAGAGGTAACCCGTCCACCCCGTCTGGCATCCCTGCCAGACCCTCTCCTAAAACAGCCGCGGCCGCAAAGGCCCTTATCCGTGAAGAACCTCTGATCTCATTGAGCTTTGGTTGTTGGTGAGTTGTTCTGCTATCTTCCACGTCTGCAAAAATTCCTACCAAGGGGGAAAGAAGCCCGGGGAGAAATTCGGGTGGCCAAAAAAAAAAAATCCTATCAGGAACGCGTCTGTCTCCCTGGGCACCCACCCAGAGTTTGCGAATCGGACTGACATCCTTGTTAACAACTGAACGCATCACTAATTCGTATCGCTGTTGCAGAACATAGTCCCCGCGTCATCAGTTATACGCCCGCTTCGGAAGTCATCCCTTCCCCCGGCGCGTCTTTTTCGTTCCGTTTTCTTTTCTTCGTTTCCTTCTCTTCTTTGTCTTTCGTTACAGACCGACCATAATGGCCGACCAGGAAGTGGATCTGGACTCCATTATCGACCGGCTGCTGGAGGTGAGGGGCAGCCGGCCCGGTAAGCAAGTGCAGCTGCTGGAATCGGAGATCCGTTTCCTTTGCACCAAGGCCCGTGAAATCTTCATCTCGCAGCCCATTCTGCTGGAGTTGGAAGCTCCCATCAAGGTATGCCGCATCCGACCTTGAAAGTGGCTCTTTGCGGGAACCCGCGTTTCTAACGAGTTTTTTTCTTCTTCCTTTGTTAGATCTGTGGTGATATCCACGGCCAATACTACGACCTTTTGCGTCTGTTCGAATACGGTGGATTCCCCCCCGGAGGCCAACTACCTTTTCCTTGGTGATTACGTCGACCGTGGCAAGCAGTCCCTGGAGACCATCTGTCTGCTCCTTGCCTACAAGATCAAGTACCCCGAGAACTTCTTCATCCTGCGTGGTAACCACGAGTGCGCCTCTATCAACCGTATCTACGGTTTCTACGATGAGTGCAAGCGCCGATACAACATCAAGCTGTGGAAGACCTTCACCGACTGCTTCAACTGCCTCCCCTATCGCGGCCATAATTGACGAGAAGATCTTCACCATGCACGGTGGTCTGAGCCCCGACCTGAACTCGATGGAGCAGATCCGCCGAGTCATGCGTCCCACTGATGTACGTCCCCCCTCTTGGTTGCGTAGTCTTACCCAGCACGTGCTGTTTTTTGTTTGACTGGAGATTTGTCAAAACTGTTTGATCGAGTTTCCGCGGCTTCAGGGCCAGATTCGCTGACTGAAATAGATTCCTGACTGTGGTCTCCTCTGCGATCTGCTGTGGTCCGATCCCGACAAGGATATCACTGGCTGGAGCGAGAATGACCGTGGTGTATCTTTCACATTTGGCCCTGACGTGGTGTCACGCTTCCTGCAGAAACACGATATGGATTTGATATGCCGAGCTCACCAGGTTGTGGAGGATGGCTACGAGTTCTTCTCCAAGCGCCAACTCGTCACACTATTCAGTGCGCCCAACTACTGTGGTGAATTCGACAATGCAGGTGCCATGATGAGCGTCGACGAGAGCTTGCTCTGCTCCTTCCAGGTATGTCAACATTATAATCTGAAAAGTTGCCTTTTTTTTTCCCTCCAGAGAAACTAACGAATCTTCTCTTCTCAACAGATCCTGAAACCAGCAGAAAAGAAACAAAAGTACGTCTACGGGAGCATGAGCTCTAGCGGATCCGTCACTCCTCCGCGCAAACAAAAGAAGAAATAAAGGATCAATACGAGCTTTTCCATGTGCAGCAGGTTCGGGCGGAGATAAGCCTTTTTTCAGATCGCATCGATAAACCCCTCCCTACATCCCGCCACGACATCTAACCTTTCCACCACCTCCGCCGCGAGTTCCCCTCAACCAAAGACCTACGAAGCGATGAACGACCGAGGAACCCTCACGCCAACCGGGTGTAGCCCACACGCCATCACCTCCATACCACTCGATTCCGCGATAATCCCTTATTGAACAGCCTTCTATACACGACATCATTCGGGCTACCCCGTTCGACAAGCGAGGAAGACCCGTCTCCATCAACCCCGGCCGACAACCCGCGACCTCTGGACTACGGAGCGACAATTTCTTATCATCGACATTCTTCTATTTTCTTCCTTCGTTGGACTGGTTTTTTTTTTTTCTTTTCTCTTTTCTTTCCCCCCCTTTTTTCTTTCCTCTCCCGCTTTCTTTTTTCCATAGTCGATCCTACCTTTGTTTCTTACCATCTGGACGGAATGTTTCCTCTCGGCATCCTGGAAAGGCGGCGGGGGCACACCTGGTTTATCTCTTATCTTTTCCAACTGTTTCTGTGTCTTATCGGTCTTGTGTTTGAATTGAAACGCATGTGTTGTCCTTCCTCCTTTTAATTTATCCGCCTGAGTCTTTGACTCCTATAGCCTGGCCTAAACATCCCCCCCCCCCCCTCTCTCTCCCCCCTCGCACCATCTTACTTCTTGGCCAGTGGTAGGTTTTTTTTTTCTAGCTGTGTCTTTCTTTCTTTTCTTTCCTTGTTTCCTTTTCCTCTCCTGCTTATCTCAGAGGATTGGGATCGAGAGGGGGATAGAAGGATCGATTCTCGTCTAGACTTTGACTCAAGATGTTTCTGTATGCGCATCAGTTTAGTCTTTAAATGCATTTCATCCCGGCTGCCACGTTCGTCTCAATTGGGCTGTTGTCTCTACCTGGGGTATAACAGCTATCTTGTAAGGGTAGGGTTGACCTTGGGAGATAATCCTTCGGTCTCGGTCCGGAGGTAGTAACTTTAATTGGACTCCCGAAGGTGCATCTGATTCGTCAGCCTTCACCTAGACTAAAGAAACCAGGCCTGGTGTGCTCTGCCGTATCTATAGTATACTACACAACCCCGATCTGACATACACATTTACCCACGAAGAGAATTGGGAATATTTTTAGTTGGAACTATATGGAGCAATCGAAGCAAAGTCACCGGCTAACAGGCAGCAGTGTAAACAATCGAGGCATAATCAAAGGAAAGAAAATCAAAGACATGCATTTGGGGGAGGTTACAAGTTGTAGAGTGACACGTCAAGCCGTAGTAAAAGGGGGGGGGGGATTTGGGGAAAGGGAGATGGGTACTGGGTGATGGGCGGAAGGTATGAGTGAAGGTGTGAGAATTGAGCAAGAAATACAGTCCTCGGCGAGGCCATAAATCTCCACTCATCTCAGAAGGGTTTGGAGGGAGGGTGGGGGTCGGGTCGTCTGATAGCCTCTTTCGTCTCTGGGGAGAGAAGCTTAGACGTATTGCGACAACCAGCGGATTCCCTCGCCGTATCCCTGTCTCATGACGACTGAGCACATGAAAAGCTCGATGGGGCGGATTCCCTCGAGGGGGACCTTGCCCTTGCCGGTGGTCTGGTAGAGACCGAGCTGGTTGCGGAGGTCATCCTCGCTGACGGCGTCGGGGTGGTCGATCTTGTTACCGAGGACGAGGAAGGGGACCTTGGCCAGGTCCTCCATGGCGAGAAGGGCATCGAGCTCGGCCTTGGACTCGGGGAAGCGCTCGTAGTCCTTGGCGTCGACGAGGAAGACGATACCGCTAACTTCGGGGAAGTAGTCCTTCCAGAGACGGCGGGCTATTCACAGGAAACATATCAACGAGCTGGTCTCGTTTGGGCTGAGAGCATCAAGAAGGGGGGGGATGGGATATGCGTCCACGAGGGGGGTCGATCACTCACCCTGCTGGTGACCACCCAGGTCAAATGTCGTGAAGCGGTTGTTACCGATAGCCAGTTCCTCCGAAGTAGGGTGGGCGGTTGGGGAGAGCACGGCAACGCGGTCGTTCTATCGGAGTCGGGAATCGTCAGTCATCATGCCATATCCCATCAATCTCACAGCAGAAGCAAGCAAACGCCGTATGACACCAGCCACTCCCGAATCATCGGCATCAGCAATCCAGAAGATCCACCCGGTCCGCCTGCTTGAGTGCTCGCCCGAGTCGCATTCCAGATATCTGCCTGGATGCCAGTACCCGAATCAAGTGCCGGATCGTGTCATATCACATCGCCCACAGTCATCTGCGGAATAAGCCGCACTCTCTCGACCGGACTCGACTCACCTTCAACATGTGCAGCAAGGTAGTCTTGCCGGCGTTATCCAGACCGAGGAAAAGGAGCTTGGCATGCTTGTTCAAAAGGCCAAGCGAAGCCAGGACATCGTAAACTAGAGAGAAAACCGCATCAGTAAAACTGTAGCTACGCTGGACTGATCCCAAAATCGAAGCCCAGCCCAGCCCACCCCCGGAATCACAGGCGCAGAAGCCGCGGCAATAGGTGTGAAGGCTGAGGGGAGGGGCGAGACAAAGGGTTGACGGTCTGGCTTCACTGCCCGCGCATTCAGACCCGAGGGTATCGTATCACTCGTTGGATGGGCGAGCATCTATTCTTCCAGAGGATGCTCCTGGTCATGGGCGCGGACAGAGTGGTAGAGTAGTGGTCGGGTCTGGTCGGACACTTACACCAGTTGACGATCCACATGGTGGTGAAAAGCTAGGAAGCCAAAAGGGAGGAATCGAAGGAAATGGTGTCCGAGGTCGGGACTCGAGATTGGACGTGAGCGGGGCGACGGTGATGGATGGAGAGGAGGAGAGGCAAGAAGCCAGGTTGAATGTTGTTTTCGGAATTGAGAGGGATTTCTGCCTGAGGCAGCAAGGATCAGCGGTGGCGGACTCGACTAGTCTTCGGCTCTCCGTTTGTAACAGCCATGCTATCATGATCTCTATACCTAGGTAACTTAATAAAAGGTCACACTATTTACTCATGCGAGAATCAAGGAAATTATGTATCATCAAATATATATGTATTCTAGTAACAAGACTAGTACCGACCCATTTCTTCCATTTTATCCACAATGCAGCAAATTCAGACAAAGGGTATATGCAACCGCAACCATGCAATTCAAAAAAGAAAGTGGCCTCCTCAGAGCAAAAACATATGCTGGGTAGAAATAAATGAATAGGTAGAACTCCTCCCAAGGAGATTAAAAGCGAAATAAGCGAGAGGGAAAGGTGTAAGGGAACATGCCATCAAGTCAATGGGCAAGACACAAACATAAGTATGTAAGAGGGAAGGGTACTCGGAACCAGACCGAGGAAAAAAGGGTGAAAAGGGTAAAAAGGTAAGATATGTACAGACCAAAAGGGGGTATTCGTTAGGATAGGTGGGAAGGAGGTAGAAGGATGGGTGGGTAGAAAGGGTAGGGTGACCTCAAGAGAGAGGTCGGGAACTCAAACGGATAGGACGAGCTGGGTGTCTTGTCCGACACCATAAGCTCTGCACCTCTCAGCAACTTCGAGGCCAAGCTCCTTCATCCGTTCGGCTCCCTTGCCTTTAATCGGCCGCCGAACTGCCTGCTCTTTAGCTGCTTTGCGGCAGTGTTGGCGCCAAAATTTCTCTTTGCGCTTTTGGCGCTTCTTTTCAAGACCCTCGACAATGTCGATCGGGCCCCGGGTGTGAAGAGGCTCACGGGTGCGCGAGTGTTCCCGCTCGGGTGACTCAATCAGGGGAGGAATACCCTGCCAGCGGTGTGACTTGTCCATGCTGGTGAAGAACGGGTTCGGTGTCCGAGGCAAAGACTTGGTCCGGACAATATGTGGCCGTTGGACCAGGTGGCTGATGTTGACACCGTGAGGTGAGTTGATCTCGGGCATGTCGTCTGGCAGTTCAAACTTCTCAGGCGAGGGCGACTTGGCTCGGATACGGGGAGGGGGAGACTTGAGTCGCTTGGGCGACGTGCGTCCGGCCCGGCGAGAGGGCGGTGGCGGCGACACCATGCGCTTCGGCGAGTGGCGCGGCGAAGCCTTGCCGGCCGGGCTATCGGCCCGACCCCGAGTGGGCTCCAGCACAACACTGTCCAACGCACTTTCCGAGATGTCCTCCAGGTCACCATTGTCCTCGGGGTCACTGGTCGGGAAGCTAGGGTCGATATCTTGCGGAATCATAACCTGCTTTGAAAGGCGGCGTTGCTCTATGCAGGACTTGTAGGCAGCCTCAAGAGGGCGATCCTCATCCAAAGTGCCACACACAAAATCTGTGCTGTCGGGCAGGTTCGGGGTACCTGGGCGCATCTTGATAGGTCTAGGAGCGGTACGAGAGGGTCGACGGCCAGACCGTTGTACAGGTGCGGGCAGCCACTTCTGGTGATCGTCGGTCATGGAATCAAACGAGGTGTTGGATGCACGTCGCTCCATCGTGGTGGGGAACACCTCGATAGATGGGACATTTGAGTCAGAGGCGGCAGCAGATGGGGCCCAAAACTCGTAGTCAGAGCCGTCATCGTCGCTTTCATCTGATTCGGCAAAACCAGCCTCGTTATCCGACTCATTTCCATCGTCATCAGAAAAGTCGTGGACCGTTGAGTCATCGTCCGCCAAGTCCAGGTCATCGTCGTCGTCCTCGTCTTCGGCTTCCTCCTCAGCCTCCTCGCCAAGTCGACGAATGGCGATTTCCTTTTTCATGCAGTCATTCAGAGTAATCTTTTCCTTGTAGTCCGTTGCCCTGTTCACCCATTCGTCATCCTCATCCATAGAACTAGCAAATTCATGGAAACGAGTAGCCTCGGATTCCTCAAACTTGCCCAGTCCACTCGTCGGGACTGCTTTCGAAAGAGTAATAGCGGTGGTTTGAGACATAGTAGTAAACTCGACGGCCTTTGAGCTCTCAGCGGGTGGCGAAACTTTACGGGACACGGGGGCGGGAGATCCGCGGCATCGAGATCGGAATGCAACCTTGCGCACAGGAGAGCGTTCGCGTTGAATGGTTGGCTTCTTGTCTTGACGTCCAGGGCAGACAAATGTGAGGGTGGTTCGGCGTTTAGGGGGGCTCGGGGGTCTCTTCGGTTTTCGAGGGAGTTGTTGTAGGTGGCGCTGCCGCTGGTAGTGGCTCAGATGACTTCTGCTGGGATGACTCGTCGATCTTACGGCCGCAGGCAAAGCTGATGCAACGCTTGCGTCCAAGGTTAGCCTCGACGGTAGTCTCACTGGCGTTGACAACCTTGATCTTCGGTGTAGCATTCTTCTTAGACATCATCTGAGACGGGAGTGGCGGACTCGGGGTGTTGGACAGAGAGGGGCTTGTAAGACCACCATCGCTGGTGAGCTCAGCGGTTGAAAGGCCGCTGATGTTGCTGTGGGGGTAGGAACGGTAGGTATAGGTCGAGTCGTGTAGAGGGGTTTGAGGTTCGATAGGAGACATTTCGGGACTGCTCTTCAGGGCACGGGTGAGCAGAGATTCCTGGCGTTCGGGAATTGAGGGTCGTGCAAAGATCCGTCCATCTTCAGGGTGAATAGGTTTGGCGTGTAGGATATGGTGTTGATCGGGGGGGTTCATCGAGGTCCTCTCCCAGGTCGCCCTCTTCGTGAGTCGGCCGGGTGGATGATCCGGGTGAAAGTAACATCTTGAGAAGGTTGTGAAAAGAAAAACTTCGGTCGTCGCCACGGGTTTGAGCCATGTTGTCGAGAAGAATTGTCGTAGAGGGCAAGTGGCAATATAAGCACGCGAAGGTAGTTGTTGCACTCTTTCAATATCGATCACCAAATGGATCGATTGACCGGAAGGTCCAGAAAAAGCCCCGCAAAGGACGATTGTCAGGATATCCAGCGCATGATTAGAGGGGGGAGTCGAAGTATCAAATAGAGCAAAGGTGACGATAGTCGCCAAGAGGAATATTCGTCTTTTTTCGCTGGTGCAGCTCAATAATGAACGCCGGATAGGCTTTAGGCAGAGCGCCAAGAAAGCAGCTTGGGGCTGTGAGGCGATAGTAGAAGAGGAAAATAACCAAAAACAAAAAAGACAAAAAAGAGTTGTGATTGACAAAAGAAGAGATAAAATAGAGGGGAGAGGGGGGGAGGAGAAGAGTAGAGTGGAGTTTAAGGAAAAGAGAGGCAAGTATAGAGAGGATTGAGAGGGAGGGGGGAACAGTGACGATACGCGGGAGGACGGCACGATCGCGTTGGGTTTAGCGTCTCGCTGATTTTGCGGGCTTTTTTGGGGTTTTTTGGTTTTTCTTTTCTGTTTTGGGAGGGAAATGTGATTTTTTTTTACCCTTTTAATTTTGGGAATTAAAATTTTCCCGAATTTCTTACATGAGATTTCCCAGTCGCCACAGCAAAAGTCTACCCTTGCCCTTCCACGCTTCTTCCAGCCCCACCTGAGATGCAGCTCACAGTACGGGGGGGAGTTATGGTTCCTGCGCCTTCAAATAGTACAAGTGTAATTGTACAGTCATCTACACAGTATCCGTAACTATAGTATGGAGTACCTAGATAGTACCTACGTACCCAGTGGTTATTTTTATTTTTTATTTTTGGGTATCATGCTGATCTTATTCTTTCTCTTTTTTCTTTCTCTGGTGTACTTGTCTTCCGTGCGACCATAGGGTTTCATTATTCTTAGTGGAGCGTGATGACTATTGTGTGTCGAGTTGGTGGCCGACTATAACTATGAGGCATTTTGTGCTGGCTAACCACTTCAGGGCCGCCCCTCCCCAACATGCGGGTAAATGACCCTAACCCTCCCCGTTCAACTCTTTCGCTTCCAAGGTTGGTTGTTTCACCGTATTACTATTATTACTATTATTCATTGTGCGGTGGACTTTGGTACGTACAAAATAGATTGCTTTGCTTTGCCTTCCTTTGTTTTCGTACATACAGCTTCTTCCCAACATATGTAGAGTACTAATGCTCATACCTCGACTGGACTGACCATCTACCGGGAGCTGCAAGCGGAAACTCCGTGCGGTGTACGGTCACAATACCGTAATCTCCCGGATGACATCGCCCAGTCATGACTAATATTAGCCGTACTCACACCTAATGACACTTACTAATAGTTACCAACGGTATCATCGTCGTATTTCCACAAGGTTGCCCCAAAGCGGCCGTGTGCCTGTGCCTGAACCCTCTTTCGTCCAGTCAATGCCAAATTGGTTTTCGAATTTAGCCTTGGCCCACTCTGTTTACCCTGTTTAGTCCAAGTTCACTACCGATTCCACCCGTACGATGGCCCTCGCTCCCTTCAGTGGTTAATAGTGCTCACCACTATCCTCACTACGGTAGTCCGTCGCCGCCATGATTTTCCTTTCCTCCGTCCCCATGAACTACAGTGTAAACGCGCTCTGCGCGCTACACTTGTGGTTTCACTTCCTCTTGGCGTCCTCCTGACCCCAGCATGCATTGGACACTTTGTGAGACCGACAAGGCTTGGTCCTCAATGGTCGCTTTTTCCCTTGCTCCTCCGCGGAGACCTGTGACGTAGTAGCTTACTATACTCCGTACTCCGTACTATTACTCGGCTCGGCTCAACTCCTAGGTATTGGGGTATTTTGGGCTCTCCAGTGGATACAATTGTTGCTAGGTATAACTCATTCAGTAGTTATGTCTTGGGTGCGCCGAACACATCATCTCTCCCCCCACACAATGGATTTCCCTGCCGGTCGATCGTCTTGGTATACATACAGTTTTGCCCAGCTTTTACTGATTCCCAGTGCATACTATTGCAAGCATGCCAAGAGGAGAAAGGCAGCACTGTTTACCGTGCCAAGACGCTGAGCCTTGCTGCTATTCTAGGCGTGACAGCTAGGGATTGACCTTCTTGGCTCTGTATACTTTTCATCATACATAATACACAACTATGTATCTGGGCACAAAAATGTGATCGTCGCGTGGGCCTTTGATAGAAATGTAAATACCACGCTGTCTCCGATCTGCAGTGAAACGTAAACGTGTGCTTCACCTCTGCTCCGCCAGACTTTGATTTGGGCAGCAGCAATACGGTCGCGTGGGTACATAATGTACAATGTACTTGTCTCTGGAGTGCCTGCTCCGTAATCTGCGGTTAGGTCGGGATCCTCGTACTGTAAATGAATCTCAATGGCCAGCTGATGGAGGCCGCCCACGCTGGGAGTTGGAGCAAGAGGAGCGGTCAGCCGCGATCGCAATCCCTGATCGAGAGATGGGTACTCCGTACATCGGTCATAATCCATTCGGGCGATGCGGCATGTGCTCGGCAATCAAGCGAGGAGCCAAAATATCAATGACTCGAGTTGTTCCTTGGGTAGCAGCATAGCCCTACAACCACGATGCTGTCAGTCATCGACCCATAGCAACCCAAAACCTTGAATCTGGTATTTAGATCGTGACAAGCTTCACGAATCCGAGGAGATCCCCCCCCCCCCCCCCACTGCATCTGTGCGAGCAGGCATGGCCCCTGTAGTTTCCCCTCGCCCCCAGCTCGCTCAGTGGTCCGTTGATTTGCCCACGAACCGGTCAACGTGACGAGCACAGCTGCGTTCGCAATGGGGCGAAGCTTGTTGTTAACGAAACGGCACTGCAGCTGGGGTATGCCGGTTAGGAATCTCCGTCGTGGAGAGGGATTTTTGCTAAGATGGACATACGCACATGCATGCCTCCATCATTTGACTTGAACTACGAGACTTTTTCCAATTACTCCGGCGCAACGCCTCCCCAAAAACGGGGGTTCAGAAAGGTGGGAGGGGATCGATGCACAGTGGCAGAGAAGTCGACGATCCGCGACACTAAGACTGTATCTAGTAGAGTACGAAGTATAGACGCCACCTCTTTATTGGAGACAAAATGGGGCTTCAAGCCGCTGGGCTACGATGAGTTACCGCCAGGATTCGATCTCCAACAGCCCGAGCTGCCAAGAATAGAATGCCCCCACGAAGGGCGTTACTCCGTGTATTACTAGTACTATTGATATTACTCATATATGCGACTGGGCATACCTCATCTTTTCATGCTCTCTCTAGGGTAACCCCGGCACACTTCCCGCTTTCTAGTACTTACATACTTATGTCCACGGGTGCATACGTAGAAGTGAAACTATAGGTTAGATGATAGATTGCGGACAATTGGCGGACTTCAGCCAAGGCAACCCCCTCACGATCGGGGAGCTATCTCCAAATCCTTCGAGGCGCCGAGGGCTATAAACACCCCACGCCAGCCATCATCGCGAAGGATCGGAACGAGCAAATATCTCCTCCGTACTAGTGTAGCGCGCTGCGCTCGTGGCACCAGACGAGAAGTGCTAGCGGAGACTCGCAACCCGCGCCAAACCCCAAGGGCGCAATAAGGTGTGAACTGTGCAGGTGGAGTCGTGCAGCAATCTACAATGCCACTGTCCTTACAGGCGCAGAAACGGTTGACCGGAGCACAACCGGGGGAAGTGGGGACGTGAGAGTGGCCCCAATGTGGGAAGACGAGGAGAGGAGCGGGATGGACAGTGCAGTAGCGTGCAGCGTTGGCGTTGGCGGTCATACATGCTCACTATGAGGCATTTAAACCAGCTCCACCGGAAAATCTCCATGAGACTCGAGTTGGTTTAAGACGGACAGTTCATCGTGATCCCCCCATAGGTTAGTCCAATAGGTAAACTGCTTCCAAACTGCAGGGCAATTGACAGCGGCCATTCCGCTTGGCTTGGAAATTTGTACGAACTCGCTAGGAATTCCCTCTGAAAGGACGTACTTCGTAGCGGAGGCCGGAGGTATGTGTATGATATGTACGTTCTCGTACTTAGTTGCCGCAACTAAATAATTCAATTCACCAAGTTGTTCAAGCTCCTTTGTAAATACTTTCGTACTCTGTACTCTGCACTCGCGTCCTACTATTATTACTGGAACAAACTTTCGGCAACCGAATTGAAGAACGGCAATTGGAATTATCTTATTCAATCAAATCAATCAATCTTATCGCATATTTACTAATATGTGTTAACTCCATCACTAATCCTCGCCGATTGAAATTGGTCTGTGCTCCCCCCCGGCACCGGCCTAACCTCTTCAACTTGCAGCGTGTATACATCAGTCGACGCTGACCCGACACTGGTGATACACTCGAAAATCCCCGGGCACTAGATTGCAAATACGTGTCATTCCTAATTCAATTTCCGGTCTCGCGGCCTTCCGCTGACTGTCTGCAGTGTTTCACATCCAAGTTCTGATGTTCAAGTTTGTCTACTAGTAGCCAAGCTGGAGCCGCCGGGGTCCCGGTGGTAACTTGAATCATGTCGGAATATATTCAATCCTTGGAATGCACCGAAGTACCGCCATCAGCTTGAGAGACCGGTGCTCAGAAGTTTCAGAGAGTATTCCGGCCGACCTTTAGAGCCCGACCGGCGTGCGTCTGTCTACCGGTCACAACCAAGAATGCCAGGGCACATCTGCTACATCACACTCCTTACTATGTACAAGATCGCTCATTGACCAGGACAAGTACTGCTCCGTACAGTAAAGAATCATCGGAACAGCATCCCAGCCCGTCTACCGCCCGCCAAGAATTTCTCAACAAAACACCGGTCTCTCGGACCGATGACAGTACCTTGACGCATACCAAGGACTAAACCTTCACCCCCCCCCTATGCCCTCATGCATAAGGTCTCGCAAAGCCGGGGATAGATTATCAACCGTCGCGGCAGTGTACATAAAGGAGAGAGCTGGGTGACGCCCAAGGATGCACGGGCTGGGCTCCATTCCGCGACGCTTGGCGGTGCTGTCTGATATTCCAGACTGCCAAGGCCTGGGCATTTCGTCCTTCAGAATGCATCCAGTGCAACTTACGGTTTCCCGAAAGTGAACGCCAATACAGACGGAACAAGGGGGGGGAGTCATCGTCTCGGTACTCCGTACAGAGTATGCACTCCGTATCGAGGGGGGTAAACAATAGCCGTGTCCACTTTCCCCAGAACTGAGTGGGGAGCGTTCTTCCCCGTACCCCCTGTTTTGAGCTCTGGATCTCGGCCAAGCCTACAGAAGGTTTCAGGGGAGACGCATACATTGAGGACTTCGTGGAGGCGCGGAGGAGGAATCCTCCCCGTGGCCTGGTCTGGGCGCCAAGACTGCTCTATCGCCGCCCATTCATAGGACCATCGATAGGGGTCAGGCTGACGAGTCTCTGGATGGACCATCCTGGCGCTATTGCAAACCGCGCCAAGGGCGATCATGGTCGATCATGATAGCCAAAGGCAGTGCATGAAGGGAGTCTTGGCGAGTGTGCAATCTATTGAAATGTTTGTGGACCGCCAAGCCGTTGTACCGAGCGACTGCTGTTAGGGGGGGAGTTATACATCTGGAGGACGAAAGTGGCAGTGCTTGGATACAGGGCTTGGGGGTTTGTAGATCATCGGCTTGGCTGCTTCATGATTCGACTCGGTCCGGTCCGATCAAGCGCTCGGCGATGAGATACAGATTATGGAGTTACCTGTTTGTATTTGCAATCCCCCCCCGTAGGCACCGATAATAAAGCGAGCGACAGGACTGACGAAGCTCGACTGCGCCTCCTCCCATGCATCCGATGTCGAAATGCATACGTTGCATACATTTTAGGTGGAAATATTACACTCGATTTACATGTGTACACGCAGTCCATGTACATCCTGAGTACCAACTAATTTGGAAGTCATAATAGAAAACTTGAAGCATGCATCTATCCAGGAAGCTGGAAGCTGCCCAATGAGGCTCACAGAGAACTCAGCCACTTGCGATTGCATTATGCAGCGATCGCCTGAAGGAACTTGAACCCTGGAACGCTTACTATATTAAGACTTGCTCAATATGTAAACTGAGAGCTGCTGCCTGTGCTTTGAGCTTCATTCGTGTTGATTACGAGAGTCATGTTCTGTACCTAGGTATCAACCCAACCGAACTATATCATACGGAGTTACGACTCTTCATCTCGCCGACATTGACGATAGTCAGGATCGGCAAGCGACCGGCAACATGGTTGGCCACCGCGACAGGTCATCGGGCCTTACCCGTGCGAGAATAGCTTGCCAATGACAGATCCGGATCATTGTAGCACGAATCACTATTCTTACTTTTACCGCGGAATTCATTCCCCCGTCCTATGACTGACTGCTTCCTCATGTAACCGTCCTCGAGCAACTGACTATATACACGCATCGGACAAGCCCGGGCCCTTTGTGCCTTTCCCTTCCCGACGTTCAAAGAAGAGGAGACTAAGTTAAGTTCGCGCACTGGTCATCCCCCCTTCAAGAAATTCACATATTTATCCGACGCGACCGTACGCTGACGGCATGGCTTGCGATCCTCGACCAGTCCAATCGCTGACCGGGTGGATCGATAACTGTACAATCCCTGCCCCCCCCATGATGAAAGAGATGTCGATAGAGGAAGGTGGATCGAGGGTGATATCATTCCAATCACCAAAGGCGGAGCCACGTAGGGGCCACGCCACGGGGCGACTGGCATGGCGGAGGCGTCACTTTATTTGATCCTCAACTGACGACAAGCAATGATATGAATTGGAAACAGTTTCAAGTCCCACTGATATTCTTACTATTTACCATCTCCGTCTATGCTAGTGGCGGATTAAAGCATTCTCGAAACGGACACTCCCGACAGAGGTGGATTCGGCGAACAAATGACTGATAAGTCATTCTTTCATCCTTTGTACATCGCCGGAGAACAGCTGTCCGCGAAAAATCACTCATTGTCTGTGTATGTACTATCAAAGGAGCGGCTGTCTGTGATCTGTTAGGTCGATGCACGATCTAAAACAAGCGGTCTGGTGCTAAGACGTTCACTAATGATTTCCAATTCGATGGAGCTCGCCGCTGATGTCATTCCTAAAGAGTTTTATGGATATTGAAATGTTTCAAGTCAATGCTATTACATAGCTCATTGTATGAAATGTCACTGAAAATCAACCCCATCGGATGTCTATTTTTGTTGCTTCAGGCGTCTTTGGAAGGCACCTTTCGGGGTTGAGATCGGCCTGAAATGGGGCCATTTACGTCATACCCAGCCTCGACATTTTGCTGTTTATAGGAGCTCAGGCAAACATATGACCTAATAGTGCACACTAGATATTCTCCAGCGCTTGCTTACTCGACTTTATCACTTACCTGGGTATTGACCATAATCCTCTATGTTGTAGGAGAAACGAACTCTTACAAATACAGTCTCCGATGTCTTTTTTAACCTTCATCATACCTTAAGGTAGTAATTTATGCATTTGTATACTAGTAGAATGCTAAAAGAGGAAATTTGGTTGCTGCCACTAGATTAGTTCAGCCCCAGAAATATTATCCATTACTTTAGCCTAGCACACGTTTCATGGCCCTCAGCCATTATCCACTCACATAATTTGAATTGGGACTTCATATTTTCTTAATAGCGACGTAAAGAGGGTTATTTTGATGGGGGTTTTCTAGGGCTAGACCTGGACGAGTTCTTGAGAAGACCAAACTGCATTGAATCTCCATATAAAGCGTTACACCCCTGTCTATAATGATGTTTGAAGAATGCGAAACAATTGAATTCGTGAATTTTGACGACTCTTAGTCTATTGCCAGCCTCAAAAGGTCGCTGCGTGTTTAATAATCACAATTGTTTCCTGCAATTTTGTCGAGAATGGCGATGCTGTGTACATAATTCCCTTAAACCCCCGCTTATTGACTGTTGACAACCGAGAGAGGACATTGGAAATTGAGCACTGTCACTTGAGCAAAAGTAGACAGTCTTAGGCAGAAATTTAAGGAGAAGAACAAACGTGATGCTTGACTGTCAACGATTGAGTAAATACAGGTGCGTTCGCCCGGGCAAATTTCACCCCTTCTTTTCTTATAACTATCTACTCTCAATGCTGCCTGCAAGCCTCCTGAGGGTATTGATAAGACTGAGTCGCCAATTTTCGACTGCTAGGGCATAACAAAGTAAATGTAATTCAAGACACTAATTATGAGACCAGACCCCTTCTACGTAGAAAGACCTTCATTATTGAATGCGAGGGCAGAGTATCAGCCATTCCCGATGAAGTGATCATAAAAGCTCCATAGGGTAGATGTCAGCATGTGGATTGAAAGGCCACGCCAGCGCTTCAGGTAAGTGCATATGTTTCAGGTGCAAAAGAGAAGTGTTCAGGGCGTCCAGGGGAAGGGGCTGAAGAGTAGGGCGGCAAGAGAGTATTCTCGAACGAATCCCAAAAGAAATGGGTGAATACGGACATACCACAGGATTTGCATCTGGTCACCCAATATAACACTAAGTGACCGGCATGTAGCTTCGATTCGGTCAGTAGTAGTAGTCGGGTGGGTGTCGCGAGAGTTAGAAATGGGAAAGAGCCGCTCTTCCGTCGCGGGGTGAGTATGGGAGTGCAATTGATAGGGCGAGAGATCACCCTCTGTCGTGTGGCGGCCGCATTGACCGACTATATGGCCCATATCCATGGATTGTAGTTACTGCCTACATACGTAGTGCAAGTTCCAGCGCTTGAAGCCGGAACTTGATTGGGGCAAATTAAATGAGGCTCCATGTAGTAAGCACTTGGTTCAAATTTAGACTACTTCACATTCAAAACATTCATCTATGCGCCAAAGAGACAGGAACCGGCAGTGGGTTATATTTGCTTACGAAAATGGTGAAGTGGTCAAAATGAGACCGTTACCGATTTTCGAAATATCCTTTTGTCTTTGACTTTTCCCCTTCACCATTTTTTCCACAGGTTAACTATCGCCGTGGGGCTAGAAAAGTCACCATTCAAGCCCAATCGAAATCGATCTTTTCTGCTGGTTCGACTTACTCGCACAGTGGACTCGAGGAAGGAAATATTTGAAGAATCCGCACACACCTAACGGAGAATCAAGAAAGACATTATGAGATCAGGGAAGGGTTTGCTCGCGCTTATTCTCATACTCTGCTCTCGATTCGCGAAGGTGACATGTGCGGATTTAGTTGGCACATTCACTTACCCAGTCGAGAATGGACTTATTTTCTACAACGGAGAAACTATTGATGTCAGCTGGACATCGACATTGAGCAACGCAAGCCTCTATCTCTTCTGCCGTTATGAGATTGACTCAGTTTGGAACACTAAACCAAGTATGAAAACCTGCTCGACTAGGCACCAGATACTAGAGAAGTACTCCATACTACGCAGAGAATTAGAGATGCTAACAGCTCTTTCTTCATTTTGAAGTTTCAAATATTGGACTTGTTGATTCAAATGGTAGCAAAAAAGTTTATGTCGAGGTTGCGAAATCATCAAACTATTGCTGGTTCAATTTATTCAAGACAGGCGACAATTCGGACGGTGTCAATAGCGTGACTTTCCTCATCTCCTCCGACGTCCATAGTGGGACCATAATAGGCCTCTCAGATGTGGCGACCACGAGCTATGCTGTATTCGGTGTACCAACTGGTCCGGTCACAGCAGCAACAACAGCAGCAGCAGGGACATCAACATCAACATCAACATCAACAGCAACAGCAACAGCCATAAAGACAGACATAACCAGCAATGCAGCTATTTCCACAACAGAGAATTCTTCCACAAATCCTGACACGGCATCTAGCGGGCAGTCTAGCAGAGATCTTAGCACAACAGCAAAGGCTGGGATTGGGGCTGGCGTTGGTGTCGCATCGTTGATGGTCATCGGTGCATTTATAATCTGGTTTTTGAGGCGAAAACGACGGGACGGGCAAGTCTTTTATGAAGGACAGCGAGGGACGTCAACGGAGAAAAATATGTTAGTGGATGTAGCAAGAATTGGAGCGACGAAAGGAGGAACATGGCAGCCTGGCACTATCCATGAAATGAGGGACAATCAACGCCCATTCGAGCTCCATGCGAGCACTGGGCCGCACAATGGGCATCGTGCAGAGCTAGATGGGTGATTATCCCACTTTTCAGAGTAATTTTCCCATTAAGATGATTTACACTCTCAGTTTGCTTCAGGAGAACTTTCGAGGCTATGATAGCTACTTGCATGGCTTAAGGCCTGCTGAAGTGTGGTGATCTGTAACTATACTACATTGGCTCAAAGAAAATAAAAGATCTTGTTCAAGCGTTGGTAATGAATCAGTTGGCTAGCGTCAAATCAAAACCTCTGGCCTGGTTGACCTTTGTCCAATGCTCTAGCATTGCATATCATCGAAAACAACATCCAATTAATACTTTGAATCTCAAGCAAGACTTTTGGAATCCGCATCCTATTCGGAGGAGCATGAGAGGATTGACCATGGCTGCACTCTGGAACATTCCCAAGCAAAAGTAGAAGTTCATGCAAGAGCACAATTCAACGAATATTTCAAGACTTTTGGAGGGAGAACTGGTTTACTTCAAACTACAGAAGAAATAGCAGAGTAAGAACTCTTCCAAAGAATGACCCCTAGTCTTAGCAGAGATGAGACCGAGCTATGGCTCAAAACCTCTTTCGGGAAGCTCAATCAGCGTTCTTCATTGTGGACGAACGCTCTAGCAGATATCAGTGCTGTGGAAGAGATGATTCAACGGCCAAATTTGAGATTTGAGTTACTTCTACATAGGAGCTTCGGAGAAAATAGGAATCTTGGAAGCAGAATGAAATGTGCGAATATAACTGCCATGGTAGGCCCGGATATTAGCGTGTTTTTGTTTGCTTAATTGCTCGATTTGCTTCATCTTGTTTAGATTGACTGTTAGGGGCTCATAAAATATGTCGAATTATTATTATTGTGCCTACTAGATTCCGTATTGTTTCCTCTCTATAATCGAGTAGAAACACGAAGTGACACTGTCAGGAGCTGAACATTCAAGCAACAGTTCCTCCCGCAGACACAACTCATGATTCGAGCGTCAATAGATGCACCTACTACTAGATATTAGAATTATAACATATTATTGTCTCTCGGACAAGGCTAAAGATTGGTGGCTCGTTGGAAACTTTCTGGGGCTTGAACAGAGATTCTGGCTCGTCATCTGGACTCAGAAGAAGGAATGTGTCGGGGATGATCAATCACGCGGTCTTTAATCAGTTAATAGTATTTCTAGACATTCTGGGTGAATGTACCTCAAGAACGAATCATGGGAGGCGTCCCAATGGCTTGATGAAGAAGGGCAGTAGTTTTGCTTTTTGAAATGCGCATTGGCAGATCCTGCTGAAAACCACGCCAATTCGAGACGGTTTAGGGTCTCGCAGAGAAGGCGATAGGGTAGTCCTTGATTCGGGTTGGAATTCGGCCGAAGATCCCCCAATATCTCGCGAGAAACCTGGGACATCCTCGCTGTATGCAATGGCTTCAAAGCCATCATTCTGGAGAACGTCCACACTGTAACAATACCGGCGACGAAAGCAGTTGAGTTCTTCTTGAGCTGTGCAATGTGGGCCCGCTTTTGAGCAGGAGTTAGAGAATAAGAATGAGAACGAATCGTGGTCTCCGAGCTATCGTCTCGTGCTGGTCGCAGACGACCAGCAAGAGGGCGTGAGCATTCATCTTCGCAGAGACGCCGAACGCTCAGATTGTGGACAGGCTGGAGCATTCGAATCGCCTTAAGCATCGAGCGTGTGGAGAGTGGAACGTTCTATTTCAGGGCAACTTGAAGTTGAGTGATTCGTTGTGATGGGGCTTAGCTGAGAATTTTTCGGAGGTTCAAGTTAGGGCTGATCACATCAGAGACAAAGTTGATGGCTGAAGATCTAGCAAGATTGGCGAATAGAGCATAGGAGCTCTGTAATATAAGAAAAGTCAAATTTGTGGCATAGATTCCATTAAGTTCAATGAAGAGCCCAGGCAGGAGGATCTCGATTCAAGTTCAGAATGAGTTCAGCTGTTCCTGGGTCGAGTTTTCGGTCATTCTAACCGAAAGGACTGAACGCAGCGAAGGGGCAATCGTGTTTGGGTTTATCCTTGTGATACCAGTGAAAAGGATGTAGACATATACCCCCAACTTGACATATCCCACCTGGGCGGTCGGTCAAGCCGTATCCCCTCCTGCTTCTCTGCTTCAGAATGAGAACTTGAACATATTCCGAGGGGAAAATGCCCGAGCAAATCTTCTCCACGACTTTGAATGACATCTCAAACGCATCGCCCATGCCGATGGTTGAGAGGGGGATCTGGGGAAAGTAGTTGAATTGTCTGCAGTGCCAGTGTAATGCCTGATTTGAACGAGTCAGTCATTTAACTTGGCCACAAAGAGAACACTCTTACTATTGTGGGGATCATCAAGAACTCCATCGCTAACTCCGAATAGGTGGGAAACGAAGTTCAAGTTCCTTGGATCTCAGAGATTTGGATACAAGATGGGCAGCTTTGGAGATTGACAGGAGCAAAAATCGAGGCAATGGGCCTTGCAAAACTACGAGTAGTATTACTGGTAAACATGACATCCATTAGGAAAGAGCATTCCTGATCACCCTTTTAGGAAGGTAATGCAACCCTCAGTCGCTGACGGAAACCACTCCAATTATTCACAAGGAAGGCGCGGGGCGGTAGAGATCTACTACTAGTACTCGTAGTACCGTGACCTAGGTATGTCTATTCCCTGCCCTAGTTGTTAGTATCCACCTACTCGGTTATGCATTTATTTTAACAAATGCTGTGAGATAAACAAATTTTGCGGCTCTGCTTTGCCTCGTATAGTTCGTGACTTGTACGTTCATAGTATACTGGCTGCGAATATTTCAGACCGACCCTCACCGAAGGAACGATGATCGACCTGGAAAAGAGACCCGGGGACACAACGCAACCCTGGCAGTTATTCTCCTTTCTGTGAGTATCAATCATAGTCATAAACCCATCTATAATGCCTGGCGCTCCGTGGCGATCTCAAGGATGCAACACATGCCGAAAGAGGAAGGTCAAGGTAAGTAAAGCTGGAGAAGGAACAGCAACTTGAAGACTGTCGCAGCAAGCCTAATGGTTCATTCCATAGTGTGACCTTCAACGACCCGAGTGCGCTCGATGTCTGCGGGGTGGCCATCATTGCAAGGGTTATGATCGAACAGCCAAATTCATCCATACATTTGTGGAACCCAATGATCCACAGACGCTTGAGATTCAGCAAAAGCCAAAGAGATCCAGGAACAAGTTACAGCCGCCACCCGCTAATGTTCCTACAATCGTCGTCGTCAATGTAAATGCTCAGATTCGGTCTCAATTATTTTCGGTATTCATTGATTCCTACGTACCGTCTTCCGCCTCGGGACAGATCTCATTTCGATGCCAAAGATCGTCCAATTTGATCGAGTCTTTCCCATCATTAATGGATCGACCGAGGAGTCAACTACTAGACAGAGCAATTGCGGCCCTTGCATCGGTTTTTGTGGGGAAGAAATTCAACGATGAGCGAATGATCAATAACGGAATCAGAATCTACAACCAAGCCATACAAATCTTCGTTCGTTTGATACCGCGCTCGGACCTTCCTGTTCAGGAGGTTCTCTGCGCCAACCTTGTATTCCAACTATACGAAGTGAGTCCTCCCTGCGTCTTAGTTTCATCAATTGAAGTATCTGACATTACCCAGCTTATTAACTGCTCATCTGGGTTTTCTGGGTGGATGGCACACATGGAGGGTGCCAATGCCGTTCTCGCTCGACATCATCAGAAACTGGAAGGAGACCAGATGTCCAAGATGCTGCTACGTCACCTGAAACTGGCAAATGTAAGTAGATCTCTATTTAATCGATTCCTAACTAACTCGATGTCCTAGATCTTTCATGCAATTGGAAAATCCAAATCTGCTCTAGCCTCTTGTCCGATGTGGCAAATGCTAACACCCCTCGAAAATGACAACGACCTGATCGACGAGATCATCGATATTCTAATGCATTGTACAGTCCTTGTAGAGCTTGTGGGTGGTGCGCGATCTGAGCGGGAGACTCGAAGACTGAAGAAATTATGCTGGAGACTAAAACACCGGACCGATTCGTGGTACGAACAATTACGATCATTATTCGGAGATCCCCTCTATACAAGCATTCCAGACGAAACCGATATTGCTCGTTCTGGAAGAATTAAAGCAATTTATACCAGTCGATACCAATTTCCCGCCGTGGAGATTGCCGAAGCACATTCCCTCTACTGGGCAGCTCAACTTATCACCTATTCCCTCCTTTTTGGACTCGAGCTCCTTGGGGGATCCTTCGCCCAGCACGGAACACCCCTCTCTATCCAATCAGGATATCCAAGCAACACAAACTCCAAAGAGTCTGAGCTATACATGGAAGAGGCTGAATTCTGCGCTGATCAGATCTGCCGTGGCGTGGCGTATTTGATACAACCAGACATGCACATACTCGGCGGAGAGAATTTGCTCTTCCCGGTAGCTATGGCTGCCCAGTTCTTCCATGGAAACGGATTCCATGATAAGTACGAATGGTGCCAGGAAGTTTTTATTGCGTTGGAGTCCCTTGGGATAGGTCTCTCTCACGTGTTGCAGGGAACACCATGGTCAGACTATAAATCCGGCCAAGCAAGAACATTATAATACATAGAGGAGAAATATAAAAAGAAGGCCAAGACAACAATTGTGGCAAACTCTAAACCAGCAGAATTGCGTATGAGGGACAGGCCGCGGCCATTACTTGCCTCACCAACCTGGACCACCGCCACCAGGGGGACCGGGGGGACTGGGGGGTCCATCATCTCCGCAGCAGCACTCGCAGCATTCAAAGCAGCAGAGACCAGCACAGCTAAATGGGAAGAAAAATTAGCACCAATGCCCGATATTGTTTTGCATGAGACTCGGATTTGAGAAATTGCACTCACATTCCGCAGCAGATACCCTCACCCGCACCTCCACCCCGCATATGAACATCCATAGATTGAGACGCTCCCTATCATAATGATCAGCTACTGAAAATTCCCCGGGGAAGAATTGAATCGGCTCTGGGCCAGGGTGCACATACTGGCTGCTCTGTGATAGTGTTGCTCATCTTAGGGGCCGATGGGCTGGTTGGTTGTTGCATAGTGACGGCATTGGCGTCCCACTTTCTCTCGGCGCTGGGCCCTTCGGCCGATTGGAACCAGTTCTTGATGGCTTCAAACATGATGTATAGACGGTGATATCTAGTAGATGTATTGAAAAGTGTAGTTTGGAGGATAACTAACAGAATTTAAATGCCTGCGAAATGCCGCCGACTCTCGTCCCTATACATAGATTCCGATTCCGATGCACACAAAGTCCCGAAATTCGATAGCCCAACCTAAACTCGAGACTATTCAACTATGCGTAAGTCTTGCCCCGGGACGCGTCATTCGGCGCTATCTTCGTCTCGAAGTGGGGCCGGCGTAGTGTAGAGTCGCGGGTAGGGCTGGGCCGGATTTGCCGCTGTGAATTTGCTTGCGTGTACTTTGTCGGGACTCTAAGAGATGTCCTCGAAAACTGTTCGGTATATGGCGATGAAATATGCATCTAGATAGAGCAAAATCCAAGGTAATCGGGGTAAAATTAAGATATAACGTGGTGCCGAACCTTAATTGAAGATCGACGATTGGCAATAGTAGCCGACTCAACGATTTCCTTGTCCCACATAGCCAGCGATAGTTTTATTTCTTTAGGCAACCGAATACTCCGCCGTGCCCAGTGAGCTTAGCACAACTCTTGGCATCACTATGAACCTTGGCGTTCCAGTTTAACAACTTGAATCCATTATGTATCCGATAGACCACGCCACCGAGGGGGGCGCATACGAGAACGTCACTGGCAAAGCCACGACGATCAACCACGTAGTGGATATCTCAGTTCCAAGCATTCATCTTCTAAAAGTAGTATTTAAGGGCCTGGGGTACATAGCATCCTCTTTTTCAATCACATTCTCAAATACCTTTACACATTTCAATATGGGTCTCTTCTCACACCACGATCACCACGAACATCATCACGGGCCTCCCCAGGGCGGACCTCCAGGCGGACCTAACCAGCATGGTCCCGGAGGACCTGGGGGCCCAGGGTTTGGAGGTCCTCAAGGTGGTCCTCAAGGTGGCCAAGGAGGATTTGGAGGACCCCAAGGAGGTCCCGGTGGCCCTCATGGCGGTCCCCACGGCGGCCCTGGTGGTCCTGGAGGGTTTGGAGGTCCTCAAGGAGGCCCCGGCGGTCCCGGTGGCCCTGGTGGCCATGGAGGTTTTGGAGGTCCTCAAGGAGGCCCCGGCGGTCCCGGTGGCCCTGGTGGCCATGGAGGTTTTGGAGGCCCCCAAGGAGGTCACGGCGGTCCTCACGGCGGTCCTCAAGGCGGTCCTGGTGGCCCCGGTGGTGTATGTACAAACGTCCTCTTCATTTATCAAGACCTGACTAACATTTCTGGACATAGCGTTGGTAAAGGAACTCAGCTTGAACGACTCGGAACAAACGCAGACATGAGATTGGGAATTGGGATGGGATAGGATGGGGTACATCCGTGATCACTGATCACTGATCAGCTTGATCAATTGCACATACTCCGCGGGCTTGTTGACTCATGTCTTTTCCTTTGCTGTACACCACATTTATCTCCCTCACACCTGCACCTGGCAGGGACGTGGGGTTTATACTATCCACTATATGTCAAATCACCCTTGGAAAGCCAAATGGAGATAACCAAGTATCATTTTTTATGATTTTCCATACCGGTAGGAACTAGGGTAGTAGAATGCAACGATAGTAGTCAGTTACTAATAGTAGTACTAGTATGTTTGAGAACCAGAATCCGAAGGGAACGAGAATCAAGTACTAATAGTAGTATCATATCATTATTAATTGAGATCTTCAGTAGCCTCCCTGTGTATTGCTGCTCTAACAATAAACACATTGAACGAATTGACTGGGGAGCGCAGAGAAAACAGAAACTAAACAAAAGAGGGTATTTGTAAACAGCACCAAAGGTCACAGACCTAGTTTGGTGCCAGGTAAAGGAAACAAAAACGCTGCAATTAATACCCAGTTGCCAAGCAGTCGAAGAATGAATACAAAATCAGGGCTTTCATAATCATCAATATGCTGCGGTACCAAGGGTGATACAATTGTAAAAAGGAAAATAGAGTAGAAAAACGCTCAGAGTTGGAGCCTAGGTGATTTGCCGCTCTGAGGAACAAGTTTGCGTCGTCGTTGATGGCCTGTAGTGTCCTTACGTTTTTGACGAGTCCTGATGTCTCGCCACCAACGAGTGATAACCTCCGTTGCCCAGAGAACCTCACTCTTGGTTTTAACAACAGCCGCGCAGTTGGCAGCAAGATAATGTGCTTTAGCGCGGCGCTGGGTATCTCGCCGGCCCAAGTGAGCTCGCCATGCGCGCTGTAGGACAGTGGCCGCCCGTGTATGCTTTGAGGCGGAGAGTAATCGAGAACATAGAAATGCAAGAGCACCAAGAGTCAAGCTACGGTCGAGAATATGAGAAGATAGTCTCTGAGGAGAGACAAGTTGTGCTGATCTTTATTAGCGCATCCAGAAAATAAATCACCTTCCCGAGCTGACCTACCGAATTGAGAGCTACATCCTAATAGTTTCAGACGCGACTCTAGTGAGAGAGAGCGTAGGGTAGCTGTCGTTCTGCGACCAGTACTTCCGGTGATGTATGGCTCGTATTCATCGACAATGCTTTCGTAAACCTTCCCGTTGGCGAAGCCCGTCGTCATATTGGTAATGGATAACCCTTTCAACATTGCCAGGATTGAAGCCCACTGTTGAAGCATCTGAGCATGTTCATCACCATCGAGTTCGTCGCCGGTGAACCAAATTTCGTTATGGCATCTATCGTATCCGAATAGAGAAACAGCTTTCCGTTTGAGTCTTACAATCTCCTTGGTGGTATCTTCCCAGTCGACCAGACCGGCCAGGCCCCACTTGCTAACGAGCGCCCACAAGAGAGCAATTGTTTTCTCACGATAGCCGTCCACGATGTCTTCAGCCCGAATATCGTGCAAGAACGAGTCAGAACCTTTTATAGAGCTCAAGGCAGAAAGTGCCATTTGCACATTGTAAACTTTTGCGGCTCTGCTGGCGCACGGGTATTTGAGATGCTTTGATAGAGGCAAGTCAGTCTCATCGCCAAGTAGTGACAAGGCTTCTCCTGTATGCAACGTGACCTCGGCTAGATCTTCGACATTAGATCGTACATGTTCCGAAGTAAAGAAAAGCACTTCAACAATTCGTGTCAGCCGAACGCCATCCCTGAGATCCACAGCAATGTTGTTCATCTGATAGTTGTACTCTTCCAACTTGTGTTGCTTGTATGTCAATTGGCAGCCAAGATGGCTCAAAGGCTTAGCAATGTCACCGCAAGAAGGTAGTAACACACGGGCTAAAGCCTGAATCACTTCAGTCGAAGATTTATAGGGAGAATTGGGCGCAAAGAGCTGCCGAGGAAGACTTGTGCCGCGAGTTTGTTTTGCATGGTCTAAAATAACAACAAGGATGATGCTGCGGAGCACGGTTCGACGATAAGCTCTCGCCCGAGTCTCCATTGGGATATCCCTAGAGCCAGGCACCATGTGATCCATGTCATCGTTGCGAAGTAGAAACGAATCAAGAAATCCTTCGAGCTTGCGAATGATGACTTTACGCCCTTTCAAAGTCTTTTCATCGGGCCCGTCAGAGTCACGTTCAAGAAAAGTAGGTCTGTTAGAAACCTTTCGACCGACAACCGTCTCCGCAGCAGCCACTAAGGAACGGAGGTCGTATGATTGAACCCATATGTCGAGAAACTGTCGGCGAAGACCGACATCCTGTTGAAGGCGACCGTACCGGGTGACAAGCTCCTTCGGAATACTCAAAGTTCCACATGATAATGACGCCTGCAGTCTTTTGTGAAGCTGGGCGAAAAATTCGGTATGGTATATTTCAAGCATCTCCAATCGAAGAGTATCAGGTCCACACGAAGTTGAATCACCGTTAGTACATTCTAGCAAAGAGTTGACGAGTTGCGTGATGACAGTCTCCTGGTGGTGTAGCCAATTGTCCTCGTACAGAGCAGGTTTCGCGGTATTCTCGATCAACATTGGATACTCGCGGTTGAGGTTCTTGAGTTTTGAGGAAAGACTTCCAACTTTAGAAGATTGGAGTGATCTGGAGTGGCTAGAGGTGGTAGAGGCGTGAGCATTAAGAGACAGCGAGCTCTTCATTGTTTCCTTCGAGCTAGCCCTGCTAGCCTTTTCTCGAGCAGAGGGTGACCGGGACACCGGGGAATTGTTCTGCCTCTCTCTCAGAATACCGCGGGCAGGTGCATTCTGCCTCGGCGCTTTTGTGGAAGGCTGGATCGCTTTGGCTGTTCTCGCCCGCTGGTCGATATTATGTCGAGTAGAATTCGAGTTAGAGACAATGCTAGCCCGTTTTGGTTTTGGTGGAAACTTTGATTGGGGAGTGTGCTTTTTCTCAATGTCGGCAAGTAGACCGGGTGGAATGTTTTCTTTTCCACCATTCTTGCCAGCAATATCTACTCGTATGGCAGCCTCCTGTGCAATTTTCGCGCTCGGCTGTAGAGGAGCTCTGCGAGCAGATACCGCCATCGATTTTCGAGCTTGGCGCTTTGCAATCTTGGCCTCTAAAGTGCTGACCTGGGTGTCTTCCGGCGTCCTTGAAAGCGTTGTGTTTTGCTGCTTTTTAAGCGGACTGAAGAGCCCCATGAAAACGCTAGCCACGGTGGTGTCATCCGGGGGGATGTAGACAGTATTTCGTCGTACATCTCTCTTTAATGCATCTTTGTGCTCATTTTTGTTGTTGGTATGATGGATGTCGTTGGACTGAGCGACGGTCTTATAGTCGGTCTCCGTTTCATGCTGTTGCGTCTTAGGTTGAACTTCGATGTCTTTCTTATCTGGACGGGAGGGCGGGCTTGAGGCGACGTTGATATTCGGGCGAAAACGTTGGGCTGGCTGAGCAAGCAACGATGATTTGCGTCCCGAGGGCGACTTTGCCAAAGTATTCGGTCTTTTGCGTTTCTCTGCCGGACCGACTGGCCTATTCGTCACATCGCCATGTATTTGGAAAGCTGGGCCGGTACGATTAGCCCGTCGGGAACGAGCCCCAGTCAATATTGGGCCACGAATCTCGGCGGTGAATTCAACTTGTTCCGTAGCTTCGAAGGCCAAGTTACTACCGATGACGCTGTCAAATGTCTCACTGCCACCATACGAGGATCTCGACCTCGATGGGCAAGGAGTGAAAGCTTCCCCGAGGATCCCGGACATGGCGTAGAGATAACCGGTGGCTGCAAGTTAGAGGTGTGGGGGTGATCTATGGATGCATAGATAAGATGAGGAGGAGGAGCTGTGGAGGTAGGTCCCCTGGGTAGATATGGGTGGGCAACCCTTGCAGGATGTTGATCTCGGGGAGAAGCGGTGAGTTGAGTTTGAGTGAGTGTCTTTGGAAGTTCGAAATAGAAGAAGGAATAGAGATTATGACCAGCGAATTTGAAGATAATATCAAGTTTGAGTGACACGACGCGACAATCGCCCACGCGCAGCCCCGCGTGTCTGCGTGCCTCGCCGTGGCTGCCCATTTTGATTGGATCTGTTGACAATCGCCGTTGTCCAGGGCAACTGTGATTACCTCATCACCGCGGGGCATTAGTCACGTGATAGTCATAACTTGGTCCCTTCCTAAACGGGAATAGCTGTCTCACGTGTGATTAGTCATTATGAACGTTCTGCACAAATCCTAAGTACACTACTAGTATTGAGTATAGGTATCTTCTTCCGTACCTGAGTATATAGTATAGTAGTTTACACCCTGTATGAACAATATGTACTTGCTGACAAGAAAAGTGAAATCTAATATTCGTTAGTTATGGATCGGATCCACCGGGCAGTGTACAGTACCTTTACTTATGTACGGAGTACTGCCTGCACTAAGGGTTCGCCGCGGACTCCGACGCAGGTACTTCCGTACTGGTCAGGTCTGGCCTGGTCCCCCCTGGTCCTCCATACTGCAAGGAAAGTTCCCTGCAAGTCTACCAGTAATCCAGTTGATCATAATATTAGAATGTGGTCCAAGAGCCATCTTTCAAGCAACCCGTACCAATCACAATTTAAGAATATCCACGTCCAAATGCAACAAAGCCAACCATGACATCGCGAAAAGGAGGCGAGTGGGTCCTGCCCTAAATTAAACTCTCGTGACCTCTCCTTTCCCCAGACATTCAACGTGGCCTGCTAACTTACATTCCTTGTCCGTTTCACTTATCTATGACCTCAGCTCAGCTTTCTTTGTGACTGGAGAGTGTTGCCCGTCTGACAATGTGCCAGTAGGCGCGCGCCTTACCCCGAAACCGTTACCGATCCCGACCCTCGTTCCCCACGCCACCACTCCTTCTGATCATCACCTCACCAACGCGCCCGCCCCTCCTCCGTTCCATTCCTTGTTTCGCTGCGGAATGAGTACTGGCCATGGAGTCCCTCATATATGAAAATTCGCCTTTGGCCGATTACCTCCAGGGTTTGTGTCTTCCCCGCCGCGCAGACACACCACCGCAAAGGTTCACAGAGGCTGACTTACTTTCAGGAGAGGGAGACCAAGAGGAGAGCTGGCCCGTGGAAGAAACACTCAGTGAGGACGAACAAGCAGCACAGTCTACAAACTTTGCCCCGCGAGGAGCGTCACGCTTTCAAGACCGAGTTCGGAATAAGCTGCCAAAGCCACTGGACCTGAAGAATACGCGTCAGGGAGTGGTTGTTGAGAAGCTCTACGACGCTTGCTCGGTATGATCCTTCCATTGCCATCGTCTAGTCCTCTGTCTCGAAGATGAACTAACGGAGCTACTTGCTAGTCCGCACTCAATGCTCGCCTCGGCCGAGGTGACAATGAGAGATTCTTGGAACAGTTCGGATACGTTATTGTCGCTTCTCAGCTTTTGAACGAACACAGCGCCCCTTCCTATACATCGGCCGCCGATGTTGCGTCCGCGTCGCAACCCGCAGACCTTCCTTCTCTATCCACAACATTCGGACTTTATGGTGCCGTCGTTACAGCCGCGACCTCTTTTTCGATCGTATGGCTACTCCACTGGGGACGCTCAAAGACAGGATCTGGGATCAGCCTCCGAAGATTCGGTGTTCTATTAGTTCTAGTTCCCGTGCTGGGTGTTTTATTCTACGCCTTTGCCAAGAGACAGTGGCTCAAGTTTCTGAGGCACCAAGCGGTGGATGCTGCAGGGACCTTTGTTGGAAACGCACAAGGATTCGACTCGGCTGCATCGGCCTCGGTGGTCTTCATTCAGGAAGTGGAGCTCGTTTCAAGAGGATATAGGATGTAAGATGATCCCCACTTTCATACTTGCTGGAATGCTTATTGACGATCTTTTCAGAAGCACCCCCTTGCCGCCAATCAGTCGGTTCGAAGATCAGGTCCAGACTCGACGCTGCTTGCGACTTCGCCGAGCTGTGTCAGAATGCTTCTGGTCAATGCTTGATCGCTATGTCCAGTCGCAGAATACTTTGCGACCACTAAGTGACGAAGCTAATTTGGCTAAATATTATGATATCTACGACATTGCGCTGGATGATCTCGAAGTGATCGAGGCCAGTCTCTCCCATCGAAATATGGATGATCAATATTCACTGCGCTCTTTACGAGATCTCTTTGGCAAACTTTATAGCATGAGAAAGAGCGTCCTATGCTGTCTGCTTGCACTGAGTGCCGATGGAGGTGGCTCAGATATTACGAGATGGAGTGCCGCTGTGGAGGAAATGCGCGAACTTGCTGCAGTTACAGGGTTGAGTATGACCAAAATGTCTAATATACTCAACGAAGAGGATAGTGAGTTCCCCCTCTCCACTTCTACCCCGATCTCCGGCTGATCTTTCGCAGGGGATACAATTCCTCCATCTCCTCTGCCCTCGATCTCTCCAAGCAAGGAGCACATGCGCGCGCAATTCCGGCGACTCAACTCCTTGTCACAAGGCGTCCGATCCTTGCATGCAAAGATGCACATTATATGCGAGGAGACCAATGCCACTATGGACCACTCTGACCCCAATGACTTCGAGACCACGCTTCTTGCACAGTACGAGGCAATTGGAAGCGATCTCCGAGGACTGCTCCAAGAGTGGGAGACGAGCAAAATTGCCATCATCCACAGCCAAGATCGCCTCAGTGCCACCGACCGCTCGCGGCCTTCAAGCACGACCTTGCCAGTATCGCCCACGCCTAGCCTTGGTGGTGTCACGGCGGTTGAGGGTAGCCCTACTGACGCTCTTAAAGCCTTGAACGGTGACTTCCGGCCGGACCTCACTCACAGCTTTGATGATGAAGAAATATTCGAGGCTGTCGTTCTTCCCACTTCACGAAATAAAAGAGCATCGCTGACTCGGGATGAGCGCCTGGCGCGTGTCCGAGAAGAACGTGTGAGACAAGCAACCGCTCGAGAGAAAGTGGACGCCAACACGAATATGCTCAAGGAATTGGAGATGGTCATCAAACAACGCCCTGGCAACAATTCTTCCAAACGAGTGACAAGTATTTAGGCGACTGCTAGCCTTTCTGCAGCGAACATCGCCCTGCTGTCCTCACTTCCCTCCCGAACCAATGTATGGCTGTTGAATAGCCACCGATTGGAACTGTAACGATACCCTTAATGACCAACATAGAAGGAACCCGGCGAATACGGAGTTTTCAGGGATTCTATTTTTATTTCTTTTTTACTTTCTTTTGTGCACTCCCTATCCAGGACCTATCGATGGCCTGTTCTTTTGACTTCTTTTGTACATCTACAGAGCTCTAGCTCGAATTGTTTTCGCTGTTCTCATATTCAGGTGCTGGGTATTTGGATTTGACTATTGTGTATATTCTCTTTCTCAATTCTTTGATTTTTACTTTCTTTCAGTAAACTAAGGACTCCTATAGTTGGTAGCAAACAGCAATATTTTACTATAAGGCAGAAGTAAAATTGATGCCTGAGGAATCACGCTAACCCAAAGAGGGCATATCGTTTGACGCGGTCGCGGCGCGCGCGTCCCCACACTCGAACGCGATTTGTCTTATATTCAGACCGCTGTCCTTTCTGCCTCTGTCAATCACTCTTCCACGATCATCTTTCCCTGTTCATCACTGTCAAGTCGACGCTACTTCCCGCCTACCCCCCCGGAATCTCTTTACTGTTCATCTAATACCCCTCACAAATACCCCTCTTCACAAGTGCGTCCAGAAATTCCGATTGTGTGCGAATCCTAACTAACACACTGAAAACAGTGTTGGAAGCCCGCCTCGAACAAGCCAGTCTGCTGAAGCGCGTAAGTGATACAATACGAATAAATATCGTATCCTTCGAATGATAACTAACACTCTTGCCATTAGGTCGTCGACGCGATCAAGGACCTGGTCCAGGACTGCAACTTCGACTGCAATGACTCTGGTATCGCCCTCCAGGCCATGGACAACTCCCACGTTGCCCTGGTCTCCATGCTTCTCCGCGCAGAGGGCTTCTCCCCATACCGCTGTGACCGCAACATCGCCCTCGGTATTAACCTTGGCTCCCTGACCAAAGTCCTGCGTGCCGCCCAAAATGAAGATATTCTGACTCTCAAGGCGGAGGACTCCCCCCGATGCCGTCAACCTGATGTTCGAGAGCGCTGAGACCGACCGTCTGAGCGAGTATGATATCAAGCTTATGGACATTGACCAGGAGCACCTGGCCATTCCTGAGACTGACTACGCCGCGTCCGTCGAGATGCCCGCTGCTGAGTTCCAGCGCATCTGCAGAGATCTGAACGCACTGTCCGAGTCTGGTAAGTGAAGTGGTCGACTGATAATGGAGATCGCGTGACAATCGTTGTGAACGACGTACTCATGTTTTTCTTCTCCTCCTAGTTGTCATTGAGGCCAGCAAGGAGGGTGTCAAGTTCTCCTGCCAGGGTGACATCGGTAACGGCTCCGTTACCATTCGCCAGCACACCAACGTCGACAAGCCCGATCAGAATGTTACTATCAACCTCTCCGAACCCGTCGCCCTGACCTTCTCCCTTAAGTACCTTGTCAACTTCTGCAAGGCCTCCAACCTCTCCTCTTCCGTCACACTCCACCTTTCCCAGGAGGTTCCTCTGCTCGTTGAGTACAGCCTCGGTAGCGGTCACCTGCGCTTCTACCTGGCGCCTAAGGTACAGCCCCGCACTCGTCCACATATACGAACCAGACTAATTCAAATCTACAGATCGGTGACGAGGAGTAAAGGACATGACCTAGTCAGTCTAGAAAATACCACACGACGCCCCTATGATAATGGAAAACCTCTGATGGTGGCAATGAATTCTTTTTTTTCTGCGATGTGTCCCGGGAATAGAAGGGACGGCATATTTTTCCAACGATTATTTCGAAATACAATTCGAGCGGTCTAATTTCACTAGGCTTACAAGCTACACCACATTTTCTCCGTATAATTTACAAGTAAAAGTTAAATCCTCAAGCTTCACATAGCTGCTAGACAATTGATTCGTTATTTGAGAGGAAAAAAATGTCTCAAAAATGTCTAGGTCTATGGAACAAAGAAAGCCTACGCGGCAGTCCACTTCAGTTTGTTTTCATCAAGCAAAAACATCCCAAACAGATCCCCCCCCAACATCACCATGACCAACTCGAATCCTAGAAGGAGACCTAGTAGGAACACGGCCCGCAACCCACAATTAGCAAGTCGCCAAAAAAAAATCCATCCAATTCAGCCCCACCCGACGCAGCGCACAGCGCACACGCCAAAGAAATCCGGCAGGAGAGAACAAAGGGAAAACTGACCTGGGAAGAAAAAAAAGTGAAGCACCACCCCCACCAGAATGATCGGAATCGAATGATACCATCCTCTCCCCCTTTATCCCGAAAGAAAAAAAGAAGAAAGAGGAGATAGGTATGCTGCGTATTGCACTAAAGTGTTTTCACACACAATCTCCGCACCGACTCTCCCATGGGGAAACCACCAGCCAGAAGCCAGTGCCCCGATGTTTCTGATGCCGAGTGCAGGTGTAGATCACACCAGGCCCTCGCGGGCAGTACCGGCGCCCATTCTTCCGGAGAAGAGTGGGCGTGGGTTGGATGTTGAAGATTCCTCCGAATTTCTCATTTGCGAGTGGTCTCGGTTGTGAGTTGGACTCACCAACCGAGGACAGGGGACGGTGTCCTCCTGCCGTGTGTAGCAAAGAAACGCAGCATGATGGGGGTGGTGCTTGGAGGAGAAAGAAGAAAGAAGTTGTGACTCCGTTTGAGAATTTGTCGTGTATGATGGGTAGACCGCCTTCTATTTCTAGTATTAGTCGGAGATTTACTGCCGGGCAAGCACAGTCGAGTGGAACTGTTTTGACACTTTTTTTTTTCTTACTAGTATTTTATGCTTTCAATTTCTTTGTTTGGAAAAGAATTATCTCTCTTGGCTGTGTACCTCCTTTCCTCGTGAGATTTATCGTAGATTGTCATTGTGTTTGTAATAGTATGTGACCCCGAGGTCAGAGTCGGCTTGTCAGTGCAGGCGAGATCTCCTCAAATGAACGAACTATATACTGCTGACCTTCAATCTTCACCTTGCTCCCCGGAATCCTCCAGGAGCCTGTTCCTTCCCCATCAAACCTACCGGTTCGAGTCATGGACGGCAGATTCGTTCCATTGACCCCTACCACATATCGATCCTTCCACCCCGAGCACCATTCTTCTCTTCTGACACTGACATCAGCACCACTTTTACTCACAACCCAGTTTCCCTTCGAGTCTTTCGTTCGCTTATGGATCTGAGTTTGCTGGAGAACCAGATATGTTCCCCAAATCCGACCCAGAAATGTCTTAGTCACGGTCGTCTCCCCTCGCTCAATTCTCCATCATCCGACTCAAGAACCCAGGACATGCCCCTCTTCGCGCCTTCAGGTCCTTCACGGAATGGAAGTTCTCTCCATATCTCTTCGTACTCGGTCACAGGAGCACCTGGCCGATCAGCCCGAGGCATCGACCCAGTCTCAAGGTCATCGCCATTTGGAAGAGTGACAAAGGTGCCACAGTCGGCACTTTCAAAAGAATTCTGAGAATCAAGCTCATGGGTGAAAGATACTTGGACTAGAGCTATATAAGCTTTGGATTTCGAAACAATTTTCGGAGATCTGGGGATTGGGAACGACGAACGGGGTTCTTGGCTTTCGATGAGCCTTTGACCGGCAATCGCCCAGCCTATCTTGCCTGTTGACTTTTCCATTCGCAGATCAAGATACCACTCGCCCACAGACATGACGATTGTATCTGTTGTCTCCTGGGCTGATTCCGGAAGCCATCGAATTGAAATGCGCGTGGAAAAGCGACATGCTGAAACAGGAGCTTCAGAGCTTGTCATGGTGAATAGAGAAATCGGAAGTGAGGGTTATTTCCTTTGATTGGACCCGGAAATCCTGGGAATTTATGATGGAAAATGAGACGGCGAGTTCCAACGGGATTTGGCGATTCCAAACTGTCCCCGATCGATGCACTAGCTCCAGTTGTCAAGACAAATCGGGTATCTGGAGGAGATGAGGGGGTCCCCGCTTCGCGATTGCGCTGCGACTGCCCGCCCGCCTCCGCCTACTATAAACGCCCCCTCACGATACCGACCACTTATCCTTCCTCGCCAGTGACTGCTAGAATGGGAAGAGATAAAACCTGTGTTCCAAGAACTTGCCGAATCGATACTCATTGGGCATGATAATATGTTTATATCGACTTCATTGACATGCATGATGTCAATAACAGCCCTGGAGGATTGAACAACTACGGGATTCTTAATGAAGTAAACATGGTATATCACTACCTACCTATATACACTAAATGTAGAGCAAATCGTCAATAATATCAGCCATCGAGCGCATCGCTACTACTACTGCAGGGCTTGAAACTTGAACCTAGATGGGCGAAAATACGAGCTTGCATGTCTGTCCCTTGGGCCTGGAAGAGATAATTTGATCGTCCAGTTCCATCGATCCGGTCATATCGGGAGCAACAGTGGTCTCAAATCGAGAGTAAACCTCCCTCAGAAGAGTCTTCATTTCCACCAAAGCCAGACTGCTCCAGGTTAGAATCTTGTAAAGAGGCAAAGAATAGTACAATCTCAACTTACTTCTTCCCAGTACACCCTCTCCCTCCAACTGCGAAGGCAAAGAAATTCCTATTTCTTTCAACTGCTCCCTTCATCTCAAGCCATCGGTCTGGATAAAATCGATCCGGCTCTGCAAATACATTTTCATCGCTGCGATGGACACTGTAGGGCTGACAGCTAACAATAACATGAGCCGGAATATAGTAACCGTCAATAACACGTCCACCGGGTGGCACATATCGTGGCAAAGACATTGGAATCGGCGGAGAATAGCGCAGTGCCTCTTTGATCACCGCATCTAGATAGACGAGGCTGTCTAAAGGTGATTCCACGGGTGCATTCTTCAATTCCTGCTGCAGTCGTCGTTGAAATCCCATGTTCTGTGGTTGAGAAAGTTCCCACATCAAGAAACAAAGCCCATCTCCAGTTGTGTCAATGCCTGCTGCCATATGATCTTTGCACTCTGCTGCAGCTTGCATGGGCTTGAGATTGGACTCCTCTCGCTTAAGCTTTTCCAGCAAACTGTGGCCATCCAATTCAATTTGATCAGTCATGTCCAGGACATACTGGTTTGCTTTGGGAGCGCTGCGTGGGTGAAGAATTTTCGGGAAATATGGCTCCAGCCCGGGGAGATAATAGGCTAACAAGCTTTCTATACAGGGGTTAGGATATTGTTTTCTATATTCTTGACGATCAAGCACGGTACAACTTACTTTGCAGGCTTTGGTGGTAGGTCAGCTCCTGCATGATCTCAAAATCCTTCTTTACGTTCAAAGATTTGAGTCCCCCAGGGCTAAACATAAAATGAGTAACGCAATCCAGTGCATAGCAGTGTAACAACACCTAGTATAATTAGCGGCATCGCTCTAGCAGACAATTATGGAAGTGCTTACATAGACGTCCACGCTAGTTTTGCCTGCGTCTGCACACTGCGCCACAAAAGTCATCGCGCGTTCATGGATGGCCGCCAGAGGCTTCGCTTTCATGACGTTAGTCATGGCGTAGCGCTCAGCAAAAAGACGTTTTCTCTTGCTGTGCTATGGGAAGTTAATGTCGAGATTTTCCATCTCCGCCAGGAGTCAAATTACCTCATCTTTAGGCAATGTAGAGAACATCGTCTTAATTTTGAATTGCTTGAACAGGGTATAAAACTCCGTCTTGTCATAGCCACTGCCGCCAGAGGCATATATTTCCTTTATCGAATCAAGGCTCGTGAAGGAGACCTCATTAGGCCCTAGTCGTACGACAGGGCCATATTGTCGATGGAGATGATGGACTGATTCTCGACGATTTGCTGTGAACTCTTGGTATTTGATCCATAGACTTGTGAACCGTGTGTACCAAGGTCCTGGTATCTTAATCAAGGGTGCCCGGAATCCTGGGCCAATATAATACCCGATGAAAAAGATCAATACTGCCCAAATAGCCAGCATGGTGGTTTAATTCATAGGATCGGACTTGATGAAGGGAAATAATGGTTGCGAAATATGAGGCATCACTGGGCTTCAAGCAGCCGGGTCGCTCATTTATAGACAAAAGCTTTTCTGGGAGAGGGACTCAGAACTTGCTAAATAATTGATGGCTGACAATTAAAGTATGCCGACCCGGCGAGGTTAGTCGGTTGTTGACGAGGAGGGGTGCGGGGAAAGCAAATAAGACGCGCTGAATGGCCCGGGATCGGCCTGATAACCTGAGCATGACAGAAAAGGTAACTGGAGGAGATGTCTAAGCCAGCAGGACTACTTGACTCAAGTTTTTTATCTAGCTCGGTCTTCTAGTAGGCACATAGTCCACTACCTTGTTGATGTTTGGATCTTGAAGTGGTGCCTGCATATAATTTAAATTTATCAGCTACCTAGGTATGAAGATAAAATTGGGTGTTACCATCCGTGGTCTCGCTAAACTTTTGCCTGTGTCTTCATTATCGCCCGTCAACGCTTGAAGAACCAAATTACAACTCCACGGTTTCCGAGTCATCATCGTCAGAGCTTCGATTATCGGAGGATACAATCTATCTGGTACTGCTTTCCAGACGAGCATCCTGTAGGTCTTTTGGATGCCAAAATTTGAGCTCGAGATTATTTGTTTCCAACCTTGGAAGATTTATAACTTGAACGGGGCTCCAAGGTTAATGGCGAAAATCTGCCAAACTGTATCGATTACTTCATAGAATGGCATGTTACACTTGAGAACAAAGTAGTGGTAAGGGACACCGAAGAAGACCTGCCAGTATTGTCTATATGTTCCTCCCCACTGAGCGCTTAACTAAATAGTATATTCATGAAGACTAAAGAGTTAGCCGCAATCCTGGAACAAGCCTTCCAAGGTTAGGGTCAACTTGAAGGTCAATGCCAAATGGAGATTGGATATCGGCGTTCGACTGAACGGGTGATCTTATAGGCCCAGAGCTAACTTATTCTTGATTGGTTAATCGGCGTTAGGCCCCAGCCTGACCCGCTTTTATCGGCGATAATTGGGCAGGTCCGAAAACGAAGATCGAAAGGCGAATATGATTGGGAATTGTAGTGTTGTCCATTGAATCAAATGCGTCATATTTGCCAAATAGTCTATGGTAAACCATTGGGGGGGCCTTTTGCCGCGGCATAACGCCGATGACCTTTGGTTATTTAAACCGGGCGACATTTGATGATCAGCCCTGGAGGAACATTAAATCTTTACAGTCAAACTTATACCAATAGCCAGTTCTTATTGAATCAAATTCAAAATGCCTTCCCATGGTCAATATACCACTGAAAAAGTCGAATATATCTCTCATGGGGAGACTGTCAGTGGTATCTTTTTTCGTCCCACAAACGTCACAAAACCACCCGGCGTCGTTATCACCGGTCCATATTCTTTTGTGAAAGAACAAGCGCCGCTGCAATACGCAACTCGCCTCGCAGATGAAGGCTACGCTGCATTAATCTTCGACCCCCGCACTGTTGGTGAAAGCACTGGCGAACCCCGGCGACTGGAAAATCCAAAAATGAAAAATGAGGACATGGTCGCAGGACTTGACTACCTATCGGCACGCGACGATGTCAATCCAGCCCGGCTCTTCTTAGTCGGGATCTGCCAGGGAGGCCCTGAATCCTTGGATGTGGCATCCTACGATGACCGAGTTACAGGCGTGGCCTCGGTCTCGGGATACTATCGAGACCATGAAACCGACATCTACATGATTTGCGCTGGGTGTGTTGCATGGACGCCCGGTGCGGATATCGCGAAAATGAAAATGCCCACTCCCGAACAGGGAGAAGCCCTGTACAAAGCACGACTTGAGCGAGCTAAACAAGCACGTGAATTGTACGAAAAGACTGGGGAAGTGGTGTATCAACCACTGGTTGATCCGACGCCCGCTGACCCTGATACCGGATCCCTAGCCGGTCTTCCAGGGCCAGTCGTTTGGTCCTGGTATGGGCCGTGGACATTGAAGGGATTCGAGAACCGATACGCGGTGATGAGCGACTTGGACCACTTTGACTATACCACCGTTCCCGGTGTTGCGAAGCTGAAAAAGCCGGCGCTGCTGATCCATGGCGACAACTGTATGAATGCGGCGGCCGCTAAGCGCCACTACGAGTCAATTCCCACAAGTCAGAAAAAGTTGATCTGGAACAATGAGGTTTCCCACTTCCAGCACTATGATCAGCCGGATTGTGTTGATCGCAACGTGGGGGATATTGCGGCCTGGTTTGCGGAGATCAAATAGAATGCAATTGACAAGAGCTATTTTCAATGATTGAACTCGTTCATCACACCCCAGAAGCTAGCATCTGAGAAGGTGCCTTCAAAGTACCAATTATCTGTAACGTTTATAGCAAGTGGATCCAAAGACAAAAAGTTGGGTGTATCCATGAAAGGGATGGGGGTGCTTGAAATATGATCGAAGAACAGGTCATGGGTTGGGTGCGGAGGTAGAACAGCATCAAAAGAGGGTTCCGACGGTGCATCATTAGAGTTAGCTGTATCGCTATTGGGGGAGATCCATTCTGAGTTGCTGAGAAGTGCCCTAGTGTTCTCGGTTACCGAGATACCGAACCGATGTCTTAGGCGATGGTACAAGCTGCAGGCGACACCATGTGCCGACTTTGCCATGGAATTGGATTGACCAATGATGTCCAGCATTTGTATCCCTCGTTCAACAACTTTGATACACTCTGTTCGTCTTTCGTCATCCTCATTCGGAAAGACGAGCCAGCGTGCTGAAATGAGAACAATCGCATCAAAAGAAGCGTAGACCGGATTAAACACCTTGCGCTGGTGCGGCTCCGACTGATGAAATAGCCATTCCTGTGAATTAAGGATATATATTCCAGCTTTAACGGCTTCTGTGCGACTGTTGACAACAGAAAATATGAACGGTCGATGAAGTGCGAGAAGAACAAGGTGGATGAGCGAGAACAGCCCTTTTCGGGCAACTGGTAGCCATTCCAATCGATCAAACTTCGTATCTGGATTTTCTAAACGGCACCAGGAGGGCAACAACTTTATATCATTCTTGATTGCGGCGTGAATACGTTCGACCAGTGGGTAATCTTGAGAGTTAGCACCGTTATGTTCCATCTGGTGAATGTCCTTGAAATATCGATAGGCCACATTATAGCCGGCGAGGATGATGTCAAATGGCCGAGGAAGCTCAGTCTCGGTTTGCCAATGCGCGAATAAATCTTCTCGTCTTTCATTGTCCTCTATTGTTTCAGAGAAGCGATCTATTTGGAGATCAGTGGATATTGGTCGACCGAGAACGACAGCCATATGGACGTCCCAAATATGCAAGACGACCCAGACTTTGTGACCAACGAGACTGACATTTTGTCTCTCACGCTTCGGCTCAACTGGAGATTGTTCGGATACAATTCGCCCGGTATGTAGGCCAATTTCCTGTGCATCGCGGATTGTTATGCCAAGCGCATGCCAGGCTTCAACAACTTTGCCGCTACTTTTCAAAAAAGAGGCACGTAGTAAACCTGCTTGTACCATTGCGATTTTGATATTCTTTTTCCCCAGAAGTGCGAGAAACTCAGCGCCTGTATCACTATATTCGGCCCCAAGATCATGGAACGTCATACCAGCCATGGTCATGAGAGAATTAATCATTTCATCATGGGGAGGGTGAAACAGGAGGGCGTGTGCAAGGACTTGAAACAGTAGTGCTGGAAACACAAGGGTCTCTTGCGCCAATCCTCCAAAGCTCGTTTGAAGGTCAGAGTATGAGATCCTTCCCCATGCCTCCAAGCGTTCCTTAAAGGATGTCTCATCAAGCAGGTCATACTGCCAATTGATTCTGGAGAAGAACGTTTGGACCAAGGTGTTGATGCAAGCCTGCGAAGGCAGCCGACGGACTAATTCTTTATAGTTTCGGTCGGCATCGTTTCGGAAAGGGGACTGGTTTGTGGCAGAGAGGTCAACTAAGCTAGTATCCTGACCTCCATACAGCTCCGCGGTTCGTAATAGGCCCATGGAGTTGTAATTGCCATGTTTGGAATATCCTAGGTCTCGGATCTTGTCCTGAAATTCGCTAGCCCCCTCAGGGCGCGGTCTAGCAGGTGGGCACAGATGCACCATATCGGTGTTACCGCTGATTTCCGAGGGACCACTCTCGCCGGAACCGCATCGCGTGGCTTGACCTCCCTTCGATCCAGCGTCATAATGGCAAAGATCCTGCGGTCGCCAATTAGATCAAAGGCGGTGTTGCGTCTAGAAGTATGAATACCTGCGCTTCTCGCTTAATGCAGTTGCAACATGGATACTGGCGATCGCACTATTCAACCTTTAGTAAATTTCTTGTTTGGCACTTTCGTGGGGGCTTCCTACTTTTTGCTTGCGTCGATGGCATTCACTACAAGATATGACAACTCTCCTCCTTTCTTGAGGCTTGCGTTGTTTGGTATTGAGGTGCGCCCTTGACGGGGCTAGCCTCGGTGCCATATTGCACAACGATTCTAGCGGTTCTCGGATTGTGCTGAAAAGGATAGATGCCAGGGTATGGAGGGAGGGGCACCGAGGTGGGAGTGTATTAGAAGTTTCGTGTAAAATACGATATTAATAGTCACCCTCGGCTGTATACGGGTTAGCGTCGTTTCGGGTACGGGCCGAGAAACAAAGTGCGTATGTTTAGTGTGTTTAAGGTGTCCAATGCAGTATGGAATGATAAAATCTGTTTTAGAAATTTCCACTGTATTCCCGAAGACTATGCCGAGCAAATGTACAGCAGACCCCTTTCTTGTCAATAGAGCGATAAGGTACTACTAAAGACAAAATCTCAACGATTTTCTTATGCGCTATTTTTCCTCTGAAGCGCAATTTCAGTGAGATAAACTGGAAATTGGAACTCCCTGATCATTATCTGTTGCTAGCAGTAATTTTTTCTTCATATTAGAATATATATGATTACTCGTAAGTTGAAGCTGTCAAATCATACCTTGGATAGCCCAATTCGAAAGCCAATTTGTATTTCAAGCCGATAACTTCGTTTTATGTTGCATATCTCGAAGCTCGAAGTGAGCGCAGAAGGAAGGGCGTGCGATATCCATATTGCCTTTGAGAGTACCGTAACTGTGCCAAAAGGGCTGTCATCAGCACATACTTTCTGCTCTATGTTGGCCAGAGTTTGAATGATCCAGGAACGTTGAGATATCTCACTGGAGCCTCGAGCCTGTATCTGAGTTGTCTCGATAAGTTGAGTTTGAAAGCTATTGAGATAGATTCTGCAATCCTTGCCATGAAGCTTTTTGATCTTGATACTAAGCGGCAGCGGTTGACCCAAGAGAAGCCAAGGACCATTCAAGAGTTCAATTTCAACTTGCCACGTCAGTGGAACTGTTGATCCTGACAGTTTTGGGGAAACCACTATGTATTTCTCTTCGATTGATGGCTTGTGGGGAGAAATTGGTCCCGATACGGAATGGAATAGTATATCGCGTGTCTAGCATGACCCAGTCAGTGTGAGCACTTCATCTAACTATGTATTTGAACTGCATTTTGAAATACTCAACTATTTTACGGTAAGCGTTTGGGATCCCACGGCCCGTGATGTTCACTTCGAGCGTATATCTTATCTCTGCTGGCGATCCGATTCCACCCGTTGATGGAGGAAGTCGTCGTGATAAATGTATCCTGTTCTTTCGCTTTTTCCAATGATTGCTAATGAGTCCAGGAAGAGGGATAGTCCCGCTTTTTTGACTTGATTGGGAGCAATCTGATGCTTGAGGAAACTGATGGAAAACGCAACTTAGTTAGTATTCCGGAGCTTGCCAGACTGGAATGAAGGCTTACCGGAATGGAAAATTCAAAGATGTTTCTTCCTGCTCTCATGGCTTTTCCTTTGCATGTATCACGTCCGGATTCAGTACTGGGAGAAAAGATGCAGAGAGTTGATTGGAGCATCTTTCAAACGATTTAGTGGTAGATACTCAAATGTGACTTTGGGGATCCGATACCCGATGCGTCTCACTCTCTTTCCTTGAATCTAATCTTGATATTGCGATACCAGAAAGAGTTACAGAGATGTTTGATATTTTAGCCAAAGAAAAAGCATCTATGACTACTTTTCCCGTGACCGTATCTTGATAAGTATATGTGAAATCATCGCGATCCAGTTCAACTTGGGCCACCATAGTTAGGCGCCGCACTGGAGATGTTCTGGGCCTGAAATGCATAGGGAGAACCTCGGGTTCTTTTCTCAAGGATATTTTAGATAAGATACCCGTTCAAGCTCTCTTTTGGTGTCTATGGTCGCATAGTTGTATCGTCTTTTGACGCCTACCAGAGGTATCCTTGCTACCCACACCTCCGAAGGAAGACAACTGTACAATTTCCACCACGGATGCTGTACCACCTTGGTCTCACCTATTCTTAGGAATAAACCGGTTCATGACTTGGTGATTTCTTTCCGCCGCGGATCAAGTCAAACAGATCCAGACTGCTTTTAAATGGGAGGCCACCGGTTTGAAATAATGGGTGTCCCTCATTTGTCGGCGGGCATAGACTGACGGAAGCCCATTCATTCCTCTTTTCTATTTGTTCAGACTAGATCCACCTTAGCCGAAGCATGTACATTCGGAAATCTCCGTAAACATACATGGTCCCATATCTAACTCAAATGACCTAGCATGCGCGACTGCCCGAGGTCTTGCCAAGGCTGGTGAAGGAATCTACCAATATCATCCTCGTCTTGAAACGATTTTCAAACCATCTCCCAGTCCACTGAATCTCTCTTTATTTTGAATTCTTAGCGAGAAATAGATCGCACGATGGAGCACCACTCAAACCCACCACCTCCGCCACGGAGCTCACGCAGCCATGTCGTCCCGGGAGAACTCCTCGAACCTCGTGAAGTAAAATACACAGCAAAAATGAGAAGAAATTTTACCACAGGCTAAATCTTTTGACAGAGAAGCCCCGAAAGCGATGAGCAGATTCAACCTAGCCAGCCTCTTCTTCAGCCCCCGAACTCCCATCTAGGTCCGCCTTCCCACCCACCTCCAGACCCGTATGGCGGCCCCGAGCAGTCTCTCAGTGTTCCCTTACCCCGATACCCATCACCGTATCGTACGAGTGCAACTCTGTCAGCAAGCTCATGCTATTCGGAAGCACAAGATGGAGAATCCCCCGCCCCATCCGAACATCTCAACAATGAGACGGGTTCGACAACCTCCAAACGCTGGGCAGCACGACAGAGGGCCACATCGGGGATAATAAGGCGATATCCTACACGCCGAATCAAGTTGGTCAAGGGAACGGTGTTGAGTGTTGATCATCCAGTCCCAAGTGCGATTCGGAATGCTGTACAGCATAAATATCGAGACCTGGAAGGAGGCTCATCTGAGGAGTTCACACATATGAGATGTATGAAACCGGCCTCTACTATGGAACCAAGGGCTAACTATAGCAGACACGGCAGCAACCTGCGATCCCGATGAATTTACTTTGCAGCATGGGTACAATCTACGGCCGTCCATGTATAATCGGCATACCGAAATGTTGATTGCAATTACATACTACAATGAGGATAAAGTTCTGACTGCCAGAACCCTGCATAGTGTCATGCAGAACGTGCGTGATATAGTCAATCTCAAGAAAACTGAGTTTTGGAACAAGGGAGGTCCGGCATGGCAGAAGATCGTTGTCTGTCTCGTATTCGACGGCATCAAGCCATGCGACAAGAATACTCTTGACCTATTGGCTACGGTCGGCATCTATCAGGACGGCGTGATGAAGCATGATGTTGATGGAAGAGAAACAGTTGCCCATATTGTGAGTGATTTCCATTTTTGATTAGTAAATTTTGTGAGGGTCGCTGGCGGCCTAAGTATTGACCTGTTCTTTGTATCAGTTTGAGTACACAACTCAATTATCAGTCACTCCAACACAGCAACTAATACGACCTTTGGGGGATGATCCAACAAATCTACCACCCGTACAAATGATGTTCTGTCTCAAGCAGAAGAACAGCAAAAAAATCAACTCACACCGCTGGCTCTTCAACGCATTTGGGCGAATCCTGAACCCTGAGATATGTATATTGATCGACGCTGGCACAAAACCTGGACATAAGTCTCTCCTAGAGTTGTGGGAAGCATTTTATAATGACCGACATCTTGGCGGCGCATGCGGCGAGATCCACGCCCTTCTCGGCCGTGGCTGGAGAAACGTCCTCAACCCACTAGTCGCTGCGCAGAATTTCGAATATAAAATCTCCAACATTCTCGACAAACCGCTCGAGAGCAGTTTCGGCTACGTGAGCGTTCTCCCGGGGGCGTTCTCTGCATATCGATATAGAGCTATCGTTGGCCGACCGCTCGAACAGTACTTTCACGGTGATCATACGCTCTCCGAAAGACTTGGCAAGAAAGGAATCGAGGGGATGAATATCTTCAAAAAAAACATGTTTCTAGCAGAAGATCGGATTCTATGCTTTGAGCTGGTTGCGAAAGCAGGATGCCAATGGAAACTCACCTACGTGAAGGCTTCGAAGGGAGAAACGGACGTCCCCGAGGGCCCAGCAGAGTTCCTCAGTCAACGGCGGCGCTGGTTGAATGGCTCGTTCGCAGCGAGTCTGTATGCGACTATGCATTTTAACCGTATCTATAGAAGTGGGCACAGTTACATTCGATTGTTAGCCTTCCACGTTCAGCTGATTTACAATATCTGCCAGCTTGTGATGACATGGTTCTCTTTAGGTATGCCCTTTCTTTGACGTTTATCTCGTCCAGATCGACGTTGATCACTCACAGCGTACTTATTCTCGAATAGCATCATACTGGCTCACTAGTTCTGTTATCATGGACATCGTCGGAACACCAAGTGCAGTCAACCACAACAAAAGTTGGCCATTCGGAGCAGATGTCACTCCGATATTGAATAATACGTTCAAGATAGGATATCTGGCGTTTCTCATGCTCCAGTTCATCTTAGCACTGGGAAATAGACCCAAAGGGGTAAGCTTCATATTCTGGAGATACACATGGATGAATTCATGTTGAGTGAAAACTGACATATCAAAGGACAAAAATGTATTACACTCTTTCCCTGATGTATTTTTCTCTAGTCCAGGCCTATATTCTCGTCCTATCTTTCTACCTGGTCGCACAAGCACTCACAGGCGACAATCTGAAGTTCAACTTCTCCGACGGCGTGGGCGTCTTCCTGACATCGTTCATCAACTCAACCGGCGGCCTCGTCCTAGTCGCTCTGATATCCACCTACGGGATTTACCTGATAGCTTCCATTCTCTACCTCGATCCCTGGCACATGCTCACTTCGTCTTGGGCATATTTCCTCGGCATGCCATCTTCGATAAATATCCTGATGGTATATGCTTTTTGCAATTGGCACGACGTATCCTGGGGTACGAAGGGTTCTGATAAGGCTGATGAACTGCCATCAGCGCAAACGAAATCTGATGCACAGACAGCATTCGTTGAAGAGATCGACAAGCCACAGGCTGATATTGATGTTCAATTTGAACAGACGGTCAAGCGGGCATTGGCACCGTGGCGAGAGCCGGAAGAAAAGGCCGAAGTCAATCTGGATGACTCCTACAAGTCGTTCCGGACGAATCTCGTATTGCTGTGGACATTTAGCAATGGTCTTTTGGCACTGTGCATTAACAATGAAGGGATGAAACAGCTTTGTCTATCGGTATGTTGAATTGAAATGTTGACTACCGCACAGGGGAACAATAACTAATGATAGCAGACGACCTCAACGCTGCGCACAGCGTGGTATTTCAAGGTTATTCTCTGGGGTACATCGGGTCTTTCTATCTTTCGATTTTTCGGGGCACTCTGGTTTCTCGCGAAGACGAATGTGCTTTGCTGCTTCTACAGGCGTTGAAGACTGCCTCCCCTTTCAAGTCGCGATATTACTGTTGTGGCATTTCGGAGAGAAGATGTACATAATACTATATTTGAAGGGCCATTTTTGCTTGTATAATGTTTGAATCTTTCGCCCAGAGATAGCGAATCTTCAGAATGGAATCTTGACTAGCACCTCATTCAATATGGGTCAATTCCTCATCACCCATCTACTGGCTCTTCTGCCACGTTGCATGCTTCCGGTACACACCACGACGGAAAACCTGCTTCAGCGTAGCTCCAACCTCCATGTCCAATGGCACCTTAGCCATTGGAGCACCGACACCACACAGTCCATTCTTCCGATCAATAAACCAAGCAAGCGTCATTCCCCCACCCCAAGTCAAGGTCCGCTCCCCATACCAACCATCCACATCTTCCAACGTGAGTAAACCACCAAGACCAAATCCGCACTTCGTCTCAAGATCCACGCCGACACGGAAAAACTGACCGAACGGAGACGCCAAAGCCGCCTGGTGACTTGCCGTTGCTTCAGGGCCAAGTCTATTTTCAAACATCCCATCAACGGTCCCGGGCCGCAGTAACTTCCCATCATTAACCAGAACAGCGTGAAGAATCTTCACAAAACTTGCAGCAGACATGAAAAGTCCATGTCCGCCAAAATCTCCCTTCGTACGCGCATTCATCTCCCCAGATCCAACCACCGCCCGCCCAAGCGCATCAGGGTCATCCGGATTCAAATCAACCAGGCGCTCACGGAGGTCATCCCGCAACACAGGATAAAATTGCGCATCGTGGATATCCAACGGATCAAAGATCCGCTCCTGCATTCTCTCCCCTAAACTGCGACCCGTGACACGCTCGACAATTCTCCCTGCCCAGTCCAGACCAGGCCCATACATCCAGCCCTTGCCAGGCTGGTAACTAAGCGGGTAACAGAAAGTCTCCTCAACATTCCTCTTCTCGCCGTCCTTCAGGTTTGGTTCGACGAATTTCTCGCGCCACTGCGCGATGAGCGGGTTTAGGAAATGATAATTCAACCCGTCGCTGTGCGTGAGGAGCATTTCCAGCGTGACGGGTTCGTGGACGGCTTCCAAAAGCGGTGTCTCGCCGTCGTCAGAAAATCCCGTGAAGACTTGCTTGCTTGTTAGTTCTGGGGCGATGGCGGAGAGATCGCCCGTGAGGCTGAGCAGGCCGTCATCGACGCATTGTAGGGCGGCGATCGCGGTGACTATCTTGGTGGCGGAGGCGAGGTAGATGACATCGTCTAGTTGCTGTGGGCGCTTCTCGCCGGAGAGCAGGGTTCGCTCGCCGAAAGCTTGATTGTAGGTGAAGTTGCCATCGGCGTCGGTTGCGCAGATGACGGCGCCGTTGATCTGGCCTGCGTCGATGGCGGCTTGGAAGCTGGATTCGATATCGTCGGGCATTATAGAGGATTCAAGTGTCTTCCTTCGAGACCTTGTCTTCACTTGGAAGTTTGATGGTTCTTTTTGGTACGCTGTTGAAATTATAACGGCTTCAAATTGTTCAAGAAGCTTAATTGATCGCCAAGTCTCAGACAGAGACTAAGTAATTAGTATAAATAGCAGACGTGGGGTTCGGGGTTCGGAACACGGAATGGGCCCAGAAGCCGGTCAGCGCTTGAATACGGGACAGCCGCGCCTGAGGATGATCTTAGTGGACATTCGGGGTATGTGCAACGTTATGAGTCAACATCCAACAACTCAAAGAGACGAATGAAACTAGTAGACATGGAGGGGTTCGGTCGGACTACAGAACAGATACAGAATCCGGAATGCATGGGTACATTCAGAATCAGGCGTCCTAAGACCGAGAGATCATGTGAGATGTTCTTGGATTCAACAGTAAAAGAACTTCATTTTCGGTATTGCGCACTAATGAGGTAGCTGGTGTTCGAGGGGCAGCAATTAGACTAGACTGTATAGCCTTTGGATTCTACGATTGCGTAGGTGACCGGGGCCTATATTGATAGTGTCACTTTTGATGAGGACAGCTCGCGTGAGGGCATGGTCCAAATGGAAGAAAGTGAAAGTAGAGTCCAAGTCACCAGAGAAACAGCTAAATATAGGGAACAGATCATGTAGTCGATCTACAGAATGGATCGCATGAATGGATCGCATGAATGGTTCGGGGTCCAACGGGCTGCGCAAGCCTGGTGGGGCCGGTGAGCGGTCCAGACTGCTCGATCCCTGCATATCTCTGCAGCTTGCTCGCAGATGAGATGCAAACCAAGATGAAATGGACTCGACAGGTCAGCGATCGTGAGTTCCCAGTCTACCAGACCCGATGCTCCTTGTGGCGAGGCCCAATACCAATCTCGGAATGGAATGGACTGGAATGTTGTTGGGCTGGGGGTCCGCTATGTTTCAGAAGATTGCCGGTCAGTACCGGCCACTCTCTCGCATGTCACCATAAGCAACGGGGCGAGGCTGGCAATCAACACAGTCAGGGCCATCAATAGATTTACTCAGCGGATTCCTGTATGGTTGCACGAAATTATAACATCATCCCAGGCTCGTATTGCCCCAATTGTGCCTGTGGCTGGGTTTGGGGGCCAAGTTGATAAACCACAGCCACCACATTCCATTCGAGGCCCCCAGCCTCAGCCACTGCATGTTTCACGCCTTGCACTCAACCTAGTCCAAATTACCTCCTGATGAGGACGATCAGAGTTATTTTGTGTGGCTTGTTAGACGAGAGTGACAGGACGCCGCGGTTTCGTAATAATTGATCGGAGCAGTTAGGTTGGGGGGGGGCACGGGACCAGGGAAGGCTGAGCAGGCAGCCATTGTAAGGAATGGGGACAAGAGTTGCGCTACTCTCACTAGCGTAAGTGGAGTGTGCCCTGCAGTGTGTTCTGTGTGTGCTGTGTACTCCGTAGTGTATGTTGTGTGTGTGTGAAGTCTAGAATTCCCATCGAAGGCAGGTGCGTGGCTGCCAAGTCTGGGACCCGTGGAATACCTTCGACCCCAGAAATGCACCCCTGATTGTTTTTTCCCTCTTTCCACTCCGGACTCAACTCAACTCTTCCCTTATCCTCCACTCCGTCCACTCGTTTTCTAGTGAGTTGAGGTTGATCTTGCTTCCAACTTACCCACGCCAATTCCCGTTCCCGCGAAAAATTACCAGGCTCTAACAGCCTCCCGTTCCCTCGTTCAACGGTAACCCACACTGGGCTCGACTCGATTCGACTCGACCCGACATCTATTCTCAACTTTGATGTGCCTGGCAATCTCCCCTCGAGTCTGATTATTCACGAACATTTCGCTCAGCTCAGCTCAACTCAACTCCAACTGCGCCGGTTCCCGCAGAAACACGCCAAGCCGGACACACGTGCCTTTCCTCGGTGTTTCAAAGCACCCACGTATCAGGGACAAGACAGCGACAGCCCTTCGTGCCACCTGACACCGTCTTCCCTCTTCCCTCATTATCCAAAAACACCGCCTCTCCGGTGGTCAATACCGTCACTGTGCCTTACCCCAACAACTCTGCGGAGGAATCCGCCTCAGGCCCTTTTGCCAAGATTTCATCGCGAGAATCGCACGCTTCCCTCATGGGTCCTGCCGGCTTCGACCCTACGTATTATCCGGAATCCGAGCGGTTTCGCGCTCGCGAGACCTACTCCAATGCGAATCCCGCCCCCGTTGCGACGAGGAGGATGTATATCCCCAATACCCGATGGACCTGGGTATTTGCGATCGTGACGCTCGTTCAAACGGTCGTTACCCTCGCTCTCGAATGGTGAGTACTCCGCATGGAGAGAACTTAAGAAGCGACTTCCAGTCCGATCCCGGACGAGGCTAACAACATTCTTTTCCAGTTATGTATTTGCCAACTTCCAGATCCAAGAAAAGCCCAACGACATTCCCGCGTCCAAGACGATTCCCACTTTCCTCGCCCTTTACAGTTTCGGCTTCATCTACGAACTTGTGCTGGTCTATGATGCACTGCGCATGAAGAACACCATTCAGATCATCGGTCTTTGCATGTGTAACGTGGGACTGCTGATCTATGGAGCGGTCCAAGTTAAACAGATCAACACCGCAGTCAACGAGCTCACCGACCAGAGTTACATCAAGCCCGAGGTTTGGGGGGAATCGAAGCCATTCTTGATCGTCATTCCGTGCATCGTGGGAGTCGGGAGTGTTCTGATGACCTTCGTCGCTTGGAAACTCTATGATGAATTCGCTTGGACAATCTACAAGCATATCAGTGCCGATCTTCGCATGAAGCGTCGCTATCTGACGTACCAGGTCAGACCCGTCACCTCTTAATACCCGCTTGATGACTTACTGACTTGTATATCTGTGTTCTAGATTTATATCGCCTTGTTGAAGTTTGATTTCTTTTTCTTCCTCGGCTTCACAATTCAGTTTCTGGTCATCGTCTCGTCCAATAAGCATGATGCGGAGTTTTATCTCACCATCATCGCCGTTCCGGTGACAATTATTATCTTGGCTTTCGGCGCCTTCTTTGTCCGCCGGGAATCTACTCCGGGAATGATCGCTATCATCGTAAGTCTATCATGTGTCTCCCAAGAAACAAAAATAAAGTTTATTGGATAGCCTGCTCACCATCACATTTCAGCTCCTCTTCTTTGCGGCCATGGCATACTTCATCTTCAAGCTGTTCCGTATGTACGCGCAAGCAACTGCCACGATGTACATCGCCGCTCGGCCATCAATGACCTTCTTCGCCATCATTACCCTGATCCTCATCGTGATTACCATTATCAACGCGTGCATGTGCGTCAACAATTTCAACCATGGTCTCAAGCCCCACATTCAAAATAAGAAGGTTCGCGCCGAGGAGAAATCGACCGAGCTCTCCAATGTTGAAGGCCAGGTTCCCTCCCGAATGATGATCGATTGATTGCGTTCCAACCAATGGTATAGTGTATTTCATGGTGATCTCTTTCGGCGTTTGGACCTGGAGTAGTATTCCTACTTTCTGATTTTTTTCTTTTCATTTGTGATTCCTGACCACCCCGTTATTTAAGCCTGATCTCTGCGTTCCTGATTTGGACCCTGCCCCATGATACCTCACCTGCGAAAACTATGGTCTCTTTTCATGTTTTTCCCCCATCCATCATTTCCGCCGATGGTGCCGGGCACAAAATTCTTGTGATTTTTTTCCCTGTCTGCTTTCCCCCTTTCCTTCATATATCCCTCACGAAAGCACCGGTGGCGTTTTTTTTCTTTCCTTTTTTATTTATTGGCGATGATTCCCGGGGTGCTCTTTTTAAGTTTCCCATGTCACTTACGAGTGCAATGTCAATTGGCAGTTACCAATGATCACCGCTTAGTCTTAGATCTAAGAATCAATTTTGAATGACCTCGATATGACCTGCTCCGTGTAAATAGAATCATTTAAATGCTGCTACCTACAATAAAGTATGTATCAACTAGTAGTGAGGTTGCTCATAGTAGGGAGTAAGTAAATTGTGTCTCAAAGTAAAGCTCTCTGATTGGTGGGCTTTCTGTAATACATACGCAAAGTTACCACTATTCAAGCGGGACACAGCTCCCCGTGACCATACCAGTACCGCCCCTCGTATCGAATTAGGAAAGCGCGATCGTGGCCTCATTGGAACTCCGCAAATCCTCTCCTTCCAGCCCTGATCTTCTCCCCCAACTTTCTTTCATTCACTCCTTTCCCTTCAACCCTCCACCTCAATTCACAATGGTAAGCTCCTTCAATCATTCAATTGCTCATCATCGCATCCGCTTCCCCAATCCCAATCTCCCCAGCCCAACACCTCCTTTCCTTTCCATTCGAGCACCCCCATCACCCCCATACCCAACCGTCCCCGTATTCCTGTCAAATCCATCTACAGCCCGCTAACAACCTCACCATAGGCCTCCCCCCGTCCTGCCTCTCCTCTGACCTCGGGCGCCGAGTCTGGCGCCGACTCCAAGTCTGCCGGCGCTGCTGTCGCCTCCGGCTCCGCTGTCGGCCGTCCTTCCTCTCCCACTCCCCCGGCGGTCCTCGTGCTGCTATGCGCCGCCGTGCCGCCGCTGACCACAAGGAGTCTCTTCGCAATGTTCGCCCCAGCTCTACCCGCTCTGCCGGTGCCGGTGGTTCTTCCGGTACCATGCTGAAGCTGTACACTGATGAGAGCCCCGGTCTGCGGGTGGACCCCGTTGTTGTTCTGGTGCTGAGTCTGGGCTTCATCTTCTCGGTTGTTGGTCTTCACGGTACGTTGCTTCATACTGTATCGCCCGGGAAGCCGATTTCAGATGGCTTCCGTTCGGAGTTGGAATTTGGATATCCAACTTGACGGGCGTGGTCCAATTTTGGTTCTGATATTGATACTAATATGATGTGAACAGTCATCGCCAAGGTCACCCGCAAGTTCTCCGCATAAGCGATTCTCTCGATTCCATCTCACCCCGTGCTCCGCCCTTCACAGTTAAATCTGGCAAGGTGTGGATGACCGGCCCGGGTTACGAGACGCCATCCCTCAACCCTCAATCCTTCTCCTATACCCCTATGAAATTTGATCCTGGTTCCGAATCTGAATTGCGGCCTGGATCGTCTCCTGGCTACTCCGTTTTTCTCGACATACGTGGTGTTTTCTGTTTTTTTCTTTCTCTTTAACTGTGGGTGCTGCGGACTGCCCCATGGCCTATCCGCTGTATAGGTCGACTTGGACCCTTGTGCATGACCTTGACCTTCTTCCGCAACGTTTGGTCTGCGACTTTTCGCGCTGAAATAGCCGTGGCGCTCGCCTGGTGTGGTTGGGGGCTTGGAGTGTGAAGGAGTCTGATGTGTGTGTACCATATCAACCGAATGTGTTTGCATCGAGTAATGGACTTGACAATTCAAGTGACAATGTTTTTTTGGCTTTTGTAAATTGTAGACTCCCTGGAGAAGGCATCGAGGTTCCGAGTTGTTGTTGTCCTGCGAGTGCGGTGCTTGCGATTGATTGTAGACGTATTCATTTAGCCATGGTATAGTTTTTAGAGCGGCCTTGATTGTATGGATATCAAGCCGAGAATTAACCACTTGCTACTCTATATCTGCAAGTCTTTTGTCCGCGACTGAATAGTACTCATCTAGGCCCCTAAAATTCCCGTCCATTTATCTCAAAGGGATACAAACTCACATAATTTCTGCTGTCACTGGAGCTTAATCTCTCACCCGCACTTGTGACAGCCCTGGGAGGGTACAGCTACTAGCGCATGGAAATCGCCAATGACTACAGACATCGACTAAGCGGGGTCCTATCAAACAGTCACCCATTTATCAACGGACTCGCCCGATCGATTGACCTTCTCAGGTCAATGCTCATATTCTCGTGGTAAGCACCCCAGACTCCACTTTCGGAGACCCTTCTTATCATCACCAGTCCCTACGCCAATCACAACCCGCAGAACTATTCCAGGATGGAGCCAAGAAAAGCGCAACTGATAAGCCTTACACTCGTCGAATCGTCTAATAGTATTAGGACCCGCGATAGCCCAGTACTCCAATGGGAATTGGACTACGGAGTAGAAGTCGTGGGTTTTTGGTCAGCATGATAAAAATTGATGATCTCTGGAGAAGTTCTTTGGTCCGGGGGCTAATATACACATCCCGCGGCTGGGGTTTAGTTACCGGCTTATTCCTATGCCATTACGAGAGCAATGTCCTTTGACAGAGCCCTTATCTGGGCCAGGATAGCGGGTCCAAGGTACATTGGACGTCCCTATCTAAGCTCAGGCGCTAGGATAGAGCGTTGACTTACCGTCGGCTGGGGTTAGGACGTGCGAATTCGGAGATTTGGATCGTTCTCCTTCTCGGCATGCTTGTTATAAAACAAGTCTCCCCTTATCCCGAATGTCATGGTTCGCCAATTGTGGCTTTAACTTTATTATAGGGCTTGAAAACTTCCAAATCCGGTTCATACTTGGATTGTTTAGTCGATTTGCTCGTCTTCTGCATATTCATCCCTTGCAGCTTTCTTTTCAAACTTTTTTTTTTGGCTTCCCACCTTATATTTTGACTTCGCCCTATTGACCTCATTAACAAACTGGGTCTGAGCTCAATATGGCTGTCGCTTTCACAGCGCCCTTATCCCAGGGTTTTGGGTATGGCATTATCCTTGGATTGGGATTTGCTTTTGCCCTGGTGATGATCTTTATTACATGGGCATTGAAACGGTAAGCTTTTCAACTCCGAAGTCTATAATTGTTTCATCTTGGAATAAAATCCAGTATCTAACATATGCTATTTACTATAGGTACCAACATGAAGTTCAAACCTCCGAGATGTTCTCGACAGCCGGTCGTTCCGTCAAGTCTGGCCTCGTCGCTGCTGCCGTCGTGAGTAGCTGGACATGGGCGGCGACTCTGCTGCAGTCGTCGGCCGTTGCGTATAAATATGGAATTTCGGGTCCTTTCTTCTATGCTTCGGGTGAGTACCGTTGATAGTAGCATAAAGCCTCTGCGGCATAGTGCTAATGGATCTATACAGGTGCAACCGTGCAAATCCTCCTCTTCGCAACCATTGCCATCGAACTAAAACGACGAGCACCGAACGCACATACCTTTCTCGAAGTGATTCGAGCCCGTTACGGTACGGTCGTCCATGTTGTTTTCATCGTTTTCTGCCTCATGACAAACATCCTCGTCACGGCCATGCTATTGACTGGTGGCTCTGCGGTCATGACCTCCCTCACTGGAGTTCACACTGCGGCAGCTTGCTTCTTGCTCCCCATTGGTGTGGTGCTGTATACTCTCTTTGGTGGTATCAAAGCTACCTTTATCACGGACTATATGCACACTGTGGTTATCTTGGTCGTCATTTTCCTCTTTGCGTTTTCGGCATATGCGACCAATGCCGAGCTTGGCTCGCCGGGCAAGGTCTACGATGCCCTTGTTGAGGCTGCAAAGAGACATCCTGTCGAGGGAAATGCGGAGGGAAGCTATGTCACTATGCGCTCGAAAGAGGGTGGCATTTTCTGGATCATCAACTTGATCGGCAATTTTGGGTTCGTCCAGTGCATACTCTCCCCATACCCTAGATCAAAGAAGCTAACATCAACTAGAACGGTCTTCCTCGACAACGGCTACTACAACAAAGCCATCGCCGCAAGCCCTGTACACGCATTTCCTGGTTATGTGATCGGGGGTCTTTGCTGGTTCGCCATTCCCTGGCTCTGCGCCAGCACAATGGGTATCTCGGCGCTGGCCCTAGAGGGCACAAATAGAATGAGCGACAGTGATGTCACGGCCGGACTAGTCCTCCCCTTCGCCGCAGTCAAACTTCTCGGATACAGCGGTGCAGTTGCGACTACATTGATGATCTTCATGGCTGTGACTTCCGCCTTCTCGGCACAGTTGATTGCCGTTTCGTCCATTTTCACCTACGATATCTGGCAGGCCTATATCGAGCCATCTGCCAAGGGCAAGAAGCTTGTCTGGGTGTCGCATATGTCATGTATCGTCTACTCGATTATCATGGCTGGGTTCGCAACGGGCCTTTACTACGCTGGTATCGGCATGGGATATCTGTACCTACTGATGGGTGTGATTATTTCCTCCGCTGTCTTCCCCGGTGCTATGACTCTTCTATGGAAGGGCCAGAATTGGATTGCGGCCGCTGCATCTCCACCACTTGGACTCGCTGTGTCTCTTATCGCATGGCTCGTGGTCGCGAAGAAGGAATCCGGCATTTTAACCGTGGATACCACAGGAGCGAAGTAAGTTATCTTCCAGCTTCTCTCGACTGACCATATGACCGCATTCCACTAACAGATAGAATTAGCTACCCCATGCTAGCAGGAAATGTAGCCGCCCTCCTCAGCCCAATGATCTTCTCGCCGCTCTTCACATTCATCTTCGGCTCCCAGAACTACGACTACGAGTCAATGCGCGCAATTCGCAAAGTTGACGACTCCGAAGTCGCAGCTGCAGCTCACATCGACCTAGAGCTTGTCCCGGGCGAAGGACACGAATCCTCCGCCGCACAGGCAGAAGAAGAAGAGCGCAAACTCAACCGCGCCGCGCTATATTCGCGTACCCTTACCGTCTTCATGGCTTTTGCTTTTCTCATCCTCTGGCCGATCCCAATGTATGGGAGCTCGTACGTCTTCAGCAAGAAGTTTTTCACGGGTTGGGTTGTTGTTGGCATCATCTGGCTGTTCTGTACATTGTTTGGCGTGGTTGTTTTCCCTGTGTATGAAGGTTGGGAGAGCATTAGTCGTGTGTGTCGCATGATGTTCCTTGATCTTATGGGTCGGAAACCGGTTGTTTGGCGCGGCAAGGCGGATTCGTCTCATCCTTCTGGTGTTGTGACACCGACGGAGGCTGGGGATGAGAAGAGTAAGGACGTAGAGGATGTGAAGCCCTCTGTTTAGGATTGGGATGATGGTACGATAGGTCTATGATTGCCGGTCTTTGCGCTTTACTTTTTATACCCTAGCTTATTTTGGTTTTTTTATTATTAATATTCTTGAATGTCAAGTGCTTCCCTTTTGGATTTCTAAAAGAAAGAAAAGTGTGGTACAGGTATGCGAGTCACTCGAAGGACCATTCATCGATATCAGAAGTAAATAGAAAGAAAGTAGAGAGTAGAAACCGACGCCGAAACTTGAACAACTTGAACTTGCTGAAATCGGACTGTAGTACGCACCACACCCTCATGATATCCCCTCTTTTGGCCAAACAAACAACTGGAAAAGTACTGTGATTGCCTGTGTCTCAAGGAAAGGCCTTCAAGGATCACTTGTAGTCCTGTTGCGGTTGCTGTTGCGGCGGCGCTTGTTGTTGGTACCCACCATAAGCTTGAGAGGGGTGGCTGAGGACCCCATGCCATTTGCGGTGGTGGTCGTGTTTCAGGAGTGATATCAGGTCGGTCCCTGGATGATGCTAATTTAGACCCGCATTACCTAGCTGGTCAAGATGGGGTGACATACCGAAGATCTTGGCTCACGCGACAGGTGTAGCATAGCACCTCCTAAATTATATGTTAGCTCTAATACATTGGTTGAGGTTCAACTTTTCTTTAGAGGCTCTAGTACTTACCTTGTACTTGTGGGTTGAGAGCGGGATCAAAGGCTGTGCCATGGTGATGTTAGTCATCTCGTCATATCCCCCGCTGTAAGGGACAACACATCAAGAGGCAGAGAAGGCGTACAATGAAGCAAATGGTAAAGAAGGGCCTATCAATAACTGTTAGATCGTAATTCCAGCATGTTGTAAGATTCGGTACATACCATCTAGTCACACAATGACCGTTCCAGTGTTGGCCTAACAATGGTGAAGCATTAGTGTGACGCCCCCTAGGAGGCAAGCCACCAGTCATGAGGAATATTATGAAAGGTCACTCACAGTTGTAGCAGTAAGCGCGCACCTGCTCGTAGCCTTCGAGCATGCCCGTGAACTCTGTGGCTTGGATCAGTAACCCGAGGTATACTACTAAGCAGGGTGGAGATGTCCACAAGGTAAACACCCGAAGAACGGTGCCAGGAACAGGTCCCCACAACTCATGTTTGGAAGCTCCATGTGGACAATAGGACATGGCTACATACCGTGAGTTCCAAATGTGATACAGAAGGCCATGATGATTGATGAAAGTTAGAGATGGAATGATGTTCAATGGACTGAAGGCAGCTGTATTCGGGGAGGCGCTGGGTGTGGCTTGGCTGCTTGGCGGCACGTGAGGTCCATGTGATCCAACATGTACGGAGTACGAAGTACGCGAACTACATATCGAAGAGATTCTCAGATCTCACCAATTGAAGCTCTAGGGAGCAGATAATAATGAGATCCTGAAAACATTTGATACTGATAGATGACAGTATGTACAGGATGCCGCAACTCTCTCGCGAAGAAAGTGCTTGTTGAAAATCAAGAGAAGAGAGACTCGAGGTTATGAGACAAAGATAAAAAGGATCGCTAGAAATGGTATTTTGCGAGGTTTCTCACGGGATCTCCCCATCTGTCGTCTTGGTATTTGTTGCCCTTTACTGGGTCTTGAAGAGGAGGATCGCGCAGTGTCCAAGGTAGAAGTAGATGAAGTGCTTCGTCTCTGCCGCAAAATGAGTATAAACAGAAAGTATGAGGACAGGGTGTTCATAACTGACCGTGAGTAACGAAGCTTCCAAAGTTCCGGCCAACAATGCAGTGCCAGGTGGCACCCTTTCGAGAGTCGAACTGGAGGGGGTTATCAGCGACGATGCGGGGAGGGGTGAGGCGGGCAAGGAGCGAACCTCTTTCTTGATGTACTGGGCGATGTCCTGGGTGAAAGAATTGTTAGAAACTGCATTGAAATAATTGTAATTTCTGTAGGTTCGTAAGGGACATACCTTCTCAATGTGATACTTCTCCATGGCCTCAATCGCTGGGGTTTATCAGTCATGGCTCGTGCGCGAATCGTTTAAGCCACCTACCAAGAGCAATGGCCTCCTGCTGCATATCCTCGGTCTATCAAGTAATGTGAGCGCTAGAACTCTGGATGTAATTGTCGATCGGTCCTACCATATCCACCGACTTGATTTGTGCTGCGCCTGGATGTTAGCAAATGGAGTCTGGCTCTTGGTGAAGGTGAAACTCACCCTCCATCTTGTCCTTCTTTTCAGCGGTCATTGTTGGGTATTGTGAGAAGTTGTTATCCGTAAGGTCTTTAAGGTCAGATCGGGATGGTGCAGAGGGGGTATCCTTAAGGCAAACAGCTGTGCTTTGCGCGTGATGGAATCGGGTCGCGCCTTTTGACCGCCTTCACGGTGATAGTGCTGTGCAAAGTACTGCCGGGAGATGTCTGTGACCGCCTATCGTTTGGGTTGAGAGCTCCAGGTGGGTCCCGGTCCGGAGATACTAATCCCCGATGATCAAATATTTTAGTTGGAAATAATTTATCATTTCATCCGCTTCTTCCTTCTTGCACGAGCTTTCGTCGAACGCCAAAATGGAGAACACTCGCGTGTTCGTCAGTGGTCTTCCACCGACATGCTCCAATGATCAGCTCCGCAATCATTTTGCAGTCCGTTTCCAGGTCACCGACGCTCATGTCCTGCCCAAGCGGCGGATGGGATTTGTCGGTTTCAAGAGCCATGATGCGGCTCAGGAAGCTGTCAAGTACTTCAATAAGACATTCTTGAAGATGTCCAAGATCTCGGTAGACATTGCCCGACCGGTACGTCAAGTTTGTTGTGAGCGGAAAATATTTTCCTTCTTGCCTTTTTTTCCCTTCTTCCTCGCCGCCCCACGCTGACCAGCTCAGTTGGTCTGGAGACTGACCAGTATGTAGATTGACGCTAAGCCCGAGAAGTTCCCTTCTCGCAACCGCGATATGGACAATGACTTCCAGTCCTCGGATAATGGTCTCAAGCGCAAGCGAGAAGAGAAGGCCCAAGACCCTAAGCTCAAAGAGTACCTCTCATTGATGTCAACATCCTCCAAGATCCGCACATGGGCAAATGACGACGGCATGGTGAATCCAACTGAGGAGCCTGTGCCGGTCAGTAACCACCCTGCCCAAGAGACCACCGTCACCGAGGAGTTGCCTTCCCACCCGAAGAAAGCTCGTGTCCAGGAAGCCTCTCCTGGTGAAAAGGATGAGGCACCAAAACCTGTGGTTGTTGACCAAAGTGGACCAGATGAGAGTATGGACACTCCCATGCTTGATGACCAAGAGGATGATGGAGATGAAGAACAAGGCGAAGCTGCCCCTGTCTCGGATGCCGATTGGCTTCGATCAAAGACAAGCCGTCTTTTAGGTCTTCTTGACGAAGATGAGCAGGCCGAGTTTGATGACCACAAGGTTGCAGAACCGGCCAAGCCTCGGAGTCGCACTCCTGATGAACCAGAATCCCGCAATGCGGCAATTGAGAATATCGCCGCTCAACCCCCTCTTCCCCCTCAACCCACAGCTAATGATGACGAAAATGAAGATGACGAAGAGCAAGAAGTTGTAGTTCGATTGACGGCGGAGCAGAACAAGAATATTGATCTCATCCGCGAGTCTGCTCGTCTGTTCGTGCGAAACCTTGCCTACGATACCACTGATGGGGACCTAGAGCCGCTTTTTGCTGAATATGGCAAACTCGACGAGGTTAGTGACACTTTCTCCTTTTCTTTCTTTCCCATTGCCCCTCCACCCCCATTCGTACCAGCATCCTTGAGATGCCCTGGTCGATCGCTCGCATGATGAATTTCCTGATAGGGACATCTTATGCCAAAGGCAGATGATGTGAACAGGTCAAGAGATTTTAGTAGATGCTTCTTGTTTTTCTGAAGAGCAACCCAACCATTTCACCTGCACATGCCGCTCATTTTGTTTTGACCAAGCGCTGATGAAATTCCAGGTTCACGTGGCCTTTGATACTCGCCATGAGAAGAGCAAAGGCTTCGCCTATATTCAATTCTCGAACGCCGATGCGGCGATTGCAGCCTACAAGGCCCTCGATGGAAAGCTCTTTGAGGGCCGACTCATGCACATCCTTGGTGCATCTGCCAAGAAGACATACAAGATTGATGATCATGAATTGTCGAAACTCCCCCCTGAAGAAACAGAAGCAGATCAAGCGGAAGCAAGGTGCTACTTCTTCTTCGTTCAGTTGGAACTCTCTTTACATGAACGTAAGTATTACTCGTTAATTTGGAGAAGCAATTTAAGCTAACTGTGTCTAGGCTGATGCTGTGATGTCTTCCGTTGCGGAGAGACTCGGAGTCTCTAAAGCAGACTTGCTTGACCCTACATCTTCTGATGCGGCTGTCAAGCAAGCGCATGCTGAAACGCATGTTATCCAAGAAACAAAGGCCTACTTCGCATCAAATGGAGTGAATATCGACGCCTTCAAGGGTCGCGAACGTGGAAACACTGCGATCTTGGTGAAGAATTTCTCTTATGGTGTCAAGTCTGGTGAACTACGAAGCATGTTTGAACCTTTTGGTCAGATTATTCGCCTTCTCATGCCACCCAGCGGTACTATTGCCATTGTAGAATTTGCCAGACCCGATCAGGCACAAAAAGCTTTCAAGGCCCTAGCCTACCGCAAACTCGGGGACTCAATCATATTCCTGGAGAAAGCTCCTCGGGATCTGTTCGATCCGAACGTGGTACCCAAGGCTGTTGACACCGAAACCCGCGGCAAGGGCCAAGGTTTCTCTACTGCGGACACATTCGCAGCCGACGAGCAGGATACTGGCATGACATCGACTCTCTTCGTGAAGAACTTGGATTTCTCGACTACCAATGAGAAGTTCCTGGAGGTCTTCCGCCCTCTGGAGGGCTTCGTCACTGGGCGTATCAAGACCAAGACCGACCCCAAGAAGCCAGGTCAGACTCTCAGCATGGGTTTCGGTTTTGTCGAATTCAGAACCAAGTCCCAGGCTCAATCGGCTCTTGCAGCCATGAATGGCTACAAGCTCGACCAACACGAGCTGGTCATCCGTGCCTCTCACAAGGGCATGGATGCCGCGGAGGAGCGGAGACGCGAAGACACTGCCAAGAAGATTGCAGCCCGTCGGACCAAGATCATCATCAAGAACTTGCCGTTCCAGACCACAAAGAAAGACATTCGATCACTTTTCGGCACATACGGCCAGCTTCGGTCCGTGCGTGTTCCGCAAAAATTCGATCGCACTGCCCGTGGTTTCGGTTTCGCGGACTTTGTCAGCGCTCGCGAGGCGGAAAATGCCATCGACGCGTTGAAAAACACGCATCTTTTGGGTCGCCGACTGGTGCTGGAATTCGCGAGCGAGGAGGCTGTCGATCCCGAGGAGGAGATCTTGAAGATAGAGAAAAAGGTAGGGGAACAGGTGGACCGTGTGAAGGCCCAACAAATGATGGGCGGCGGACGAAAGAAATTCACCGTAGGGGCCCAGGAGGAAGAAGCATGAAGGTCGCGTCCCTTTTCCCTTTCCTCCCTGTAAGAAGGGTGGTGGACGTTGACTGGGGATTGGCCGATAGCGCACCCCTTGCATGGTGGTGGAGGACGACGATGTACGATTTCTTGCATACGCTTTTTCTGGCTTTTTAATTTTTGTACCTGCGCTCAGAGAAAAGAGATACCCCGAACACGTTCCTGCGGCTGTCAGTTAAGCCCTGCAGATTTTTTTTTAAGACCCTCGTGCCGCTCATGTGCTTCTTTCTGTTCCTCCCCATTCAAGGTGCTGCAGTGCCCTTTAACCCTAACCCGCAAATGCTCTCTCCTTGTACACTCGAAGTCCCTTCTCCCCTCTTGGTCCCTTCCCATCCAAACTCCACGCGACCACCACTAGGACCAAAGGGCTGTGAGTTATTTGTCGTGATAGCCCTGAGACGATCACTCGCCTACATTCCAATGCGTGCGCTGCCGTGGTCGTGACATTCTTGGGGCCAGGGTTGAGCAAATAGGCAACGTCGCTGGACTTCCGACATTCTTCATGGCTGTCCATTGCCACCGATCACTGACGATTGTTTGTCGACACTGACCAGCATGATAGTCGGGCGAGGTCACTGTCCTGCAGCCCAAAATCTCCGAGTCTTTCGTGACTGGATCGTGCTGCTCCAGCATCTCCAGCATCCCTTGCATCCCACAACACTTCCTTCAGATCATACCCTTTCTTGACTCCTGATTTGTCGCCGCAAGGACAGATGGCGGCCGTCCTTTGCTCCCCACACGGCGTCTGGGCGCGCGACGGCCAGGACTGGGTCCTGCGTAGGAGTATGGAGCTGGCGTTCGAGGGTCGCGGTGCAGGCAAAGCAAACCTGGCGTAGCAATGCTGCTACTAGGACTACACACCCTTCCCCAGGGGAGTTATGCTTCCCTATAAACACCATCTTGCTCGCTCTCACATTCTCTTTCTCAGGTCCTGACATTCTCTTCCACCTGTCTGCGTTCTTGAGCAGTTGTTTTTGTGACTGTGCTGCGTTCTTTGCCAGGCAGTAAGCATTTGACGGTGCCTCTCAACTCCCTCCTCCTTGGAATCCGTCATTCTTTTCGAGAAGCCCGTCACTTGGTAAGCTTGCCATGGCTGCTGACTGGCAACCCGAGTGCCTCGTGCCTCAGAACCAGCCGTCCCTCGAGGCTGTAGGAGTTCATACCGACCGAGCTCTACAGAACACCTCTGGGAACGTTCAGTCATACTCTGATACCTTCGCCCATGGGGATCCCACTGGCCGAGATGACCATCTTCAGCAGCTGGGTTTCAAGTATCCCCACCATGCCACCGCTGCCCACCCCGTTGCAGCCCCAAGCATTGCTCACCAACAAGCAGTGGCTGCCCGTCTCCATGCCCGCAAGCTGCGTCGTCTTCACTCAGTCGGGCCTAATGTAGCTCCTCGACGCGGACGCAGCTACCTCAAGTCTCAGAAGTACATGGAATATCGGGCACGTCCTCGGCGTGATACGGGCAAGGATGGCGAGCCTGTTTGGTCTGATGAGCTGGAAGATGCATTCCAGCAGGGTAAGCCTTCTCCATTCAGCTTCATAACACATCAGGTCTAATTGCATTTACAGCTCTTGAAGCAAACCCTCCAATGGGCCGGAGAAAGTGGTCAGAGCGTGGAAAGTCATACGGCCGGAATGAATTGATTGCCGAGTACATCTTCAAGTTGACTGGCAAAAGGAGGACTCGCAAGCAAGTGTCGAGTCATTTGCAGGTTCTCGATTCATTCCTGAAGGGCGATCCCGATTGTGAGTTTACTAGCTTGACGTCTTCCAGATTTCGAATATTAATACCATATGGTTAGGGGAGCGACTTGTTCGAGAGCAATCAGGAGACAGACTGAGTGGTCATTCGCAGACATCCGTCACTCCCAAGTGGAGATCCTCCATGGAGCATCCAGCAGCACCCAGTCACTACGGCCATACACACCAGACCTACCATGGTCCTATGAGAATGATGCAGCCTTATGGTGGGGATCTCCCTCCGCCTCATTATACTCTGGGCTCTAGTATGCAGGAGGCTAGCACCAAGAACATCCACGGCTTCAGCTTTGATATGTGGGTCAGTGCTCCTCAGCAAGCCAACCGTATCGACAAGGCCCTTCACGCATATACCCGTCTTCAGGGAGATCTCCACCACCCTAATGCACCTCCCATGCCCCTTGAGGACGTGAATGGATGGCGCACCTCATTCCCTCATCTGGCTTCTTCTCTTGATGAGATGAATGGTCCTTTCGACTGCGATATCATTATGTTGGAGGTGAATCTCGAGCTGATGACTGATTTCCCACCTTCTGGGTCCCGACTTGGTATTCAACTAGACCTTGACTTCGGCCACCCCACTGCTGGTGACGTGTCTATGGTCAACCAGATGGACAACTGGACTTGCAGCACCCGGCTCTATGAAGAAGGGCGAGAGCATTGGGAAACATACCACGATCTTCCCAAGCCCCAATCAACCAAGGTCAAGCCGCTTTTTGAATCATCTTGGTGGGCGAAGCTCTTCACTGAGCTGACCCAGGATAAACGCATTGCCGAAGACTCCGGCCAACCCGAGTCTGTCCATGCCACTGTTGATCGCACTCGTCGGTTTATCCGCTCTCTGTCTGCAGTACAGGAGATTCGTGCCACTCCCCCCAGTTCGCGTCGGCTTTCAAGTCAATTCCAGGGTCACCAGGGCGAAGAAAGTGAACGCATGGCCATTCTTGTCTGGAAGTTCCGTCAAACCGGGCCTGGGGAAGTTGGTACAACTACCTGGCGCCGTCTGATCCCCCCTCCTGATCGCACTCAAACCAACAGCCCCCGACAAAGCTCTGGCGTTGACCTTCCTCCTCTGTCCCTCGAATCCATCCTTCTCAACAAATCCTCACAGAGTGTTTACCAAGCACCTCAACCTCAAGACTTTACCCACCATCATCCTCAGCAACAGTCTCAATGGCCTATATACCCTCATTCCCACGAAAATGTGGCTAATATCTTTAATTCGTCCGGTCAACTGGACTTTATGACCTCAATCACCAAGCCGGAAGATGGCCTGGGTGACAAAACTGCCGTGAGCTCGGTTCTGGACTCATTCCCTACCAGCCTCGCACCCGAGACATCCCAACCGACAAGCATGAGCGCTAGCACCGGCGGACCCATGATGCTCGGTATGCACGGTATTCCCATGACACATCATAATCTGGGCTATAACATGGGCCATGACGCTAGTCAGTATGTTCCATCCCAACAGCATGGTGTCAACCTTCACGACAGCCATAGTGTGCTTGACGGCTTCTTTGGGCCCAGCACACAATCTCTCGATGACCTCAGTCACGGTCAAGCATCCTGGGGAGCTCACTCCACCTCCATTCCTGGCGATGTCAATGCTGGTGGATACCATCACATCCCTTTCCAAACCGAGCCCCAGGTTCCTTCCTCGCGCGAGACGCAGCAGCCGCACCATTTTGACGGTTTAATGCCGGCGGATGATCTGATGGAAAAACTCGTTGGACGTCTGTCTAATGGCCCAAGCATGCATGGGGCGGGCCCCGAGCATGCGAATAACGGTTATTCAGACAACCCGGTGGATGCGGTTTAATCAACGCAAGAAAAAAAATTTACTTGGTAATGATAATATTATTTTGGAGTCAGATACGCCTATACTTTCACTTCTATTTCCTTTTTTGGTTTCTTTTTTTTTCAATCATGTGGGAGCGGGAAACTGGGTGTTATCGGGGTTGTGGAGTTCAATTCTTCTTTTACATTTCAATCAAATTTCTTGTATACTTTAGAACTGGCTTCGACATTGTAAAAGATAAAAGCAGAATAAACACGAAATAGTGGGGGTTAAGTAGTACTACTAGTATTACCCCAACTTTCAAGGTTGGGGGTGCCACGGAGTTTCTACCGATACCCCGCACGCCATTCGTTATTTCGCTAAAACATTGCCGGTTATTGGATCAAACACGAAGATAGAATGTACTGTACACATATACCGGATAATGTCTGGCGATTCTTGGCTTTCCCTTTCTATTCTGGTGCTCACCCAGAGGCCGAAGACCCACTAAGTCCGAATCCACCTGAAAGCCGCAGAGCTACTGGTTTAAATAGAGCTTGGTTACATTCCCTTGCAAGTTCCTCCTTTTGCCGGCCTCGCTCTTGGGTAGAGTCTTTTCAGAAATGGGGAAGGTATTCAATGCTGCAGAAGGTACAGTCTGGTCAATATCTCGTCATCAAACTACTACTATCAGACTAATCAATCCCAGTTGCTAGTCACAACACCAGCAAAAGTTGCTGGGTAGTCCTATACGGAAAAGTCTATGATGTGAATCACCACCGGATCGGATGACCCTGTCTAACCAATCATCATGTTAACACTCAATTCAGGTGACAGATTTCGTCGCCGAACATCCAGGTGGCGCAAATGTGATTCTCAAGCTCGCGGGAAAGGATGCTACCGAGGACTATGACCCTGTACATCCAGAGGGCACACTCGAGGGTAACCTTAAGCCCGCGGCCCTTCTCGGCAGCATTGATCCCGCCACAATGCCTAAGCCCGAAGCACAATCAGAAGGCGCTGTGAAACCTCTAGAGGACGTACCAGTGCACACGCTACTCAACATGGATGAGTTCGAAGAGGTTGCCACGAAGAAGATCAGCAAGAAAGCGTGGGCATACTACTACTCCGCGGCTGACGACAAAATCACAAAGCGCTTAAACACCGAAGTCTTCCGCTCGATTCTCTTACGACCTCGGGTCTTCATTGATTGTACTGAGTGCAATCTCGACACGGCTTTACTGGGGAACCAGGTTTCTCTGCCTATATACGTGTCCCCAGCCGCCCAGGCTCGTCTGGGCCATCCATCTGGCGAAGCAGGCATTGCCGAAGCATGCAGTAGCATTGGTGCGCTCCAAATAATCTCAAACAGTGCATCCATGACGCCAGAACAGATTGTCGCCAACGCCACGCCGGACCAGGTATTCGGATGGCAACTGTATGTGAACGACGACCGAAGCAAAAGCGAAGCGATGATTGCACGAGTGAACAAACTTCACGCAATCAAATTCATCGCCCTTACTCTTGATACACCAGTGATGGGTAAAAGAGAAGATGACCAGCGCTTTGGCAATGTCATTGACGAACTCACGGAACAGTCCTCGCCTGAATCTTTCAAGCAGCGGGAGAAGCAAGCTTTTGCAGGCATGGATCCGAGTCTAACCTGGACGGAGACCCTCGCCTGGCTGGCGAGACATACCACTCTCCCTGTTGTCCTTAAAGGTATTCAGACGCACGAGGATGCCTATATTGCCTCCTTGCATCGGCCACAGGTGAAGGGAGTTATCCTTTCCAACCATGGCGGTAGATCTCTCGACACTTCACCCCCGGCTGTTCATACGCTGCTTGAAATACGGAAATACTGTCCTGATGTCTTTGACAAGATTGAGGTGTGGATGGATGGTGGTGTGAGAAGAGGAACGGATGTTGTCAAGGCTCTTTGCTTGGGGGCCAAGGGTGTTGGCATTGGGCGGCCACCACTCTGGGGCTTGGCTGCTGGAGGTGTCGATGGTGTGAAAAGAACATTACAGAGTAAGTTGAATAGACGAGATCATTCTGTCTTTGGTGAAATAGTGCGAGTGCTGACCGAGTTTCCAGTTTTGGCGGATGAGACCAAGACTTGCATGCGTTTGCTTGGGGTTCAGAGAGTAGAACAACTTGGTATGCAGCATGTGAGTATTTAAATCCAGATCTGTATTTCTTGAAATTCGAGAAGCTAACTATTTGATTCCCTAGATTAATTCTCGACTAGCTGAAGGACAGATCTATGATGGCCCGGCTGGCCTCGAGGCTTGCCGTGCGAATCACCGGTCAAAACTTTGATACTCATATAAAAGCTTTGTCTGCTTTTAGTGTCAAATTCAAAGATCCTTGGATTGTAGTACATTTTGCTATAGTAGTACCTATATAAGTACTACTAATGGGTACTACTGGCATTGATACTACTAACCTCCAGGACCTGGCTGGCACGTTAGTATTTGGTAGTCACTAGTTATATACTTAGACTACCAGTAGCATAAACCATTCAGCTAGAACTTGAAACTTCAAGTTACAGATAAATTGCCTTGAAGTGAACAAAGCCAAACACCTTCAATTTGAATGCCCTGAGTTAGTATCATAAACTAATTGCTGCAAGTCCCAAAGGTATAGTCCATCGAGTGCCAAGACCCTCTCCTTCTCCGCATCTCCGACACGCCCAAATTCACCTCCTCACATCCACCTTCCGGCAATGAGCAATTCCTCTCCCAGGATGGCTACGCGCCTAGGAACAGCTGTGCGCATTCACCTACAACCTAGTTACCGAAAACGGCTATCGCTATCCAATAGTCGCTCGATCCTCGCTGCGCTCAAGAAATTCGGTGAAGTCAATACCTTCAAGAACCTCAAGGTAAAAAAAGGCCAGGCCCACCACCGAGCCCTAGCCCCAAAACCAATACTGGAAGGCTAAATCTCCATTCTAGTTTGATTTCTCCCATGCAACCCCGAATCCACTCAATCGCTGCATCCGCGTGATCTTCGACGACAAAGAGGCCGCAGAACGCGCCATCGCCGCATCGCCTCTGAAAGTCCCCATTTCCCAACCACAACCACAACCGCAAGTACAACCAGCACACAGCCCCTTGTCCGCCGAAACGCCCTCCTCAGCCCCATACCCAGACTCCGCTGTCAGAAACCCCGATATAGCCCCCGCGACTCAAGAAATGATCTGCACAATCGAACCCGACACCCACACTGAAGCAATGATAACCTCACGAACAATGTTCAACGTTTACACCTCCCGCAAAAGGGACAACCACATCCTAAATGACCTCGAAGGCCCGGAAACAAACATACCACTCCCACAACTAGCTGATACAATCCGGCGCGAGGGAGTGGACTACTATGATAAGAAAAGGAAGCCAGACCCCAATGCGCCGACCTTGATGGAGCTTTACAGGGAGGGTGCCCGCGCTGCCGCGGATGCGAAGAACAGGCGCTCGAAAATTGTTACGTTGGAGGAGACGCATAAATCGCATCAGCAGCCGCAGCCACAGCCGCAGCCGCAGCAACAGCCCCAGCCAACTGCTCGCGTAAGCGGGCTGAAGCAACTGGCTAAGAAGAAGAATCAGGCGCACGCGGTGGAAGATTGAGAGGATGGATTCCTATGTGCTTATACTTCTCAGACCATGGAAAAACGGGATTGCCTGTTCTTGTGCCCGGGTCCGCGCGGTTTGGCTGGATACATTGGGCATATCCAAATGACACACCTGCAGTTGCTGGCCCATCTAGCTGGCCGGCGCTCAAACCCGACATTCGACTGTTTGGAAACCTTGCAGCTTCGACTATTTTGTCAGCGATACACTGCAGCTGCTTTTTGCCCATTTTCACATTGGCAAAACACATATTGGTAGCTTGACACGGGTTTCCAATGGAATTAAGCCCAGGCAGAGCTGGAAGAAATTGAGTAGTGGTTCCGCTGAGATTGAGATACCCAGCACCCGCTCGGATTCACCTGGTTCGTCATGGATCTCTGCTTACATGGATGACCATTGCGATGGCGGGCCTGACCACCGGGTATTCGAAGTATACGTGATATCCGAGCTAGTTATAAGACCCTGTAGCAAGCACAAACTCATTCGTATTCGTTGCTCATCGAGATTTGTCATCTGCTAAAAACCGATTCTACAAACAAGAAAACGCCAAAGCCAAGCTATCATTCCAGCCACGACCTGTCAGGTAAAAATAATAAAAATCATCGCCGAGGACAGGGAACCCATCAGACCCGCAAGTAAGCTGAAACAAACACAAGAGGGTTAGTACATATTGCATCCGAGTAGTGGGGAGGAGAGTAAACATACTTGCGTCAATCTGCACAATCTGCGGAAGTGCCAGCTTCACCTTGTTCCTGTAAACAGCAGGGCCGTTCATCTGCAGGGGATTGCCCTCAAAGTAAACTGTCTGCAGGTTCTCCTTGCCCTTCAGCTCGCGCTCCACCTCGTCGAAGCTGGCGAGCTGGTTGTTCGAGGCCCAGAGCTCTTCAAGGTTCTTTAGCGAAGAGAGGTGTTCTAAATGCGAGACCTGGTTGTTGGAGAAGTCGAGGACGCGCAATGCGGTGTTGTTTTCCAGGCCGGTCAGGTCGGTGATTGCGTTGTGGGAGAGGTAGAGTTCTTCGAGGTTGGGGAGGTTGGAGACGCCGGTGATGTTGGTGAGGCGGTTAGATTGGATTGAAATGATGCGGAGATTTTGGAGGGCGTCGAGGTTCTGTTGCGGGTGAGTGTTAGTTATAGGTAGTGACAGGGTCGGTGATTCCAGGTTATTCGGGGACGATTGTTGGTTACCTTCATCTCGACGATCTTGTTCTTTCCGAGCCATAGCTCTTCCAATGCGGCGAGGTGGTCCAGGTTCTCGATCTCCTAGTCCCAAGTTAATGATACCACCCAGCCATTTATTTCGTCTGCGTCATTACTACACACCCTAATTCGATTCGCTCCAAGCTCGAGATTACGCAGTTTGAGCAGCCCTTCCAACCCCTCGATTGTAGAGATCTTGTTCTGCACGAAATAGATATCCGTCAAATGGACCAGATGCGAGACGTTCTTGATGTGCTTGATCTTGTTGAAGCTCAGATCCAAGCTGACCAGATCACTGAATTCATCCAGACCCTTGATATGCGAGATAAGGTTGTCATAGAGGTCCAATTCTTTCATGGATTGAGCAACGTTTGAAGGGAAATTAATGCGTTGTATTTGATTCTGTCGAAGGCATAGTCTCTATATTGCAATTTGTCAGTCAAACCGCATCCAAAAGAACGAAGAGAAAAGATAACCAGGAAAAAGCGTCACCACAGCCAACTGTCGGAGACTCAGTCACAGGCTATACGCAAGAAATACATACCCTCAGCTTCTCAAATCGTTCAAGATGTAACGCCGAAAGCGAAGATATGCGACAATGCACGAGATCGATCTCCTAGAGAACCAACCAACCAACGATTAGTGATCGGCCAACAACGCCCAGTTTCGAGACCATGGGAGCTCCCTCCAGCCAGCATACCTCTGTATTCACATCTTCATCTGCCAGTAGATCTGCGAATGCCCATCAGTATCAATCCTTCCACGACGCGCCACCCCCACTGTGCCCCGGAGAAATTCCCTACCTTCGTCCGCATCGATTTCCTCCACGGGCGGTGCCTCCGGGTCGGAGTAATCCGAGTCCTCTAGGGCTTCCGGGTTGGTGATCACTGCTTTTGGTTCGACGCGCATTTTGCCGTCCCAGCCTTCCTTATTCTTCATGTTCAGAGCGGTGGAAAGTGGTAGGGTGGGTAGGTGGGAGGTCCAATGGCGGGCGGTGGGATGTTCGATGCGGGGAGCTTCCAAGAGCGCGGGCGCCGAGGTTCCGTTGGGGTGAGGGAAGAAGGGAAAAGAGAGAAGAAATAATTGACTGGGAGAATTTGCTCGAATCTGAGAGATTGCGAAAAGGGCGACTTGGAGTCGTTTGTAACTGTGGGGGGGGGTGATGGGTTAATTCAAGTTTGAAGGTTGGTTGGTTGGTCATGGAGCTCGATGCGGCTTTGGCTACGAATGAGTGCAGGTGAACCATGGGAGAAGGCAACTTTTGGAAGTGGACCTTAAAACTTCGAGTTGAAAACTCCTACTACCTAAGTACTGTACTACTACTGCTCATGTACTACTATTACAGCATTCTACACGAACAGGTTGCAGCTTGAATCGCCGAACTACTGTGTATTCCTAATGAGACATTTTCCTCGAGGACTATATACAGCATAGAGTGCCGCAGGTAATATACATTGAAGGAGTCAATCCAGCAATATAATCCAAAGATCTCCTCCGTGGTGGCATCAAGGCAGAGCGTATTAGATGATACCGCCACAGAGAAACACCAGTCGGTCATCATCATCAACAACAACAACAAAGGTTAGATGTGACAAACTAGCTGAAACCCTTAGCTGGGCAAGGTAGCAAGGCATCTGGGCAGAAACAGGGGATGAGTACTGAGTGCTGAGGGGGAAGACGGGATACAAGGGGGACATAATGACCAACAGACGCCTGCAGAATGCATTGGAGAATGCGGGGGGTGATTGCGATGGAGGGAAGACAACAAGGAAATTCAGGGCATGACAGGGAATCGACGGGGATAAGAAATGGAGATGGGCAAAGCTCGCTCGGAGCATGGTCAGATAAGTAAGATCACAATGCCAAAGGGTTGCAAGGAGCAGAAAAGGAGGAAGATGCCAGGGGTTATTGTGGGCTATACGGGGGAAAATAAGGAAGGAAAGAAAAGGTAAAGAGAAACCAAAAAAGGGCAGTCAAGTAGGAAAAGAGAAGGGAAGAAAAAAGACAACAGATGCAACAGATGGGCCACGACCCCTTGGGGAACCAGTTCCAATCTGGGTCAATGGTCGAGCGTCGAAGAAGAGAAGTTATAATGGAAACAAGAGGTAGGGCGAAGAGGAACCCGTCATTCGTAGGAAAGACACAATGCTGGAAAGCTGGGAAAGGAACAGAGGCTTTTTCTCGCACCAAAAAACAAAAGAAAGGACGCGCTCAATGGGGAATCTCAGGCGTAAGGAAGATCCGGACATGAAGTTTCACAGGGTGATGTCCAGGACCATGCTGACATCTTGGACTTGTTGTCCAGCAAGATCCTCGAGAACGGGAATCAGGTCAAGCAATTCATTGTCATGTGCGTCAGAGAACCAGCTGCTGATGGGTATCGCGTGTTGAGGGTGGAAAATGTAAGAGGTGGGGGAATTGTCAATGATGATCGTTTCGCGAAGGTCACGGCCGACTTGAGAAAGATCCTGTTGAAAGTTAGCAAGTGGTGACGTGATGGCAGAAAGTAACGAGGCTGACCTTAACATAGTTTCCCTGATGATTATAACAGCTCTCGCGGAACAGACGGTGGTGAACGACGTTGTGAATATCCAATTGATCCAAGAGAGGATCACCATACTAGAATGAAATCAGCACATAATTCATTTCCAGCAGTATTTGACGGGAACGAACCTTGGAAACTGAAGCAGTAAACACTACAACCTCATATAGCTCACCAACTCGTTTCATGAACTGGTCTACGCCGGGGCGCTTAATCACATAGATGTTGTGGTATTGTCCTTCGATCTCCACTGGAATTGTGAAATCCGCACGTTCGAGGACCTGGAACTATAGTGAGCTTATGGAAACAGCTTCCTTACTGAGATGGACATTCTTACCTTGAAACTGCTGTGCACGAGTGTTTCATCGAGATCCAAGACGAGACATTTGCGGTTCTGCAGGTGCGGTACAGGCGGCGGAAGTAACCATTGCTGTTCGCCGGCATCTGGTGCGATCGGGGCCTCAGGGACCGGCAGAGGGGGTGGCGGGGGCAGTACTGTCGTGGGCTGCACATCTTCCTCGTGTGTCGAGTCTTCACCCTCGCCCACTGGTGCTTTCTTGTCAATCGATTCGTTCGCGGGAAGGACCTCATCACCAGCGGCCGGCTCGTCGTGTGGGTGAACTCCATTCGTTTTCACCTCGGTTATTACTCCATTAGGGGCCGCAGTGGTGCTCTCTTGCTCCTTCGTGCCCACTGGAGTTGGCTCAGATTGCGCAACAGCGGTGGAAGTGCCCTCGCCTTGCGTATCGGCAGGAGCGTGCGAATCTTGCTCTTCGTCCTTAGACTGAGATTGATCGGCGTTGACAATGGGCTGGGTCTTCTCGTCCACGGCATATGTAGGATCTCTAGACTCCACCGTGCTTGAGTCACCGGTTTGAGCCTCTGCTTTGTCGGGAGTAGGCAGTCGGTTTGAAGTGGGTGGCAGCTTGGTAGTCTTCTTCGGAGGAAGGGCCGAGTCATCCCCTTCAGCGTCAGGAGAAGAGCAGCAGAGGAGGCTGCGAAGCTTAGATATCTTTTTCGGCGGAGACTTTGACGGACCGTTCATGTCGGGGGTGGTTGGGGTGTTCGTCTCATTGCCCTTCTCGACGTTTGTCACTTCCTGAGTCTGTCGCGATCGGCGGCTACTCGCTCGACTGCGGTCTCTCCTTGCTTTCAAGATACTAATCTTGGAGCTTCGTCGAGACTGCTCGTCCGGCGCACCCTCCTCAGCACGGTCCGAGGTCGATTGTTTGTCTGTCTTGGAGGAAAGTCGCGACGGCATTGGCATTAAAAGACGGTGTTTCTTGGGTTCCTCGGCAGGTTCCACGGTGTCTGAAGAGGTTGCAGCGGGTGCGGCCGATGAAGAGGCGGGCTCAGAAGGCGCGGTTGGCTTAGTTTCCTGGGATTCGGCGACATCTGCGGTGATGGTGTCGGGAGACATCTCGGACCCTGAAAGCGATGATTAGTATTCGCGACCGGGGGATTCCTCCAAAATTGCGCATAGCAACCGCGAGGTAAACTGGGGGTGAGGGGACAATGAAGGAACTTACCTTTGATCTCTGGGTTTTCGGGAGTGTTCATGGGTGCTTTGCCCGCAGACTCGGGAGCTGAGGGCGCGGAATCTCGCCCCTCGCTCTCACCACGCATCGGGGCTAGCTGTGGCGAAGATGAAAAAGGGTAGGATTGAAGATATCCACCGGAGAGATCGGCGAGGGTGAAAGGAGTGAGCGATCAAGAGAAGAGAAGGTGAGTGCGGCTACAAGGATGTCAACACGGCCTCCTGGATCAGCAATCCGGAGAATCGCACGTACCGCCTTTTGGCCCCAAAAAGGTCAATAACGCTGCCAAGACACGACAGCGAAGAAGAGGCAGCAACAGCACAGGCGACAATGCAGGCGCAGACGCAAAGGCAGACGCAGATGCAGATGCCGATATGCAGCTGGAGGTGCGTACTAATTTGGGGGGGAAGAGAGAGGGGAGAAGGGGCTGGAGGAGGAGATGGATGTCACGTGGGAGGTGAAAGGTGGTGAAATGAGGAAATGAACTTGAATTGGAAATGAAAGGCCTTGGGGTGAAAATGGACCTCTGGATTGGTCCTGTGCAGACTTTCGGGGGGTCTTTCAGCTAGTGCGAGTACTAGCGCTGAGGTGCTGCTACAGAACAAGTCCTAAGGACCTAAGTGTGGTGGCTCCAACTGCACATCATTCACACCGGCGGCTACGGGGAAGCAGTCATGCAATGCTTACAGGCGGAGGTACTACATGGTAGTATGGCTTCTACGGAGTAGTACTACCAGAGTAGCACCCTGGTTGGTGTTATAGATAGCTAGTTTAGAGGATATAGTATAGACATACCCAGGTATTAAGAGTCCCCTTTACTCTTACTTGGCCCCAGCGCTTCCTAGGTATGGAGTACTCTGTCGAGGACGATCCCAAACCTTGGAAGTTCCAGGGACTGGTCTGGGCTGCAGAAGAGCGTGTGATGGGAGATCGAGGACATCCCCACTTGGTCGAGCGTGAATGGGTGGAGTCGGGGGTTGCCCCTTTTCGTTGGCACAAGGTTAGTACGAGGTACGGAATACGGAGGAGTGGGAAGTACAAGATACCAGATCATGGCAAGTACGAAGTACAGAGTACAGAGTACTCTATACTCAATATCTATATAGACCTGCAAGCTACCAGCCGCTGCAATGTACATCTCCCGCCATAGTAACTTTGGATAGGTAAGATAAATGTACTACTAATATTATTTTCAGGGCACACCTGGTAGGAAAGGAAAAAAAAGAAGAAATGTCCATGGCCAGGGATCGAACCTGGGTCTTCGCTGTTTATTTCCCATTTGGAGATGCTTGCGATGTGTTCCCACTACACCACCTTGGCTGATTCACCAGGAGAGGACCCACTTTACATTATGACCCAATCAAACAGTACTCAGTTAACTGCTGTCTTCTCCAGCTACCCCATACTATTTGCTCACGTGCATGCCTCCGCATCCCGAGGTTCACCTTCACATGCAACTCGAATGATGCAACCACCGCTCTGTCAACTTCAACTTCAACTCTTCATATTTCCTCCGAAACACCCCTCCCAATAATAAATACCTCTATTCTCATCCATACACCACCTAAACGCCCTGCCCTTCGACCCAAGAGCTGGTCTCTGGCTCATGGCCCTGCATCGTCATTAAACACGGCTCTCGGACCAGGGCAACCATGGCCGCCCAGTCCACTCTCCGTCGCCCGGAGGATCCCCTCCTGGCCCTATACCTACACTACTCAGAACTCATCCGATCCCGAATCCGCAAGTCCTCAAAAGCCACCCGTATAGCTGCGACCATCGCCCTACTACTCTCCATCATCGGCTCGGCATATGGTGGATATAACTGGTTCCGAGAGGGTGCAAAGGAGCGAGCCCAAGGCCACCGGCTACTACGTCGAAACTCCGGCATTCGCGGCAAGGATGGCTCGCGGACTATCTATGTACCATATAAGGGCTCCCGTACATCCAAGGTTCTGATCCACCCGACTAAGCCGACCACCTTCGATGCCCATCGGCGACTCTTCCTCAATCCGCCCGCCTCTGCGCGCAACGGAGAGGAAGGGTCAGCCAATCAAATTCCTCCCCCAACAACAAAGCCAGGGTTAAACCTGGCCTTCTTACACCAGTTTCTCAGTCTTGGGAGTATCATGGTCCCTCGGTGGGGAAGTAAGGAGACTGGTCTGCTCATGAGCCATGGTCTTTTCCTTTTGCTTCGAACATACCTCTCACTCCTAATCGCCCGACTGGATGGCGAGATCGTTCGAGATCTAGTCGCCGGTAAAGGCAGGGCATTCACGTGGGGAATTGCCAAATGGTGTGGTATCGGAACCCTCGCCTCCTATACCAACGCGATGATCAAGTTCCTCCAATCCAAGGTCTCGATTGCCTTCCGGACCCGATTAACACGATACATTCACGACCTCTATTTGACAGATAACAATAACTATTACAAACTTATGAATATGGACGGCGGGATCGGTCAAGGGCCCGATCAGTTCATCACCCAAGACCTTACCTTGTTCTGCTCGGCCGCGGCCGCCCTGTACTCCTCGATGGGTAAACCAATGGTGGATCTTTTTGTCTTCAACTATCAACTCTACCGCTCCCTTGGCCCTCTTGCTCTCAGTGGTATACTCGCAGGCTACTTCAGTACGGCTGTCGTGCTCCGGAAACTGTCCCCGCCTTTTGGAAAGCTCAAGGCCGTCGAGGGTAAGAAAGAAGGCGACTTCCGCGGTCTACACTCTCGTCTGTTGGCCAATGCAGAGGAGATATCGTTCTATGGCGGTGCCGACCTCGAACGTGTTTTCCTGGTTCGCAGTTTCAAAGACTTGCAACGATGGATGGAAGGCATCTATAGCCTCAAAATTCGATATAACATGCTTGAAGATTTGATACTGAAGTACTCCTGGTCTGCTTTTGGCTACCTGGTGACTTCCTTGCCCGTTTTCCTTCCCGCCTGGGGTGGCTCGGGTGGTGCTATGGAGTTGGCCGACATGCCCGAGGGAGAGAAGATGGGTCGAGAGCGTGGCCGCATGAAGGAATTCATCACCAACAAACGGCTTATGCTCTCGTTGGCAGACGCAGGCGGCCGCATGATGTACAGCATCAAGGATATCTCAGAACTTGCCGGCTACACCTCTCGAGTCTACAACCTAATTTCTACACTTCACCGCGTGCATGCCACAGCCTATTACCCCCCCTCGAGGCTCGCACCCGGAGCTTTACTCTCTCGCCGATGCCCAAGGTACCATTCACAATGGTTTTGACGGAGTCCGCTTGGAGCAAGTCCCCATCGTGGCACCGTCTCTGTACCCAATGGGTGGTGACGAACTCATCGAGTCGCTATCCTTTATTGTCCACTCGGGAGAGCATCTGCTCATCTCGGGTCCCAACGGTGTCGGCAAGTCTGCTATCCCACGCATCGTGGCTGGACTGTGGCCCGTTTACCGGGGTCTAGTCAGCCGACCCCGGGGATTCGGACTGAGACGGCATCATGTTCCTCTCCCCAGCGACCGTACCTGAGCGTGGGGACTCTCCGCGACCAAGTCCTTTACCCCCACACCGAAATCGACATGCACGAAGCCGGCGAGACAGACGCTTCATTGCAGAAGGTTCTCGATGATGCCCATCTGGGTTATCTACCCCAACGTGAAGGCGGCTGGGATACCCGCAAGGAGTGGAAAGATGTTCTCAGCGGTGGTGAGAAGCAGCGTGTTGCCATGGCCCGACTATTCTACCACGAGCCCCGATACGCATTTATAGATGAGGGAACATCGGCCGTCTCTTCCGATGTGGAGGGTGTACTATACGAGCGGGCAAAGGAGCGAGGTATCACTTTGATCACGATCTCGACTCGTGCCTCCCTGAAGAAATACCACACCTTTAACATGACCCTCGGACTCGGAGAGGAGGGCGAGTGCTGGGAATTCGAGAGAATCGGCACGGAGAAGGAGAAGCTTGGTGTTGAGAAGGAGATTCAAGAGCTCCGCAAGCGTTTGGACAAGGTGGATGAGTGGAAGCTTCGCCGTGAAGAGATTGATAAGGAATTGTCCAAGGTCTGGTCAAGTGATGGTGAAATTGCGCCGCCACCTTACCAAGAGAAGGATCTTGCAGAGCCAGAGGTGGAGACAAAGACAGAAACGACTTCAGACGTGTCTTTGGAGGTACCTGCTGAAGGTACAGCCAACTGAAGTGATGATGATACCTAGTGAGGAAGGGCATTAACTGATTTTGATTTTCGAAACGCATGCTGTATACCTATGCCTTTTCCTGTTAGCGAAAGCGATGAATTTTGGAATACAAGAACCCTTCTTCCATCAAATAGACAAGACATGAATTGTAAAACTGATCGTAATCGCAGCTGCATGATTAGCTTGTTTGCAATGTAAGGCGTGGCTCGCAAGTTTTATAGTGTTTTAGTGGGAATATCCAGCAGATACATATACTGGAAGAGATGATCACCGCCTTCCATCTTCGGCGGGACAGCTTCCAAAAATCGGCAGTACTGATAAGCTATCGGCCACTTCTATTGCGACACGACCATCACGACTGCCTCAAGGTGGATTGTTTGTCTCAACTCGACTCCCCACTGCCCCTCGTTTACGTCTCAAATTTCCACGCGTTGATCACGCCTGCTATTCAGATTGTGCTCAATACTCTCTGGCTACAAACACACAACACCTGGGGGCACCACTGCCCGTGTAGCACTTCCCACCGACATCTGGAAGCTGCTCGAGGTTTATTCAAGATGGCCGAAAGTGATTCCTCCGAAGATGCCAATGTGCTCGTCATTCCAGTAGATGACAGTCTCAGTGATGGCAGGAAAGAAACATGGCCCCTCAATCACCCCAAATACAAATTCGAAGTAGTCGACGATACAAAATGGAGAGAATCTCTCGCCGAGATGTGGATCGAAAACACCGGCGCCAGAGAAGAAGGTTAGTTCAAGTTCACTGGCAGCTATTTTGAATTTCTGCATGCATCAGAACGCTAAAAGAGTCCCTTTCTCTTGGCATTTTTTGTTTGCTCCCTATCTTCCACCTTTTGTCCGGTTCGTCTTGGCTAACCTCTGTTGCTTGCCCCAGGTGTCGCATACATACTTGAGAAGCTCCCCGAAGGGTACCGTATCTTCGATCGACCTCGGGGGACAGATCCTTCAATTGTAATATATTTTCTCAGCTCCTCGTCTTCATCTCTTTGAGCTGACATCTTTCCAGCGTGATGCCTTTCTATATGGTCATCCAAGTGGTCAATATTTCCAGTCACGAGCAACCTTCATCCTGCACCTCCAATGGTTAATTTCTGAAAGAAAAAGTCCTTGCAAGTGCAAACTTTGTATCAAAGGAGCGAAGCTATCGAAGCCTGCAAAAATACAGGCTTTACCAGCTGTACCATCATACCAAGCAGTCCCATCTAGATTGTCTACGCCCGGGTTTAAACAACCACGAATCCGTGAGCTTTTCCTTTTCATCAAGCATGCTGTTGCATCTCCGTGCCCCGAATTATCATCATATCTTCCAGTTTCATGACGGGGATATGATACTTTTACTAACAACCACCATAGGTCGAACCAAAGCCGAACTCGCGGCAGGACTCAGCCCCGAAGAAGCCATGGCTCGACGCGCAGGCCCTCCCCCCAAGAACGCTGATAGGAACAGCTTCATTCTTGAGCCTAGCGGCCCAGAGGGCCCCGATTATTGGCGAGCATGGATCATACAGATGAAAAACAACTTCCCCGACCCCGTGGAGATCGAGGTAAACCAGCCGCTGAACAAAAACTGGGTGTTTGGGAAAGACCTGCTGGACAGTTGTTTTCTCCAACTCGGCCTAGATGCTACGTTCGTTCCCCGCAAGGGTGAAACCGTCCTTTGGACACGGGAGATAGACGGAACACTGGAGTGGAACGGGGATACGCGAACCTACCAGGTCCTTGGATATGATGGCACATGGAAGGGCACACCACAGTGGCAAGCTGGAATTATCGCCCAGACCCCTGTCCCCGACGAAAAGGACATCTACCCGGCAGATATCCGTGACCTAACTTCCGAGGATAGTCTCGCCAACGTGACCAACACTGGTTTCCGAGTCGAGTGTCTCCCCGACCCAATCGATGACGACAAGAGCTTCTCAAAACATGCAAGCTATGTCCCTCTGAAATGCATCAAGCCGATGAACTCCTGGGAAATCTTCCTGGACAAAGTCCCGCGCGAGAAGTGGCATCCCACAGTGGAATTCGCCCTTACATCCACCAGTTCCTTTAGTTTGCTGCACCATCAGTGGTTCCGAGGTACCTGGCCAAACGCCCGCGTCCATTCGAAAGGAGTCTGGGTGGGCCACGAACTGCTGGCAGTTAAAGATACAATTCGACTCAAGCCTTTCTTGTTGACGCTCGAAGACCTAGGGGACCCCGACAAAGATTACCGTCAAGTCACCGATGTGATGACTATTAAAGACATATGGCTCGAATGGACGGATTGCATTGATGACCCAGACGCGGAAGGCTATGCAAAGAAGGCCACGGTATGGATCCAAGGCCAAGTCTACACCCTCGACAAAGACCGTCTGAGTCGCCCCACTCTATTCGGCGATCAGCCTTTGGAAAAGCTCACCGACCACGAGGTAGACTCTGCATTCAACCAAGTCGGCATGTCGGAATACGGCGACTGGTACCGCATGAATGGCGGCAATACTTGCCAGATCACCCCTAGTTTAGTTCTAGGTCGCTGCTACGAGCCCGTGCCAACCAAACTCCACTTCGGATCGTTCGATCTGGACTACGACCTCCAGAGTGTCCTCAAGGCCCGTGAGTACAGCTCGCAGGTGGACAAACGTATTCCAGAAGGCAATACCTGGTTTTTTGGCGATAACCGCGTGGAGACCCTTGGCCTGGCAGAGCTAAACGGAATTGAAGTCGGACCTGCGGCCGAAGTGAACCAGCAGCCCGAGAGATGGGTTTCAATCCTAAAGATAAACGAGGGCATCCACAGTGACCCAAGCGATATCAGGATTGCTGATCTCGGTGAGATCGGCAGGAAGAAAGGACGCCCACGCAAGGAATTCGAGGAGATCGGAAAGACTAGTCGTCTGGTGAGCTCCGGGTTAGGCCTGCAGCCCGATTCCTCTGTTGAGGATGTAGGGGCCGGACTCCTCGAATCCAACAGCGAAGACGGGCTTGATACGGGGCAGCTCACCAAAGCGATCCCCTTCAAAAACCCGTCCCCTACCGAATCGGATGACGATAAGATCGTGTCCCGGGGCGATTACGCAGCGGGTATTCAGATAGTCATCGACGATGAGGATGATGATGATTACACTGACGAGTAAGAGTGGGAGTGGGTCCTATCTGGTCACTGCGACTGTGGCCAAAATATTGGGATCCTGTGATGCCAGGGAAAGTGTGAAAGGAAACGAATTCCATGAGAGAACCTCACGATTAATGACATGTACACTATCTTCGCGAGGCAGATAGCTTGACCTCGATGAATCAAAACGCCGGAGCTTAATTCTTCCGCCTACGAAGTCTTCATATATAGTAGAAGCTTCGAATATTTGAAATCCTGGAATTCCTCGAACACAAAACACTGAGAGTGTATAGTACTAATACTAGTAGGAAGCAGGCATCAAATTGCACAAGAAGACCAACTACATAGGCCAATAACCCCAATCCAATACTAGTAAGTCTTCTGCACAACGCCCCTCGCAAACTCAGCAAAAGTAACACCATCATCCACCTCCTCCCCAAGATTCGGCTGCGTGAACACCGCCAAAGTATTCCTCGCAATCTGCCCCGTCCCCGTCCTCGCCCCCTTCACAAAATGCGGCACAGCCCGAAACTTCCCCTTGGTAATTATCTGCAGCGCCTCCCCGGTCTGAAAAGCCAGACAGTCCTTCGGAATATTAACCTTGACAATCTGCCCCGTTCTCGAACGAATATACAATCCCGCCGCTGGATCCGGCGACGACGACAATTCAGGAAGAACATCCGTAGCCAACGAAGGCAGAGAAGGAGGAGACGCTTCTTCATCGAGAAACATAGCCGACGTAAGACCCGTTAAGCACCCGTGATCAACATGCGTAGCGCACCAGTCATCATCATCAGCGTCACCGTTAGACCCTTCGTCCTCTCCTCCAGAAGGAAAATAATGCAACAATCTCGCCTTAGTAGTCAAACTCCCCCTCACAACCCGCTGCAAATACCCAGCCTCATAACCATCAATCTCCTTCTCGGCAAACCGATCACAAGCCCGCGCCACCAGCGCCGCAGTATCGATAATCAGCGAGCAAAGCTCCTGCACCCCACCGCGAAACCCGGGCAATTTCCCCGCATCAGGCCAGATATTCGGCGCCGTGTACTGCGGGAAATCCGGGAAATTGTCGGCCGGGGCGTTATTTAGGCTTGCGTCTTGGTAGAAGGCGCAGTTTACGTAGTAGGAGCCCTTGTGTGTGTCGTAGTGGCCTGATTTGAGGGTTTCTTTGCCGCAGGACCAGCCGACGAGGTATTTTGATTCGGGACTTTCGAGGGTTTCTGGGGGCTTTTGTTAGATGGGTTACTCCTTTTTATATATATATATATATGTATTGGCGCTCCTTCCCAGGGTCTTTTGGGGTGGGTGGATTGGTTTAGCACATACCTAGTTCGGCGGGTGGGAGGGCGGCTAGATACGATGAATTGGAGAGGACTTGGGCGCGGAGTTTGATGAATTTTTCTGGTAGGTCCTTTACGATCATTATTCCCAGGGATGAAGGGCCAAAGGCCGCTGTGAGGGCGTCGAATGAGACGTTGCCTGTAGTGTGTGATTAGTGCCTGTGGTTTACAGATATCCGGGTGATGGGATGGGGATTTAGTTCACACCATTCTCGAGATCCTTGAGGCTGACGGTGACTGCTTGGGCCACAGGTACTTGAGTGTCACTCATTGTGTTGTGTTGTGTTGTGTTGTGCTGTGAGGATCCCTCGAGTTTGATGGTTTGATGTAAGGTTTTTTTGAGGGTCTCCCCATTTCCCCGCTTAGACCGATAACGCTTAGCGACGGCTGAGGTTACAGTGCTATAAGGCTAGTGCGAAGTATAGATATCAGGTGAAATGAGAAGATGGTCATTGGCTATTACAGCTATTGTACAGGGGTATTAATTGGAAACAGGATCATGGAACATCTACATCGCACACACTGCAGTCTCTGCTGCCCAGTCTAGGGTCCATTTACTCAGTGCGACGGCTGACAGCGCGGAGAGTGCCAAATGGCAGCACATCGGCGATGCGTTTGGCCCCTGTGAAGAGCATTGCGAGTCGGTCAATGCCACATCCCCAGCCACCGGTTGAGGGAAGTCCCCATTCGAGGGCTTCGAGGTAGTTCTCGTCCACCTCGCCCGGTTCTCCGACGGCCTTGCTGAAGCGCAGCTGGTCTTCGAATTTGCGGCGTTGCTCGAAGGGCGAGTTCTCCTCTTCGTACGTATTCACCACTTCTTTCCCTTCGATGAAGAGCTCACCGCGTGCGGCGACGATTTGCTTTGTAACAGGGTGTGTGAAGGATTTGGAAAGCGGGGAGAGGCATTCGGGGGGGGTTGATGATGAAGGTGGGATCGACGCAGTCAGGTTCGACGTAGATGCTGCACAATTCGTCGAGGAGGCGAGGGAGAGTGGCATTTTCGGGTAAGGAGAGGGAAAGGTCGTGGAAAAGAGTATGAATCTCATCGAGAGCAGAGGGGGAGGTTAGGTCGGGAAGTTTCCGTTGAATGCGCTCTTCAATTCCCCCGATGAAATCGATGCGACGGAATGGCGTGGCGAAGTTGGCAGTCGTTGGGTTAAGTGTGCCATCTTGGTTGAGGGTTTGGATATGGGATGCCATCCCCGACAAAAGGTCCTCGGTAGTGCGCATCAAGTCTTCCAGGTTGGCGTAGGCCTGGTAGAATTCACAAGTCGTGAACTCGGGATTGTGTGTCTTGTCAATACCTGTCATACGTCAGCAATCTTTTTCCTCATATCCATACATCTCCTTCTCTGTATCTCGGTGCATGTGCATACCTTCATTGCGGAAAGAAGGGCCAATCTCAAAGACCTTGTCGAATCCTCCAACGACCAACCGCTTCAGCCACAGCTCCGGCGCAATTCGCAAGGACAGCTCACGATCCGGGAACTCTGTGGCCGAAGTCGAAAACGGCCGAGCAATAGCACCACCAGCCTCGGCCCCGATGATGGGCGTATTAACCTCCATAAATGACCGGTCCACAAAGAACTGACGCAGATACTGCGTCAAGGATGACCGCGCACGAATGATCTGAGCCACCGATGGGTCGGCCAGGAACTGAACATGGCGAGGATAGGGCGAAGTCTCGTGGGAAGTGTCACGCAGAGGGATATCGTGTAGACACGGCGCGAGTAATGTAGGCAACTCCGTCGCATCGACTGTGAGCTCGCCTCGACCAGTGCGATGTGGTTTACCAGTAATAGCTGGGAGGAATCAGTATCAAGCCCATAATTTACGGGGGAAGTGGGCCGTCATACAAAAGGCATCGCCGCGACGAAGCAGACGATACAGTTTCTTAAACTGCTCCGGGGAGACGTCTTCAAGTTGGCGCTTGTTGCACATCACTTGGATCTTATGACCATCTTGAATGATATCGAAAAAGATCAATTTGCTCCCGGCCAGTCTATAGGTACGAATCCTCCCTAAGCTAATCTAAGTATACGATACGGAAGAGGGACGCAAATGTCCTTGAAGCTGGGGTGACCTACCAGAGACCACCACCGACTCCTCTACTGATTCATTGTTGGCCAGTTGCGCATATCTTGTGCGGAACTCGCCGCAGCTCACGGTGCGTGCATCTGTCGCCAGGCGCGGATACGGGTCACTGCTGACCTGAGAGATCTCTTGCACACGTTCCTGGAAAGCCCTCCCCGGTGATGCAGATGCAGTACTGCGGGAAGACTGATGGGTTAGTCGGATTGTTGTTTTGGTAATTGCAATCCGTCGAGGGGACTGAATTCGATTTGGCAATCCTGTACTGAGGACAATGTTAGCAGTGTCCAGATAACAATTTGAAATGTAATCAACATTTGTGAAAAATTGAAAAATTGGTCAGATTCTAAATCCGGTGCGTTCATCTGTCCGAAGACATCAACTGCAGCGGTTCTGAAGCAGGTGGGAAAAATCATCATAATAAAAAGAAGACAGAAATAAAACAAAACAAAGGCCAAAGCCAACGACATCAATGTCTTACCTGTTCCGAGTCAAGCCCTTCAAGCGAAATAAAACTTGAGGGCGAATTGAATGCATCGCGAAGGAGCAATGGCAGTGGAAGGGGAGAAAAGAAAAGGAAGTTGGTCCAGTGGGAAGTGCAGAAAAAATATGCTCTCAAAGGCGGAGAGCGAATACTGCGGGTGGAGCCTTGCAAGCTGCGCGACCTCAAGACTTCCGGTCCGCATCCAACTTGACAACCCCCATCCATCCCATCCCATCCCATACGTGAGTTGACTCTTCCACCCATCACGGAACTCTCATTATTCTAACTCATCATCGCCAGCTCAACCCTTCCACCTCCACCACCACTCCATATATTCATAATGTCGTTCCTTTTCGGCGGCCAGCCCAAGATGACCTCGGAGCAGAAGATCGCTGCTGCTGAGACTGAGGTTGAGATGATCTCTGACATGTTCAGCCGGTGCGTATCTCATCTCTAATTATCCAATTGACATGGATGAGTCATTCCCCATTGTGTCGCTTGGCTAACCCTCCCGCGCCAGTCTCTCCGAGTCCTGCGCCCGCAAGTGCATTCCCGCCGACTACCGTGAAGGCGACCTTAACAAGGGCGAGTCCGTCTGCCTCGACCGATGTGTCTCCAAGTTCTTCGACGTCAACATCAAGGTCAGCGAGAAGATGCAAGGCGAGGCCGCCGCCAACGCCCAGCAGAATGGTGGTGGTGGCATGGGCTTCGGTAGCATGTAAAGTGCCGAACCTGAATGTCGCGACACACCCCCGAGGAAAGAAAGACAATTCGGCCCATCAATTGGTGTATAGAGATTGATTGCGGAAAGGCTTTGTTTCTATTTTTGTTTTGTTTTGATGAAACCTGATTCACCTCTTCGGGTTGGAAACTCGGGAATGGCCAGAAAGGGTCTGGTTTGATGATGATGGACACGTTTATACCGTCACATTCGAGGTGAAGGACCATCGATCTAAGGTCTATGTACAATAGGAATAAAAAAAGGGAAAATATGGAGAAATGTACCAAAAAATAACATACAAAAAGAAAAAGGGCAATAGTAGCTGTATCGTACAAGCGTGTCCTCGTAACATCCGCCTTTACTGTGCTGGGAATCCGAATGACCGCCGCACCCACGCCATCCAAGAAATACTGCTCTGTTCTTCCTCGCCTTGAAGCAAACCTTTGACCCGCGTCTCCACGGTGAAGATGTGTCGTTCAAAATCAGTCAATCCCTCTTCCATATCCTCGACCTTGGACTCCAAAACGTGAAGCTCATAGTCAAGTTTCGCGCCCAGGAGCTCCACACGCTTGACGCTGTCAGTGAGCTGGGAATGCTCATCCGTAAGAAGGTCACTGGATCTCTCGCGAAGTCGCTGATAATCGCCAAAGCGTTCAAAATAGACCGTGTTGAGTTCTTCGTAGCGGTCAGAGAGTACCTGGTTAAGCCCGTCCACGGCATCGACTTGGCGCTCGACCCAGGGAACACAGTGTTCACTCAGTTCAAGAATTCGAGAGCTGAAGATTCGCGCATCAGAGGCCAATATGTCTTCCTGGGCAATGGCTTCTTCTAAAGTTGCGTTATCCTTGACATGTGGCTGGTCAACAAGTGGTTCCCAGGTCAACACGACTTCTTCAACATTGCTGAAGGATAAATGACGTGGGCATCGACCATCGTCCCGGTCCGCGTCTCCGTTGGGGTTGCGAAGCTCTTTACAGCTCTGGGGCCGTCGTAGCGCCATCATGGCCAGACCAGCAGCCGACTCATCGCGGTCTCGTTCTCGTTCACTTGATGCTGCAGTGGAGTGGGTTCGTGTTCGTTCGATATCAGATTCGTCGTCTACACTTCGAATTGGCTGCAGCTCCGGGACCTCGTCGATTTCTTGAGTCTGTACATCTTCTTCGTTTGCTGGGGGTGGGGAGTCGATATGAATTTCGGGAGGTTTCGCATCGGAACTTGTATCGGGAACCTGGGAGTTCGACTCCTCTTCATTTTGGGTTGCCGACTCGTCGACTTTTGTCTCGGGCATCAGGTCAGAATGTATTCTCCTAGGCATATGCCTCTCTGTATCGCTGTTGTCCAGAGATGGTCGATAGGCGGCATCATGGTGCAGGTCGATGCCTTCTCGAGATTGCTTGTGGTGGGAACGGATGCCGACTGCATCTTTGAACCGACCGAGACCAGCCCGAGCGTCGGATACTCGTCCACTAACACCCTTTTTTCGATGCTCTTTCTCTTCTATAGTCAAGGATTCGGGCGTCTTCCACTGCCGATCAAGTCCAGATGCAACTCGCTCGGCATGCAAATCCTCCGTGGAGTGTTTTTTGCGACTAGTCCAGACATAGCCACCTTGGTCGTCTTTAGTGAACATCATTTCTGCGCCTGGGGTACTTGTAAACGCATTGTCGGTGCCACTCTTGCGGGGTTTTCCAAGCCAAAGCCACTTGGCTCTTGATCCATAAACACACTGTACAAAGGTATCAAGGTCCAGAGTCTCAACATCGGCAATGCCGCCTTTCTCTCGTCCGCGGACCATTCCCATGACCATCTCGCCACCCTGGCCGCCAAGTTCAGTCATGGTAGATTTGATCGCATCGCTCCACCCTTCAGAGTTGGCCGCTTTGGCCGTAGCCCGATGAAGCCGATCTAGAGTCCGCCGATCAAGTCTTCGCGAGCGGTTCATCTTCTGCGACTTTTGGAATCCACCAATTCCTCTCTTCAAATTATCGATATCAAAAGCATCCTTTCCAACAGGTGCTCCACAAGCGTGGAGGCGGTTTCGCGCACCCAATAGCGTTCCCAACAAGGCGGCCACGCTAGTCGGTCCCAGTACTCCATCACTAGGCTCCAGATTATACAATTCCGTACCAATGTCCGCCCACCAATCCCCAACCGCCTGCTCAGTCACATCACACAGCAAACCATCGACGTACTCAGGAGCCAATTTGTCAAACACCATCAACGCAATCTGGCACTGCTTGACCATCTCCATAACGGCCGTTTCCGCAGGCACGCGCTCACTCGCGCGGTAAAGCTGGTAGAATTTAGCCTCAGTCGCAGCCAACGGCCGCTGAAGCTTCAGGCCCGCGCGACCAGCGCAACCAAGCCGTTTCAAATTCTCATTCACGATAAAATCATTCCGGTGTTTTCTAATATCGCCTTCCGGAACGGGGATAACCATCAGTGAAGACGGGAATGAGCCCAGGTCCGTCACCATGATCGTACCCAGCGACGTTTCCTTCGATCGAGCATGGTATTTCTTCATGGCGTCGAAGTACATCTGCAGACGCGGGGACCATGTCGTTTCATCTGTTGGGACACTCAATACGCCCGCCACGACTGTGTGCGATGGGTCGCCGGTATAGGTCGATATCACGAAGGTGGGATGGCTCCGTGAACAGGCCCATTGTTCAACGATGTAGATCTCGTAGCCCTGGAGAAATTCCCGGCGGTGCAGGACGTCTGTGGATGGATCTTCTTCGAGGTAGCGGAGGGCGACCGGGTCGGTGAAGACGATGCGTTGATGACCGCGTGGTAGGCGCTCAGGGACGGGGTCGTTGGTATTGGAGGCGGGGCTGCTTCTGATGGCTTCGGGCGACTTGCCAGCATCAGCCGGCGCAACATGTGCGGCGGACTGCATGGTGACAGCAGCAGCGGCTTATGCAGGTGTGATTTGGGGCACAGCTGGAGAGAAATAGAAAGTTGCTTTGAGCAAGGACCATTTCAAGACACGCAATGTTCCCACACCTCTGTCGTCAGGGAGGCGCTGACCTTCCTTGTATCCTCCTGCTCGGTCGCTTAGGTAGGAACCACGGTGACATGTCCTTGAAATGACTGTCGTGGCATCCCAGCGGTTGTGTAGGTAGTGTAGGGAGGAGAAGGAGGAGCTGGTCGTGAATCTCCTGGGAGGTTCGTGCTTAGAGGCCCCGAAGGCTGCAGAATTACCGACGTCACGACGGCGGGCGGTGGATGATCGACATCAGGTACGGAGAAAGGCTATGAACAGGGGTCTGCAAGGGACATAGGGACTGGCACTAAGCAATAATAGGGGTCCCAAGAGTGGCTGTCGTGGACAATGTCGCCGACGTGTTACTGAAGTGCAGTGGCTACAGGTTCTTGTTCATTTTCGGATGGTGCAGGAACAGTACCCGTCAGGCTGGATTCTATTTTGTTGATTCAAGCTAGCCAATGTTTACTACTATATACATGTCGATTGATCGACTTGGGGGGTTCTCTTCTCTACAGGCCACCAGCATGGGCGGCGCAGTAATGAAAAGAAGACCATGCGGTGCATCATGGACATCGTCCAGAGCACCAGCAAAAAGCGCGAAGGCCAAAGCCAAGGCGCTGTTGGCAACTTGATTTTTTCAAAAATTCCTTGTCGACCCGAAGGCCAGCAAGAGTGGTCACGTAGGTAGTTTTCAACTAGCAAAAACACGATCTCGGATTTCTCCTCACTGATACGCGTCAAACCCGTGCACTAGGATGAAGAAGAAAAAAAGAAGAAGAGGAAGAGTGGAGAGCGGAGTGAACTATTTATACAACCAGGTGACTCACGCTAGCCGTAAGCGAGAGTGGGGCCTGGCCAATCATACAACTTCCTGTTTGCATCAGTCGGAGGCTAGTCCCACTTGGGAAAGGCTTATCCTGCAGCTGCAGCAAGGAGTAGGAGCACTCTTAGATATGTTAGAGAGAGAGAGTACTCTCGATGTACTCAACGCTGACCGAGCTGACGGCAAAGAGCATTTCCCTCGTTCTGGGAGATATGAAATGTTATCTAACCCCCCATCCTCCAGTAGCATCATATTTCAGTGTAAATTCCCCCTTTGATCAAGCCGGCCCTCACTTTGTAGGTTAATCACCAGTCACGTGTCATGGCGTAACAGCGGCGATCATCCGGAGTTCACCTTAACGTCCCGGTGACATCTGCCCTCCATTACTCCGATTCTGCCTCCACGATCACGATTTCTATATTCATGTCGCTTTTTATAGATATACGGGGCTCTCCAAGCTGCATCTAGACCATCCCCGCTATCCACCCATATCTCTATGGCCCCCGATCTCCTCGGGCGGTAACCACTATCGACTCCGCATTGAACCACCAGAGGCCGGCCCTACCCTCCACCCACCATGGATCTCGTCCAGAAGGAGCATGACCGACTATTGAAGAGGCTCAAGGCCTCTCATGGTCTGAAGAATGTCGAGTCCACCATCGATCTACTGCAGTCCGCTCGGGACACTATCGCTGCCGGTTCGTAAATCTATCCGGGTTATCATCCTTTGGGTACTGCGGGGAAGAGCTCGCTGCACAGCTTCGTGATCGTCCACCAACGTATGCCCTAGCCAGAACCACCACTGACATCCTCCTTATCGTATAGATCCTAATCAAGCCGCCATTACTCTGGCCAAACTGCAGAACCCCGTTAAATCCTCATTTGAGTCGATCAATGATAGTCTGAAAGAAACCCACGGCGGTCTCAACAAGTACACCAAGTCTCTGGACAAGGTAACTTCACGTCCTACCGATCACATTTCTTCCCATATTTGTATTCTCATTAACCTTTGCGTCTTCTCACAGCTGTTCAAAGATCGACCCCTCCCAAGTACCGAGCATGACGCTCTCTCCAACCAAGAACACCTCATCAACCGTGCGATTGCGATGCACCTCCTCCGAGAAGGCCAGTTCTCGGTCGCAGCCACCTTCCTTTCCGAAATCGCAGATCAAAGGTCCACAATACAAGAAGAATCCATTTCCCGCCCGAGCGAGAAAGCCTCCAGTCTACTAGACATCGACGAGGTTCCCTCGACCGAGATCCGCAAGCAGTTCGCCTCGATGTACTACATCCTCCACGAGCTGAAGGAGAAGCGCAATCTTCTTCCCGCTATTGAATGGTCTCGGGAACATCGCGAGGCCTTGGCCGCTCGAGGAAGCAATCTGGAATTCGAACTATGCCGTCTCCAATACGTCTGGCTCTACCACAACAAGTCTCTCGAGCCGACAAATTTACCCGGGAACTGGGAGGCCGCGATCGAGTATGCGAGACAAGAATTTCAATCCTTCGGTCCGAGATACCTGCCAGAGATTCAAAAACTGTCAGGTGCCATGGCCTTTATTATGAATCTCCGTGGTTCGCCGTATGCCGCAACCTTCAACAACCCAACTGCGTGGGATGAAGTCTCCCAGTCATTTACCCGGGAATTCTGCTCCCTTTTGGGCTTATCGGCAGATTCGCCGCTTTACATCGCGGCAACAGCCGGCGCAATTGCCCTGCCTACCCTACTAAAGCTCCAGACCATTATGAAAGCTAAGCGTACAGAATGGACGACGGAGAATGAGCTTCCGGTAAGCAATAATTCCCTCTCTCAAGGCCAAAGTGAAAGATTCCAATTAACATAATTCCAGGTTGAAATTTCCCTTCCCCCCTCCTATCTCTTCCATTCCATTTTCGTCTGCCCAGTCTCCAAAGAACAGGCGACAGATGAGAACCCTCCGATGATGATGCCATGCGGGCACGTCATTGCGGAAGAATCACTCAAACGACTCAGCAAGGGTGGCCGATTCAAGTGTCCCTACTGCCCCAATGAAAGTCATTTCAAGGACGCCCGAAAGATTTTCTTATGAGGGCCGTCCACCCACCTTTCACTTTCGCATACTCAGGTCCTCATTTTTATTTTTTTTTTCCAGCAGCAGATATCTCGGGCTGGTACTTTTACGGCGCTAGGATTCGGCGTTAATAGGATTCTCTTTAGTCTGATGGGCTGGGTCTTGAATCTATTGAGGATACTACTTGGTTTTCTTTTCTGATTTGCGTAGAACTTTGCATTGAATGAGCCAAAAGGCGCTGGTGGGCTAACCTAGGGCTACATAAATATTTCCCCTGGGCAGTTTTGATAATACCCATATTTATCCTTAGTCTCTTGTACTAAGGTCGGTATATCTTTCACCCAGGTTAGCCATGATTCACCCCCTCCCCTGGGCAGTTAATGGTTCTGACATTCGCTGGCCACACCTCGAATGGAGTACAAAGAGTGTACCCAACTTCCTCATGGAAAAGTAACATCTCATGTCGAGGGCGCACGAGTCCAACTGCCATGATTTTCGATCGATTACCCTAGCAGAATCCAGTTTGGGGTTCGACGCACTGAGCTAGTTGAGCCGGGCGTCTTTCTCTGTACCTAGATAGGCTATTGGATGAGGAATCAAAATGGCGTGCCCGACTCTAGAGGGCCATTGCATATTGGGCAAACGGGGTACTACTAGTAGTGTTACCCTGTCCAAAACAAAAGAAAGTACCGAGTCCAGGGCTTGCTTCCAAGCTTTGAACCCTTTCGAGTTTTATTGTGCGAAAGATCCGTTGGAGTAAACCTTCAATTTGAAGTTGAAGTTGAATGAATCGGACTATATTTTTCTGCAACTACATTGGTACATATATATTGGAACAAAGGGGACTGCTAGATTATATAATCTCATGATGCAAGCTTGCTAGTAGTATCTCCGGTAGAATCAGCTCTCAACTTGAAACTGAGCCTTTGGCCACTGATACCTAGATACAGACTCTAGCCATGGAAGCCATGGATCCAACAAGGGCCATCGTCAACTTCGGGGCCGGCAGCTGGGAATAAAGAGGCATTTCAGAGCACAGAGACAGAGGGGGGAAAAGACGCATCATAAGCACCTGACTAGAGCTGCAAAAAGAAAGTATTTTCGGTGTCTTTGATCGCATCGTATCGCAGGCAATGAATGAATGATTGAGCGCCACATCGTTGCCAGAGGCCATCAGATTCCAATTGAAAAAATCCCAACCCACTCAGGGACCACATATCCAAAAATTAGTCGAAGCTACTCGGTACTAGCGCCATCGAAGCTGTCAAGTGCAATTTCCGAGTCCCCACCCTCCTGGTTATTCAAGCTCCTCATTGGAGAGAGTCCCGTGACCACGCGCCCATTTGGCGATTGAGCAACGCGTTTGAAACCGGTCATGACGCGTCGAGGGGTCCAGTCTGGCCTATTCAAGTTATATCGATTGGCCAATTGCTGGTACACCTGCGTTTGATACCACAGCTTGTAATATCTATACTCTGAAGTAATATACCCATCCAAACTGCTCCATCTCTCAGTCTTATAAATAGTGGCACTACCCCTGAGTCGTTGGGGACTCAGGGTTTTTTCCATTCTACCAGACAATCAATCCTCTCTCTTTCTTCGTCTTCTTCTTTGCTTTCTCGTATAATTCCGGTCACCGGACCCCTACCACATAGCAATCCAGCATGCTTTCTAAACGAACCCCCCAAACCCCAGATAACTTCTCCAGATACCGCGCAGCGAAAGCGTCGACGGCACGGCCCCGTCGAGCACGAGAGAGCTCGTCTACCACTGGCAGCAGCTCTCGTTCTCGTCATGCGCCCGTCTCTGAGCGGAGACAAAGATTGGCCACCCCTCCAGATTCAACGTAAGTCCTCCAACCCATCATCAACCGCAACCTAGACTCGTCTCGCAAAGGAGAGCACTATGAATGAAAGAAAAGTCAAAACCTAGACCAAGCTAATAAACCCCAGCACACCGACAAAGAAACCAACATCACCAGTAATCATGCTCCGCGTAGGTCCAGAGCAGCGCCTCTTTGCCGCCCACGAATCCATCCTCAGCGCATCGCCATTCTTCGCCGAATACTGCGGGCCCCAAACTCCCAGCCCACTAGCCCACCTTGCGCCGCACATCCACCACCCAGCAAAACGCATCGAGCTCCCCAACGAATCACCAGAGGTCCTCTCCGCTATCCTGGAATTCCTCTATAAGGGCGATTACTACCCGCGTCTAAGACACAATGCACGGCGCCGGACCTGGGAGCTGGAAGATGCGCGCGCGGATGGGAATCCCGGTGCAACATTTCATCATCATCGGGGTGGGGTGATACTGCGTGATACTGCTATCTAGTAAGTCCGGCATGGCATGGCATGCATCCAGTATATCCAGACTATTGATAGCGGATTGTAAGCAATATAACGCAGTGCTAACGGGCATACCTTCTCCCACAGCTGCGCCGCAGAAAAGTACAACCTACCCACCCTGCAACGCCTCGCGCTGCGCAAACAGGGTCTGCAGACCGGCATCGACTGCAGTACTATCCTCGCCAGTGCGCGATATGCGTATGCGAATACGCCTGAGACGGAGTCGAAGCTACGAGCGCATTATCTCGCGTTGATCATTCGGTCCCGGAGTACGTTTAAACGGAGTGGGACTATGCAGGTTGAGATGGAGCGTGGTGGGCGCTTGTTCTTTGATCTATTCGTTGCGATGTGCAATAATATGGTGAGTTTCAACCATAGTTCAGACGGGGTTCCTGGGGTTGGAGATTGACCGTGCTGACCCGGACTTGGACTTTTAGGATGACGATTTGGCATCGGAGTTGTCGGTTTATAGTGGCTCTTTGCAGCGATAGGCAAGGAGCTTGAACTTGCAGAATAGTATACCTAGGTATACCTAGGTAAGTACTTGTAGGTTTGTGATGGTTTGAAGCTTCTTTTCAAGGTTATTGTTCTTTTTTGTATTGTTTATACCCTTGTACTAGTACCCTTATTCGATGTATCTCTATTCTCGGTGATCGGTGTTTTGGGACGAATTTAATTCATTTTTTAACCTAATTTCTGTCTTATTCCGAGTAATCCCCGCCAGCAGACCAGTACTACTACCAGTAGGCACAAGGAGCTTCTTAGAACATTACTAGTACTAGTAGTATAGCATTGGCCTGGGAAGATGCCCGTGCCTGCCCTGGTGAATGGGAGTAGATGGCACCTTTCCATTGCTCTGCCAGTTCCTTCCCCTTCCCCTTTATCAACACTTCCCTCTCTCATAATCGTCCTGTAATCCTCATGAGTGACCGGGAAGTGTACCCAATCTTCTACGAAAGGATTAAAAGCACGATTGAAGCATTTAGTACCGGTTGTACCGTCAAACTCTGGAATTTTATGTTTTGGGAACTGCCAACAAACTTGATCATGCACTCCATGTGTACACTGAGAGCAAAGCTTCTGAACAGACTTCAGCATCCAAGAGCTCAAGACTGTAGGATGTCTCAATACAATGGAGATTGGTATAGCGAGATCCTGACACGCATCTATCCCCTTTACTCACCACCAGCATTGCAAAAAGACGAAACTCTCTACATTCGGGCCAGCCTAGACACCAAAGGCAGTCTCCGGGATCGGAAGTAACGTCAGTAAACTATCGATAAATCTCTTATCTTCATTTCTGACCCTTCTTACAGAGCAAGCGTTTTCATGTACCATACTCTCTCATCTGCTCGATTGGATGGGCTTACTGCCACACAGCCCGATGAACGAGGATCCCCATCTGCACATTGCCAGTTCTAGACTTGACAAGTAGGAGAGTATAAAAGCCCTTGTAAAGGAGATAAATGACCTCAGGTATGAGATTACGTCGGAATCACCCAATCGGGTTGTTTGTCTGTCAACCTCGAGAGTAGTAGAGCACCAGAAGGTTCTGATTTTGCCAGGAGTGTCAAGAATACTCCCTATTAGGACATGAATTGCAGACTTAACCCTGAATAAGGGAGAGTTGGGGCCCCCGAATCCACCTCGAAATTTCTTTTCAAGTTCAACGATCATGACACCATCCCGTGAGCGGGAATGTTCGACCTCATTGAAATTTTCCCATCAGTAAACAAGCATCCACCTCTTGCAACGGCCCAATGTTTCTTTCTTCCAGTCCTGGCGCTGTATGGCAGATGCAAACATGACTTACAATCAATTTCCTCGACCGCCTCAGCTCCTGCGGTGATCCCATCGCCCGCTCCAACAGCTATTGTGATCCCCTTGCACACTATAACTCCCGCCGCGATTCCCTTGCACGCTACTATTTCTAATTTCTAAGACGATGAGCTGGAACCTGATGTACCTCTCCCAAAAGACCTCGGAGACGTCGAGCCATACATGTCGAAGTGAGAACCTGGGGAGGATATTCGAACTTGGTTCCAGTAAGATAAGTCTGGTCATAGGCACGAGAATGCATTAGAGGAAAGAAATGGCACGAGATGAAAACCAACAGGACCGAAGAAGAATGGAAAGCCCGCAACGAAAATCCAAAAAAAATTAAAATTACAGCGAGAACTGCATGCAAACGAGTCAGAGGAAGCTCGGTAAACCTGTCTCGCAAAGCGAAGACTTGAGAAGTATCGAAGGGATAGGCAGCCAGAGGAGAAGAGGAAAGAGGAAAAGGCCAAGAAGGCGCCGCAGCACCGGGCGATGTCCGTCCTGACCCCAGACCCCAGCAAGCAGCATCTTCTTCATGCCATTAAAGAGACTGAAGAAAAAAGATTTCAAATGCCAGCAGATGCCAACACTTGGCTACATCTCAAAGTGGCTTAGAGAGCAAGTCAAGATGTGTGAGACTCACCTGCGTGATCACCATATTAAATACAAAGCGAAAAGGGACGCGGAGAAAATGGGAGCAAAGGACGTGAAAGAAGAGGCGGAAAGTGATACCTTTCCACACTGTCTATATCAACTTTTTTACCGGTCTTCCTTCCCCAGAGGGCTATGATGCCGCAGCTTTGTGCACTTGCAAGTTTACCAAGAGAATGATGACAGAACCCGGGGAGACGACCTGGCCCGGAGAGGACTGGGCGGAAAGGATCCTGACTCGACTTTAGCTTGGAGACTGGGGTATTCCCACAGTCTGGATTTCCGACCGTGACAAAAAATTCGTTATGGGTTTCTGGCGAAGGTTTTTCGAGCTGCTCGGGACGAAGTTCAAATTCTCGGTCGCCTACCACCCGCAAACCGACGGGCAACAGGAACGGATGAACATCACGGCGCAGATTTGGCTCCGGCACTGGTGCGGGAGCACTCAGATTAATTTACTTCCCTTGATCAGAGTCTATTGCACTATTGAATTGCTTGACTGCGGAGCAAAAATCCAATTGCTATAGAATATGTACATACTAAGTGATAAGTTTGACAGGGGGACCTCCTGAATGAATCGGCCTGTGAATTTTTCGAGTAATGCTTGGTATAATGGATGATGTCGGGCGGTTATTGACCTTGGTGGTTTGTACTGATATTGCCACTGGGACACTGAAGCTAAATGATTTTCATCAATTGATCCCCGCTGCCCCGGTATTTTGTGCGAACTTCCGCATCAGACACATCTACCTTTTGCTGTCTGCTACAAGGCAGTAGTGCTATCAATGATGACGAAAGGAACACAGGTATCAAGGCAAAAGAGGTTGCATCCGCGTAACAATCTCCCGTCAAAGCGATATCAAAGGAATATCAAAGGGTATCTAAGAGCTCGTGTAATCATTTTGCAGTAGTTTCATTATCATCAATAAATGCATAGTGTTACAAGGGGTCAGTTGTCTCGTGATGCATGACGCCCTTTATACGCCGGTCCCTGGGAACGCAGCATTGTTCTTGCTCAGAACGACAATTCCCCGCTCTCGGGCAATGTATCCTTTCATGAGGCCCTGGACATAGTTAGTTACTGGAAGCTGCGCGAGTCGGGCGTGGTACACACCTTGTATATGAGATTGGCCAATAAGCACTCCACCTCGTCGATGTCCACGCGGGTTCGGCCCGTCGCATGAGTACCGATTCGTAAAGCGGCCGCAAATTCGGAGACGGGAACGCGGGTTCGCCGGATCGGGGGCTGCCCATCCTTAGCTTCTTCGAATCCTCCGGCGATGAAGACCTTGCGGAAGAGATTGCGCAGGGCGATATCGCGGCCTCGCTCGAGGGGAAGATAGATCCGTCTTTTCACGAACTCCTCCTCGCCGGCAGACATGGCTTTGTCGAATCCAACCAAGTCGCCTGTCCGAATGCAGTTCGATAGGGGTCGGAAAAGTTTCTCCAGGCGAGGGAATGGAGCTAGGAGTTGGTTGCTGGGAAGGGTGTGTGTTGTGACCAGATGGCAGGGGATGAGATAAGTGAGGATCAATCTAGATATGAGTGAGCTGGAGTTCTATCAGGGACAATTGTGGGCGGGCTGACTCTCGATTCTTGTTAGCGTGCCGGTAGCATAGCCTCCAAGCATTAGTGAGATGTTCCTCGGCCTACAAGCGGTTGATGATTAGCCACAGAATTTCAAAGACAAACAGAATGATTTCGCATACCTCGGCATAATTCTCATCTAAGAAATGTATAACGCCAAGATAGTACTCGAATGTTACAATGTGCGACTTGGGAAATGCGTCCAGTGGGGGTAGATCATCTGATTGAGCCCTGATAGCCCGAATGAGATTCTTGGTGAGACCAACAGAATTGATCTAGATATTGTCAGCGATATTCACGATATCTTGTGGTTGTGGTATGATCCTACCTTGAAGTACGTCTTGAAAAGTAAGTTGGTCGTGTTGTAGATTCCCCACTTCCGAGACTCTTCAATCGGGGCTCTAAACAAGTGTCAGCGATGACTTTACCCCTCCAAAACATTTAGTAAAATGCATACCGGTCACTCAAGCACAGAGTGAACATTCGATTAATGACCCGAGCAGCATCTTCCAAAGTGGCATTTTTCTCGAAATCAGCCGCCACATCGTCTTGGAAGTCTAGGCCGGATGAGCCCTGGGAGGCGACTTGAAGATCGGCCTTGATCGCAAAGGTGCGCAGGTACTTGCCCACGGTGTACAAGCAAGGCAGAGACCAGGCAGGAAGGCCAGATTGGATAGAGTAACCCCGAATGACAGCATTCGCCACTTTCTTCCATGCAGTGAAGATAGCGACGGCACTAGCCCCGGGATGTCCAGCTTCCCATTTCAATATCTCCCCCACAGCCTCCCAATACGCAGCGAAGATATCGACCCAGGCATGTTGTTCGGCTTTAGGGACTCGAGGGTTTTTGCCGTGGAAGAAGGAGGTGTTGAGATCTTTGGTCAAGTATGCGGGATTGGAGAAGTTGTAAAACGTCAATAACCGATCGGGGTCATCCCGGGTCGCAATTGGAGTTAGCACTGCTGCGAGACCCGGGCCGGATCCGTTGTTGTAGGCATTACGGAACTCAGTCGCGAGAGTTCCCATGATGATTGCACTCTAGAATTAATTCAAGTTCAAGCAAGAGGTCGATTGCTGGGAATCGGGTGGTTATCCGAGCCAGAAGCGCGGTCAAAGGGCATCAAAGGGCACCCCGGCTGGCGAGAACCCGCCCTTTTGGTGGTTGGCAGTTGGGGATGTGGCGCAGGTGGGGGCAGATTGTGGCGGTGCGCGACTCGGCGTGGCTGGTGTGGCCTCATTCTAGATTCGGACTAGTGTCCCACTGATTCACACCAACTCGGTTAAGCGAGCCCTTCGGGGCTGGTAGCCCTAAGCAACTTCACACTCCCAGCCAGATTTCTCTCCCCCGACGGCACACTAACGACTCATCATCAACAGCGACAATCACAGTAGGTTACTCCTCCATACTGTCGTATTCAGGACCATTGCTAACATACTCATTTCCAGATGGGTAAGTGACCTTTTTTGAAATTTCCGATCCTCTGCGCTCGACTCGAAGACGATATACGGTGTGTGCGAAACCGATGAGATACTATGCGGAGCGAATAAGTCCTCGACAATTACATCAAGACCGGAAATATATGGAAGGATTGAAACGGCCTGAATCGAATCGAATTGAATGTTGAAGGATGAATCTGCACCGCGCTGCCGGTCACAATCATGTCGAATCTCCACATCGAATTTTTCTTCTTCCTTTAATCGCCAACCACAACCACAAAACCTCGACTCAACCCGACCCCTTCGCTCGCTAAAAAATCTCGTTCGACTGGAATTGCACACCCGATCATCATCGTCAAGAGCACAGGCGCAAGAGAAATTTACCCACACGATGACCTCGTTGCTCGCAGATCGGTCCCTAATCACCCAAATAATTACTGACGAATACCACTCGAACAGGGCGTCTTAACGAATACCAGGTTATTGGTAGAGCTCTGCCGAAGGAGGATGCACCTTCTCCTAAGCTTTATCGGAGTAGGTTCTTCTCTCTTTAATATCGCCTTCGGGACCTTTCGCTAACATGGTCTCCAGTGCGGGTTTTCGCCCCTAACACTGTGGTCGCCAAGTCCCGCTTCTGGTACTTCATGTCTCAGCTCCGCAAGCTGAAGAAGGCCAACGGCGAGATCGTTTCCCTGAACGTGGTATGTGGAGAGTAGTCCATCACCATCAGTCTTGAAATTGGTACTAATTTCCTTTCGACAGATCACCGAGAAGCGCCCTCTCAAGGTCAAGAACTTCGGTATCTGGATCCGCTACGATTCTCGTTCCGGTACCCACAACATGTACAAGGAGTTCCGTGAGATGTCCCGCACTGAGGCCGTCGAGGCTCTCTACCAGGACATGGCTGCTCGTCACCGTTCCCGTTTCGGCTCCATCCACATCCTCAAGGTTGTTGAGATCACCGACAACGAGACCATCCGTCGCCCCTACATCAAGCAGCTCCTGACCAAGGGCCTCAAGTTCCCCCTGCCCCACCGCTCCGCCAACCCCGGCAAGAAGATCTTCTCCTACTCTCGCCCCTCCACCTTCGCTTAAATGCGATGTTGTTTTTGGGATTCTGGAGATGAAGTGTGTGGATGAATAACTGCGTTATGGCTATGGAATGCATGAAAGACGGGCCGCGCGGAACGGCCTATGTGTCCCTTTCTATGGGAGGCAGTTTGGATATCTCTAGTCCCGTGTAGTGATGTCTGAGGTTTAAATTTCAAAAATATCGGGTTCATTGTTCTGCCTTATCCTCACGTAGGAATGTCTCTTCTGCTCTCTTATCCTGTCTAGAATGAGCAGTAAAGGTTTTTAAGTGCTTGCTGAGGTTCATTGAAAGCGCCATGGACACTCATGAAACTGCCGCTTTTTCATGGTGGGGACCCCGAGTGCGGAGTAAGATATTTGTTGCACAAACATCATGACCAGTAGTACATCGTACTACTAGGTTGTGAGTCTGGACAGTTCGGATGTATACTCTGCACGTACATAGTATCAGTAGGTAATATATTTCAAGGTTCATTATCATATTCGGTGCTTTCTGACTATTTCCCTATTGGTCGAGCACAGCAAGGCTTGAAAATACAACCATTCTGTAGAAAAAGAACATCACTTCATAGATGATGCATGTCCTTATTCTTCCGTACTTTTTCGGTATATGTTGCATCACAGCCCAATCTGCCTCTCGTGGCAGCCGATTCATCGTGATTCATTACAATCAATCTCTTTACAGCCTGATTGCCTATCGTCCATCTACCGGAGAACCTCTTTGGCTTGCTACAACTCGGAATTGACCCGCAATAATCCGAGAAATGATGTGCTGCAGGCACGGCTTCCATGCTGCGTCATCGGAAATGGGGTCGAAACCAACCGGATCCCAGGGTCCGCTTTCATAATCCGATTTCTTCCCCGTTTAACTCAACCTCTCTCTACCCCCTCTCTTCCCCATTGTTACACCTTAATTAACGCGCAACAATGTTCGCTCGTCAGACCTTCCGCTGTGCTCAGCCCCTGAAGCAGGTCCGTTGAGAAATCTACCACTCCCCAATGCCTCCTTGCGAAAAAGCATTGCTGACCTTTCCCTTCAGAGCTTCCGCAAGTACTCTGCGGAGGCCCCCAAGGCCGCCGAGTCTGCCCCCAAGCCTGCCCCCAAGAAGGCCAACCTCACCCCCGTCTACGTTGCCGTCGGTCTCGCTGGTGCGGCTGCTGGTTTCTACCGCTACAGCACTGGAGCCGTTGCCGAGCCCAAGAACCGGCCCAAGGCTTTCAACGGCCAGGACTGGATTGACCTGAAGGTCGCTGGTGTCGAGACTCTGAGCCACAACACCAAGAAGATCCGTTTCGCATTTGACGATGAGGAGGCCGTCGGTGGTCTTCCCGTTGCCTGTCAGTCACCCACCAGATATCCCAATTCCGACTTATAGCTAACATGATCAACAGCTGCCTTGTTGACCAGGTTCAAGCCCGAGGGCAAGGAGAAGAACATCATCCGTCCCTACACACCCACCAGCGATGAGGGTAAGCACTCCTCCGCCTAGCATAATCCGGTGCCCCTACTAACAATCCCCCAGAACAACCCGGTTACCTCGAGCTCGTTGTCAAGTCCTACCCCGGCGGCCTCATGTCCGAGCACATTACTTCCCTGAAAGTCGACCAGACCCTCGCCTTCAAGGGTCCCATCGTCAAGTACCCCTGGGAGGCCAACAAGCACGACCACGTCTGCCTGATTGCCGGCGGCACCGGTATCACCCCCATGTACCAGCTAGCCCGCCATATCTTCAAGAACCCCGAAGACAAGACCAAGGTCACCCTCGTGTTCGGCAACGTCACTGAGGAGGACATCCTGCTGAAGAAGGAGCTCAACGAGCTGGAGAACACCTACCCCCAGCGCTTCCGCGCCTTCTACGTCCTGGACAACCCTCCCAAGGAGTGGGCCGGTGGCAAGGGCTTCATCACCAAGGAGCTCCTGAAGACCGTCCTGCCCGAGCCTAAGGAGGAGAACATCAAGGTCTTCGTCTGCGGTCCTCCCGGTCTGTACAAGGCCATCAGTGGCGGCAAGGTCAGCCCCCAGGACCAGGGCGAGCTGTCTGGTGTTCTGAGCGAGCTGGGCTACAACAAGGACCAGGTTTTCAAGTTCTAGATGGTTGTAAATTAGAGCTGGCGGGGAGATACGTCCGATCGCGATGTATAGAGCATTTGCTGTGAGTGTGTTCTCCCGAGATATCCAAGATAGTAGCGTTGCTCCATAGAACATTTATCAAATCCAACATGTTACATTAGCAGTGTTTGACTAGTGCCTGTAGAATTGAGTGCTATATCTCTAGTCATGGATAGGTAATACGATAATTTGAACTTTTGGAAATAAAACTTGAAGAGACAAACCAGAAGCAGAACTTCCAAGGTCGGCGACCACAATCCACCGTGACTGTGAATGGCGCAAAGATACTATTGTACTACTAAGACATCCTCTGTGAGATTTGTCGGTCATTGTTTGATTTTCCAAGGTTGTCTATAAATCCCTCCTGTTTCTGTACTCTTGATGATGATTATTATTAGGTCTATTAAGTACTACGCTGCCCACCTGGGCAGGTGGTTGAATAGTTTCTCGGGGGCCTACTTTCAAGTTCGTTAAGCCCTGGAGGGCAGTACCGAGGCCCCGGGTTGATGCCGGAGATATATAATTGCCAGGCGGGCGGACACTGGTATTTTTCAAATCTGCCCTCACCTGCCCAATGGGCACCTCAGGCCCGGGGGGCTTGGGACTCAGAGAAATAAATATCGGTCACGACCTCGGGACTCGGAACAACTAAAATATTATTCAAATATTATTTGTGAAACTTAGAGTATTTCCAAGGATCTTATTCAAGTAAAGTGTAGCATTTAGGGTACCTATTAACAACCATAACCAACCTCATCATCTCACTTACCCGGCGAGTGGTTATGTCACAGAGTTGGGTAAACGGATGGAGGGGCGGAGAGGTGGAAGATGACCCAGGCAGGGTACCCTAGGGTAAGCCTGGGTGGCCCCGGGTACGAAGGACGGCACGGGGCACGGGTCACAGTGAAGCCACCCCATTAATTGTTAAGCCCTGGAGAGGGCAGACCTAAGCCTAAAGCAGCGCTGGGCCGCATGCCGTGCCCCCCCAGCTCCGGCCAGCACTACCCAGCTCTGCCCAGCTCTGCCCAGCTCTGTGACCTTTATTTAGCCCTGCCCTTTCCCCCCCTCCCCCCCCGCTCCTGCCTCCCCTTTACCCCCTCCCGCTGCTTTCCCCCTAACAAACTCTTCCCCCTCCACTGCTTTAACCATTGACCACCCCCATTATCCCATCCATCATGACTTCTGATGAGACTGTTGCCGTCAACATCGACGAGCTCCGCAACACCAAGGATGCCGTAAGTCAAATACCCCCCGTTTCTGCCTCGCTTCCCTTTTTTCCATCCTTGATCCTCTCAACTTTTTGTTTGGATGTTGTTCTTCCTGTTCTTCCCGCGCGCTTCGACGCGTCGCATCTCAACAGAGCTGTCGCACGCCCATATGACTGTGTCGCATTGTCCCATTCTACCTCAAGAGGCTTCTTCAATGTCTTCCATATGCCATGGAAAGCTTCGTCAAAGCTCTTTTGCCTCGACTTGGTGGGCGCGTGCCGCAACACTGGCGCGACACCCCACGCGTGCTTTTTTTCCCTTTTCATAGCGCCTTCACGTCTTTCCAGGACTTTTATTTCCTTTTTTTTTTTTAGCGCCTTGTTTATGTCCATGAGTTGTTCTTTTATTCGTACATTCATGTCATCCCAAAAATGACCGAGACTATATCCGAATGCTTGCATATGCCATCCACTTGACAGGTGAAATTGAAACTAACCACGTCTCAGGTCCTCCTCCGGTTGATGGGTCTTCAAACCTACATCGCCGAACTTAGCAAGGCATACATTGAACATGCCAACAGCGTTATTAACGGCGAATCTGCCGCCATTAAACTGCCCGCTGTCCCGAGTCACTTGACTGGTCAGCTTGAGGGTGGTCTTCATGCCCAGAGCCCCGACAAGACCGAGGCCGGCCCCAAGAAGCGCAAGCGCGCACCCGTCGACCCCAATGCACCCAAGCGTGCCCTGACCCCGTACTTCCTGTACATGCAGCACAACCGCACCAAGATCTCCCAAGACCTCGGAGAAAATGCCCGCCCTAAGGAGGTTGCGGATGAAGGCACCCGCCGCTGGCAGACTATGCCCGATGAGATGAAGGAGGTATGTTGACCATTCTGCGCTGCTAGCTATACTTATACTCTTTGATGGTCTTGATACTCACACAACTACAGGTCTACAAGGCAATGTATGCTGAGAACTACGAGGCGTACAAGGCGGACATGGCCGCCTACAAGGCCGGCAAGTCTGCTGACAACGACCCTGCTGCCAACCAGCTTCAGCAAGACTTTGCTGGTGCTGAAAACTCCCGCGAGACTGATGATTCCTCGTCTGAATCCGAGGATGAAACGTCGCCCTCTCCTCCTCAGCCTCCCAAGGTCAAGACCCCTCCCCCCCAAGACCACTAAGCGTCGCAAGAGTGAGGGAAAGAAGGAAGTTGTCGAGTCTCCCCAGGCTGCTGCAAAGCAAGCCTCTCCAGTCAAGAGGCTCCGAAAGGCCGCTGCCGCCGAGCCACCATCATCGGCCAAGGCCACCCCTGCCAGCAACAGCCGCAAGAGCAAGAAGCGCAAGAGCGAGGCATAAGTGATGGTTGATTTGGGTTGACTTTTTATTTCGTTTACTTTCTTCTTTTTTCCTCGAAACTTTTCTAGGGATCTTCAAGGTGAAATTTCTTTTTGGCCACGGCGCTCATCACAGTATTATGTTCTATTTTGTTTTTCAAAAGTGTGTACCGAGAGAGAGAGAGAGAGATGTATGGAGTATATTATGGGATTCCACTAACTAGTATCATTGAATGATTGGCTTAGTACGGGTATATTCTTATAATTCCTAGGGTATACGGAGTACCTACGGTGCCGGTGGGGCCCTCCACTTATTTCCACCCAAATCTACCCGAGTACGGAGTAAAATTCCTAGCAAAAAAAAAAGTGAAAGGACCAGAGGGACTCCTAGTCAAATAACTAGTGGGACCTTTAGCCCCAGCCTTCCCAAAGGTTAGAAATCAATTAGAAAGGCCGTGACTAACACGGCCGAGCAAGAGGCCCAATCGGCCAGCACGGCAGCTTATCTTTCCTGTGGCTCTCGCACTCTCCCACTATCTCCGCTGCCTGTCACGGCATTGCGATGGGAATAAAATATACCGACTTCCCCCCCCCCCACATTCTTATTCTCCCTTCCCAAACCTTCGTCCTTCAACTTTCGATCCTCCTTTGGCGGACTTGGGACTTTGTTCTTTATACTATTTCCCCAACCTCGAGATCTCTTCTTTTTTAATCGTGCCAAGCTTTCAAAGTAACCAGGTTCGGGTTCCACCCGCGTCATGCAGCTCGTTCCTAAGGAGGTAGGTCTTGTTACAGCCAAGCCTGGGGTTTCCCAATGACACTCGTTGACTCCTCCACAGCTTGACAAGCTCACTATCGCCCACCTCGGGTTTCTGGCACAGCGTCGTCTAGCCCGAGGTGTGCGACTAAACCACGCCGAGTCGGTGGTATGTTCCTCAATTCCCACTTCCCTCTCCCGCCTTGGCTGGGGTCAAAAAGAAAGAGAGACGATCAAGTATCGTGGAGGCTAACTAATGCATTTGTTCGATAGGCCCTGATCTCTAGCGTTCTGCACGAAGTACGATCCACTTTTCTCCCATACATATATACCCTGCCCATTTGATCCATGACTCTGACATCTACTTCTTCCGAAAATAGCTCATTCGCGATGGTCACTACTCCGTCGCCGATCTCATGTCCATCGGTAAGACCATGCTAGGTCGCCGCCATGTCCTTCCCTCCGTCGTCGCCACTCTCGTCGAATTGCAGGTCGAAGGTACTTTCCCTTCCGGTACCTACCTCGTCACCGTACACCACCCCATCAGTAGCGATGATGGAGATCTGGAGCGCGCGCTGTATGGCAGTTTCTTGCCCGTGCCTCACCGCGACGCTTTCCCGGAACCCGACCCTGATGATTTCTTGCCTGAGAAAATGCCCGGTGCCGTCATTCCGGTCAAGCATGCCCGTGTCGAATTGAATGATGGGAGAAAGCGTATTCGCCTCAAGGTCATGAGCAAGGGCGATCGACCAATTCAGGTATGTGAGATCACCGCAATTGGGCGGAAACACACAGAGAGAGAGAGAGAGAGAGAGAGAGAGAGAGAGAGAGAGAGAGAGAGAGAGAGGGAAAGGCAAAGCTAACGCCGAAACTACCTAGGTCGGATCGCACTACCATTTCATCGAGACCAACCCACAATTACACTTCGATCGCATTCAATCGTACGGCTTCCGTCTGGATATCCCTGCCGGCACTTCTATTCGTTTCGAGCCCGGCGACACCAAGACCGTGAATCTGGTCGAGATTGGCGGTAACAAGGTCATTCGTGGAGGCAACTGGCTGGCAAATGGGCCATTGGATCTGAGCCGTGCCGATGAAATCGTCACGAAATTACAAACGGCAGGATTTGCGCATGTCCCGGAGCCAACGGTGGATGCCGCCCTGATCACCGGGTTCTCCATGGAGCGCGAGGCCTATTCTCGCATGTTTGGTCCGACGACCGGTGACCTGGTGCGTCTGGGCTTGACTAACCTGTGGGTCGAAGTGGAGAAGGATATGACGACTTACGGCGACGAGTGTGCTTTCGGCGGAGGCAAGACTATTCGTGATGGCATGGGCCAGGCCTCTGGAAGATCCTCGGCTGAGTGCGCTGACACCGTTATTACGAATGCGTTGATTATCGACTATACTGGTATATACAAGGCCGATATTGGTATCAAGGATGGGTTGATTTGTGGCATCGGCAAAGCCGGTAACCCTGATGTTATGGGAGGTGTTCATCCTGATTTGGTGGTGGGTGCTTCGACGGATGTGATCGCTGGTGAGAACAAGATTGTTACCGCGGGTGGATTCGATACGCACATTCACTTGATTTGCCCGCAGCAGGTCGACGAGGCTCTGGCATCGGGTATTACTACCTTCCTTGGTGGCGGAACTGGCCCGAGTACTGGGTCGAATGCTACTACTTGCACCCCGGGACCGAACCACCTGCGTCAAATGATGCAGGCCTGCGATAGCTTGCCGATTAACCTCGGAATCACTGGCAAGGGCAACGACTGTGGTAGACAGAGTCTCGAGGAACAGATCAAGGCTGGCGCTGCTGGTCTGAAGCTGCACGAGGATTGGGGTTCCACGCCCGCCGCTATTGATAACTGCCTGACCGTCTGCGAGGAATACGATGTGCAAGCCATGATCCACACCGATACCCTGAACGAATCTGGATTCGTCGAGCAGACAATCGAGGCTTTCAAGGGCCGTACCATCCACACATATCACACCGAAGGTGCCGGCGGTGGCCACGCGCCAGATATTATTTCAGTGGTGGAACACCCTAATGTTCTGCCCAGTAGTACAAACCCGACCCGCCCCTTCACTCTCAACACCCTCGACGAGCATCTCGACATGCTAATGGTCTGCCACCATTTGTCCAAGAACATCCCCGAAGATGTCGCCTTTGCCGAGAGCCGTATACGTGCCGAGACTATCGCTGCCGAGGACGTGCTGCATGATTTGGGTGCCATCAGTATGATGTCTTCGGACTCGCAAGCTATGGGCCGCTGTGGAGAGGTCATTCTGCGCACCTGGCACACTGCCCACAAGAATAAGGCCCAGCGTGGCCCTCTGCCCGAAGACGAGGGCAAGAACAATGACAACTTCCGCGTCAAGCGTTATATCAGCAAGTATACCATCAACCCGTCCCTAGCCCAGGGTATGGCCCACATGATTGGAAGTGTGGAAGTGGGCAAGATTGCAGACCTGGTTCTCTGGAACCCTGCCAACTTCGGCACAAAGCCAGTGCAAGTTCTTAAGAGCGGCATGATTGCCGTTGCAGAGATGGTACGAGCTTTTCCCTTTCTGACTTTATCTGCGAATATATACTAATTTTCTGTGATTATAGGGCGACCCCAACGCATCAATCCCGACGATCGAGCCTATGATCGTCCGTCCGATGTTCGGTGTTCGCGTCCCCAGCACATCAATCATGTTCGTTTCCCAAGCCTCCATCGATGAGGGCATCGTGCAGACCTATGGCCTTCGCAAACGCATCGAAGCAGTGAAGAACTGCCGTACCGTCGGAAAGAAGGATATGAAATTCAACGACGCAATGCCCAAGATGAAGGTCGATCCGGAGAGTTATGTAAGTGCCCTACCTCTTTCACAACACTGTTCCTGAATCGTGCTGACCCTGCCTGCCCCAGACCGTCGAAGCAGACGGCATGCTGTGCGACGCCGAGCCTGCATCCGAACTACCCTTGACGCAGGCATACTATATATTCTAAACGTCGGAGGCTGTGCGTCTGCGAAACGTGGCACTGGTGTTTCTGTGCTACTGTTTCAGGGTATTTCTTGGGGGCCTTGATGCCTCTGAGTGATACCTTGCCCTTGCCCTTGCCCTTGCTGCCTCCCTCTTCTCTCTCCACGCCTTGACGCATTTTCTTGCCCGTATGATTATTTCTTTGGTCCCATGTTTCCCACTTTTGCATTGCCCGGTTTCTATATACCTCATCTCGAATTGCGATTTCCGGGCGTTCGTGTCATAGCGAAGAGAGCGCTTGTTCTGCATTTCATTTCATTTCACTTCTTTTCGTTTCGTTTCTTCGTTGCTGTATGTAGCTATGGACTACGAAAGTGACGATTACTTAAGTTTACAACCTAACCCTGAGTCTTTCGACTATCTATCTATTGATAACCATGTCACTCCATCCCATCCCATCCCATCCCATTCCAACGCATACACATCAGCTCATGGGAATTACAGTAGCCAACCTCCCTTTCAAGCTTTAGTTGAATTTTCCAGATTCTGCCTAGCCCATGGCCGAGGAGAGGTTACTTTCGGCCAACACAGACCCACACGCGCGCCTCGGACCTCGCCGCATCAACGGGCCCTAATCACTTCTTTCCAGGAGTTGGCCGACTCACGACCCCACGCTAGTCAGAGCGGACGGCGCCTTCGTATTATCGGGTCGGACCGTGGAGCAAGCCACGATTATGTGTCAAGGCTTCTGGGTCACGGTCATGGCGGGGTATCGGTAATATTCAAGGGACGTAAAATCATGACGCTGGATTCCTAGTGGGATTTGGCTGGTGCCCTTAACTTGAAGGGGATTGGTGATGATTCTGCGTTGTCGTGGGCTCTAGATAGATGAAATCTTGGAAACGGTTCGTGATAAAAGCGTAATTGTAATTATGCCTAGGTAATAGAGAGAAACTTTTCCGGAATTCCATCAAAGCAAGTGGAATCTAAGCGATATCAATTAGAAAACAATGAGCCAAACTCTAGCTAATAGTTTAGTCACCAAAAGTTGTTTTTAGACCATATCTGGTACGACGAGACAAGCCGTACGGCATGTCTTTCTCGAATTGGATTTCGGGGGGGGGGGGATATGGCGCATCCCGCTCGACGATAATCGAACAAAGTCAATCCATGGAATTTTCAATGGTCATAGCTCCATCTCCTCCTCAGTATGATTATCACCGGCCGAGACTATTGCCATATCTGCCCATGAATCGTAAGTATCTCGCATCGCAGCAATGAATGCTTTCACACGGGTGCGAGTGCGTGCTTTCATTCGATCACGAACGAGTTGTGCTCTTTGCTCCCTTGCGGGATCCGGGCCTTCGGAGGAGCCGGGGTCTTCGTTCTCCGTCGCGGAAGGGGCGAGTATAGATTCCGATATTGAGATTGACAGGGCGTCGGTTTGCTGGCTATCTTGATTTGGTGGTGGATGGATGTCGTGTGGTTGGGAAGACTCCGCCCCGTCCTCGCCTGAAAATGATGGGGGTCCGAGAGGTTCCGGATCTTTCTTTGAGAGCGCAAGGGCTATATGCCGAGGAGGCTTCTGGGTATTTTCTTCGTCATTGGCACTGTCCACTTCATTCGATGTCCAGGAGGATGGTACTTGGCCAAGCTGGAGTTTTCCAAGATCACAGTTCTCCTGTAGATAACGATATGCTTTTCTTACTTCGTCACGTTTTGCTTTGACCTGATCAGTGGTGTCAAGCTGATCCCTCGGAAGTGAAGTCTGCCCCTTGAGAGAGGATGCAGGCGGAGTCGAGAATTGTGAGCGGGTGTCTTCTTGTTTTTGCGACGAGACTGCTGGGTCATCTTGGTCGTTTGTATTATTTGAAGTACTCTGTACTTTCAAATGATCGTCTGTGGTGGGATCTCCCGTATTGGACTGTGTTTCGTCGTTCACGCTGCTGGATCGAGTGGACTGGGTGGCGATGTCATATTCATACCGAGGGCGCTTCCTCGGGCGAGAATCATTACTATTTGCGTCCTCGAGAATTTTACGGATATGCGTATCGTGAGAAAAGTCGTTTCCCGAGCAAAGGTGGCCGAACAGCCGCTCTATAGACACATTATCGCTCCATGAAGACTGTTCGACTGTGCATGGATGGATATCCTTTGGTCTAAAAGCAGCGACAAGCTCGCATAGTTCCGAGTATGATGAATGACGCGAGTAAGGAAAGCGCTAGACTATGTTAGATAAGTCTTGTGCCATATTATACAATGGTGACTCACAATTGAATTCGGTAGGTCGGTCTCCGTACTTTGTGAGCCCTGGGATTCCTCACTGGACAGACCTTGGCCGAGTTTCGTCATCAGTCGCTCAAGAGAAATTTCATCTTCCTCCTTGACGCCATAGAGATCTAGCGACAGCGCCTTCTTTTTCGACTTGAACGCTTTCGATATAGCGTCTTGCATCTGCGACAGGACGTCTTTATCTTGGATGTGTTGAAGGCATAGTTGCTCCAACGCTGCAAGAGCGGTATCGTCCGGTAGTTCAAGCTCATGAATCTGGTACAGATCACCGAGACCTCCACCAGCACCAACCTCGGGGATTTCAGCTCCGTCGCTAGTACGATTCACGATGGGCGTGATGTAAACGGTCTTTGACCCACGGGCTACGGGGCAAGTGACCCCGGGCTCGCAGCTATGGACTCGACTGGATTGGCCACCACTCAAGCAGCCTTCAATAAACTTATTGCCAAGCTCATATCCGCAAAGTGCCGGTGCTTCAGTGGCGGCTCTACTACTAGATAGACGAGAGAGGGATTGATAGAGACCCATTTGGTAGCAATCCACATGGACCTTGGATGAGACTTAGAGAGGATTTCTTTGGTTTCATTATAGTTGAGAGAGACGGCATACCTGCGTATTGAGAGCTGCTGAAAGAGCGATCCATACCTCCTCATAACCAAAAGTCCATGATCTGAAGTAGAATACAGTGTCATCAGAATATGCATCCACTTTCTTCAAAAGCTCGGCGAGCCCTTGAGCCTTGGATGGAAATTCTCGAAAGGGATTTGATTTGCCAGCGAAAGTGGTATCAAGGTATAGCTTGTCTAGTCGTTTCGGGCCTAAAGTGTATGGTATTAGAATGGGATGCCGTACTAGGCTGTCAATCCACCATCGCTCCGCTGTCTGGTGTTAGTCCAAAATGAAGTCTATGGGGGAGAGGGTTTGAGGCTGACCTCGGATGTCGCCAGTATAGATAATCGCTTTACCATTCCCCTCAATTAGAAACATCACAGCCCCGGGACAGTGGTTGGCATCGAACAAAGTGACCCGGATTCGCCGCCGGGGCGTAAGTTCGATGTCCGTGGGGGTGTGCAAGGGGATGGGACGCTGTCTGTTCGTCAGTCGTGTACGTCGAAGCCGAGGCGTTGTTTACTCGAAAAGATTGTATGAGGGCAAGAAAGATATTCATTCGAGTAGCTGTAGTCATTGAGACTGTTGCTACTCGAGTTTTGGTTTCCATATGGTTGGAAGTGCCGGCGAATATTTTGATACATAACGTAAGGTTCCAGACTGACCAATAGTTTACTAAGATGTTTGTAGTGTAACCGACGCGATTCTAAAATTCCCTTCTGAAAGTTCATTCGATGGGGAAATTTCTCAAGGCGTAACAATAGCTGTGTAGTGCCGGGTCAGTCGGAGATGTTTCATGTTTAGCAGCACACTAGACAGGGTCCTGAAAGATGGATCCACACCCCCTGTCGGCTCCTGATTGCTATTCTGAGACCCCACGCGGCACATCGCTGGGTTTGCGATGATGGAGGTCTGCAGGTCGACATAATTGGAGAGAGGGGTAGTGGATACAAATCCATAGATCCATCCTTCTAGACCTTTTGGAAGCTCCAAGTCAACCGAGTCAAGGAAGTCAAGTCAACTCACCTCGCGGGTGGCGGAGGAGCAATAAATGAATGGGGCCCGAAAGGACTCTAGACCCTGCAGATGGTCACTATGCACATGGCTCAGAAAGCAGGCCAGCGGTGCTGGTCGCGCAGGGCTTTTTCGAAAGTAATCGACTGCATATAATCAGCATCAGCTGGCAAATGAGAAAGATGACCACTTGGTGGTGTGGTAAGGCTGACTTGTAATATCGGGGAATTCTGTAAAGAATGAGTAAAACTGACTCTATTCAAGGGGAGAAGGGGGCATAGAAATGACCAACCTGGAACGACACCATCAAAGGTCGACATGGGTGATGTGGAGGTAGTGGAGGTGAGTTGTAAAGGATGAAGAAGGTCCAGCTGGCCGTGCAGCGCCAGCGCACGGAAAGGCAAGAATGCGGTGGCACCTTCCCATTTTTTTGCTTTGTTGGACTCGTCACTTTTCACCTGACTTCCTCATCTTACCTTACTCCGTACTCTCTTTGATATCTTCCTTCCTTATTCCTTATTCCTTATCCCTTATTCCCATCTACCACTCCCTTCAAGTTTTCAATTCCACATGGTAAATGCTTGGTCTAGACCATCAGCCCCACAGCTAAACGCCCTTCCAGATCGTATCCGACCTCTTCACCCCCTCTCCCAAAACAAGAGGCGGGTGGACGGCGGCTCGCCTAGTTTCAGACAAGCGGCTGAGACTCGCTGCTAGGGCACTCCTGTACTATCTCTTCTTATTCCCCATTCTCCCCTCTTTCCTCAATTCCCTTTCTCTTCGGCTCCCTGGGATCCTTCCCTCACACCGTCATGCGGAAACCATCACTCGCCCAGGCCGTGTACAATGCGACCTTTCCGCGCCCGCGCGCCAGCGACCCCGGCTCCTTTGCAGCTCATATCACTCGCAATCTCGTTCCAGAGGTGCGCATTGAAACAAATACCTTCTACGGTCCCTTGGATTGCATTGAGGCCCAATATCCCGGTCTGGATTACTCCTATGGTCCGCATCGCATGCGACTCGGTCGGTTTACATGGCATCGCCGACTCTTTCACGTCTTTGATAAGCTCCGACTAACAGAGACCGAGATCTCCGAGCTCTGTTGCTGGGAAGGGACCAAGTCTGCACGTCGGCGATATGAGGCCGAGGAAGGAATTACTGTCCGAGACACTACAGCCAGTGGGGTACGCCCTGCGACACCAGCCCGAGAGCCTTCGGTCGAGATTCACCACTACGATTGTTGCGGGCCAGATGAAGAGTTCGAGCTGGATCTCGATCTCGATCTCGATATCGACCAGATCATAGAGACCCGTAGCGACGACACCGTGCGCGCCAGCGAGTCTCGTAGCAGCTCCAGTATGGCTTCGGAGTACCGACACGAGTTTGAGGAGGATTACAGCGACGATGAAATGGAGAGTTGCGGTGTAGCCCTGAACCAACGCTTGCTGGATGCCATGGCCGCGCGCGATCAAGGAGCTGATGTGCCCCTTGACGAGGACTGGGAGCAATGGCTGAAAGAGGCTGGTGAGCGTGGAGGATACGGCGACATGGTGCATGCGATCCGCACCAATCAACCCCTGGGCTTCCCTCCCGAAGTACCGACATCTTCAATACGACACAGCGATCCTCGTATTACTACACCGCGGGCGGCCACATTATCTGCAGAGCAGTATCTCTTTCCAAACCCGACTGATTTCATCGTCTTCCCCCAGACCCCAAATCGCCGCACACACGGCACGGCGCGCTGAAGCGGACTTTTGGCTGCAAAAACACACCTTGCCTTTCCTCCCCCTCCCCAAAACATCGCCACCAGCGTATTTTCTTTTATCGTGGCTGCATTCTCCGGCGCATTCTCGCATCTTCCATCTTCCTTCGCATCCTCATTCCCTGGTGGACGAGCCCTTTGCAGCCCATTTCAGGTTTTCTTTGATAGCTATTGATGTGTTCTGCTTTGGTTTCAAAGCTGTGCATAGATCTTCTCAAGTTACAGTTGTCGCAAAGCGATAACATGCTCTGTGCTCTAATACCCTCGGTCTTCACCATTTATCTTCGTTTATCCAACCCATTAGGTTTCAAGGCTACTACCATTTGTTATTGAATTAACGCAACTATCACATGATGACATCCTAAAATCCAGTATTTATACTATGTCTTCGGGTATAACTTAAAGTCAAGTCCTGTGGTAAACCAAACCACCCCGAAATTCTAATATATTCAGATTAAAAATATAAGGGATTGGTCTGTCCTATCCCGCCATCCTTGAATCCTGGGGAACTTGAACCATTCCTCATAAGCCGCACTGCCTTAACCTTAGGTGGTAGCTATCGTGGGTCCACTGATAAGCCTCTCTCTCCCTGGTCCGGGGCCACCTCCGAGTCCCCTCATTACCAACTTGAACTTCCCCCTTGAGCGCAATGCTATGGACCATTGTCCAGTCGAGTCAGATCACAAGTTGGATTGAAAACTGAGTTATCTGTTGCTTTCACCCTTCCCTGCTTCATGCTGCAGACCCCATCCCTAGCTCCGATCGTCGCACCGGCTTCATGATGATCAAGGCAATATTCTACAGCAAATTCGACACGCAGGAAGGTAAAACTGAATCGGCTCAATCCCGTCGCATGATCCAAGCGCTAATAAATAAAACTCGTCTAGGTCCGAAAGTCGTCCACCAAGTCCCCGACGGGGCGATTGTTCCATCCTCGACCGCGCCCGCACAGCCCCTCTTCCTGCCCTTCTCCGACGTCTCGTTCTTTGTGATTCCTCGCCAGGAGCTCTGCGGCAATCTGCTGCAGGTCTGTACCAATGGATATCGAATCCTGGGCTATCCTATTTGCATGAAGTCGGCCCGTTATGACCGCAATGAGTTCATCTTCAATTTCTGCATAGTGCTCGCCGAGGAGGACGATTTCAGCACATACCGGAGCGTGGTGCAGAAGCTTGCTGATCTGATGCATGCCCTGGAAGAGCAGAATGGCTTTTTATCACGAGACTTCTCGAAAAGCGGGGAGGGCAAGGTGCACAGTCTGTGCGAGATGTTGATGGAAGACCTCAACAACTACTGCGAATGCATGATTCCTATCGGTTCGTCGGCCGCTTTTTACGTTCTCGCCAGCTTGGACTAACCGCCAGCAGACGACCTTAACACACTGAACATTAAATTGTTCCCTATATACCCATCTCCCCCGGGTGTCAAGGCGTGGCATGTGCCCTTGTTCACGGTTCGATACCAGGCCTTCATGGACGAGAATTGGGACTTGACTCTGCAACGGGTAGGATCAACTACTGTGGAAAAGAGAATACCCTCAACTAACCTCTTATACAGATTGTGCCACATATAAATGGTGTCCACAGTGTGCGCATAATCTCCATTCTCGCCGATACAGACTTCTCTCTCACCTGTCGTGCTATCCGCCATCTCTTATACTATGGATGTCTATTCATCCTCGACATTTTTTCATTCTCGGCTATATATGCCCCCACAGCGCAATTCAGCTCAACAATATCGTCAGATGAATCAATGCAACTAGAATGCGCACGCTACGTAAACACCCGATTTGCACCACATCCTCCCATCGGGCCCCGAACACCCCTCCCCCCAGCACCAGCAGCCGCCAGCAGCGGGAGCGGCGGCGGAGTCAGCGCATTAGCAAGCTCACTCACCGACCACGCTGCCAGCATGTCCCGCGACGACTCCGGCTTCGACGCAGAAGAGATCTGGCCACTCCTCGGCGAAACCGAAGACAACCTGAAGGGCACCGGCAAAGCAGTCCCGAGCTCGACACCCGAAGACGGCGTGATCTCAGCCCCTCCAGGCCAAGGGCACCGGGTCGTCGACGGTGTGGGAATAGTCGAGCTATATGCGAGTTTAAAGCAAGGCCAGAGCGTGAAACAGTGGTACTCGACTCACAGCCGCGAACTGGCCAACATCGATATCCGCCGCTTCATCACATTCGGCGTCATCAAGGGCTTTGTCTACCGTGTTCATAAGTACGCGTGTGCGACTGGTCAGCCTGCGCCGCCGGCTCGGTCTTCGAATATCTTGCCGCATACTTCGACTGGGCCGTCTTCGCGCGCTACTACGGGGACTAATACGCCCTTCGCTGCGTCTAGTGCCGGTGACGAGACGCCTATCTCGGCGGCGGCGAGGAGGGATGCGAGTCGGGAACGGTCGGGGTCTTTTCATAGTGGGAGTCGGAGTGGGCAGGGGGTTGGGGGTGCGCTGTTTGAGGAGGAAGATGATGATGAGATTGATGATCGGACGATGTCGAAGTATCTGGATGGGACGCATTCGTTTGATCAGATTTGTACGGAGTTGGAGATTAGCGAGCGGGATTTGACGATTCGGTTGAAGAGGTATCCTGGGGAGGTTTTGATACTTCATCGGTGATGTGGTGCTTTGCTTGGAGATTGAGCTCGGATGTAGTGGTTTTGGTGGTTTTATGAATAATTGATACCCTTGAGTTTATGAATTTGATCTTCTGTGGTCATTACTGATCACAGAGAGGAATATAAAATCCACGCGCCCTACAAGTTTATGGATTGAGGGGGTTGACCAACTAGAGTATGAGGCTAGCAAGGCGAAAGAGGATACTCACTCACCTTGGCAGCCCTGTTCGGTGATTAGATAGGCTTAGATTTGAGAAGAAATAACGTGTATTTAATGCTGATTGTAGGTACCTATTCCGAAGGTAGACACATTATTGCCATCCAGAGCACCACCCAGCCAGGCCGAATATGCAAAGACAACGAACGAAATTAACTCGCAGAATGAAACCAGGAAAAGAAAAAAAACGCGAAAAGGTATTCGCAAACGCCGAGCCCATCATTCCGGTCATATCGTAACAGGTTCGCAAGGAAAAGGGAGAAAAACCGCCATGGTGGATATCCATAAGATCCAAAAGCCGAGCCGAGCCTCTATCTACTCCTCATCCCACGCCTCCAGCTCCGCCTTCTCGTATTCAGCCATCGTCGCCGGATCAAAGATTGTCTCTCCCTCCGAGGGGATAGTAGTCTTGATATCTTCGAAGATGGGCAAGAAAGCATCATTCCATCGCTTACGGCGATCCATGACGATTTTAGCCGCATCGCCGACGGCAGGACGTGAAACGCCCGCCCCGGCAACATGGCTACCACCACCGGCACCACCAGGACGATGCTTGGCCTGGGAGCCCTTCTTGCTCTTGCCCATGGTTCGGGTACGTTTCAGGTACGCCTGTTGGACCTGAGAGTCTAAGTCGTCTTGAATGGTGGTGAATTCGAGCAAAGCCATGTGCTCTTGAGCAATCTTCATGATGCGAGCTTTGCGCGCGTTGTTGACGACGATTTGCTTCTTCAGCTCGCCCTGCAGGAGACGGAGGCGTTCGGAAACCTCATCATCAAAATGTGCGTCGTAATCAGGGTTGTCGTCAGGTCCCAGGAAGCCGATGTAGCGGAGTTCTGCCTTGGCGCGCTCGTCGAGTTGTGCGTGGTCGAGTTTGGCGACGGAGGTCTTGAAGCCGGTTGGAGAGGCGTCGCGGAAGGCCGTTGCGGGAGGGAGTGGTTTTTCTCCTGTCTTTGGATCTAGCTCGCTGCCGTTAGGCTGGTCCAGGTCCATTGCGTCTCCGCCTAGTCCACTTGTTGTAGGTAGGTCTCCGTTGGTAGATCCAGTGTTCTCTTTGTCTTCGGGAAGCGTGCGATGTTCATATCGTAGCAGTGAACAGAGTCGGCTAATGAGTGGTCCAACTGAAACTTCATTGGTCTCGGCCTTTTCGTCTGTTAGGGTGTCGATGCTGCCGCGCCCTTGGTTCAAGGGGAGTTGGTCCTTGTCGTCCTGGCTCTGATCGTAGGAAACGCCGTCCTCTTCCGCCCAGATTTGACGGTATGACTTCTTTCCCCGGCGTGGGTTCATAAAGGGTGTTACTCGATCGCCCTATATTCGGTTAGCAACTGGGTCATTGATCAAGTCATTCGGTAGACCTCACCCTTTCTCTCAGCCAGGCAATATCCTCTTCCGTCAGAGGCCGGACATATGGCTCAATGTACGCCTGGAATGTGTTGGCGCTAACTTGGTTGGATGGCTTGGCGTTGCTGAAGTCCTTGTCCGGGGCAATACCTGCCATCATGTGGGCAAGATCGCTCTTGGGGAATACCGCGACACTGTAGATTTGCTTCTTTTCCTCGTCGGTTGTCTCGGGGTAAACATCACGAATGTGGTAGACGGTCGGATCGTCGAACTTGACTGGGTTTTCGCCGAATACTTGGATCTGGGGCACGGAGGGTTGTGGTTCGGGTTGGTGAGAGCTGTCGCTGGATTCTGAACCGGGGCTGCCAGGAGCTTCATCCCCATCGGCGCCATTCGCGGCACCACTAGGGGACAGCATTGAGGGAGGTGAAAGGGAAGAGCTTCCTTCCGATGCTGCGTGCTTTGAATTTTTCGATACTGGGGAAGCAGCTGGGGTTGGTCAGTCAATCGGACATGGTGGAAGAGTGAATACTGGGTAGCAAGTGATGCGACAAATTTGCGGGGTGGAGAGGTGGTGGGCAAGAGTGGAGTGACCTCAATGACAATGAGCGCTGGGATGTTAGAACTCGCTTACCTCCTTCAACTTTGGTTTCTGCTCCGTCCTGACGCGCCAAATCATGGGCACCATGGTTTAAAGGTCGTTCTTCTTTGCTGGCCCGCTCTTTGCGCTTCTTGGTCTTTTTGTGCACCATGTCATCTTCCTCTTCCGTCTCGCGCTTGAACTTCGCCCGATCCCCAACCTCACGAGATAACTCCTGATCTTCTACCACATCTTTTCTCTTCTGTACCATTTCACGCATGCCCTGGTTACAGATTTCCCCGCGAGAATCCGCCATGTCGCTGAGACTATTAAGATGTTCCACCAAGGTTTCCAGTGTTTTGGAATCGGGGATGTTGGGTCCAGCAACCAAGTCAAGCATCTCAGCATATTGGCCATTGGCCGCATCGATGAGCTTTGTTACATCACTTTCAAGGTAGCTTGGTAATTGAGCTGTCTTCCCCGGGGCGCCACCTGCTGTAGATGGGGTTGTATTGCGGCTGCGAGATTGGCGCGGATCGATTCGACCTTTGCCTTTGCTTTTGTATGCGGAAGGCATCGTGTAGCGTTATCTATGAGTCACTGTCGGATTATTCGATGAGTATGACACGAAATGCCGAAATGAAAGCGTAGAGCGATGAGTGAGAGGGTCGGAGGTCTTAGAGGGTGTTGATGGTAGTCGAATAACGCATGCTGTCCGACACGGTTTGTCTTGATTCGATTTTCATGAGCCAGGAGACTCTATGCGATCTTCACATGAGCCGGGTGTAGCCAGATGCGAATGTAGCGATGATTCGATGACGGGGGCTCTGCTCTGCTTTGTCGTGTACTTGCGGTGCCTTGATCTGGGGGAGCTACACGTGATCACGATGCGCGATCTAAGGGCGGTGTGGAACTGCAGAATTGATTCCATGCGATCATGATTCAGCGCCAAGACTATACATGCCTCAGGCCAAATGTACTATTTTTCCGGAACTGTGAGAACTATAACACCAGAGTGAGAGATAGATAGTCTCAAATAATTACGAATGCCGGGATTGTTCCAACTAATCATTTGACGGGCTGAGAGAGATACTCTGAACAACGAAAACCAAATGAGCATGGCTCTAAGACATACTTTCTCTGGTCACTAGACAGAGACATATCTTGGCCTTCTTCCTGCCCAAGGTCGCGGCACTCCGAGTCGGAGGTCAACTTGACCTTGCTGGTATTATAAGTTCCACAATGAACCTCAGTCCTGTACTAGTAACTCACAATGTTCAAATTACTCCATTACATCAACATTCACACAGCTTGAACCGATGAGACAATAATATGTTGATAGTCTACTAGTAATAGCCACAACTCCCGCAAGCAGCATCCGCAAACGGATTGCCTAATCCGGCCGTAGATCACTACTATAACCTCAACCCTCACAACCCTAAAGGGTCAGCAATCTAGGGCAACAGAGACCAGAATCGGTCAATATACAATCATTTCAATTGATCGCAGCCTGTATTTCCCTTTTTCCAACCCTGGAAGCAAGCTTCCCCGGTGATTTTGCCTCGTGGTTTCTCAGCCTTGCCCGCATTCTTTAGACGGATACGATCTCCCCTTACATTCCTTGGGGCCATTGTCGATGCAAAGATGGCCATGGCCACACTTTTGGGATTCGGAGTCGCCGCGACCGACATACTATCGAACTAAGGAAGGTTTCTCAAAATGAGTAGCCTTCGCAATCTCCCTTGTTCTCTCTTCCATACTTCCACGACTAATCATTCACCCTACACTTGCATGTTGTCTCCATTGATTGACCCCATACAATGTTTACCTTGAACAACACCACCACAGAAGATTTTAGCAATTGATCAGAACTATGTCTCGCACTGCCCCACCCGATTCGGAAGCCACAGTCGCCACGTTATTTGCAGGCCCCGGCAGCGCCTCAAACTCTACCTCCTCGGTTAGTGTAAGTATAGCCTCAATCCTGGCGAGATGTGAAGAATGTTCGGCGGCTTATACGCGACAAATATGTAGGAGAATGTGGGATTTCGATTCGTCCTCGACCGCACGGTCCAAACCCTCTCGAGTAACGGCGTCCCCGACTCTGGCTCTGTCTCGGGCCTGTTATTCGTTCCAAGCCTTAGCCCGAAGGATCCATGCAATGAAGAACTCGCTTCGATTATCCCATCCAATGTGACCCGGCATGAGGACGTTTCAGAATTTGGATACCCGGTCATAGGACTTGCCCCATGGGTATCTGACGACTGCACTCAAAAGTTCTTGGCTGCCTCACGAGATGCTGGCACAACAGCTCTTGTTTTCTTCCAACCGAACAATAATAAAACGGGACTCCCGCCCCCTGCCACAGACGATAATTGGAAGTTGAAAGACGAACGTTGGAGAAGTGACAACGAATACCCTGTCTACGCCATCCCAGGACCTGCAGGTACAACTTTGATGGGAGAATTATCGTGGTTCTCAGACGGACAACCCAAGAATTCAACCCATAACCGAACCCGAACTACTCGGAGTCACGAGAGTGATCGGTTGTTTACTATGATTGATACGAGTAAGTCTCCTTGCGATAAGATATGGATTTACTTGGGCTAATAAGTTCCAGATACAACACCAAACCAAGAGCCCAGCCTCTGGAGCTTTGTGCTCGCAATTCTAGGAACGATAGTTGGACTTACTCTCGTTCTTCTTATTCTGTATCGAATCATCCAGCGCAAACGACGAGAGATGCTCCGCGAACGCATTAACTCCGGAGAAGTCGATATCGAGCAGCTGGCCTTGAATCAGCTTAAGGTTCCAAAAGAAACCGTGGAGAAGATGCCCATGTATACCTACCTGGGCTTTGCGCAAGATTCAGAGACAGAAACTCCCAAAACTCCAGTGGAGACAGAGGCCATAGAAGTCGACTCGAGCAGCACCACTTCCACGCCAACCCTGACCGAAGGACGAAGAAGCACAGAAAGTGACGGTGGCATCAAAAAGCCCGAACCAGCTGTGCTTAAGCCCGACGCCAATGACTCCGACGACTCAATTTCGTCAAGGAATCCCTTCCGGTTGAGCCATACCCAAACCACCTGCGCCATCTGCCTTGATGATTTTGTTGCCGGGACTACAACAGTTCGGGAACTACCTTGCGGTCATATTTTTGACCCTGGGTGTATCGACGAATATCTTACAGAGACAAGCAGTCTATGCCCTCTCTGCAAAAAGAGTGTTCTACCAGCAGGGTCGTGCCCGATCTCTGTGACCAACGAGATGGTTCGACAGGAAGCGGCAACAAGGAGAGGACGAACTTAGTCACCCCTAGAGAGCGGAGGGAATGTGAGGCTGGAAATAGTCGGCATCTGTGAATACTTAGCGAATTGTTCTTTCTGTGGTCCTTTCCTCAGGCAAATATGGAGAGGAATTCCTTGCATTGCATGGAGCGTTGCGATTTGAAGGATATTATTGTGTGAATTGGTTTCCATGTTGAGATATTGTATCTATAAATGATAGAAGGAAAGCCCAAAAAGATACCTAGCATGATAATGCCTCTACAGAGTTCTACTGTAGTAGTAGTATTTCAATAGTTTATGCTGAGTAGTGTAGAAATCGTAACTGACACCTGAGGCATGAAGAAAATATGTGGGACCCACACTAGTCACCTGATTGGCACAAATTCGACACTCGGCTAATCACTAGCGTCCCACACACAATCCTCGCCCTCGACTTTGGCAAAGACTCTCTCTCGAACTTTTCTCAGTTGCGACAACGACAACCGACGACCCTGCTCAGCCGACAAGGTACGATACCACACACTCCTGTCCCTCTCAATCGCCATCGCCATCGAAATCGACACTCATTTCCAGTCGCTGACTTCAATTTCGTCCAGATGGGTGCCCTCAAGTACGTCGAAGAGATCCAGAAGAAGAAGCAGTCCGATGTCATTCGGTTCTTGCTCCGCGTTCGCTGCTGGGAGGTGAGATAAAACCCTTGCGACCCCCCCCGATTGCCTAACATCTCCGCCGAGAATACGTATACGTTAGCCATGATAATGCCGTCGAAGCGGTACTTACTAGGCAACCGGAACGATACTCATTTCGGCGGAAGTTGAATTTTTTGTGGCACGAAAAAGACTCCCTTGAGGGCCTGTGTCTTGCTATACACTCGTTGAACTTTGCTGAGAGTGCATCAATATAGCTTCGCCAGCTCGACGCCATCCACCGTGCTTCGCGCCCCTCCCGCCCCGACAAGGCTCGCCGTCTTGGTTACAAGGCCAAGCAGGGCTACGTCGTCTACCGCATCCGTGTCCGCCGCGGTGGCCGTAAGTCGACCGCTCGCAAGGGCGCCACATACGGCAAGCCTACCAACCAGGGTATCAACCAGCTTAAGTACCAGCGTGCTCTGGCCGCTACCGCTGAGGAGCGTGTTGGTCGCCGCTGCGCCAACTTGCGTGTCCTGAACTCCTACTGGATCAACCAGGACTCTACCTACAAGTACTTCGAGGTTATCTGTGTCGACCCCCAGCACAAGGCCATCCGCCGTGATGCCCGCATTAACTGGATCTGCAACTCCGTCCACAAGGTGAGTCCCCAATTGATCCCAGATTTCCTTCCCACTATTGTGGGGTTGATTATGCGGATTGTACTGATCGCGTTTCTTTTTTCCAACAGCACCGTGAGGCTCGTGGTCTTACCGCTACCGGCAAGAAGTCCCGTGGTATCAACAAGGGCCACCGTTACAACAACACCAAGGCCGGTCGCCGCCACACCTGGAAGCTCCAGAACACCCAGAGCTACTGGCGTTACCGTTAAGTGCGTTAGTGCACTGCGGTGGTTTGGGTTGGAAAATATTGGCTGCATGTGGTTATCTCTTCGAACACTTCTCGCCCGTACCGTGTCTAACACGCCGGGACCGAGTTTAATGCAGACCAGCAGGTTCTGTTGTTAGCCAAAAAGCCATTTTGTTTTATGTTGAATTCCCCCTTGTTTAACGAAGTATGACCGGTTCAACCCCTCCTGGCGCCATTGATTGTAAGACTGGCCAATGCTAGTCTCGTAGATGTAGATCGGCCTGGAGGTTTTTATTGCCAGTCTGCGTAAGCGGAAACGGTGTGATTCGCACTGGTGGTAACGTGATTGCAGTCACGGAACCAAATTTAGTGTATCTACGGAAATCAACCGGCTATCCATTGTAATAACTAGATACAGATATGGAGTACCGAGTACCTTACCGAATTGCAAAGCATACGAATCTTTTTCTCTGCAGATCTTGAATACTCCACTGTGGCTAAAGATAGAAGTCAGTTGACTCGGTTGCCTGAGGCCTTCAGAGGGTCGTACCTTCCCTGTTCCCGCTAGCCGCCTTCCCAATCCGTCCAGGACTATGAGATGCAACAACCTCCTCTCGCTGACACTCTTTGTCTTTGCTCTTTGACACCTCTCAATCGCTCACCGCTATAACTCCTCGTCGCTCAACTACAAAGAACACCTTGCCCTCGTCCTCGTCCTCGTCCTCATCCTCATCCTTGTCCTCGGCTCATTTCCTTATCGTCGACTTCCCCACGATCCATTTGCATGTCCTTCGTTCTCGAACCAAGCTCTATAAGCTGGCCTTCTGTCCAATATCAATCGCCCTGGATTTTTCCAATAGCTATAGACGATCAAATGTGCCCCGATGTCCTCTCGATCCGGACGTAATCCGCCGTTTCCCTCCCACTCCAACGCCAATCTCGGTGGCCTCCTTCCTTCGATCCCTTCCTCAAGTTTGGTGACTGAGCGCTCTCTCCGGCCGATCGAACCTCACGATGCTTCGGATATGTCGAAACTAAACGGGGATCCACCGAACAGCTCATACCGCCGCGGTCACCACCGCTCAATCAGTCATCCGTTCACCTCGGCACTGTCGAGTATTGGTAAGAAGCGTGACAAGGCAGCGCATAAGCACGACAGGCACGACAAAGAAGCCAAGTGGGATTCCGATTCAGACTCCGATGAGATCACATACCCGGCCAAACCAATGTCTTCGAGCCCCCGGAAAGATTCAACTAAAGCGGGCTCGAGTAATGGCACCGCCGAAACCAAATGCGGGACCTGCAACTCGACTGTTCGGTGGCCACAGCACTTGAACGTCTTCCGATGCAGTGATTGCCTCATGATCACTGATCTTGAGCCGGATACGCTTGGAGAAACTAAGAATGCAGGTAGTCCCGATGTGGAAGATCGAGGGCATCGGGCCCGGGGAGACCGCCCTCTACACTCACATTCAAATCCAAAGGAGGCTCACGTTCCATTTGCCCCTCCAGATTTCGCGGCCGGTAAAGCGCCCCTCCTTTTTCAATCCCATAAAGATTCAACTGACTTGGCCAATAGAATCACTTGTATCGGCAAACCGACTTGGTGGCATGATTGATGGATGTCTCTCGAAATATTTTGACAGCCTTCTCGATGGTACTCAGCATAGACCAGCACCCGATGAGAATCGCACCGGTAGATTGGATATCCCGAGAGTTCAAAATGGTACAAACCTTCAAACGAAAGACTCTCATGGTGGCCGCCTACCGCCCCCCAAGGAGGATCCGCGCAGTCGCAGCACGTCGGCTTCCAGCGAACATGGAAGGATTTATGACACCAAGGAAAAGCCCAAGTTCCTAATACCACGTAAGGGTAATTTGGGGGAGAAGCCTTTGCCAGATTTGCCGAGTAGGGCTCGTGCAAATTCGGACTTGCGCTCGCATCCAAGACCCAGTCGTCGCCCCTCTGATACGCCTCAACCCCCAGCCTCGGGGAGTTCGGAGAAAGACGACCAGTTTTGCATCTTCAAGCGTTTGGAGAACTACATCATTGCTGCGTTTAAGGGTAGCAATGTGATGAACAACTCATTCCCCACGTACCATCCATCACTTCGATCTGCCAGCAATGGGAACCCACCGCGAATGAAGATGGACCCCATCAAAGAGGTGGACCCAATGTTTAATGTTCCCGTGTTTGAACCTGATGCCAAAACTCTTCTTTTGGGAGATGTGGCTGAGAACTCTACTTGGTGGATGACCGAATGGGCACAAGCTGAAGGACAGGTTCCCAAGTCCTCCAAGGATCATGGGTCTCACAGATCTCGTGCAGTGTCTTCCCGAAGTCCTCGCGTGAACTGGGCAGAAGCTAACCAGTGGTATCACCTAATTCTGACGGCCGGCAGCTCCTGGAATGAGCAATGGGCCAAAAAGAAACCCGACCCGAATCGCTCAGAGGCTGACCGTGTGCGGACCAAGAAATGGGAATCGGTTGACCTAGCATTTATCGAAAAGGAGATTACGGATTCTCGTCTGCACCTCCAGCGGACATTGATGAAGGCCACGGAAAATCTCTTGAAACGTCCACGTTCTATCTTGAAGAAGCCCGAGGACACTAGGTTCTTGTTCATATTGCTTGCAAACCCGCTACTGTCCTCGCCAGGTGCCTACTCGCACGCACGCACGACCCAGACTTCTCACCGTGACGATCGCCGTCCCTCAAACCCCAACAATCTCCAGTCAACTACTAGAGACGGAAAAGCGGCAGGTAGAGAGCCTGGTGCGACCGCCTCAAGCCACAACAATTCCAATCACCATTACGGCATTCTCAAACGCATTCTCGGATTACTGGCTAATCTTCCGAATGAAGCACATCATACATTCATTTCCTGGTTTTCTCGATTTTCGCCCAAACAATTCGAAAGACACGTGGATCTGATAGGTGGGTTTGTCAACTATCGACTTACCCGACAGCATGGTCGCAAGCGTACCCAAATTGCCATGGACAGCAAGGATGGCGATCAGCTTGTGCCGAGTTTTGCTAGTGCTACTGGAAATACGCCTGCGGAGCTACACGCCGCCATCAATCGACGAAGCCCTCAAAAGAAACCGACCAAAAAGAAAGAAGCGCCTATCATATATGCAGAAGACTGGCAGATCCGTGCTGCAGCGAGAATTATGTCTCTGCTTTTTGCTGCAAACAGCAGTAATTATTCGCGTAGACCAGATGGCATGGAATCAAAGGCGCGTCATCGCACCGAAGCTGGAGCAAACAGCCAGGCACGCCAGCAGGGATATATGGTCTCCATTGACTCATTCTACAACACCCTTTTGGACTATTCTGACTTGATCGGGGACTTCGAAATTTGGGAGTCGAAAAGCTCAAAATTCTGCTTCTGCAGCTACCCTTTCTTCCTCAGCATTTGGGCCAAAATCCGGATCATGGAGCATGACGCTCGCCGTCAGATGGAAGTGAAGGCCCGAGATGCATTTTTCAGTAGCATCCTCAGCCATCAGGCAGTCAGCCAGTATCTTGTCCTGAAGGTCCGACGGGAATGTCTTGTCGAGGATAGTCTTCGCGGAGTGAGCGAGGTGGTGGGAACAGGGCAAGAAGAAATCAAGAAGGGTCTTCGAATTGAATTCCTTGGAGAAGAAGGTGTTGACGCTGGGGGGTTTGCGTAAAGAATGGTTCCTCCTGCTGGTACGGGAGGTGTTTGACCCTGACCATGGTAAGTCAGACAATTCCGAGCTTGGAAGAATTTTCTTGACAATTTCCAGGTCTTTTCATCTATGATGAGGACTCACAGTACTGCTACTTTAACCCTTACTGTTTTGAATCATCTGAGCAATTCTTCTTGATCGGTGTCTTGCTGGGACTTGCCATCTACAACTCGACCATCCTTGATATCGACTTGCCGCCTTTCGCGTTCCGGAAACTACTGTCGACTGCCCCTCAGACAAATGCACCGCCCACAGCCAATTCCCGCCGGACGAGGTTCAAGTTTACACTGGAGGACCTTGCGGAGTATCGACCAGCCCTCGCCCGAGGACTTCGTGCCTTGTTGGACTTTGAGGGCGATGTCGCAGAAACATTTTGCTACGATTTCGTTGCCCAAGTTGACCGGTATGGAGAAGTTGTGAACATTCCTCTGTGCACAGGAGGCGAGAAGAGAGCAGTGGACAATGATAACCGTGGCGAGTTTGTTGAGCTATACGTCCATTATCTTCTCGAAACAGCGGTTGCTCGACAGTTTGAACCGTTCAAGCGTGGGTTCTTCACGGTCTGTGGCGGTAACGCCCTGTCACTTTTCCGACCCGAAGAGATCGAGCTACTAATCCGAGGCTCGGACGAACCACTTGATGTGTTGTCTCTACGCGCGGTAGCCACCTACGATAATTGGAAGTCTCATCGCCCCGAATCCCTTCCCGTCGTGCAATGGTTCTGGGAATTCTTCGAGGGCGCTGCGCCCGAGGCACAGCGAAAACTTCTCTCATTTATTACTGGAAGTGACCGCATCCCTGCAATGGGGGCTACAAGCCTCACCATTAGACTCGCCTGCATGGGAGATGATTGTTCTCGCTATCCGATTGCGCGTACCTGTTTCAATACGCTCGGCTTATATCGGTATACAAACCGGGACAAGTTTAAACGACTGCTCTGGGATGCAGTCGTGAACAGCGAAGGATTCGGTTTGAAATGATCATCTTCCCCGTCTGCTCCTGGTCGAGCGACCATGATTTTATGATTACTTGTGCATTGTATAGATGCCATTGCTGGGCGACGTAGTCTCTTAGAATACACGGAGTTAGTTGTTTCTGATTGCGATGCATGCTGAGGTTTATGGTTTATGGTTTTTGGTGTTTGTGAACATACATACAGTGACACATTGCTGGCTGGGTTGAGTTTCAAGATAGAATATCACAAACTTGAAATCTCGATATTCTGTACATTGCACAAAGCAATAGATTCGACATAGTAGAATGAGTTGTTTCGTGAGGCTTTGGGGTGCCCATAGGTAAAATGTGTTCTACGTTTGTGAAATGTCGGTTTCAAGGTTCATTTTTAAACCTGACTAGGTAGTGCTTATTCAATCATAGAAAATATCAACAAACTTGGAATATGCGGATTTTGTCTATCATAATAGCCCCTCGGTCGTTGACCTGAAGAAAATGGATTGAATAAAAACGTACTACAGAAACAGACAAACCAACGATACATCCCTGATAACAGCAAATCCTCTCAGTATCCACCCGGAATGCGACAAAGCCATCGATTTCCCTTAAGCCCACAAGAAATGAAATCCGCAAAATTACTCCTGCGCCTCAAGTCCATTGCCAGGCGGCACAGGGAAGGGGCAGTTAATCAAATAGTTCCTGCAGGGGATATCGCTAGGATCATCGGACTCAGGAACAATACGACCCTCATTCAAAGGCCAGCCAGTGTTGATATCCTGGCAACCACCGCCAGAGTGGTCTTCGTGGTAGTTGCTGCAGTAGCCGCAAGTGTGGTCGTTGAGAAGGTGGTTCTTAGCCACCAGGAGCGAGAAGTAGCCCTCATATTTGAAGGAACGAGCGGCGTTGATCTCGTCGTTGGAGGGTGAGATTGGGTCATGGTCGACCTCGCCGGTCCAGAGTTCGTTGCCAGTGCAACCGGCTGTGTCGTAGAGGACGACTTTGCCTGGTTTGGCTGCAGCAAGGGCAGAGAGGAGGTATATAATGGTGAGGGATGAGAAGTGCATTTTGATGATTCCGTTCAGGGGTTGAGTGCCTGGTATTGATAGAGGAGAAAGATGAGGATGGATGAGGAATGAGTGAAGAATTGCGAGAACAGAGACTCGTTCTTATGGTTTAGCAGAAAGCCTGTCTAGGTGCGTGATTTTATGGTTACGTGCCAGTGCCAAGCTGAGGCATAAAACGATCATCCAAGGCGCACTACAAGCAAGCTCGAATGAAGTATAGATTGACTTCATTTGTCTAATCAAGTCTCACGGGTAAATTACCCCATAGCAGGTTTCAGAATTCTGGTAGAAAGTTGAGACTAAATCGTCATGATGTGGATCTACTCTGCTATAAGCTGATGCCTGGGGGCCGATATGTGGATGTGAAGGTTGCTTTTTCGGGCGTAATATGTGGATGTTAAAGTTGAATCTGCCGATAAAACACCGCGGACCTGCTACGTGGGGGTAATCATACCACACAGAAGAATGGTGCCAAAGGAATACAGCTGTGCCGCGAATAAGGTTGAGTGTATTGTGTATAAATGATTGGTAGGCTAAAATAGGATCTGATATGAAGAAATTTAGGGTTTCGGGAGACAAAATCTACTAGTTAGTAGTACTAGTCAAGGCACGTACCTGGAGTGGTATGGAATGAGAAGCAGCTGGGGGCCTGAATTACCCCTTATGTCAACAGATAAACACAATCAGGGTCCAAAATTCTAGCTTCAGCAGATCTGCAAAAGTGGCTCTTTCTTACTGTCGAGGCGTCATCGGCACCAATGGCCCCCAAGACCGACCAAGCTCGCGGCTTACGCCAAGAAGAAATTTGACGCCATGTTGCCTCTTAGTCTAAACCTCACCCGATGATACTATTCTATGCGGACTAATCACTATGGCTATACCAAATAACCATGCTACGCAATGGCTAGACGGACCTGCACACCTTGAATAGTAAGATAAGTTATCAAGTAGAAGAGATATTCAGCATCGTCAACAACCTTTATTCAGGAGTGATGGTTTCACTCCTGCTTACGGTGGAGAAATTTGGCATGCCACGTTTAATGAACCTTGGAAGGTTAGAGCAGAAAGTAGGGTTCCACTGTGGGTTTACGAAGAAGATCTGCAGCAATTATAAAGTCGTGCAAACCGTGGTGCAGAGTACTGCCTTGTACCTTGATATTCACACATCGGGAATAAATTCAAAGTTGTCTTTAACATTTCTTCATAGAATTGAACCTTTTATTTCTTTTGAGAAATCCAGTATATCTCACTCTCAAATCCCAAGATGTCTTCGACCGGTATCCGAAACGTGTTGAAGCCAAGGTGCTTGAACATCACGAAAATCGGGCTAACAAAAGCCTAGGGGCCCATTGATACTTAGATAGCATAATATGGAAAATAACTTTACCGAATGTGATATTATGCCCGGATTTTATACTTCTTTTTGTTTCACCCCGGGGCCTACAGCGGCAATGCACCAGGGGTTGACTTAAATTCCGCCGTGACGTCTACTACAAAAATTAATCTATCTTGTCTCCAAGGACTCTTTCCCTAAGGACCTAACAAACTGTGAATAATATTTTTCAATGTACAAACTCAAAATTATTTCCGCGATGGCTTCTTCAAATCCGTCAAAAACCTTAGCTTTTTTCACGTTATCTTTACTATGTGACATACAACTTCGGCGAGATACTAATGAATACCATAAAACTACTCTTATGTCAGGACTCTATGAGAGAGTTGCAAGTGGAACGACGAAATGAGACACATGAGCTGGATAATATTTCTATTGCTAATCATGGCAGGTTCTGAGCATCATATTCTTTTGGCGTATATCTTTACTAATCTCCACGAGTTTGGAAAACGAAGGGACTTGATGTTTCTCTCGTACTCAAGCAAAGAGGCTGTAACCCATCAACAAGAACATGCGATATGAACCAAGTGATACTATCCGCAAACCTAACAAAGAAAATTATGTCCAGAGAGGGCCAGAGATGTTTAAGAGCCCTCGAAATCTTAGCAGACATGGGGTAGAAAACTTGTTTGCCTCGGCATTAATGTGTCGGTAGGTGCGGTGGTAGTTATCTGCCGAAGGATTGATAGGCTTCTATTAGTTAGTCCTATGCATTAAGCCACTATATTATTTGGATACTCTTGCCTGTATTTGGTTAGAAAGTGTTTGCTTCCTTAGTCTTAAGGCCGTTGGAATACCCGGAGTTAATACTCGATAGGTAGAGTTATAAGCTGCTGACACCCCGCTATGACAAGGAGATAGACTTTTCACCGCCGCCATGAAATGTTAAGGAACTCTAGCCGATGGCGTCTGAAAAGGCCCACTTTGAGTAGAAGTCCCCTTTTCATCTCTGATTGTGTTCCTTCGTAGATTTTCTCCCTTGAAACTTGCAGATCATGGAAGTTCCTCTATCCGAATACACCTAAAAAGAGCCTTGGAGCCGATGATAGATGAATAAACAAATAGGCCAACCCCTCAACATTCGGAAAATGCGCTATGCCACCTGGGTATACCCCACGTTTGCCGGGCTAACTTTGCCGGACTAACTTGCGTACAGGCTAAGCCCCACATTATCCCCATACTCTTCCCCACACAAACCTCCGCAAAATGATCAGATTTATGCAAGAGTGAGCTGGGCACGTGTGGTGTTAAGGAACCTTGCTAGTGCCAGACTGGTTCCCTGGCCCGACAACTCTCCGTGTCTCTAGGTACCGGTAAACACTGTACCGATTACTCGGCTTTAACTTGAACGTATTCTAAATAAGCCAACTAGTGATAGCAGCTTGAAGACGACAATGATTGTGAGATATCTCATGATGAAATCTATGCCGATAGATGACCTGAAATATTTCAGAGGAAATAATGTACCTGGGCAACAAAAATCATGCAGCAAGAGGGAGGAGAAAACTTGGCGCAAACACTGCTACTAAAAACCTTGGAAGTATCGCTTTTCTCCCGAAGTTTACCCAGTGCCGAAAGTTAAATCTGGACAAGATAGGCTTCTTCTCCGCCATCGGACTAAATGCTTCCCTAATGCACACCATTTATCCAGTGCAAAGCATAACGGACGGGACTCTTCCGAAGCGTATGCTACTATAACTCTAAGTGTGGGCAACAATCGGCATGGCCGGCTACCTCAGACGGGTTGAATGGGGAAGTATCTTGCTGATCATTTGACTTGGAGCTTGTCTGATTAGAGTATAGCATCCCCTTTGACTGAGGGGTATATTTGACTCGCTTTGACGAGAAAAAAAAGTATTTAGAGGGCCATGGGCCTCAGTATCGGTGGAAGTTCTCGTTCTTTAGCTCAAAGCAAAGCGGTTCCATTCATTGCCTAGCGCGGAACAAAAGCATGTTGTCTCCAGCAAAGATTGGGATTGCTTTGGCAATTCTGTCTATCTGTGGTCTGGGCCATACAGAAGAGACTATCACTTCAGATACTCATTTTTATGGCCAGTCTGAGCCCGTCTATCCTTCTCGTACGTGAAACAAACAAACAAATCTATAGGTCTACTAGACTAATATGTCATGTAGCAAAGGGCAAGGGAGGTGGGGACTGGGCCGATGCATACACAAAGGCAGCAGAGCTAGTCGCTCAACTGACATTGGAAGAGAAGGTTTGCTTGCTACCAAAACCACCGTTTAGCGTCGGTAGAGCTAACAACCCTCAAAGAATAATCTTACCTATGGAATCGCAACAACTGAGAATGGTTGTTCTGGGAACATCCCAGCTATCCCTCGACTGGGATTCACTGGAATGTGCCTTCAGGATGCCGGTAATGGAGTTCGTTTTACCGATTTTGTCAACAGCTACCCCAGTGGTATACATGTTGGAGCGAGGTAAGAGACACCGATCCTAAAACCACCAGGAACAAGCTGAAAACAGAACCCAACAGCTGGAACAAGACTCTCGCGCACGATCGTGCCTGGCACATGGGTGGAGAGTTTAGAAAGAAAGGTGTACAGGTCGCTTTAGGGCCTGTTGTTGGACCCCTGGGGCGAGTGGTAACGGGTGGTCGAAACTGGGAAGGTTGGTACTATTGCAACGACAGGAAAAGCTCACAGGACTAACAATTTTAAAGGTCCTTCCAATGATCCATACTTGGCTGGTGTGATGGGAGCCGAATCCGTCCGAGGTCTCCAAGACCAAGGAGTGATTTCAAGTGTCAAGGTAATCACCCCAGCAGACATAGTGGAGATCCCAAATCAAGGTCTGACAAGTCAACTTCTTTAGCATTTCATTGCAAATGAGCAGGAGCTTTACCGGAACCCCACCCTTGACGCCGAGAACCGGACTGTTGAATCGATTTCGAGCAATATCGATGACAAAACAATGCACGAACTATACCTTTGGCCATTCCAAGACGCACTGAAAGCAGGAGCGGCAAACATTATGTGCTCTTATAACCGCGTCAACAACTCTTATGGCTGCCAGAACAGTAAGACATTGAATGGCCTTCTCAAGACTGAGCTTGGTTTTGAAGGATTCGTCGTTACCGACTGGGATGCACAGCACGCTGGCGTTGCAGCAGCTAATGCTGGACTGGATATGGCCATGCCCAATGGCCAAGCCTTCTGGGGTGACAACTTCACTGAAGCTATTACCAATGGAAGTGTCTCAGAATCTCGCTTAGATGATATGGCCACCAGGTATGACTTATCCCCTTTTAATCGATGAAAATTAATCCTTACTAATACTTGCCACCAGGATCATCGCGTCTTGGTACAAGCTTGGCCAGGATGAGTCAAGCTACCCTAAGCCTGGAGTTGGAATGCCTTACAACCTCAGCGAGTCTCACGATATCGTCAATGCGTTGACCAGAGATGCCAGACCGGTTCTTTTTGAAGGTGCGGTAGAAGGCCATGTTCTTGTCAAGAACGTCAACAAGGCACTGCCTTTGCAGTCACCAAAATTGTTATCTGTGTTTGGATACGATGCCAAAGCCCCCGATGCTTTCATGCCAAACGGACAGAGCATCATTGCCAATGCTTGGACGATGGGCTTTGAGCCAGCAATCTCCCAATTCTCGGATCTTGACTTTTTTGGGGCAACTATTGACCCCCCCCCTACTACAGCCAAGTTGCCTTTAATGGTACGCTGAGTGTCGGCGGTGGTTCAGGTGCAAATGCTGGTCCTTACCTAAGTGCACCACTTGATGCGCTGCAGCAACGAGCCTACGAAGATGGAACGGTTGTGATGTGGGATACTTCCGATGTCCCTGGGTCAACTGGATTGATGGAGATATCCGACGCATGCCTTGTCTTCATCAATGCGTTCGCGACAGAGTCCGCCGATCGTGCTGGAGCATATGACGACTATTCTGATGAGCTTGTGAACCGCGTTGCAAATACGTGCGCCAACACGGTGGTCGTTATCCACAACGCCGGCACTCGCTTGGTGGATCAATTCGCAGATCACCCTAATGTTACTGCTATCATCTTCGCACACCTACCCGGCCAAGATTCTGGCCGAGCTCTTGTTTCTCTGCTATACGGCGATGAGAATTTCAGTGGCAAGCTTCCGTACAGTGTGGCCAAGAACGAATCCGACTATGATAATTTCAAGCATGTCGCGGCAGTTGCTCCCTACAATCTTTTCCCACAAGATGACTTTGACGAAGGTGTTCTGATCGACTATCGCTATTTTGACGCGAAGAATATCGCTCTTCGATATGAGTTTGGTTTCGGTCTCTCCTATACTTCTTTTGAGTTTTCGGGGCTTAAAGTTCCGAGTTCTATCAAGAATGGTATTTCCGCATATCCCAGTGGCGCTATCGAGCAAGGTGGTGCGGTTGATCTGTGGGATATAGTCGCCACGGTCAAGGCTACCGTACGAAACACTGGACATCGAACAGGCGCGGAGGTTGCCCAGATCTATGTTGGTATCCCCAATGGGCCCGTGAAGCAGCTTCGTGGGTTCGAAAAGGTCAAGATCCCGGCGGGTAAATCCGTTCAAGTATCTTTCCCTCTCACTCGACGTGATCTGAGCACTTGGGACGTGGTTGCTCAGAAGTGGCAGTTGCAGAGTGGAAGCTATGATATCTTTGTTGGCTCCTCCAGTCGCAATCTTCCTCTGAGAAGTACACTAAATGTTGTGGCTGACCAGAAATAATCAGCCCAGAGAGTCGAGATGTATAGACAGCTTGCAGCTTTGAATATGATATTAGACCAAGATGTTTAAATCCATGAATTGATCAACAGACTACAAGTTGATGAAGAATATGTAGTACCATCATGATGTCGACCAGCTAGTCATGTCACAACATGATTACGCAGCAAGTATCCTCCCAGCCTGCCACAAAAGATAAAGACAGCTCGCATTCCCCCACCACCAGACTAGACCGCGTAATTGACTCCAGGTGGGATGGTCAATGAGAATATAAACCGCACCGTAGCAAAGCCTCGCAAGTGTGTAAGACAGTCCCGCAGCATTGATAGTCTGGGCAGGAACACCCGCTTGCGATGCGAATAGAATGCTCGCAACGAGAAGGGTAAAGTTCTCAACGGAATTGGCATGCGCCGATTCATTGCGTTTGAGCATGCCAAGTTGTTTGCGCGTTAATTTGCCATCTCGAATAGCTGCTTCGCCATATTTGGCGAGATCATCGCGTGGTGATGCTTGATGGTCGATGCCGTACCACTGCTTGAGGGTACGTGAAGAAAGAACGCCGTAAGCGTAGATGAAGTGGAATCCAACGAAGGCGGGGCCATAGTTGGGTATAGATGTGTTGAGGGTATCGGCGGCACGGAGACCGATGGCTGTGAGGATCGAGGCCATAATTAACCAGAACAGTTGAGCTCGTTTATGAAATGATGCGAGGATGAATTATTTTCAGAAATGAAAGCCGGGCCCGGAAATGCCGGCCTTAAAGGATCCATGGTGTCTGGGGGCTAAAATCTCACGTCTTTAATGGTGGTAGTTGTGGAAGGAGGAAGAGAAGACTCCACCGGATTGCCTGACTTCTCCACTTTGCAACAGCTCGACCTCGTCACTCTCCTCCAATTCCCCATCCTCCATCCCACCACCAGCAATATGGTCAAACCCCTCACCTTCAAGGGCGACAAGCCCAAAAAGCGCAAGCAGCGTGACCCCGACTCCGAAAAATCCTCCAAGACCCGCAAGACTGAAGCCCCCGCGGAGAATGACGACAACCCGGAGGACCAGAGCTGGGTTTCCGCTGAGGCAGCGAGCGACATTGCAGGCCCTATGGTACTTGTGCTTCCCTCTGACGAGCCGGCCTGCGTCGCAAGTGACGCCAATGGAACAGTCTTTGCGAGTACACTAGAGAATCTAGTCGAGGGAGACCCCGCGACTGCGGAGCCTCATGATGTGCGACAAGTCTGGGTTGCGACGCGCGTGGCTGGTACTGAGTCATTCAGCTTTAAGGGACACCATGGAAAGTACGTATCGTCTCATCTTTCCCCTGCGCGAGCCTATTTCTCACGTTGGTCGAGACATTCAAAGCTAATGCTGCTCTCTAGATACCTAAGTTGCGACAGCCACGGCCTCTTCAGCGCGACCGCTTCCGCCGTTTCCCACTACGAATCCTTCCTCGCCATTCCTTCTGTCGATATCCCGGGCACGTTTGCTCTGCAGGTTAGGGGTGGGGACTCGGAGAGCTTCCTGGGGATCAAGGAGAGCGCGAAAGCTACAGGCGGCGTGGAAATCCGCGGCGATGCCACAACGGTCTCCTTTGAGACGACCGTGCGTATTCGCATGCAGGCACGGTTCAAGCCGCGTCTCCGGGCGAATAAGGAGTCCAAGGCCTACGAGAAGATCAGCCAGAAGGAATTGGAGAGTCTTGTGGGGCGGAAGCTGGAGGATGATGACGTGAAGCGATTGAGGAAGGCGAGACGCGAGGGCAATTTTCACGAGGTCATGCTGGATGTCAAAGTCAAGGGCAAGCATGATAAGTTTGCTTGAGGCTTGCGCTTTACTGACCCATTTTATACCAAGCAAAGTTGATCCTCTGATCTGGTCGTAGACTCTTCGAGTCTGGTCTATCGCGCTGGAAGTGGTAGCAAGGCCGTATCGCTTGTTGGGAAACGCCTCTTTGATCCCAAAGTCCCGTGGAATACTCGGCATGGCTCCCCATGGATATTGTCATCTCCGCATTTATCTCCGAAAGCTGACCGGGGCGTGAAATCCCCATTTACTCTTCTCGGCCTCAGATGTGCATTGACGAGGACCACAGAACCTTCTTTCGGGCCATGCCTATAACGCGAGTCTCCCGCGGTGGGGACTCGAAGGTCCATAAAAACCGTGACGATCTAGACTACTTCTATATGTGCCCCCGATTCATGATGATCGGCGCACAGCACTATCATGCCGCTATTTGGTATCGCTGAATACAATTTCAAAGTCTTCTTATCCATCGATTTTACTTTCATGCTTCCAAGCTTTCCACGAAAGATATCATAACCCCGTTACAGATAATGGGTTTAAACCCCATGAAGTCCATCGTATCTGGCAGTCTAGGCGGAGACCGCATCGGTCCTAAACCCCCAAGGCTTGGAGCATTCCGAACTTGAATTCTGAAAAACAATCCGCCTGAATCGTCCAATGTGCCAATTAGGCCCTCCCCGGATGTATATCGGGATTTCCCCCGCACTGCCAAAAAGAGGGCTATACCAACCATCCAATCAAACCAGGAGATCACTTGGCTAAAAAGCGGCACAAGGGCCACTAGTCCGTTCAGGTCCAGGTTCTGCATACTTCGGTGCTACCAGGGAATGTCACTATAGGTTAGACATACCCCTTTTTGTGGCGTTTTCCTCCTTGCCAAGAAGGGTTTGCTCACATTTCATGCTCATGCTCATGCTCATGTGAGGAACGTGCAGAAAGGAACAAAGTCCCCGGCATTCGAGCTGGCCCAGACTCAACAAGACGATGAGAGGAGGAATAATTCTCGGACAATATGAAAATGAATAGGCCCGCTTTCCTTATTCCCCTGGGCTCGCTGGCTGCAGGTCGCCGCGGGTTTACATACTTATAAGGGGATGGGTGAGCCTGCTTCAATTTGTTTGCTTGTCTCTCTCCCCCTCTGACATACTTGGAGTGTTGAGTTTTTCTTTCTTTCTATTGCATTGCCTTTCGCATTTTGCGTGTGGTTCAAATGCATACCCCTCTTCTTTTCTTGTCTCTATTATCGACTGCGGGTGCGGTCCCGACCTACGGACACGGCACGACATCGGGCTGGGACTCGGCATACGCAAAGGCCCAAACTGCACTTGCAAAGCTCAGCCAAGATGAAAAAGCCGGTATCGTGAGCGGCATGACCTGGGAAGGCGGTCCCTGTGTCGGAAATACATACGCCGCCAACTCGATCGGTTATCCATCACTATGTCTGCAAGACTCGCCACTAGGCATCCGATTTGCGAATCCAGTCACCGCGTTTCCCGCAGGTATTAATGCCGGTGCGACCTGGGATCGCAGCTTGTTGTATGCGCGTGGTGCGGCGATGGGGGCTGAGGCTAAAGGTCTTGGTGTTCATGTTCAGCTGGGACCTGTTGCTGGACCGCTGGGCAAGAATCCCGACGGCGGGCGCAATTGGGAGGGCTTCTCTGTTGACCCTTATCTAAGTGGTGTTGGGATGGAAGAGACGATTCGCGGAATGCAGGATTCGGGGGTGCAGGCATGCGCCAAAGTATGTTTTTTTTTCTCTCTCAATTTCCCTTTCGACTCGCTATAGTTCTGTTTGGGAACAGTTGAGGTCTTTTGCTTTTTACTGACTGCGTGCGTAGCATTGGCTTGGCAATGAGCAGGAGGTTTATCGTGACACGATCAGTTCTAATATGGGTGATCGTGAGACTCACGAGTTATACGTGTGGCCGTTTATGAACGCGGTTAGGGCGGACGTTGCCTCTGTGATGTGCTCTTACAATAAAGTCAATGGGACCTGGGCCTGTGAGAGCGATGAGATACTGAACGATCTTATGAAGAATGAGCTCGGCTTTCGAGGCTATATTATGAGCGACTGGAATGCGCAACACACTGGAGTGAACAGTGCCCTGGCCGGACTGGACATGACGATGCCGGGAAGCGATTTCAACACGCCGCGAGGCAGCATTTTCTGGGGCTCGAACTTGGTCGAGGCCGTGTCCAATGGCTCGGTGCCACAATCTCGCCTGGATAACATGGTCACCCGTATCCTGGCTGCCTGGTATCTTGTCGATCAAGACCAAGGCTATCCGGCGGTTGCGTTTAGTTCTTGGAATGGTGGTAAAGCCAGCGTCAATGTGACTGCTGACCATGCTACTGTTGCCCGCGCTGTAGCTCGGGACTCCATCATTCTATTGAAGAACAAAGGCAAGACATTGCCGCTTGGACGACCAGAAAGTCTGGCTATTATTGGGTCAGACGCTATCGTCAATCCTGGCGGACCAAACGCATGCAGTGATCGCAGTTGTAATAACGGAACATTGGCGATGGGATGGGGCAGTGGAACTGCTGAATTCCCAGTAAGCCCCCAAACCCAGGCCACGGAAAGATTAAAGCTGATCAATTGACACAGTACCTCATCGGACCCCTCGAGGCAATTCAAAAGCACGCAGACCAGCATGGCACAAAGATAATCACCAGCACCACAGATGATTCCACCGCAGGAGCAAAGGCCGCTGCCGCCGCCGAGACAGCGATTGTCTTCATCAACTCAGACTCAGGCGAAGGGTGAGTACTACCTGACCAGCCCAGATAAAATCCCCAACCCCATAAAAATATTAACATCCACCCAGATACATCACAGTAGAAGGCAACGCAGGAGACCGCAACAACCTAGACCCCTGGCACAACGGCAACACCCTCGTACAAGCCGTCGCAGCCGCGAACAAGAACGTGATAGTCGTCATACACAGCGTAGGACCAGTGATCCTAGAAACAATCCTCGCCCAACCATCCGTGAAAGCAATAATCTGGGCCGGACTCCCCGGCCAAGAGAGCGGGAACGCCCTCACAGACATCCTATTCGGAGCTACGTCGCCGAGCGGCAAATTGCCCTACACAATTGCCCGACAGCGCGCGGATTACGGCGCGGGGTGGATCAACGCGCAGAGCGACCCCTTTGCCGAGGGCATCTTTGTTGATTATCGCCATTTCGATGAGCAGGGCCTTCAGCCGAGATATGAGTTTGGGTTTGGGCTGTCGTATACCCAGTTTAAATACAGCGGGTTTTCGGCGAATGTTTTTACGACGCCGGGGCCTGCGGTTGGGTCTGTTGTTTCGGGTGGACCGGTGGAACTCTTTGAATCTGTTGGATCGGTTACGGTTCAGGTTGTGAATAGTGGTTCGGTTGCAGGGGCGGAGGTCGCGCAGCTTTATATCGGGTTGCCGGATTCGGCGCCGCCGAGTCCACCGAAGCAATTGCGTGGATTCCAGAAGGTCAAGCTACAGCCTGGGCAGGCTGGTACGGCTACGTTCGAGTTGACTCGACGGGATCTGAGTTACTGGGATACACTGACGCAGAAGTGGGTTGTTCCTAGTGGAAAATTCAAGGTCTACGTCGGGGCTTCTAGTCGGGATATTCGCCAGAAAGGGACATTTTCGGTTGGGAATCGCTGAATCTAGTGAGAAGCGAGAATATCATTGAGATTCTTGGTGTATTGTTCAAGTAAACAGTCTTACTACGATTTGTTCTTCCTTCTTCCTGAGGTCCTTCTTCCATTTTCTTTTCTTCCTTCCATCTTCCGATATAGCAACGTGAAGAATAAACAAGCTTGAAGAGCACCAGCGTAAGGCACAGACAGGAACGCATGCAGTTGTGGCAGGTGCCAATCTCTTTGAAGATAACATAACGTGAGATACTAAATCAGTCATTAAGAGGGACTTTTCGCGCAAAGGTCACGAGCAGACGGCGAGAGTGAAGAATGTAGCGTATCGCAGAGGAACAAACCAGCGCACAAGCGCGTAAAATAATAAAAATAAATTGAAAGGAAAGAGACGAAAGAATAAAAAAAGTGAATAAAAGGAGTCTTGAAATTATGAACACTAGAACTGAGCCAGATCGTTTCATGTCTATTCGATAAAAAGGATGGTGTAGCTGTAAAAGAATGTGGGGGCTCACGAAAGATAAGCCTGGGTATGGAGTCTAGCTTGGACGGGAGTAGTACACGGGAAATTGGAAATAAAAAGCAGAAAAGAAGAAGAAGAAGATAAAGAAGGGGAAACGCAGATCAGAAAGATAGTGAAGAGAAAGAGAAATATCATAATGATAAAAAGCAGGGAGATTCGCAGTAGGCTTGAATAAAACGAGACATTCTTTCGCGGAGATTAAGCACAACGGACAGGGACTGTGGAGTCTCCCATGGTGAGAAATGTCCACTGGCCTGGTGGTCTAGAGATAATTCTTCTTTGTTTAAGGCGGGAGGAAATCTGGAAGGTTGAGGGGGGAGAAATGTGTCGGGGGCGGATTGTACAAGTTCGTAAAGAGTGTAGTGGAGGTAGGGATTTGTCGAGAAAAAGGATGGGTGATTTCCATCACGAATTGAGTGACAGGCCCTGAAATCGACTGGTCCACTCAGTTTGTGCTGGGTGTATGCGAGCCGCAGCGTTGCCAGCACCACCAGCGGGGTAGTCGGTGAAGCTTGGGTCCATGGGACCGAAACTGGTGGGGGAGTAGGGTGCGAACGGATCGCCTTGTGCGGTCTCAAGTTGACGAGTGGGCTGAGCAAAGGGCTGGTAAGAGTCGGTGAATGCTGTCCGAAGAGCGCCTACTGGATTGGGCATGCTTTCACGACCGGTGTCGATCGGGTCTCGCCCACCATAGGCCCTCCCCTCGTGTTGGTGGCGACGATCTGGGTGCTGTTGATCTTGGCTGTACAGTGGGTTGCTCATACCACCAGTCCCCGGGAGACCAGCAGACGGGGGTGTCACAAAAGAGGCCGGGTTGATCGCGGACATCCAGATTCGCGTCTTGTAGATCTTGAACAAATCGGTGACCAGCGAGTTGAAGTTGATGTAGGAGTCGGCGAAGTAGTAGAAAGTAAGCTTCTTCCAGTCCCTATCATCATAATTAGTTTGGTGATTACGAAGAGAGAAGGGAAGAGAGGCTTGGAATACATACATCTGGAACTCGGCATCGAGAATTTCCATATTTAGTCGATGCTCGACGACCTTTTGTTGGCAAACCCGCTTGGCCTTGGCTTCGTTGCCTTCTTTGTCGCGCAGTGTAAGAATCTCGTGATTTTGCGCAAGACGCTTGATAAGTTTCGGCTTGATATCTGTAGCCGGCTCTTGGACGCTGGGGCATGAGGGCCCATTCCGCCCGTCGCACTGCGTGTGTTCAAGCCAGCGCTACCAACATTGGAGCCCTCTACTTGACCCTGTCGGGAGAACATCATGAGCCATTTATAGTGCTCTTCGGCGTACTGCTGCTTGAGCTCTCGCGCTTTCTGAAGGGACACATTGGCATGTTGGACAGTACCCAAGTCGGTACCTCGATCAGCCTCAACGATGACGAGATCGCCTGATTTCACCTGGAGACCGGTATCCTCTTGAATGTAGAAGACATCGGCACGATGGCACTTGAAGGTGACAATGTAGAGGAGCTGGTTCTGATGGGCATGAGACAGCGCAGGTGGTTGCCGGCCATAGGCTCCAGACATGGCGTATTGGTTGAGAGCAGCTGGAAGGCCAGAGGTACCGTCCCCACGTAGAGCTTGTTCCCGGGAGTAGTATGGTTCTGGCAAGTGAGTTGGATTTAGAGTCGCCTCAGTGGGATATTGATGGAGAGCCGAATACTCACGAGGCTGCATGGACGGGTTAGGGTAGTCGTTCGTATTTCCGTATCCATCATCTCGTTCTCCCAAGCCAGCCCGAGGAGTGGCGGTCGCATGGGAGTCAACCGAGCTGACAGAGGCATGGCGAATTGGAATATCAGCGAACGAGTGGCGGCGACTCTGCGGAATATCGACCATACTTCCAAAGCCCAGAGAAGTCTGCCAGTGGCCCTTGCGAACGTTCTCAAGGGCGCGATTCTCCAAAGGCGAGGAAGCGAACGACGAAAACTGTTGCTCTAGATTTGCTGAATGCTCCGAGTAGCGTCGTCCGGTGTTGCCGCGCATGACACCGTATCCATGGATATCGCGCAGTTCTCCGGGATCCTCGGGGGCTATATCTTCCTCAGGAACACCGCCGTGGATACGATGTGCTGCGTGTAGCCCACTAGCAGTTGATGCAGAGGAGGATGCGCGTTCACGGTAGCGATTGTCCCTTTGACCCGCAGCTGCAGCCTGGCGCAAGAGCGCATTCTCGCGGGCGAGTTGCTCAATCGTTCTGGCTTGGCTGGCTGAATACGCGATATCGCCGTCAGAACCCAGGCTTGATTCTCCGTCGTCGTCCTCGCGGACCCGTCCGAGCATTGCAGAATCGTGGCCCAACTCGCCGAGTACGCTTGGTCGTGAGGCCCGAGGTTGGCCAGAAGACATTTGACCAGGGCCGCGAGAGCGACCACTAGGATTTGGATACGCACCACCGGTGCTAGGTTTGTTTGCTGCAAGTCCCGCCAACTCTGGATCCATTTGCCCGACCGAGTAAGATTGCGAACGGTATGTCTTTGGGGTAGGATGGAGGGGAATTGAAAAAGGAATGGCCGATTCTCCTGAGATGGTGCGGGTGATGGGACTCAGCATCTCGTCACCGAGTGAGGCGCTTCCAGCTGGAGGGTTGGTCATAGTTGGGGAGGGCACGATCTCCGACAGACGAGGCGGGGGTTCCTTGCGAGATTCTGTGTTCCAGATACCAGTTCCCCACGGGTACTGGCTGCCTCCAGATTGATTCCAATTGAAGGAAGTGCTGAGGCCAGGGCTGGTAGCTGCTGCCCACGGCGGCTGATCACCGGACGGACTGGCGGGGTTTGAAGGAGCAGATGCGAGAGGTCCACCGGGGAGTGAGTGTTTCCTTTGAATGGAAATAGGCACCTCATTCAGCCAAGATGTCCGACGTACAGGCTTCGTTGCCGGCGCAGTGATGGTTTGAGTCAAAGGGTTGTGCTCGCCGTCATCATCGGAAGAAGCCAGCGCTTCGGAATCAGGTGTGGAGCGACGGACTCCAGGATGACCTTTCTCGAGTCTGGTGGCATTCGTGGCAGGCACGGGAGGTGTGCCCGACATCTGTTTGTGGGATGGCGCAGACATGATTCCTGAAAATGAATCCTGGCCCGGGGTCAGCGGTTTATTCACGGACTGATATTCGTAATGACCCGGGCTTAGCGGTCGTCGCATCGCCGGGATGTTATTTGCGGGGAGAGATGGTGTGTGTGTGGGGGGGAAGATGGAGTGCGGAGGGCAGGGTGGATCGGAGGGTTGCTGACCTGTGTCACCGTTGGGTAACGAGTGATGGAACTGTACTGTATAAGCAGAATTTAGGCTGTTGAGCACACGCGACAAAGCACCAGTCTTTGATCCGCGCGCTTGAGATGTTGGAGAGGGTAAGACCAGTCTCGATCTTTAGATGTTGGAAAGGATGCGGTATGTGCAACACTGGCCAGAGGAGTAATGGTTAGCTTGCCGAAGGAGTGAAAGTGAAATGAAGAGAAGAAAAAAGTGGTTTTGCGTTGGAAAAAAAGAGACATGAAAGAAATCTCAAACATGTTTCGAGGGGCAGTGAAAGCAAAGAAAGACGAAGTTGAGCAGGGCACGTGTGTGTGGCATGACTTGAGGCTCGTCGCGACAAAGCGGGGAGGCTCTGATGAGAAGCTCCAACGCGCCACCACAGCACAAAGCCCAATTGTGGCGGGCCGAGACAGACTCGCCGGCAGCTCAATCGGGAGGGAAAGTGAAAGAGGTTGGGACTTGTGCCGGTTCATGTCGCATCGTATCGCATTGCATCGCAAAGTAGCGCGGGCAGGGCGAGCGATGCGATAGCGCGCCAGATGCGGAGATAAGGTGACATATGAACAATTGCCAACTCGCATGCGACGAAAGACTTACCAGTTGGAAAAGGAATCTAGGGTAAGTCTACACCCAGGGTAGGCCTGCCAGACGCCTTTTGAAAGGGAAGAACAAGCCGTAGAGTATCAACGAAGGAAGCAGTAATCGTAATCGTGACTGGAGGTGGAGAGAAATGATGAGCGACCGACCGCGCAATAGAGGAAGATGGGTGGAAGTGAGAGAAATGGGAAAGAAGAGGAGGGGAATAAAAAGAGAGAGAGAGAGAGAGAGAGAGGGAGAGGGAGAAAAAACCGACCACCCTCTAAAAAAACGAAGAAATAAATCTATTGTAGAACGCGCCGGTCTCGTGGGTCTCGTCAGAATTTCGACTGCTTCACAAAAAGCGCGGGTCACGGGGGGGTTGCGACCGGGGGGGGCGTCGAAACGCGGAGTCGCGGAGTCGCGGAGTATGGACGGTAAGATGTGGGGAGCTTTTTGGCTTTGGAATGGGGGGGATCGGCGGCTGGTTTCTGCTTGCTTCTTGAACTGGGATCTTTGCTCTTCCTTTGGATCTTGAAAAAATGTCGTGCCGTCTTTTATTGGACTGCTAGGGAGGTGAGGCAATCAATGCGTTTGCGGAAAGTTGGGAGTGAAATAGGGAGAGAGCGGTGGTAGCGTGACCACGAATGACGATATGGGAGAGCACCAAGTCCCTTCAAGGGTGGCGCATGGCGAAGGATAGTAAGGGGGGGGAAGGTTAGGGTAGAGGAAAACGGATAGAGGAGAGGAGAGGAGAGGAAAGTAAAGAAGAGAGGAGAGAAGAAGAAGAAGAAGAGGAAGAGAGAGAGAGAGAAGGAAGAGGATAAAGAGGGGGACGGATCTGGCAAGGTCGCCCCGAATTGATGTTCAGGGGACACGGACCATACATACTACATTACATTACTAGTATACTAGTATCCTACAGTATACTACATAGTCTACTAGTATAGTATAGTATTTAGTATGCTAGTATCGCCAGTTCTGACTAGTTTTAACTTGTCAAGGGCCCAGATTAAAGCCGCTATGCAGCCTCTGTCAGCCCACAGCATCTTTGGCCCCCCTCCTCGCACGGCCCACTCATCGGGTCACACACTTGCGGGGTTGAGTGTATTGCTGTATGGAGTACGGAGTACGGAGTACAGGCCTGTACGCATTGTACTGCACTATTAACAGGGGGCACATCCAGTGCAGAGCATAGTATGGGTATGAAATTGAACATGGATATGGATATGGATATGGCATGGGACACGGATACACTGGTAACTGGAGTACGTCATGCTCATATCCATACCCATAATCAATATATTCACTAGGACCAGTTCTGTGGAATCTGTGGAATCGCTCTACCCCGGACACAAATGACACAAATGACACAAATGTGGGGGAATGACCCAATGGGATCATCTAGGCCGATCCATCTTTTGCGGGGAGAGCTTGGACAATGCAGGAAAGTCTCCATTCCACTCTTTCCACGTCCACTTGGTTATTACTATTATTTCCATTCCAAAAGATTGGCCAGAGTTGATGTTGACAAGATGTTCTGGACCTCATCCTGTCCCATCCTGTCCCATCCTAGTTCATCAACCACCACCGTCACCACTCCAGGATCACACATCGTGGGACAGGCAAGACCATTGTTCCCCTCTTCCCGCACCAACCTAATTCAAGTTTGACTTGTCCTAGAAATGGCCAGACCACGGTCGCAAATTGAATCATCTGCCCCCTCCGAGCCTCCGAAGCTATACTGCCTCTGCTTGGCTCAAGGCCAGAGGTCATCCAAAAGAACCATCTGAGTGGACTCATAGTGAGTGGGTGGGGATGGGGACCGGGAACTCACTCTAGCCTCTAGGAGGGTGGTGGACATGGTGGACATGATAGACCTCGTGAACCTCGGCGGGAAGAGGCGAAAGCAAACAATGCCCCGCCTTGATCGCAGAAAGTACGCGTGGTACTTGGTTAGTTACTAGTTAGTAGTGACTAACTAGTTACTATGTAACTAGGTACTTTGTAGTATTTTACTTGGTATTCTTGCCACATAACTATAGCTCTATTCTATTTCAACCCGTTATTTTACTTTACTTTATTTTTACTTTATTTTTATGTTAATTTGCTATCATCCTAGACACATCTTCATCCCATCATCCCATCATCCCCTTCACATGACGACGATCGCCTTACTGCAACGCCCCTCTTGTCATGCATCCCCCGCAATCCAAAAGGGTTCAGCTTCCCCTCTCGCTAAAGTCCACTCCGGGACCTTGCCCAAATCCTAGCTAGCGTTTCATCTATTGCGGAGTCCCTCATTTTACAAAGTACTTCAAGAGGCATTCTCACCAGACTCGCCCATTCAACCATCCAGTGCCCTCGATTGCTAAAAAAAACTTTAAGAATAGATTCAAGTTCGCTAGACTGACTAATTTACATACTCCTCCTATTTTGTTTTGCCACATGGGAAGCTGCGTCTCACTATGATAGAATCATCATCATCATCACCTCCTAATATCCATCCTGCTCCTATTTTGTTAAACCCTGTCGTGCTGGGGATGGAGCATTCCCATCCCAGTCAAGATATCTCATCTCCCATTCTATCGTAGCGAATCAGATAATTGGTTATTGCGGCTGTCTGACCAGGCAGTGCCGTAATGCTTCCCTCCACAGAAATGTCGATAACAGTTGAGAATTTACGGCGCATTGTCCAGCGAGCTGCTAGCCGTTGCAGCCTCGCCCTTTTGCTGCCGCAGCTTCTCCTCAAAGCGAGCGAATTCGTGCATCGAGATCGCTTCCTCCTGATCCATAACCTGCTCCACGCCCTGCACCTCCTCGATCTGCGGAAAATTCAAGTCAGTAATTGGATCAATGGGACACCTCACTTCACCTCGCCCTAGCCGCCGAGCGGAGCGCGGAAAGCAGTGGGATGGGCAGTGGGATTCGGAGTCGGGGGTCGGGGTAACTCACATAGTGCATGAGCATAGACTCAATACCATTCTTCAAGGTAACAGTGCTAGAATCACAAGTGCGGCACGCACCACGAAGCTTCAGCAGAACAATGCCATTCTCGAAGCCGCGCAACTCGATATCACCACCATCCTCCTGGATAGCGGGGCGGATGCGAGTTTCCAGAAGTTCCTTGATCATGCTCACGACCTCGTCGTCATCCTCGTTGAAGGCAAGCGAGTCATTCTCCATTTCCTGGGCACCTTCTGTGCCGTCGGACTCTACTGTTGACACGATTGTTTCGCCTGAGGTCACGGCCTGCGTGATCAGGCTGAATACTTCCGGCTTGATGTGCGCCCAGTTCACGTCGCTGGATTTGGTCACGGTGATGAATTCGGGACCGTAGAAGACGGAGGTTACGCCTTCGACGTCGAGGAGCTTGGCTGCGAGCGGAGACGGGTGTGGTGGTGCGACGGTTGAGCGGGGTGTCAGGTATTCGAGGAAGGACGAAGGGAAATCTTCGGGGATGACGCGGTGATTGGGGATGAATTTGAGAGCCTGGTGGTGAATTAGTAGTTGTTTCGCGAGGATTCACGATTGAGGGTGGAATTTCGGGAAAGTCTCTCTTACATCGGGGTTGGGTGTGTTTTCCGTCTGGATGAAGATGGTGCGCTTGCTGGTTGGGGACAATCCGTTGACTCCACTTGCTGCAACAGGTTGCTGGTGAGGTCGTACTGTCGGTCGGCGACGAGTCTCTGAAGCTGTGAGTGTAGGCAGACGGGCAGCGCTGGATACACTCCTGAGACAGGGCGAATGCCGCAGGCCTGATGGTTCGGCTACATGATTCGGAGATGGGGGCGAGGCGGGCGCCGAAAAATGCGCGACGAAGCATGGCAGTGGATGATGTGCTAACAGACATATTGTTATGATTGATGGTTTGGGGTATCGTGTGTTGTAGAAGGAAGGAAAGTGAGTATATTTGTATCGGAACAAAAAGTCGCAGAAGCGCCGCACTCCGGCTCTGACGCAATTACCCGGTCAGGTGATTGGCTGTAAAGGAGGGATGACAAATGAGATCAATGTGCGGCATGCTATTGGCCAGATTGACCAGATGGAGACCCACATTTAATAAATACTATCCTATTGGAGGGGTTTGGAGTATGCTGTCGAGAAAGAGTACATAATTCTAGGAATTTATACTACGCGAATAACGCTTACGCATCTTTGATACCTAGGTAATACCCGAGCCATTGTAAGTGGAACCAAACTATAGTGGAAATTGATGATCCTCCCACTCGTTGAGAGCACAGCTTATTTATCACCTCAAGAGTAAACACTCCAATGGAGCAATCATAGTGATAGAAAGGAGTGTAGCCATGATGAGCCAGAAGTGAAGAAGTAAACCGAAATCCCAAATATCAGTCCATTGACACCGCCGCATGGCACCGTCATCATTTTCTTCAGCAGCTCAGCTTGCCACATTTGGCACAAGAGTTCCTGACCCCATAGTCGCAGGCCTTCCCGGTTCCTTTCTGGCACTCGTAGACATGGCTATTGATGCAAGCCGAATTGATTAGTTGATTACCGCAGAACTGGCCCTGAACTCCGTTGCAAACGCATTTGGTAGCGGTACAGGCCCGTTTCTCGAACTGGTGCCTCCTATGTTAGATACCACCCTATCTACTGAAAATTTGTTGAGGACTTTGACTTGCAATGCTATCGAGCTCTCTCTTCATCGGCTCTGCTGCTGCAGCGCGAGCTTCCATTGCTTCGGGAGTAGCAGCGGCAAGGGCGGCGGAGACCAAGGCGAGGAAGGTGAAGATACCAGTATACTGAAGTGTGGCTGTCAGCGACCAAATTCTTCTGACAGCTTCGGATTTTCCGTTACCTTCATCTTGTTGAATCGACTGAGAGTTGCGAGAAGCTTTTCAAAAACTAGAAGACTTGGAATTTAGTTCACTCAGGCGTGTTGTCCTGGAAATATTCTCAAGGGCGTTGGAACTGAACTCATTTTATAGCCTTCTGTCCCGGACAAGACAATCTCCTCGAAGAAAATACGAGCTTCTTAATGGAGAGAATACGAGCTTTGTGCCGATACTACTTCAACTAGTTCTTTCATTAGACCATTCAGGATCTCTCATCTTATGCGTAGGCAGTTCAACGGTTGTTAGACTTCGTGTTCCCATTTCGATGTAACCCAAGAGCGCAAGCGGCTCGTGTTGATCAGGGGTGGTCTGTAACTTTACCTACCTTATTGGAGAGTGAAGAAAAGCCCCGATGCGTACTATTACTAGTACTAGTTATATGTGGAGAGGCCTAGCCCCAGATCATACCAGTATCCCCGCACAAATCGGACCCTGAGTTTTAAACAAGTCTCCAAGTTTGACTGGTTCTAGAAAATTGAATTCAAGTACAGATGTCTCGACGTTATTTCTATCAAAAATTCGTATCTGGCATTATAACGAAAATTCGGTGTTCTTTTCGACCGTTGCTACATACCATTTATGCAAGTTGGTCAGAGGTATCGGCCTGAAGCCCCTTTGGGGGCTTGCCGTCGATCGAGGCCTTGCAGGGACTGTAGAGCGTTATTGGTACATGATTTAGCCTTCCTGTCAGCCTAGGCTTGCTGCACGCTCCCCGCATTCATGCAACAAGAAACTGAAATAGTCTCACACGACATACGCCAGATAGGCTTTCTCGATAGTCCTCTCGTTGACATGTCCATGTAGTCTGAAGCCGATGAAGTAACAAAATGCCCAGGTATAGGTTTATATCGCGCTATTCATAGAAGAAATTGAATCCAAGCTGTGATATGGCAATGCAATGATAAGTCAAAAAAGACTTTAGCTCAGCCACATAAGAATCAGTGATCTCATCGAGGCGCTTAGAGATGTAATCGGGCATACCCCGAGAGCAAAAAGCGGGGTTCACTGAGACGGGAGAAGAAAACAAGAAGTAGCAGAGGAAATTCGCCGCTTAGGCTCTAGGCCAAACAATACTATCCTTTGGGAAAAAAGTGATCCCAAAGTTCAGCTTATGCAACTGCATGAAAATTACCTGACACCAACGATGCTTCTAGGCGGCACCAATTGTGTGATAGAGCTGCTTCGTTTTCGTTTTTTTAAATTAGGCAAGGGGAGTCTTGGCAATCTGTGCCCTTCAACTTTGGTTGCAGTAGAAACTTTGCCGAAAGACATTCAAGGTCTGCATAATGGTCGGCGATACTTCTCAGGTCGCGCGGAAGATTGGCGGCCCATCTCGCATATGCATGTGTAGTATCAGTTAAAGGAATACTCCGGAGAATGAAAGATACTAGGCCGCGATAGTGACAAGAATAAAGCAGAAGGAAGATATTTGAATACAATAAGAGCAACTCAGCGCATGGTGGGTAAGGGTATTCAATCGCATCACAGAACAGGTATTGAGAAATTGAATCATTGAGATTACTTAAAAAAGAGAACATATCTTTGGATCTTCGATATTTGAATTGCACTTAGAGAAGAATATTATTACACAAGGCTCACAGCTCGTTCCTTCAGTCTATGCAACAGGGAAAACTCAAGGGACGGTTTAGTCACATGAGAAATTGGGACGGGACTTGGCGATGCTGGAGTGTTCCTTTCGCACACAGCCAGAGAGTTCATCCCATTGCACAGACTTAGTCAGTTCATACTCCTATATCTAGCTGCTTTTAACTCAGATGGCTTTTCATCCGGACACATACTTCTTCTGTGATCAATCACCTCTTTCGCCAGAAAATCAGCCCTCCGAGAGATGATCGTGCGAGACATCACGTCAAAGTTGGCACATGAAGTCGAACTCGACACCTCCAAATGGCTTTTAATTTGTTACTTTAGGATGAACGACGGACTATGAGTCGAGTGATGGATCACTGAGCACTGGGGATCTGCGGGAAATTGTGTCCGTACGCTTTGCCAACCTTGGAAAGAAAGCAAGTAGGACAATCCAAACTTGAATCTCTACTACTAACTGACCCATTGCTTAACCTCCTATCTTGCAGAATTGCCGGCCAAATCAAATATTATTCAACATATTTCAACGCATGGGGCCGAAACAGACGAATACTCCGATAATAACGACCGAACGATCCCCTAGTTTCTCAGCCCGCCTGATCTTATAGATAATACTAGTGGGGTACACTCAATGGACTCGTATCTAGTTGGAGTCACCGATGAATACCTAGGTCTTTCAAAGAAACGACCTTGTGTTATTGAGGAATGTGAACCTAGACATTACGCACGGCTGCAAGCTCAACCCAAGTTGGAAGGAGTCTTTTCTGACCAGCAAAGTGTTCGGAAAAGGTCATTCAGTGATGCTGCGGAACTTACCGACAGACCTCCCCGAAGGGAAGTACCATATTGACCATATCAAGCTGTTCGTGCCCCAAACAAGAGGCTCGCGACGCAGCAGAATTCTGGAAATCTTCGAGCATGTCGCGATGAGGTTGCGAGGGGTGGTGGAACTTTTGATCAACCTTCAGGGGAATGGGAAAAGGAAGTCCCGCGGCGTAAACAGGCACAACGCACTATGCACCCTTTGGAACTGGAATAGGTCGTTTCGCAGCGACGACACTGGGATGAGACCTCTTTCATTGACCGGTATATTGGAGGCTTTAAGTTGGGACATGATACATGGAAGCTGGTGATAAGAGTTCGCTTGAACTATTTTGGATGTTTAGACCCTGCGAATCGTTAGGTATTCTCTTCTATACCAACATTCACCAATGACCATTACCCCTTCACGAGCGGAAACCCAGGCTACTATTATGTCTTGAAAATTGCCCGACTCTAAGAAAAACAGAAATTTCGTCAAACGTACTCTATGTCAGTCCTCCTTAAAATATCGTGGTTCATACACACTCTTTGGTCTGAAGGTGTGGCGTAGTAGATGTGGCTAGTATTAAATAGGAATCGTATTGTCGGCCTCAGGCACTAACTGCCTCTTTTGGACATTTTTATTTTTTTGCATTGCGGGCCCGCTAGCTCGAGCTCTGCGAGAGAGAGTCACCTCTCAAAGCCCTTCCAAATCGACCCAAGCGGCACTCCAACTCGCTGGGTGAATATGACGGACTGGCATCAAGTCATATCGCCCTGATTTGTCGAGCCAAAAAATGCCCGGTCCCTGCGAAGTGTGTTCTTCGGAACCGTCCAAATACCGGTGTCCGATCTGCGCGTTGATGAGGTACCAAAACCCACACCTTGAAGATTTGAAGACGGTTTGACTGACATAGCTTTCTACTCTTCTAAAGCTGCTCTCTCGCGTGTACTCAAACCCATAAGATTTACTGCGCGCCCAAGCAACAAGTCCCAAACGAGTCATCTACACCAATCAATACCGAACAACCCGTGGAAAACGGCGTCACCGATCATGAAGCAACAGACAGCGCCGTGGCTAAGGGTGATAAATCCAAGCCTGCTTCTATAGCGGCCTCTCCAGAGCTGACGGAGCTCTTTCGACGACATCCAAACCTTCGAGACCAGCTGCACGAAATATACCAGTCAACACTCGAAGACGAGTGGGTGGAATGGTACACGCCTCCTTCAAGAGGTCGCTTTAATGGCCGCGGAGGGCGAGGTGGGAGAGCACCCACCCGTCGCAGTCGCGGCCCATGGACCTCTGAAAAGGGTTTCAACCGCGGCATGGGGAGGGTACGAAAGTTCCGACAGGACTGCGAAGAAGGAAGCGAGACGGGGACTGGCGCCGAGGCCTTCATGCGATTCTGGGCTTTGGTCAACAATAGCCAGGATGGCCAACCGGACCAGTGAAGGAGCTCAAGTTAGCGGGTCAAGCATTTCATATGGCGTTCAGTTGGGTGGATTCTTTTATCAGGCTTTAGCCAAGTCATTGCGGGACAATGAAATTGGGTGTACGAATACGTGGAGATAATGATATTCCGAATCGAAAACTCCCTCGATTTGATCTTGTTAATTTCCGTATTCTGTTGAGAAAGCGACTGGGCCAAGATACGTAGTGCTGCCTAGGTGTATCTGTGATTACGATCTGCCGTTGATTTTAGCACAGGGCTGGGTTTGAGATAGAGAGATTGGGAAACAAGCCCTGGAGAGCAAACGTTTGACGATGAAACGGGGGGAGATCCAACTTTGCCGAAACAGGACCCAGATGCTGTTTCATTTATGCATTTGCTATTTACGTATGCTACGTACACAAGCCCCGCCAAACGTCTTAGAATAGATTATTTGATGTGTAGGTTTGCGTGGAGACTACGACTGTATGCCCCAGTGTTCGGATAGTACCCACTAATTCAAGCAGAATGACTCAGATTGAATGATTGAAGTAACTATTGGAGACTATTATGTTGGTTTATCAATAAGTGAATAATTTTCTGATACAGTCTCTGATTTGTTTCATTACCCTTTCCCAGGGAAGATGCAATGCGCGAAAACAGGGTTATCTCAGAAGAGGCTGAGACGTCGCATATGATACCCGAATTTTTGACAAAGAAATTCGGTTTATCTCCACCTGGCATTATATTGGGATGGCATGTTGCTTACATGGATAAGTGGAGCTGCTTCGACAGGTATTATCCGGTCTTTAGCGACGGTGGCTCGGAATGGCTCACCTCGCTCAATAATTGTAATTCCACCACAAGCAGAAGCCCAAGCCCAAGCCCAGTAGAGGAGCCGCGGGGTTGACGCATGGTGGGATGGGATTCGTCGGCTGACAGCTGCTAGGCTTGAGCTGCAGGAGCTACGATATTTTCGCCTGGGACCCCCTCACCGAGCACAGCACGAATGAAGGCAACACAGGACTCCGAGCGAGTTGGCCCCGAATGGCATCTGATTTCGAGGATGCATAGGGATTCACCATGTATGGAGGAATATACGGATGCGTAGTACTCCGTACTTCGTTGCATACTGTAGTGGTTGTGTGGTCCATGGGATGACCGATGCATGAATCGGACTGGTCTACTTTCCAGGCCGTGCGAGGCTAAACCAGAGATGTCCCATTTTTCTCTCTCTTCTTGTCGGGCCCCACGAAGGATCTGGCTGGGCCCCTGGCTTGGGAATCGACTCCGTCAGGGTATTGTGCCTCCACCACGACCCGACGCCTCGGTTGCGTGGTGCGCTTGTCTCTGGCCTTCACACTTCCCCGGGACCAAAGTACCCTGGCTGGTCCTACGCAGGTCACATCGTGGCCAGCCTGGTATACAATAGTCGCTTTCGTACTCGGGGCTCATTTGAACAACGCATTCGTATCCATCGGCTGAGCTGAAGCGGAGCGGGTGGCGGAGGGATCCATCGTGACGCTTAAGTCTGAAGTCTGGACCAAGTGGCAACTGTAAATAGGAGAAGTGCCAGGTGTCCTGGAGAAGTATGGAGTATGTATGGAGTATAGAGTAAGTTAGTGTGAAAAACAGGAGTTCCTGGCTCAGCTCAGCTTGTTCGACCAGGAGCTTGACTAACGAATGAACGACGGGGGGAAAGGCAATGGGCTCGTGAGATCTGGAGAACGGGGCCACTGCCAACTCCAATGAGAACCCAGAATTCAGCTCCCATTTTCCAAACAAGAATTCGGGATTGGATTTTGGGTATCTCAAGAGCAAAAAGATAAAATCATAAAATAAAATAAAAAAAGACGTCCCTAGAACCGGGAACAGAGTCAAGGGTACCACGGTGATCTATCGATCTGGTATCTTTCTTTTTCTTTCCCAAAATTTTTTTTTTTCCATTCTCCCTTATTCTATTTAATTTAATTTATTCTTTACCTTAAATCATTCCAATTGCTTTTTGGTTTCTCCTTGACGGGTTCCCACTTCCAACTCGTTCCACGGGTCTTGTCTTTGCCTCATTCCCATATCTCCGACCACCGCTTCTTCTCTCCAATTCTCCAGATTCCACCCCCCTTCTCTTTTCCCCCCACGCCTACGCCTCCCCGCCTTTTGGACTCTTTGTTGTATGGAACTAGTTTCCTGCAACCCCAACAGGTTCCAATTTACTGCGACCGCCCCCGATTTCAATTCGTGTTAACCCGCTGGGGAACGATGGATATGCTGCATCTGCAGTTCGCACCAATGCAATAGCCGGATACACTTGACGTCTCTCCCTCCTCGCAATTCTACTCCTCCAATCTCACCCTTGAGTCGTCATCATCCATTGTGGTCCTCCATGTCTTCGCAAGCTCGTCGCGAGCGAGCCTCGAGTGACCGAGCGCAAGCGATACCTGCAGCCCCTCCGCAGCGACCCGGGATGGGGAGTCGGACTTCGTCAGCCCCAACAGGTGGATTACACAAGTTGGAACCAGGCCGCAGGTCGGGACCGAATGTTGGACACACCCTCATGGAAGAAGAGGAAGGACCTTCGAATGGGAGCCGCAATGCTAATGCGCCGAAGCGATCCCGCTCTCGGCAGCCCGGCGACGAGGTGTGTAGCATACTCCGTACATACTGGGTCACCTATTCCCCAGTCAATTGCGCAGCAGCGTGCAATGGTATCGTTTGATTACTAAAAGCCAGTGTTCTCCGCTGCAGGAACCCTCCAAACCCGGTCTACCGGAAGTGACTATCGCCGTCGTTGGTCAGGATAATGCGGGCAAATCAAGCTTCATCAAGTGTGCCTTGGATATGAAGAACACCCCGTCGTCCTTCTTAACGAAAAAGAAGATGTCCTTGGATGGCTCGGTATACATGGTTCGTTTGTTGGAGATTGATCTACAGAAAGTCACCTTGAGCCAAGACCAAAGTATAGTCTGGCCACGATTGGAGAAAGACGCTGCGCCCCCTGTTGTCGATGGTGTTTTGCTGCTTCATGATGCTACTCAACCTGATAATTTCGACGAGGCCAAAGAACTCATAGGTATGTTGGGAATATTTTAACAGCGCATCCTGTCCCCTCCTTGTGGTTGTGTTTACATTTGATATATCTTTTTTCTTTTTCTTTCTTTCCTTTTTTCCCATAAAATCTCAACTTTCAGCTGGCTGACCTCGGTTGAATTCAGATGCACTTGACGCACCCCATTCTCCTTCCCCATTGTTGCTAGTTGCCTGCAAATGTGATTTGCGGCCAGAAGACAGCGAATTGGCTGTGGTCCACGAGCGGCACGAGATCTACCGAACATCGCCCGAATCACCCCGATCGCAGCAGATGTGTATCGCTTTGGTCCTGCGAGCCGTTATTTCGCATCGAGCAGGTGAGTGAATCTCATGATTCTTTCCCCTTTCACCCGGGAGAAAGGGAGAGAAGAGAAGCGGATTGTGAGAGCCATGACCCCTGCCCGGCCTAAGTGGGTCAACGGCACTAGCATATTTCGCTACCCTTTCCCCTTCCCTTCTGTCAAGAGCCCACCGATCGACGGAGGAGCCCCAAGAGCGAAAGGAGTCCTCCAAATTCGTGGCGTTCCACTGTTTCTGACCACCGCTAACCCCATCTCATTCGCCCAGACCTCGCCGCTGCGTCTGACCGTAATCCTAATCCTCCTTCTTCCCCCGCCCCGCCGCGGACCACCACAAAGTCCTTTCAACCCACTCCTCCCCACGACTGGCAACACTCTCGGTCCAATTCATCCACCCCCACCGCCATATTCGCAGGAGCCGCTGGCGGCTCGACAATCTCCGTCTCGGATCGTGTCGAAGGGAACACTCATCGTCTGCAAAGCGACCCGGCCATCCCTTCTAGTCTGGCGCAACAGCATGCTTCTAGTTCATCGCGAAATGCCAGGAGTAATTCTCAGCCGGTGCGACCGCTCACCCCGCCTTCTGGCGCGCGACTGAACAATCGTCGACCATCCGCACAGATAGACAACTCCCCGATTCTGGAAACCTGCCACCAACGTACCCCGTCCGCCTGGCGGCAGAGTGAAGCCTCCGACGCCTTTAATAGCTTTTTGAACATGGAGGATGAGATGGATAACGGGCAAGCTATGCACCCGGACAAAGCTCTGCGCCCGAAGCCCAGCAGCGAGAGTAATTCCAGCGCAGAGTCGGGATACAGCTTTGACGAACTGGTTGACCGTCTTGTCGCACAACCTATGTCCAAGCAAGACTCGAAATTTGTCTCTATCTTCTTGTGTCTATACCGAAAATTCGCCGCCCCGGGGGCGCTTCTCAATGCCCTGGTCACCAGGTTCGAGAAAAACGAAACTGGCAACAGTGACCAACTCGCCCGCATGGCAGACCAGCTGCGATTGCTCAATGTGATTGCCCTGTGGGCCTCTGATTATCCCGGCGACTTTGCCCACAACAAAACCCGCAAACGAATCAACGACTTCGTGGCTACTCTCGAGAAGAGCCACTTTTACATGTTTGCAGCTAAAGAAATTGGGTCTTATCTCGACTCTAATGCTCAAGATGACGATGCGGGCTGGGCCTTCAGTGATGGGGATACTGATGAAACCAGCCCCACAGAAACTTTCTTCGACAACTCCGGGCGGAGTTCGCCGGCCCCGTTCCTGACAGGCACATATGACGATGGCGACGACGATGATGAGGAAGAAGATCCCATTTATAGTATGAGTAATCTGGACCTCAGTGATGGCCCCCATGACTCGACATCACGCCTCTCGGGAACATTATCCATTTCATCAAACACGGACAAGCCCTCCAGTACAATGAACCAATCATTCTCGCTCTTGACAGTGGAGGCTTCGCAAAAGGAAGCCCTGCGCCTAGAGCTGAACTCGCGAACCATGCTCACGAAAATCCAATGGCGATACTTTATGGAAACGCCCGATGAAGATTTTGCGCGAGAGTTGACCCGAATCGATTGGATAATGTATAACTCATTCCGACCTCGAGATCTGGTGCGCCATGTGAGCCTATCGGGCGTGGAGAAGGATAAGATCAAGAGCTTGCACAACGTGAACAGGATGATCCGACAATTCAATCACCTTGCCTTCTTTGTGGCAAGCATGATTCTTCTTCGTGACAAACCCAAGCACCGAGCAAAGAGCCTGGAGAAGTTCATGTCAATCGCTGTCAAACTGCGCCGCCAAAACAATTACAACTCTTTGGGTGCACTCATTGCTGCCATCAATGGTACCCCTGTCCACCGTCTGACACAGACGCGGGACTTGATTCCCATACAAAACCAGAAGGATTTCATGCGCCTTGTCATCCTTATGAGCACCCAGCGAAGTCACTTCGCTTATCGCCTCGCGTGGGACAACTCTTTCTCTGAACGGATTCCTTTCCTCCCGCTTCATCGCCGTGACTTGGTCTCTGCGGAAGAGGGCAACAAAACATTCATCGGCGAGAACAAATCTCGTATCAACTGGAAGAAGTTTGAAGTCATGGGCGAGGTAGTCCTTGGTATCCAGCGCAGCCAACAGTCACCTCACCCTCAGGCCCAAAAGTTCGACGATATTGAACGAATGATCCTCGACTCGAAGTTGTCGGGCGACGAAGAGGTAAGCAGCGGTCCATATCTTTCTCCCAAAGCTAGTGTTTCTAACTCATGATTACCGCAGGACTTATATGCCCGCAGTCTTCAGGTTGAGCCAGCCACCGGCAGCGAGGCCGGCCGTAAGAAGTTCGGCTGGTTACGCGCATAGGCCGCCACCCACCACATTTCCTAAAAGGAAACTATCACCATTCTATCAATCTCCCTAAATCATCTCTACCTACTCCTTGATCTTTTGTCCCCCATACCCCTTTATCATGTCGAAACGCTTGCTATGATTGATAAATACCGTCTGATTTTGCTTCATTATGCTTTCAGAGCCAGCTCCACAGCATGGATGATGTGACGCTTGGAATGACAACGTCCCAAAGGCTCCCTTGCCGATTTTGTACATAGGAGTGCGTTGATGGGTAGTGATAGTCGTCGGTCACGACACAGAATAATCATACCCAGTATATATGACAAGCTAAAACTTGAATCTCTATCTCTTGTAAATAATACTCAAAGTAATACCACCTAGGAAGTTTTCCAGTCTCGAGTAACACCCCGTGGAGTCGAGTATATCACCGGGTCACGTGTCCGCAATCACCCTCCCGGAGCTTATCACCAAATAAACCATTTCACCCTCTGGGCCCAAAAAATCCAATCCAATCCAATCCACATCAAAAACCAAAATGACACAACCCCTCACAAACCAAGCGCGAAGCACCTACCGCGCGCTCCTCCGCGAGCTCCCCAAGGCGACTAAATCGACCCCGTCGCCCATCCACGCCCGCCTCAGAACCCTCTTCCGCTCCGAACCGCAAGCCGCCTCCACATCCCAGACAATTTCAACCTCGCCTGCTTCCTCAATAGCAGCAACCAGCGGCCCGCACGCAACTCCTTTCTCCACGCCGATCACGAGCGAAGAGCGCGCTCTGCGCCTGCAGGAGGCGGAGCAGGTGGCGCAGTATGCTCGCGCGCAACGCACCTATGCTGCGCTGTTGGAGCGGTATAATCCCGGCATGAATATGGATGAGGAGGAGAAGATCCGTCTTACTGCGAGGCGGGTTGGGATGGATCTGCCTGATTTGTATGAAGTTGAGAAGAAGACTGAATGAGCTTCTTTGTTCGACGGGTGTTTTGATAAGGATAGGATGGCCTCGTGTTCTATGCTTGGAACGTGGCCGATAATGAAAGGGGATTTACATGGTTAGGTGATATGAGTATCATGTGGAGGAGATGGGGATGGTGGTAGGAGGAACCTGGGTATCGGATACCCTGTGGGATTGTGTACTATATTTCATGGCTTTTTGTACAAAGTCCACTCGTGGTGGAATTCATGATATCCTATCTGATAGTATGTCTGTTGTTGTAGCTGGGTCTCTGAGGCTGGCGGTGGGTTGTAGTAGTCTCGCAGAGAGTCTCGCAGAGATTGGATCAATTGTTTGCCTCCTGTTGCGAGTAATGTTTACGCCATATTTAGGCGACTCCAACAGCTATAATGCTCAGGGGAGTCATTGGCACCCATAAATACCCCTGCAGCGCTGTGGTCAAGCCATATCAGACTGTGCTTGGACAGCATGGCAGCTAGGGCGACTGAATTCGCCATGGGCTTTCTATTGTAGCCAGCGAGCATTTCCAAGATGGACTGCAAGGCAAGCGAAGCGAGGTGGAGTGGGTCATTCTTTATGGAATAGATCAACCTTGGTGCCAATTTCAACTGTTGGTCAACTGAGTGCGCTCCATCTGACGCATCAGTGTCGAGCTACCTTCCTCATCCTCCATCCCAACCTCAATCGCAGTCTTGGGCCGATTGCGGTTGAGACCTTCCAGGAGAGTGCATGCCTTGCAGACCCGCTGGCTAGAGATGTAGCCGCAGCGCTCACAATGGCCCAAAGTCTGGCTTTTGACAGCCTTGGGATTCTTGATGGTGTTCTTTGTGTTCTTTTGGGGAAGTTGAATCTCCGTCTCATGCGCCTCGGCAGTCTCATTCTCTGTCAACTGCTTTTCCATGGCTGCCATCTCGCCGCCACTCGTCCGTCCGTTTTGGCTGCCGCAGCCGCCGGTGTTTTCTTCCTCTGCTGCTGCTGTAGTTTTGCAAGATTTGCCATTTTGACCCGGGTCTCGCGGGACAAGGGCGGCCATATCCTCGCCACTCTTGACAATGTCCAAAATCGAGCTAGGACGGATCTTCTCAAGATCTTTGACTAAAGTACGGGCACTGCCACGGAATGCCTCGGGGGAGTAGATGCACTCGGTTGTGAAGTAATCGAGTTGGCGGTGGTGGGCGTAGAGAACGATCTCTTTTTCATAGGCGTATTTCAACGGCTTGCTTCGCTTGATATCCGAGCCACCAGAGGCAGTCACAATGCTGGTTCCGCGAGAAAGACGAGGCAAATCACCACGAAGCAAATTCATCATGACGGTTTCAGCAACGTCGTCCGCATTGTGGCCCGTGACGACGTGTTGGATATCCAAACGCGCCGCACCTCGATCAAGCGCCTGCCGCCGAAACACGCCGCAGTATGTGCAATTTCCCTTTTTGCCAATCTGCTCGACAACTTGATCCATAGTCCACCCGTATAATTCGCCATATCCCACGATCGTCAGCGGCATGTCGTATTGCACAGCATTGCGCTTGACCGTCTCGAGACTGTCATCGCGGTAGCCACGAATACCCTCATCGATGGAGAGTAGGCAGAGGTCTAGTCCGTAATTGTATCGTTCGTTCAGGGTTTTCAAAACGGCTGCCAGGACTGTGCTGTCTTTGCCGCCGCTGGCTCCGATCGCGATTCGTTCGCCGGGGAAGAAGAGGTTTGTGCCGATGATCGTTTCGTGCACCTCGGTTTCGAAAACTTCGATGAAGCAGGCTCGGCACAGCTTATGCCTGTTCTTGGGTCTGATGATTACGGCGCGCGCCTCCTTGCAGTTGAAACAGGTCGTTGGGGCCATGATTGCGTGGTGGTTGTTGAGGGTTCGTGGAGGGGCAAAAAAGAATTTCGTTTCCCCGCGGTGGCCCGTGCCTCCGCCGCCTTGTATACTTCTGGCGTATCAGAGAGGTTCTTTTATACATCTTGGAGAGAAAATGATGGGAATAACCGTGGAATCAAACAAAAGAGATTTTAAAAAAGATCGAAATTGGCTTATTCAGAGCCCACTAGTAAATTATCGACATGAGAAGTAAACATATTTGCATGTGAGTCACATAGTAAAAGCACCATCCCCGAAATGTGTCCTAAGTTAAAGCAAAACTTTCTCATTTCTCACTCAGGCTGAAAGTGTGCGGTTTTCCTTTTCTCAGTAGGATATTGGCCGAGCATGCTGGTAGTCTGCTTTTCTTTGCCATCTGGCGAGCAAGATGGTGAATATGGTGCCTCCGATGGACTAGGGAATATGGGCTCGATCGATCTGCATAAAGTTTCAGATCACTATTGAGCTTCTCGGCGACAAGATCCGTTTTCTCTTCAGAGAAAGCGAAGGAAGTGCCGATAATTTTCAAACTTTTGGCAACATGATGCAGATCGGATGAATGCCAATCCTTCGATATCCAGACCGGCTTGACATTCCAGGGCCATCGGCGTTCTTTCTTGAATGCATCCCACCAGTCCTCAATACGCAATCGTCCTTTTTCTCCACTGACCGCATGCACGCATCCACTTGAGCCAAGCGCTACATGTACCAGTAGCCGTTCGGCGACAACGTCCACAGGAACTTCGTCGATGGTTGCTTCTTTATCAGGGTTCTCGCACCGAGTCGCAAGATTTATCTTTCGCCCTGGGTGCATTGCATAAGCTGCTGCACAGGCTGTCGACGGGGAAGAGTATGAAGTGGTGAAGCCGTGGTATGGAAACTGGTCAGCGGGCCCAACAACTGAAGGCCTAATGATGAGAAATTTGTCCGAGGCATCCTTCAGCGCGGCTTTGTTAAATACGAGTCTCTCCGCCAAATGCTTTGCATAGGCATATGGCCATGGAAAGTCGTGAGTCTCATATTCCTCTGTTGTACCTGTTTTCTGCAGCTCTCGATACACGTGAGGTGCTGTTTCCAGTGGATTTTCGTCGTTGGATCCAAGGGGATATACCCGTTCCTCCACAGCAACATCGGATGTTTTGCTTGCCATCCAAAGATGAGCATTAACATATGCCGTGGAGAGAAAGACAAATCTTTCCAAATTAACAAACTTCAGCGCGTATTGCGCCAGGCACACGGTGGGTGCAATCACTGTGTAGTCTAATTCGCGGAGTGAATTATTCAGTGCAATAGAAGATGCAGCATGTATAAGAATATGCACTTTTTGTTTGAGCATTTGCAGATCGTCGTCCGGGAGATTCATTGTGGCAGTGTCTCCAAGCTCGCCATCCAGAATTGTCATACGATTGCTCTGGGTGAGGACTTTGGCCACCGGGGCTGATAGCATCTCGGTCCATTTTGCTTTTGCTCTCCTACCAAAAGTAATTAGTATGGCTATTTTATGCTAGGACTTGGAAAGATCTCGGATATAACTGACTCATAACCACCTCGACACAAAACGTAAACATGTTCTGGGGCTGCTTGACTCAAGAGCCTATAGAGTAGCGTTGTGCCAATAAATCCCGTCCCACCAGTGACAAACAAAACTTTGCCATCATAGTAGTCCCATACCATCGTTGATGATGAAGAATTATAGGCCTCTTTTTCAAATGGCTCGTACTAGTAGTAAATGACGACTTCAGGCCCTGGAGTTCAAGTGAGGAACAAACCTTCAGGGAATATGCATAAACGGGGACCCATTTTTGACAAGCAAAGTGCCAGTAGGGGTGGAGCTCTCGGTGGAATATATAGTCGACAAGCTTAGATTCTTGGCTTGGACAATGGGAACAAATTTCCTGAAGATACTGGATCTCATCTGGCTCATGGAAAAGCTCGAGAACGAGCCGAATGCAGCTTTCTGCAGCTAAGGTGAGGGGGGTGCATGTTTGTGTAACCACCACCGCAGGGTCCACCCTGTAACGCGAACCATCTACAACCAATACATCGATCAAGAAGCTAATTCTCTAGTAGCAAATAGGCAATTGATTGCCCTTATTCAGTGATGGTGATTGAGAGCGTGCAAATCCTCGTCACATTATTGCTGGAACTCCGCCCATGGCCCGGGTTTATGGTCGTGTTCAGTTGTGCAAGGCGCTACGACCGCCGGGAGTCGTTACGAATAGGAGTGCGTCCTAAATCTGCCTCGCGAGATACTAGATTAATACGATACAGGTCAAGTGTTCACCGCTTCATGTGAATCCTTAATTAACATAAGCAAACCCCTGCCTTGTTGGCACCTAGCGATTGAAAATCGAACCAACACGTCGGCGCGTAATATTTCTGACCTTTCCAGCAATGAATTGCTACTAGTAGGGACCCGGGTATTGCCACGATTCAAATGTCTCAGAAACAGATAACAGATTACAGATAGAGCGAACGGATCAACTGCCGATTCGAGTCTGAAGTACATGCAAAAAATCTTGTCTGAACTAATTACATGTTTCAAGGTTGGTACTTGAGACATGCATCTATTTCCAAGGTTCCAGTGCCCAGTGTCCGATATAGTTACATATTATCATGTTCCACCGGTTCAAGAAGTTTCTTCCAAGGTTGTTTAGAGCCATTAACTTGAGCCAGCCTGACTCGGAGGGGTCTCAAGTCCCCACAGGCTTGGAAATTTCAATAACTCAGTGCTTGTAGTTCGCCACGAATATGGTAGGTTCCGCTTGACCTCGAAGACCATTAAAATGCCAGCTCTCAGGCCTTCACGGAGGCTATGTGATCAAAGAACGCATTGTCCTCTGACCGAACTACTTACACAGTGGAATCTACGTCACATAACTAGTACTTTGGTACCTAGGTATTCGATCACTTTACCAATTAATTCTAGCTCCAAACAAGAAAATCTCAATTCCTCAAAATAAATTATTTTATAGCTTCTCTACATGTTGGCACATTCATTTTCCAGGTGCACCTATAGCCGCATATCGACCAATTTCAAACCAGTGAAAATGATATCCATGATCTCTTGCTTCCCAGACCGAGCTCAAGGTTTTCTCAAATAGGACGCGTGATTGTCTGGAGAACGTGACAATATCCTTCATTTTTTTGACGGCCGCGTCCCTGGAATCTGATACTATGATCTCAAAACAAGCGGCGAGATAGGGAAGCGTGGTACATGGAACGGAGCGTTGAGCAATTTGAAGAACCATATCAAACTCGTCAATAATAGCACGACTTAGCACATAAGCCTCCCGGTCTTGTTCGCCATAAGGATATTGTAGGCGATGAATTATCAGTAAAGCAGCGAAGCGAAATATCTTCGCTTGAGAAAGCATACTGACCACTTCAACTTGGGTATATTGATCAAGGAAGTTGGAAGGAGGGTTTGTATGCCACTGCTCCACCGCAACTTTGATAAAAGCCAAGCGCTCCATAACGTTTGCAGCTGTTGCCATGGACGCATTTTTGAGGGAGTTCCCAGCCTCGCAGATATCATACAAGTGTGCGAATATCGACGAGCTTAAACCGAGATAACGATCAACCTCGTGCGTGCGCTTGCAAGGATCGACTCTCATACTTGGAACCTCAGACTTCAACAGACACTCCGAGGTCTCAGTGCACACCAAGCACATCCAGTAGTCGATCAAAGAGGAGTGCATTGTATACATGGTATGAGCCAGTGGCTTAATAAGACTCAAGGTGTAATGTGAGATCAAAGATGCTTGACCGTCAGATACATGCATTGCAAATGTAACCATTGCAACACCAAGAATGAGTAGTGTGGCTACGTCTTGCTCGTTTGATATTTGGAATGATCGCAGTGATGAAATTGCAAGGGCAGCACGTCTGTGACCGATTTCAAGGCTGGCTTTGGCGTACTCGTCATTCTCATCTCCGAAGAGAGCTGCCGCACAGGCGACTGCAGCGTGTTTCAGTACTGGGGTAGGCATAATGAGGCTTTGTATGAAGGATACATGGTGCGATTCGTGAAAACTCGGACCAACAATGAACTTGTCCAGTGGAGACGGAGCCAGTATGTCTTTCATTAAGTTCAGAAAGTGCCGCTCCCATTGGTCAAGTGTAGAAAAGACCACTGGATTGGATGCCAAACCCCCATCATATGGGCTCGGTCCGCAAAGCAAATTCCGAGGCGTTGTGATATAGTCACCAAATGACGAGTTTGTCGAGTTCGGTATTGTATAAAGTAGCCTCTGTTGACAACGTGGCTTCCGACCCGTTTTTGCTGCTTGTCTCGTCGTCCGGCAAGGTTGATTTAATCGAGAGCATCGTTCGCAAGGGGTGTCCGCGTCGGATCGTCTGCATTTCTCCTTGAGATTATGACATGGGTCACAGGCTCGTTTAAGAGAACTGGCAAGAGTCATCGCGAGTCTGTGTTATTGTTGTGCTCAAATTGTTTTTGGGGGGGCATGTTAATTTTTGCCCTGCCCTATTCTTGACGCACAGGCATCAGTATTCCAGGTTCTGTAAACGAATAGTCGAAATGCATACCTTGCATTTGAATCGGAGGGTAGCAAGTCGATTTCAGACAAATGAGACGCTTCCTAGGTTGGGAGCCCTGGGAATGCGGTTTGAAAAACAGGTCCTCATGATGGGATCATGATTAAGGTGTTCTCAGCAGAAACAGGACCAGTCGCGACTGGTCTTCGGGCTCCCTAGGTTGGAAATGCGGAGAAATGACCTGATAAGCTCGGCTACACCTTACTGTTCCGAACAAGCGGTGGGTTCATGCCGAATGCGGTTTAGGCGCGAGATAAGACATTTTGCGGGGAAGCGAAGCCGATATAGTTGGCCAATTCATGCGCACCCATGGTCGAAACTTTGCCTAGATGCATTTCTGACCTGAATATTGACTGTAGATTATATTGAAAACTAGCTAGACCATTCTGTGGCTTACATGAGTAGCCGCCAACTTCCTGTAGCTTGCCGCTGTCGCAACCCGTGCCTTCTTGCCCCAAATCAGTAGGGGGACAGGGATCATGTAGACTAAGAAAGCGACAACTGCGCAGAGTACATGAAGATTTTGTAAACCCATACCCTCTACCCAAGGAGTGAGAACAAAAAGAACAATAACGGAAATGATATTACGCATGAAGATCACTCCAACCAAAGCATCTCCAATGACCTGTTATCCGTCTGTGTTAGCTCCTCAAGATTCTTGATTAGGGAGGAGGATGTTGGAGTACATACGTCTTGATAACAGTCCATAAGATAGGAAAGCGATATGCCGCTTATAGCAGCCAATGTGAACCCAAAGACACCAAAGCCTACAGCGAGCAGTGCCCAATGAAGTCCCTGCGGGAAAATTAGCCGATGAATTAGGGAATTTGAACACAACAAACGAAGGACATACATATACAAGTCCCAGGCCAAACATTAAGATTGATGCTGGGCCCAAGATGGCAACGGGAAGTGCGAGCCAAAGACGCATCTCGGGCTCGTAGATACCGCCATTTCTCTTCGATAACCAGAGGATGGACTTGTCACTAAGATATCCACCACAGGGGAAGCCCAAAAGCGCACCAACAAAAGGTGCAACGTTCATCAAGCCGATGCCGATCGCGTCAAAATTATATGGTGGTAACAGCATGTACGATGCTTGAAGAGAGGTCATGGTTGCGAACCACGCCAACGTAGATCCATAGGTGAGAGCGGCGTAAGTGACTGCCGGATAAGTGAACAAGGTCACAAGGGGGGGTGTAAAAGTGCGGCCAAAGGGACTCGTCTGTCTTTGTTACCCATGCCATCCTCCGCCAGTAAGTCTTGAGCTTGATCTCAGGGTTGACTGCCGCATGGCTTGTAGCGGGCTCAGAAACCGTCCTTTTGATGTCTGCTGTGATCCCATCTTTTCCTTCTTTAGGAGTAAGTGCTTGGTTATTGGGTGAAGGTGCAGATACGATATTTTGCCCGTCAAGAATTGGGACATATTTCGACTCTTCAAAGAGAAAAATGACGCAGATCAATGTGATCCCAAAGAAGATCACGCACCACCACCACATCCAACGCCATCCCTGAGAGTCGACGATATAACCCGACGCGACAGGTCCGAGGAAGGCGCCTGCGGATTGGAATATAACGAACCAGCCGTTCATAGTTGCATGCTGGTGCACAAAGAACATATCCGCAATTGTGATTTGGACCACAATCTCACTGATCGCTCCGCCTAGACCTGAGATCAGATTCGCACCAATGAAATTGCCGACAGTGTATGTTTGAGCCTGCCAAATACACGACGCGAATTGGAGAGCGGAGCTGAATATGTAGATCGGTCGTCGGCCATATTTGTGCACGAGGGGGATGAAGAAGAAGCACCCGATCGCCAATCCTCCGTAGTTGACCGCAGCACCGGCATTGAGAATATCAACAGAGAAGCCGAGCTCAGACTCCATGGGGCCCCATGCTGTGAAGCCGATATCGAGTTGAACGAAAGTCCAAAGGACAAAGAAGCTGACTAGAGTGAAGTTGAGGGCTTTGCGAGCAGTCGACCAATTAAGGGGATCGTTCGGGTCGGCACTGGGAGTAGGAAACAAGACAATTTGGTCTCTTGTGCGATGGACTATGCAGGTCAGTACGAGAGACCGGGCTAGTAAATATTCTGTTAAGCCGACCGAGAGGGCAGTGTCTTACCATCTTCTAACACAACTGTTCCAGGGGCCCAGAACCCCTCATCGTGATCATGTTCATTCACATTCACCATGCCTGGTGTCAAGGAGGTCAGTCTCGTAAGAAATGAATTTTAAATGCAATTGAAAAGTATGCTTAGGGGGGGTACGATACATATCGATCCAAAAACGAGACTGACGGGTATTTAAGAGCAACTTAGCACCGTGTAACTCATCATCTATCGTGCGGAGAAGCTTGTGCCCAAGGCCCTGGACCGTGTTATCTTTTGAGTTCAGAAGACAGAGTGTGGGGAAACAAGCAACACGATGGCTTCCATCAAATCAGCAGCCTTGAAAGAGGCCGGCTTGGCGAAGTCTGGCAGGTGTCGCTAGTCTGACCTCTCCAACCCCGCTTATCTCCCGGCATTGAGTGCTTAGAGTTGAGTCGTTCAAGCCAATAATCAGCTGCGAGCGGACTTTGTTCCGCTACGCCTATCGTGTGGCTTTTATAGTCGCGACTCGTCTTCGCCCTCGGTAAGTTATCGCTGCATCATGACTTGCGATTGGCTTTAGTCGTTCTGATCTGAACTCTGCTCATCATTCAGAAAGAAACGAAGATAGGATTTATCAACCAATAATTACTGAGTAGGAGGTAGATTTTTACCCATTTGCCTTCCAAGGTTGTAGGTGGCCTGACCCATCTTCCATTAATATTATTTCAACTAGTCAGAGTTGTCAGAGTTGTCAAAGTTGCAAGGTTCCAAGGTCCGAGAGGACCAGTTTACCTAGATAGCTGGGTATTGTGAAGATACTATTGAAGATGCTGGGTGATTTCGGCAAATATGTCACTGTTGCGATTTCGACTGGTCGGATGATGAATCCAAAATGATCACCTGGCAGATGATTGGTTGGCTGCAGCCGAGCTTGACTCATCTTGAAAATCAGTATCATTTTTGTAAAAAAGGACGGTGCCTAGAATGTCCAGTGAAAAAGAGAGTTTATTGAAGGTATAACCTAAATTGAACCAATGCCACGGCAATCGGTACATGCTTGTGTCTAAAGGATTTCGTTATAGCCCCTGGTCTGAAATGGCCCCCAGAGTGCTCGTATAGGCATGGAGAACCCACTAGTGGGATTCAAAGAAAGCTCAGAGTGTTATGTATCACAATAAAAATCGGACAGGCCGACTACTATGAAGCATAAATAAGTTTTCGTCACATGAAGAGCTCTGAAATCAGTTTTCGGTTTGTATTCAAGATCGATATCGAGTTTCATGTAAAACACGCCACCTATTCGAAGCTGATTATTTGGTAGCTTCGATGATACCTTCTCCAGTTCCGGGCGGTTGATGGAATTTGATGTTTTGCAAGCCAACAGAGCCTAACAAGTCCCGCCACTGCTTCTCACTCCGCTCAAGAGCCGCAACCTGAACCATCATCATGACACTCATACATGCCGACGCAAGATCACAGCCCGAATCCGGGAGAATGTGCTCGTGAATGATAAGTCGGGAGTATCCAGGTTTCATCGCGTCCACAATATGGGTCAAAATAGAGCGACAATGCTCATCGGACCAGTCGTGGAGAATCCAGTGCATAAAGTATGCTCGAGCACCTTGCAAACACTCGTTAGACTGATTTACCGGGGTCATTTAGTGAATATCATACCTTGAATGGATTGAGGAGTGAAGAAGTCATGAGACACCAATTCGACATTTGTCGGTGGATTCTCAATGCCTGAAATAACGTGCGGGAGATCCTGGAGGATCAAACGGCCAGGTGCCTTGGGGAAGTTTTCTTCGAACTGTTTCACATAGCTGCCTTCCCCGCCTCCAACATCTACTAGAAGAACACTCGAAGATGACTGTGCCTCGGCGCCATCTATGATACAACCTTGAATGTCAAACCAGTCGATCCAACTTGGGGAAGCACGCTGCTTCAATGTCATCCATTGCTGGAAATCTCTGGCCAGATCGGGATTTTGACCGAGCCATGCGAAGTAAGTCAGATCAGTGCCAAATGCGAGTTGAAATGGGGTGTTTTTGTCCGAATCAGGAAACTTGTTATTGTTCTGACGAAAGAACTCTGGGGCTTTCATTGTGCATACGTTTCCGATTTCAAAACTGCTTGACGTTAGTTATTCCCCTTTCAAGCATGGGGCTGATTCTTGAGTCACCAAGCTCGAGTTGTTGCTTCCGTCGTTGGATCTGCCATGACCATCGTGAGAGCTGATGGCTTGAATTGTTCATCCTCTTGCTTGATATATCCTGTGGCGGCCAAAACTCGGAGCACTTGGGCTGTTGCAATATCAAAGTTAGATCAAATCTATGCCTTTTAGTTTCCCCCGTAGGCCATCAGGGTTGTTTAGAAATCTGAAGGTTCGATGTTTGGTTGGAGAGGCTGCAGGGGACGGCCTCCGCCCGATTATTTCAACTGACCTACAAGAATCGGACTTGCTTCGGAGCTTTTCGAAATGATATCGCAGCTGACTCCCTTTGCTGGGTTCTGACTGATTTGCGAGAAGATGCCTAGTTGTACTCCCATGCGCAAAGCCATCAGGATAGGCGAGTTCTGCGATCTTAATATAGCTCTCGACGAACAGAGTACAAGAACCAGAAAATGACATACCAACACCACATCTTGAATCATTCTCTCCACCGGTGATTCCAGTGCTGCCACTAAATCCCGGGCTGCTTTTAGGGCCTCCACACGAGCCTCCTCATTGAGCTGTTGAGATCTTGCATCCTCTGCCAATGCAGCTATTCTCTTCGAAATAAAGGTGCTTTGCGTCATTTCCAAACCGTCAGAATTGCTCAATGAATGCACTCCGGTGCCGGGACATTGGGGGAGGAACCATCGTTAATTAAATCTATCAACCAAATGGCCCGGGCGGGGCGCTTCCTACTGTGCCAAGGGCCCATTCCCGGGAGAATTCCGAGTGCTTGAATTCAAGTTGTTGGCCCACTCTGAAATCTGAACCAATTCATTTTATACACTAATAGATAGTTATACTTGATCTGCTCCCATGAAAAAATGAGATTCATCGTTGTTGATGATTTTTGGCTTTCTGAAAAAAAGAAGGCCGAGCACTGACAGGGATAATTCCTATTCCTAAAAACCAAAAAAAAAAACTGGTCACCGGCAAATGCAGCTACCGATTTTAGCCCCCATTCGCTTCACAATTGCAATCAAATATTGGGCGCTAGTAACTCCGTAGCGCAACAGGTAGCACATATTTAGTCTGTTGAATTTTGCCTAAGTTGCTAGTCAACAAGACCAGAAATACATCAACCAGGAAACCCGGTTCCGATATTGATTGCAAAGTAACACTCTGGACTTGTCCCGAAAAAAACGAGGAAAAAAAACATAATTATAGTCTTTTTACCATGCCGATCGCATCATATAGACCCCAAATCTCGATTTCGCACTATCTCTAACATGTCAATGGAGAAACTCTCATTGATTAGTTGGGTTTCGGTGATTGTCTAGAAAGGCTCGGCGTTGTCGCGTAAAGTACGGGGTAGATTACTTCTGACCCACCTCGCAAAATGTGCAAACCTTCAAGTAAACCCAAATCGACGATTTCTATCGGAAGAATCTCCCATACATGTAAAGACATGAAACAATTTCACTCTGTGGAGTATATTCGGGAAAAAACATCGGGTTTGGGTGATTTGGAAGATCTTAGGCTGTCGACTTCGTACTGCACCCCTTCCTTGCCAGGATCGACCCACATAGTCGAATCCTTCTGGGGGCGAAAAGGCCAAATCCCCATTAGGCTCCGGCGTTGCACCCGGTGGGATGAATTGATTGAATTAAAGTCGAGTATCTGAGGGCCATCTAAACTATTCTACAAAAAGCCATTAGAGTATGACAGAGATTTTGTCAAAAGGAGAGCCTTCAGCATGAGCGACTCAATTCCCTACTGCGGCCAGCAGTTGATCGGCGTGTCAATTGCAATTGCTCTAGTGCAGGTTTTAGTCGTTGGAGCACGGTTGTACACAAGGCACATTCAAAAGGTTGCCTATGGCATTGATGATTATCTCATTATTCCAGCATTGGTGAGATCCGAACTGACTTATTCCAGCTGTTTACTATTATGCTAAATGCTCACATAGATTGCTAGTTTAGGACAATCAGCGCTTTATATCTACCGTATGTAGTGACAGAACTTCTCGCCTTGATTGCTAATAAATTTTCAGTGGTTAAACGAGGAGTAATCGGATATCACCTCGAGTATGTCGCAAAGTCACCTGGAAAATTGATCATTTTGAACCAGGTAAGGTCCCTTTCAGATCAAATGGGCGGCCCCATATGAACGGTACATGAACAGGGTCTCTATGCCAACGAAATACTCGACTTTCCCTTCAGCGTCACGCCTGCAAAAATTTCGATCCTCCTATTCTATGCACGAATCTTTCAAGTTCGCACCTTTCGAACCATCACATACATCGTGGGCGCAATCGTTATCGCCCATGGTATTGGTGTGCTTTTTGCTGCAATCTTCCAATGCTCACCGATCGCTTTTACGTGGAATAAAGCGATAACTGGGGGGTCCTGCTTTGACCAACAGGCCTTTTACCGATATGTTTCGCCTCCAAATATTGCTACGGATATTCTCATTCTGGTTATGCCGCTACCATACATATGGAAGTTACATACCCGCCTAGGGCATAAGCTCGCTCTGACGGGGGTCTTTGTATTGGGGGGGCCTGTGAGTTATTTCCGAACTCCCAGAAACCTATTTCCTAACAAAGAATAGAGGTACTGTCGCGAGTATCCTTCGCATGACAACATTTTTTGAAGAGAGTGCCATGGCTGACCCAACCTGTATGTTGTTGATTACCTGCCAAACGTAGGGTGTGTTTATATAGCCAGGGCGGACACTAACAGAAATAGGGGCATCTGTAAAGCTCGGCATTTGGACAGTTCTGGAAAGTGGCATCATCATCATCGCTGCTTGTTTGCCTTCGCTCTGGCCTTTGATTTCCAAGATTATTCCCCGAGCCTTACTCACAAATCAATCCACAAACCAACCACCACGACCTGGCTATAACCCGAGTATTCATCATGCGAAAAGAGAATCAGGATTCTCACGTCTTGGGGAGAGTTCGGATACATTGGGATGGCCTTTGACTCAAAACTCGTGCCAGGATCTACAAACTGACGGGCATGCCGATGAAGTACCACTTAATAATGTGGATCGGACACATGCCAATAGGTCCTGATACTCAATACACCAAATGATCTCACTTAGATATATGAATGAACCGGTTATGAGTCAATTGGTGTACTTGTATAGATAAAATTTATAAAAAGGAAGCCTGGTCTTGAACCTCGGAATGGAATACTCAAATTTTAATATGCGTTGGAAATGACTTCACTGAGCCGAGATTTTTGATATCAACACCGACCATTCATTCTTCATGTTGGTCTAGATCAAGATCCGGCTATATGCCAATCAATATATAGTAAAGCTCAAAGGGCTTTATTGGCTCAGTGAACCATTTACTTTGTAGTCTTATCAATGTAGTTGGAAGGCGCACTTACATAATATTTGGCTTTGCTCCGGCCGGTCGGTGCGGGGTGACCAACTTGGATTTCCTCAATCACCAAGGTTTATTTTCAGAAAGTGATCGACTCAGGACTGCTGCAATGTTACAGGGAACGTAAAAAAGACCGAAAGTTTTGTTTTGAGATTAAAGATGTCAGACTCAACACAAAAACCAAAGCGCGAAATTCTCGTGATTGGCGCGGGCGGAGTCGGCACGATGGCCTGCGTCGCTCTGGAACGATCTGGTATGGCACGGGTGACTGCTGTGCTCCGCTCAAATTACGAAAAGGTGGTGCGAGACGGATTCGATATAGAGTCTGTTGATCATGGAAAGCTTTCCGGCTGGCGACCGAGTCATGGTAACTAAACACATATGCCCCCTAAGAGCGCTCACTGATTGATGGAAATAGTGGTCAACAAAGTCCCCGACGCCAGCTTGCAACGTCCATTTGACTATGTTCTTGTCACAATGAAGAATATCCCAGAGACCACAAAAATTGCGGAAATAATAGCGCCTAGCATGACCCCCAACCACACTACCATTGTTTTGTTACAAAATGGAATCTATATTGAACCTCCCATGATTGATGCATTTCCGACAAATGCAGTTCTCTCCGGTCCAAGCTACATTGGAGCTCACGAAAGAAACGGCCATGTCATTCATGATGACTCTGATCGATATCATCTCGGAGTGTTTCACAATACACAGCTAGATCACAAGTATGAGCAGAGCATATTGGAAGATTTCGCATCGGTCTATAACGGCGATGGTATTGAGCATGCCATGGTCGTGCGAGACATCGTTCGCTATCGGTGGAGAAAAGCCCTATGGAACGGTATTTACAACACAATGTGTGCTATCACTCAGCTTGATAACGCTGCTATACGGCGATCAGGTGGTGAATATAGCTTGATAAGACCAGGCATGGCTGAAATGGCGGCGATTGCTAAAGCAGATGGTTATGATCTCGGGGAGAATATTGTGGACGAAATGGTCGACGCAACGCCCATTGAATTGTCTTTTCGTCCGAGTATGCTGGTTGATGTGGATAAAGGGAACCCAGTGGAAGTTGAGGTGATATTGGGGAACGCCTTGCGTGTAGCCCGGAGAGAAGGCGTTCAGACCCCCATTTTAGATAACACATATCGATTTCTCAAGTTGATTCAGAATAGACTCCTCGTTGCTCGTGGATATATTGATGAGCCAAGGGATATTCCTACAGCAGACTTTATTTAATCACATAGTATTCAAACAACTTGAAGATTGATCTTTTAGATACTACCCAACTGAGAATACACTGGTACTATGTGCTCGACATGGGTGCCAAGATGATGCGGTGTAGAAATGCATCTACATAACTAGGTACTAGTAGAAAACTTGTATCAAAAGACATGCAGGGGGCCCTGGGACAAGCCCCGCCATTTAAAAGACAAACGACCGGATTCCGTTCGTTGAGAATGTACTTCCGGTCTCACAAGCAATTATTGCGGGGACTATTCTTGATCTCCCCGCTCCAACCATCGATGCCCAAGTTGCCGTAACTAGCCCGCAACTTCTCGCAAGCCTCCAAGAAAATTGATCGCCATTTGAAGATGGAGAGGATTGATGTCCACGCACATTGTGTACCGCCTGCTTATCGGGAATACTGTCTCCAGAATGATTTCGCCGGGAGGGGCCATCCCGATGGAATGCCGGCTATTCCAGTGGGTCTCAGTTGAACGAATCAGTCAAATCACCCTCTGATACTATTTTGTAGGAATGGAGTGCAAAGTCACATATCGAGATGATGAACGAATTGGGAATCGAAAAGGCTATTCTGAGTATGTCGTCGCCTGGTACGCATTTAACGCCAGGGAACAATTCGGAAGCACGGAAATTGACGCGACGAATCAACGAGGATCTTTCTAAAATCTGCGCCGAGAACAAAGACCGATTTCTGTTCTTCGCGTCGCTCCCTCTGCCTGATGTTGAAGGTTCACTAGCCGAAATCAATTACGCGCTGGATAATCTAGGCGCGGTCGGATTTCAGATATTGACTAACTCTCATGGAATATACCCCGGAGATGAACGACTGAAGCCCATTTTTAAAAAGTTGAATGAGCGTGCTACCATTGCGTTTTTTCATCCAACCAGCTGCAATATCCAAAACACCAAAAACGGCTCAGTGGAACATATAACCCCGATTCATGGGGTGGCCAGCCCGGTTATGGAATTCATGTTCGACACAACTCGTGCTCTGGCTAGTCTCGTGACCTCGGGAACAGTGGCCAGTTGCCCCAATGTCCAATACATCGTGTGCCATTGTGGTGCAACTTTCCCACCTCTTGTTTCACGTATTGCTGAATTTTCCGCATTCCTCTTGGGAAAATCGATTACGGAAGATGAGATTAAACAGCTACTCCAAAAACATTTCTTCATCGATCTTGCCGGGGTTCCATTCCCCGACCAGATCCATGGCGTGCTGCGATTAGTAGATTCGTCCAGACTACTATATGGGAGTGATTATCCCTATACTCCAGCACCTCTAGCTAAAAGCCTTGCGAAGAGGCTTGATGAAGGACTCGGGGAGATATTTGATTCTCAGACAAACAGACGGATTCTTTTCCAGAATGCCCAGGATCTGATTTCTTCAAATCCTCCACAGTGGTCCACCTTTTGAACTTAATTATCTGGCAATGGAGCAGCTAGAAAGTCAATTCATTGAAGATATAAAAGCTCTCAAATTGCTGGCAACTTTCAAGATCTACAATCCCACGAAAAAGAAATATTGAATAAATTTCCTAAACGAATAAGCCCTGGATTAAAAGACTGCGATAGGTCCCGCACGTCAAGCCGAGTGGCAGGCAACAGCCCGCGCCTCCCCCGCACGATCCATCGCGAAAATGCGGGGAGGTCATCTACTTGATATCTTTTAGTTATATAACTGTGAATCCAGCTAGTTTCAAGGTTGGTGTTATATCTAAGTCTTACAGAACTACGAAATAACGTGCCTGAAACGAGGGTCAAGAATTAGGACCTGCAACCAGCAACCAAACATGAGTATCTTCATCGCGTATACTGACCAGCTGGATGGCTTCAAAGGCTTAATTATCTTCACCCTTGGGATTGTCATGCTCATATCATATGTTACAACTGCACTGAAACCCGGACTGAGATCGATCCCCGGGCCTATAATGGCTCGCTTCACATACCTCTACCGTCCTTTCAGGATCGCCAAAGGAGACGCTCCAAATTTCTATATGAGCCTACACGAGAAGTATGGACCTATAGTTCGAACAAGCCCAAGTACAGTAGATATTTCCGACCCAGCGGCGCTTCCGATTATTTATGGAATCAGCAGCAAGTTTATCAAGGTAGGTACCTTGAGAAGCGAATTGATCATATCTCTAATGTGAAATATAGTCAACATTTTACAATGCTTTCAGTCCGATTTTTGAAGGAGAAACTATGCCTAGCATGTTTACTGTAAGGGATCCAATTGCCCATCAAGCATTGCGCCGACCTGTCGCGCAGAAGTTTTCCATGTCGTCAATCAAGTCCTTGGAACCATTTGCAGACGAGTGCACGAGTATATTTATCGATGCAATGAAAGAGCTTCAAGGCCAGAAGGTAGACCTGGGTGTGTGGCTACAATGGTATGCTTTTGATGTGATCGGAGCTATCACTTTTCAACGCCGGTTCGGCTTCATGGAGAATCGAGAAGACGTCATGGGTATGATCGGTGGCCTCGAGCTTGGATTAAAATATGCAGGAGTAGTTGGACAAGTGCCGGCGTTACATCCATGGTTGATGGGGAACAGATGGGTTGCAAAGCTTTTGACAGCCCAGCCGTTGATTGAGATTGCCGATCCGCTTCGAACCATGGTGAATGTGAGTCCCTACCCCAGTCTCTCGACGCACCGGATCCGGCGTCATTCTTATGGAAATACAGATTACCCAAGAATGTATCGATGATTATGATAAAACCCCCGATAAAACTCATGGCCAACGGCCTGACTTCCTAGCATGGCTCCGGAGTGAAGAGTCAAAGGGTAAACCGTTATCCAATCGCGACATGATAAATCATTTGAGCAATAACTTGTAAGATTCAGAAAATTTCAGCGACCTGAGGAAAGAAACAGATAAATTAACTTGGGGTTATAGACTTGCTGGAAGTGACACAACTGCCATTTCACTGCGCGCTATTTTGTATTTTCTAGTTCGCAATAGGTCCGTGTACAAAATGGCTCAACAGGAAGTGGACAAGGCTGATAGTGATGGGAAACTTTCTCCTTTGATCACATATGCAGAGTGCTTGGAACTACCTTACCTGTTAGTGAAGCTCCACTCAAACGTTTATTCGCCCCATTATAAGTCTCACAAAATCCAGACAAGCGGTTATGAAAGAAGCGATGCGATGTCATCCTGGGGTTTCCTTCCCCCTTGAAAGACTCGTCCCCGAAGGAGGCATAGATTTATGCGGGGCTCATCTCAAAGCAGGGACTATCGTCGGGATGAATGCAGCTGTCATCCATCGAGATAAAACAGTGTTTGGGGACGATGCCGATGAATTCCGACCCGAGAGATGGATCAATTGTGCCGAGGAACAGGTCAAATTAATGAACCGTCATCTTATGACAGTGAGCTTTCTACCGATCCCATGGCTCGCAATACTCTACTAACAGCATAACAAGTTTGGTTATGGGTCTCGATCATGTATTGGCAAAAACATCTCGATTATGGAGATGGGTAAACTTATTCCTCAACTATTGCGCCACTTCGAGATTGAGTGGGCATCTGACGAGTCTGAGTGGCGGGTTGAGACGTTTTGGTTTGCTAAACAGAATGGGTTAATGTGCCGCTTCAGCCCTCGAGGTGTCAGCCCACCATCAAGCTAACCAAGGATAAGTTGCTACTTGTAGCAACCGAGATGTGATAATAGGGAACTTTTCCATAGCAGATTGGCACCATGGATAGCCTTTTCAAAAAAGAAATTTCACAACCTTGGAATGGAATATGAAAATCGAATTTCTGGTTCTTACTTGATTATACGTACGGAGTACAAGGCCTAGAATCTGTACAATATAGTCGGACAAATACTAGTATCACTGACATCACCTTCCCGGTCCGATGCAATGGAGGCGGAAAAGATTTTAGCCGATACCACTCTCCGGCTATTGACTATCTATCTTCATCAAAACGCCATATCTACTCGTAGTCTCTTGCATAAAGTGCTGGGGAAGGCAGTAGAAGCTGGGAGACTAAAAGTGGGCCTTGGGATATCCACTTTTCTCCGCGTTTGCCATTCATATCCTAGGATCATGGACTCCGGGGCTAAAGCGAGACGGCTCAAGGGAAAGTGAGACTGTCTGACCGAAGAAATTGCCGAGGTGGTGAAGGATGACTCGGACCAGAAGCCGGTGCCGGTTGAAAGTAGAAAATTAATAACAGAAAATACGGGACTCGGAGGGCGGCATGCGGGGGAAACTGGAGAAGGCGTTCGGAAATTCTCCGCTCAAGTGTGTCGGCAAACTTCCGACGAGCAGCTTTGCTATCGCAGATAAATAGGGCAACATCGTTCAGATTACACATCAAGCGACTAATTTTGACCGTGAATATACTCATTGTTTCTTGTCTTTTCCTCTCAGTCAAGCCTCCGTCATCACAATGGGCTCTATTGGAGAATCGCCTCTCACGGTTTCGAATCCCTTTCGAACCAGGACTCTGAACGGTCAAATCACCCCGCTCTTGTCAATCAAGCATGTTGCTACCAACGAAATCGCCATGATGGCAAAAATGGCCGGCTTCCACGCGGTATTTATCGACATGGAACATTCCACTTTCGACATGCGTACTGTTGGCCAACTCATCCTGGCCTGCAACTACGTCGGCGTTGCACCCGTGGTCCGATCTCCATCCAAGTCTCACTGGCACCTCAGCCGTATTCTCGACGCCGGAGCCGCAGCTGTTGTTATCCCTCATATTGAGACCATTGAAGAAGTTCGAGACCTCGTTCATCACGCCAAGTATGCACCCATCGGTGCACGTGGATGTACAAACAACCAGCCTCTCTTCAACTTTCAAAATATCCCGACTCTCAAGCAAAATGAGGCTTTGAACGCTCAGACTATGTTGATTCCTATGATTGAAACACCATCCGCTGTTGAAATAGCCGAGGAAATATTTGCCTTGGATGGTGTTGACGGTGTCCTTGTCGGCTCAAACGACCTGTGCAGTGACCTAGGAATTCCAGGAAAGTATGACGATCCGCTATATATGGACTCAGTCACCAAGGTCATCAATGCTGCCAACAAGCATGGAAAGACTGTCGGAATCGGCGGAATCGGAGGCCGACTGGATCTCCTTGAGAAATGGTTTTCTATGGGTGCGACTTGGTCACTAAGTGCAGCTGATGGTGCCCTCCTGCAAAGTGGTATGAAGCAGGTTATCAAGAACTATGGGGAAATCAGCGAGAGGGTAGAGAAGCCCAGGAATTAATCCTATTCAATTGTATTTATATCAAAGAAATGACACTAGAGAGTATATTGCAGTTCAAAGGGATTTTCTCCATACAGATTGGCTGGCGGATCACCGCAAGCATATTCACTCAACCCTGCTTCCATGTTCCATAACGCATCATCTCCGAATATGTCAAATGATAGAATTGACCCCTCAGAAACCGCTGTATCTGTATGCATCTGTGTGTTATTGTTGGGGATGGGTGTGACGTCTAATTCGTTCAGCAAAACTTGGGAATCGTGGTTTTGGCGTATAGCGTGGAAGGAAGATGTTGGTCCCCAGCCAGAAATTGAGGTTTGAGAATCCAAGAGAGACCCATTTTCAAGTTCAGCATATTGGTCATGTAGAATTGACTCTGTCGTTCGGAAGAGTGGCTCCGTGTGCGGGTGAAAATTGATCGCAGTAGTGTATTTGCGTACAACATATGCCCTTAGTGCTTCAAATACTGCAACATAGCGTTTCGCATCTGGTAGCTCTTCCACCATTTGTTTTAACGCACTCTCGCAGATTGCCACGCTTTGTGTTCCAGTGATCACAGTCTCCAGATCAAAGTCTCTAACCACAGAGAGGCAAAACATAACTGAGAGGCCAGCCGTAAAAAGCATTTGAAAGTAGCTTCTCGTAAACGTAATCTTCTTGTCTTGGAAAAGTCGACAGAATATGGTAATTGCGTCGACCGCGCTATTGAGGCACAGTGACAAAAGATCTCTGGGCGGGGAGCTGTTCCTTTTAGGAACAAGGTCAATGGCTTTTCTGACCAGTAAAAGTCGCTCTCTCAGGTAAAGGAGGTGATGCCATTCTTGCATCTCGTACAGACAGCGTGGATCCTCGAAAACGGGCGAAGAACAACGCCATTGCTGTAACTGATCGAGTAGGCGATCCAACTTGGAATATATTGATCCCCGAGCCTTCACACTCTTTCCTGCGTTCGAGTAGGCGGTTTTTTCTCCAAATTCGGAGTGAATCCGGGAAGTTATTTGCCGGAGCCGGAGACAAGCTAGGAAAACAGACATTTCTGTTTTTCGAGCCCCAGGAGCAGATGCCAAAGCTGATACGGCGCAATATGAGTCTAAATCTGTGAAGGATCCAGATCGTTCCGCTGCTTCAATTTCTTCATCATCTGCATCTGCGGGGAATCCCACCTGAATTGATATGTCAGGTATAGCAACAGGGCGATCGAGAGTGATTGAACTGTATCGATCGATCATATAACATTCCCAGAAGACTCGCCGTTGGAGTTGCTCATGCAAGAGATCTGTGCGAGACGTAGGGAGAGGCAGTCTATGTAAATTCTGCTCGATGCACATTCTCATGCAAAGCCTTGTGATTTCCCAGATTGAAGTTCCTTTAAATGACATAATGGTTAATTTCACTCATAGGAACTCGGGGAATAGGGCAAAACTGATGTACCAATATGATAATAGATCGCGAATCTTCCTATGAACAGGAGATCTTGAATAGATTCTAGCCCTCTCGCAAGAAAACCATCATCCAGATTCTTCATAGCGGAGACAAAATACCCATATGGGTGGTGCATAGTGGCTCCATTCCGATAGGAAAGAACGGATCCGATTGCGAGAATCATGAAGGTCTGGAAAAGATCATGAGGGCTCTTTGGTTCTCCGTCATTCTTTGAGCCAGCTTCGATTTGTGAGAATACTCTAGCATAAAGTTTCTCAACATCACTTCGCAGGAAAAAGGGCCGCTGGACGTGCGATCCATTCACACTGGTAAAGTCAGTATTGAGGTTATTATGACCAGTAGGGACTATTATCTATCTACGGGAGTGGAATGGGCACTCACTATCTATCAAAAATTTCTCTTGCCTCTTGAGCGGATGGCAGTGCGTTTGGCTTTACCCCGGTGCCGGCGGGACCAGAGCCTTGTGATAGATTTTGAAGTAGCGTTGGATCATGTTCCCGCCAGCCTGAGTCTGCAAAAAGATGTCTCATAAAACTATTCATGTACTCGATTAGAAAAGCCATGCCAGAATCACCAGGGTGTTTACTTACCTGATACCGCCACCCTCAACAAAGTTCGATGAATGTCTTTCTCTCCTCCCTGGAAGGATATCCCTCTGGAGAATTCGCGAGTTTGTATGCCCTGGTATTCGCGTATGCACTGGGGTTGGAGTACTTGGGAGGGAGTTTGTCGCGTCAGATGCTGCAATCTGTTCCTCCAAATTCTTAATTTCTTGTTCTAAGTCGCCGATGTACCTGGGAATATCAATACATTCATTCGGCAGACTCCACAACAACGAAAGGGGAGGAAGAAAAAACATACTCTCTAGAGACCGGCTGACCATCTTCCACTTCCATAGTCATACATTCTTCTCCGTGTTTGGCACATAATGAGCATTTTGGCCGGGTGTTGTCACACTGGTCTTCCAATTAGGTTACAATCATGAGGAGCGGGGGGAATTGAGGAAATTTATCACCTTGGCTTTTCTTGAGTGGCAAAAACGACAAGCTGGCAGTTTTGGTAATTGATTATGGCATGCTTCTTCGGATTGAGATACATCACTGATTGACGCAGCAGCAGCCATTCTGGAAAGTCACGAAGGGTTTCGGTAAAAATGCACAATTGAAATTTGGCAATGGGTGTTTTGATTGATTGGTACCGAGTCAGAGAGGTCAAACAGGTTTCCAGAGAATCAACATCTTGACACACTGTGACTGACGGATATTTGACGATGATAAGAGCGCGCTGGGGAGGCGACATTTACAACGGAACAGTGTCAGGTGACGATAATATAATTACAAACAGAACAAACAGACCCGCATATCCCGAACAGGCAATATGGTACTATTGGATCAATATCCATTAATGCTAGTAACATTCAATCGCACGTCTGAGCTTAATTAAAAAAAGTTGGTTCATCTGAACACCAATCTCAAAGTTCCTAGAGAACATATCTGAAATTGTTCTGAACAGCGTTCCGAGTCTCATCGTCCAGGCTAGACATGAAAATCGTGTCGTTGATATGTCCTTCGGATACTATGGCCTCAAATTTCTTGTTTTTGCGACGGAGTAAGAATCGAAGGGTTAGGATGCATGAGAACCCCAAAACCTGAAATCCTAATAAGCAGCCCCAAGACTGACGAAACATCGGCTGGTACTGATCCAACCAGAAATAATTGGCGAACAAAGAGGCAATATTCGCACACGTATTGGCCAAACCAATGGCCACAGCACGCTTAACAGGTGGTTGAGTAATTGTAGAGGATAGCCATGCATATGTAGTTGAATATACGCCAAATGTACCGCAACAAACAAGAAATGTGAAGCCATAGCGAGCCCAGAGTGGGCCTGACACGGCAATGAGCAGTATCGTGCCAATCATTGCAAGGCATTGGGAAACCCCAGCTGGGATTGAGCGAGTTTGGTTTCGGTCTGCAAATCAAGCCCATGAAATAGACCAGAAGAATGCCACGAGATATGGTGGAGAGGTAAGGAGCAGGACAGTGGTGCTGTTTTTGAAACCGAGCTGTTGAATCAAGGTGGGGAAGAAGTGCGAGTATGAGATTGATGCCGTGGTTGACATCTGTAAACAGGCAAAAAGCCACGTTCTGACGTCTTTGGTTGCCCATATTAAACCGCGTGAAATAGGGACTTTTTCGGCATCAAGCAAGACGTCACTTCCAGCATCGACTGCTAAGCGCGCCTGACCAACAATCTTTTCCACATCGCTCAGCCATTTGGTTGTACCTGGGAAGTCAGGGAGAACAAAAAGGGCGATTACCCCAAGAATAAGAGTCGCAAGGCCTTCAATAATGAATAGCCATCGCCACGCTGCCAAGTTTCCAACCCCTTCCATTCCGGAGAGGATTCCTGCCGAGATCAATCCGGCGAAGGCATTTGAGAGAAGGATGCCACAAACCAGAAGGGCCATCCGAATACCAATTTCTCTTTTTTTGTACCAGCAACTGAGGAAATAAATTGCACCTGGGAAGAAAGGGGCTTCCACAAATCCGAGGAAAAATCGAACCATTAGCAGGCCAGGCGTATTGTGGACTGCAGATGTACACCCGCTCACTATCGCCCAGACAATGATACAACAAGGCTGGAAAGTAGAAAGGAGAATTTAGCACTGATTTCAAGGCCTGAAGAGGGAATAATGGAAGAGGAGTGTTCGCATGCTTACGAGGAAGATGGATGGTCGCAGTTTTGTCATGAGAATTGTGGCAGGAAGCTGCATCAGGATATAGCCAGCGGAAAAAATGGATATGGCGGTTTGATATTCCGCACCCTTGAGACCGGTATCTTTCTCCAGCCCATAAAGGCGAGCTTGGGTGATCGAGTTCCGGTCAAGGTAATTGAACAGGTAGATAAGCACAATCAGTGGAAGAATTCGAGTGTCGATTTTCCGGAGGAGTTGCTTTTCGACCTGTCGACGATATTCAGGCTCATACGAGAGAAAAATGGCCATCGCATCTGGGGGCCTTTCATCTTGAGAATTCTCAACCCAGATGTCTTTCTTTGCTACTAGCTTCACATCACGGTCATCTGAGGCTAGTGGCGGTGACGTGTTTCCGCTCGTCATTGTAGGCTGGGAACAGGGTAGCAAGAGTGTAATTGGAAGAAGAGCCAGTCAACAGATCTCGATAAAAACTACCTCGACATATTGACACACAATCATATGTGCTTCATCTTATATGTTATGAAAAGGAAAGTCTCTTCTTCCCCAGACCGATTCCCCTCTTCCCCACAATCATGGACCCATCGGAAAATTGCCGACAGCCAATCATCGTATCACCGACCACCTGAACCGTAAAGTAACAGCGAAAGGCTCGCTGACATTTTATTTACTTTGTAGGGATGGCTCTACCTCTGCTTTAGTGCTAATTGTAGTGATCAATAGTTTCAATCGCAAAATATCATCATATCTTTATGTTCTCTGATCACTACTACTTGGGTCGATTTCCTTTCCTCTACCCAACAAAGCGAAACAGGTATATACAAAGCTCACTTGGATTGGAATCACCCGCATCAGGGACCAAAGACACGCTTGGCATTATCGACAAGCATTGCCGAGATTTGTTCGGCTGAAAGCCATCCTATCACGGCGAGAAGTTCCTTCCTAGCATCGACTTCCGATACCGGCGGTGGGAATTCACCTTGGTATGAACTATCGACATGGGGCCAGTCACTGCCCCAGAGTAAGGCAGAGGGCACATTGGCAGCTAGTCTTCGAATGATGGGTTGCATGTTTAATATTGATTTGTCTCGTCGGTAGAGAGAAGAAATCTTGATATGTACCCCGTCACGTTGCAGTAATGTGATAAAATCATCGAAGCCAGGGTCCTCTATATCTCCGGGGGATAAACAGCCAACGTGGTCGATGATAATTGGGATAGAAAGCACCTCTGGATTCTCGCATAAAAAGGATCTCAGAGAAAGCCAAGTTGCGAAGGGGAGCTGAGCAGAGATCCCCCAGCCCAAGGTTCGAGCAGCGTAGGAACAAGCAAAGCGCTTGATTTGGCTCTGTAGACTTGCAGTGTCTGTAGAACTACCACCAACGGATCCATGAATGCGGCAATATCGAATCCCAAGATCATGAAGAGTGTCTAGTTCCTCCTTTGGTAACATGTTCAACTCTTCATCCAAAGAGATGATCCCGCGGGCAAGCAAGTCCGGATATTCAGAGCGAATACGGCCGAGATGATTTACCAGAGCAGAATGACCGTCTTCAACTGAGGCTTGAACTAGCACAATATTTTTGGCGATTGAATTCTTGACCAATGACTCTAGAGGGGCTGGTGCTGGCGTGTATGATCTGGTTGGTTTGAAGGGATAACGCACGGGGTCCAGGCAATGAATGTGGGTATCCCACATATCACTATTGAAGTCGTCCATTTGCACAAAAGTCGACGGTCGTTTCTCGAGATTCTGTGCTTTCAATCGAATCGCCGGGCTCTATATCGGCATAACAGTCAATAAATTAGTGAGAAGGTTGACTAGCCGAGGGGCAACTGAAGAAGCAGTGCCAAGACATTTTTATGTCGGAAATTCCCCGCCGTCCGATCTCCGCCTCTTCCCCTCCACAACAACTCCATATGCTGCACCACGATGCGCAGGAACGGCACTGCAGGAGCTAACCCACCCCTCACACCACGGCAACGCGGCAAGGCATGCGAAAGATGTTGGAAGCGCAAGCAAAAGGTCTGAACCCCTTACGGTCCCCACCGCTGTCTCGGGTCGGTGGCGGATCCTCCCTCACCTCATGGTCTGTGATTAACGTTGCCGCAGTGCGATAGAAGCCTTCCTGCATGCTCGGCATGTATTAACGTGGGCCACAAATGCATCCCCGGAAAATTGACGTCGAACCAATCACAAATACCGGTGGGAACTTGTCCCATAGTGCTCTCCCAAGGTAAGATCTACACCTCTTGGACTTTGTTTCTACCTAATCTATGGTTACTGACCAGAATTGAAATGAAAATAGCTACGTAGAAACTTTGAAGCGGAAGCGTGACAGCCTACAGACTCAACTCCGTCGACAACGGCCACGTTATGAGCCGAATACGGAGGAATCAAATATCCCGCAAGTTCAACTCTTGAGAGGTGAGGGGGACGAAAGGGAGCAGGAAACAACGGAGCATACCGTTGAGGCTGCCATGGGCGAAATTGGCTTCTTGTCGCGTAGCGCCATGGCGGAACCGCGTGATGGCCGTGGTGAAGCTCCCCAAGAACTCGCCATGGGGCGAATGGTGCGCGCGGCACTCGCTATCACCGGGGCCAATCCATCTGAGTCACGGATAGATGCTCTGCAACAAGCAGTCGGGGGCATGACCGATCAGCCCTTTTCACTCAAGAAACATCTGGCGTTACCATTTGTTTCTCGCTTTGTCCAGACCGTAGGGGCCCGGTTCCTCCACATCGATTCCGCAACTATCTGGGCAGACTTCGAAGCATTTTTCGAAGAACCTGGGCTATTGGATAGCCAAGAACTTTTATCGGATCCGGCTCGGTCATTTAATGTTTACCTATCAATAGCCACGGGGATGCTGCTTTCTCCGCAATCGGCCAGCCTTCAAGGACTCTCTAGTAGCATTCATGCCACTGCAGTGAAACTTTTAGGCACAATCCTACAATCGGAAAGCACCGAGAAAATTCTCAGTTGCATGATATCGATGGTTTTCTATTCTGTTTACGGCTCACTTGGAGGGTCGACTTGGCATCTGATTGGGTTAGCAATGAAAAGAGCAATTGCTGCAAGATTCCACCGAGACCCACATAGTGGTATTGTTGTTTCTTCAGAAGCATTAACCAAAAGACGAAACATATTCTGGAGCTTGTATACTCTTGATCGGTAAGTTAAGAAATTCGAATGTTCTTTTTGGGCAGCTCTTACATTTGATGACTTACGATGAAATAGAGACATGAGCGCTATAATGGACCGTCCGTTCAGCATCGAGGATGAAGATATCACGGTCGTGGTAAGATTTTAATCGGTCGCGGACCTATGAGAGCAAGCTGATTCGTTCGAAGCCTCCAGACGAGTACCTCGCCAACACATCAGATGAAAACAGTCTCGCCCTTCACACTGTGACACATGCTAGGCTGATATCTTGTATAAGGAATAGTCGTTCCGAAACTTTGAGTTTCCATTACAACAACCTCGCCTACTGGAAGGATCTTGCACGGGATCAAGACACAAGCCCGCTAACAATACATATAATGCAATTACAGTGCAGAGCTATAGTTGAAATTCTGAAGGCGAGGGGCTCTGTCTCTATCAGTCCAAGCCTGGTTTGCAGTTCTGTGGTAATGCAGAATGACTTCGTAAGAAGTTGTGCCGAATACATACAAGAAGCATACCGGCAATCCGACCTTGATAATTTTATTGGAGGCACCGTGGATGCCTATGACATATTCGCGGCTGGCATTGTCATATTATGTCTGCGCGACAAGTGCACGGAAATTTACCAAGATCAGCAAATTTTCAACCAATGCACCACTCTCCTAACCTTACTGGGTGAGCGCTTTCCTGGGTTGAAGGGGTTTCGGCGTGCACTATGGAATCTATCCAATGCGGTAGTGCCCAGCAATTCGATACGTGAATCTTTGATCGCCGAACTACCTCCGATAATTCCTGCTGGTATCCGGGCGCTCATCTTTACTGTCTTGTCTGGAGATGGTATGGGTTCCACTTGAACGTGTCGGACATTTTCCGACGGCACACGCCCGACGCATCTCGGGATGTTACAAGTTCTGTCTGATTTATTATTCAGCAGTATTCAGTTATAAACAATTTCCTACCCATCTAGACAACTTGAAGATCTATTCTCTTTTTCTGCCCTCGGGTTTACGTCAAGTTCAAAAATGCCGCCTGCGAGTGTTCACGATGACGAGGTCTCCACACCGCGGAGCACCCAGTCAAAGCCAACTGTATACATCCTCGATGTTTGGAACCCACAAGCACTAGCTCATGCGAAAACACTTTTCAATGTCATAACTCCCGGCGATGCGGGATTTTCCGAATGGCGGCAGAATGCAACAGCCCTCCTCATCAGAGGTTCATATTTCACCGCGGAGGACATTGACAGCTGCCCAAATCTTGTCGCGATCGGCAAGCACGGAGTCGGAATCGACAAAATCGACCAAGATGCGTGTGCCAAGCGTGGTATCAAGATCTGCAATACGCCCGGTGCTAACGCACGAGACGTGGCCGAATTGGTGCTGGCATTGACGATGGCCGTGGCCCGCGACATTCGGTCCATCACAACTCGTCAGATGTCGAAGCCCGTTCCAAAGGAAACCTGCAATGGCTTGACACTCCACAAGAAGACCCTCGGTATAATTGGTATGGGCAACATCGGGCGTACGGTGGCCGAGATATTCCGAGGCGCCTTTGATGCTGATGTCGTTGCCTATGATGTCTTCATGCCTAAAGACGCGTGGTCCCACATCGCACACGACAGAGTGTCTGATGTTGATGAAGTTTTCAGAAGAGCAGATATTCTCTCAATCCATGTGCCGCTTACAAGCGAGACTCGAGACATGATCTCATACAAGCAACTGCGCATGATGAAGTCAGATGCAATTATCATCAACGCTGCAAGGGGTGGGATCCTCAATGAGACTGACCTAACAAAGGCGTTATCCGAGGGTCATCTCTGGGGTGCTGGATTGGACTGCCACGAGCAAGAGCCCCCAAGCAAGGAGAGGTACGGGGCACTCTGGGAGAACCTTAACGTCATCTCCACACCTCATATTGGTGCTGCCACCACAAGGGCGCAAACTGCCAGTGCAATGGCTGCAGTAGATAATTTGTATGAATACTTGATGAAGATTTAGATATGCACAATGGAATGAAATTGTTTGTTTATAGCTTGAAGTCGGTTTGATCCCTGGGATTCTATTTTACTTATCCCCTTCCCTCCCTGCCACCACCAATAGGCTTTGGAATATGGCCCTTGAAACCATATTTATCATCAAGATTGGAAAAGATCTGAACTCTCGCAGGTCCATGATGGATTTAAATCACAGATAACTATTTTTGCTCACAGTTATAGTGAATGAAAAGGATGAAAGGACGTGAACAGGACGCGCTCATTCGATGTAAAGCAGATAGTTGCTTGATCTTTGATCCATGAAAGCAGAGAGTAATTATGCAGTAGCACCCTTACAATGCCACTTCACAAACTGGACATTGCCTTTGATACTATCAGTAATGAAGATAGTCTTTCCATCTTCACCTCCAAATGTGCAATTTGTCAAGTTTTTCCCTCCCTCGGGGGCTGTCACGATCCTCGCTTTGGGAACACCATCCGAGTCGACAACGAAAACAGACCCAAGACTAGGATGGCAAATAAACAAGCTGCCTTCTTCATCAACTGCAAGTCCATCTGGACCAGCGCATCCGAATGACTGGAAAAATAAAGCAGCTTTTGTCGTGCTCCCATCGGCATTGAGGGGGAGCCTCCAGACCGCATTCGAGCGAGTCATAGCCACGTACAGGAACCGTTCATCCGGGGACAAGACAATTCCATTTGGGGAGATACCATTGTCGAGAAGGCAGTCCAGTCTTCCATCTTTGGTCAGGCGATAAACACGGCCAGTTTGGTCGGTCATACCAGTTTGCCCCTGGTCAGTGAAATAGATCTCGCCTTTGGATGATATGACCAAGTCATTGGGACCTTTGAACCGCTCAAGATTTCGACGCGTCAAGAATGATGAAACTTCGTTATTCTGGGGATCGAATAAAAGGAGGCCCTAATAGAACCAATAAGCTACGGCATTTTCGATTTGGGGGGGGGGGGGCTATTGCGTACCTGCTTGTAATCGGCAACGATCATACATCCATCTTCCCGCACCGCAAGACCATTAGGCTCCCCATCATATCGTGCACACTCCGTGACCTGTCTCTGTGGGTCAATCTTCAGAATCCGTCCATAAGGAATATCGGTCACGTAGAGATCACCGCTGCTTGTCCACGTCGGACCTTCTAGGAAAATGTCCGATGCAGGAGTCGCGGATCCACCACGCCACTCGGTCGGTTGTCCGCTGCACCGCAAAGAAGCGGGGATCTGAACATACACCTCGGCCTGTATCACTGGTGGGGTGGGGTAGAAATTCATGCTGACAGTTGAGCCTTTGAAAGTTTGCGATCAATCTAGCCATGGGGCAGCCGGTATAGTTGGCGATGGGGCCACCTTTAACACTTCGTTAGGGTTTGTCGGGGTTGACGGACATTTTCCGACAGCTTGCGGAACCCCGGATTCCCCACACATTACCTTCCCCATAGGGGAGAAGCTGGCCATAGCTTTTGGCTGATATGAGAAAAGGTCACCGTAGGGTAAAGTTTTCATATTAATTTCAGTTACGCCTTCGGTTGTGTTTGTCAGGGCACTTTTTGACGGCGAAAATGGGTCTTATCTCAGATACGAAACAAGCAATTCGGGATTCTCCAAAGGGGATCTTCAATTGGTATGTTTTTGCGTGTACATGCATCTTCGCTTTCCCAGGAGTTGCGAAGGGTTTCGACGAAGGTATCTATGGTGCTCCTGTGCATGGAAGGTTCAATAACTAAATTTTCACTTCTAGGAAATATCGCCTCGATCGTTGTCCAGTCGCACTTCATGAAAGTCTTTGGACTGAATCAACAATCCGAAGCGGAATATGCAAACACAAAAGGATGGATTGTTTCAATCGCCACGGCAGGAGCGGTCTTTGGATGTTTTGGAGTAGGTCCATCACACGTGGGTTGAAGTAAAGCACATCTACTAACCCAGAAAGTGTCTTCCAATTACTGATCGATTCGGCCGACGATGGGCTTTATCTCTCGCGACGATTATCTATATGGCAGGAGTGCTAGGTCAGGGGCTCAATGGAGGCAGTCTCCCAGGGCTTTATGCTTCGAGATTTGTCTCCGGTATTGGAATCGGTGCGACTACTGTGATTCCGCCAATGTACATTGCAGAGGTAAGCTGATATAACTAACGATTTGACATTCGTCTCTCGAAGAGAAGCTTACCGATATTGTTGATTCAGATTGCACCAAAGGCTATCAGAGGCCTTTTGACTTTACAGTATGCAGCATGTCAGCAGTTAGGTGTTGTTTTCGGCTTCTTTATCAATTATGGCGTCACGAAGGCATACTCCGGGTCGGACAAACAGTGGATGCTCCCCACGCTATTGCAACTACTCCCGGCAGTTGTTTGGGGTGTCGGTATCTTCCTTTGTCCAGAATCACCACGCTGGCTTTTGTATACGGGTCAGCGCGAACAGGCGATAGATACGCTCTCAAAGCTACGCCATCTTCCTACCGACCATGCAGCTCTACAAGCCGAGATATCCATGATGGATGCCAGGATTCTCCACGAGACAGAGTCGGTCGGCGGTTCAAGTCAATGGGATCTTCTCAAGGAAACTCTCATTCCCATCGAGAACAGACGTCGATTTTTTCTTATATTCATGGCCACGCTATTCTCACAGTGGTCTGGAGCTAACGCGATCACGCAGTATTCACCAACCATCTTTGGTTATCTTGGCATCAACGGGGATGAGTCGAAGTTTCTCGCTACGGGCATTTATGCAGTGGTCAAATTCGTCAGCACGCTTGCCTTTGCTTTATTTGTCGTCGACTTCATCGGTCGACGTCGCTCTTTGCTCACTGGCATCATCTTGCAAATCGTTACCTTGGCTTACGTGGGCGGTTACCTAGGAGCGACTAAAGGCTTCAGCGCGGACCGCATCAGCAGCGATCCTCAAATTTCCAGAGCATCAACGGGGGCTATCGTGGCTATCTATCTACATGCCGTGGCGTGGAGTATTGGCTGGTTCAGCATTCCCTACCTGATTGGGTCGGAGATCTTCCCGACAAGGATAAGGTCCTTCAACATGTCCATCGCTATGGGCTTTCATTGGGCATTCTATTTCGGCTGCTCTCGGGCTATGCCCAGTCTCCTTGCTGCGAGTCAGAAGTGGGGTGCCTTTGTGTTTTTTGTTTGTATTTGTCTGATGTCGCTGGTCTATGTCTACTTCGCCATGCCGGTAAAGTCGCCCCACATGATCAAAACTACCCAAAGATTCGCGAACACTAACAAGATGTGTAGGATACCACCGGACGGTCACTGGACGCTCTAGACAGTTTATTCCAGAGGCCATGGTATACTGTGCACAAGGTCGCGTATGCCAAGCATGACGAAATCCAGATCGAACAAGTGGGCAAGTTGCAGGTCAAGCACGTCGAGTCGGCTTGAGGATGCCGCGTTCCCCGTCATGCGGGCACACCAACCAGGGTAAAGATCTACGAGGGCCAATATGTTTCTGGTTTACAAGGTTTCCAAGGAAGGGGTGCGGAATCCACGTGTATGTAATATGATTATCAGACCGTCGAACGCCGGTACCATGTGTAAAAAGGGATAAGTACATGCGTTAGATACATCAATAAACGTCTAGACATCCAGTCCCAACCAAACCCATGATCCCAAGCACAGAGGGAGAATGCGACCAAAAGACAACAGACGAGATATGATGTAGATCACGCGAAAAGAACGCCGGTGCCGGGACCAAATGCAGTAGCAAAGAGTGTAAGAAAGAGGTAGTAGTATGTTGAAAAGGATTCAAAGTCATTTGCATGACGGAGAACCTGAAGATCGAGTCTCGGTGGCGTAAAACGAAGGGTATTATCGGAAAGGATACATATTGATGTAAATGCTTTTTGCCAAGAAGCAACAGAAGGCGGGGGGAATCAGAAAAGTGAAGACAGAAAGAAAAGACTAGTGTCGAGATGGAACGAGGCCAGCTCGCTTAGGAGTGTGGGCGACCGCGACCTCCCATGTAGGATCCAGTGGCGGAAGCAATGAATCTGGCGACAAAGCCGCTGCCATGGTGGTGACCACCGATTTTGATCTTCTTGCTGGGCTGACGGATGGGCTCGAAATGCTGCTTGGATTCAAAGCCGACGTTGACATAGCTTCGAGTCAACGAGGTTGAGGGGCTTGTGTTCGAGTCGCTGACCATAACATCGTCGTTCCCGTGAGAAGAGCATGTGCTCATGCTAGCTGGGGTTCCGCGGGAGCTAGGAGCAATACTGGATGATCGAGAGCAAAGGGAGTTGAAAGTCTCGGCATGCGAGAGAGCGGGAACATCGCGGATAGAGGGAGGTGAGATAGATCGCCCAGGTCGGTGGGGAGAGGTACGGTGACGGTTGTAAGGAGTGTAGCGATCATGCTCAGCGACGAATTGGGGTGAGTTGTTTTGGTTCTGGATATTGGGACATGAAACATGGCTAGGAAGTCGGCGCAGAGATGTATCGACAGTACGACGACTATCGCCTCGAGCTTCAAGCTTTTGACGACGCAGGCGACTGGCCAGCAGATCCGCCGATGCATGTAGACGTCGCCTGGAGAGAAGGTTAGTAAATCATTCTGGTTTGGTAAAGGGATAATGTATTCATACCATTCACGGTGCTGTTGCTGCTTTCTCTGTTGTTCTTCCTGTGCCATCTTCTCGCGGTGTTGGAGCTGCATGCGCTGACGAATGGGAGCCAGGAATGGTTCAAGGTGGGTGAAAAGATCTTCCTCGGTCACGCGGGTCTCCCAGTCCAAAAGGAACAACAGCTGACGTTCCATCAAGTTGACCTCGGGCAGAGAAAAGCCAAATCCTTCATATCCCTTCACTGCAGTGTAACGTGCCCAGTGCTTGTTCTTAGGACTGGAGTCGTTAAGGTTCTTGGCTGCGAGGATCAGAGAGGCCAGGAATATCCGGTGGACGGTGCATCGCATGCCCTTGGCGACAGGGGGCAGACGGGCCTGGAGACGGCCGAGGTAAACGAGAGAACTCATGAGGGTAGGCACTTGGACCTGCGATCGGGCAACGAGGGATGCGATGAATGATTCGATGGTAGGAAGCGGTGGCAGAGAGTCGGCATCCTCCATTGGAGGAGTCGATGGAGGTGTGGGCTGGCCATTTTGGTTGACGGTGTTGGTCACATGGGCTTCACATCGAATGACCCGGGCAGCCTGATGAGCCAAGTGGGTTACCATTTCACGAGAGACTCTTTGGGTGACGAACTCATCGAGAGCTGCTCGATTGAAGGTGGAGGATTGCATCGTGGTTTGATCCATGATGAATGTTGGAAAGTGTCGTGGTGTTAAAAACTGGTCTATAGATACCAGGTGGTGAAGTCGGGGAGTGGGAGGGGGGTATCAGATGTAAGCTGCTGAATTAAATGCAACCAGTTGTCTGGATCTTCACAAAGCCCGTTGTGCTTGAGCCGAGACAAGAGGGACAATATGAAACAATAAGTTTGTTGTCGTCGGAGGGTATCGCTGATGAACAAAGACAAAGTAGAAGACAAAGCAAAAGCAAGTCGACGAGGCACAATGTGAATGAAATAGCAGGGAATTCCTGAACCAGCAGGATATAGCAGTGTAGTTAAAAAAGAATGTTGCTGTAAGGATAGCAGAGGTTGTCGTGTCAACCCTCTTATCGATAGCCCTAACTGTAGGAATATCCAGAAAGACTGAGACCTGCCGAAGCGGAGAATTTGAGCCGAATGAGACAGCCCACTGTACTATGGCAATAGATTGAGATCGAGCAGACGCTGTCTTGAATGATTATTGAATCGAGTGGGTTCCAAGTTGATGGGGGGTTTGAGGGAGCGACCGAGCGATAAAAGACAATATTAAAAGGGTAAGGAAAGTGTGGTGACGACGTTGAGCATGTGGATGATTCCCGTGAAGAATCCAACGAGTGGGAAGAGTTCACTACATATAGCTCCGGTATGCGCCAGAAGGCGGCTGGCTAGGAAGCTGCAAGGCTTGCTGGGCCAGTCAGAGTCCCTGAAGGAGGGCAGGATGGGGCAGGGGGTCGCGGAGGAGCTGGAGCAAGCCTGCATAGTTGGATCTGAGATGCTCAAACCTTTGTCGCGCGCGCGCCGGGAGTCTGGGAGGGGCGATAGCCTTGATTTGTCGGGGAATGTGGTGGAGATGGTGATTTACACGGACCTGAATACCTGTAGCCCTGTAAAAAGAAAGTCAAACGATTGATGGCTTCGTCGGGTATGCACACTATTGCTGTCTATCAGACTTTGTCTGTGGCCCCCCCCCTTATCCCTAGATTCATCACGTCTTCCTCGTACATACATTGGTATTTTGCCTCTCACATATTGCACGCTTTCTTATGTTCTACCTCGCGTCGAGATATGGCTATCTTTCCAGCCTTCTGTTCAAAAGAGACTACAATTCCTTCTGCCTTCCAACAAAACCCTAATAATAGCATCCCTGGTCGCCACCACAAAGTACCCAGCGCTTCGATGACCGCAAGTAGACGATCTCAAACCCAACTACTCGCTGACAAGACTCCACCGAGTCTGCGAGGAGATCAACGCTAGGCCCACTGAACGCCCGCAGTGGAGTCCAGCCTTTCCCACTCAATTCCAATCAATTGGTCTTCTTCCCCTGGTGTCGGGGACATCCTTTGGTGAGCCAGGGAACCGATGCCCATTGCCCAGCCCTCCTATGGATTCTACTGTACTCCGTACGTTAGATCATCTATGAAACTCGCGACCGTCTCATGTCTCCTTCGGGAGACGCGGGGGGAGATGCCAGGTCAGATTCCACCACGTCCCTCAGTTGATGGTTCGAGACACGGTTAACCACATAGCTTGGAACCTTCTTTACCGTTCTGATGCAGAGTTACAGAGTGAGTTTCTCTCCTACGGAATACTCCCTCCGTACATACTTGATCTCCCCCCGTACTACCCTCTCCCAGAAACCGCCCTGGAGGATCAAAAGGGCAGCCCAAGACACCAAGACCCCAATCCTAGCTCATCGAAAAAAAGGGGGCCACTACTTTCAGCTGGGACCTTTCTGGCAACTTCATAGGTGGATTAGGCTCAGGTCGTACGGTCCGAAACTACGGAGATAGAGGAGGAACCAACCTAAAGCCTCATAGAACAATGTGGCAACCCGAGTTTCAATTTGGCGCCGCAGTACGAACGAATACCCAATCACTGCGGAAAAACTGACAGGTTCCGACCGTAGAAGATCATGTCCGTGCGAGTCCCCCACCCTTTCGCACTTTGGGGATCCCTGCTCCATGCCAAATGACCCCTGTCACACGGTGAGCCACGAGTAGTGGGTCGCGCAGCGTGTTCGAGGGGAAGAACCTTGGAAACCTGGACATACCAGATGACAACTTGAACGCGATCAGACGCATCCGAAGGGGTCATCATCCCCCTCTCCCTCTATCCCACCAGGGTTTACTAGTAAATCTTTCTGACCGTGGGACAGTGGTGGAATAGTCTGCCACCTCGCATGAGGGCAATCAATTTTCTGCCTTGGTTTGGCTTTGGCTTTGACTTTGACTTTTGGGGGGGAGGCGGGTAGTCGATCTATCGACTTGATCCCCCGCCACTCGGTCTGTCGTGATATTCCCACGCTATCGATGCATCTAACAATGCATCTACGGAGTACGGAGTAGCAATGCATGCAATGTTCCGACCGTCATCTCTTGTGCATCTTGGGGCCTGCGGGCTAAAAAAAGCAACCGTTGTCCTATTTTCGGACGGGATTGCTGGTACATCTATATAAGCGCCCTTCTTCTCTGCGAGCGCTTACAGCACTTTCTTCCCTTCACGAAGCGCTCCCCGGCCCTTTTCGTCTGGATATCTCTTTTGTCGCTGCTAATGATACCATGAACGCCGCTGTCAAGCTAAATCTATGATTAGAACAGCGTTTGTTATTCTTAGCAACGAATACGCGCCCTCTGAATCCTGCTTCTCTGGGTCCACTGAACACTAGCTACCGTTCTGCGGGAATAGTTGATTCACCTTGAGTAGTGCATGTGAAGCTGACAATTCACCGCTCACTGTCATTATAGAAAGAGAGAAATTCTCTGTGACGCAACGGATGTTTCGTTCAACTGTGGGGCGACGACAACCTTTCGGATGACCCAGAACAAGAAGGCCATGCCCTGGTCTCCACGGTGTTCATGGAGGGCCCCTCAGTGGCTTGGGCGCTGACGAACGACATGCCTCCTGAAACAAAGAACTGTCTCACAATGAGGTGGTGATTCGTTTCATAAAAGCAGCCGTTGGGTCTCGGCGGCTAGTCCGAACGGGGCGCAAGCTGAAACAGTAGTTATCCTCATGCATCCTGCATCTCCTAAAACGTATACGAAGTCGTCCAAGTCGACAACTCTAGGTCATAATATGCATTCCTAACGATATACTTTATGATGCATGCATAAACTCAGCCCACTAAAGACAACCACCATCACTTTTCTCTTTGTAGATTTCGAAATCCAGACCGCGTGATGTGATTGCCATCTCCCGGTGAGGCCCCATAAATCTGCTCCAGAAATGACTCGTTGGTCGATTGATGACCCTCTTTGTCCCGGGAACAGCCATATGTACCACCCACAAAAGATAACTTTCGAGGTAGAACAAGATCGGATTCCTTGACCGGTCTATTTCAGTCACCATTTCTGAGCCCTGGAACACTGCCGTGGCTCTCTCATACTCCTTCCCTTCGCTGGGGAGAACCATTGGCTTGCATTCTTTTGTCGATTCAGAAGTAGTGAGAAAGTTTGTTCAAGTTCGTTTGATGAATTCCCATAAAGATTGGGTTGTCTCCGAGCTATCCATGGATGCGGTTGCTTTGTGAGGGGCATCCTGGATCTTGGTGGGGCCATTTTGAAGCCAAGTCAGCTGAGCAACCTAGATATACCTAGGTGTCCATACTAGTAGTATTAGTTAGTAGTCCTTGTTAGGTACCTACTTGGTGTTGGGAGGTGCCAGTGATGAGCACTGGATGAGAAGGATAAGTGCCAGTGGTGAGATGAGGAGAGTAAAGACGGAATGTGCATGGCGGCCATGATGCCTGAGGCCAGAGGGATATCACAGGCACCACGCCTTCCAAGTTACCTTGAAGTAACTGCCGCGACTCTACTAGTACCTAGGATGATGTTCCCCCGACCATTATAACCAGATAGAAGGATATTGGTTTCTCTCACTCCAACTTGAAGCTTTCAGCCTTCCAAGGTTGGAAATCAGTTTGATTGGTTCCTTCGTAAACTGAGTATAGCGCACTAGCTCTATTCTAGTAACGAGCGACGATGTGGAACCCCAGAGGCTGATTATATATTTTCTGCTTGATTCGGATGTCCGCAATTTTTCTCTTTGCTTCCAAAGTTGAACCGCCCATTCACACATTGTTTCTGCTTCAGAAAAGAAAAAAAAACAAACAAACACCGATTTGACCCAATACCTAGGCATAGAACCTTGGAATAGCCACTTCACGACTCGGACAGCCCGTAGCCTCGGGACCCACCTGGACTGGGGCTTATGTACTCTTACATCTTCAATGTCAGCAGCTCAACCGTCCAAGGTTGGAACTTCAAGTTGAACCTCTTTATACCAACAACAATCTAGAATGTCTGATCCTCACAGCCTGATTGCTACCTCCCGCTTTCACCAGCGCGTCACTCTCGACTCAATCTGCGGAGAGCTAACCGTCTCCTTCGCCGACGCTGGCAGTTCCACCGGCCCTGCCCTGTTGTTTCTGCCAGGCATGTTTGCATCACGGTATCTGGGCATCCCTCTCCACCCGCTCGCTGAACGCGCCGGCGTGCGCCTGCTCGTCGTCGACAGACCCGGAATGGGCGAATCGACAGATGTCCCAACGGCCCAAAGAATCGCCGCATGGACCGACCTGGTGCCGCGGCTGCTAGCACATCTCGGCATTCCGCGCGTCAGCCTAGTCGCCCACAGCGCCGGCACGATGTATTTGCTCAATACCTGGGCGAAATGCCCAGAATTGGTGAATCCCGCTCTTACGTTTCTAGGTATCTTCATCCATCCATCCATTACCCCTAGTCCCGACTCGGAAGAAAAAAAAAATCTAAACTTGATCCATTTTCCTTATAGCCCCTTGGGTGGATCTTGAGCACTCGCGCGTTACAACGATGCAAATGGCACGGTATGTGCCGACCAAGGCATTCACTTTATGGCACCATATCCCGCGCTTCTTCGTCACGCAAGCTTCTCCCGTCCTAGCAACAAGCGGTGCGCTGTTCAATCAACTGTCGTCAATAGGTAGTGATGCCACAGCTGGTACGGACAACTCACCTCTCAGTGCGGAAGACCAGGCCATTGAACGTGATGCCGGACTGTCGCAGAAAGAACTGGCCGAGCTCTTCCGCCTCGCCGTGCCTTTGATGTTTAATGAGAACACCACGGGCGCGAATAGCGAGGCTCTTCAGTGCCTTCGCAAGAGCGATGGCCAGGACTGGGGTGCTTGTTCGGACTATGCGGAATGTGTCCAAACGTTAGCGGCTCGTGAATCGTCGGCGGGGACTCGAGTTAGTGTTCGCGCGTATTTCGCTTCATCGGATGCTATGGTAGGTGAACGAGGCAAGCTATACTTCGAGCAGTGTTGGCAGGCGCCTGGGTTAGATGCTGTTGACTTCGTATCGGAGACTGTTGAAAAGACGGATCATGATACAGTGATGCAGTTGGTCAAAGTCTGGGCAAAGATATTTGCCTCGGTGAGTGGTGCTGACGGCAATAATGTATAAGAATAGATACGAGTAACGGGCTGGAACCTTGAGGAAGATTGCCAGCTAGGTATCATATCGACTCTCGTTATAGATGATAAGTATTACTACAGAATAAATACCTTACATTGGACCAGAAAGCGATAGGAATAATGATGAATTGATCCCAGATCGATTCGTTATGCTATTTTACTACCATGGTATCCTTCTCCTACGCGCATGACTTTATGCGACAGTGGCGGAGTAAGAGGAGACCTTAAGCTCAGCGGTGCCGGTGAAAGGCTCAGTACCAGCCTGGACATCAATAAGGTACAGGCTCTTGCTGAGACCCTGGTTGTCGATGAGGTAGGTGAAGAACTTGAGCAGGTCACCGGAGAAGCTGGTGGTGGTGGACGAAGCGACGAAGCTGTAGACGGTCATGCTGCCGTTGAGGCCCTTGTAGAGCTTCCAGCTGACACCGTTGATGGTGGTAGTCGCGATGGGGGAGCCGGTGGAGGAGATGGGACCGGCACCACCCAGAGCAGCGAGCCAGACCATGATCTCATACTCCTCGGAGCCGCTGGCACTGGAGCTGAGGAAAAGGTCGTAGGCGACATCGGCGACGATGTTGGTGGTGGAGTAGCTGTTCAAGGCGTAATTAGCGCTTGTCATCACAAAAGAACACTGACTGTCTTCGACTTACCTCCAATTGAAGACAGAATTGATGCTGCTCACAGCGCTTAGCTGCTTAGCAGTGAACTGCAGAGCAATGTTGGCGAAGCTCTTGACCTGGCTGGAAGTACCGGACCAAGACCAGGAGGTGTGCCAGGCAATGGTGGAACCGCTCAGCGAGTCCACACCGGTGCACTGGGTGCCAGAGGTGTCGTAGCTCTGACCCCAAAGGTTGTTGTAGACAATGTAGCTGCCAGTCTGGACAGATCCCCACTGGTCGCAGAAGTCGGATCGCTTGGCGAGGGTCTTGGTGGGAAGGGTGGCTGCGCTACTCAGACCAGCGAGAGCGAGCGAAAGGAGGGAAAGAGGAGCAAGGAATGACTTCATGGTGAATGAATTGAAAGAAAGGAATTGAACTGGCTTGCAGATTCAAGGATTAGGTTGGGTAGAGTATTTTGTTTATTGGAATTGAACGGCATCTCACTGTCAGGGAGTTGGCCATTTTATATGAGAGTCGATTCCATACGGAAGTTTCTCCGGCTAGGGACTTGTGGATGCTTGTTCCGTGTAGAGCACGGAGCAAATTTGTCTCAAGTCAAGATTGTGACTCCACAGCCCGGTCAATTGTGTCATGGCACCAATCTAGAGAGCCCGGCTAAAGAGATCAGCAACATGGCCATCGTGCCGATCATCCCCCTCAAGAAAACGGCACTACGTCCGCTTTGCGACTTGGAAGAATCGTCCTCGATTCGAAGAGCAACAAAAGCCAAGGATTTGTACGTACCGGATGAATTAGTTTGAGGGGTATTGGACGCGGGGTGCATAAGGGTGAAGAGTTGCGGATATACTCAAACCAATGTGGCTTGAGCTTCGTCACCTGTTTCCGCCAATCCCCTATACAGATTGCGACCGTGTGACTCCTATTCTACATTTAGTATGAAGAATACATGTCATAGGAGGCGAGCCCCTGTCAAACTTCAAGGTTGCCGGACCTAGTAACTACTAAAAGACACTTTGGTGGAGTCTGCAGCCCACCCTTTAGCGATGGAATCACTGTACGGAGTAACATTCGACAACAAGTTCGATCAAGAAAGACAAATTCAAACACAATGCTGTCCCTGAATGCTTGAAACAGCGATTTCAACCTCGGAAAAACTTCGGATTGAAATGGACGGTCGTTTGAGCATGTCTCGATCCAGACAGTTCCGGTCCCCCCACGACCGACGCCGTCGTCTCATGTTCATCACGTTGGCCGGAAACTTCCCACAAGTGGGCATCAAGGAACAACTTAAATCTCCGCCAAGGCTGCAACTCCATCGGTGGGAAAAATTTACTAGAATGTCTCAGAGAATTAAGTCCAGACCAAGAAGAAATGAAAGAGTCGTGGACCTCGGTCCAATAAAAAATATATTTCGCTCGATTCTTCCATCTTTCAGCATAACCCCGGAGCCAAATGTCTTCATTGCTATTTTTGTATGAAATGCTTTGATTAGGACTTTATATAAGCTAGGTATCGCTCGCTAGTAGGTCAGTATTTCTCGCCGGGGCCTATATAATCGCTATGGTTGCAATGTTTATCCCATGAAGACGCCGACGTCAAACCTGCCGTCGACTTGCCTCCGACACCAAGATTGATCAATGTATCACCTATCAAATTATACTACATTAGGCCCGGATTTATAGATGACTCGAAAGTGAATAGCCCTGAGAGCATAGGGAAGAAAATGTACTGACTCTGAGAACTGAACTGTGGCCAGCCATACTTGCTTAGCCCGTGACGAGGATCTTTGGCAAATGCAACCCATGCGTCTAAGTTTCCGATAAGTTAAATAAAAATTCCCTCCATAGCGGAAAAGTTCAGCTTGGATACCTTGCATATATCTACTAGTTTCAATCTCCGCTTTGGTTGCAGGTTGAGAGTATGGCGTTGACACATTGTACGTCCCGAAAACGAGAGGTATCTCGGCTGAAGCCGGTTAGCAGTCTTCAAAGAAAAGAGCTCAGTACGCACAAGTGTGATAAGCACCGAGCCAGGGCTTCGGGCTCAGGTTCGGAAAGTTCCCTTGATATAGATATCTCCAAGTGGGTATACCATTGTCGAGTCGCAACCTGCACAGCTTAGCTTTAGGACCGCAAGCGAATCCATCAAGTCATAATTACTGCAAATCTTCGAGAATGGGGCAATTGAACTCCGTTTGAGAATCCTCGCGTACTTCCGATTCGTTGATAGAACTCGCGTGCAGGGGATATATGAACGCCAATTCCTTCTCATTGAAGCCTGCTAGCGTTGGCTAATCCGGAGGCAATTAATGGATGCGTTAGCAAGGAGACTGCGAATTTGCAATTTGCGAGAAAATGCCCTTACCAAGTCTGCTATCTTTCCTTCCCTGGCTCTGGCTGGAAAATCTGTGAAAAAGGTCAATCCATCGTCGGTCGGAAGGAAGGTATAATTTCCAGTGGCCATGGTGTCGACGATTTTGCTCATTGGTAATTCTAGCATGCAGCTCATTGAATCTACTGCGGATCCACAACCGACATCATTCGAGAGACGGTTCCAATTGTTCTCATGTCGAGATATAGGGCCTGTGGTATATGTCCCCGATTGCATAACGATCCCTTTGATCAACGGATTATTTGGATACTGGATACAATTGATCAGGTAAGCTTCTTCAAGTTGGAACAAGGAATTCAGTGACGGAATATGAAACTCCCTTACAGCATATGAGTACATGGCTGCAGAAGCTGCTCCGACAGACTGTCCGAAGAGTATAATACGTTCCGGATCTCCTCCGAATTGTGAAATGTTATCGTAGATCCACTCGATTGCCAATCTCTGGAGATCTGGTATGAGTGTAAGGTAGTTCGGGACCCATTCAGAATGCTTACTTGGTCTTGTAATCCTAAATTCCGCTTTGAAGGCTCCAACCCAGGGGCATTCGGAAAGCCAAATACATTCAGTCGATAGCTGTGAGGTCAATAAAGTCAATAATGAGCCAACGATAGGAAGCGGTGAAGCGCCATACTTAATAGTCACCACGATGATATCCTTGTTATCGCGCACGATGTTGACGCCATCGTAGTAGGCGATTGATGTGCCACCAAATCCAAAGTCACCGCCGTGGATAAATACCATCACAGCTGCCTTTCTATCCGCTTCTCGGTGCTTTGCGGCAGGGGCCCACACATTGAGATAAAGACAGTCTTCCGAAATTGCCGCTGAATTCCACAAAGTATACGGGAGGACATTGAGAATTGACTCGTTGGACCAACTACTCGTCTGGGGACAAGGATTGCTGAATGACGAGGCATCAATTGGAGATGACGAGGGCGACTTTCCTCGCGGTGGCGCAAATCGTAGTTTATCAATTGGGGGCTCCGCATATGGAATTCCGAGAAAGCCTCTGACGGTGGTCGCGGTGTCATTGTAGATGCCATGTACCGCTCCACTGGACGTTTGGATACGGAGCTCAGATGGTCGCTGCCCCAGTACATGAGTAAGTCCAATGCTGGTGATCAAAAGTTGTGGTACGAGTGAAAATCTCATTGCGTCTATAGTAGAAAGGAAACTCTCAATGCGCAACAAACTTGAATTGAACTGTTATGTCTTCGTCGGAAGAAAGAAGGAAGTAGATATAGATCAATGCCTTCTAGCATGCAGCGAATTTGATTGATATAGGTGGTTTTATCCACTGAACATATATCGTTTCACACCATGTTAGTAGGAGAAACTCAAATCCCTGCTGACTTCATCTCAAAGGAAAGGCCTAGCGATGAGCAACGTGACTAAAATGTCTCCCGAGGTCACACCGCGATAATTACCATGACTGCGATGACTGGAAACGGGTTTCTCGGAAGTTTCGTGTGACTCTTACCAGAACAGAATATTCCATTGCGAGTACCTAGGTACATATTCACATTGAATATCATCCGTATAGAGGTCACGTTGCTCAGGCCAATCAGCGGGCTCGGGATTCGGATTGCGGCGATCCGACATGGCGTGTGCCCCAGGCGTCCTAGGTATTAGTTAGTTACCTTAAGGTATCCTAAGATATTCCGCAGACACTGTTAGGGTACTCCGTATTCCGTACTGGTACTTCATCGCTGCAAGATGACGCATTTTGAGATGAATAGGAATTGAAGATGTATGAAACCTGTGCATCAAATCAGTATGATCTTCCAATAATTTGTAGTTGTTTTGTTTTGGTGCAAGGTACGCCCCACTGAGAAACAGGGGAACCTTTAGGGTCTCCAAGTCCCGGTCTCCGGTCCCGCTCCGCGGTGGTCGCGGATCGCCATTTCGCATTTTAAATTTCATTCCCCTTTCACCTTCCTTCACCTCCCCTCTCCTACACCCACCGCCGCCATGCCCTCCAAATCATCCAGCAATGCTGGCAAGAAGTCTTCCGGCTGCTGCAGCTGCTTCTCCTTTCGCACTCTGAGCATCATCGCCGTCTTCCTGGCCCTCTTCTCCGCCATCTACACCTTCCTTGACGCGCGCCTGAACCAATTCTACATCTTCGACCATGAGCATCTGCACGATCTTTCCCAGCGCGCCATCAAGGCCCACGGCGAAGACACCCGCTCCATCGTCAACTACATCGTTGCCGAGCTCGAGGAGAAGGTCGGATCCACCCACCTGAACCAACATGAGGAGTGGGTGTTCAACAACGCCGGTGGTGCCATGGGTGCTATGTACATTATCCACGCCAGTATGTCCATCTACAGCCATGCCAATTGCATTTCCCCCCTCGTTCCATGCCAATGGCAGATGAGGACGAAGTGCCATCTCCCCGCGTCTATAATCTACCCCGGAACGTAGCTAATGACTTTTTTTTTTCTGCTTTCTCTAGGTATCACCGAGTACCTGATCATCTTCGGAACCGCCATCGGAACAGAGGGCCACACCGGCCGTCACACCGCCGACGATTACTTCAACATCCTCTCCGGTACCCAGCTGGCCTACGTGCCTGGCGAGTACGAGCCCGAGGTCTACCCGGCCGGCTCCGTGCACCACCTGCGCCGTGGTGAGGTCAAGCAGTACAAGATGGACGCGTCCTGCTTCGCTCTCGAGTACGCCCGTGGCTGGATCCCCCCCTATGCTCTTCTTCGGCTACGCCGATACCTTCTCCAGCACCCTGGACTTCCCTACCCTGTGGGCCACTACCCGCATCACCGGTCGCGAGATGATCGGCAACCTGCTGAAGATGAAGCTGTAAGCAGCTTTACTGCAATAGAATGTACATTACAGAGATGGAGTACTGTGAAGAACGTGTACGCTAATAAGGGTGTCCTGGGCACGGAAAATTGGACGTTGGATGGATTGGATTATGACTTGAGAAGTATAAAGAGACAAAGTCGTTTCAGTAATCATTAATTGATGACACATGACATTATTATTCACTCTTGCATTCATGAAAGACCATTAAAATCGGCCACTAAAAGGGACTAATACCTCATTGATTTCAAGAACCTCCCTTCTTCGCCTGGCCCTGGAAAAAAGCACCCATCATCCTGGCCGGCTCAGTAATCCCACCGTCCGCAGCCACAAACGACTCCTCAAACGCAGCTACACCGGCCTGAATACCCTGCTCCAAAGAAACATTCTCCCAAGTCCGCATGAGCGCCTTCTGCCTGCGCACCGCAAGAGGCCCATTCTTCTCCAACCGCGCCAACCACCCTTCAACAGCCTCATCCAAAGCATCCTGCTCAACAACCTTCTCAACGAGACCCCAGCGAAACGCCTCGTCGGCGTCAATATTCTCCCCAAGCAGAAGAAGCTGCCTGGTCCGACCCCACCCAATCAAATTAGGAAGAAGTGCAGCTTCAACCACACTGGGAATACCAACTCGCACCTACTCACCCATAGATAAGGGCCTATGTTAGCAAGCAAAAATAAGAGAAAGAAATGGCACAACAGGGTGAATAGATAGGAACAAGTCGTAGGACTCTCCAAATCCCATATACCTAGGTACCAAACTCACGATACATACCTCCGGCATCCCAAAAACCGCATTCCTCCCCGCAACCCTCAAATCACAAGCCGCAGCAAGTTCACACCCAGCACCGAGTGCAAACCCATTAATCCGCCCAATAACCGGTACCGGGGCATCGCGCAGACTCGCACAGGCTTTGTGCACTTTCGTAATAAAGTGTCGTGCCGCGAGGGGAGAATTGAGCCGAGCCATTTCGGCTATGTCGGCGCCGCCGATGAAGGATTTGGGGCCCGCGCCGGTTAGGACGATGGCTAGGAGGTCGGTTGTTTCTGTGCTTACTTTTTTGATGGATTGGGGGAGGGAGTCGAGCAGGGGCGTGTTCAGGGCGTTTAGTTTGTTTGGGCGCGAGATTGTTATTTGGGCTATTGTTCCTGCTTTGCGGCGGGTTAGGGTTGTTAGGATTGATGGGGTGGGGATGGTCATGGTGGTGCTAGTGGTTATGCTGATGAGGATTGGAGTTTTATGCTGGTTGGATTTATTAGGGTATAACTACATGTTGCCGTATTGATCTTTATGGATGTTGGTATTTGATAGGGCCGAGAATCACCGACTCCGATGCGGGGAAAACCCCGCAAATTGAAGCGAGTAGATGCTCGGATATACTAACTAGTACCTACGTACCGAATTTCCCATGCAAGGTCTTGGCTTTCCCCTTCCGATTTAATGCTCAGTGAGCGCCGCTTTTGCTCTGTGAGTAGACCTGAGCACGTCACTGAGCGCGCTGAGCGGATCAGTGCCTCACTATTCTATGAGAATCTGGCTGAAAGTCTATAAGCTCCTAGGAATAATTTATCTAACTTGTCTTGGTATGGTGCCTCTCGCAGAGGTCAAAGGCCAGAGAGTATAGGAAGCTAATTTTCTACAACTTTGAATTAGATCTACATGTGTTCGAATCATTCAACAGAGAAGTATTTTGTAGCAATACAATAGCCTCCTCGCGGCTGAATGCTACCGACGAAGGTGATCTCGTAGGAAACTTAATCCAACAATTTGCCGATCGGGGATAGGGCAAGACTACTTGCGGTGACCAATGAGTAGGCAATAGGGCCATGAACCTTTGCTGCTCCCAGGAGCTTGAAACTCGATTATTACTTTCACTTCTTTCACCCACTCCTCGGAGTATGAGAATTCTGATTAGATGTTATCTTGAAACAATTTTGCTTAAACCGCATTAATATATAGTCAATATAGTAAATGGAGTATTCTTTACCAATCTTGCAGACACACAGTAGCGCCTCTCTTCCCTCTTTATTTAGTGGTAATCTCTAAATTTCTGTACTCATTACAGGCCACGAACTTTGAGCATAACCACAAGGCAGGCCGCCTCACTTCACAGTAGATCACAGGAGCGTGTGAGATATGGCCTGTCCTTTTAGTCTTGTTGTGAAGCTGGTCTACTTCTTAAGAGGCGAAAGTTCCGTTTTGGCTTATCCTATCTTAACAGACTTAATATAATATTTAAACGCCACATTTTTTATCTATTATTATAAAGTTTATCTATGTCTTAGCTATATTTGCTATTGTAGTATATTCTTCAAAAATACTTAAAGTTTTTCTCGGTGGTGTAACGGAATATTTTAAGTTACTGGCACTTATAGTGATCTATAATTGCGGCTATGATTTTGAGTATCTACCAATTATTAAACTATCTTGCCAAGTTACTGAGGATCTCTAGAAGTATAAAAAACTACTTTCTACTTTCCTCTGAATATTCTCTACTACGATATCTCCGTAGCATATAGCAGTATCTCTTGTTATTTTCTGGAATATTGGACATAAAACAAAAAATACTATTACTATAAACTAGGTATGACTCCAATATCGCCGGTACGGAACTCCTTTGTTCCATCCGAGTCGATGTAAACTGCATCCTTGGTGGCCTCTTCATTTTTGTAGTAGCCCTGGGTCACACTAGGTCCCCGACACCAAATTTCGGCAGGTTCTGTCAATCCACCCGACTTGATTGCTACGTCTGCAATTGTTTTTGTTTCCACGAAGCGAAAACTTCATATTATACGTGATACACCCGACTCCCTCTTATCCATGTGATCATTAGGGATAGCAGTTGCCATTGGAGAGGTTTCAGTTAACCCCCAGGATTGAGTACAGAATACCTCTGTATCGCAGAGCTCCTTGAACTTGGCTTCCAAGGCCGAGGATAATTCGTTTGTAAGAGGTGCAGCGGCTGACATGATGCGTTTGACGCTGTGATCAATCTCTGAGGAAGAAGTAAGAGGCAGGAGCTGTCAGTCGTACCTGCCTATTGTAGTAGTAGTTGGGAATAAGTCGAACTTCGGAAGTCATGTTTGACGAGACCTCGGCATCACTCGCTCACCAAGAACTGCTCTGCTTGCTCTCTCTCTCGCTCTCACTCTCTTTCTCAATACCGGTAAGTAGATCGAGGAAATCCGGATCAATTGGTGTTGGATGTAGCTAATTTATATCAGCCCCCCACCAGCTACAGCCGCGACGGGGACTCCGACTCCCCCCCCGGTTGATTCGGTCAAGAGTCTGGCCGAAACCATCAAGAGGTTTGGGTGGTTGCGCACCATTTACGCCGCCCTCGGCATTGTCCTCTTCCGGGTCCGCTGGGCCTGCCGACCTTCAGGCCGCCTCCTCCTCCCGATCTCCCCGGGGATCGCCGGGTGCTTCGAGCGCCCCACCGGAGGCCGACCTCGCAGGAAACGGGCTAGGTGCTGAAGCCGGTGCCGGTGCTGCTGCTGATGTCGACCCCGAAGCTGATGGCCAAGGAGAGTTGCTCCGACTACGCAGCAAGACCGCCAAGCAGGAGAAGCGGAAGGACAGATAAATGTAAGTCTTAATCGTAGACTGCTCATAGAATGCTTGATAGAAATCATTGAGGAGAGTAGATACCTAGGTAGATGCCTCGAGGTTCCTATATTACCACCATTTGTACTGCCCAGACGGAGAACCCTTGGATTTTGCCACTTTCCATACGTTCTTGATGATCCCAGAATGACTCCCGATGGTTGCTAACGTTTCACTTTCTAGAAATTGGATACTCCGACTTTTCTTTTCCTTTTCTTTTTCTATTTCTTTCTCGAAATCTGGACTTCGGTCCCAGCCTTTGTAAATATGATTTTGTTTATTTTATTCTTTATTTTTGTTTTTTGTTCTTGTGTTTTTACCCTAAACAAGCCTCATGTATATTCACTCTATATTTATTAATTAATCTTGATGTGGCAAGATTGCCGTCACTCTGGGACCATTTCTTCTCGTATCCTGGTAGCCAATACTGGATTCTGGACTCCAAGTCGGGGTGAGTATGTTGGAGAATGAAGATAGGCTCAAAGAGAGACATAAAGGTGAGTAGAGGTAGTGAATAGATTGTGCTGAAGAAGACAAAGTGAGGCTATGAAATCACGAAAGGCATAAGATTCTGAATGCCCGAGAAATGTCTGCCTCATCAACACCGACCTTTTTGGTGATAGAAGCTTTAATAAGATCTTGGGCACTTCATAGCAAATACTGGTTCAGTAGTAATGGTAGTGAATAATTCTAAGCGAAGGTTTTGCGATCTAGGGTACTGCTATCTCAACACAGATTCGTTTACTGTTGTGGTACGAGAACGAATTCAATCCATAGCATTCATAGCATTCATAGCATAGCAACTTGAAGTCCGCCCCCTCTTAAACCTCACTTTAAGCACAGAAGCAACATGTACCAATCATATTTTCTTTCCAGATATCCTAGATATCGTTCAGGCTCAACCCCCAGATAGCAGCAAGACAAACTCGGCGTCGATATGGATCCTCCTGAAAGTTGATAATACCAAACTTATTATCAAATGTGAATCGAGCCGCATAATACCTTTTGCCTACACTATTCGTTTCAGAACCACGAGATTCCAAACAGCATCCACATTTCACGGTGCAATGTCCAGCGCCTAGCACCCCCGCTGAACTATTCGCACGTTGATAATCAAGACAACATCCACAATCACGACCACAGCATCCTCCCCTAGCCTTGCAGTCTTCAACAAGAACTGGGTGCATATACCAAGAATGATTAGATCTCCATAACTCAAAGGCCCGTCCTAATGGCCCGGAAGTACCCATCATCCAACCACGGGTCCACCACCAGTCTCGTGTCTGCAACCAATTATCTTGGCAGAGTCTGCTCATTTCATCTTCAAAAGAAGGACTGTGTGTATTTGAATTGATATCTCCCTTTTCCTTTTGGCGTAAAACAATCTCCGTTTGACAATTCTTCCGTAGCTCGTCTTCGTAGTATAGAAGGTCAAAAAGGGCATAATCGGACTTTGAGTTGATCTCTTTTTGGTAAAGATTGTACCGGAACACTTGAAGAGACCTGAAACAGCCTTCTCGCTCTAATCGTGCCTCTTCTGGTGTTTTGTCCCGGGCAAAGATAGCATGTTGGGGCCTGAAACATCGTCGCTCTCTTCAGAGCTGGTCAAGGTAGACGTGCTGTCCCAAGAGGACATAATTAATAACGCAAGGATTTCGGGTTTACAATACAGAGATTTGAAATTTCAAGACTCTCAATTTTCCATCGATGAGCACGAATATTTTGTAGAATTGAAAGAAAAGGCGAAATGAGGAGGTGTCGGTTACGGAAACCGACAACTAGTTCGATCAACGCCTCATGATGACGCCGCGCAAATAGGTTATATGCTGGTGGTAACTTACTATCAACAATCAGGTCAAATGGGCTGTCCTTGAAGTTCCCTTGAATAATTCCAAACAGAGAAGCACTCCGAATTCGACGACAATACTCTGAGCTAGAGAAACGGAATTGTTTGTCGAGATCCTTGATTTGTTTCGGGTTGAGCTTGAGACCACGAGCTTTCTCACAGCAATGACACCGTGTGGTGCAATGACGTGCCGCAAGTCTTCGGCCCAATGTGTGTTGACGAGCGGAACAGCAATTGCAGTCCCTTCCACAGCAGCCCCCTCTCTCAGTACAGTCCTGGACAAGTGTGCGATGCCTATACCAGCTAGGATTAGAGCGCCATAATTTCATCGGACGACTCAAGCTTCCTCCTTCTGGGATTCCAACCCGTTGGGACCACCACGATCGTTCTAGAAACCAATAATCCTGTCTAAGCTTCTCGATCTCTTGTCTAAGAGTTTTTATTTCAGATGCCAGAATGTCTCTTTGTTTGCCCTTATGGAAGTAGAATGGTTGGGGACTATCTTGGGCTGTTTCCGGTTGTAGTTGTGTGGCAATTTCGGACTGGTTAAACTCCCGCAGCTTGATTTCAGTCTCGAGTAAGCTAGAACGATCCATAGCTTTGTATCTATTCTTCTGATTTTCGTCCTTCAACTCCTCAGTCAAGGTAAACAGTCGCCAGTAGAAAAAAAAAACAAGAGGGTATGTTACAAAATGCAAGCAAGGTAAAAAAAGTCACTAAAAGTCTTCCACCGTCGTCCCCAACTTCCGCTCTCGCGCCAGACGAACCAGATCGCCACCCGTAACCAGATCCATCAGGCCCAGCCCAACGCTCTTGTAAATGACGTTTCCACGCTCTACCCAGTCGCGCAGACTCTTCTGGTCATCAGCGGCCTCCTGCGTCGCATTTCGCACCATGAGAAGCTCGCCAAGCTCGACCATTTGCTTCGGCTTGATATCAGCCTGCACGATTTCACCGGCCTCTTTTATGGCCGCGTCTAGACTGTCAACGACCACCACGCCGCTGCGACTGGTATGTTTGTGGAAATGGCGATGGGGCGGCGAAACTTTTACCTCGTCGCGCAGGATATCGGGATGTAATTCGGCCATGTGTGCCTTGTACGAACCAACCGCACTGATAAAACGGCCCTTTTGCCGACCTTCGCGGGATGTGAGGAACTCGGCGGGGAAGAGGGGCTCGACGGAAGGGGTGCAGCAGAAGATGGCGTCCGCCTTGCGAACATGCTCTTTGATAATTCGGTTGTATTCGCCGAAGTCGGTGCTCATGGCGGAGAATTTGGTTTCGCCGCGCCATTTGGTGTTTTCGGGGAGGTAGATGTCGCGGAGGAGTTTGGCTGCTCGCTCGAAGGAGCGGTTGACGATGTATACGCGGCGGATGTCGTCGCCGCGCAGACTTAGCGCCAGTCGAATGTGCCAGTATGCTTGGGTTCCGGCGCCGAATACTAGGATGGTGCGGACCTTCTTGCGGCGGTTGAAAATCATCAAGGAGGCGAGGGCGGTGCGGAAGGCTGTGAGTTCGTGGGCGTTGATTAGGGCGAAGGGCAGACTCTCGCTGTCTAGAAGTGTCACGCTGCCCTTGGGGGAGGTATCCCGGGTGCCTGCTCCAGGCCAGGCGCCCATCGTATTCGAGACATTGCTATCGACTACGGGCTGTTGGTTCACACAGCCAGAGAGAAGCGTCGAGCTATCGGCGCTATCCGCAGAGGTTGTGGTTGTCACTGTCGGGCTGACAGAGCTGCTATCTTCCTGAGAATCAACGGATAAATCACTTAGGTCGGAGGAGAGCGATGCGACCGAGTTGCGCACGGAACCAGTCCGTGAACGGGAAGATGTCGATTCCTCATCAGCAAGGTCGAACAAAGGACGTTCCACAGCACAACCGGCGGCGGAGCCATCCTGCAGTGAGATCATCTTGATTCCGATGGTTTGGCCCGTACTAGCGGGCATGAACAAGGTGGTACAGCCATTCTGTCGAGTAATGGCCGTTCGCTGGGGCTGATAGGTCGCCGAGCAACCTTTATCTTGGGCACCGGTGGAATATTCGCGTAGAGCCTCGGAGAGGTTTCGTTGCAGCTCATTGATCTCTTCGCGAGTGAGAGAATGTAGCACCTCTCGGAGCTGCGACCGAGAGAGGATGGTGAGAGGCATGGGGAGGTCGGGGGTGGGTAGAATGAGCGAAATGCCGAAGAAGGGCAGACGGAAGAAGGTTGAGGAGGGACGAGGTGGAAGAGGAAAAGAGAATCGGAGTGAGAATTGGAATCAGAGTCGAGGATAGAGGGGCAGTTTTCTATTTCTAGAAAAAAAACAGCCTGTTATCAGTGATCAATCGGTCTCTCAACGCCCGGGAGTTCTAGGCCGCCACCGGCCGCGCAACCGCCAAGGTGGAAGTGGAACTCACCAGATGATAGGTCGGTGTGTTTGAGGGTCTGATGGCGTTGCCCGTGCCAAGTGAGTCGGGGCAAAAGGGACGTGGAGCAGAGTAGAAGGGGTGCTCCGTAGAGTGCTCCGTAGAGGGTGCTCTGTAGGGCCAGAAATTGGCTGGTGATGACGACAGTCTGTGCAGAGCGGGGACCGCGGGGCGATCGACAGCCCTTGGGAAGAATCTAGTCAAGATGGTGGACCGGGTGACTGTGCTTGGACGTGGTAGTAGAGTACCTAGGATATGAGGTATAGAGGTAGAAGTAGAACTAGAGGTAGAGTGAGTGAACATTTGACGGAGTGAGTATTTACTTTCTTTGACGCAGCCCAATGCGGCATCTGCATCAACGCCGATCCCCAATGCGGAAGGCCACTGAGTATGTATATTGACTCCCTACACAATTTGATTGCTTTCGTACTTTTAAGATCATGTATGAGTAGAGAAAACAACAAATAAACGTCCTTCAAGTAAATAAATACACTACCTTTTAGGGACTTGAGTAATGCCACCCTTACTAATGCACCAGTACAGTACTACCAGTAACTAGTTAACTAGTAGTTAATAAGTACTAGTACTTCTACCTACTTTGTAGATTGCATTTTGGTAATTTAAACCCCCACACCACGAGGCCTGGGACATGCATATCGGAGCGTTTGGCCTTATGCATGCAGAGCCAGGATCTTTGGCCTGCAGCACAGCCAAATGTTTGTTCCATCGCGCAGGCTTAGTCAGTCCACACTCCTATAACTAGTCATCAAGGTCCCTTTAACTCGGATAGTATCTCATCCATACACATATGTATCTGCGATCTTATACCCTCACTATAATGGGTATAGCAATTTAGCTGTGTTTCTCCTTGAAATTCCGCTATTCCTATATCTTCTATAGGCTCTTTGATCTGTGGGAACTCTAGATTATTACATAGCAGAATGTCAAGGAGAAATAAAACTAGCTGCTATACCGAATACAGTTAGGAGATAATTGTGAAGCCAATCTCGCAAGCTGGATGGATACCTCTCGGCTTTAAACAGATAGTGCTGAGGGCGGGTGCCTAGACACACGCAGGCCTCAGGCATCCAAGGGCTCCTGCCTCCTGTAAATAGCCTCACCTTAGCTTTCTCATCCCATCACAATTTTCCTCCAGATCAAACTTCTCCCAGTAGCGACCCTCCGACAGATGGCGAGGGAAAAGCGTTTGAGGGAAAGAAAGGGCACCACGCTCAACGCATACTAGGTTATGGTAGAACTGAGAAATATTGGAATTTCGAAAGAAACACGGTTTGTAGCTTGGGGGTAGTCACCCTTTGATCTCCTACTTGAGGTATTAGCTCGACAAGGAAAAGCCCCCCTCACCCACGACCTGCCCGAGGATGTGATGGTATGTCTGCTACTCACCATGTACAGCTATCATCGTCCATAGGTAAGTCTGTCCTACCTCCAACGCAGGGCGCCAGGTTTCTGACAGAATAGCAATTCCAGTTATGATGATGGATATATGGGACCTTCGAAGCTAGGATAGACCAGGATGAGCCGTATGCATCTTTTTGCAAAAGATTCATCCTCATCCTCCGCCTGCCAGTGTTTATCTTCCGCGACAATATCCGCAGGATGAACTTCGATTCTTTGCTCGTCATCCTGGATCGAGCGATCTCTCTTGAATGCTCCCCAACATCATAACATACAAAGCGGATCCGACAGCAGCATCCCGGCCCCCTCCTGAGGATAATGATTGGGACCAGGCCGGATGACTAGACAATATGGCAATTAGAGGAGTGTGTATAGAGTTTGTTCAACAGCTAAAAAGAGCAGGTATGGGTGATCATCAATGAGCTCAACCACTTCTCTCACTTCATGCGCACTTGATCATGGAAACACATACATTGGCCCCGGGTGGCTTTTTGTGATGAAGAATTCGACCTACAGCAAATGCTACTTTAAGTAAACCTTGAAATACTTTCACCACTTCTCCAGGGCCAAAATATGAACAAGCAAAGTAAATAAATACTCTGGATCAACTCAACTGATCCACCCTCCAGCCCTTTGCAACCTTCATATCCGCATACCACTTCTGCACATACTCCAACCCGGAGTGAGGGCCATACAGTTCTGTCTCCCACTGTGGGATCGGAGCTTCTAACCCTGTCTCCTCCAAACAGGTCTGGCGTAGTGCCTCAATGTCACCGCCTCGATCATATATCGATGATGCCTGTAGTGTCTTGGTTTGCACCATTTTCATCTGCGCGCGTAGTGCGACCGTCTCTTCATGGTCCACCGTAAAGTCGTTCTTCACGACCACACCATACCCTTGGCGAGCCCCATCTAACGTGACAAGTTTCCGATGGACCTCTAGAGCGACCTTGTCAACAGGACGCGTCAATGGATCCCCAAGTCCACCACCTCCCCAGGTGATCCATTCAAGGAGATCTCCCGGATCGACTCGAACATGGTCACATTTGGATGGTAGGATTTCCGTCGGAGGGTCCATCGTAGATTGAGAGTATCGGTATAGCACCTTACTAGATCGTCGACCGGGTTTACCTCCCTTCAAGCCCCAGGGCTTCGTGAACCATCGATCGTCATGTAGACTGAACTCGCCTCGCGCGAGGAATCGATAGAGTGTTCGCTGGGCATTACCACCGCGGAAATATCCAGGGCCCCCACTATCTGCAACACTTTCGTTGGCTTCGATGCGTAGTGGATAGTTCAATTCAATGCTCTCTGTCGGAATGGATTTGATGGCCGGGAAGAGACAGTGGCAGTCAGGCCCATCACCAGCTTGGCGGGCAGGAACTCCTCCAAAGCCAATTTGATATAGCTGGTACCATTCGCCGTTCGGCTTAAATCCGGAATAAAAGAAGTGTGGGGAGTCGCTAAAACCGGCAGCAGCTTGATAATCATCATTCTTTTGGCCGATCAGAGCTTGAACAATGTCGAGCGTGCGGCCCATCAAATGCGTTCGGCATGATATGGGCGCCGGACGGACGGGCTTGAGAACTGTCCCTTCGGGGATCTTAACATCAATTAATTCGTGGAAGCCATCGTTGATGACCGTCCCGGGTGCTGCGGCTGCGATCAGATAATACCCAATGAACATTTTGAACATGGTTTCTGAAAGGTAGAAGTTGATGCTGTGCTGGCTTTGCGGAGAAGTGCCACTCCAATCGAACACGAGTCGATTGCCATCGACCTTCTTCATCGAACAAGTAAGCGCCCACGGCCCAACGCCGTGGCCATCATCGTCCACGAAGTCTGTAAAAGTGCTTTCCTCGTCGTTGAATTGCCGCTCCACAATTTTGGCCAGCCCGCTTCGGTTCCTGTACAGCAGCTCATCACAGGAAGCTAGGTATATTTCTTGACCAAATCTTGTCACGAGTTCACGCACCCGCGTCGCGGCCATCGAACATGCTGCAATGATGGCAGTCAAATCAGAGCGATACCACGCTGGCTGTCGAGAGTTTCGACACAGAAGTTCAACAATGTCTGCATTCATCACGCCCTTGGAATAGAGCTTGATGCAAGGAATCTGCACTCCATCATCGAACACAGAGGTTGCGTTGATTGACATGCTGCCCGGAACGATACCGCCTACGTCAGTCAAGTGGCCGAATTGCGAGGCGTATCCAATTAGACGATGCTCATGGAAGATGGGCAGAAAGACGATGACATCGTTTAGATGACTGATGGCACCTTGTACCTGGTACGTATCGTTTGTGATAAAAATATCCCCTTCCTCGATCGTGCCGTGCCACACTTTCAAGAACTCGGTGATAAAACTGCCGAACTGACCGACAAGCATTTTGCCCTTGGCATCGGTGATCACGTTGAATTCGTCTTGTTGTTCTCTGATTGCGGGGGACATGCTACATCGTAGCATCATCTGATCCATCTCGCTCCGAATGGAGGCCAGCGTGGATGAGATCAAGGTCGGAATCAATGGAGTGCCCTTGACAAGTTTGGCCGCTGATTCCGCGGTATGCTGAGTAGAGTCGGCTGGCTTTTTATCTTGGGGGTTGATCAAGATATTTCCAATGCTGTCAATCTCACCAAAATACCCTGGTAGAATGAGTGTGTTGCTATCCATCTCCGAGACGATGCATGGCCCTGTGATCTTGATTCCCTGTTTAGAGATCTTCTGGCGATCCCAGAGTGTAGCAAGTTGTTCCTTGCCCTGCACAATTATTGTTTGTTGACCAATCTGAGCATTGGCCGGAGGATCAGGGGTCGCCGCTTTTTCGACTTGTGGGATGTCAATACTGGGTGATGCGTCTTCGAGTATGACTCCGAGTCGCATGAGCTCGAGCTCAAAATCAGGCAATGTATAGGTGAATAGCTGTTGGTGCTGTTGGTCAAACCGTTCCCGGAGGACCGAATGCCATCCCTGGGTATCCAGAACCAATTCATCGGCAGTCAAATCAATGGTGATAGTCAAAGCTTGTCCTTTGTATCGAAGGTCTGCCTGGTACGCAGACTTCCAAGTCACAGGCCAGTGTTCACCTGATGACTTCTGCAGGGTCTCACGGCAATGCTTCTCCAGGCTATCATACTGCTTGAAGATTTCCCGCGCAGTGGTCTCAGATACCAAACGGATGAACGTTGTCGACTGCTCATGTCTGAGCTTCGTCGTCACATCACCCTGTGCGCAAAGAATGCCAGGAGATGGAGGAATGATAACTGGCCATGCTCCTAGAAGTTCACCTACCGCATTAGCATGGAGTGGGCCAGCACCTCCAAAAGCGACCAGTGCGAAATCGCGGGGATCATAGCCCTGTTCCACGGACACAAGACGGAGAGCTCCATACATGGTCTCATTGATGATTGTGATTATATCTTCGGCTGTTTGGGTAACCGGGAGCTTCATCTGAGACGCAATTTCAGCGACTGCGGCCAGGGATGCTTCCACATTCAAGGCAAATTCACCACCGAGTAGGTTCTTGGGCAGATAGCCCAGGACCAGGTTTGCATCTGTCACGGTCGCCTGCTTGCCACCCTTTTCATAGCATGCAGGGCCTGGCACAGCGCCAGCGCTTTCGGGTCCGACGCGTAACGTCTCTGTCAATTCCATGTATGTCGTGATTGAGCCTCCGCCGGCGCCAACAGTCTTGATGTCCACAGCCGGTGCTCGCACGGACAGGTCTTCGACGACAGTTTCCCTGCGAATCTGAGGTTGACCGTTATAAATCAAGGCGCAGTCCGTCGAGGTTCCTCCCATGTCAAGGGTGATCAAGTTTTTGTATGGCGTACTTCTAGCCACGACATCTGCAACTCCTTTAACACCCCTGCAGGGCCAGACATCAAGATGTTCACTGGAAGCTCAGAAGCAAGCGCAAGACTGGTGAGACCGCCATCGCTTTTAAGGACCCGAATGGTCTCGCTTTCTTTGGTGAGAGCCAGAGACAAGTTCTGAAGGTACGTCTGAACAACCGGCTTCACGAGGGTATTCGTGCAGGTTGTGATTGTGCGTTCATACTCGCCAACCTCGCGCAGGACATCGGCTGAACAGATAACCGCGACATCGGAGTCAAGTTCTTCGCAAACGACCTTTTTAACTTCGCGTTCGTGTTTGTCGTTGCTGTGGGAGTTCAACAGTGAAATGGCCACTGCTTCCGGCTTTTGCTTAGCCAACTCTCTCAATCCAACGCGTAAATCATCCACATCCACGGCGGATACCGGCTCACCCTGCACCGACATCCGCTCCTTACACTGAACAACACGTTCGAGTGGCACAATGGGGTCCGGCGGGTTCCAGTGCAGCCACGCGCCTAACCCGCCGGGGATTTGAGACCGACGCAGCGCAAGAATATCCTTGTGGCCCGCAGTCGTCACCAAAGCGGTGCGGGCGCCTTTGCCTTCGAGAACAGCATTGGTGGCTGTTGTAGTTCCGTGATGAATGAACTGGAATGTCCCCGACCACCCGAACTGCTCCTCGAGAATCAGACGGGCTTTAGCGAGACCGTTCTTAATACCGATACTCTGATCGGGGATCGTAGTCGGAACCTTGGCGCGAACTGTCTGGAGGTCTGGTGTGAAGACGTATACATCCGTGAATGTCCCGCCGACATCAACTCCAAGCTGATAGCCCTGGTCGGGTTGAGCGTCGCCCATGGTGAAGCGATCGGGATCAGATCAAAAGGCGTCAAATTCCCGCGGTCGGCCATTGCGGGAAGAGGGGGACTTTAAGGTTCTTTATGCGAAGGCCGCAGCTATCTCTCGCACCGACGATGCTCGATAGATGGACCCTTAGATCCACCTAGACAATGCGACCTTTCGTGTCGCCATACAGCTCAAGGCTTTGTGTGGATGGGCAGTTTCCCAGCTTGCATGATCGAAACAACCAAGTCGCTTGGTGGATTGAAGCTGCCAATTGAATTGCACGTGAAGGGATGATCTATGCAGCTAGTGGTGGGTCCAGGTTGCTAGAGAGGGGTTGAGGAGGTGAAGTGCGATCGAATCAGGCCGTTTCAAGGTGCCCGTCAAAAGTCAGAGATGAATCCGCCGGAAATGCAATATCCACACGCTGCAACTTTGCCAGAGAGTACTTACTTATTAACTACTTTAATTCAAGGTGTCTAGTCTTGCTCTCCGTATCATATTGGTCATTTTTATTTTGGTTCATAAAGATGCAGGTGATGCAGACAAACATTGGAGCTTGTCTCTTCCTCGACGTCTATATTCGGTTCTCTAAAACTGGCATATGATGTCTATCGGGCAATTGCGCTGGTTTAATTCAACGGCCGAAATTTCGAATTTTTCTGCAAATTCTTATGATATATCATCCATGAAAGGTCGCAGCTAGAAACAAAAATCAGACCCCCAAAGAGCCAGGCTGTCCTCTGTAATGAACACAACACCCGTATCTCGATGAATGACTCATTTGCGCCATACGAAGAACTTAAAAAGGCCGTTGGTGCTTATTCGATGGGATTTACAGGCTGAAGTATAGGAATTCTCTTCATTAAAATCACCATGACAGATATCAGCAAACGCCGCCGTCCCAAGAAGACTGCGGCAAGACATTCGAACTCCACACAATTCATACCTTTGCTGATAGGCATATTTATCATCGTTTGTTTATTCGTTCCCTTTTTACTTTTCCCAGACGGAGTTTTGCCATGGGATAAAAGCTCCTCAGCTCCGAGGCATTCACAAGCCAACGAAGTGAACATATCACCAGCGAGCGTGAAACTATCCCCGAGAATTGAATTGCTAGCACCAAAACAGAACTGTTACATGCCAGCATCTCGATACAGCCTGAGTACAGGTATCACTACCTGCTACCCATCTTCAGGGGGTATATGGACAGCTGAGCTGGGTCCGGTGGAGCTACAGTATTTGGGAATAGATCGCTAAGCATCTTCCGAACGCTCCCAAAACCAGACCAGCGAGGACCTTTTCTGCGATCAACTTCAAATTTTGGCGGTTCTTGGTACGACCTAGTTGAAAACGACTTCTGGGATAACGGCAAATACCTTGAACTGCATTGTGTTCGATTCCGTCCAGCAGTCGAGATTAAGCGCGAGATTAGAATACCTGACAATGTAACCGTTGTGGTTCTTGATCTTAATGATTACGATGGCTTTGACTTATCCCCGGAAAGTAGGAGAGAGCTGGGGAATTCTCTGAATATGATCGACCGATGCATAGTGTTAGGATCAAGTGGAGCCAAAACTTGCGTCAACGTGAGTAGTTGCCCTCTCTTACGGAATTTGTCCAAAAGACCAGGCTCGTTGCAAGGGGGTTTAAGTAGACTCCACGTGGATTAATATTTGGAGCTTTTTCTTTGATTTGGTTGCTCAATCAACAAGTTAAATACTCGGCTAGGATAGTTTGCATTTGACTCCAAGGAATCTATGAATTCAACAATTTTCTTTTTCAATTCCCAACGTGATGACCATATCAGAAATTCTGGTATTGTTGAATAATCATTTCTTCTCAAGTGCAGTGCCAACCGCGGTCCTTGCGTATTCCCCGCTGGGGAAATGATTTTTGTTTAGTAATCGCATATTCGCAAGGAGTCACGATTACCGAACCGCCAGCCTTTTGCTAGAAAGAAATATGAAAGCGGTCAAAATGTCCAATGATGGAGATTTCCGTAATTTTATTTAGGTCAAGGCAATTGTAAGTGATTTATCAGCTCGGCATCGAGTAGAACGCGAGGCCTGCGAGAGCCAAGGAGATAAATCGATTCTTCGCCCTATTTCATACTCCCAAGTTACGGAAAGCCTTATTCTAACTGAGATATCTGGCTTTTTTTTGCGAAACCAAATCAGCGATGATGGTCACACCCGAAATTTCGCAATCCCAGATTGGGCAGAGTGAGACGGGGAATACGTCGCCTTGCACTGAGACTCCGGATATTGAGACTGGGCTCGATGTGAAAGCCCATTCTCCAGAAGACCAAAAGGAGGATTGGGAGAATGATCCGCGGAATCCATACAACTGGCCGACGAGATCAAAATCTCTCCAGGTTTTGATGATGGCATCTGCTGCGTTCACAACGTAAGATAATCCCGTCGATGTCGCCGCTAGTTAAAATCGGCTAATACTAGTATAACTTATAGCTCTGTTGGAGTTTCAATTCTATCTCCAGCTCATACCCAGTTTATGGAAGAGTTTGGGGTAGGCAATACAGTCGCCATATTGCCGTTATCACTTTATGTTTTTGCACTGGGACTTGGCCCTGTTGTCGGTGGACCTCTATCTGAAACGGTCGGGAGATACCCCGTATATCTAGGAACTGTCGTTCTTGGAAGCCTTTTCACCTTAGGAGTTGGCTTCAGTCATACTTTTGCGGGAGTGTGCATTCTACGGTTTCTAGCGGGGTTTTGCTTCGCGCCGTCGTTAGCTATCGCTGGTGGAACGATTAACGAAACATTTAAGCCTGTGAAACGGGCGCTTCCGTCCACAATTTTCATTTTGACTCCATTTTTAGGTCCTGGTCTCGGGTACGTTTATAAACTACAATCGTTGCTCAATTCATTGCTGATTATCCAGGTAGACCGGTTATCGGCAGCTTTATTGTCAATCGCAAAGGCTGGAGGTGGACGCAATGGACAATGATCTTCTTCGGAGTTTTCACGATTTTCACAAGTATCTTTGCAAAAGAAACTTTCCATCCGGCTATTAAACGCCGAATTTCCAAAGATCTTGGTCGGCCCTTACCTGTATCGCCAGCCTTGGCTGTCAAGTTTCGACTATTTGTGACAATTGCTCTTCTTCGTCCGACTCAAATGCTGATCAGTGAGCCTATCGTCGCATTCATATGTCTCTATGTTGCTTGCGAATTCGCTACACTATTCTCATTCTTTGCCGCCTTTCCACTTGTTTTCCAAGGGGTGTATGGCTTTGGGATCGAGGACTCTGGTCTTGTGTTTCTTTCTATAGTAGTCGGCTGTCTGCTTGGGGCTATCACAGTACTATTTTGCGACCTAGTTCTCTATCGCCCTCAAGCTACCAAATTTTCTGGACGCAATATCCCTCCAGAATATCGCCTGTATCCTGCTATGTTTGGCAGTATTGGTCTCCCAATCGGGTTATTCTGGTTCGGCTGGACCGCTAGGGCAAACATATCGTGGGCCAGCCCAGTCGTTGCTGTGATGGTATTTTCATGGGGGAACCTGTGTGTTTTCGTGAGCACTACGCAGTATATCGTTGACACCTACCATGGCTTGACTGTTGCCAGTGCCATGAGCGCGAACAGTTTAGCTCGTTACGGTCTTGCAGCTGCATTTCCTCTTTTTACAATTCAAAGTCAGTATCTCGATGACCCTCGGAGTGAATTTATAGCTGACCTTTCCCTTAAAGTGTATACTAAGCTAGGTATTGGATGGGCTTCAAGCCTACTTGGTTTTATTTCCATTGCTCTGTTGCCCGTTCCCTGGCTGTTCTTTTCGACGGGGAAAAAGCTGAGGGGTTTGAGTAAATTTGAGACAGCAGACACATAGATCGGAAATTGCTTATGGAATTTGAGAATTTGTCATGATTTTCTCTCCTTGAAGCCTCCCTCCCGTCAGTGCCAATTAGATACATCCCAATGAAATGACCTTGCAGGTTTCCGGGTCTAATTCAAATTCGAACTTTAAGCTTACAATGAATTCGATAGGACGACCTCTAAAATTTTAGATTCGGCATTATTCAGCTCGCTGAGAGTTTAAGCTGAGCCATGCTTAATCAACACACTTTGTCCACAATTGGTTGAGAATCCCCGCGAGCGGGTGCCCCTTGCTCAACAAAGTTGGCGGATCCCGCCAAGATTTTCATGGGTGTTCTCACTTCTACCGGGTACAACGCGTTGGGGTAACGAATACGTGACTCAAGAACAACAGGATGAATAATCTGAAAATAGCAATGAAATATAAAATGAGACCGGCTTCCATTCAAAACATGCATCTCAAGAATAACCTTAATCAATTCAGATAGCAATCGCCAATATGGTTGCTCCTAAAATCACGCTGTACTTTGACATTGGAAGCCCATTCAGTTACATTGCTTTCCACGCCCTCAAGGTGATTTGCCAAAAAGGTCCACTGTCCATGATATAAAAAGGATCATTGTATTGATTTGCTCATCTACCAGAACTCGCCTCTTTTTTCGAATTGTCAAATTGACTATGTGCCCGTTCTACTCCGAGATTTATTCCAGAAGTGCCAGAATTCACCTCCGATAGCGGTGAAAAGTATGATAAAGTGAATGGAAGTTTGATAAAAATAAACATTAACACGAATCCTGTCTACAGATAAGTTCCAATGGATAAACAAAGAACGCCTATATTGGTCGCACCGATTTGGCGTACCCATGAGCGTGCCAATTCCTGAAGGCTTTCCTGCCTCAACAGGGAATCTCCAAGCAGTGCTTGCAGGCGTTGCAGCGCATGCCCCTGAACATCTTGTCGCTATTACAGAAAACCTCTTCAAAATATTTTGGGCGGACGGTAATACCGGGATCATCAACCAAGAGGAATTTCTGCCCGTTTTCCAAAGTGAAATGGAGGAAGATCAATTGTCTGTCCTGGTGGGTTAAACCTTTACCCTATTTCGGTCTACAATGCTTGATTTTTTATGCAAATGCTGACGTTTGGGATGTCATAATAGTTCAATGACCAAAAGAAGGAAGATTTGAACAAAAACACAGAAGCTGCTTTCAATGCCGGGGCATTCGGTCTTCCCTGGTTTGAGTGTACTAATCCCGGGGTGAGGTGGAGGGATTCTGGGGCATGGATCATCTAGGACGGGTGGCAGACTTTTTGCAGCTGAACAGAAGCTTTGAAGATCCTTTCAAAGTCTTGCTTTAGACAAGTGAAAACGGATGTAATTTTCAAAGTCAAGGACTTCGTCATTTTACGGGGGAAGAGGCACTTATTCGGGGTTTAGTTAAGGATGAAAATTAGGAGCGGCATTCGAGTTTAATGCGGAGGATGTCTCGGATTTACACAACTGCTTCACGACAGCAGAGGTTCAACTTGAATGAACGAGTACTACTACTACGCCCGGGCGGTTCCAAGGTTATAGTTTTCTTATTGTTGTTCAATGCTCGAAATCAACAAAATCCAAGTTGGTAGAAATTCTAGACATTCGGTTTTTGGTCCTTGCTCGTGATATACCACTCATTCAAGTTTTTGTTCCCTTTAGATACCGCAAAATCCTGTAAAATTATTAGAAACTCCACCAAAAACGCTAGAAGTACATTGCAATGAAACAACTTACCAACGCAGACCGACCCTGTTTATTCTGGGTCAACGGGTCCAATCCATGCCGAACAAAAATCTGGAAAATCATCAGGTTTGAGGCGTAGTTACCAGAAGAACAACGTGATGAGAGATCTCTGAGTGCTAGGGCGTGTAGCAGATTCTCTCCTCCATTATTCACAACGTGCAAATCGCTACCAATTTCCTCAAAAAATCTGACAGTATCCTGAAGCGCCTTGGCTTTCTCTGACTCGCTCAGGTTTCGATCCTCTTTACCCTCTTCCAAAATCGCCTTGGCATTTCTTACCCAAGTGAAAATAGGTGTCTCGCCATTTCCATCTCTAGAATTAATGTCACCGCCCATTTCAACGAATCTCTTGACCCACTTGGACCAGTCTTTGAATATGGCCATAGTCGCATGTAGAGCTGTCTTTTCGTTCGGAAAACTCATGAGCGGGTCTGCGCCAGCGCTCAAAAGAATTTCCCAGGCCCATCCGCGCTGTCGTCTAGGGACCAGTTGAAACGGAGTAAATCCACTCTTGTTTCGTTTGTTAACAAAATCTGGACATTTAGTGACGAAGAAGGACAAAGTCTCTCGTTTGATGTCCTCATCACCATAACCATCAATACCACTTTCCATCAGAATGTGTAGAATAGTCTCTTCCTCATTGTTCACCGCGCGAATGTCAGCCCCTCTTTCGTAGAGCTCCATGCATCGCAACCTTTTGGGCATGTCTGACTTTGCCAGCATCGATAAACGCCGCGGAGTATGTCTAGCAGCTGCAAGAAATAAGGTATCTCCCTGAGGATCCCGCGCCTCAATATCTATCCCTTCAAGGTCGAGGAAAAGATTGCAAATCTCACGATAGTTGTTTTGGCGTATGAGATAATGAAGAATCGTAGTTTCCTTGTCTAATTCACGTTCAGAGCTCCTTAGTTGAAATGGGTTCGCACCATGCCCAAGTAAAAGCTTCAGCATGGAAATTTGAGGTTGAAGGTCACGATGCACACCGAGCGTGGCCTCTTCCAGGGGATACCAACGACGGAGTCTGGATCCCGACTTATTCAAACCGGAATCTTCGGGGTAGAGTCTGTTGCAGTCTTGACCATTTGCGAGAATGGCTTGAATCTCAGCCACGTCTTTCCTCTTGATCGCCGAAAGAAGATCACCCGTCCGATCAGGGCAATTTGGCTTGCCTCCCGCTTGGACCAACAGGTCAATTACTTCGGGGTCTTCAATCCTCCTGTCCAACGGAGCAAGCCCTTTTTTGTTTGTCTGATTTGGATTGGCTCCATTATTCAGCAACGACTTGATGATGTGTTTGCTGATGGACGAATCTTTGGCTATATTTAGGATGGCAACTTGCAGCGGAGAGTCTTCATCCTCGTTCTTCACATTCGGATCGGCGCCCATCTCCAACAAGTACTCCACTGCGCCTTTATTCCACCAGCTATGACCTCTAGCAAGGACATGAAGGGGAGAGCGTTTGCCACTGGACCGGGAACACTCGACGGGACTATGTAGCACGTTCACGTCCGCATTGAACCTTTCCACCAGCGAGCGGATGATTGGCATATTGGGCTTCTCCCGGGAAACGGCTGACATCAAATACGGGGACACAACGTCGGAACCATTGGGCCAGCTAGGATCCTGAAGTGACTGCGCGATCAGATTAAACAGGATACTGTATCCGCTTTTGGCCAGTACGGAAAGAAGATCCTCATTTCCTTTCCTTTTGTTAGGTCCAAAATCGACCCCTGACTCAATGCATTTTTCAAAGGCCTTGTATTCCCCCATGTGCAATGCAGTCAAATATGGGGATTTCTTCAGGCGTGGGGGTTTTTCGGGGCTGATTTCGTAGTCCCCGCCAAGTGGTAGTGGTCTTCCCTGAGCTTGTGCAAGGAGGCAGATTATCTCCATCATCTGGCCACCTCGCTTAGCCGGGCCATACCAGGGCCGCGGAGTACCTTTACGTGGCGAATCTCTAGAGTTAGATGTTCGGCTAACTCGAAGCATCTCATTTGACAGTTCCAGTGGCGTGAGGCCGGCGTCATCCCTGATTTCAAGACTTGCACCAGCTTTCAGGAGTAGCGGAATAGCCTCCTTACAGATGGCTTCGCAGGCTGTATGCAGTGGCGTATGCCCTTTTTCGTCGCGTTGATCTAAGACGACATCGAGGCTTCCTGTCTCTGTGTAATGATCCAGAAGGAGTTCGACGATGTTAGATTGTCTAGCAGATATCGCAAGGTGGAGAAGATTCTGTTTTTGTTTTGTTTGGGCTATCGTAGAGGCGCCTTTAAAGATGAGTCTCTCGCTAAGGATGGCACTTGTAGCCACGGCAAGTTGAAGCGGCCGTAGACCATCGTTATTCTTTACCTCAATGGCCTTCCCATCATCTAAGTCGAGCATAAATGTTCCTGCTGAGCTAATGGGTGGCCCTGAACCACAAGCGCAGCTCATATTCTGCTGACAGAGCAAATGCAAAGGAGTGTTTCCTTGTTCATCCTGATGTGTGCTGGACACGCCTTCATCGGAAAGTCGCTGAATTATTTGGTCGGGGATTGGAGAAGACTGTTTGACGGACTCGGATCTCATCAAAATGTGCATCAGATTTTCTCCGCCGTAATTTACACCCAAAATATCCACTCCCAGATTCAGCAACTCCGTGAATATAGGATCGGAAGGTTTCCCTTGCATAAATAGATGCATGGCACCATTCCCGTTTTTATCGATAGCTTTGAAATCAGCTCCAAACTTCTCAATGAATTGAATTATCGAGTGAGGTTTGTTGGTGTTTCCTATAATGAGGTGATGCAATGGGGTGCGGTTTTGGTCATCTGTGGCTTCAAGATCCGCTCCAGCGTCTAGGAGTATCTTGACAACTTCTTCCGCCTTTTCCCCGAATATCGAGTAATTTTGAGTCAAGAGATGCAGTGGCTCCTGATCAGACTTGTTTTTTCGTCGCGGATCCACCCCAAGACGGATCAGCTTTGCAATGAGGTTGCCGTTCCTGAAATGAGCTGCCATTACACGATGCAATATGGTATTCCCGTCATTGTCCGACACGTTCCAATTATTTATAAAAGGCAACAAGAGGCTTGCTTTGGAACTCTTTCTGCCGCCACCACCGCAAAGAATCGAGTGAAACGGGACCTTTCCGCTAACTTTGTGGCCCTCATCTAATCTCAAGCCGTGTCTTATTAGAAATTTGATCATGGGCACCGATGTTTCAGATAGGTTGATCATATCACATGGCGTCATTCCTTTATCATTCAACATGAAGAGGTCTGCGCCATGTTGTAAGAGCACTTCCACCACAGAAGAAAGATTTCTGGAAACACTCAGATGAAGAGGCGTGTCACCACGTAATCCCCTGGCTTGCACATCGGCACCTGCGTCAATCAAAATTTGAGCGCATTCTCTTGATATTTCCAGTCTTCTTTCGTCAATACTGTAATGGTTAGGCAAACCAACAGTGTTAAATCCAGAAACAGCATGAAGTGGTCCAGATAAATCGACCTTGATAGGCGACCCAACAATAATACATCCATGAGAACGGACTCCCACAGATCTTTTGTTTGGATCTGCACCTCTTTCCAGGAGTAGTTTGATGGCTTCCACGTGATGATCAAGACCAGCGCGGAATAGCGGAGTGTCGCTACCTGTGCCATCAACATTCGCCAGGGGCGAAGTCAATATCAAATCAATCCAGTCGATTTTGCCTTGAGACGCAGCATTGTCGAGGGCCCTGTCAATTTCTCTTCCATCATTCACAAGTAAAATAAGTTCCCGGGCAACTTCTATCGCACGAGCGTTGGCGAATACTGATTGACGACGGGTAAGGACTGGTTGAGATCCGTCAGCTATGTTCGTCTTGTCCTCAACATTAACTGAGGCACCGGCCTCCAGCAAAAGACGGGCAATTTGGACATGATTATGCAAGGCTGCTTGATCAAGTGGACTTTTTCGATCTTGGTCGATCATGTCTATCTTCACTTTGTGGTCAAGAAGAAACTTAACCACGTCGTGATGACCATGGCTTACTGCAATAGCCAAAGCCGATGTCCCGTCGCTCATGGTGTCATCGTAAAACAATTCCTGATCTCTGGCGAGTTGAATCATCGATACACTTCCAGACCAGGCCGCGATATGGAGAAGATTGACGGACTGTAGAAAGTCATCGTTAGACCTGCTGAAAGTACGACGCGGCCTGCATAATTCCCGAATCCAAAGCACGAAGCTTTTCTTTCTTTTATTCACCCACTGGAGTAGGAGATCTTGAAGTTCGCCGGTGATCTCGGGAAGCTCTCTAGCATGAAGGAACCAGGTAGATGCAGCATAGCTGAATAGCGGCATGCACCTACTGGCAACTTCCCAAAAATCATGCCGATTGTTTGGAAGATCTTCCATCTGCTTCCCTTTAAAGTGATCTTCTAGCATGCACCGCAGAGATATAATCCCGAGAATATTATGTGCATCAGTTGATGAGATGACGGGGAGAAGTGCTTGACTCTGCGGACTGCGATCCTTATCATGGGCGAAATGGGTGAATGATCCGTGGACTAAGGAGAAGGTTTCATCATCGTTGAATTCCAGCAACGGTCCAAATGCTGATCGAATCAAATCCTGGTTTTGGGCTTCAGGTCCATATAATACCTCGAGAGCGAGCTTAATCTGCAGACGGCGCAACCGAAATCCACTATACAGCAATAAAGCCAGTACAGTTCTGCGATACTCTGGAATATCAATTGAAACAAGAGTACAGCTCTTCAAGATATGATTATACAAGCCATACAGATCCGGGCTTGAGTGATCTAGTACTTCAGTCAACGCATCGGTGTCATTCCCGTGATTCAGACAAATCAAGGCGATTTTAGAATAGAGAAACGACGTTCCCCTCAGCCTTTGCCGTATTAAAGCTTTGGTCTCTTTTCCCTCTCGTGGAGGAAATGACTCGAGCTGCTGGTCAACATAGGTCCGAATATCTTGCAGTACATTGTCATTCACGGTGGTCAGGCAGATATCATTCGCGAGGGCTGCGGTACTGCTGCTTGTGACCAATAACTTTATTCTTCCGGGGTGAACTTCTTTCCAGCTGAATAGCAACTGCAAAAACTTCGCGTCTTCTGGGTCTTTGAAAGCATCCACGTCATCAATAGCGAAGTATAGCTTCGGCGAGTCTTTGAAGGCGTCGATCAAAAGTTCCCACAGATTTGGTAGGCCCACAGAGCGGAGTTGGCTCCAGCTCCACCCTTCACGTCTAAGAGCGGCCACGAAGGGCTCCTTAGCCAGAGCCTGGACTTTGCTTTCCAGGTCTTTCGACCACTTGAACCCTTGGGCTAACCAACTGAAAATGAGCGATGATGCCAGAGGCTGTTGCGAGATATTTCCACTGGAAAACAGGGGTTTCTGATGCTCTTGAGGGCAAAAGAAATGGAAAAATGGAACATCCTGTTCAGTCTCTTGGAGGTGGTTTACGACTGACGCGGCGAGCACACTTTTTCCAGTACCGAGCGGACCGTGGATATGTAGATTCCTGTTCTGTTCCTCCCCGTGCCAAGATCTGTATTCCGGTGTATCGAACACCCAGTCGCATGTTCCAGGGGTCCGACAGCGGAGCGTACGGTGAAATTCGCCCGAGGTGGAAAGCAGGTAAGTTGGTTCAATAACTGGCTTGATGGCATTGTTCGCAGGCAGCCCAGCTGCGTCTCTGGGAATACTAGTAAACATTTTATCTCCACCGATGGTAATCGCTTTAGTTGGTGGCTTCCGATGGGAAGAAATGTCCCAGCAAGCTTCGCTGGGCCTGACCAGGAGCCTGGTCAATTCTTTATACGGATTACGCTAGGCCCCTCGCCAGTGGGGCCAGCAACGTCTGCCCGATGCTGTTGACTCATACCTACCAGGGAGCTGCTGGGGCCAAAAGAGCCTCCACCCTTATTCTGCCGCTTTGTCTGCCGCAATACAGCGCTCCATAGGCACGACCGGCCTAATGAAGGCTCCGGTAGATACAGGCAGTTAGTTTTTAGTGAATGAAAAGTGTTCGGTATGAGATGGGAGGAACTTGAAGTCAGCCAAGTTTCTGCTGGCCAAAAAGTGTTGGTCAAGGTCAGTACTACTAGGAAATCTGAGGACCACAACCACACATGCTACTAGTTAGTAGAGACCGTCTGGATGAGAAAATACCTTTGCATTTGTTTTTCGCCCAATTCCGACACATACAAATGGTCTTGTTACTAGTAGTAGTGAATGAAAGTTATCTTAAAACTTACATGCCATCAACAATATTTCCAGTTGGCCCCACAACTGTAACCAATGGGACCAATGAGCCTTCATTCATACTTGATGTGAAGGCTGTACATTGGCATTATGTAATCAGGGTATACGTAACCAGCGATTTGTGCTAGGTATCGCCCTTTCTCTTCTCTCCTCGCGGTGGTAACCCCTATACAAACATTGCAAGCGAAAAATCAACATCTAGCCCATCGGCCCCTCTTACCCTTTTTCTGCCAGGCTCTTTGTAGATGTGGGGGTCAGCTTCCTCTATTGACGCGTCAACAAAGGCGGTCCTCTCACGAAAATCCCACCGCAAGTCGCGAAATGGGTGTAAAAATTGCAAGAAAAGACACTTGAAGGTACCGTATATAGATATCGAGAATATTCCCTGTTCAACAAGACCGTGGACTGATTGAAGACCTATAGTGTGATGAGACAATGCCTGAGTGCTTGAACTGTCTCAATCATTCTGTTCAATGTGTCTATGCTTCGCCAACAAACAGCTCCCACACAGCATATTTAACAACCCGAAGAAATATGAGATCAAAGTCCTCAGAGAAACCTACCTCCAAGCTGCATTTCGTCGAGTCAGAGTATCAAAATGTCCTTTCCATGCCTCCTACCAATGCGGATCGTACGCAGGAAGAAAAGACCCCAGTGAATTCGTTATCATCACCGCCAGGCAAAGATTCGCAATTCTGCCTCGAAGATTTTGAATTGCAACATTTTTTCCTATCTTCAACTTGCTTTACACTAGTCGAGGACGAGCCAAGCCTTCAGTTTTGGTCGTCTGCTGTTCCTCGTGTGGGATATAGGTTTCCTCTAGTACATCATTTAATGCTTTCGCTAGCATGTTTACATATGTCACGCAGTGATGATTATCAACAGAACCACTGCATATTACGATTTGATTATCACTATGGCCGCGGACTGCGCCTGATGTCTGCTTGTCTAAGTGAAGCTATCGGTGATGATTCTGAAGCCATGTGGATCGGTTCAATTCTTATTTGTTTGGTCACCATGGCGAGAGGGCCCTCGAAAGGCAATTTCCTATTTTTCGGAAGTGAGGGGCCAGTTGAGTGGATTTCGCTCCTCCAAGGGGTCAATTTGATCTCGAACATGATCCAAAAACGACGCCAAACAAACAGCCGGGAGCAGGTATCGCTGTCTACCTCCTTTCGGGATCGTTGCGTATATCAAGATATTATATACGGGCTTAAACGCTTTACTACAGAACAGGCTGCCTCAGACCCTCTTCTTCAGACCTATCTATTCGCGATTGATGGTGTTCTAGAAGCATTCAATTCGGCATTCCATGACCATGCTCTTGACCAGCATGATCCGTCTCCTGCCAAAATTGAGCCGTTTGGGTTCGTCTTGTTCACGTGGGTTACTCATATGGAGAGAGGCTTTTGGGATGCACTGCAGAGAAAAGAAGCCTTGCCTTTGGTGATTGTGGCTCATTTCGTGGTAGTAATCCATCGGATGAACAAAAGCTGGCTATCACATGGGTGGCCAGCACATATTTTACAAGGCATCTGGACATTTTTGAAAGAGGAAGACCGCGAATTGATCAAATGGCCGATGGATCAAATTCGAGTGTCTACCTAATACATAATGAACAACCTTGGAAGCTCCAACTCAACGCAAATATCAGCTGACTGTCCGGGGATCAGAAACATCGTGAGTTGTTCATATTTATAGAAACTGCATGCAAAAAAGAAAATCATTATATAGGTCTCGTGGTCCCAACCTTGAACCTTGGAAGATCAGATAAATGCTGGTATGAGAACTGGAACCCTCGGTCGCATAATGAGATACTGGTACAACTAGTAGTTGCGTTGATAATACCTAAGAAAAATGCTAAAAAAAAACAGGTCGGCAAAGGATTGTGGCCAAATACCATAGATTTTCACCAAAGAAATAAGACCCAAATCCTGTACATCACATCCTGAAACCATGTAAAGATCTGTTCATAGCTAGGTAAGAACTCAAGCCAGCCATTTCTGTGAGATACACCACCATGGTCAGTCAGCTCTGCTGCATATGGGGCTCGGTAGCTTGCCAAAACGTCAATTCCCATGGCCACAGAGGCGAAAATTCCATCGGACAACTTATCACCGAGCATGGTGTAGCTGAGGATAGGGTCATATTTTCCTCCTCCCGTGGCGGAAGTGAAGATACCATCATCTGAGTTCAAGGTAATATGAGCCTTATTCATGCGATAGGGTTCGGTTGCTTCAACAGCTGTAATCAAGTCTTGTTCGAAGAAGAGCTGACTGATGTGTGGAACATGGCCCCCAGTGAGGGTATTGTTGGGGAGGACAGTAGCTCCAACATGGGCAAGGACATGGATATGAGTTGCTCGTCCGTCGTAGTGGCCAGGAAAGATGGTCTTGAACTGAGTGGATCCATCCTTATCTGTCTTCTGCAAACCTCGCAAAAAGGTTGTGTTGAGATTAGAAAGAGGGCTACCATGGTGTTCCTGAACACCAGAATATTGTCCGGCTGAATTGCAGCTCCAGATCTCCCAATATAAGTCCTCGATCGGCTCGCAGGTATTGACATTGATGAAATGACCATCCAGAAACAGCGGAATCCCGGCCTCGCCATCTGTGATATTTGATCGAATAAATTCTCCACGAACCCAAAAGGGCCCGATGGTTGCTTCGGGGGTGAGAACACAGCTTCGCTCTTCGAGCGCGGAGGATGCGAAGGGATCCAAGTCCCTATAATTATGTACGCTAGTCGTTAAGCTTGCGCCAAGATGTTCTTGTCGATACGCGTTTAGCAGGGCAGCGCGACGAAGCTCAGCACGAGCCTGAATTCCACGCTTTTTGAGGTGATCGCTGCATCGCGACAGCTTAAGATTTGTGTTGTTGGTAATCTTCTTCACAATGGAGTCTTGAAACCGGTCTATTTCATCATGTTCGAAAGGATGGGCAGCACAGAACCCGACAAGCCAAGTGGCAATCAATAACGGGAGTAGACTTGCCAGCATGACTGATCAGTATGAAACCTCGAGGGAGCGCGGGAAGCGTAGAACGAAGAAAGATCCATGGCAGTGAAGTAGCCTAGAGGTTGGCTTTTTGCCGGGTGCGCAGCTTGCGTACGCAAATGGCCAGAAATGGACCTAGCTAAAGAACAACCGCCTACGGCGCGTTCAATTTTGGGTTAAGCGATGGAGCCACCCGTAGCCTTAACAAGGACTGGTTCCACCGGAACTAACCGAGTTGGTCCAATTTACTCAAATAAACACGGATACGGGAAGGTAAACCGAAACGGTAGAGGAACATTGTATTCACATTCAAAGCATAGCAAATGAAATCTTCAATCGAGACCATGGCTATGGTTAATATGAAGTGTTAATCCGGCAGAGATTTCGGGGCTTAGACATGTTACGTCTCCCTAGTGATTGCATCTAATTTTGGATACCTATATACGGCCTGGACTTGAATATGAGCAATGCTGTAACTTGGCAAGTATAAGTAGTATTCCGAGTGACGTTCATGTTTCTATCATTTCACATAACTATCCATTATCTATTCCCATTACCTGCCGAGTCTCTGTCTTATATCGTCACTCTTTTGAACAAAATCTTCCAACCCTCGTTCATTTCTGCATCTTGCACTCTTGTCCCAAAGCTCTCTCAGGACCAAACCGAATCTCGAAATCAGAATAACCAACTCGCGAGTGACCATGGAAGGTTACAGTCAAGATGCATGCCATGCGTATGTTGCAGGCAATAGCACATCCTACGGCTATGTACCCTCGCTGTCCGCAGCATCAGCGTTTGTGGCTTTCTTCGGTCTGTCAATGCTGCTACATACCACCCAAATGATTTGGTTTCGCACTTGGTGGTGCGCAGTTTTCTCAATTGGGTGCCTTGGTGAGTGAACGTAATATGCTGAATCCTTCAAATTCGAATCACTATCTTACTTAATATCACTTTCAGTTGAACTTCTCGGCTGGGCAGCACGGGCCTGGTCTGCGAAGTGCCCTTACGCCCAAACACCCTATATGATGCAAATCACGACTCTGATTATCGGTATTTAACAACCCCCATCAGCCTCATATACTTCGAACGAGCATTCTAATTAATCACGTGAAATTACATAGCGCCCACATTCTTTACAGCTGGAATCTACGTTATCCTTGCGAGAGTTGTCGCGATTTTCGGTCGAGGCTCATCGTTGATGCCACCGAAGCTATATGTTTGGATCTTCTGCATATGTGATGTCATTGCTCTGGCAGTTCAAGGTGCTGGAGGTGGTATGGCCTCATCTGGAGGGGGTGGTGGTTCATCATCGGGCGGTTCAGTGAAGACCCAGGCAAGAAGCTTATTCTCGCGAGCCGGAGAAAGCTCGAGCAGCAGCAGCAGCAGCAGCCAGTCCATGGGTACACATATTATGGTTGGTGGAATCATCTTCCAACTGATATCCATCACTCTGTTTGTGGTGCTCGCTGCCGACTTCGTTTTCCGCGTTTCTAAGCAGAAGCCGCAGGCTTTCCACCGAAACAAGCCTCTACTTTTACTTGGCGGTGCGACCGTATTATCTCTTCTGCTTATTTACATTCGAAGTGTTTATCGCACCATCGAGTTGCTACACGGGTGGACAAGCTCAACGATGCGGAACGAGAAGCTATTGATTGGTCTTGACGGAGCAATGATGGTCCCGGCTGTGATGATCTACAACTTGCTTCATCCAGGTCATCTTCTGCCAAAGATTCAAGTCAATTCAAGCTACTTCAACCCCGAGTCTTTTACAATGGATTGCCAGGCAAGCAGCAATCCATTTCAAGATCCAGAACATGTGAATGGCGATCGTGAAATATTGTTGAAGGGCCCATGAGACTATTAAACTCTCACACCGCAGTTCTATGAGGAATTATCCGGTGAATATAAAGTTCTAATTCATGAAAACACCATGAAACTTTCTTCGAATTTCTTGCGTTGGTTTTCCAATCAAGTTTATGGAGGGTGAGAGCAATGCGAGTACGCGAGATGGGCATTGATTCAACCATGCTTGACTCGATATTAATTACTGCTTGAATCATGAAACACCCACCACCAATAGTTCTAGGCTAGCCTCTGAAATGATTTTAGTAGAATTACATACTACAACGTACCACATAATAATACTATGAAATAACTGAGAGGCTCATCGATTTTCATATGGAGTAATCATATTGTACTCATGGATAGTGATGTCTGAAGCATGAAGAGTACTGCTGGCTAGTAGCGCTCTGCAGATCCCAGAACATCCATCATTCTCTCAACGGATCTCACATATATCTCCACTGCTTGCATCTTGAGAACAGTCAATTCGAGATTACCAGAATTCTTGGTCACGAACTCCGTATACTCATCTCGAACTGTCCGGTTGAGATTTATCTTTCGAACACCCAAAGAAATTGTTTTTTGAAAGAGAGCATCGCTCACAGGATGAGTACCATGAAGGGCTAGCGGCGTCGAGCCGGCCACCAACTCTCCGATTGCAGCAAGGCTAAATTAAAGATCAGTAATCAGCATTTCTATGCCCCAATTGCGTACACCAGGGAACTTGAACTAGTTGTCGGAGACATACCGAGGAAGATCCCAACACTTGTCTGCCCCTCCGGGAGGGTATCCGCCATGGATGTTTCCGAAAGACGGCGCGAGAAAATGTACACCGGTCCTCCGAACAAAAGCTTCCGCTTCGTCAGGCCGGGTGAGGACCGTACCCGAGTCCACGGATGGAAGTCCGTCCTCGCCTCCTTCGATTCGGCCCATCTCAGCTTCGATGGTCATGTTGAGTTCTCGGGCCCGATCGACAACAGCTTTGCATTGGCGAATGTTTTCCTCTTCATCTAGCGTCGAGGCATCCACCATGATTGAATCAAACGGAATTGTCAAAGCCTGCTCCACATCTTCAGGCTTGATGCAGTGGTCCAGGTGTACCGCGATGGGTACAGACGCCGAGTGTGCGGCATTGATCACATAGTGGATAAACTGGGTTCCCTGGAAGTGCATAGTCCAGGGAAAGAGCTGGATGATTGCAGCGGAGCGTTTACGTTCCGCAGCCCGAATAACGGCCATCACTCCATCATCATTGTAGCTGGGCAATTATCTTTCGTCAGCCATCGCACAATCTAGATTGTAGCAGAGGGGTTCATTTCTCACCAATTGTAAGCACCAACGGCATAGTTATGCTCATTAGCGTGGGCAAGAATTCGCCAAGTCTGGTTGCTGGCGGGATAGGCTCTCTGGTCACAAGACATTGTATATGATGCTGTTCAGGTGTATGAACGTAAAAGTATTTGATTGTATTTGATAGGCTCTGCCGAACTTGCTAGCTATGATATAGTGCCTTATGGCAAGGCGAGGTGTACGCGGCAAAAGTCCGTCGGAGTCGGAGTATAACCGAGAAGGCTGGGTCCCGTTGAACGAATCATATCGTACTACGGCTCTTACCGGGGCCGCCGCTGAACATTTCGGGCTCCATTTCAAGTTCGATAAGGATGGTCACGGTAATCGGCTTTTTCTAGTTGAAGACCAAGGGAATATAGATTTGCTGTCTATTTTCTGCTCGTAGATTGAGAGTTACTAATAGGTGATTGGGAAAAATCCAACGAATTTTGAAAGCTTGAAGGCTCCAGGGCTGTGACTCCTAGTAAGTATGGATTACGGACCGTTCCCAGGTAAGTACCTAGGTAGGCTCTGATGCCCGCACTACCAGTATTCTGCATGATGCATACTAGTTTAACGTTCTTGTAGACCGCCAATTTATTCAAGACCCTGTTCAGCTCGTTAAAGAGTGGAGTCTTGCACAGTTATACTAGCAACCTGGACTTCAGCTTTATGAACAGTTTTCTGTTCTATACAAATGCAATCTAGCCAAGGAATACCGAGTCACTATTATTAGTGGCGGTGAGTCTCAACCTTTGGATAAATTCCTGGAATAATTTTAATTTATTTACTTCTATTAGGGGGTAGTGGACACGAACCAACCCATTCAGGCTACATTGGGACAGGAATGCTAGATGCGGCCATTACTGGATCGATAATTGCCTCTCCCATGTGCGCCAAATATACCGCATGCTTGAGCATGCAGCATCCGCAAAGGGCACTCTGATCATCGTTAAAAATTACACTCGGGACAAGCTGAACTTCGGGTTAGCTGCAGAACGCTTTAAAGCCTCTACTGGAAACAATGTCAAAATTGTTCTAGTTGCCGACGATGTATCAGTCGGGCGCTCCCGAGGTATATTGGTCGGTCGGCGCGGCTTAGCAGGTACCGTCCTCATCCACAAGATTGCGGGAGCAGCAACAGAACGAGGGATAGAGCTCGAGGAAATCGCAAGCCTCTGTAGCCTTGTCACGGAAAACATGGGAACTAACGGTGTCTCATTGGGACCATGCAATGTCCCCGGACAAAAGGCTCTGGAAAGACCCCAGCACTGGATTGAGCTTGGAATGGGCATTCATAACGAACCTGCAATTTCGAAATTTCCTCCAGATACCATGATTGATGTGGTCATTGAGAAAATGCTTCACACCATTTTGGATGCCGATAACAAGGAGCACGGATACTTTCCAAATGACACGGGGAAGGAGGGAAACAGCGTTGTTCTGTTAATGAATAATTTAGGTGGTCTGTCAGTAATTGAGATAGGAGCTTTGACTTCGATGGTGACTACTCAATTGAAGACCAGGTACAATATTGTGCCATGTCGAACATATACTGGCGCCTTTTTGACTGCTCTGGATGGACGTGGGTTTAGTATCTCTTTGCTTGACATAGATAGATCCGTCGAGGCTACAACAATACTACTCGGTTTACTTGATGATCAAATCACCGCAAATGAGTGGCCGGGATCGATCCCGGCTAGTGACTGGATGCTATATTCAGAACCGAGATAAGACATGTTCCCATTGGCAACACTGGGACACAGTCTGGCAGAACTGGAAAATATGTCTCTTGTGAGCCCATATATCCATCTATTCAGGTTATCATGACCACAGCATGTTTGCAGGGTAAAGGACTGACGATGCTACACCTGGGAAGGTGATGGGACTATTTCCTCGTAGGTTCTCAGGTCAATTTGGCAGGAAATTATGACCGCGGAGCCTGAAATAACCCGCTATGAATGGTCTGCGGTGATGGAGATTGCGGTACCACTTTTCTCTCCGGTGCAAATGCTATGATGGGGAAAATGGAAAATGGCACTATACCTGTCTCAAACATCGCCAAAGGAATGGAGGTTTTGGCAGAGACTGTAATAGATGCCATGGGCGGTACCTCTGGTGCTATCTATGGCATCTTCTTGTCTGCTTTCGCAGCTGCCATTCTTCAAGGTGAGGAGGAGTCAATGAGCATGAGAATGATGGCAGGTGCTTCTTCGAAAGCTTTATGTACCCTAAAACAATTCACGGGTGCTCGAGTTGGTGATCGTACATTGATGGATGCCTCGATTCCATTTGTGGATGAACTCCAGAGATCAGTCAACTTGAAGGAAGATATCACAGCGTTCGAAGGCGCTGTTGAACAAGCCATCATAGGATGTGACACTACTCGCTCTTTGACTGCCAAATTTGGACGTTCAACTTATGTTAATGATGAACACAATGGTCACTTCAAAAATGGTAACCTTCCTGATCCCAGGGCCTGTGGAGTCGTTGCTGTCTTGACTGAAATAGTCAAAGGAATGAAGAACTAGTTTAGACTTAGTTTACTCTGTTGAACCCGAATGTACTGTGATTTATGCGATATTTGTCTTGAATATTATTTTGATGCCTTTAGTTGCCAGTGGCTTTAGGGGCTCTTTTGTAGAAAACATTTAGGCCAATGCGGGTCAATTTAATTTGAAGTGCCCAGGTGGGCCGTGTCGATGGATTGTCCATCACGAGGCTGATATCTAAATATACCTATGTGATACCCAGGTATATATCTACCTACAGTAGTATGTACAAGCAAACTTTGAATGGTGATAATTTTAGAAAGAATAATCAAGTCATTTATGCCAGTGTTTATAAAATGTGACGAGGGAGAAGATAAAGATAGTGAATTAATATCTAGATATTATATCGTAGTAAGGTCTAAATGCACCCCCGCCAACCCCTTCAAGTTCTCTCTCATATATACACACATCATATAACGCTGATCAAGCCTAACTGAAACCCTGTTTGGGTGCTAACTGGGACAAACTTAAACGAAAGCTCTGAGGACGAGGAAGTGACCTGGGAAGTAAATGTCTGCTGAATCCAGCCACCGACCTTACTTGATGGCGCTTGGAAGGTTTGGCTGTCGGATCCAAGGGTAACAATCATTGACGAGGTTGAAGTGCCCACTCTCCACCAAAATGACACGGTATATGTAATTCCCGAGACGGTGGCCAGTGACTGAGAGAGCGTGTATGTTTGCGGATTATTGCCAACATAATAGAATACATAGGTAGTACCAATTGATGAGCCACTGGCATGCGATATTGCGGCTCCGCTACCTGCGGTCGTCCAGCCAGCGACAGAGAAAGCGTTTGCTACGTCAAAACTTGGATTTTGCACGAGGTTAACCCTATTGATCGCGGTTGCGGTTGCGGTCACAGTTGTGGTGGTAGTCTTCGAGACTTTCTGGGTCACGGTCACGTCGATGGTTGACGTGGTGGATGCGATGTTGGTGATGTCGACTGTGTTGACGACTGTCCTTTGGAGCGTGACTGGTTGAGTGACGGTGACACCGAAGAAAGAAGTTGAAGTAATCGTTGCCACTTCCGTAACGTCTACGGTGGTCGTCGAGGTCTCCGTGATCGTCACGGATGCCGTTTCAGTAGCGGTGACATCAGCAGTTTGGGTAACTGTCTGGCTGGATGTGATATCGACTGTCTCCGTGTTGGTCTGAGTCGTTGTCAGATCAGTCGTGGCAGTGGTTGTGACATCCGCCGTGACAGATTCCGTTACCGAAGCTGTTTCTTCGGAGGTAATATCCAAAGTAGTCAAGATTGTCACATCACTCGTCACAGTGGCAGTGACGAGGTCGGTCTCAGTGGTTGCGATATCTACCGTTATGACCAATTCCGGAGTATCGGTCACAGTCGTAGTAGACAAGGACGTGATTTTTGATGTCCCATGAACGGTCAGCGTACTCGTAATATCGGCAGTGATGGTGTTGGTGACCGTCTTAGTCAAGATACTGGGCGCTCTGTTAGTCACAAAGTCGGTTGTCAACTTTGTGACGTAGACTGTATGGGTTCCAGGAGCGTGGGTGTGAAAGGTGATTGTATTAGTAACCTATTCAATCAATTAGTATATGGTATGCAAGACTCCAGCGAGACCGAGCGTACTGTAGGCTTTGCGACTGTCTTCGTAGTATATGTCGTTGACAGCCACTTCTCATTCCACAGGAAAGAGCATGCGCTTGAAAGATGACTATCGTGAATGTTTCTCAAGGCGGAAGGAGTGGGTAGCGCAGCACGTGCATTGATCTCGTCCCTTTTGACTGGTTCAATAGTTACTACAGCGGTTGCAGTGACAGTAAAACCATCAGTCTCGACGGAGGTGACTGTGGCAGTTATATAATCGGTCTCCGTAGCAGAGAGCGTGTTAGTAGAAGCAATGAAGTCGGTCTGAATAGTAGTCAGAGACTGAGTATCGGTCGTAATCACATCCACCTCTTGAGTGGTTTTAGATGAGATAGTGTCCGTCGCCGTTGCAGTGGCGGTATCCGTAAAAGAAATGGTTGTGGTCTCAGTATGGTAGTTTGTGATAGTGTCAGTTGCGATATCGGTGTAAAGATTGGTGAAATAACTGGTTGCATAGTTTGTGATGAATGATGTACCATAGACTGTCGCATATTTGGTGATCGTATTTGAGAAAGTCTCAGTAGTAGTGTCCGTGAAGAGCTCGAAGATGGTGGCAGTTGTGTCATCAGTAATTGCCTGGGTGACAGTGTTCGTGATAAACTCAGTCACAGGCCTCGTGATTGTTATATAGTCTGCCAAAGTCAGGAAGACGGTGGAAACATCCGCGATTGTAGATGTGGATAGATCTGTGATTGTCAAGGGCACGGTTCGAGTCAAAGTCGATATTGCATGAAGAGTGGTGGTAGCCGGGTACTCCGCAAGTGTCGAGGTGATCCCCCGGGTGGTCGTTCTTGTCACCTCGCGAGAATGACCGGTGATAGTGTCTGTGATTTTGACGGTAGTTGGCATTGGAGTCACCGTCTTAGTTCTGGTGGTAACTTCAGAACCGTGAATGCGTTCGCGACAGAAATGGCGTCCTTCAGGACATTCTTCAATCAAACGAATGATTTCTTTGAAGGGTCCCTCATGCCAATTGGATGACGCCGGCTGGTCATGCTTGACGGGACAAGATTCGCCATGGTTCTTCGCAGGCAGGGCTGCAGTGGTGGCTGCGCATGTCAATGCCAACCATAATGCCGACCTCCACAACATGATGAGTCCTCGCAATTTGACAAGGAGTAAACGATAGGACTGTGAAGAAATCTCGTGCTAGTACTTGATGGGGGATGGCTTTATATGCATATCGACGAGCGTGAGGCCTCCATGGGTCTCACTCGAGTGGAGTAAAGATGGTGGCCGAAAAACCTTCGAACATTCCAGCTTCGGGGGGGACTCTGCCAACTTCCAAGGTCCAAGGTTGAAAGTATACATTTCAAAGCGAGCTGGTAAGCCAATACCATAGGTTCTCAACAAGGCCATAGGCGAAAATGTGCTGGCTTGGAGGAAGCTAGTCTCCAGTCTGGCCAAGCTTCGAGGTGTTCGTCCTAAAAGCAGCCACAGGGGGCGATGGTGTGGCGCACACTAAGGGGCACTATGGAGACCTGGCTGCAGATGGGTCACTTTTCTGGGTCAGGAACCCAACTTGAGGCAACTTGAATGGGAGACGAGGAGGACCCTCCACTAAGGTCGCTTAGATTGGCCGAAAAGGCTAGAAACAAGGCACCTGAGTCTACGGAGTACTCCGTAGGGATCTCCGGAAGGAAGACCTTGCAACTTTACCCCATCCGTTGGATGTCCGACCAGAAAGGAAAACGATTTGTTTTGCCACTCGGCTAGATTCACCTATCCACGTTTTTTTTATCTTCGTTTCCTCATTATACCGCGAATTTGAGAATTTTCATCGGAAGTTAATGCCCAATGAGCAAATTTACTTTTCAACCTCCTTTTGCTTATTACAGTACCTAGTTGAGCATCCCTGATTAGTCACTGACTAATTACCGATCATGGACTAACTAGTTAGTTAGTTAGTCTTCATTCACATGACTCTGCTTAATGACTAACCTTGATTCCGTGCTGACATCTACTCTCTGAACTCCAGAGATCAGTCAATTCAAAGGGATAAAAGGCTCGGGCAGAGTTAGTTTGTTGTGTTGGACCCGAATGCACTGTGGTTTACACGTTTTTGTTCTGAATATGATTCCAACTTGAAGGTTTTCATGCCCCATGGCCTTTACTAGCTGCCAGTGCCTTTAGGGATTACCTTGTAGCAAAGTCGACGGAGATTCCCTCCAATATATTTTCATGCAGGACCTCGGGACTCAGAGATCGTCATGTGCCCAGGTGGGCTAGTAGTATTTCTAGGATCAGTACAATCTTCACATATCGATTTACTAATCTTCTTTCAAGTTCAAGTTTGCTTCAATATTCCCTGAGGCTCCGAATCTACTAGTACTAGTACTACTAGTAGACCCGGATGGATCCGAACTAAATATACCCGCGCTGTCTTCAAGTTCCAAGGTCGGACTCCTTCAAGTTCAAGTTGCCCGGGTGCGCGGCGGTGTGTAGCGCCGTCAAGAAACACCTGACACTGGCAGCTGCACCAACACCTAGGTATCTAAGAAGTAGTATCCTCAATTAGGAGTAAAGTCGTTGTTAGAGTCGTCGTGAAAAACTACTAGTATCTGCCTTATGAATCATCGTGAGAATTTGCCATACAAGTCCCAAAGATGAGGTCGGTACCCAGGTGGCAAGTAACTAACATAAAGCTCTGGTAACTGGTAACCCCCCTAAGTGATGAATTGCTTTTAGCAGAGGAATAATCATATTTTAGTGGAGCATGGAAACCAGGAAGTGGTGCATATATGCGAATATCTAGGAGAGTGAGGCTCAGAAGGCCAGCTGAAGTGTCTAAGGCAATCGTGCCTGAAGCCTACTAGTACTATACCCCATGAGTGCGTTTGTGAATCTTTAAAGTGTATTTACTGATAGTAAACATGATGTATTGACCGTTTTTATTTTTGGATATTTCTTGAGAACGGCCTACAATATGATTAGATTCAGCATGTTCCAATCTACCTTTCGAATCAATCAATCCGTTTACTGGTTGTCATTCGATTACTCGGGTTAAGCAGGAAATAGAAGGGCTACTAGAATATTCATAGTCCTGCTAGTCAATCATTTAAGGCCGGAATATTTGCAGGCTGATTAGGTAGAATTTGCAAGATTGGACGGCCACGGATCACTGCCGTCACGGAGTCGGGCTCCGTCCGATGATGGCACGGGAATCGACAAGACGGCAGAGAAATGTCCACTCGAGGACAGAGGAGGTAGTTTGAGCTCCAGGGCTTGCTCCGCATTCCAAGGGTTTGCCTCCAGATCCCCACATTACCCCCGTGGGGTGATGCTTTCAGGTTTAAGTTCCACTCATGTTAGTGCGTCTGCATGCCGAGCCTGCCAGTGGGCTATTAGGAAATTACTCAATATATAAGGCGGACCTCAGACGCAGGTCTTGATTTTTTCAATTACTGAGCTACTCAGGGACTAGGTGTACCTCGGATTTCCTTGACTGCATTTCCCCCATCCATAGTACTACTGATACTAGTACCCTGCATCAAGTTATTTTCCAAGGCTATCTCTTCTGAAGGAACCTTGGAACCCTTCTCAAGATGTCAAATGAGGCTAAACCTATGGCCGACTTGAAACATGTCGAAGGCTTCGAGCATAATCGGCTGGTCGAAGCCCGGCAAATGAGCCCAGAGGAGCTCCTGGATGCGGAAAAGTCATTGAAAAGAAAGCTTGACATACGTCTCCTTTTTTGTGTTTGGGTGATCTTTGTGCTGAATTATCTCGATCGGGTATGTTATTTAGTTCTGCTGACTTCAAAAGAAGAAGAAGAAGAAGAAGAAAATAGGTATTACCTATATTTGAGACTTAGTACTAACAGTAATTATCTATAGAACAATATCTCAGCAGCAAAAGTTGCGGGTATTTCACACTCGCTCCACATGACTAGTACCCAGTATGCTACAGCTGTGGCAATTCTATTTGCTGGGTATGTCTTGATGCAAATCCCGTCAAATATTTTCCTTACCCAAATTCGACCATCGATCTATATTCCATGTGTTATGGCTATCTGGGGTCTACTGTCTGCTCTTGTTGGAGTCGTTCATAATTATTCTGGGTTATACGCTCTCCGCTTCCTATTGGGATTTGTTGAAGCGGCATTTTATCGTGAGCTCCCTCATCTACATCTTCACAGAGCCGACCTGAGCCATCACTAACCTCTAGAAAGCTGGTGCACTGTTTCTCATCTCTTCATGGTATAAACGAAAGGAAATGGGCGTGCGTAGCGCAATTCTATTCTCCGGATCCCAGCTTGGGAGTGCTTTCTCGGGCTTGATTGCTGCTGGTATCCAGGACGGAATGGACGGTGTTAGAGGCCTCGAATCATGGCGATGGATCTTCATAATAGAGGGATCCATTACAGTTTTCATTGCACTTTGTGCCGTATTCATCCTCCCTGACTGGCCTAGCAACACCCGCTGGCTGACCCCCAAAGAGAGAGCGGTTGCCGAATGGCGTCTTATTTCAGATGCTGGGCAGATCGATGAAGACGATGGAAACTGGAGCTACGGATTCAAGAGAACCTTCGCTGATTGGAGGATTTACATATTTGCCTTGACTTTCCTGTTCATTCAGGTTGCCAGTGCAACATCTAATTTCTTCCCTGCCGTGGTCCAGACGCTCGGGTTTGGTCGAGTCAATACGCTTCTCTTGACAGTTCCGCCTTATATTGTTTCCCTGGTAGTGACGATTCTCAACAACTTGTCAGCCGACAGACTTGAGAACTCTTCTTTCCACGTTATGTGGCCGTTAGTAACTGCAATTGTTGGGTTTGTCATCGCTGCTGCGTCGATCAACACCGGTGCTCGTTACTTCGCAATGATCCTCATGGTAGCTGGTGGCCATGGGGCTAACGCAGTTCTCGTTGCCTGGACACAAAAAACCATGCTTCGCCCCCGTATCAAGCGGGCAGCATCGGTTGCTTTCGTTAACTCTCTTGGTAATTGCGCACAAGTAAGTTGAACTCCGTTTGGCCTCGAGACTCTTCTTTCATTTGATATCTGGCAGTGACTAACAGTTATGTCCCATAGATATTTTCGTCCTATCTTTATCCCGACAGCAGCGCTCCTCGTTACGTGCTGGCCATGTCGGTTAATTCGGCATTCTGTTTAGGCGCAATTGCTCTCACTTCCTTCATGCGCTTGGTACTCCTTCGAGCTAATAAGCGACTGAAGAATGGAGAGACTACGGTCGCACAGGAAATGAAGGGTGAGAGTCAGGCTGAGGTCCCTGGTCTCGAGGAAAGTGAACGTACTACACGCCGTGAAAATTTCAGATTCATTGCGTAGTTGGGTGCAGCTCCCTATCTTCTTCTTCAGTAACTATTTGAGCCAGGCAAGTAGACTTTGCTTAGTTTACTCTACAAGTCGGAATAGTATCTCGGTGAATGCTTCGGGGACTTACAACTCTCTGAATATGATCATTCTGTGATTGAAATAGTAACAAGTGACAAATTTGTCAATCTAAGTCAGAACCTTTGTGTCCGAAGTTTTTTTCGGTCACTCAACGCAACAATAACACTGGAACCGACGTATTGGTATACCTTAATATAAATCTACCTACCTAGGTAGGTACCTAGGTATCGAATTACTACCACCACCACCACCACCACCACCACTACTACTACTACTACTACTACTACTACTACTACTACTACTACTACTACTACTACTACTACTACTACTACTACTACTACTACTACTACTACTACTACTACTACTACCGTAATCCAAATCTAAACTACCTAGTAGGTACAAGTCCTGAAATACCCACTTGGGCAAGTCTAATTATTTGAAGTGAACATCTCACTACCAATCTCAACGACCACGATACTCTTTGAAAACATCCTGCACCGATCGACCAGCCTTGATGCCCTCCGCACACTTTCTATCAGCTTCCGCAATTGCAGGAATCGCCTCAAGAGCTTCCTCGGCAAGGCTCTGTGGGAGACGAACAACACCGTCTGCATCTGCTATAATGTAATCCCCTGGATTGATCCATGCATCTTGGTTCTCGGAATGAAGACGCACTGGCACATTCACCTCCGAGGGTCGGCAGACCTCGCCCCCTGCAGTAGTACCAACAGATTTGGCAAATAGAGGGAACCCAAGAGATCGATGCTCATTGATATCACGGACTCGACCATCAATGACTACACCAGCCGCACCAAGCGCTTGGGCACGTAGGGTCATCAGTCCACCATAAACTGCGTTCACCTGGGGTAGAGGCTGGGAGATGAAAACTACACTGCCAGCGGGGATTTGATCAATCTTGAGAGATTGTTAGTATATTTCTTGGCCTGGTGAGTCTCTGAACTTACGTAATTTCCTTGAAGCTTTGGTGATGCCTCGTCTGATTGGGGGACAAATTTGACAGTGAATGCTCGACCCACAATCTTAGTTTCGCCGGCTTGGAACTCTGGTGAATACATGGTCAACCCCTCAAGAAAGCCTCCATTGGGGCACTTGAGCTTTGAAAGACCATCTGCTACCTATTAAGGTGATTAAGATCATCGGTCAGAATGGCTCCCATGTACGATTCCGGAACTACTGTTCTAACTTACATCGCAGGCGCCCCATTCTTGCAGGCGTTCAATAATAGTAACTGGATCGGCGGGCATTTTGATAAGTTTGCAGTGAGTTGTAACTTGAAGAAGTAATGAAACGGAACAGGGCTTGTGACCTATATGTCTCAACTTTGAATGTAAGTGGTCAACGGGTACCTAGCATGCCACGGGAGGAACGGCAATTCGAGGGGAAGTTAGCGTTGTGGGACTGTCGGATGGAAGCCGCCCGAGCTTCGCCTGTTAGCCGACGACATGAAGAAGGCCGGACCGAGAGACCGTGAAACCTTGGAAGACCGTGGCCCGATGTACACTCAACAGAGAAGCGACAATGCAGATTAAGCTTTGCTATCATAAATAGCTATCTTGGTATGTAAGGAGGGCAACCGTACGTCGTCAGCTTTCTATTGGCAAGCAGCAATCGTGATTGTTTTTCCGTGAGATACTAGTACATCTACAGGGAGACCATAGTGGGTGATGAATTTCATACTAAGGGAATAATATGCTAAGACATCTTCATAAAAAAGACACTTCTATACCATGGACACCGGAAGAGACGGATCTTCTCTTAAGAGAGTCCCAGTTGCTGCATGGGACACTCATCACCATATCTTCGAGCCAGATCGCTTCCCCTTCGCTGAAGGTCGACATTTCACTCCCTCTCGGGCATCTTTTGAGCAGCTGAAGAGTTTCGAAGAGTCGATTGGGGTAGAGCATGTTTGCATCGCCCATGGTTTTTCCTATGGTGCAGATTGCACCTCGCTGCTTTATTATTTAGAGCGCTTCGCTGGTCATGCGCGAGGAATCTGTGTCTTGGATCTTGATACTGTAACAAATGAGTTACTTGATCAGTATCACACGGCTGGTGTTCGTTCCATTCGTCTAGACTTTTTCCGCCACAATGCCATTGACAGCGTTGATGTGCAAGCTCGTCTGATGAAACAGACAGCTGAGCGGTTAGTTCAGTGGGGAAAGCCTGGTTGGAGCATTCAAATTCAGCAACCCCATCTTGACTTCTGGCCTCGCCTAAGCGAAGTGATTCGACAAAGTCCAATCCCAGTCGTTGTGGATCACTTCGCCCTCGTTCCAGCGAGCAGCTATCGACTCAATGACGACACTGCGAATATTCAATCTGACTCTTTCCTCAGTGTGGATGAGCGACTTGGACTTGACGCACTCTGTCAAAGTCTTTCAGGGGGTAATTTATGGATCAAAATTTCCGCCCCATACCGAGGCTCGAACCTTGCTCCTGAATACTCTGATTTAGAGTGGCTCGTGCGCCGTCTTGTCCATGCCAATCCAAGAAGAGTACTATGGGGAAGTGATTGGCCCCATACGCAGCGTCATAAAGACCGGATTGGAAAGAGCGCAACAAGTGAAGAATCATTCTTGCAGATTGATAATAAGGCGTGGATTGAATCACTGAGTCGTTGGATGTCCGAAGAAGAATGGAGGCTGATGTGGGTCGAGAATCCCGCCACGCTGTATGATTATCCGATTCAAAAGTAATTCACTTGGATCAGATAATTTCATTACTGCTTTCATTACTCATCTCAGGTCTATAGGACCCCCAAATTAAGGCTGGTTGCTATTGTCTGTAAAGTCTTCCAACCAGCCCAGATCAAACAGATCCCGCAGGATCCCAAGCTCATCAATAAGGGCGTTCCCTCCGCCAGGCAAAGCCATATTGCCAGCGGATCTATCAAAATCCGCATCTGTGGTCGGAGCGATCCCGAGGTTTCCATCTGGCCATTCTCCGAAATTAGTAGCCTGTGGATCTCCCAAGCCTTCGTAGAGATCTTTCGTGGATTTGATGAGTCTCTCTAACTTGCCACTTGCTTTTAGTGCCACTGACCAGGACCTACCCAGTATTGTGAGTAGTTGGTGAGCCTGTTCAACGCGATTCATACAAGCATCCAATGAGTCATTTCCTCGACAAAGCGGACAGGACCATAAGTAGTAGATCACGGTAATTGAAGCAACAAAAATAGTATGTGCTGTAAGCCAAGAGAAATCCATATTCGAAAATCTCTGTAGCTCGGCATAGGTGGCGATAATTGACATTGCGCTTGTAAAGCTTGCTTGAGTGGCGTCGAAGCTTGGATGCGGATTCTGTGGACTTGGACGATTGAGAAGCATAATACATTGGTGGTACTTCAGTTCAAGTCGCTGAAGCGCAACCCCGAGAGTGCATTAGCAGAGCCAATGATATGATTTTGTTGATGGTTCTGGGCTTCTTCCAATAACGCAACGCAGGAATTCTGGGCTTCCTTCCGCCATGAGCTCAAGTCTTGGGGCCAGGGAAACCTCTTCGGTGAACGCGAAACTCGATAGAGCATCAGCTTGATTTCTGCAATGATACGATCAAAACGAAGAGAGTAGATGAATGCAGTATAAGGTTCTGGCGCTGATACCGAGCCTTGGCTGGCCGTATTTGTTGATTGCCATTCCGTCGCTCCTGATTCTACCTCTAAGTTGCCATCAAATCCCGGGAATCCACGGTCAATAGCCTCATCTCTAAGGGTGAGAGGACGACCAAGAACAACGGTAAGAGTTCGATCCATAGAGTAGGCAGACCAGAAGATTGCGCTTCTGAGATGTCGAATCTTACGTTGGTTCGGCGTGTCATTCTCCCAGTTATCTAGAATTTTGTCAGCAAATTCAAATGAGATCATAATAATGTTGCGAAGAATCGAGAAACGAACAGTTGTCTTGCCGTTGTAGCCCCAGGTCCAAGCAGCTCGCGATGATGGTATGCACTAGGTACCACGCATTCAACCCTTCTGGGCAAAATAAACTATGTTGTGCCAGCAGTAGAAGAATTTGAACACCTTCTATGCTTTCGTGTAGGTTCATTTTTGAGGCGAATTTCATGCCCTTGCCAAATAAATCCTGAGATGGAAAAGTGTTTCCCAGCTTGTATTCCAGGAACCTGGCACCAAGAGACAGGACCAAATAGACCTGTGCAAGTGCAATAGTCAACGGAAGGCGGCAACCCCACACTGACGTCTTGCTAAATTGAAACACTTGTTTGGATAGCACATGAAACTCCTCTTGTGAGATAAAAGGATAAAATGTTGACATGCCGAAATAGACTTCCGCATATTGTTGGTACTCAGCCATCGATGGGAGCTCAACACGCGGAAAGTCGTTGTTCCCATATTGCTGGGCCGTCTCACCGCTGGCCTGTTCATTCTCTCCACACCGTGCATACGATAAGGGTAGTCCTTGGGACTGAGGTACGCTTTCGTAAATCAACCGGGCAAAGGTGACGCCGGAGGATGGTCCCAAGTATTTGGGATCAAGCGCATTACCCAGAGATAAAAGACCCACTTCATGTACAATAGGCTGGTCACGCGTTATTTGGCTAGAGCTCGATCCTGCTGGGGATGGTACGGCTGCCTCGTTGATTAAACTGTTGCTCCTAGGGCCGTTGACCAATGGGGGCTGCATTCGGTCTATACCGAAGTGCTGAACAGCCGACGGGGAGAATTCAGAGTACTGAGGTAGCCCTGGTCTTTGTCGCTCTGCATGCTGATGCATATCAGGGGCTCCATAATTTGGCTGCTGGGGGGGGCTGCTGGAATTGAGATTCGGGGCCGCGAGTCTCGGTCAAAGTCGCCGATTGGGATCTTGTCCTAGCGGAATTCAGGCACGGCTCGCTGGAAACTGTATTTAGTGAAGCTTGGCCGTTCTCCAGTTCTCGTACCCTATTTTCGAGATAATGAACTCGACTGGGAGTCCATATCAGATCAGTAACAGATCGGGAGACCAGTCGTAAGACTGGACAACATGGCACGATCGACTAGGAATTGACCTACTTTCGGGATATTGCTGAATCGGACCTTCCCTCGAAACATTCCGCCCCCGCTCGGGTACAGTTGGAGCAAGCTGGAGAAGCTCCGTCACAACGTACCTTGCGCCGCCGGCATCGCAAACATGCGAGGGGACGGCGTCGAGCAGGCGACCCAGCAGACCTGGCAACTGCCGAATCCGACATATGACGAGAATCCTGATAGCTAATGCGATAACACGCTATGGTTATTTTACTGCACGGAGTTCATAAATGTCGTGTCGTCGTGGACAAGTTGATGAGCATTGTAGGTGAGAGAGGACGACGGATGTTGCCGACCGCCCTCGGCTGTTCCCCGTGGCTTCCGGGCCGATCTTCAGATAGGCCTATTCGGGCCTTTGGAATAAACAAACAGGGACGCGAATCCTATGAAATATAGGTAATCTTAGCCCCCAAAATCATCCCTGGGCCTTTTCTTTCCATCATCCACTGGATAAGTGCCGAAAACATTCCATCAGAGTGAAGGTCGCATCATCCATCTCATTCCATGTACCCGCCATTTTTGATCATTCCCTACAAAACTACCAATTCTTAAAAGAAATGACTATCGTTCATATGGGTAACTTGTTGATACCTATTTCTATTATTAAGAAACAGTCGACTAATGGATGAAAAGTGATGTTCAAATTTCGCCCTGAGGTCACCCAGGAGCACAAAGATACCTTTGTTCGGGAGCTGAAGACGCTCAAGAACTTGGATTGCGTGAAAGGTCACCGGTTGGTCGTCGGAGGGCCCTCTTTGACCGATCCAATTGAAAGAAGCAAAGGTTTTGAAATCGCCTTGTTGAGTCTTCATGAGAATCTAGGAGAGCTAGAAAAGTATCAAGCTAGCAAGGAGCACCACAGGTTCGAACCCCAACTTCGTTTCGGTATGTATTATTATTTCAGCTGCTAACATTATGACCAGGGTAACAAGCACATACATGTTTCCCTATAAAGAAGACCTGGTGCGGTACGACTTTGAAGTTGGCGCGGAGGATGAATGGATGTGGAATTTCCCTGCTAATGAAGTCGACGGCGCCAATGGCATCAATGGCACGAACGGCGTGAGCAACAACTATCAATAACTTCGTGTATCATCAGTATACGTTATAGACACCTTGAACTTGAAACAAATGTAGAGAGGCTTCGCATTTATTTTGAATTCTCGAATTCCTTCCACAAGTAGTTAGCAGCAATTGAGGTTGCTGGACTTATCACCAATACTGACACGATCTCGAGTCTCCTGATCTATGACTATAGTATACCTTGGCTAGTAATTCATTCTCATGCATGGTTGAATTCTAAATTGACTCAGTTCTGATAATCTACCTGATTTTTCCAAAAGTCCATTTAGGTAATATGACACTCTGCTAATCAAATCCAAACACAATTTTCATTTGCCTAGAAAGGGCTACGATATGCACGGAATTTACTCAGCTGTGTAGCACAGGCTAGAATATTCTGAAGAAGAGTACCGTAGTCCCAGCCCATCGCAGACGCTGCCATTGCAGTCAAGCTCGCTTGGTCCTCTCGTCCGGGTCGCCCTGGGCCAGTCATATTCTAATAATTGGTTAGCTCAATTTTCTATGAAATATCTTTTCTGTTTTCGGGATTTAGACTAACGGGTTTCATATTAATGTCGAATAGAGCGAATTCGGAGGCTTCGTGGAATCTTCTCACGTCGATCCGAATGGGCGCAGTAGCTCCAATCAGTGCTGCGACCTTAACTCCTTCATCCATGATTTTGCGGTAAGCAGGATCTTCCATGTCCTTGTCGGTGACAACACGGGAGTTAGCCACCACAGCTACTACGCCATTGTACGGTGCGATGCCATCCATGTGGTTAAACCTCGAGACTGGAAGCATACTCCAATATTCTGGTCGTCCGGGTGATGGAGGCATAATAGTCAGAGTGGCCTCTTCACCTGCGAGATACTCCTCAACCATAACGACCGGTGACTCGTCGATCAACTGGAGAATGTGCTCTTTTAATTCCACTGGATTTTCACAAAGTTTGACGCCGTGGCTTCCGCGACCACGGATTGGCTTTCCGACAACGGGAAATCGGTCAATTGATCCAACGACCTCATCAATATTGTACAAGCCTTGTACAAGCCACGAACGGGGCAGAGTATAGCCACCCATCTCTCTTAGCTTGCCATTTAGGTAGGCCTTGTCATCGAAATTCTGAACCATTGCCGGAGGTTGGCCAACGACGTAGAGATCAGATGCGTGTGGGGACAGCTTTTCGGACTTTTCTAAGGGGTGCGAATCGAATAGGATAGTGTTTGCCCAAAGATGTGTCGCCCCTTTGTCCAAGGCGGAGCAAATGCCTTCCTCACTATCAGAGAAACACCAATCCTCATTTTTATAAACATCTGGCGAATTGGCTGGAGTGATTACGCCCAATCCCTTTGACTGGAGCGTATACGCAATATCAGCGCCAGAATCTTGATAGCCTAAATCCATTTAATCAGCACCCATTTATATCCTTCGTCATGGCTGGTCTTCTAGCTTGCTTACCACCTGGCTTTCTGGGCTTTCTAACACCATTGATTACTGGTGGCTCGATATCTTGGAACAGCACAGACACTGCTGGAGCGCGAAATGACTGGCTGTAGAAACGGCGACCCGCAAGGCGCATGAGCTGGCCGACACGCGCATATCCCGTGGGCACCGAAAGCGGCATATCGAGATTTGTAGTGACAGAACAACAGTAGAAGAGTGAGGAGGCGGTCGAGATAACTCAGAGTCGGAGAATGCAGACTGTGTGAAACAATTCAGGCCATGTTTCCCTTGCCAGGCGAAATCGTTGTAGATGGAGGCCCGCGTCGGCGTCGGCCCGAGCCCGTGTCCTAAACTCCGCAATCAGGACCCTCGGCTACGACCCGAACTTTCGGTGGCTAACCGCGCACCGGTCTCGGTGGTGAGCTTCGCATAAAGTAATTAAGGACCAGCTTCACAGCTGTCAAGGATTGAATTCCAAGGTTTTCACAGTCAATCTCATCCAAGTATATTTTGAATTTCAGGATTCACGATGGCCTCATCTGTGAGATGTCGCTAAATACCCAAGCTAGGGATTCTATATGCTGAGACCGGATATAGGCTCGTTACTACGCCGATCCTTCGGCAGCAACCAAGTTTGCTACGGAGCTCCTTGAGAAATGCGGACTTTCCTCGGAAGATGCCAAGTCCATGGCAAAATGCCTAGTATTGGCAGACGTTCGTGGCGTAGTAAGTCCCGTGCGTTCTTAGCTCCCAGGATGATCTGCGTCTGATAAAACTACCCACCAGGACACTCACGGCCTAGCCCGACTACCTCAATACTTGGACCGTGTTAGCAATGGCCGCGTCAATGCAAAGCCTAATTTCAAGTTGACAGAAAAAACGCCCGTGGTCGCTCACCTAGATGGCGACAACGGCTTCGGCTTTGTAGTCGCCACTCGGGCCATGGAAGAAGCTGCGAAGCGTGCTGAGATCTATGGTATCGGGATGGTTACCGCAAACCACTCCAACCACTTCGGCATGGCTGCCACATATGTTCTCCAGGCACTCGAAAAGGATATGATTTCTTTGGTCTTTACCAACTCCGCCAAGCAGATGCCTCCATTCGGTGGCAAGGAGACGTTACTGGGAATTTCGCCATTCGCAGCCGGCGCCCCGTCAAACACCGAAGTCCCTTATATCCTGGACATGGCTCCGTCAGTCGTGGCAAAGGGCAAGATTCGAAAGGCTGCTCGTCGTGGTGAGTCTATTCCTCTCGGGTGGGCCTTGGACGCAGAGGGAAACCCTACGACCGACGCGGAGGTCGCGTTGAATGGCAGCATGGCCCCGATCGGTGGCCCGAAGGGCTCGGGTATCGCGATCCTCATGGATATCATGTCGGGTGTACTTGGTGGTGCAGCCTTCGGTGGTGAGGTCGGTGATCAGTATAAGGACACCAAACCCCAGGATGTTGGTCATTGCTTTATCGCTATCAAGCCCGATGTCTTCCTCTCCACCGATGACTTCAAGGCTCGCATGGATACTCTGGTCAAACGTGTGCACAGCGCGACTCCTGCTCCAGGCTTCGACGAGGTACTCTTCCCGGGTGAACCAGAGCACCGTCTTGGCGTTCAGCGCCATCGGGAGGGTATTCCATATGCAGAAGCTGAGAAAGAAATGTTTGTTGACACTGCTAGGTCATATGGGATCGCAGAGCTGGTACTTTCGGCTGCTCCGCTGTCTCTTAACTAAAAGTGGTTCGGGTTGCATCAAGGCTGAATTTCTTCATTGATGGCCGTTTGTTGTAAATATATGACTCTAGAATGAAAGAAAGATTACCTAGGTAGTAATAAAGACCAACTTGAACGATCGTATTACTAGTATTCCAGTTCCAATGTTATTGAGAGAGTCCCCATGGAAAGTACCTTGCTATTAAATTATCCATGTGGGTTTTGATTACTATTTCTCTGGCCTCCAGCCAAGTTTAAAACCATACAAGATTCTATTATCACATACATAGTTGCGTGGGGCGGGATGAGTTGGGGATCGGCGCGAATGCCGAGCCTGCTATCCCAGGGTGTCTATGAGCGAGCTTGTTTTTGAAAATAAGTTGGTAGATCGAATTCAAGATCTTAGGAACTGAGATGAAAAGCAATCCTGTGCTCAAAGCCCTAGTATGCATCTTTTCCTCCTAAAAAATGCACTTGTTACTGGTAGAATCTGACTACCTACCTATCTCCGCTCGGCTTGATACACCGAGCATCTCGGGGACCCCATCCGACAATTATAAATACCGAACTTCTCCAAACCAGCGTCATTTTCCAGATTCAAATATCGCAAATTCACTTATAACCTTCTCCTCCGACCAATCTTCCAAAAATGTCTTCACCGGAGCAGACAGCAGCATTCATTGGATGCGGTAAGCAAACACAACCCTGCATTACATCGAGTTTGACTCACAAAGCGAAAAAGGTAACATGGGAGGCGCCATTCTCCATGGAGTTCTTAATGCCGCATTCTCTCAATCTACCTCAAGCACCGAGTCATCGAATGGCCGCCCAGTGTCTCGCTTCATTGCTTGCACAAAAACGGCTTCGTCTGCGGAGCGCTTGCAGGCATCTTTGCCAGCAGAGCAGCAGCCCCATGTGGAAGTCACATCGTCGCAAGCAGTGCCGATAGATATCATGAAACGAGCAGATGTAGTTGTCCTGGGTTTCAAGCCTTTCATGGCTGAGGATGTTCTCGGCTCGAAGGGTGTCCGTGAAGCGCTGGCCGGGAAACTGGTGATCAGCCTGTTGGCGGGGCAGACACCTCAAGACCTGACCCGAATGATTCGTGAGGGCACATCTGGATCATTCGCCGATCCGGTCGTCGTTAAGGTTATCCCCAATATGGGCGCGCAATTTGGCGAGTCCATGACTATCATCGAGACTCCCGAGGAGCCTATCCCTGCACAGATGACCGAGATCGTGGACTGGATGTTCACCAAGGTTGGCGCGATCAAGTATTTGCCTCCGAGTCAAATGGACCTCGGATCTGTTCTGGTCGGGGCAGCTCTGGCGACTCTGACCATTCCCATTGAGGGAATCCTGGATGGATGTGTGGCGGAGGGACTCAAGCGACCTGATGCCATGGAGCTTGTATTGAAGGGAATTCGAGGTCTCTCAGCGGCACTTGAGTCTGGTATCCACCCTGCAGCTCTGAGGGAAAGTATCTCATCTCCTCGAGGGTGTACAATTCGGGCGCTTTTGGCTCTTGAAAGAGCGGGAAGTCGGGCTGATTACGCCGATGCTATTATTCAGGGCACTGAGCACTTGAAAATGATGAATAAATAGACATGTTCTAGGAGTGGAATTATGGTCAAATAATACTATAGCATCTAGAAATAGAGGGATAATGTGGGGTCAATCAAGAATGAGGCTATTCCCGGCAATCCGGATGCCCTACAATCACCTGACTTCTCTTTAATTCAACCTCAACCTCAAGAATAACGTCTTGATGCCTCTTTCCAAGCCCACTTCTGTAATATCAACTCATCACACTACTGCAAGTGGACCGTGCCACTCTGCCAAGCCCCACGATTGTGATGGACGATCTACGGCCGCTGACTGGTTCCCCACGGGTGACGATCGTGCAGGTGGGCGCGTAATTACCACCAACGACAGGCTTAACCCACTGCCTTTTCACCTGAAGCCCCAACATTGCCTTCACCTCGTCACACTCGATGGCTCACGTCTTATACCAGGCCCCTCCCTCTCCTGCCGCCTCGTCACCTTTGAAGCACAAGGCGCCCTTTCTCCCCCAAGATTCGTGCTTCGCCATGCCGATCAACCCAAAGTGACCCAAAGTGACTGCATCTGCCCTTAAAGTTGATCCCTCATTCCCCGCTGTGATTTTTTAAAGTCAAGTCACATCCAGGGTCCCTGAAATGTCTTCCCTGGTTGCCTCCTGGCCTTCTGCGTCTCCCCTGCTGTTCGTCTACTTTGTTCTTCCGGTCTCTGGACACAGCACCGTTCACACAAAACGCTCAGGCAGTGTCAATGACAGGCCACCTATAGACAAGGCACTTTTAGGAATTCAGGTCGGCAGTATTTGTGCTGCCTATGTGATCTTTGTTGCTGCCCTCCTTGGTTTACTGCTCCTGGTCGGACGGCGACTACGACGGACTGTTCAGTCCTCAAACTATTCGCTGCAGATGCAAATGCTGAAGCCGGTGAAGCAACCTGTCAGCTTAGACCCTAGTCCAATATCTCCCGCCTCGCACATCCTACCCAGTCCCACATTCGCCCACCACCACACTTCTTCGTGGGGAAGCACCCAGCGTGGAAACAGACCCTCGCAGACTTCCGTGAACGGCAGCATGGTTACCATCGATGAATCTGTGGTCGCTTCGGACCGGCAAAGGGCCCAGGACCAGATGGAGATGTTATATGCTGCAGTTATGGAGCATGATGCCCAAAAGGCTTCCGGCGTCGATGTCTCTGTTCGAGATCGAGACTCCCAGAGCCAATCCCCAGACAGCCAATATACCAATCCTTTCACCGATCGACATGCCTCGTATGCCACAGAGCAGCCGCCCATGCCACCGCTGAAGTCTCCCAAATCTCCCAGATTTTCAAATGGTTCGCGTTTATCCAAGCTGTTTAGCTCCAATGCTCGAGCGAACCCGGACGGTGGAAAACTGAAATCCCCAAAGCTTCCTCTTCGAAAGTTGGGAATATCATCACCACTTGCCTCTCCCGGCCCACAACCCCCCCCAAACATATACACATGAGGCACCACCTTTGTCTCCACGATTTTATAACCCTGGACCGCCGCCAATGGCTCCCCGAGCACCCCCTGCCTCGGCGATTGGACATGGCCTGCCCCCTTCAGGTCGTGCCCGGCCACCAGCCCCACTGAACCTCACTACTGCATCTCCCTATGCACAGTCTTCGCAGAATTCGCTTCCTTTCCGTGAAGCCTATCCTCTGCAGAGTGCCCCAGCTACCAAGACGACAATCTTGGAACGTCCTACTAAGAATCGCACTGGGCCGATCACAGGCGTTCCGACTCCATATAGTGCATACATGCCTTTCACGCCTGTGACACCATTCACGCCAGGCCGGACTGTTAACAAGCGACAGCGGAAGCGAGAGGAGAAAGAGAATGGACTGCGAGCTTTGAACGAAGACGACTTGGTGAAGGACGATACTGACATGTGGTGACACGTACTTCTAATGTATTCAAATTGTTTGTTTTCATCGACACAGCTTCTTTGTCGCAAGTGTGATATATTTAATCTGTAAACGCCCTGGCGGCTATACAGATTCATTAAATTCAAATGTTCAAGGTTCATAAGAGACCTCAGGATTAAAATGAAACTTTACCCTCATGACTGTCCCGGGTACTTCTTTCCTAGGAGATACTCACCCTCAATCACCCTAAGTTACTCTTTCTTCCGTCTTCCTTCCCTTCCTCCCCATTCCCAGCACCTTCCACGCTTCCAATGGCATTCCATCTTCTTCCAAGGTTTCTTCTTCAACTTCACCATTACCTTCCTCTTCATCTTCCCCTCCTCATCCCTCAATCCATACTCACTTCACTGCATCCACATCCACAGCCACATCCAGTCCGCATCATTCGATTTGATCTCTTATTTCATGGGCCACAACGTTTCCTCAGTACACGGTGTCAAATCATCCGACTTCTATACCCCCGGTAACGCTGTCAACGAGATTTGGGTCGATAACGTCGAACTCATTTCTCGCCTGCCCTTCGGTGACTCCGATTTGGGACAAGCTGGTTGGCCTGCGCATGACTGGCCGAAGATTCCGTGGCACAATTTCATTATCCCACTCAAACGAGACCTCGAAGGTATCCAGAATCCCATCGTGGACGAAAACTTGAACATGAGTCTTCTCCATATTATTCCCGACAGCTGCGCCACGCCTTTGATCCTTGGTATTGATAACGTCTGGGCGCCTCTCCTCTTCATGACTGGTATTACGATAATCGGGTCTGGGTTCGTGCTGCTGCTTGCAGTGGCTTCCGAAGTCATGGATATACATCAACTACTGCGCAGATCCGATCGCCTTCCTCTTCGGATGGTTCCACAACTCCGTCAGCCACGAAACGTCCGAAGATGGGCGCGAGATTATCTCAAGCCGTTCGTCTATGATATCTTGGCTGTGATCATTTCAATGGGTTTGGGGTTTCCTATAGCCGTCTCATCAGCACGCTGTCTCGACCCGCTCTTCACCTTTTCTGTCATTATGATCTCACAAGCGGTTTTCCTCTTGAGTTTCTTCGGCTTTTGCTTGTTTTGTTTCAATCGCACTGTCAAGAAGGCTGCCACAAGAAACGACGGAGATGAGCAAGATCAGGCCGCGGAAACTAGATTAGCCCAGTTGGAAATTGATGTACAAATCGCCACAACTATCACGACCATCGATCAGCCGCCAAGTGCTTCTGTGGATTTTGACAAGGCCGTGGAGTCGAATCCCCTCTAAGGGCAAGCTTCTGATGGTTCAGGATTATCTCTTTGCCTTCAAAGAATCGAGCATTTGTGATTTGGATGTGTCCAATGTATGCTATTCTTACTCTTGATTCTACTTGTTCGAGGAGAGATCATTCCCCGATGCGGGTTTTTCGTATTTCCTTCGGTCTTTTTGTTTCCTTCGGTCTTTTTGTTTCCTTCGGTCTTTTTGTTGGCGAGCATTCCATACCAACGGTGATGTACTACATCCGAGTTCCAAATGGAATAGCTCTAGTCGATTTTGGGATCCTTCTCATTGCTCCATTAACGCACCGGGTAAGTAATGACAAACCACAAGGTAGATATCTCTGTTTGTCGTCGATCATTCTTTTTCCAAGTTTGCGTACCATATGGGTAGTAGTAGCCCTTGATTATTGTTTCTATTTATGGAAGGTACTAGTAGTATATACAGAAGCTGACCAGTCTATGAGACATACACGCTGATACTTGTAACACAAGCGCAGCTTTCATGATTCCTATTTTTTCTCTTTCGAGAATAGATCCCTCCACATTTCCTTCATTCCATATGCCTTCCCTCCATCTTCCTCATAGATCTGAGCCGTTTGTCCAGTTCCAAGGGAGCCAAACATACTTGATGAGGATCCACCCATACTTATTGGACTGTGTGCCCTTTCTGTAGCCCGGCGACGGATCTCTTCGGCTAGTTGCGGTGCAACTTCATTGAAGCATGCATTCAGCTCGCGGTCCAAGTTGATGTATGGTTTCTGAGCCGAGCGTGGCGCTTGGAGGTTATAGGAGCGGGCGATGGCGTTTATATGCTTCACGGCAACTTCGTGATAAGAGCGTTCGTTATTAAAGTATGTCTGGTCTCGTAAAGGTGGAAGATGGGGGGGTATCTTTAGTCGCGTTGTCGTCACCAATGCCAGATTCGAGAGCGACTTCGGGCGCTTCGGTTTTCGACACAATACGACCATCGGGAGCAATCTCTGAGATGATAGCCTCTTCACTGGTATTCCTCAGCGATGCCTCCAGCCTCGCTTGCTCCTTTAAACGGACTTCTGCTGCTGCATGTCCTCTCGCACGGTTCATCTGCGCCTCTAGGGACCCGCCCTGGCTTGCAATCAACCTTGCAGCATGCCGCCTCCAATCAGCACGAAGACGTTGTCGAAATCGATTGATCTCCATCGAAAGTTCTTGCTGTTTCTCAATCCAGGGCGGAACGATTTCTTGCTTCTGGATAATCTTGTTCATGAAATACTCTGTCGTATCGATGAAGGCCGAGTTCGCATTATGATCCGTCTCTGTATTCACTCCTTTCCCGCGCTTAATTTTCTGGAATTGGCCGCGTGCAATTGCATCTTCGATTCGTTCATTCGCAAGCGAGGCCAGGCCCTGGATAGAGATGGGCATGGAGTGCGCGCCGGGCGTCAGCTTCTCCCTCATTTCCCGGCGCATTTCCTCGCGCTGTTCATCTGAAAATCCAGGCGCCTGGCTCAGTGCGTATGTAGATGTACGGTCTTTCGCGTGGGCAAGCCGTTCGCGGGGGTATGCTTCGGTTTGGGAGCCGGTTTGAGATCGACGGGTTGGGGGATCTTGTATGGGGTGCGAATCGGTTTGCTAGCATCGTCCAGCATGCGTAGGGCGGAGTCATGAAGGGTTTCGGTTCCTGTCCATGCTTGAGCTGCTGCTGTCTCTCGAGTTCCTTGGCCTGCACTCGCCTGTGGGTTGAGTATACAAATCAGTCACACTGGCCCATGATACCCCATGATAGTAGTCCAATACTGACCGGCATGTCCAGAATAGAGTGAGCAGCAGCATGTTCGCTCTTGAAAGACGAAGCAAGCACTCTTTCCTCCAACTGTCTCTTCAGATCTTCTGAGAATCCCGCGTTCTCTATGTTACGTCGCGCGGACCGGCCGCCCTCTAGCATTGCGTCTTCGGTCATCTGGGACAGCCGGCGAGACATAGCACTTTCTTCTTTCTCCTCCTCTTGAGTAGCCTCGCTCGATTTTGTCTCATTTTTCGAATTCGCCGAAGAGGTGTCTGCACTCTGCCTCAATTGACACCCCGCGGTGAAACGCCTTACAGCGGGAGTTGTACTCCTCCAGGCGCAAACGGGCGCCCAACGTAACGGCGAGCTCCAGAGTTGCGTTCCATTCATTTTGACAGTGGCTCAAGAATCCCTCGTAGCCTTCCAGGAAATAGGGAAAGAAAAGGCAAGGTGATCACTGTAGCTGTTGAGAAAGTAGAGCTCGACAGTGGCAAGTAGGCCGGAAAGCCGCTGAGTCATCCACCTCCGCGGAGCCAAAACTTCCAGGGATTTCGTCGTCGCAGCTCCTCCGCAGGCGTCCACTTCCCCATCGTTGTCCACGGAGCCCGTCGCGGCATTTCAATTTCTCTTTTACTCGGCAGCACCTCAAGCGCTCGATACATATCGATACTTTCTTTCCGCCATGGCTCCCAAGGGCAACATCTCGACCCGGTTGAACCCGCTTCGCCTGAACACCATCAACCACCTTCGCGTCCGCCGTCCCAACCAGAATGAGCAGAACCCCTGCGTGACTGTCATGTCGACCATGCTTAGTACGTCTTTTTCTCGGATCCTTAATTGCCGAGAGATCAATTGCTGACGATTCCGCTTGCAGACTGCTGGGCTTCGCAAGGATACAACGCCGAAGGCTGCGCTGCCCTCGAGGCGCAATTGCGCAAGTGCATGGATGCCCCTGTATGAATCACGATTTTCGCGCCTTGCCTCTTTCCACCGCTCACAAATACTGACCATCCATTCTCCCACAGAAACCCCAAGAGAAGAAGAAGAACACCGTCAACTACCACCTGATGAGAATGTACCCCAAGGTTGTGGGCCCGCGGAAGAAGGACGGTGTCCTGGGCTAAAATGCATTTCCATTTGCATGGACAACGGCTGGGAGCACGAGAGAGGTGGGATATGCTCATCGATATGAAGGGCACACCCGCTGCAGTTGTTCATTTCGGAGTTTGGGCGATTCTTTGCGGCACATTTGTACAGTATATACCTATGTCGACTACGGCAGCGGCATTGTCTTCAAAAGAATTGATTGTATCATTATTCTTAACTTTGAACTTCCGTAACAGTTTATTGGCTACAGTGGATGGAATTTCAGGATCAACTGCTCGGCTCGCGGACCGACCGTGTATGCATCGATAGCTTCGATGCCATCATCATTCACGATTGTGGTTCGGAAGTTGGAATAGATCGCTGCTACGACGAGCTTGGTTTCTGAGCGAACTAATGTTAATGAAAAGGCCCTGGGTGAAATTATTTACGGGTACTTACCTTGTAACGCGAGATTACTTCCGACACACATACGCCCACCACTTCCAAACGCCCAAAACCAACGCTTCTGTTCTTCGAGATCGACAGTCGAATTTTCTTCCTTCAGCCATCTGCTCGGCCTCCAAGTCTCGGGCTCAGGGAAGACTTCTGGATTGCGGTGCAACGAGTAAGCCTGCGCATTAACACGGGTATTGGCTGGGATATTGTCATAACCCCCGAGAGAGCAAGATGGCGATGGTGTGACTCGTGGCTGGATCCCAGGAATTGGAGCGTGAAGTCTCAATGTTTCGGTCACGATAGCTTCCAGCAGTGGCAGTGCATCAACGGCTTTTGCCGGAGGGAGCTCGGCGGACTTGGGTATCCCGATGGGAGGATCCAATGTCATCAGCTCTTCATGAAGCTTGCTCTGAAGATCTGGGTTCTTGGATAATTCCCACAGGAGATAAGTTAGACCAACAGCACTAGTTTCAAACCCCGCTGTTAGTTGGTCGTACATCTCGCATGCAATATCGTTCTGTTGCTCTGCCGGGTCTGGCTTTGGACCCCCTTCTTTTGCTGCCTGTTTATCCAAGCTTTGCTTCAGCTGCTTGTATACTATAGGTTCGACAGTGGGGTCCGTTGAGTTCAATGACTGGGCTGCTTTGCCACATAGATCCAGTGCCCACGCATCGAGCATGTCATTGGCGGTATCGCAATACTTTGGGATAAGACGCAAACCTATACATTCCATCCAGTCGATCAACTGAGGGGTCTCTTGGTGGTAGAATTCAAATGGCTTGCGACAGAGGTACATGTGGAGCCAGTGCTTGCGGAATTCATGATCCTGCAAATGATTCGTCCCATTCTGTAAGCCGAATAGATAGCAGGAGACGAAGTCCATTGTCAAGCCTTGGTTGAGATCATGCACATCGATCGATTGCTCTGAACTTGCTGCATCGTGCAATATCGGAAGTAGGCGATCGTATATGACTGCATTCGAGACAACGCGTAGATGAGGTGACGTTTGCAAGGTTGATTTCGAGTAGATGTTGGACAGCATTCTCTTGCGTACGGAATGGGACTTGGTACCGATCATCGTGAACATGCTGACAGTTCTATCGGCCGTGTGAGCTTCATTCTCTGAAGAGAAATAATGGGTGCGAGAAACCTACCCAAGCGACCCGAATACTCGTGGATACCACTCATGCTTCTCAAACCCCCCCGGTATAAACAGACTTGATCCCTCCATCGACGCAATTCACTGATATCTCCGAAGGTCCAAGTCTCACAATAGGACCGAGCCTCTCATGCGCCGCCTGGATGGTACGATTATTTTGCATGCGGAATCTCTTCCATAGCATCCAACCCGGGGAAACAGGGACACTCCAGTGTGCGTTGGGGATCTTTGCGAGTGGCGAGATGAAGCAGGGGTATATCACGACCTTATAAAAGGCCAATCCTGCGATGGCCAGCGCGACGAGAGAAATGATAGAAACACCCATAGCGCGGCTCCGGCTAGATTCTGAGCTAGTCCGGAGTAGCAGTCAACCTAGTAGGTGCACTTGGTGATTATGATCCAGCGGAGATCACGGACACTTATATTGTTCCGCACTTGGATTGCCGAGGAGTTGGTTTAGGTAATTGATTCCCGAGCCCCCGCTTAAAGAGGGCTTCTTTGTCGGCCAACTTTCAGATGGCCGATGAATGGGGGAAGATTGTACTTGGGGGAGGAGTAAGAGATTGGATGTTTGTCCAACCAAATCGTCGTGATTACTCGCACTACGTTACCCTCAATGTGGATTCCAGCTGGGCTTCCCCGCAAGAAGATAAGCGGGGGACTATGACATAATAAAAGGTCCTGGTTATTCAAGAACCTTGATTGTGAAGCTTTCAACACTCATGGCATAGCAGTCTCTATTCTAGACCCAGTGATGCCATTCTATCCCGTCTCGATAGGTCAAGGCTGTTTGTGGTCCCTCGGCATCGAGAATGTATCCGAATTCGCACCGGCTGAAAGAAACCTTGGACTGAACGTTATAGAACTCATCATACTTCACATTCAACGCATCCACAATTGTCTCAACGTTTCCTTCTGGGTGCAGCACGTCCCAGGGGCGAATGCAAGTTTGTCCCTGGCAGGATTTCAAGACAAGAAGTAACGCATCGAGACGGGGAATGACTTTCGCTAGAGAAACCCCAAGAATTTCCCGGTTCTGATCAGTAGCCTCTAGAGAGTCCGATGTCACATAAAGGTTATTAAGCTCGTATGGATCAGTCTATGGCAAATGGTCAGTTTCTACCAGATGTATTTCAGACTGGCGAGCTTGATCCATGTAGACTTCATACCTTCAGATCATAAAGCTGGTGTTCATTTGAGCACCAAACTGAGTAATACAGATCGTATTCGCTGCTAAGAATGCGTAGAGACTTATAGGTATTGTTCATGATTATCTCCGGGTTGTCGGGGCCTAGCAAGATGGCTTTTTTTAGTTTCTTTCGATCTGAAAGCTAAAGGTGAACCGTCGTGGGTAACTTACCAAGTGTGTTGTATTTCCCTTCAGGAACAGCCAGGCCCCAGTATTCAACAGTAACGTGTTCATGGCGTACGGGGTCGCTCGAATTGAGTTCGTGCTTCAAAGGTAGAGGAGTACCATCAAAGTCGGAACGTAGAGGCAGGCCGGCGATATCAAAAAGCGTCGGAGCAACATCAATATGTGTAGTGATCGCTAGCTCATCGTAGCTCGGCAGTACTCCAGGACCCCGGACAATAAAAGGGACCCGGATATCTTCTTCGAATCCGCACTCCTTGCCTGCTTGTAGTCGATGCTGCCCAATATGATACCCATTGTCGGACGTGTAGATGATGTAGGTATTGTCCAAGATACGATTCTCATCTAAGATCTCAACAACTTCAGATATCAACTCATCCACGGGCTGCAGAGCTCGCAGCCTTGAGCGATAAAAGTGGTCATTATAGTCGACGTTACTTTGGTTCTGCTTGGGTAGGCGGGCGATCCAGTTTACGCCACTGGGCTTTTGTTATCATGTTAGAGATAATACGCATTTTATGATTCAAAGTGGGGATATACCTCATCGGGATTGAAATTTGGCGTTCGCGGAATCTTCACATCTTTGAAAAGATGCCTATGTCTTTCTGCGGAGATGGGTGCAGTGATCTTCAGATCCACTCCGGGGATAATCGGGCCATTCGAGTGTACGTTTGAATGAGGTGCCACCGGCGCAATAGTAAGAAAAAACGGCTCTGGTTGATCTATTGCGGATTCCAGGAGATTCAAGGCCTTTTGTTTCAGAATATCCGTGGTATACTGGCCTTCGTAGCTGACAGGTGGATCAGAGTTATGTTGGAAGGTCGCATTTAGATATGAATAAGTGTATGGATCCAACAAGAAGTCAGACGAGTTGAAACCGTTAGGGAAAGGGTTATTGTAGTTGTCGACTGTGTGTGCATTGAATAGCTTTCCGGTATAGAGAGTGTTGTAACCCGCATTTTGAAGCCAGACTGGAAGATAGTTTTCATTGAAGCCCCTTTCGACAAACTTCGGATACCCGCCTAGGCAAATTAGATCAAAGTGAATATTCAAGAACTCTTGATATTTTTTCCATTAGGCTACCTACCGTAGGGAGGATTCACATCCGTGACATTTGTATTGTGAGCTAGTCGACCGGTCAAAAGACTGACCCGTGATGGACAACAAAGTGCCGTTGTGACGAAATGATTTCGGTAGAAAGTTCCCTCTTGTGCTAGATGTTTATTCAAATTTGGCATATAGTGAACTGAATCCAATAGTAAATCTTGATCGTCAACAAGGATGAAGATGATATTTGGTCGGTTTTCTTTGAAGCTTGACCATTGAAGAACTTGTTGCCGTTGGTCATTATACCCTTGTGTGCATGCCGATTCTACGACACTGAGTATGACGGCCAGTCTATTCAAGAGCAAAGTTCCCTTCATTTTTGTATGTTGGGGGCCGAGAATGACCGCGACATGGAAAGACGGCTAATTAAGTCCAGCACCACCCTGTGTACACCACCCTTGGGTTTTGTATTGGGGTTCCGATAGCCAAGATCGATTGTGAGATTTTAGAATGGATGAGGTGATAGATACTTGTAGTGGAGAAACATACTTCCTATAGCGTAGGGTCTAGGCCTGATCTCATAAACAACTATAAAATAAGCGAGCCTTTATTTTCCCATTGAGGTCATGTTGAATTTGCTAATGAATAGTGCTTCTGTTCCCAGTAGCTCTCCGTCGCTACACATGACCAATCTCAATTCTTTTGTGATTCCCTGCTATTACCCACAGCTCAGGCCTCTAAAGATAAGGCCGGAACTCGAAAGGGTCCATTCCCTAACTGCAATTATAATGCACAGACCACCGATCATCGGCAGATTTCCGGGCCGTTGATGCCAATTGGGTGACAGCCAATCAGAACTATGATAGCACCATGAGAACACCCGCTCTAAAATGGCATCATCTGCATACCTTTACAAGCGAAATGAAAAAACTATATTACCAAGGCCTACTCTGCAAAATTTCTTATGAGTCAACTATACTCAAGTGGACCTACTAGAAAGGCCATGCAGCGGAAGTGGGTGATAGTCTCGGAAAGGGTCCTTAGCCGATGACTTCGCGTTTGCCCGTAGGGCTGTTTTGATTTTGATTTTTTTTTTCAGCCCCAGTGACATATATTTATTCAGTCTACGTCTCCCTATTATCCGGGCTATTTTATGCAAAAGCAATTTTAATTTCAATACTACTACCGGTGCCCACGTTGATGGCCCGTCCCTTCACGATACCATGCCTACTAGTATCGATGATGACACAGCCCCTCTCATCGCGCATCGAAGGGACGAAGAAGATATAGAGCAGCCCTACTCAACCTTTCTTAGTAAAACACCTTTACTATCGGAAACAGAGCAAGGGGTCTTGACCAGCGACGAAAGCTCGGTCGATGATGCAAGCACAAAATCTGCTGGCGGAGGGTGCATGGGCAGTGTGACTAGTATTATTGTGATCCTTTTACTGGGTATGTATAGCACTCTCCTCCTCTCCTTTAAAACGTCAAATATCCGGACTCTAACATCTCCAGGTGAATTCATATCGAATGCCGATTCCACAATCGTCATGGCGACCGCTGGTCCCATTTCATCTGAATTTAACAGATTGCAGGATGCGAGTTGGCTGGCAACAGCTTTCGCATTGGGCGTCGGCTCCGTACAGTTAATTGTGGGTGAATTAACGAATAATGGTAAAAACCTGGCCTAAACTAACAATTATTTCTAGTATGGCAAGCTCAGCATCATATACGGCCGCAAACCAATCCTTTTAGTTGCGTACTTCCTCCTCGCGCTAGGTTGTGTTATCTGGTAGGTTTTCGGTCTTGTTATCATTTCGTTTGCTTTCTAGTGACTAACAGAGTCTATAGTGGTATCTCGCCCTCCATGTCGACCGTCATTCTCGGACGAGTTGTCAGTGGAATGGGTGGAGCGGGCATTATGGCTATGGGATCGATTATTATACTAGGTACGACGCCGCACCATTTGTGGATATCAAGCACGAGTACTAACTTGATAAGATGTCGTACCAAAGAGAGACCTAGCTGCTTGGAGAGCAATTGTCAATATCTCAATGACTCTTGGTCGAAGCATCGGCGGCCCAATCGGAGGATGGCTCACTGATACCATCGGATGGCGCTGGTACAGTCTTCTCTCCATCTTCAAGCATTCATCATTTCTTCAATTTATTAACATCCTTCACTTAGGGTATTCCTAACCCAAGCCCCCTTACTCGGCATCGCCGCAATCCTCGTAACAATCTTCCTCCGCTTCACCCCCAAATCAACAAACATCCCAAACGAGGCTTCAAAACCCTCAATCCGCCGCGTCGACATCCCCGGCTGTCTTCTCCTAGCCACCAGCGTCGTCTCATTCACCCTCCTAATCGACCGGGGCGGGAAAGCCTTCCCCTGGACCTCCCACTACGCCCTGCTCCTCGCAGGCTCAGGACTCACCTTCCTGGCAACATTCATCTACTACGAGCACTCCGTCGCCCCAGAGCCGATTTTCGGCCTGGGCATCCTCCGCCTCCCAAACGTTTCGACATGCTATCTAATCGGCATGCTACAAATCGCCGCTCAATCAAGCATGATGTACACAGTGCCACTCTACTTCCAAGTCACAGCGAACGTCCCCACCGCCGTGGCAGGCACACACCTCGTCCCCTCCGTCGTGGGAAATGCAATCGGCGGCCTGATTGCGGGATGGTTCATTCGGCGGACAGGTCATTATAAACCAGTCCTATTCATCGCGGGCCTCGTGGCGTCCATCTCATACCTACTGCTCTATCTGCGCTGGAACGGGAACACATCTGTTTGGGAATCGCTGTATATTGTTCCCGGTGGTATGGGGACTGCGTTTGCGTCTGCGGCGTCGTTCGTGGCTTTGACGGCGTTTTGCGATCCTGATGAGGTTATTATGGCGACCGGGGGGTATATGCTTGTTTTTTCGATTGCGATGACGGCGGGCGTTACGACTACGAATTCAATTTTGACGGCGACTTTTAAGAGGAATATGATTCGGGATCTCACGGTGCCGAATGCAGATAAGGTAAGGAGATCAACCTTCCGGTGGAGATTGAACTTGGGCATTGGTGATGCATACTAGTACCTAGCCCTTAAGCTGTTGAACTCGCTAACTGGCATAGATCATTCGTCACTCTTTGGATAACTCGCACTATATTTCGGGATTGACCGGGGAAGTTCGAGATATCGTAGTGAACAGTTACGTTGGTGGATTGCGTTCTACATACTGTAAGTCCTTTTATCCCATGATTACGAAAGGATGAGGACTGTGTCTAATTCGGGCTCAGTGATGTCGCTAGTCCTCTCGCTTGCTGGGTCTGCACTTGGGTTGACGATCCGCAATCATAAACTGTGAGATCGCCACTACAAGTGTGACGAAAATGCGAATGAAACAGATGCCAGGACCCACTGGCACCACCCGAAATACAATTCAAATAGAGGGGAATACTGCATATCTGAGAAAGGGGTTGTTTTAATTCCATTCGGTTCAAAGATAAGGATATAAACACAAGAATGTACCATGGACAAGGAAAAAGACAGGGGACAGTATGTCCAGACTTGAAGATACAATAAAACAGGCCAGCTTGCTATTGCGACAAAATGATATGCACCACCCGACTGGACCAGCAGATAGCTCCGACGAGGCGGGAAGTAGCGGGAATTATTCACGCGCAGCTTCTTACAATATGTTAGACTAGTTAGTAGTTACTGTGTAGGGTGTACCAACCCCAATTTTAATTCACGAGGTTGTTCATGAGGCCGACTCCATCGCCGACGTCATCGGGGTAGACGTAGAATGCAAGGGCGAGAATGAGATACCTGAATCGGCTAGTCAGTAAGGGATTCCGCATACAAAGTATTGGGGTAAGAGAGAGGAGAGGGGGGTAACATACATGCCAAGGCACATGCCGCCTTCCAGGTAATTCGACTTGCCATCCTGAATGAGCAAAGTAACGACCAGACCAGAAATGAAGAAGGCGACAGTCTCAAAGGTCTGGAAATGCAGGGTCATCTCAATACCCATGATCCAGCCCAGAATGACCAGGAACGGAGTGACGAAAAGGGCAATCTGCAAGCTACTTCCAATAGCAACGCCAATAGCCAGATCCATCTTGTCCTTATAAGCGACCACAACGGCCGTGACGTGCTCGGCCGCGTTACCGACGATGGGGATCAGGACCAGACCGATGAATGTCTTGCTCATGCCGGTTGTCTGCACAATGTCATCGATGCTGCCGACCAGGTAGTCGGCGCAAATGGCGACCATGATAGTCACGATGATCAAAGCGACAGTCGCAGCCCAGGGGTTCAGCAGGCGCTCTTCTTCTTCTTCTTCTTCCTCGGCGCCAGCACCGCCCTCAGTGTCACTGGCGTTGGTCTCCTCGAATAACTCGGCGTGGCTGCGCAGCTGGAAATAGAGGTACATGACGTAGATGATGAGTAGGATGATGGAGGTTCCGTGCGACAGGGTGAGGATGTTATCCTGGGCTTCCTTGCTGCCATTGGAGGCGGAGCTGGAGATTGCGGCGTAGAGAGTGGCGGGGATGATCAGCGAGGCAGAGGCGACAGCCATGAGGGGACGACATGGTCGAGGCAACGGTGCTGTTGAAGCTCTGCTCGGAGTATTTCAGACCGCCGACGAAGAAGCAGCAACCCAGGACAAGAAGGATGTTGGAGAGAATGGAGCCGAGCATACTAGCCTGCACAACACGGATCTGGTTATCCTTGAGAGCGATGATGCTGACCTAGTTATCCATCGAGTGTCAGCAACCATGGCAAATGGAATGGAGCGTAGAGAATGGATAGATCCACAAAGAGTGACGAGAGAAAAACAAAAGAGCAATGGCTTACAATCAATTCCACGGCGTTACCGAAAGTAGCATTCATCAGACCACCGAGAGCCTGACCCATCGTGCCGGCCAATTCCTCCGTAGCAAAGCTCAACAGCGATGCAAGCGGGATAATGGCAAAGAAGTTCAAGACGAAGATGGCCGTAGAGTTCCAATGGAGGAAACCAGCCACCATACCCAGTGGTACAAAGACCAGCAGCAGGTTCACATAATCGCGGACCAGGGTCAACCAGGTCAGACGGATAACCTGCTGCGGCCAGCGAACCCAGGCGCGAGAGTCATTGGGGTGGTGATGGTGACGGCCATGATCCTGTGGCTGATGCGGCGAGTAACCGGGGGAGGGCGAGCGGCCAAGTAGTGAAGTGTGCTCGCCGGGATTTAATGAGCCATTGCCAGACATCTTTCTGGTTGGACCAAAGGTGTGACTTCGAAGTTGAGTCCGAAAGGGAACGGAAGCTGCGGAACGAGGGCAAAGGAAGGTCAGTCGAACGCAGGTCGGAGAGGTCGAACAGATCAAAGTCGGGGAGGGGGGAGAGATCAGACCAGAGGGAAGGATTAGGAGACATACACATTTTTTGGGTATTGAGCCAAGCTCTTTGGTAACCTTGAATGAAACAGCGGGGGGATGTTCCAGCCACAAGAAAGAAAACCGTGGATTAGTGACGACGTAATGGAGGGAACATCCGTGGTGCGAAGTGTGCAGGGACCATCATGAAGGGGCAGACTGGAACAAACTGGGGGGGAAACAGCTTGCACAGCCTCGATCAAAGTGGGTCAAGCATTGACAGCTTGGAAACATTTCCAACAGAGGCAAGTGAGCTTGCATGACGATCTCCCCACTTTTCATCAATTGGCCGCATCGACGAAGTCGCTGCATCATGTGATTGGCTCGATTTATACGTCGCACTTGGCCAAGGAAGCCAAGTGGTGCACTGCCACAAGACATTTTTTACCTCTCATTTAACAAGGTTCAACTGCTGCAAAGTATCTGCAAAGTATGTGCTCCAAAGTACTAGTATGTCTGTACGAGTACGGAGTATATCGAAAGAAATCGGTGATCCATTGGTATCTATCTCGTAAAACACCACACAAAATCCCAGTCCATAAATCACAAATCAATACAACAATGTATAATATAGTAAGGGGTCAAGTAAAAAGGGAGTACATCAGGTAGTAAGTAGTAAGTCACATCAAAGAAGAGAAGAGAAGGAGAAGGATGAAAGGGGAGGAACATGAGACATGGTGAATGGGGGAATGAAGAAGGAAGAAGAAAAAATGATGAAAGGGAATATGAAAGGAATGAAGGGTTCGGTTCACAACAGAGAGGACCAGTCCAGTCTACTCCTCCGGCAGAGCACCGTTACTTTTGAAATCCATCCGGCTATTCTTCCGGCCAACACCCTTGAGCAGACTGAATCGTCGGAACACCGAATCGCGCATGCCATTGTTTGCATTGCCATTGCCATTGGCACTGGCATGAGCATTGGCGTTGACATTGACATGGTTAGCGTGGGCATTGGGTGTAGTTGTGGTTGTGGCTGTGTGGCCGCCCCCGTTAATCCCCGCATGACCATGAGCACTATCGCGTGTCACAGGACGGGAATAATCGCGCGTCGAAGGAAGAGTCGACCAGCCACCACTAGATACGGGCGCTGGTCGCTCTGAGCTGGCGGTTGTGCTGGCAATCGGGCCGCGATGCTGAGACCCTGCCCGACTACGACCGTCTTGAGACTGCGCGCCCGTATCGCGGGAGGCACTGCGCGAGGTTCGCCGTTTGAGCGTATCGTCACCAGCGGCTACTACCGAAGGAGAGGAGTCGTGCTTGATCTTATCGCCGCCAAACCAACTACGCCGCTTGTCGCTCTTCCCTCCGCGGGAGTGGCTGGTGGCGCGACTGTGGATGGTGGCCGCGTCGTCGTCTCCACCATCTTCTTGGTCAAGTTGGCCCTTGCTATCCGATTGCTGGATCGTGAAGATGGAATTTGATGCTCCGTGCCGTTTGAATGGGTTGATGATGCTGATCCGCTGGCTGACCGACTGCCGTTCTGAGCGCTTACGATTGTGCGTATTACCGCGGGACGCCCGAATCAGCTCCTGTTCCGGGCTGACGGAACGTTGAACGCCCTGAGTTCGACGGTATTCGGACGACGAGGGAGATCGACGGGCAGGCTGAGTAGGGGTGGGTGAGGAGTATTCCGGCGGGGAGGTCGACAGCGATGCGAGCTCAGGCTCGAATACTTCCTCGAAGCGTCGATGCAGCTCGGCTAGGGTAGCTTGTTGGGCAGGTCGCTGATAGAGGGAAAGGGCATGTTTGATCGCCAAAGCGTGGTCGATGAGGGCGACGGCCAAGGCATTTTCCATCGGATCCAAAGCCTCAGGCTCCTCCTCTTCTTCGTCCTGGTCTTCCTCATCCTCTTCCGTGATATCAGTTTGCTTCTCCTTGGTACCCTGAGCACCGCCCAGGAAGACGCGATACATCGCAACGCAGTTTGACGATGATCCGCGCGATTCCAGCAATTGATCCAGGGCTTCAGTCAAGTTCGACAAACCACTATCCTCGCCCGACGCAGCGCGGCGTTCGAGCAATTGCAGCTCTTGCGTCTTGCGGCATGTTCGCTCGAGCGCTGTTTGAAGAGGCGACAGAGAAACTTCCTGAGCCGAAATAATCTCGCTGCGGCGCAGAATATTCGGGAATGAGTCGGCGGCAGTGAAAATCAACTTCTCGACATACTGCTCCTGCACGTCGGAGCTGCCGGTGTGACGCCTTGACGTGGAAGAGAAACGAACCGGGTCAGATATCAGCAAGTGCTCACGAACAGAATGCGGGACCTTAGACCGCTGGTATACTGGGTGACCAACGTCGCGGTGGGCGCTAACGCTGGTAATCTGCAGGAATTGGCCCTCGTAGTCGGGGATCTCGCCAGAAGACATGATCTGTGCCGTAGGATGCTCTCGTTGCATGCGATCAACGAAAGAAGCCATGCGTTCAGTAGCTGATCCTTCAAAGATGAACTCCTTATCGCGCAGGCTGGCAGGGAATCCAAGACCCTTGTAGACAACTCGGAAATAACGCGGGAATTGCTTTCCACCCTTGGCAATTAAGTCGTAGATACGTGCCATTGAGCTCTGGGCCCGAGACAGCTTGGCAAAGTCCATCGTGGTGCTTTCATAGTGTGCAGCAAGTTCCTTATAGCACGCCAGTGCAGGCGCCCAGGCCATGGCGTTCTCGAAGTGCTGGATAACAGAGAAATACAATGCCTCCTTGCGCTCGAATGCAGTCTGCTCGGGGAAGGTTGGGGTCAGGGTCTCGGGGAGAGCTTTGTTGAGGTCCCATTCGTAGAGATCGGCATGGAATTGGAGAGCAAGGCCAGCTTCAGTAAAGTTACCAGCAGCTGCTTGGGCATCAGCCAGTTCGTGGACGTAACGAATGAAAATATCTTCGCGGCCCATATCCTTCATGTACTCCATGAGCTTCAGAGCATGCAAACTTTGCGTAGACGCGCTACTCTGAGAAGCAACCAGGAGATCGAGTAGTTCGTCAACAGTAGAGATGAGACCCTTGACAGCATTGAAGAGACCCTCGTCGGAATCTGCGTCGCCCTCAAATACGTCCAACAGCTCAGTGATGAAGATCTTCTGGCTCACACTTTCGCTCATCTGCTTGGATTTGAAAAGAGAGTCCAGGCTGGAGATTATTTCCGTTTCGATAATGGAGATATCCTCGTTCAGATCCCACTCGCTCAATATCATAGTGCGCAGAATGTGCACCGCAACATGACGCAGTCCTTCGTGAACACTCAGGCAAAGTCCGATGATGGGAGGTATCAAGTTGGGAACATATTGAACCTGGTAGCCGCCCAGCTTCTTCAAATCGAACCTTTCTCTTTCCTCGTCAGATGTATCCCAACCGATCGCTTCCCAGGTTGAGTGCAAGAGGTCTGCACCCTGTTCGCGAACATCCCCAGCGATCTTCCAGACTGCCCTGCGTTTTTGCTCGGGGAACGTCTCGAGGGCAAGGGCATCGCTGGAAATGACCTTCAGCAAGGTGGTGAAGAAAGCTTCCCAAAGCTTGGTGTCAAACTCGTCAGCATCGTCGGGGTTCGGAAGAAGTTTATCAATCAGGAGTAATGCCAGGTGCTCGAGACTCTTAATCGCGGCACGGTGGTTATAAACATGAATACTGAACCAAGTTTCAGGATAAGCTTCACAATCCAGGATGGAGTTATGGGCTTCGAATGCTTGGGCAATGAAGGTTGCAAGCTCCAGATCCTTCATGTTAGGCGTCTTGGGAGACACGATTTTGGCAAGGGCCGCCATGAGCGCAGACAATTCGACAAGAGACTCATCGAACGGGTGCGGGGTCTTCGATGTCTTGACTTGGAAGGGGAATGCCTTGCTGAAAAGGAGGGAAAGGTACTCTGTCTCATCGACACCCTCCGTTGCGATAGCACAGTAAGAGGCAACAATGCTCGGCATAAAGTCATACAGCTGAGCATCTGGCTGTGTGAGCAATTGGGCCACAATCGCACTGCTGAGGCGGACCTGGTCCCGGTACTGATCAGAAACACCGGCAGTAGATCCCCAATAGGGAGCAAGCCAGCCAACGCAACTAGAGATCAAGGTTTGTCGCTCCTCACCGGATGCGAAGATCTCGAACTGTGTGTAGCTTTGGATAAGCACCAGCTTATAAAGCACAAGCATTCCAGTCACATCCTTGCATGAATCCATGAAACTCAGAGCAATCATAATCATTTCATCCCGGCCAAGAACTTTCGTTAGTTCGGGCAGCCAAGAATGGAAGTGCTGGACGATTAAAGTTTTGCTTCCCACTAGTGCCGGGGAAGAGTTCTTCATCAAATTCTCCAAGGACTTGAAAATGGTATGCAAGTCTCGGTTAAAGGTCGATTGAACCGTTGTGATGCCAATGCCCTCCTCCTTCGCCTTTTGTTGTTCGCGAGCGTTGATGATAAACTTGAGCAGATGCCGTCCCACCTTGAACGCGGCACGAAGATTCCGCGACTGGTGCATATCAGTGGCGGCGCTAAGAAGACGGAGATAGCTCCGAATGAGACACGGGGTAACGAATGGGAAGTTAAACTGCTCATCGGCATATTGATCGACCAAAGGACCGAGATTGAATCGTCGATCATGAACGATGCCAAGCACAGTCACTAGGTTGTTGAAGATGATATCTTCATATTCCTCATTCCCAGCATTCTCAACCAAGATACCGAAAAGCGCATCAAAGACACCACGGAGCTGTTTCACAATCTCCATCTCTGGCACAAATGGTAGTCTCTTCAGGGTGTCGAGCACTTCATCGACAGGGCGTTCTTTCCAGTTGAGTATGCTGAGGATGGTCTGATCTTGAGAGTACTCTGTGCTGCACAGATGAGTCTCGAGACGCAAGGTTGCCAGCGGACCTGTGATCGCTTCATCTTTGGCGGCTTCATTCTTACCCAACGAGCTCCATGGAAGATTCAAGTAAGCTCCCTTTCCATTCTCCATGCTCGAGGTCTGTTTATCGTATGCATGAAGCAAAAGCGAGTGACTTCCATCCCGAATGAATGCTTGCTGGTCCCAGAGAGGCATCCAAGCCAAGGCGAATGGGAATTCGGGCGCGTCTGCAACACTCATGATTATATGCGAGCCAGGAATGCGTTCGGTTGGGATCTTGAGACGGATGGTCTGATTCCACGCGGAACCGCGCTCTGTAATTGTAGTCCGCCAGGCTGTGTGTGAAATAGGAGCCGAAGATGGGAAGACACAACGGTCTACCCTTGCACCAGCGGCATCCCGTACCTCCAGGGTAAGTTGAAGATTATGAAGTCCAGTAAGGAAAGACAAGGGTATCTGGCCGGCAGTGGGATGAGAGAGTAGAGCATCTGGTGGCAAAACCGTTTGTGATAATGTGACATAGATGTCAGATCGAGGCTTTGTTGGGGCTTTGGAAAACCCGATGCGGCGGGTCTGAATAACATCGTGAAGGATCGTGGGGCTTTGGCGAACAAGGTCTTCGGGGTCGGTGCTTGCGAAAGGGTATAGGTGAACATGCAAACGCGCCGCTGGTCCAGTGCGTACATAGCGTCCAGTAGGACTCGGAAGCAGATGACGGAGGAGCTTATCAAAGCCATCCGGATGACCCTCGCCCTCTTCGCCATCTCGAGGCACAGACCAGATGTTAATCACCTGCTCAGTGTCGCGCTCTTGTCGAAGGACTGGAGAGACTTCCAGAATTCCAACACCAACGGTGCGAATGGCATTCGAGTCCTTTACAGTTGTGGGCTGCGGATTTGCCACCTCCTTCGCACTTGAGGAGCTGCTAGATGATCGCGGGACTCCTTGGCTAACGGGCTTGTTAGGCTGGTCGAAACTGTTTCCTGTCCGTGTCTTGGGGGCCCACATCATGCTCCGACGTGTCCGTAGGCTTCCTTTAACTGAAGGTTGAACCCCTCCCGCAGCGCCCGCCATGGATGACCCTGGACCATCTCTCGAAATCGAGGACCGTGATACCGGTGTATTATCAGCCGACGTGCGTATCTCGGGAGCCCGCACTGAGGCAACGAGGTATAGCTGGCGTCCATTGGCGGATCCATCTCCGACGTCAGTTGCGGCAAGTTCTGTGAATAGTGTCTTTAACTTGTTGCTCTGGGTCAGGCTAACAAATTTGTCCGGGGATGGAATGTCCAAGTTATAGGTTTCGGATAACGGGTTGAATGACCCTGCGTCGGATCGCGAATAAAGCTGCATTCCAAGAGAGACCGGACCCGTAGTATTCCCAGACAAGGCGTTTATTTCTAATAGAAGATGGTGTAGGGCTGTCGAATCAGGGCTGACGGTAGGACGGCTATCGAGCATGCTCATTTCAGACTGGAGTTTGGCCAACTGAATTGCGGAGTCGTCACCGGTCAACAGACGGCCTCTTTGATCCGGGTCGCGGACGATGACATCTCCGCTCAACATCTTGTTGGCCTTGACAAGTTTCCATACGGTCTCGTCTCGTAGGGTTTCCTTTTCCTTGTTCGTCAACACGTTGTGTAGTAATTGTCGTCTGGCGAAATCCAATTCTTGCACGATTGTCGACATCTCTTCCAAAACGTCATATTGCTGCGCCAGAAGCAATTCATGCAAGTTTGTGGAATGCCACTCGCGGAGACATGAAGCGATCTCATCTACCAGCGGCTCGGTGAGAGATGTCGGGGTCTCGTCGCCGATTTTCAGCATTGGCACTGGCGCCGCGGGCTTCGGCGCATTAGGGTCGCGGGGTGCAAATGTCACTGGCGTGTGGGGAATCGATCCTGTCGGGTATGTTTGAAAGGAGCGCGGGCTTGCGTGATCTGGATCGTCTGTCTTATGTATGGTAATTTGTGATGGTTTACCCTTCTTGGCCAAGACCACATCCGACACTTCACCCGCAACCTGAGAGTCGGCCATCGAATAGGCCATGCTGTTCCGAGCCAATTGATCGGCCTCGAAGCCAGACAGGGTCAGCCCATCTATACTCTTGCGATCGCCATTCAGGAGCGCCTTGTAGCCGTCGCCATCGCCAAGCACTTCTCGGATCTCGACGCAGTTCCGCGGGAAGATTCCGGAGAAAACACGGGCTTCGAGAGTCTGGCCCTTGGTACTCGATAAGCCTGCGAGTAGCGACGGCGGCGCAACAAGATATCCTCGACACCACTCGCCATCTGAGCCACCCTGTTCAATAATATACAATTCGTCGCCAAGTTCCAGGGGGAGGTCCGCCGGGGAGGAGGGGTGAAACGGGTATATGGCCACCGCAAAGGCAATGCGAGGCAGCGGCCGCCAGGGCATAACTGCGATGTGCGGTGTTGACTAGGCGGTGCTCCCACGGGTTGAGACAACAGTCTCTAGAGGTGCCAATCTCCACGGAATGTGGGTTTGGCGTCGACGTTCCGAAGCGTTTCAAAGCGAAGGAGACAGGGATTCACGATGAAGAATGTTGGACCGATCGGCGGCACGCGACATGCGGTGGGGAAATTTAGGTTATCGGAAGGATAGAGGAGTGACAGGAGAGGAAGAGAATGTGGGCGAGAACGAATTGAAGGTATGCGACAGCGAGAAAGATCTAAAAGCTCATAATTAGAGTGCTGGGGGTGGTGGATGGGGCTGATGGCTCGCAGGCTGGGGAGGGGGCCGAAAGGCGTAAGGGTGGAAGTGGGAAAAAGCAAAAGGATGCAGCTTGGGGGAACGAGGAGGTTCGTTGCCAGTTGCCAGCCACGCGCGCCCAGCAAATGAAGTTGTAACTCGTCAGGGTCCGAAGCATTGGGGTAACCGTGCCCCCTTTGCGAAACATTTCGCGTAGTGGAGTCACGAACGGCGAGAACATGGGAGTAAAGTACACCGTCACAATGGGGGATAGATACAAAGTCAAAGTGGGGGAACTCACCGAATGAATTAAAAAGGGAGGGGAAGAGAAAAGAGCAAAAAGGACCAAAAGAAGGAATAGGAAAAGTTTGGGGAAGAGAAGATGAAGAGGGGAGGAAGATGAGCAACGATCAAAGAACGAAAATCGCCCGATCTTCACCTCCCCACACCACACACCGACCCCGTGAACTAGCACGAGAATTACTACGTAGTAACCCGCCACGTCCATTACGGAGTATACCTAGGTAGATAAGGAGTACAAACTATGAACTTCCTTTGACAGTTACCGGCGCGCTTAATTGCAGATCTGGGCTCGACTGAAAAGGGATGCTTTATTCAGCTCCCCTGCCTGAGTGGCTGCAGCAGAGAAGTACTCGTAATATTAAGACTAAATAGCTACTACCCAGCTGGCCTTGAAAAGGCAGCTGGTCGTTTTAAAATTAATTGACTTGGTATAGTACCAACTAGACCCATTGTAGACAACGAACTAGTTGCCATAGTCGGAAGGATGGAGAAGAGTAAGATTACCACAGTGAGTATTACCGTACCCTAGTCCTGGGTGTGAAGATCATAGAGTATAGCTGCCCAGGTGTATAGCTGATATGGATAGAAGGTGTCAAATATTCCTATCAAACAGCAAACACTACTAAAAGGGTAATGGGGTAACTATTCTACTCCGTACTCCGTACTTCGCAGTACTCTACTCTCCCTCGCACAGACCAGGGTGTGCCCCTGAGCGGAGGCGTAAAATGACCTTGGGCCTCGAACCAGTGGGCCCCATGGCCACCAATCATGTTATTGCGCCGATCATATCTTAAATTCAAAGTCCCATATCCTATGAATGGTATCCTATATGGAGGCATACTATATGGACAGTCCAAACCAATACGCCCAACCAATGTCCCAATGCTGACTTCCAAAAGAGCAGGAGAACGAAAAATGTTAGAAGAAAGGAAAAGAAAAGGAAAAGAAAAGAAAAGAAAAGAAAAGAAGAAAAAATACAAGTGATTAGGTTGAGCAAACAAGATCAGTCAATTCCCTTATTTCCGGAACATCGCAGCCGAGTCCTCCTTACGCCACTCCAGCTCCAACTGTCCTTCATAAACCGTGTCAATAATACGACGCGTGCGGTCCCAAGCATCCTCGTACCGTCCCTCGCATTCACGCAGAACCTTAATCACCAAGCTGCGGCTCAATCCAGGGTCATCCGCATCACCAAAATGCTTCTCTACCCGCTTCTTGAGCATTTCAATCCCGCGCTTGATTTCCTTTGAATCGTACGAGGATAGAACCTTCTTAGCAACGGCCCGAGAATGGCTGGTACGGGAAGCGACATCGGCACTACTCCCATTGGCCAGGATCGTTTCAATCGACGAGATGAAATCGACCAGCTTGCCGAGCGGTCGGTGGATGACTGCGTCAAGGTAGAGTTTCATATGTTCGGCGAAATCTTGATGCGCCTTGTCGACCCAGCGTTGGAGAACGGGCAGATTGTGCACATCGACCTCCTCCGCGTAGTGGTTCATGTTCTCAATGAGAAGAATGTGGTAGTTTAGAATCTCTTTGTCCTCGGGGTCTCCGGCGCTGGCAGAGACACCCGGCGGCTGCCCGGGTGCCTCCTTGGCGATGAACTTGAGCGATTCCCACATGGCTCGGTTGATTCGCTCATAGGCGTCATTGACACTAACTCGAATGTCACAGAATTCACCCGATGGTTGCGACAACATGTTCTCGACCGCTGTCGAGAAGTGGGGGAAAACACGCATGAATGATATGACACCCTTTCGCTTGTTGATTTTGACTTTGGTGTCCTCCACGCCACGGATCTGATCATCCACAAACCGGTTGAACAGTCCCATCAAGCGAGAGTGCATTTTCTGGAGGCTGTGGATGATGAACTCTTGATTGGTATCGTCGACGTCGGCCATGGCCATCTCGATGGCGAATAAGATTCCAATTCCTTGCCTGGGGATTTGTTAGAACAAAAGGTTTCATGAACTGGAGAAGAAACTTACATAGGGTCGGCCTGAAGAGCCCAGTCCACCATGCTTTGAATATCGTTTGGCCAAAATGAATAGAGCTCATCCATGACTCCTTCAACCCGCTTTGCCATTGCGCGATCGGGGTCGTGAGATTGCTTTGCGGAGAAATCCGGGCAGAGTCGCTGTTCCGGAGACTGTGAAGCAATAAGATCAGAGTATTCGATGGTGGCAAGAGAGTCGAGATGGAAGAATTGAACAACAAAGTTCTGCTCCTCGGTTATCATATTCAATGTCTCACGCAGCGATCCGGCAAAGGCCTCGCACGGCTCAACTTTACCCTTGGCAACCTTCTTTTCGCCAGTGGCCAGCCGGTGCCCTGCGGCCGCTCGAACGGTTTTGCCTCGTCGAACAGTGAGCTTTCGTGCAGCCATGGTGATGCCTTCGCCTTCCTTTTCCTTCTCTTGGTGGGTGAAAAGAAGCTCTTGCTCGTCACCTGTAGGCTTGCGAGCCGTCCTCTTCCAAGCCAGGTTATTGTCGCGGAACTCATTTTGGTACGATGACTTGGACTGCTGTTCGTATTGGTGAAGCAGACTATGCCAGTCTGATGTGCTCACTTCTCGAGCGAACAGCATGAGAGGGTTGAACATCCAGATCTCGCCACGGCCTGCTTGTCGCGCCGCGTTGTCCAGTTTCAGAGGATCTCTTGAGACCGAAGACATAGACTCGGTACGTTTCTGCTCTGCCAGCTTGAATGCAAGTGACATGAATTGCTTAAGTCGTTGCAAGAATGCCAGTGCAGTGGAGCGGTACTCCTCCTTCTTCTGTTTAATGGCCCGCATCTGACCGATCTCCGTATTAGCATAAACACCAACACTGGCGTCTGCCTGCCGCTGCTTATTTTGCCCAATATCAGCATCGATCATGAGCATGGCCTTGTAAAGGGTGGACAATGCATTCTCGGTGCTCTTCAGGCCATCCATATTGCTTAGAGTGGCCTCTTTGAGTGGGCGCATCTCAGTGGAGGAAATGGAAAGCGTCTTGAGAAGATTCTGCAATTCGCTCTGCAAGAGCTTTTGGTTTGCAGTCTGCACCTGCAAACCTTGTGACTGGGCTTCGATATATGATACGTCCTCGTTGAGCGTCTGCCAAATGTTAGCGTGTAAACTCTCTAGTGTTTGGGTTAGTTCCACTTACATTGAGTTCGTGTGAGTAGAGTGTTAGTAAACCGTCTAGCTCCTCACACTCTTCGATTGTTTTGTCAATAAGGACTGCCAATTGTTCCACTTTTCCTTCTTGCTGCTCAAGATTACCCAGCCAACTTGTTGCCTCGACACGTCCAATCTCACGACGCACATCTGCCTCCAAATCCTCAATCTTTTGCTCGTCACTCAACCGTCCGTTCCAGCCGAGATCGGTAAGGATTTCGTCAAAGTCAATACCACGACCGTCTAGCACAGTCGCGTCGATTCCAAGGATCTGACAATATTTGAGGGTGTGGTCTTCACGGCGTCGGCGTCGGCGGCCTTGGGCTGCTGGAGATGGAGTTCTTGAACGAGTTTCCAGCCGGCCGCCTTCCGTCAATGAGTCTTTAGATTCCTCGCTAGGAAGCGGGAGAGCTGCCGCCTCTTCCGTTGCGTGGTCTGTAACCTCTACAGTGGGCGTCTCGACCTTTTGCGGTGGCTCGACAGCCGCTGGCGGTGGAGGAAGTGGTGCTGGTGGTGTTGATACTGGTAATTGCTTTTCCATCGTATCACCCACCGGACTCTTGGGCGCGTCACTATTGGTGCGAGAGATGGAAGGGGCGGGGACCACGCTGGTGATACCATCTGGCTCAGGGCCTTGTGTCTGTCCTTGTTGCTTCTTGGCCGCCGCAAGGAGCCGCTCACCAGCTCCGCCAGGTCGTGGCTTGAAAGCGCCATGTAGATTTGCAGCCTTACGGAAGGCACCTGCGATATCTTTTGCTGACTTTTTCTTAATCATAGGGCCCAGCCCTGGACGGTGAGCCTCATCATCTTCCTGTGCTTTGTCAGACGGGGTCGCCGATTCTGGTTCTTTCGGCGTCTCCACAGCTGGAGCTGGCTCTGTAGCCGACGCAGGAGTCTCGTATGCTGCAATCGCTGCTGCCGCCACTGTTGGATCTACAAGCGATGGCGTGGTCGCTGCGTTTGTTTCGGGGAGAGGTGTTTCTCGCGGTTCGTCGGCGAGTATCATCGGAGATACATCTGGAGGCACATTCTGCTCGAGTGGTGGTTGCGAAGGTTTCTCCATCACTGGTGGCTTGTCTACGGGCCCACGATAGGGCTTGTACTGCCCAACACTGCTGCTGCCCGGGCTTGGAGTTGGACCCTGGGTATCACCTGCAAGTGAACCCGGTGTAGTGGGCCGCAGAGCATCCGCGCTGGGTTGTGATTCCAGATGTTTAGCCTCGATGGGTTGTGCTGCAAGTGTTGAAGGTTGACCACTTCGCGACGAGGATGGCCTGGCCTCACCTTGCATGCTCGGACGGCTTTCACTTGTGTCGAAAAAGGTACTTGGTTCTGCGCGCTGGGGTGGGGGGATGCTAGGTGGCGGATTTTGAGGTGCAAATGGAGAGGGTGCAGGAGGTCTGGACCCCGTAGATGGGCGTGACATCTGTTCTCGGCTTTTCTGGGACCGAAGAGGCGGCTCCTCAGACGACTTTTGCCTAATTTCACGCGGTGCATCGCGGCTAGGATCACGGCTGCCATAAGAAGACGGCGGCTGGGCGGGAGGTGCAGCATCTGGTGGTGGTGGAGGACCACTCCGTGATGGCGGCGGTACCGGAGATCCTGAGGAGGCTGTTCCGGCCAGCGCTTGCCGTTCCCTCTCGTCGAAGCCGATCAGATTAGGAACTTTTCCACCAGTATATTTCTTGTAGATCTTGACTAGGCTGCCAATAAAGAACTCTTTCTCCTTAGCACTCCGAGCATGCCAATAATAGGGTTTCCCCACAGTCACTAGGAATCCAAGACTGCCGGCCCATTCCTTATGCTGTTGCTCGACGGGTGACCTTGGAACGAATGCAGTATATGATTGGATTGAGGACAGGTCATCAAGCATCCACGTCTTGCCAATGGAGAAAGATCCATCATTATTTTCACGGGCCTTATGCATTCGAACCCTCCCAGACTTCCGGACCGAAACAATGATTACTCGAGGCTTTTTGTTCTCAGGCGCCACATTTGGCGGGGCAGGGGTAGAAGGATGCGTGCCGTCCTCCGTGATGCGAACGTGTGTAATGTAGGACTCGTTCACTAGAACACAATAGTTGTCAGCTACAATAGTCTGGGAAATGGGGGCATGTCTCTACATGAAAAGTGGCTTGCGACAGCAGAAGACCAATGGGTCCGGGGTATCCCGTAACATCTCCGGCGTCATACATCGCCATCCCCTAGGGTGGGCAAAGGGAGCAGGTTCTTCACTCTTTGAAACTGTCAAGAGCTCAGGGTGGCAACTTACAGGTCCCATCAGTATCTTTCTTCGAGTAACAACTCTGAATGATGCGTTTCTTCTCGTCTTCGAACTTTTCGGCTCTCGACATGGAATCAGATGCGCCATTGCGAGGGTCGCCCCCGCGTCGTATATCTGCGGGCGGAGGCGGGCGGGGACGATTAGGACCGTTCATTGCGGTGTCTTATCCGAGGTAGTTGACACCAATATCAGTCGTAGAATCCAGAAGATCAAGGGGACATGATCAGACAGTCGATATCGGCCAGCCGAGGAACTCCCGCGCGCGCACGGTGTCAAACACCTGGTTTGTGAATTGGCGTTTGATGAGTAGAGAACTGTGCACACTTTTCGGGCACAGCTAGCAAAAAGGCGCAAGAGAACAGAGTCGACACAAGGCTTGGAGGTAGAGAGAGGATTCTGGGGTTAACGTCAACTCATCTGTTTGGGGTAGCGGGCAGGGCGGAGCTCCCAACGTGGAAGCGGGTTACCTAAGGACCCATGGGTCACCTTTAAGGTAGTTAAATGATCCGCCTAAACATTCTATCCAGCAAAGTCTGATACAGTTGTTGATATGAGATGGAATTGTTCAAAAGTTTTTTAAATTTCGAATTTTCAATTTTCTTCCCTCTTTTGTAATCACAAGCCATGCAGCCCATTTTCTTTGCTTTTGATCGAGGGGAGTTATTTCAGTTGCCTGAGGCATCAGGATTCTATCTAGCGCACGTGATCCTGCAATATTGACCAATAATGTATTGCCATATATTCACCGCCCACTCGGTAGTATACTTTTTTTTTCTTTGACCCGTTCCTGAAGCATTTCCAGACAGTCAGTTTTGGTCCACCTGCCACTCTTTCACTCGGTTCTCTCCAGCCCTCCTTTCGTTTGAAATACTGGAATATTCAAATATTAGCGACCATGGGCAAGAATTCGGCTTCCGTTAAAGAGGCCTCGACTAAGAAGGTGAGAATAAATTCAGAATCACCGCATCTGCATGATCGACGACAAAGAATTTCACTAACCGCGATTACGATTGGTCAGGTCGAGTCTTCCAAGTCCACTGTCTCGCCTCAACTTCTTTCGTCTGTCGCGACCTTCCTTTCCGACAATGGCTTCTCCAATGCCAGTGCCGCCTTCGCCAAGGACCTGAAAAAGGCCGGAAAGGCCGCTGATGCGCAGAACGCCCCGTCTCTGCTGGAATTGTTCCAATCCTGGGACAAGAATGCCGACAAGAAGGAGTCTTCCACTTCTAGCGACAGCTCCGACAGTGACAACTCGAGCGATAGCGACTCTGACGTTGAGATGCAAGACGAAAAGCCCTCCCGCGCCTCTTCTCCCTCTTCCTCTTCCTCTTCTTCGTCTAGCTCTGACAGCGATGCTGACGATGAGGATGAAGAAGAAGAGAAGGCCCCTGCGCCAGTTGTGAAGAAGCCTACTGGCGTAAAGCGCAAGGCCGAGTCCAGCAGCGAGTCTTCCTCTGACTCAAGCTCTGAGAGCGATGCCCCCAAGGCCAAGAGGGCCAAGAAGGCTAAGTCCTCTTCCAGCTCTTCTGCCTCTAGCTCTTCGTCCGACTCCGACTCTTCCACTTCTAGCAGCTCCAGCTCCAGCTCCGATTCCAGCTCTAGCTCTAGCTCTAGCTCCAGCAGCGACTCTGACTCTGACTCCGACTCGTCTGAGTCCGAAAAGGAGACTGTCAAAAAGGCCGATTCCAAGGCTCTGAAGAAGGCAACCAAGACTCCTCTCCCGGAGTCCTCAAGCTCTAGCTCATCTAGCTCTTCTGACGACAGCTCCGACGATAGCTCTGACGATCAGGCTGGAGGCGTCAAGGTTGCCAGCGGTACTTCTTCTGATACCAGCGCCACCATCTCTGCTGATGAGCCCGCGAAGCAGGCTGCAGAGACCCAGACCTCTTCCTCCAACGCTAGCCCAGCCCCCGGCAATGGCTATGCGAAGAAGAAGCACACAGGTGCTAAGCCCACTCCTCTCGCTTTGTTGAGCCAGCAAGACTACAGTCATCTCCCCTCCAACAACTATGTCTCATATGAATACGCCGAGCGTGCCTATGCGGATCTATCAGTTACTCGCGGAAAGGGCTTCACCAAGGAGAAGAACAAGAAGAAGCGCGGCTCTTACCGTGGCGGTCCCATCGACACGACTGGCGGCAAGTCTTTCAAGTTTGATGATTAAATGATTTACTCGATACCCATCAACAAATAGGTCCCTCACCGCGACCTCGAGTTAGAACAGCGAGAAACATTTTGCTTTGAGCCTGTTGGACCCATCATTGCTCCGGTTATGCCCTAGTGGAGTTGCTCTTCAGCTATCGTGGTTCAACGAGATCTAAAGGGTTGCTTCCTCGCGGTCCTTTGGATTTTCTTGGCCCCCCTTTTACACAGCACGGCGCTTATGGAGCTATTTGAATATTTTGCCGTGCGATTTGCACGTTGTATGTTATTTTCGAGCTAAAGTATACCACAAAAAGTTTGATAGATCGAGTTTCCGGTAGTATTTACCTAAGTATCTCCACCACCGATCTAATGACAATGTCTATATTCAACCTGACAGACAGGATGATGTTTACCGACTGGGGCTTCTTGCACACGGGTTCAATTGGACCCATCAATTCGACTCGGATAATTATAGATAAGAACACACCTCTCAAACAAGAACTGCAGATCGAAGAAAAATTGGACAACTTCAAATTGCCCACCGGCGTATCTCGTTTCAAAACAAGAAGAATTATAATAAAGAGGGCACCTTTTCTTCCAAGGCGTACAGTTCTTATGAGAGCTAACCAGTGCAAGTACATGACATGGCAAGCGTCAAGGCACAGCAGCCAGACCCATCATGATCAGCGCTCAACTTTAAATTGGTAAGCCGAGGTATACCGTTATCCAAGTTGAGACGCCATATACCGAAAGAAACAGAAATATGATATACACTTGGAATGCCGTATTTTGAAAAGTTTCTTCCTCAAGTTCATAAATTCTGACCTGTATCTCAGCTTCCATTGTCATAGCCTCAGATTCATTGGCCAATATCGGGCGAGAAGCATCGGTGTATGCTAACCAGGATAGTGTTCTTTGCCTGGAAAGCTAAAGAGGCGAATCAGTAGCGTCCCAAATAAGCATAATGATATCCATGGTATTTTAAATGATTTTGTTTGTTGGGTAAAACCGACTTACATGGTACGAAGTCTGCGATAGCGATGTCAATGCCCGTGGAAGTTTGATTTGACTGGATGAAGCAGTCACCCCGTGACTTCTTTGACTATTTCTCATATTTCTCATAGAAGAACGACCGGTCAAATGCCTTAGTTGAATGTTAGAATCAACTTTTGAAGAAGATTGTTCTTTATTTTCTAATAATTCAAGAGAGGTTAATTTGGAAATTGATACTGATATACGACTTTGAGACAGAGCAGTACGTACGACTAGTAATTTCTTCCATGAGCTGGAAGAATGGAATTGCCAGTAGAAGTACAGGCAGAATCTGACCAAAGCCCCATTCACTTTCGTCGCCCTGGCGCCCTTCGTAGGCGGCTTGTGTTCTTTCGTACAACACACCGTTTCCAGCGTATATCAACATCACGTACATTCTCAGTAGATCAAACGCCACCGAGAAAACAAACTCTCGGATTGGAATAATCATGACGAATAAAATCTGCCAAAACAATTTTTTGCGAGGCGAAATACCGGGGCTTTGAGCTCGGAGTAAGTGACGGGATGGCGATGAGAGTACCCAGTGGATGAGGTCTTGAATCCAAACCCAAGGGGGGGAAATTCCCCATATCTGGAAATAAAGAGTTTGTAATAATGCAGAGGGACAAGAAGAGCAAAAGGCAGTCCATTGACACGTAGATTGCACTTTTTAGGCTCCACCCTTCACTCATCTTGTCTAGAGCACATTGTGTCGATGCGCCATAAAGATTCATGACAAGAAAGTAGTAACTCCAGGTCAAGATCCTGGTAGGTATAATTGTTCCAAATAACACTAATATCCAAACATAGCGCCAAATTCGCTTGGTGAGGCTACCTTGTAGATGAACCGCGACAGTCATGAATATTCCTTGGAATGTCACAAAGGATAGATAAGCCATTTGCGAACCAATATAAAAATGATATTGTGTGATAGTGCAATGGGACGAGTATAAGACTATGAGAATAGACGTGCCAGTTATCAGTTGTATGTCGGCTAGTTGGAGGCATATAGACTGGAGACGCTCCGCTCGGATGTTGAAAGAATATTTTCGCCAAGCTCCGAATCTTAAGCAATGACAGCAGGATGGTAAGTGGATATAGTTCGATATTGTCTCAGCCAGAGGCACTATACATTGTCGAATGACAAACTTGGAAAGCATTTGCGTCTTGTTACGCATCAGGGAGTCGAGGTTGTTGTAATATTCGTTCGGTACAATTCTGTCATCGAAGAAATAGGCATAGAAAGCGAGGAGACTTGTGAGAAACGCGTAGACAAAGAATGAAGTTATAATCTGCAATCGAGTTGTCAAATCTTTGCTAGAGGCCGATAAGGTGCATCCTTGAAACATACCCCGATGCCAGCCTAGTTCATGCATAGTGAGTTCTGCGCTAGAAATGATTTTCTTTACTGCGAATTCTATAGCAAGGGAACTTACTATATCTGGGTTTCCATCAAACTCCCATGCCATTATTCTCACAGTATATTCAGTTTGGTTGGGACAGCGAGGATATGGAGAGCACATTTTAGACTGCTGATTCTTCGGTGTGCGGAAGGATGAGCAAATGAGATTTCCAGACACAAAATTTGCGAGAAGGTTACCGATGAGCCTATCTTGTGGAAGAGAAAGAAGATTTATGTATCAAGAATTATCATGGGAGCGAGGACATAAGACCTTCACATTCCAAGGATGTCACTAGTAGGCATGCGGTGAGTAAGCAAAAGGGCTATGCTGGTACTACCATACCCGAGCAAAGTGAAGCTGCGGACAGTATGAATTCCATTGGCGGGGTCCAAAGTGATCTACAAGAACAACAACCCGGGTGAAGCAAGTTCGAGAATGATGTACGCTGGCCCTGGGAAGACACCCTTAGCCGGACAAACCAGGAAATTGTATACGCAATATGACTACTGAAGATCTAGGATACTAAATGCGTCGTAAGGGACTGGGTTCAAGGCACTGGGTTCAAGGCATCTTCTAATCTGGCTTGGTGTTATCTAGCTTGGTCCGGCGACAAAAAAGCAAATATGGCCAACCTTGGAAGAAGTCAAGTCATTGGGTAGTAAGGTATTCTTAAACCTATGGGGGCTGTGTGAAAGTTCCAGTGCCAGGAGGCGAAATGCACCCAATGATACCTAAGCCAACTCAGTTGAAACGGGCCGGTGCAGGTCAAGTTGTCACTCTAACTTACGAATTGCGATTCCCACCTCAGCTTGCCCATTTGAGCTTTATCAACTGTCTATTGCGCATAAATGGCAACGATGAGAGAAGGCAAGCGCTTGGGGTTCCTTGTCCCTATTTGGCTGAGTCAGCCCCATGTGTAGATAGCGCATCGTAGCGCACCTAGATAGCTACATCTGCCTCAGTGATCACCGCCCATGGCACTACCTACGCTCATTATATCTTTGTCCATATGGTATTATCGGTCATATACCTCCGTTAGAATATATCCATTCAATTGTAGCACAAAATCATTCAGTATCTCACGACTAATTCAACGAGACAGTCATTTCCAGTAAAAAAGCCTTAGCAAATTCATAGGCGTAGAGGCAAGGTCATCATGCGCATTTTTCGGCAAAGGAATCCCCATCAGTCGCGATGTAGCTACCTGCGCAGTACGAATTCCATAGCTGATGTCCACGGAACTGTACCGCGGAATTTCGACAAACTGGCCAATGAAGCCAAAATTCAATGAATTTGCAGGTACGATCTCAGGGCGGTCGGTCATCGAGCGGACGAGTAACATGGAAGTCATCCGTGGCATGAGACGAGGAATGGTCATGGTGTGGTGGACCAAGGTTGGGTATCCAAGATGTCCAAGCACTTCTGTGAGAATCTCGGCACCAGAACATTGTTCCATCAATTTTTGGACGTAATTCCCTTTGCGTCTCGGGAACAACATGAAGCCCCAGATCACGTAGGTATCTCTTGGTTGTTGGCTGAAGACGGGCTGCGTAGGTATGCAAAGGCGAAGCTTCCAATTGCTTTCCTGTAGCATTATCATTGTTCCAGCCGCCGAATGGTCCGCTATGGAAACCAAAAATTCCCAAAGGGAAGAGTCTGCGGTGGTGATTGTGAAGGAAGCTAAAATCGATTCGTTCAGGCGAGTGCAAAAGTTGTAAGGGTTGCCAAATGTGAGCTGATTGGTCTCTAGCTCTAGCCATAATGCCCAATTCTCATCAAGCTCGTCGGCCGGTTCAATAGGCTTGGAAACAGGATGGTGGCTATTTGTACCGCTTGATGATCCTGAAACGGTGGAACCCAGCATCATAATAACTATATCTTGTGTATCTATCTCCTTTGTGATCTGGAATCCATTGGCGATAAGACTTAATCTAGATACCCTTTGTCGGCCGTCTCGGGCAGCGGTGACAACGATATCCGTGACTTTGGTATCAAAGAGGAAGTCCACGCCTAAGTTGTAGAGATAGAGGTATATAGGTCGAAATATAGATTCGTTCTGGTAATGTCCAGTAATATCCATGCATTTGAGGATACTCAGGTGAGGGTATTGTTTGAGATATTGACGAAGAGTCCGTCTGAATTCTATGGCGCTGTGCCAGGGTTGAAAACCAAATCTAGTAGCGTGAGTTCGAGTTCAGCACAAACACCCGAGTCCTAGCTTACTGGGCAGCCCATGTGATCCAAAACATACTTTCGAAGAAATTTTTGGGCATAAAATCGCTAATTTGATTCCTGCCCAGGCGTTTCTCACTTCGTATCATCAGCAATGCTAGATCCACGCGGCTTTTGATGCTCAATCCCAGCTTATTGAGTTGCAAATTTTCTTTGCTGTTTGTTTTTTGAAGAATGAATTTAGTTCGGTGGTGCGGATTTGCAGGCATATGACTCGCTTCTGCCTTTTGGATCTCTTCCAGTACTGTAGGGTCACTATCCCTCCCTGAGGGAATAGACCCCAGAAGCTCGTTCAAAGGCGCTCCAGCTGGGATTGGCAGACATCCTGCGAACTGATCGTACCCATGGCTGGAGTCACCCATATCGTGCAATGCTGCGCCCATGGATATATGTGAATCCAAAATGTGCACATTTCCCGGTGGCAGCTTGGCGCGCTGTACTAGATAAACTGCCGATGCAAGAGATGGAGTCCCGCTGCCAAGAATCCAGGCATGGGTTTCGCTTGGGGACCTTTTTGTCCGAGTGTGTGTCTCATCCATTAACACCTTGGCATATGTGATGGGAGAAATACTAGTAGCCGAAAAGTAGTAAGAAGGCCAAACTTGAACTTGAAGGTGTACGAATATCGTTGCCTTTACTGACTGCTATATTATACGGTCGGTATAGTATTGCGGGTCACTAGATGATATAATCCACGGATTGGGCTGTAATAGAACACTTGAGTGTGTATTAAAATTACGGCTGGCCAATGGCCACTGGTGCGGCTTCAAGTGGTAACGTCAGCGGGACGGCCTCCCGGCCTAGAGCAGCCGATGACCACTCCGCATCCTGCAAAAGTATGACCAGTGTATCACTGTGCTGCCCTTCTTCATCATGCCATTGGTAAGTCTCCCGTGATTCGTTCTTGAGATACATTCACCCCAGAATGCCTATTCGTGCTGGAACCTTGGTTTTCCAAAAATCCAGGTCAAGGTCACCTGCTCCTATCATATTCAATTTTTACAGTATAACAGTAAGCCATAATGACACTGGGTTACAAAAGCAGTTCGTTTTGCCTTTGTCTCAAACTTGGAACTTAACTATCATAGGTATCTCTGCCACATTTCCAACCCTGTGCAACCAAAATGGCTTCCCAGACACAGAATGGAAATTTGGAAGAAGTTTCCCATGAAAAGATTACAGCTGTAGATTTCCTGATCAAGACAGCTACTATTATACAAAAGATCGAAAAAAATCTGGAGCTTAACCGGCTAGATAGGAAGAAAATCCGCGAGCTCCTGAACGAATACTCCCGCCGTGCCGAATCAGATGGGAGACTTATGAATGCCGCAAGACAAGATGATCAATGTGCCAACCGAGGACTATTTCTGGCATACACTCACATGGAGCTACTATGCTGGCTGGCGAAAAATAACTTCAATATTCCATCGTCGTCGATAAGATGGTACAGCTTGCGGCAATTTCTCCCAAAGTACCGTATTCCGTCATTCTGGTCCTCCGCAAAACCATCAGAACTGAAAAGTCAGTTGAATCATATCAAGAGGACAGCTGCTTTGGTTCATGCGGATCTTCAAGCCCATCGTGTATGTCAAACAGATCATAAAACACAATCTAGGACTGTTCTAACTTTGAACAAGATTTCCGTCCCTGAAACCGCCATCGAATATCCTAGCGTTTCGGTAGGAGAGCCCGCCACCCAGCCAACAGAATGTGATGAACCCTTCTCCTCCTCTCGATGAAAAATTTTGAACTGACGAGGTTTTTTATAGCTTATAAAGAGCTCATGAACCGAGGTATTCAGGCGCAGAAGTCTCTCGAGGGATTGGTTGCGGCCTGAGGGCTTGGATGATTTATCCGAAGTTAATGAAGTTAATGGGTTTCTTGCCCTTTTTCGCTTTCTTGCCTGCCTTCGTGACATTAACGCGATTTAGTCTGATAATATCCAATTTCGTCTCTCTGTTGAACTGCCTAGGTGCCTTTTCAATGCCTTTATCTAATTTCGTCGCGTGTCTGACGGGTAGAGAGAGAAAACTGATCGGAGGCTACTTCGGTTTAACTTGCTAAATGAATGCTGAAAATACTGATAACTGGAGAAAAAGAAACCAAATTGCCTATTCAGCGCGCATAAATTCTGCAATAAGACACTCTATACTTAACTTTAAAACATATGAACGTCGTGTCCTAGGAGAATTTACTACTATTTTGTGGGCTCGAAACCGGGCCGAGACCGTGGTTTGACCACTGAAAGACCAAGATATTTTTGACTATAGGTTTATTTTTTCCGTAGTATGTCATATCGGAGTCCTGTATGTATGTGTAAACTCGCCAGTATATGCAGTCATTCAGTAGTTGTGTAAATGTGTAAAATCATAGATCTAAGTGTACGTCTTAATCCCGCCTTCTCCATGCACCAGGTTTCGCGAGCGGCTCCCATCGCCTATCCCAACCAGTTACCATCTCATTCTCCATATCATTGGGCATCAGATACCAGTATCCATGCTGTGTCCGCAGCTTGGAAGTTGTGGTGTAATCATCCTGAGCCGGGCGTTCATAGCCCGCAATTTTAAACACTTGATCCTCAGCAGCCGCAACTCCAGGCTGACCTTTTTCAACGCCTAAATCGAGGTTATAGTCGTACCATTCCTTCACCGGGCCAGTCAAGTCGTCTGTAGAGGCAAAATCAAGGCGTATGATACCATCCACGACACCAGTGTACACAGTTGGTGAGGATGGGGATGGAGTGGACATGCTGTATATGGGACCACGATATGATTGTTGACCTCTCCTGTGAGGGCGAGGAATATGACGTGTGAGATCCGGTGGGAGATTGGCGGATAGAAACATGGAGAAATCGTTGCTTGGTCGATCATCTCTATTGCCTTTATTTGACGCCTGTGGTGTTTGCGCTTCTCGATAATTGTAGCTTCTCCCCATGCGCAAGTCGAACATTTTCACCAAACCATCTCCACTTGAACCAGCCAAGAAACGATCGTTTCCAAGCGAATGCACGCAATACACGAGGTTTCCATCTGTCGTATCCCGATATGTCTTTTCGTAAGATCGCGGGGAACGAAGATCGTGAAGTCTAAGGTAATGTTAGTCACCACCTGTTGTTAAATTTGGGGCTGACTGTAGATATGGGTAACAAACCGTATAGTACGATCACCCCATGCAGCAAGGAATATGTGACCCGGGGACTCGCTGTGAGATTGTAAAGTGTCGAGGGGTGCAATTGAAGTAACACTGGCATGGACGCGATTAATCCGCTCCTCTATGTCCAAAGAATGAACATCTATCACCCTATCTAGGGAGACCCCTTCAGGAGAAATTGTTGAGATTGAAAGAGGCCTCTCCATTTCCCCGGTTGCCACTGCGACTTTTGATGGGGATAGCAATTTCGAGTAACGACTCCGCCCTAGGCTGCCCGTCTCATTGCGGATCCAGGCGAATGCGTCGACCTCCTCTTGATCACTAGCGGTGTTATAGAATGCAATCGATCCATCGTCGAAATGAGCAGATAGTGTCGAGTGTGCGCCTTGGCTGACATCTGTTCTGTCAAGTTCCAAGCCGTATGTCTTGAACTTTTTGCGATACTCATGGTGTTCTTGGGAAGGAGAAACTGCAAGGTGAACGATGTCGCCCCTCCTGCGGCCAAAGATCAAATTTTCTGTGTCGGTCTCTTTGCTCAACTCTGGCTGCATTATATGCACGCCACAGATATCCTCGTAGCTACTGACATCCTCCAGGTCATTGAAAAGAATCCAATTCATGTGAGGGTTCTTGCCCGATTGCTTTACCCGCACCACAAGCTGATGTGCCGCGCCCCATGCGAGGACTTCCTTCCGATCTGCCCAGGCCGCACCATTCCAGATCTCGTAAGAATCAATTGCAGGCCTGTATCCCAGGGTAGGATTGTCTCGTCGAGTTGTCTGTTGACAGCCAATGCGAGTGACAGTTTCAGGTAAGACGATAAAGCGGCCGATTACGCCGAGTCTGTCAAGAGCACGCGACCTCGATGTGAGGGCGCACGCTGCATCTTTCCAGAACGCTGGTGTGGGGGTACAAGGAAATTTGCTTTGTACTAAAGCTCGGAAAAGTCGGTACTCATCCGCGGAGATAATCCTGTAGAGCCTATGACAAGTTTGCGACAGATTTGTCAACGCATTTGCGGTCGGTAAATACAGTGCGATATGATAGATGATCTCCGATGGCAAATCAGAAAGCATGACGAAGGATTGCGTTTTGGTGGTTGTTTTTCTTTGTTGGAATTTGTTCACTGAGACTTGTTCATTGATGGAGATTTTACATATATGATTGCGTCCATTATTGTGATGGTGCTATTGTGACTCAGGGCTCGTGTTGCGGAATGATCGTGAAAATTGAGTCGCAAGATTCAATGTCTCGTCAATGAGTCCTCAAAAAATTGGGCAAACAGCGCAATTCAGTTTGAAACAAACAAAAAATTAGTCGCGAGGCTGCAACCGATGTGCACAATGACGTTAATCCAACGTTGGGCATAGTTCATCAACCTTGTTTCGCACGGCGGCGTGGCTGAAGTCATTGAAATTCATGACTAAGCATCCGGAAAATTGCAGACCGCGCGCCATCGACCTTAACCTTGACCTTCGACTCTCGAATTCAACCCACCCGGTCGTCGAATGAGGTCTGTTCCACACAATGCCACCCAGACTCAACCTTTTTACAGCACAGAAGGCAGCGGCGGCTCTCCGCCAGCCCGCCTCCTTCGCACCTCGCAACATCGCCTCCCCTCTCCGATTCCGCGCCGAACAGTCCGCCTCGATTCAGACAAGATGGATTTCGTCCAAGAGTGACAAGAAGGTTATTCCTCCCGAGGAGCAGAAGTTTCCAACTCAAGATCCTCTGCCCCATGTTAGCGAAGAGGCTGCCGAGGTGGACCGAATTATGAGCAAGGAAAAGAGCTGCGATGGACAGCCTACGGCTCCCGAACTGGAGCAAGGAACACCGGTCGAGGAGGTGAGCAAGACTTAAAAATAAGCACTCGAAGAATCTTGCTAACTCTGGATCCCATTTACAGATTCTCTCCCGTGACAAAGAAGCCATGAAGCACATGCCGAAGGTCATGCAAGACCAGCTCAAAAAGGGCCGCCGTTCGTTCTCGACCTCCGCTCGTAGCCGTCTGCCCGAGACCCAAAACTCTCAACCCGAGAGCGATGCATCTGCCGCCATGCTTGCGAGCATGATTCAGGGAGTGGAAGAGCAAGCAGCTGAGCGGATCCCAGGCTTGAAGTTCGCCGAGCCCGAGGCCCCGCGGGGGACATTGAACTTCCGGAAACGCTACGATACCATGCAAGACCAGTTCACCAAGATGCTGATGCAAGATGGCAAGCTGGCTCGCGCTCAAAAGGTTCGAAATGTCTCTTCATTCGTATTTCCGAAGTCCGAACTGACCATAAATCACTAGAACATGTCGATCATTCTGGATACCCTCCGCACCTCATCCCCTCCCAACATCCAATCCCGCCGTCCTCTCCTTGGAGCTCCCCCAGCTCCTCAACTGCCTCTCGATCCCGTTCTTTATCTCACTCTGATTGTCGACTCGGTGGCCCCTGTATTCCGCATTCGTCAACAGAAGGGTATTGCTGGTGGTGGTACTGCCGTGCAAGTCCCCCACCCCCTGACCCTCCGCCAGCGCCGTCGCACTGCAATCAAGTGGATTATCGATGGCTCGGAGAAGCGTCGTGATGCGCATCTCGCGCACCGTGTCGCAAACGAGCTGATCGCGATCGCCGAGGGCCGTAGTGGTGTGTGGGACCGGAGGGACGGGCAGCACAAGATTGGTATCTCTGGACGTGCCAACTTGGGTCTGGCGCCCCGTCGTCGTTAATATAATCATTGAGTGCGTGCTTCTGTCTTTTGGGGTTGACGGTTTAAACATGGTCTTTCAGCAATCTTTCAACAATGTATATTATGTGTATCAGTTCACGTTTGGCCATATGGAATCATTTATGCTTCACCAAGCTATTCTAGTACAACTGAGTGACTAGTATACCAATATATACATATTATTCCAACCTCCAATCCCATAGTATGCCCAGGTGTTAGACTACCTTGACTCAGGGTATACTATGTAAAATGCTTGATATAGCATGCGGCTGATAGGCCACAGCCACGCTGACTCAGCATCGAACTATTCTCAATACGGCATACAACGGTCCCTGAAGTCATCGCGAAAAAGGACCTCTTGGCTTGCAAGCAAGGTCCATGCTCATGTCCCGTCAGTGTCTCGGAGAATAAAAGGAGACGATATCACGTCGAATGCGAATGCGATCAGCCGCGCTCACCACCTTTCCAGCCTGACCATCAGTGCAACCCACGAAGCCAGCTCCAGCTGACCACACACCCGCCCACTCAGTCTGCCTGACCGCGCCCCGCAACTCCTCATTTCGTCGACCGGACCCCCCTCCTCTAAAAAGCGCAATTGCCTGCTCTTGGCCGAATTCCCTCCGGGCCCTCAACGACAGTGGCTACCTCCCCAAGCCGCGGATCCATCGAACTCACCGATTTCAACTCTACCACTCGTCCGTTAGCTCCACGAGCTCTCGGGTCTACAGCTGCGCGCACAAAACAATCGACGAGCGCTTCGCGGCCGTTCGAGCCAGCTGCTAGCTCACAATCGCTTGCGGGACTTCGATCCGAAAAGGTCGAGGGTTGGGAGAAAACTGCGACATCGGAACGCCCGCGGGGCTACCGCTCCTCTCGTCTTAGACTCTGGCCTGAAGCTCTTCAACGTCGAGCTCGCCGTATTGTCCTTGGACAGGTTGATACTGATCCCGAAAAACTCGCCAACATGAAGTTTTCACACAGCATTCAGTTCAATGCCGTGCCGGATTGGAGTTCGAATTATATTGCGTACAGCAATCTGAAGAAACTGTGAGTTTGTTCTGGCTCCTTTGCCCTTGCTCTGTGGTTGGAATGAACAGCCGCGATCCTTAACTATATGTGGTCATGCCCTCGGAGGTACATCTGAATGTGTATCTCGGAACGGGTGTCACATCGCACAGGAAGGGATAGTTGCATGCGGTTCGCGTGCGGACTGGTCGTATCGTTCCTGTGGCTAACGTTCCGCTCTTCATCTTAGCATCTATACTCTTGAGAAGCAAGTTAATCGGCCCGATGAACAGTCCGCCCCAGACGTAGAGTCCGCTCCACTCTTGTCCGGCGCACAAGTGCATAACCCGGACGGTGTGTTCAAGCGTGCCCTCGATGCGGAACTGGACAAGATTTGCACCTTTTTCCAGCAAAAGCAAAGGGAGATTTTTGAACTTACAGATGAATTGATACACGAGGGCACTGAGTATCTTCTGCAAACAGACGGTGTCAATATGGACCCTGTGAGCGAGAGCGTGGTCAAGGCGAGAAATCTGAGTACCAGCTCTCGCCCAGGAACCGGCTACACTCAGCCTCATCGTCGCCAATCAGGCGGCGTCAGTGATGATGCAGATGATAGCGATGACGACGTTTACCCTCCGGCTCTCAACCCTCGCAATAGACTCATGCAGTCGACCGATGGAGAGTCTACAACGGAAGATCGCGCCGGCGACATGGCGGACTCGGCCTTCTTTGGCATCGGAAGCAGCCGTGGGCCCCAGGATTCTGACCTGAGTGACCAGGCTTTTCTCGATCTGTACAATACAGGAGTCTCGTTGAAGAAGCGTCTCGTCGAAGCCTACGTCTCTCTTTGTGAACTTCGTTCGTTCATCGAGCTGAACAAGACCGGCTTCTCCAAGGCCTTGAAGAAGTACGACAAGACCTTGTTCCGCAATATGCGTCGGGATTACCTCGGTTCGGTTGTCAACCCAGCGCTGCCATTTACTGAGTCCACCACGTCTGCTGTTGATGATTACATCACTAAGGTAGAGGGTATCTATGCTGAAATTGTCACCAAGGGTAGTCGACCTTTGGCTAGCCGGGAACTGCGTCTACATTTACGTGAGCATGTGGTCTGGGAGCGAAACACTGTCTGGCGCGAAATGATTGAGATCGAACGCCGTGCGCAGGCCGCGAATGTCGGTATCCGTCGAACTCTCCTGGGTGGTGATGAGGATCCAGCCACGGCACGCCGCCAGGGTGACAAGCAAGAAATTCGAACTACAGAGATTGGAACCCCCCTTGGAAGCATACACTTTCCCACGTGGCTCTGCAGTCTCAGCTTCGGTACTCTGGTCTTCAGCTTTGCTATATTCGGAGCATTGCTGGCCACGCCCTTGATGGAGACACCCGAGCAACAGAACTGCCTTGCAATGCTGGTTCTTGTTAGTTTTCTTTGGGCTACTGAGGTAAGCATTTTGATATTTTGACTTTTATGGGAGATCCGAATTTCTGACATGATACTCTGTAGGCCATTCCGCTTTTCGTGACCTCACTGTTGATTCCGTTCCTGGTCGTTGTGTTGGGTATCATGCGGTCCGAGGAAAAGCCGCACAAGCGACTTGGTCCAAAGGAATCTGTTGGCATGGTATTCGCAGCTATGTGGACGCCAGTTATCATGCTTCTTCTCGGTGGTTTCACCATCGCTGCAGCTCTGTCCAAATATGATATTGCCCGACGCATGGCCATGTTTGTTCTGAGCAAGGCTGGCTCCAAGCCCAAGACCGTGCTGTTGACCAATATGTTTGTAAGCATGTTCCTGAGCATGTGGATCAGTAACGTTGCGTCGCCCGTTCTCTGCTACTCGATCATCCAACCTCTTCTTCGAAACTTGTCCCCGGACTCGAACTTTGCGAAGGCACTGGTCCTGGGTATTGCTCTGGCCGCCAATGTCGGCGGTGCAGCTTCGCCCATCGCTTCGCCGCAGAACATCATTGCTCTACAGAACATGTATCCCAGCATCAGCTGGGGCACATGGTTCTTCATCGCGCTGCCTGTCTGCATTATTTGCATCTTCCTGATCTGGGCCCTCCTCCTGGCAACATTCCACCCGGGACGCAACACGACTATTATCCCCATGCGCCCGGTCAAGGACCGCTTCACTGGTATTCAATACTTCATCAGCGCCGTGACTCTCGGAACGATCGCGCTCTGGTGCGTGAGTCACCAGCTCGAGCATGTCTTTGGCGATATGGGTGTCATAGCAATCATTCCCCTTGTGCTTTTCTTCGGCACGGGTATTCTGAACAAGGAAGATTTTAACAATTTTCTTTGGACGATCATCATTCTCGCTGCTGGTGGACTGTGTCTTGGTAAGGCCGTCACCTCCTCTGGTCTTCTGCACACCATCGCTGGAAGCATCACCGAACGTGTCGAGCACCTGAGTCTATATAGCGTGCTCCTCGTCTTCTGCGCCTTGATTCTTGTCATTGCCACCTTCATTTCCCATACCGTTGCTGCTCTGATTATCCTGCCTCTGGTCCGTCAAATCGGTGTCAACATGGAAAACCCCCACCCCAATCTTTTGGTCATGGCCAGTGCCCTGATGTGTTCCGTTGCAATGGCCCTGCCCACAAGCGGGTTCCCCAATATGAGTGCGTATCCCTTTGGTCTTGTAATTTAGATGTGAATACTGACCTGTTTTAATAGCTGCCATCATGACCGAGGTCCCAACAACCGGCCAGCGCTACCTCCAAGTCCGCCATTTCATCACTCGCGGTATCCCATCAAGCTTAATGTCCTTCGTAGTGATCGTCACCCTCGGATATGGACTAATGTATATCGCGGGGCTATAAAGGTGAAAAAGCGGCAAATCATCTCTTCATTTGGGACATTGATGTAATGAATTCCACGGTCTAGAGGAAAAAAGACTCGGTGCAATGCTAGTTGGCTGTTGTTTTTTGTTGTTGTTTTTTTCTCCTTTTTTTTTCTGAGCGCATTGCTGCCTTTTCTCTGCGTGTTCATTACCGGTATCCTCTCGGTGTACTCGGCTTTTGTTTCGTTTTGTTTGGGCAAATAGACTGACGGATGGCATATCCGTCCGGCTGCACATCTTACACACCTGGAATCCAGCACATACCACCATATCATCTCGATAAAAATATGCATATATCCCTTCCATCGCAATTGAGTATTCAACCAGACAACTTGAAGTTAGACGAGGAATGTCCAACCTTCCATGTCCGTGGCACGTCTGCCCGACTGGTTGGGCGCTGACAGTAACACAACCACGTCACCGATACTCCGATCCAACACGGGTAGCAAATACCATGGAATCAAGTGAATCGATATTTTACAGGTACTGATTACAAGGGTCTTGGATAAGCAACGTGTCACTGAGTAGACAAGTACGGGTCTTGATTATCCCTTCGCCGAGGCAACTATATGGGAGAACAATTATACTGTACAATCACGACCAGACACCGAAACCCTGAATGGAGGCGCCAAGTCAAATCTAGGGATTGAACAGACCTAGACACACCAAATGAGGAGAGGTAATAAAAAGAGAAAAACAAGTAAATGAAAATAAAAAATAAAAAAGCAGGACGTGCGCAGTCATAATCAAAACCGGCCAGCTATGCAATCCTGCATCTTGCATCACCGTACATGAGTCGTCGCTCGCAGAGGTATCAAACGTATAAGCATTGTGGACAGAAGGGTATTCTGCAGTTCATCCACTATACTCGGGTTGAATTAATTCCTACAAGGTTAGTTAGTACAAATTAGGAAGAAGACGAATGAAGGACGTCTGGAAGAACCGGGGGGGAGATATAAAAGAAAGGGCAATACTGACAATAATCCCAAAGTCAAATCACCATGAATCTTGGCCTTGAGCTGAATCTCAATATCAAGATTCAAATCCAGTCGCAGACGCAGCTGTTCGTCCCGACCACCTCCATCATCCTTCTCCTCTTTTTCACCTCCGCCCAGAATGCCGCCGACGGCTTTCCCGGCGGATCCAGTGACTCCGTTCAAAGCGTTGCCGGCTGTGTTCTGGACTAACTGACCGGCTTGATCGACGCCGCCAAGACCACCAAGTGGGCCACCATCACCACCTTGCTGCTGCTGTGGCTGGCGGGTGCGGCGAGTGCGCTGGCGTTGCTGAGGTTGAGCGTCCATGTCGTTGCGGGATGGGCGCGGGCGACGACGGCGACGGGGTTCTTCTTTTTGAGGTTGAGGTTCGGGTTCGGGTTCTTGCTCTTGCTCTTCTTCTTTATGAGCGTTACCGTTCTGGGTAGTTTCCTTCTCGTGATCGGAGTCGGGTTCTTGTTGAAGGGATTCAGGCTCGGGTTCAGGCTCTTGGTTTTCTTCCTTTTGCTCTGATTCTTGATCCTGGTCTTTCTCTTCGGTCTGATCTTTGTCTGTTTGATCTTTATCTTGATCTTGTTGACCTTGCTCGGAAGGAGGAGGGGTCTGCTCTTGCTTGGCTGGAGTCTTCTTTCCCAGCTTAGGAGGGGCACGCTTTGGCTTGTTGGGGGTTGTAGGGGTGGACTCCGGGTTGGGGTTAGAGGATTCTTGATCGGCCATAGTGGAAAGAGAAGAGAAGAAAAGCAATGGGAGGGGAAGAGGGGAAGCGGAGAATATGAAGTGGTCCGATGCAGATGAAAAGGGTTATGAAGGACCAAGCGCCGCTGTGTAATGAGGATGTATTGCAATGACGCGGTCTAGAAGAAGCCACTTTGGAAAGGCATAAAACCGGCCGAAGATGAAGATGGAACGTGGGGAGACCCGCCTCCGACGTCAGACGAGACGTCAATTGAATTGTGTGGTACTGTTTTGTGGCTCAAGAAACATGCCAGACAAGACGAAAGGCTGGAATGACGTCGGAGGGGGGAGCAGGGATGTGGTGCATTAAGGTGAAAGTATGGAGTAACGGAGGTATATACTGTACTCCAGGGCTAATGTAGAAGTCTACAGTAGTAGAATACGGAGTACCCTGCAGCCAAAGACTTTCCCTGATATGAATTAGGCGGATCGGATCAGCAGTGGAAAATGTCCGTGTCTATCGACCTTATGTAATCAACCAATCAGGGAATGCGCCGGTGCATTTTGGCAGGTGCGACCCACTTTTATAGATTAAACAACGACGTAAGACGGTCGCACTTGCCAATCGCCGTTGGACTCGACATTAAAATGACGTCGAGTAAGGCACTCTCCCTCTCAACAGTTGGCAACTTTGGTTAAGCGGGTTCTGGAAGTTGGCAGATTTTGATCCTGGAAGTTCCAGCCCGGCCGAAACTCTTGTTTCCACGGGTCAAGCCAGGGGGGAACCAGCACTTGTTGGCTGCCTTGGCTGGGTATGACTGGGAGGCCGGTAGATGCCGCCCAAAAATAGAACTTCCATGATATCTCCACGCCCGTCGTGGCACGAAGCATGGCATGACGCCGGTGGTCCTCTTCTCTAGCCACAAAAGGACTTCGTGACAGGTACATGTACCACTTGTGACAGGTATCCAATTCCATGTAACTATATTACCGCTGAGCACTTGCTGGTGGAGAGTCCATCTCACCCGCCGCCAACGTCATGGCAGTCGGAGGTGACGATCTAGTCCTGCCCCTTCATATCATATCACCGCTTTCCTCATTCCCCTCTCTTTTCTCCAATCCTTAGCGTTCTATTCCTATTCTCATTCAAGTTGGATTCCTTAATCCATTAATCTCGAAATACCTCGTCCTACTCATTCTATTTCCATCCTCGTCCCCATCCCCGTCCCCATCCCCACCAAAACATCATGGCCACCGCCGAGAAGCCCAAGGAGCAGCAAAAGCAGTTCCAAGTGCCCGAATATTCCGATGATGAGGATTATGACAGCGCCGATGACTATGAATACTCAGACGAGGAGGAGGATCAACCCAAGCCCGCTGCTAAGAACCAGCAACTTCAGCGCCGCCGGCAACAACAGCCGCAACAGCAAGACGACGATGAAGAAGACTCAGAGGAGTACACCGATGAGGACGAATACTCTGATTACTACCCTGACGACGAGGACTACGATCAATTTGGAATGACCAAAATGACCGGCGACACCTCGATGCCACCCTGGCAGGGCAATTCCACCGACATGAACATTGCCGATAAGAAGAAGAAAAGCATCGACGATGAGGAGGGAATGAAACTGAAGCTGGAACTCAATCTGGAGATTGAGATTGAACTCAAGGCTCGCATCCACGGTGACCTCACCATTGCTCTAATGTAAGCTGCATCCCATCTACTCCTTTCGTTGGAGAATATTCGCTCAAAGAAAACAGGAGTTGATCGCGTCGGCTACAGTGCATAAAATCAGTCGTCATTTCCTTTTTTATATCTCCTATATCCTTTTTCTTTTCCTTTTACTTCCGTCTCTGTCTTCGTCCCCGGCCCATTTAGTCGATGTCCTCGCTATTCCACGGTGTTCGCATTTGCAGTGGTCGCCTTTCATATGATGATAACGTCCGATTCCTTTTTTTTTTTCAATCTTCTGTGCTCTGCATGATTTCATAGAGCCCTCGCTTGATCATCGCCTAATTTCTATCTTCTCTTATTTGATCTGGATCGGTCAGACAGAGCCTTACCCACGGTACTGGAGGCGCGGCGCCGGAGTCGATACGTTGGATCTTGTACTACTATATGTATATATCAATGAGAGTAGGTTTGTACTTTCAGTCAAATTGAGAATAAGGTAGTAATTGCCAATTGATCAAGCAGCACGTTCCAAGAGTGGTTTTCTAAAAGAAACTCAAGTTCAAGTTGAAATTTTGTCGTAGATAGCTACCCATGTATATATTTCCACATGCCCTTCCTGTACTATATTACCGGCCTTAAGTACTATCGAATCCAGCGGATAAACTGACTGCCAGCCCTGAAGTGTGTTCTGCTCATATAATAATATTTTACAAGCCACATACTAAATTACTAGTAGCTGTGTGATAAAATCTGAACGATGGCTCAAATTTATTGCATATTGGCTGCTGCAATCACACCCAACCCATGCAGCCGCACATGAGGCTTAGGCCGAGGTTCGGGCTTGGCGTGGATCCATGAGATCTTCAGACTTCAAGTTCCCACCTTTTTCCCCTGTCACTGCCTATCGCAACGCCCACGACATACTCTTAAATCTCACAAGGAGTTGTCACTATCTCAATTCAACCAGTTCAACACCGACGCTTACCCTTCCCTCCGATATTCGGCCGACTACTTCACTATGTCCGGCAAGGACTTCATCATCAAACACATGAACGCCGACCACGGCGATTCACTACAGCTATACCTACAAGCCTTTTCCCGCATCACAGCCAGCGAAGCCAAAGGCGCAACCCTAGAGGACCTCACCCTCTCCGACCTGACCATTCGAGCCAACGGAATCCGCTACGGGATCCCCATCGACCCGCCCATGGCCAGCTTCAATGAAGCCCGCGGTCGGCTGGTCGGCCTGCACAAGGATAGTCTGCAGAAACTTGGCCGATCCGACGTGACATTGACCGAATACCGTGCTCCGCAGGGCCACCAGATTGTGATCTTTGCCCTGTGCGCCTTCCTGTACATCACCTGCTTCAGTCGCGAGAACCTCCTGCCTGGAGCATTTGTATACGAGAACTTTGGCTACAAGTTCGTTCCGGACTTTGCGCACTTTGTGTACAATATCCAGCCCTACCTGTTTCCCATCACGGTCGGCATTCATATCTTCGAGTCGGTTTTGTTGGCTCTGACTAAGTTGAAGCCACATGGGGTGCCGTTCTTGTCGGGGCTATGGCTTGCGTGGTTCGGTTCGTGTTTGGTGGAGGGATTCGGGACGTTCCAGCGGATCAGCCGCATTGTGAAGGAGGAGCGGGAGAAGGGTGGGAAGAAGCAATAGAGGGTGGAGAGAATGGGGTGAAAGTGTATGCAATGTAGTCAGCTAGATAGAGGAGAAATAGCAGAGCAGCTATTGCAATGAGAAAGACTATTGTTAGAGTCATTGGACCATTCTAGGATCACCCTAAGATAAATGCCAAGGCTGATAGATGACTAAGCCCGGATAACAGATCACGGGACCGCACACGGTGGCGCTACACCCAAACCGGGTTAGTTCGCTTAGGGCAACCGCACAAGCGAGTAACACACTGGGCCAGGGAATATTCAATCCTCCGCCGCTCGACGACAGTATCTCCCACGACAACCCACGACAACTTTCCGTGTTATTTTGGTGGCTGCAGAGTTAGGGGTGAGTTATCCTCGAGAATCGCCCTCAGTTTCCAGTTTCCTACTTTCTGCTTCGTCCCGACAATCGCTGCGTGAGGGGGACAAAGAATTCCACCGTGGATCTCGAAATTGAAATTGAAAATCGAACTTCGACATTCGTTCCTTTCCTCCCTTGGACATCCCACATACGTTCAATTCAATCCTTCGCCGCTACCCAACAACACGACATTGCCAAATTTTCAATTCAATTACCGATCTTCTTGCACGATTATCCCCGTCGAAACAGAAGTTGTGGAAACTGGAATATACAGGGTCAAACGCACCAATCCGATCGAGTTCTAATCTTGTCTTGTTAAACCAGACTCCATCCATCAACCGCAAACATGGGTATCTCTCGCGATTCTCGTCACAAGCGCAGCGCTACCGGTGCCAAGCGCGCCTACTACCGCAAGAAGAGGTACGACACCATCCATTCATGATTTTTTTTTTCTGTTCTGCCGTTCTCGTGTTGCACAAAGGAGGAGGCTTGTCTGTCTAAGGGGATGGTTACTGTGGTTATTGCGTGGAAATGATTCGAGATTTGAAGATGCAACCGAAGAAAGTTCTTTTGTGGGCCAAATTCTGACTTGTCTTCCCGTTGAACAGAGCCTTCGAGAAGGGCCGCCAGCCCGCCAACACCCGTATTGGCACCAAGCGCATCCACCTGGTCCGCACCCGTGGTGGTAACCAGAAGTTCCGTGCTCTCCGTCTCGAGTCCGGTAACTTCTCTTGGGGCTCCGAGGGTGTTGCCCGCAAGACCCGTGTCATCGGTGTCTCTTTCCACCCCTCCAACAACGAGCTGGTCCGCACAAACACCCTGACCAAGTCCGCCGTCGTTCAGATCGACGCTGCCCCCTTCCGTCAATGGTACGAGGCACACTATGGCCAGGGCATCGGTCGCCGTCGCCAGGCCAAGACTGAGGTCACCGAGGAGAAGAAGAGCAAGTCTGTCACCAAGAAGCAGGCTGAGCGTTACGCCGACCAGGGCAAGGTTGAGGGTGCCATCGAGCGTCAGTTCGAGTCCGGTCGCCTGTACGCCGTTGTTTCCTCCCGACCTGGCCAGTCCGGCCGTGTCGACGGTTACATCCTGGAGGGTGAGGAGCTGGCTTTCTACCAGCGTGCGATCCGCAAGTAAACGAAAAACAAAAAGGGAAAGCCATTCGGTTAATATACCGCGTGGGTTGTCGATGCACGGGTGGTTATCGGAGTTTCAGCTATGTTTACCAGAAAACTTGTCATGATCTGGGCATCCACGGATGCAATGTCTGTAGAGCTCTGAGCCGTCAATTCTATGGGAATCTATTTTCCTGTTTACGTTACTTGTGATTTCCTGCTTTCGCAGCACCTGGTATTGTAGGATGCCATGTCTTATCAAGTCGTAGTTAACCACAGTAGATCATCCCATCCCATCCCATTCTCATGGCCATCACATCCCATCCCATTCAACATTCTGCGGGGCTGACGTCGTCCCATGTCGATAAGGCCAACCACTAGCCCATCCTAAGGTAGCAATTAGACCGAATATCAGATTGAAGCCTGCTATAAATACTCATGATGATTATGGTTGCCTCCATTTGACCTGTTTCGGAGCACAATGCACCAGTAGGAATATCTGTTATAGCATAGGAGCCTAGCCTACCACAAGTGATCCGGGACGATTTCCATGTTTGAGGCTGTGATTCATCCTTCCCTTTTCCCTCCTCACATCACCCCACACCCCTCTGCACCATTCCTTTCCTCGTTCCAAAAGACAGGAAAAGGTTCATCCAAGCATTCTCCCCACCAAGTTTATCCTCTCTCATATCATCCCCGGGGCTTCAAGCATGGCCTCAACTGCGGGTATCAAAACACGCATCTGCATGATCTCGGACACTCACACCACCAGTCCCTACTCGTCCTCAAGAAAGGACCATGCCTACCGCAGTCCCCTCCCAGAAGCCGACATCCTCCTCCATTCCGGCGACCTCACAAAGGTCGGCTACCGCACCGAGCATGAAGAAACCATCGCAATGTTTAAAGCCGCGCCCGCCGAACTAAAGCTCGTGATCGCAGGCAATCACGACATCACCTTAGACGAAGAGTACTTCCTCCGCACCGGCTACAGAAAGCACCGGCGAACAGAATACTTCGGCACAAAAGACATCCCCCTTCACAAAGACGAACAAGACCGCCTCGAAGCCATCCGCGAAGGAACAATTCCACCGCCCGCAAAACTACAAGCCTACATCCGCGACATAAAAGACCTCTACACCAACGAGTCTGCCCGCGCCGCGGGAATCCGATATCCCAGACGAAGGAATCCACACATTCACCCTACGCTCTGGCGCAACATTCACCGTCTACGCCTCGCCCTACCAACCCGAGTTCTGCAACTGGGCGTTCGCATATGACCGCAACGAAGACCGCTTCAATCTTCCCGCGCCTGGGTCCGAGGCCCCTGTTCCTGCAAACCCGGTCCCGGACTTCCCAAATATCGATATTATGATCACTCATGGCCCGCCTGCCGGGGTCCTGGACTGCGTTGGTGATGGCAGACGGACGGAGCACGTCGGGTGTGAACATCTAATGCGCGCGGCTGAGCGCGCAAGGCCTAGACTCTATCTTTTCGGACATATTCATGAAGGATGGGGGGCAGTGCGGGGCACGTATGACAGGACGAAGGCCTCTGAGAAGGACAGTAAGGAGGGTGCTAGTGCCAGTGCTAGTATCAAGCTGGAAGAAATCCCTGTTGACAAGAAAGATATGATCGAAAAACGAGGCGTCTATCTTGATGTTAGCTCCGAGGCTCAGCGACCGCTTGCTTTCGGCGATGAGACTTTGTTTGTCAATGCTAGTATTGTGGATATCTATTATGAGCCGGTTAATGCGCCTTGGGTGGTTGATTTGGATTTGCCGAGGGTTTGAGTGAGAATTGTTGGTGGGCTGACCTGATGATTGCTACGACTACGACTGTTGATATTATGATGTGATGAAATAGAATAAATTGAAAATTCTCTTGCTCGGTGGCGAGCATCACTAATTCAATCTTTCGTGTCTACGAAGTTTCTTAGGATAGTAGTAGTACTAGTAAGATTGGCTCTCATCGGTGCTCAGTGGGGACTTCAAGGTCCCGAGGTCCCCGCCGGACCCAATGTATATATATCTTGGCCCTGAAGAAGGTACCACTATCTAGTATTAAGTCAGTACGTCTCTCAAGGGACCTAACCAGTACCTAGGTGCGACCAAAACGACCTGAGGCGCGGAAGCGCGTCTAATACATGACAGTACACAAGAACATGATAGTTAAAATAGAAGAAACTTGGAAGAATAGTCAATTAATTTTTTAAGCCTCTAAGTAGTACTACTATCGTGGAATCGCTTCATCTCAGTGGCATATATCATCCCTATTAGGGCAAGTTACCTAGCCCAACACAACGTCAGGTTGGGACCAACCATTTGCGCCCTGGACCACCTTCCTCCTTCATAAACACCATAACAAGCTACTATATATCCATCATTACGAGAAATAACTACTGAAAAAACCCGATGAAACAAGACCGAGAAGCCAGGCGCCGAAAAAAAAGAGAGCAAGATGAGAGAAGAGGAAAAGAAATTGTAAGAAAGAGAGAAATAGAGAGAAAAACAAAACAACATAATAGAAAATGAGAATGAAAAAACGCCAACGACGCCACGTTCAAATGTTCAATACCGCCACCTGAACTTGAACCTAGAAACCGCCAAGGGCAGCGGCATAGGCGAGGTACCATGTGCGTGTGGCACCGCCGTCAATCCAGCTGTAGTCAAAGTGGTGCTGAGCGAAGAAGCTCCATGACGCCTTGGGGTTGACAAGGGCCAAGTTTGCGAACAGGACGCCCTTCCAGCCACCCTCGACTTTGTCGGCAGGGGTGGAGGCATTCGGCGCGAAGATGGCTTCCCATTCCTCTGCCACGAATTGCGGGGTTCGTGTGTAGGCGGAGTTGGGAAGGAGAGGGAGCATGTGAATTCCTTGGATGAATTCCAGGCTGTTACCGAAGTAGGTGGTGTGGTCGACCTTGTTCTCGAAGAGCTGTGGGATAGAAATTAGTATTGGTACGGTCATCAAGGTGAGGGAAAGCAGATATGAGCTGGGATTATACTTACAATGCCGGTGACCTTGTTTCCGGCAAAGTTCGGAGGCTGGTTGGTGTTGTTGTTGCGCATGAGGAAGTAGTTGTCCAGGGATCGGCGCATGATGCCCAGCATCAAGTTTCCACGAGCCTCCATGCTCGCGTCACCGATCGTACGACCCCACATCTTCACAGCATACGCAAACATGGTGTCTTCAGAAGTGGATTCTTCGTCTTTGCCATCGTAGGACTCGAAAAGACCCTTGGCCCATGAGTGACCGTTGAACCAGTCGAAGGCGCGAGAGAAAGGGAAGTGCGGGTCATCCTCCACTGAGTTGCCGGCATCGCGGACCAGCATGTTGACCCAGTCCTTGTTCTGGGCCAGCCAGCTGGAGTCAAGAGAGCCAATGATAGCCGCAGCCTGGATGAAGTAGCCATAGTGGAAATGGTGATCGTTGTACGCGGTGTTTCCAAAATCTTGGTTCAAGTCGCCCTTGTATCCTGCTGTCGAGACAACACCCTTCCAGACGGAGTCGTATGCGAGAGGATACTCCTGTTCGTTATTAACAAAGCGTGCAAAGCTGCTCTTGAGCTCCTGGAAGGCATCGCTGGCTGCGTGCAAATCACCGCCAAGCTGGGAAACAGTCCAAACGAGAGTCGCGAACTTGCTCAGCGCTTTACCGCTGTAATACATGCTGTTCAGGTTAGTCTCCTTGGAGATATTCTGCTGCAGCTCGTATGGGGCAACATCGACGATTGCTTTCTTGGCTTCAGGGGATAAGGCGTGGACATTGCCTGAGCTCGCTGACCAAGGAGCAAATCCCATATCAACCGGGAGCTTGGGCTCAACCATCGTCCAGCTATCGCCGATAACGGCAGTCGCATTGCCCTTGGTAGTACTTCGAAGGTGGATGCTGGTGACACGTCCAGCAGTGCCGCTGTCAAAGGATTCGACGTGATGCGGCAAGGCAAACATAATGAGGGGAGTTCCGTGGGCGTGTTTTCCGGCTTTGGTCCAGGCCAAGCTGTACGAGCCAGTATCGCCATCCACAGACCCAGTAACTTGACCTGCAATGGGATAAACACCAGCAGAGCTGTCGTAGAATTTCTCACCCGATTTGCCAGCAGGGTTCTTGGCGATCTGGATAGTACCAGAGAAACCATGAATACCACGGATGCTCGACTTGGAAACCAATTTCAGGTTCGGGTCCTTGTCATCGTTGGGAGATACATAGAGCACCCAGTGCGTATCATCTTCCAGATCAACTTGGTACTTGAAGATTCCAGGCTTGGGCGATCCAGCGCTGACAACCTTGCGGAAGAAAACTCCACTCTCGATCAGGGGCTGGAGGCGATTGTAGATACCGGTGATGTATCCCATACCCTGAACAACGGGGAAGGTAATGCTTTGAGCGGAACCGGCAGAGCGCTTCAAGACGGCGTGAGCGGAGAAAGCTTTGGGCTCCTCGACGTCGAGGACACTGGACGCATCCAGCTCGGTGGCAGATAGAACCACATGCTGAAGCCCCACGGGATTGATGTAGTACTCGACAGGGTCACCCGGGAGCTTATGGTTCTTTGGACCGAATGCCAGTACCTTAGCTTCCAGATGCGAGACTCCGACACCGTAGCTCTTGAGGGTACCTTGTCCTTTCGACCAACCGAGAGAGTACGGCTGGGTGAAGCTAGCATTCGTCTGAGTGCCAAGAAATAGTCCGGCATAGAACTTGTTTGTTTCAATCGGATCAGATGTATTGGCCTGGACTTTGTATTAGAAAGACATAGTCTCAGCTTCTGTGAATGGGTACATACATGGAGATTCTTCACCGGGTGATCACTACGAGCTTTGATATTCGCAGGAGGCGCATTGGTGGCGACTGGCTCGAAGACATCCTGGTTGTCCATAGTCGATGGGTGATCAGAACTGTCTGGAGGTCCCGGCAGATCAGTGGAGGAACCCAAACTTGGTAAGTCTGTTGGAAGAGCACTTGTTGGCGGAGCTGTGGCAGGAAGTTGAGATGTAGTCGGCAGAGCAGGATCAGCACTCGAGTCGTCGTCGTCGTCGTCGGGGTCGTCGTCAGAAAATAAGTCCGAGATACCGTCTAGAACTCGTCCAACGTCCGGTGACGGAAAAGGAGGTTCGGCTGGATGACCGTCGTTATTGAGGGCAATACGGTAGATCTGTAGTGTAATGTCAACATCGGATATAAGGCCCTTGATAGGTGATCATGAAACGTACTGGTGAGGTCTCTGGGATAAGCAGCCGCTCCTCAGAGTTCGAAGGAGGATATTGAGTCTTGAAAGCAGTGCTAGGCCCTGTAGCAGTCTGCTCCAAGATCTTTTCCGCAACGCTGCCAATTGGCTGCGTCTGCGGAAGACTGTGTACTGATTCTGCAGCAAGAAGCCATGTTAGCAAAGCTGTGGCCTTCCATGATGACCCCATTTTGCAATTGAAAGACCAAAAGAAGCCAAATAACCAATTGCAGGAGAACAGGGATGCTGTAAGTAGAATTCTATGCTCCAATATGTCCCACGTCTGAACGTGGACCAACAAGCACAGTGCAGCTTCGCAGTTGTTGAAGGGGAGGAATGGGATCAAAGAACAGGAGGACAAAAGAAGCGAGCAAGAGGAATACTTACAAGTAAGCTAGGTATGTGCTACAGATTTCAGTCGGCACAGTGAATGTGCTTCGTGCTCAGGGCTCCTTCAGTCTCGCAGCCCACCGCGGGCCAGATTGTTGTGACGGGCCTGCAGAAAGAATTCGGGCCTGCCGATCCTCATGCGAGATTAGTCGCACGGAGCTGCCAGATAGAGCAAATATGGATGGATGGTCAAGCCGCGGGGAGGACGGCGTGTGTTTAGTTCAGCAATGAAGGGTGTCGAGGGCAACAATGAGGTTCCTGAGCGGGCGAGGTTGTCCCCACCACGAGGAATGTGAGGTGGATAGGTGTCAACAAAAGTCCCACAAGGGAGTAGCCTCTTGATTAAAATTGTAATTGGATTCTAATTGAATCAACTAGCCGAGTAGATCATTGATTGTCTAAAATTGTATCTATTGGAGAGATGGGAGTGAAGACGCAGGGAGCTAAGTTGTCGTACCTGAGTGGGGTGGATGCCAAGGGTGTGAAGCAGCTTGAACTACTGTACATTAGGAACCTGAAGATCTTCCAAATTCTAGTAATTCAGAACCTGAAGGATTAGAGATAACTCTTAAGCCGGTGATTCACCATACAAACCATGGGTGGGAGAAAGCATGCCCCGATCAGCGGGCTGGTTCACCCAGCAGCCAGCCCGGCGATATGGTAGCATTCCAATGCCCGGCCGAGACGGGCCTTTCATGCTTCCAACACAAGCGGATGATTGTCGTCATCGGATCGGAAGGCCCGTCGAGTGTTGATCTATCAAGCCATGCCGAGAATGTCGGGGAAGCCAGAATGATAGAAAAGAGGCCGAACAAGGCGGAGAGCCAAGGTTAACTCGGAGATTGGGTTTGGTCTACGAAGTTGCTTGAAACATAAAAAAAAAACATGGTATTCTTTTTGATTTGCCCAGACGCCGTTGGGGTCTACCCCTAGAGAAAAATACAAGGTAGATGGTAGATATAATGCGGAAAGAATATACAGATCCCCGATTCGTAGCATGGTGGCTTAGACCATGGGCTTCTCCATGGGCTTGATAATGCCTTGCTTGATCAGAAGACGAGGTTTGGTGCCATCCTGGTAAGATTCCTTGGTCGACCACTCCGGGCCGAGTGGCATGCGTAGCGATCGCTCGTACTGGGACTTGGTCTCGAACTGGTGAGGCAATTGTGTGGCCATGTACTTGACGTTCTATGTGAGAGAGAGAGAGATTAGCTGAAGTTCCGTATTTGTCGACAGGAAGAAAATGATGATGATGATGATTGCATACCTTCTTGACACGCTTCTCATTGATGATGACCCGAGACAACTTGGCGTCCTTGCGCTTATCGGCCTTGACGCCCTCAACGGTGGTCAAGAAGCGCTTCTGTCTCTTCTTCTGCTTATTGCTGATACCGTCACCTGTCCAGCTACCCCATCCATCCAGAGTGTTGTCGACAACCTTATCACCCTCATCCTCAATGGTGTCCATCTTCTCTTGCTCAAAGTCTTGTACCACCTCATCACCGGCGAAAGCCCGTTTCACGAGGTCGTGATTCTTGAGTAAGACAGGCACATTATCCTCATCATCACTGTCGTTCTCTTCTTGCACACGCCGCTTGGAGGGGATGGCCTTGGCGGGCTTGCCCTTCTTGGAAGAGCTGATGGCCTGGGGCTGTTCGGCGCTGACGGAGATGTCAAGTGCTTCTTGAGTGTCAGCACCTTCTCGTCGACGGTTATTGCGTCCAGTCTGAACAAGCCACGGGTTCTCTTCCTCCGCTGGCACGTCCTTCTGAGGAATAGACAACTTCTTGGAAGATGCAGCAGTAGCCTTGGAGCCAGAAACACCGGGCTTCTGCTTCGCAGGACGGTCGGTAACGATGTCGATATCCTGATCCGAGTCGACCACCCGCTGCTCGTCGTCGGAGTCGGCAGCTTCCTCAAATTCATTCTTGGGCAAAGCCTTCTTGGCGTTCGGCTTGGTATCGGTTTTGGCTGATTGACCGAACTTCCGACGGCCAACTTCAGACTCCGCTTCTGACTGTGACTCCTCACCATGCAGATCACGATTGAGCTGTCGGATTTCCGCGTCATTCGCTTCTTTCTGAGCAGCTTCGGCGTTTTGCATGAACTTCATGGCGAATAATTTGGAATGAGGGCCCTTGTCCTCTCCCTCGGGTGCTTCCGCCTCCAAAGCAGCAAGCTTTCGCTCAAGCTTATTTTTGCGAATCTCCTCAGCATCCTCGGCCCAGGGATCCTCATCGTCGGATTCCGAGCTTGATGAGTCCAAGTAGGCGTCATCTCCACGAGAAACACTCTTTCCTTCAATTCGCTTCCGTAGCTCCTCCTCTCTCAACGCGAGATCAGCAGCACCGTTACGCGCATCCTCATCCCAAGCGGTGCGTCCGGTCTCCTTCAAGCTCTTGGCCCACTTGCTCTCGCGATGCTTAGAGCCCATACGAGCTTCGGCTCTCATGCGCTCGTTCTTCTCTCGCTCAGCTTCATCCATATCAACACCGGATTCCAAGAGTGCTTGGCGTTCTTGTTGCTCGAGCTTCTCACGCTCCTTCCGGTGCACACGACGATAAGCCTTGCTCTTGATCTTCTTGATTCGCTTGGATCGAACTTCCTCACGGAACAGCAGATCACGTCGCTTCCGTAGCTCAGCTTGCCGAGCGCGGATCTCTTCGATCGGCAATGAACGAGACTGGAGCTCTTCGAAGTTCTGAAACTGATCCTCTGCGGATTTGCCATTTGCCTCGGCCAGGCCACTCTCCGCCAAGATATTCTGAATCGTGCTTTCGAGGTCGGTGGTAGGCTTGGCGACATCCATGCGGTGGACTTGTTCGCCATCGGGGTTGGGAAGAGGAAATACGAGATGCTCGGCTCTGCGGTTGGCCTTGACGGTATCCAACCATCGGTCCAGGGTTTCTTTACTCTTTTCGTAGGCGGCAGCACGGTCGATTTTATCTTGCTGGCGCTTTGCTAAAGGAGCGTCTAGCTTGCCTGGGATGCCCGAGTTCGAGGCCTGAGGCGTGGCGTCAACGTGCTTGAGCGAGCTTTTGAGACGAGAGTCCGTAATCGAAGGAAGAAGATCGGCAACAGTCAATTTTTGAGATGCTGTTAAGCCGTACTCAGTTGGGTTGCTCTGCTCCTGTGTTCTTTTGGTCCTTGTAGATTTGATTGTTCCCATTGACTGGACGAAGTCCTGTAGTTTAGCCAGGCCGTCCTCTTGAGCGTCTGCATCGTCGTCGGATAAAGACATGTCGGAGTCGTCTTCGCTGGGATCACTCTCGCTATCGCCTTCAGAACCCGAATCCTCATCGCTGTCAGCTCCAGCAGCGGCCTTCTTAGCCTTGGAAGCAGCTTTCTTGGCTTCGGATTCTTCTTCAGCGGTATTCATATCCCAAGCTGTAAGTAGATCGACAGCATCTTCTCCCAGGTCGTCCTCGTCATCCTCGTCAGAGTTATTCCCCTCAGACTCTTCCATGTCCTCAGATAGAGTGATCTCGGGTCGCTTTTTTGGCGGGGCTTTCTTGGACTTTGACTTGTTTGAAGAACTTCCACGGAATGTGAAACCCTCAAACCGCTCTTCATCGCTGGATCCCAGAGCTTCATCGGAGTCTAGCTCTTCATCGTCGTCAGAATCGACTTGTCCCAACTTCCATTCGTGACCCTCGCTATCACTGCCACCATCGGCACTATCATATTCGGCTCCGGTTCTGCGGCGTTTGTGAATTGGTCCTTGCTCGTCGTTGTCGTCTTCATTGTCGTCGTCGTTCTCGCGAGCGGAGTGTCTTTTGCGTACATTTTTGTCGTCGGAGACACCAAGACGACTCCGGCGAATACCCAACCTGGTTTTGTTATCTGCCTCAGCGATAGCTAGAGCATCTTGAGCTCGGCTGGCCTGGCGTCTTTGCGCAGGTTTCTGCGCAGTGTGGTCTTGCGGCGCACGCTTCTGGGTTTGCCTGCGCGGCATGGTGGCGGTGTGAAAAAAGAACGCAATTATTCAACGAGCGGAGAGAAAAGAAGAATGAATGACTCTTCCACAATCAACCTCAAGGATCTTGTTGTTGCGGTGTGGAGGGGTTCAGGTTGGTCAACTTTTCTGCTGCAAAAAAAAGTTCTCGGCGCGGCGAAGAGCGGGTCTGACCGCCCGAACTTTCGCTCTCTTCTTCTCTCAGGCACGACCACCGCCAGTATCTACGAGTTATCTCCCAGCTCTTCTCCTGTTCGATCGCCAACATGTTCAAGCCCTCCAATCCCATGATGGCGCGCCTGCGCTTCACGACTAAGCAGGTCAATGGAGGATTCTACAAGGGTAACCGGACTGGTGCAATGGGTCACTTTGACAGGAAAGGCAACTACGTGATCGACTGGGAAAAGGTCCGCACTTATGCCGTCCCGGAAGACCTTGCGGACTTCAAGGTGGGTGACATTGATTGTTCCTTTCCATATGGCTGAGGAGGGTTGACAAGGAGAGTATCGGGATGCTAATATTGTTGTAGCTCACACCTTTTGTCACCAAGGTCGCCGAGCCTAAGCGCAGCAAGTACACCAAGGATGTCGAGAAGAACGGGCGCATAGTCAATATGGTCGACAGCCTCAAGGGTCAGGACTACCTCAACATCTGGGGCGAGCGCAATGGAGAGGAAATCATGCAGCGCGAGGTTGAAGAGTACAAGAGCCAGCGGTAATGAATGGCTCCGGGGAACCACCCCATATTTGGCTCGATGGCCTCAACCATTCCATATCTGAATTGGATGTGAGTACTCTAACCCGCGCCCCGATAGCTATTCTATCCTCTCGATCTTCCAGCCTTCTAACCATGTGATCCCAGGCGTTCGGCAACGCGTGTTGTCTCCCACCTTTCCACCGCTATCCGCCTCCTCGATATACCTTCCTACCGCTTCGCTGGCCGATCGCATCCTCTATGTATTATATGTACAGCATACTTGATTAAAAAAAGGGCCCAGTCGATACCCCTCGGCATCGATACTACCTATAGTCGAATGATGGAAGTGTGGATAATCCATGTTGATCCGGGCCCTGGGAAAGAAGAGTCGGAAATAGAACAGAGACGAGACCTGCTCTGTTAAGTCTATAGAACCACTATTGTTTGCAATAATAAGCTAAGCATAAACATCATCACTATTACTCCTACTCCGTACGGCGTAAGACTCGCCTAGGGTAATCCTCTTAGCGAGTGGCAATAGCGTGGCAACAAGTTCATCTCTTCACGCCAGAGTAACCCCAGAAGTGCGTGTGCCGTGCACCCAAGGCGGAGCCCGATAAGGTATTCATGCGCATATCGGGACCTTCCTTAGTCTTGGATATGTCATAGTTCTTCAACGTTCACTTCCGCAGCACGGCGGTATGAGCTTGCCGTTATTTCATACTTTGCATCTGCAGTGATATCCTTGCGCATAGACTTTCATCTCACTTGAACTTCTAGTTCTCGCCCTCCCCCCCGGGCGGAGGAACCCCACGCCATGTTCCAGTCCTTCACTGGCAGCTCTCGTCGTCCACGGCAGGTGAACCTCAGTGGTCGCTCCAACAATCCTTTCGCAGCATTCCCCGGCGGCTCGCCGGCACGACCGACCCCTCATGCATCGAATCCTCAAAGCGCCGTCGCCATTGCACAGCAAGAGCGTATGCAACGGCAGCGGGAGAGAGAGAAACAGAATGCGTCTCGTGTGATCCAGAGAACCTGGCGGGGCTACCGCAGCAAGTCAGGGACTCATCAGCTATGGAGATCTGAATGGGATAACAATGAGCGGCAAATGACGGATGCTGTGGACCTGGCCGTCAGTGTTGAAACTTCCGCCGATGATGCGGCCTTTTCGTCCCGTCGCTCGATTCCATACGCTACGGGGGACCAATGCCTGTCTCAGCTGAGGCTGCTGGTCCAATTTGTGTCATCCCGGAAGCGTGATGACATCTTACGCCTGGTGTACTTTGTCGATGCCTTCGAGCAGACGTTCAGGACACTTCCCACGATCGCCGCAGAGGGGGAGTGGACAAAGCTGCTCAAACGCTTGGCGATGGCGGTTCTCAGAGTCCTGAGCTCGGCATCAAAACCCCACGTTCCAATATCTGCGATCGAACCTTTGATTCGATCGGTGATATTCCTGTCAGGCTTAATACCGAAACAAATGGCAAACATTGCACGTGCTTACTACGAGACGATGGCATACCTGACCAAGAACCTGTCTAATTTGCACCTTCAGCGACAACAAACAGACTCTGATCAGAAACATGAAGGCGTTGATCCCGAACTTCTCCAGGAGGCGATCCTCGCTCTCTTACGCCCAATCACTTCGGAGACAATGTCCGTGTATGAATCATTCGCGACCTCATACCTCACTATCCAAGACCTCGGGATTTATCTAGGTGGGTTGGATGGGTTGGCTAGTCAGATAAATTACAGGATGCTAGCCTTGGCTGTCTCGGCATGCCTTGCAGAAACTACTCCAACACCTCGCGCTCTGAACGATACAAAATCCCGCATCTGGTTGCTGTCCTATCTCATCTTTTTCCAACGACATGCCCTTGGCACGCATGCCAATACCCATACTCCAGAGCTGGAATTTGTGACCGTAGTGTCGGAATTGCTCACCTCAACAGCCACTTTCCTAATGCAGGGCCTGGAAGTCGAAGACCCGAGTGAAGTGGATTTGCCTAAAGGGGTCCGTCCTTTACATCCATTCATAAAGGAGCAGGTGAGCAGTCTTGTCAACCAAAGCAGCGTTACTGGGCTTCTATCCCGCATTCGCTCCCCTCGTCAGTCGCAAACGGGGTTGATAACCCCATCGGACGAGTCAAAGAAGGCACGAGTGCTTGCCACATATGCCTTGAACCTGCTCAGAATATTCCCACGGCGCGGTGATGATATTCGAATGTGGTTATACCTGGGCTCTGCCCCTTCCGGAGAGCAAGTGCCGGGCCAGCTGGATGCAAAGATTCCTGCCATAAAATACTTCTGGCAGGCCTCTAGATCAAGCCAGATCTTCCAGGTGATCAGCAGTGACTCGCACAAAGTACTTCCTCTACTGCTCTTAACAGAACAGGCAAACGAATCCTTTGCCATGCCCCAAGACCAGAGAGATCAAGAGTGGACAACTATCCTACTTTTCCTTGAACTCTACACTTTTGTACTGAAAGTCATGGACGACGATGAATTCTTTTCTAGTACGTCCTCTTTCACCTCATCTGATAGTACCAAGGTTTCTTGGACGAGGGAAAGTGCTTTGCCCCTGAAAGATGTCAGTGACATGACAATATTCCTGAAAAACCTCGCCTTCACTCTTTACTGGAATGCAGTGGATCTAAGCGAGCCGGAGCTCCGGCCAACAGCTGTCAACCTCAGTACCTATTTTAACAGCGTTTCGCAAATACCCGGCTCTTCCGCTCCCGTACCTACTGCCGATGATCTTGAGTCTAAAGGACAGAATAATTATCTACCCGGGGTTACTGGGATCCCATTGGAGTATTTCAAGGGTCTTGTTACGGGATTGCTTCGGATGTTACATGAAAGAGAGTGAGTTGAAATTCCCAGACCTATGATAAGAAAACACCCCGATACTAAACAACGACTTAATTATAGTTCACGACGCAATTTCCTTCCCCCAGATCACTGGCTTATGACCAGCCGGTTTGATATGGAAGGGTTCATCCCCGCTGTTGTTGGTGAAGAGGAGAGGCGACATGAGGTCCAGGCTCGGATGGAAGACCCAGATGAAGCTGACACGGTGGATGATGGGACGAACACGCCGTATGGGCTCGCCGGGGCTGGTCATGCCCAGCAAACTATCCGACTGGAATCTCTGCGGCGTCATCAGCAACGAGTGGCTCGAGGTAGGGTCCTTGCGGCTATCGCACCCCGACTTGAAATCCTGCGAAATATGCCTTTCTTCATTCCCTTTACCACCCGTGTTCAGATTTTCCGCCAATTTATTTATCACGACCAGCATCGCCGCCGACACGGATATGTCGAGCCCGACTCGTGGCGTGCATGGCAAATGTCTAATGGGCACCCAGCGTTTCAGGAGATCCTGGCTCGTCATCAGGCAGAGATCCGGAGAGAGCATGTATTTGATGATGCGCTGTCCCAGTTCTACCAACTGGGCGATGGTCTCAAGGAGCCGATCCAAATCAGCTTCATTGATAAGTTCGGGGCCATGGAGGCGGGTATTGATGGTGGCGGAGTCACCAAAGAATTCCTGACCAGCATTACCACCGAGGCATTCAAGACCGAGAGCGCCTTGGATATGTTTTCCGAAAATGACGAGCACTTGCTGTACCCGAATGCCACGGCCGTGGCGCAATGTATTGAGGAATACAACGAGAAATGCAGAAAGAGCGGAATGCCTGTGTCGAGTTCCGAAAGCTCGGGACACGTCCGTGAATTGCTCCGGCGGTATGAGTTCCTTGGCCGAGTGATTGGGAAGTGTCTGTATGAAGGAATTCTCATCGATGTGAACTTTGCGCCCTTTTTCTTGTTAAAGTGGGCTTTGACGGGGGGGTACCGGGTCAGCCATGAGAGAGTCATCCTACCGGGCCAATTTGAATGATCTCAAGGACCTGGACCGAGGTCTGTACCAAGGACTGGTAAGTACTGGGAATGTAGTGGTTTATCTACGACTACAGTGAAGATGACTGACAAACCTTCTGTAGTTGCAATTGAAGAACTATACCGGAGACGTGGAGGACTTTTCGTTGGACTTTACCGTTACCGACACGATTCCAATGTCCAATTCTCCGAATCGGACAGTGACGAAGGAGTTGCGACACAATGGCTCCAAGACTCCCGTGACCAACCAGAACCGTCTGGTGTACATATCCTACATTGCTCGCTACCGTCTCCAAGTGCAACCTTCAATGCAGACCAACGCCTTCTTACAAGGCCTGGGACAAATTATCCAGCCAGCCTGGTTATCCATGTTCAACCAAGCGGAGCTGCAGACGCTGGTGGGTGGCGAGACTGGTGATATCAACGTGGAGGATCTGCGAAAGAACACACTGTATGGTGGTGTCTACGTGATTGGCGACGACAATGAGGAACACCCTACGATCAAGCTCTTCTGGAAGGTGATGCATGGGCTGAATAACAAGGAACGGCAGCAGGTTGTGCGGTTTGTGACGTCGACTCCTCGTGCACCTCTGCTCGGGTTCAGTCACTTGCGTCCTTGTTTTAGTATTCGGGACTCCACTGATGATGAGACGCGATTGCCTAGTACTAGTACCTGTGTGAATCTCTTGAAACTTCCGCGGTATTCGACCGAGGATGGGCTACGGAAGAAGCTGCTGTATGCGGTGAGCTCGGGTGCTGGTTTCGATTTGAGTTAGCACTGTCGAGTCTTTAACCTGGCCATGCGGTGCTGGTGCCAGCAAATAGCGGGAAGTTCATTGGTGGGTGGATGGAATGTGGTTGCTACCTAGGTGTAGACTAGAGAAATGAGTGTTCAAGAATCAATAAGTATTCTCCAAGAATATGAAGTATGAAGTACTGTATACATCTGCATAATACCCAATGGGGACTACTGTGAATATCAACCATGGTACTGACGTGGTGCACGTGAACCCCTCGCAAGCCCTTAAAGCAGCCCACCCACCTACCCAATCCAGCCTAGCGGCCCCTCTCTTTCTCCTCTGAGTTTTCCAGAAAGGCCGCCTTTTCGCGGGCCAACTTTTTTTCTTTCTGAAACTACCCACCTCTTTCTCTCTCTCCTTAGGGAATCCTCTTCTTTTTTACTTTCGACCATCTCGAAAGCCATTCAAAAAATCCTCAAAAAAACCCGAAAAATCCCCCAGAAAAAAACTTCGGTTATCTTATCTCCATCCCCTCCCCATTGTGCGGTGTGCGGAAGATTCCCTTCAACCGCCTCACTTTTCAAGGTTGGTCGCGTCCTCCAATTTCTCGTCTCATTTTTTACCCTCACTTTCGAACGTGCACTGCCCTGGTTTTTCTTGCTCTGTATTCTGCTGCTCTGTACTGTTTGGATCCTTCCCATCGATTGCAGCTACCATCTTGGTATATCTGGAATCAGGTGCAATTCCCCCTCCCAAACAGAGTCCTTTGTTGCGTGGTAATCTGTGCTCTATAGCTCATCATCCCCTTTGACACGTTTTCCACCCCTCGCTGGCTTTGATCACAGCACTCATGGTCCTCGCCAAAGAGGCCGCATGGAATGCAGTGTAACATTGCCGAAAATACATCTTTTTCGACACTTGTTCCCCACAACTAAACTTCACGAGAGTTCTTCTGCTAATACTTGACAAATTCAGAAAAGAAAAAAAAAGTCAGCCCGTCATCATGTCCGCCGACGCTGCCACCACCCCCACCGCCACTGACAGCAATGTCAACGGCTCCCCCCGCCGCTGAGGCCAACGGTGCTGCCCCGGCTGCTGCTGCCCCCGAGACCGCCGGCGATGCTGCCAACAACCAACCCCACTCGGCTTCCCTCTACGTCGGCGAGCTGGACCCTTCCGTGACCGAGGCCATGCTGTACGAGCTCTTCTCCTCCATCGGCCAGGTCGCCTCCATCCGTGTCTGCCGCGACGCCGTCACCCGTCGCTCCCTCGGATACGCCTACGTCAACTACAACAACACCGCTGATGGTGAACGTGCTCTCGAGGACCTGAACTACACCCTCATCAAGGGCAAGCCCTGCCGTATCATGTGGTCCCAGCGTGACCCCGCTCTGCGCAAGACTGGCCAGGGCAATGTTTTCATCAAGAACCTGGACAACGCCATTGACAACAAGGCTCTCCACGACACCTTTGCTGCCTTCGGTAACATTCTGTCCTGCAAGGTCGCCCAGGATGAGTTCGCCAACTCCAAGGGCTACGGTTTCGTTCACTACGAGACTGCCGAGGCTGCCAATAACGCCATCAAGCACGTTAACGGCATGCTTCTGAACGACAAGAAGGTCTTCGTCGGCCACCACATCTCTAAGAAGGATCGCCAGAGCAAGTTCGAGGAGATGAAGGCCAACTACACCAACATCTACGTTAAGAACCTTGACACCGAGATCCCCGATGAGGAGTTCCGCATCATGTTCGAGGCTTTCGGTGAGATCACCTCCGCCACTCTCAGCCACGACCAGGAGGGCAAGAGCCGTGGCTTCGGTTTCGTCAACTACTCCACCCACGAGAGCGCGCAGGCCGCCGTCGAGGAGATGAACGAGAAGGACATTAAGGGCCAGAAGCTCTACGTTGGCCGTGCTCAGAAGAAGCACGAGCGTGAGGAGGAGCTGCGCAAGCAGTACGAGGCCGCTCGCCTCGAGAAGGCCTCCAAGTACCAGGGTGTCAACCTGTACGTCAAGAACTTGACTGACGATGTCAATGATGACAAGCTCCGTGACCTCTTCGCCCCCTACGGCACTATCACCTCCGCCAAGGTCATGCGTGACTCCCTGACCGAGGGCTCTCCCTCTCCTGAGGAGAAGGAGGGTGAGACCTCTGAGGAGAAGACCGAGGAGAAGGCCGAGGAGAAGGAGGCTGAGGAGAAGAAGGAGGAGGAGGTTAAGGAGGAGAAGAAGGACGAGGAGAAGACTGAGGAGAAGCAGGAGGGCGAGGAGGCTGAGGAGGAGCAGGAGGGCGACAAGTCCGAGAAGAAGCTCCTTGGAAAGAGCAAGGGCTTCGGTTTCGTTTGCTTCAGCAGCCCCGACGAGGCCTCCAAGGCTGTCACCGAGATGAACCAGCGCATGGTCAACGGCAAGCCCCTCTATGTTGCTCTTGCCCAGCGCAAGGATGTCCGCCGCAGCCAGCTCGAGGCTAGCATCCAGGCCCGCAACACTATCCGCCAGCAGCAGGCCGCTGCCGCTGCCGGTATGCCCCAGCCTTACATGCAGCCCGCTGTCTTCTACGGCCCCGGTCAGCAAGGTTTCATCCCCGGCGGTCAGCGCGGTGGTATGCCCTTCCCTCCCCAGCCCGGTATGGTCATGGCTGGTATGCCCGGTGGACGTCCCGGTCAGTACCCCGGTGGTTTCCCCCAGCAGGGTGGCCGTGGTATGGGCCCCAACCAGCAGCTCCCCCCCAACTTCCAGGGTATGCCCATGGGCATGCAAGTCCCCGGTGGTATGCCTAACGGTATGGGCTACCCCATGCAGGGTCAGTTCGGCCGTGGTGCCGGTGGCCGTGGCCAAGTTCCTGGTATGCCTATGGGCCAGGGCATGCGTGGCGGTCCCGGATATGGACGTGGTGGTCCTCAGGGCATGGGCCGTGGCCAGGGCCGCGGTCAGCCCGCCCCCGCTGGTCAGCCCGGTCAGACCGAGTCTGCCTCCAGCAACCCCGCCATCCTCGCCGCTCCCCCCCAGCAACAGAAGCAGATGCTCGGTGAAGCTCTCTACCCCAAGATCCAAGCTCAGCAGCCTGAGCTTGCCGGTAAGATCACTGGTATGCTTCTGGAGATGGACAACGCTGAGTTGCTTGGCCTGTAAGTTTTCCCCCCTACATTTTTAACTTCCATCCAAAAATAGGCTTGCTAATACATTTCTCTACTAGGCTTGATGATGAGGATGCTCTCCGCGCCAAGGTTGACGAGGCCCTCAACGTCTATGATGAGTATATGAAGAACAAGGGTACCGAGGGTGAGGCTCCCGCCGAGCCCAAGCCCGAGGAGGCCGCTAAGGAGGCTTCCTCCGAGGAGAACAAGTCTTAAATGACGTGTCTCAATCAAACGCTTCGGAGAATGTGGTAGACCCAATGGTCGACGCTTTACTTCGCTCGGAACCTCTTGGACGCACGTTTTGATGACCTTTCATTTTTCTTTTTCCTTTCTACTGTTGAACCTTTCTCGCTCTGCTCCTCTTTCCCTCCGATCTCGATATCCCTCGGTTTGAAAAGTTTTCTTGTCTTAGGCAGTGTCACCTACTGGTGGTTTAGTGAACGCGGCACGACTTCGATTCAATCTCCCCTGCCTCTCCCATCGTACACCCCTCCTCCAGAGTCAAATCTGCTGTCTCCTGCCTTGAGACCTTCTCAAGGGACACGCTTGTCTGCAGAGACGAGGTCGGTAAAAGTTTATTTCCTTGGGCGCTGGATGTGGGTTTGTTAAGATCTACCTTTTTTTCCCTTTTTTTTTCTTTGGGAGGGAGTTGTGACGTCTTTCTCTTCCTGTCCCCCTGAATCTGTGTTTCACGTTATCGTCCTCCCTAGTATTTCCCCATATTTTCTTACTTTGTAACATAGAGATATGTCTTCCTCGCGGAAGGGTCTCGTTTGTCCCTCTTACTGCCCCGGATCTAGGAGTGCAGTGCCGTGAACCTAATGGGATGGCCGAGTGCCTGATTTGCTTTTAAATGATTGCTTCTCATAAATATCTCTAATACATAGCCTTAGGCTCTGATATCAACTCAGATATACTAGAATGAATAAGAGTCATTGCATACTAACTGGTATGGGCCTGAAGAATTTGAAGTTCAAGTTGTAGTTCCCCGGTTTGTACCATGACTAAGCATTCCGACCTCCTCGGATGAAGCCGAGGGTAAAGGACTTTAATGACCTTTCAGGCAAAAAGCTCATGAGATTTCGAATTCTCCCTAGCTGCTAGCTAGAGCGAAATGCCCAGCTCACAATGGACCCGCCAGAATACGAGCCCGGAACATCCGAGATCGGCTCCATAACGGCCAACTCCAACGAGGATAGCCAGTTCGTGGGCTCCTCCAGCGGCGTTTACTTCGTCAATACTGTCAGACGTGCATTTTCCACGGGACAAGATGTCCAAGGGTCACCAGAAACGGAGTTTCCTCTAGCTGAGGATACTCTTGTCGGTGCAGAAGACTCGCCTCAGCAGAACCGACGTGCTACCGTGTCTTCGAGCGCAGATTCTGCCTCCCCGCAAGGGCCGAGAGATGACCATGCATACTGGAGATATGATCCAACAATTGCTTCGGCTTTAGGCCAAGCCCCGCCCCTTGGGCTGTCTAAGGAACTCATGATGATGTACTTCAAAGTTTGGCATCCTCTCTTCCCATTCCTGCACGGCCCCTCCTTTTTGCAGGCCATGGAGGGGTTATATTCCCGTGAGACATCAGATCAGTCAGCCCAAGGCACCTTATCATCAGATCATAGGAGCTTGTGTTGGACAGTAATCTTCCAATGCATCTTCAACCTTGGACATCTACTCCGACCAGACCTGGAAGTCCCGGCTAAATATCGAATCCAGTCACCAACCAACATGATCTCTTTGCTTGCGGTCCTGGCCACTCGGCACGATATCGCTTCATTGCAAGCACTACTCTCTGTGCAAGTTTATCTCATTGCGACCATGTCTCTCAGACTGGCATCCACATTCGGAGGATGTGTCTTACGGTCTGTTCTTCACGCGGGTCTGCATCGCTGCCCATTCCGGTATACGCAACTCTCGTCCCATGATAGGCAGCTGAGGAAGCGCATATTCTGGTGCGCTTACGCTATCGATCGCTACTTAAGTCAAGCTCTGGGTTTGCCCCTCGGTATACAAGACTCAGATATCGATGTTTGTCTACCTGCTGCGTCAGAGATTCACACTCCAAGACGACGATTCATGGGCTCGAATACGAACGAAGATTTACAGAGCATGTCACATTCCACCGTCCATAGTTCTGGAAATGGACAAGGACCCAAAGACGACACTGTGCCCTCTCGCCCCGGTGAAAATGGGTCCAGAAGTGCCTCGGAAGCAGAAAATCGCAGGAAAGAAACAGTCTTGGCTAGCTATGTTGACTCTGGAACCCTCACGGGACGAGCATTGGAGATTTTTCACAAATCTATCCTTGTTCGGTCCGTTCGCCGAAGCTCGATTCTTTTCCTCGTGACCGATGTGCACAAATGGTGGAATAGTCTACCACTCGAGCTTCAAGGAAAAATACCAGGAAATCCCATCGACACAGATCGCCCATTTGACTTCGGTCCATTCTTCACGGTGCTATACCAACATCTCATTCTCATCATTCATCGGCCGTCATTATCGTCGGACCCGACAACGGCAGAATTCTGCTCCGGCCTGCAAACGTGCATTGGCGCAGCCAGGGCTATTCTAGCCGCGTTGAAAAGCCAGGTAGATAGCAAACAGGCATTATTTTGGCCTGGTTTCTTGTCTGCGGCGTGGATGTCGGGCCTAGTTTTGGCTTTCGCTTGCCAGCTTAACCAATACGTTATCGCAAAAGGGCTTCAGGAAATTGATGCCTGCTTGGGTTTCCTAAACCAGATGTCTGTCCAATGGGAGACAGCTCGGCACTGCCAGCTCGCCCTCTCCGTTCTAGCTGCCAAAATTCGACAAGTGCAGAGTCACCCCGACGCAGCAGCAAAAGCTCATTCTTATACATTAAGAAGGCGAGGCGAGGCGGAAGCTTTGGACCCCGCGGAGCGGCGAGAGCAGAAAAGAGCAAAGCTCAACAGGCGGTCTAGCGAGCCGCACAGCCCTCGTGGAGCATCGTCAGATGATGCGTTGGGTCGAAGAAATGCGTCGCAACCCGACGTATCTTATCCAGCAGTAATGGCAGGCTTTGGAAATAACACTTCCATGGGTCTACAAGCTGGACAGGATTCTGCACAAAGGCATTCCCAACCCGTGAATCCCAATGGAGAACCGACTCTAGCAGACATGCCCTCTTCCTTAGCACTCGACTTCCAACAAACGGAAGCCAGCCAGCTCCAGGGTGGTCCGAATTTTGATCTCAATATGGTTGACCTGCTTCAAGGGGCGAATTTTGATTCTCTTTTTGATATAATTGGACAGCAGTATCCTAGTTTCTAGACTCTCTGCTTTGGTCTCTACAATACGAAATGGAAGATAAATACGGTCTACTATATTGAGAATGTCCAAATAAAGGTCCATGGTATTAAAATTAAGGTATAATCTTGTGAGTCACTTTCGTAAAAATAGTTTACACTGGGCGTACTAGGTGAAGAAGATGCCCAGGTGCCCAGGTGGGTATACCAATGGGTATACCAATGCTTGTCATCCATGGATGCTAATGAAGTTTACGTCGTGAGGCTGCGGTTTTGCACACCGACCAATGCCCTCAGCAGAGCTTCATGCAATTACTAACATTCACGTATAATTGGGTCAATTGCTGTCGTGAAAAATCCTTTACATTGGGATGCAAGTGAAGGGGATGGGTATACCATTACTGATCATAATGAAGGTTACCTCGTGAGGCTGCGGTTTTGCGTACCGACCAATGCCCTCAGCAGAGCTTCATTATAAATTAGTCTTGGAAAGGCCCACTGAAAGATGAAGCGTAATCGGACTTCACTTCTGTTTCCGAGTCACAGGAGGAAAAATATCATCCCGGCGAAAAGGCGGCCCCTGGTAGGGGTAATCCTGAATGAAGGTGTCAACGATACTTTCAGCCATATTAAAGAGTTCTTCGAGATCGTTGTCCAGGCTAATGAGTAAAATGGGGTATTTATAATCGGTGTATCCAGGGTCGATGTGGGTCCATGTAACGGCGAGTCGGTCTTGGATATCGACGCGCATTTTCTTGAGCAGCTGCATGTCGGTCATCCAGCGATCTTGTTCAGTGAAATATACGACGACCCAGAACATTACTGGATCGAAACTCTCTACTGAAGACGAAGCCATAAGGCTGGATGTGGGTGATATTGTGCGACTGTCCGACATTGGTGGTGGGAGGAGTAAGCCGACTTAGCTATTTGTTATGTATTTGTATCTTAGGGCTGCTTGATCTTCTCTCATATAATGGTGGTCGAGGGGACTTATATAGTCAGATTCGAGGCGAAGATTGGCTAGAGATCCCCTTTATGCTTTGTCTTGACCCATGACAATAGTTTATTTGATCTTGTTGAAAGTCTTTAGATGAATGGGCTTTGTTAAAACTAAATGCCGGAAAATGAACAAAGACCAGAGCATCCGTTATCATAGACAAAAGAGGGGCCATTGAATAAACCGATTGGTGGTTCCCGAGCTTAAATCTGGTCAGTTATGATGGTCGTGATGATACTAGGAAAATACAAATCATGCGAGACCGACGTTTTCTGTCTCCTACCAAATCTTACCAGAGGCTCAAGGTTACTAATGCTTGGTTCCCTAGTTAAGCTTGCTCATGAACAGATATATTGTTCCAATGTCACTTTACGCGAGGAGCCACGAGGGAGAAAGTAATAGAATTGAAGAGGAGATAGGACCGTGCTTGTTCTAGTAAAATTCGAGCATGTGGGAGTCACTGCGAATTCATTATTAGCATGTCACTTGTTAGCATCAATTACGTAGTCAACATTTTCAATTAACTTATTTCTCACTAGATCTCCCCGTGTTACCACCTGGATAGAAGAAGAATCAACCCCTAGTAACTCATTAGCATTGACTCAAATAGAGAATACACTGACTACGCTGGCGAACATATTCACTTTTGCATCTTTGAAGAAATTAATTTTAATTGATCCATGGATTGAGATAAAATTCAACAGTAGGAATTAAGACACCATATACTTACATCTTTACCCACATACTACCGAAATTACATACCAAAAATGTTCTGATGATTAAAAGGTAGACCATGAGTAACAACCCTTGGAATCATATCCTTTACAAGCTTCTCTGCCTTATCGTAGGCCTCGTTCTCCATGATATAGACATCATTGACAATAACCATCATAGTGTAACTATACGGTCTCCATGGGGGTCTTTCGTGGACCGGACCTGTGAGAATTGCTCGCTTCTCTTTAATTGCCCTAAGCATAATTCTCAAGATGGCTTTATGGCTCTTGCTTTTATCCGAAGCCTCAAACTCAATCGTAACCCAATGAACGAGGGAAAGCAATACCCGGGCATATTGTTTACAGATGATGATAGGTGTTATGTAAATATGACTCGAGTCTGCTGAATTCGAGACGAGGAGAGGTCAGATTTTAAATAAGGAGGATTCTATCTGTCAAAGAAGGGGTACTAGAACCGCTTCTTTGTTCTGACTATCTCAATAAGAATTATTGGCGTTCGTTGTACGATACTTTTGCTCCTCTTTGTCTATCATGGTTTGTTACAATAGTATTTATGTGACAGAAATGTTGAGCATCCCTTTCAGGCATACAAACTTTGAAAGAATCCATTGACAAGCTAAGCCTTTTCGTTCAGATCTGAAATATTAGCATCATCTTGAGCGTCTGGTCAGCTCTAATAAATATAATGAAAGTTGGAAAAGTATCTTGATACTGCCTAGGGCCTAATTAATCAATTTACTTACCTAGTAGGTACATGCCAACTTGGAAAGTATTATATAATATTGGATAGAGAACTATATACCTAGGTATGCTACTAGTAATGAATGAATTTTAACATACTATATATGATATTGGGGTTGGTTTTCTTCACAACAAAGAAAAGTATTTCGAAAGCCACATATTCATGAACTTGCGTCGTGAGACTGCGGCTTCCTTGCCGACCAACGTCCTCAGCAGCTCAAAATATGAAATTATGCTCTCATTTAAATCGATATTAAGGATTTTTGCCGCCAGGGCTGACTCACAGTTTAAAAATCCCCCCAGCGTGAAAATGGAAGTCCCATCAGGTCAACTGTCTGTAGCCAAGCCTCAACAGTACTAGAGGCTTCTTTATAAATATCATCCACGCCGCTGAATGGCCCGTTGATTTTGATGGAAAAAAGGAAAGATGCGTACGAGCTGAGATCATGACAGGAAATTGTCACTTGTCGACTTTGAATCGAGTTAAGAATCTTCTCGAGGAGATCCCTTTCTGACAAGTCACTATCAGAGGGAACAAATTGAATGTTCAGCCAGAGAGCACCTGTGTACTCAGCGGCACCCGCTTCGGAGTCGTGGCTCATTATGGTGGTAGATGCCCTAGGTCAAATTCCAAGGTTTTGTTGTTTCTATTATGGGTAGAATCTTTGAGAAAGATCCCGAGGTCGTAAGAGAGAAATCTGAAAATTTTATCGAGGGAGCAGACTCCAAGTCCATTGAATTAAAGGAAGAGGAAAGGGGCTAGGTTGCGTCTTTATATACTTCAAACACCTAGGTACCTATGTGCCCAGGAGGCGAAGACACAACAGGACCGCAAGGGAAAAATAATATTTCGGACAAAGCCGCGGAAGCTTGATTGTTCTTCTTTGTTCAATAAAACATCAAAGTTGAAAGAAAACAATGGCTTTGACCAGGATCTAGTAGGATTGGCGTTGGGCCTGAGGCTCTATTATTCAAATTTTGTATTTAGGATGAAATCGGATAATTTCAAGTAAGTGCTAAGCGAAAAGGCTTCAGATAAGCAGTACATACGACCAGGGTATAAGAAAAGAGAACGCCAAAAATCAATCAAAGCGAGCAAAATATCTTCTCTCCTTTATCAACATCTCAAGAAAGTCTCAACGACAACTCAGATAGCGTTTTGGGGATAGTATTGCTCAAGAAATTGATCATCAAGGTAAGGGTTCCCAACGGTATTGATCTGCCCGAAGACATTATATCCATTTAACTGATCCCAATCGCCAGCGAACAATCCCATAACCGTATCAATCGGAGGTTGAGCTTCTGCGTCCACTTCGTGTTTCGAATTGACCGTTGAATTATTGACAACAGCCATGAAGATTTGCATAAGAACAGTCTTTGTCTTCTGCCCACGGGGCTGAATTGTGACATCTCCTCGCAAGCATCTATCCCAGTCTGAACTTGATTGCACCAGTTTTGATAATCTTCATGGTCTTCTGATTCAACCGCGATTGCCATCAAGGGAATAAGGCACGCTTGGAATAGGAACCAGACAGCATTCCAGCAACAGATTTTGTTGGGTCGCCATTCCGCCTGAATGCTAAAAATAGTCTCCATGGCGATGTCCCGGCATTTGGAGACGGCTACCCGTTCGTTGAGAGCGAGATGATTCATGGGAATGATTCTGATGACAGTGTCGAGGAGAATCGGCCTATGTAATAGAAATCGGATATTGTGATACCTCCACTTGAGAACCACCCGGGCATCCTGAAGATCGGGCGGGCAAATGTTCACAGAATGTAGGAATGGCGGTAGACTTTCAAACCATGTTAACAACATCTCATCATAGTGGCGAAGCTCATCGTCTGCCATAACTGAGTTCACTATCAAGCGATCTTGGATAAGGTTGATGATCTTGCACAGCTGGATATTATGGATGAGAGGTGAGTTTATCGTGGGCTCTGACATAGGAAGAATACCGCGCTGGATGTAAAATTAGCCCCGTATGCCCTGGCTGCCATGGATGGAAGTAAAATATTCCCAATTTATTGGTCATACCTTGTCATCAAGAATGTTGTTTGGCAGTTCTACCGCAATCCCATGTGTAATTGAAGGTCTCCCCAACGTCACAGATCCCCACGTATCGAGGACATAAATCGTCCACCAATTGCGGCGCTTTATCTCTTCTTGTGGAGAAAACTTTCCTTGCATGTCTTCGGGACATTGAAGGTGTAGCCCCAGGCCACCTGCAATCCGGTAACAAGCCCCAATTATTGCAGAAGCCATGTTTGGGCGATTTCTGAAATGCAGGTACTGGCCTCCCATGAGCAGCAGGGCTTGTAAAGTCTCTAACCGACCACTGCCTAAGCTTTCCAGTGATAGATACTGTTGAGCTAGATGGAAGTACTGCAAATCCTCTTCGGAGTCCCCCGGCGATGAGGTTATGCTGCCGAGCGCGAGTACTATGTTCAAAAGGGCAAGCCATGATCGATCCGTAGTTCCTTGATGATTCAGATACCTGCTGCGAAAGCTGGGCTCGTGTATGACGGGAGCGAAAACGTGAATTCCCGCAAAATAGGCGTCGATCAATCTTTGTTCTTCACGGTATGAACATATTGGCCCGAGGTTGGAAGCTGTTATTGTTGTCGTTCGCAAATCTTCGAATATTCCAGAGTTTGCTTTTTCTGACCTAGATGGGTTCTGTATCCGGGATGGGACAATCTTTGTTAAAGCTCTGACAGCTGCAGCAACTGATGAAATTCCCACAAAAGAGGTCTTAGAATCGTTCGACAGAGAGAGTGCATTCACATCATCTTCCACAGACGTGCAAACTGCCGGCGAATTCTCATCCCACTCAAAGATCGCCGACTCCTGATACTGTAACTTGTAGAGTCGATCATGGGCATCCGAGTCCGGCACGGATCTCGGCTTCTGCGGGAATACAACGTCGGGGGATGTAACCGAGGAACTATAGTTGCTTGTCCCAGGAGTGAAGTCACCTTCCAGTCGGGCTTGCTCTAATAAGTTTGCACGAGAAAGACTTTTGAGTGTCTGTATAGAGGTATTCGGAAAGAGGAGCTTGACAACAGCTTCATAATCCCCACCAGGGGCAGCGTTAATTGCCGCCTTCTGACTCCTATCAAAATTGAAACGTCAGTCGAAGCAAACGTTTGTCAAAATAGTGTGCCATGCTCACTTCCTTCCCCTCCGACGAAATTCAGGGAAAACACATTCCACGTTACAGGCCAAACAGCCCGTGCAAGGCTGCGTTCCAATACACTTGGTTTTGCGTCTGCGGCATTCCACGCATGCTTTAGTAACAATTGAACGACGTCGCTCAGTTGGACTTTGCACCGAATCACTGTTATTGACCCCAACGAAAGTATTGAACATCTTTTCCAACTTCGAATTTTGAAGTCTTTGAAATTGTTCTTAACTTCTTGACTTGTTCTCCAGATAACACTCAATATAGAGAATCCGGGGCCCCGCGGACTGGAAAACTAAACCAATCAAATCTACCCTAAAAAGCCGAGAGTGGATTGAACGCATTGACCACGAACTATACAAGGGCGTCGGCTTCTCCCGGTCTCAATGGACTGTGCTCACCGGTGGCCCGATTCATATTCCAGAAAGACAGTTGGCCTATGGAAATGCGATATAATACAATTTAGCGTGTCTATGATACTTGGCTGTATGCAGGGATTGGACCCCAGCTCATCAATGCAACCTTTGAAGCCACAATGGCGGGTCAACGGTTCCAGGTATACTTCGCAGACACAATCTACAAGGAGTCACAATGTCATCATCTGAAGCTAATGCATTTACGGTATAGCTATCTTGTGTAACTTTATTTTTCACAGTCTTGTCTCATAAGGGCAAATGCTCCGGGTATCATCTGGGGGTCAGACGGTACATCTGAGACAGAATCGACGGCCAGGGGTATCGTCTGCTAATGGCTCAGGGGGCTTTGCGGGGCTTATTCTCTTCCAAGGGCGTCTGATCGGCGATGACATTTTGGGTGAACGGATGGCTTGGACACATGCTCCCCCGCTGTGTCTATATTAACCCGGATTTTGCGGCGCTATCGGGACCAACAATCCCGTAGACCGAGCTCTCTGAGATATTTGCTAAAGAGAAGACATGTGTTGAAGACAGCTCTTGTGGGACTATCTGTATTATAGTAGGACTAGAAACCTCATTAGCCCGAATAGAAAGGACAAAAAGCCACCGGTGTGCCGAAGCGAATCGCTCGGCAAAGTAATTGATTGCGGACTCGGGGGAAGCGACAGCCGAACTCCGTCCTTCTCCACTTCAAGTTGGAATACGCAAGTAATATGCCTCACGGTCAGCCTCGTTTTCGTTCCTTTTCCCCTAGTGGCTTGCGTGAATAATTACTAGAAACGACCCAGAAATGGTCAAATAATCCGCGTCGGGTTTCGAAGTCGACAAGTCACTGTTCCTCCTAAGTGTATATCACTTCTCACTTAGTACAAAGAATGACGTTATTGACTAGATTTATTGGCAGAGAATACAATTTCTAGTGAGCTACCTAGGTATTCCTTTCTCATTAATTTAGACTTACATTGAAAATGCCTCGTTAACCTCTTCGTTCATCAATTGAAGAAATTCCTATGAGCAATGTTTAATCAATTTTCAACACTACTACCCCACATGTCTGCACGGCATTCGTGAGCGTTGGAGAGGCCCGAGTGACTCGGCAAGCACCTAGCAGCGCACAGGGCCGCCCATAGCGCCCGGTCCGAGTTTCATGCGTTGCAACATTAGGACAAGCCCTTTTGGTCTTGAGAAGAAACGAAATGCCAAAAAGGGATAAAACTATGAACTACATAGAGAGAGAAAGGAGGGAGATATTCCATGTTACCGAACGTATCCTTTTCAAATTTTCGATCAACACCCCGAGGACTTTTCAATTCCAGCTTCATGATGAGATATAGCCTTCTAGCAGCTTCTTTGGCCCACATAGCCCTCGCTTTCCCAAACAGCCAGGAGAGGCGGGCTTATATCAAGCCTGTCGTGAAAGGAACACCTCAAGTAGTTGGTATTCTGGCAGACTCTTCCTTGAATCGAGACTCTTGTGGATCTTCTCTGTTTGGAGATCGTGCTTTGTGGGTCTGTAGAGATACACAACATTATGATTCCGATGGAATCCCGAATTTGCCAATTTTCACTAGCTCCGCATCATGGTCGGACTTGGTCACTGGTGGCGGCTCTCAGCTGACCATGTACGGCGACAATCAAGACAACTCTTTCTATCCACTTGTTCCTGGTAACTGTGACGATAACCAAGCTGGAATATGCTCAGACGGAACGAGATATCCGCTGTGGGCCAACGCACCTCCTCTGGTCACCAGCTCGGATTCGAGTGGTACGACTGGATATACGTGGATCAGCAACTCCCATATTTCGGGTCTTTCCGACCTTATCCCACATCCATCCGTCGCTCTATACCGCGTCAGCTACACTACCGGGGCAAGTGGTCTCCCCAAGGTCGAGTTGATCAATGAAGCCTTCTGGGCTGAGAACGACATTCCCTTTGGTACATATGGAGGTGTGGTCCAAGATGACGTTGTGTATATCTGGGGACAAGCCACGGGGGGGCTCTGTGAATCTCGCACGCGTACCCGTTGCCAACGTCGAGGCCAAATCGGAGTACGAATTCTACGTGAATGGAGATTGGACAAAAACCCAGCCGAAAATAGGCAATGAAGCGGCAACGATCCAGAATGCTTCTGCTGGCCGCCAGGGAACTTACTACTTCTCCACCCCTTGGAAGTCGTTTGTCTGGATCGGTCAGGCGAGTAACTCGGTCTCTGCGGATTTCTACATCACCACTTCGCCTGCACCAGAAGGACCATGGACTGAGCCAGTTCAGTTCTACTCAGGTGTCAACGGAAATTATTCATTGGGGGCATATACTTTACAGGCAAATCCGGCACTTTCTCTGCCCGACTCCAACGAGGTCTATCTCACGTATACCAAGACCGATGCAGTCGGAGATAATGTCGCGTTGTATACCACGCCTCTGATACGCGTGGAATGGGAAAATTAATAGGCATATCACATCCGAATGCACGATTTTGTAATTTTACGCGTCGAATTGATGCCCTGGCAGAATAATGCTGGTCATTACGCGCTTTGGGGCTCAATTGTTAGAAATCAAAGCCTCTCGGAGAAAGGGCGTGTTGCTCCTTCGGATCCGGACTGTCACTTTCGGATCCGATCCATCACCACCAAAAAAAAAACCACTCGAATTTCCTATAAGAACCAATAGTTTCTGGCCTCGATTAGCTCTAAATTACTGCAATTACCGTCAATAATCTCTACTTCAATCCAACCAAACATCTTCTGTGTTTTGTTTTTATTTTTCAAGAGCCACCACAAGTCACTCATCAACTCAATATGCACGTTCTTATCATCGGAGGAAGTGGTCGCACTGGAAAGCTCACCATTTCCGAGTTTCTACGTCAAGGTATGCTTGAACTGAAGAAGAATTGAGAATCGCCCTGGGTCCTTTGCTAACGATTAAGTAGGTCACCAAGTCACGGCATTGGTTCGCAACCCAGACTCGATGGACGATTGTCCAGATGTCAATGTCTTCGAAGGTATGTAATTCCGCTAACTGATGAATACTTGAATAAAGACAAATAACTAATTAAGTTCAGGGACTCCAACAAACATCGAAAACGTACGAGATGTCTTCAAAATTCAAACACCGGACGCAGTGGTCGTGACTCTTAGCGCCCCAAGAGCCTCTGACAGTCCATTCGCTGCTCCGATCTCTCCACCACGCCTAATGGCCGACAGCAATGCCAATGTGGTATCTGTCATGAAGGAGTTCAACGTCCCCAAAATCGTGATTCTCCAAGCCTTTGGGGTGGGTGCTTCGTGGGATAATATGCCCTGTTTGATGAAGGGCCTGATGAGCAAGTCCAACATGATTTACCAGTACAACGATCACAACCATACCGACCGCGAGGTCCGTCAGAGTGGTGTTACCTATGTGATGGTGCGTCCGTCGCGCTTAGTGGAAACTGATGCTATGGGGCTACGCGAGTGGCCAAATGACGGGAAAGGTGTGCCATTGATGGGGTCTGCAAGCCGGAAGAGTGTTGCTTCTTTTTTGGTGAATGTAGCTGTGCAAACAAAATGGGATAACTCTTGTCCTGTGATCACAAACTGATGTCGTGGTTTAGGATGATGTGGATTTGAGCACTTTCCCTTCAGCCTTCTTCTCTCTTTTAATAGCCCGGCCGCCCTTTCGTTTTATTATAGTGTACAAGAAATCTAAAATTATATCTTATCTTAAAAGTTTTAAATCAACCCTGGAAAATCATTTTATGGAAAGTTGAATCTGCTGTTTTGTCTTTAAGCCCTAGGACTAAAAAGGCTACATATTCGTGGCAGTGAATTACATCATAAGATCATAAGACGCCTAATTCCCACACCAATGCTGTCTTCATGTTGCAGTTCTTTGATTGTATCCCGAACGGCGGTCACTTAGTTGTTGTGAGCGCTCCTCGGTTGTCACAAACCTTGTCTCCGATGGTAGGATAGATTTCAGCTCGGACAACTGGGCTACTTGAGCAACTATAGCGGGGGGATTGGATGAGGAAGTAGCATCATCAGACAAGCCTTGCCAGCGCACCATGGCTGTCCCCTCAGTTAGGCCAGTTGTGTTGATCCAGTTGTAGACACCCGGGTCCTCAAGAGATACCACAAACGTATAAGTTCCATTGTCGTTGACAGAAGCTTGAATATTGTTCAAACTGACTTGACTGTTTCCTGGCTCGGTTGTAATCATCCAAGGGTCCGTCCAGGGAAAGACAAAATAATCCGCATCCCCTTGAGTAATTGTAGCGACAAGAGCCTCTTGGTCGCCTAACTTGAAATGGCCGAAGGAGCTCGCCTGGCTCGTTAAAGTGCCGAGGGTGCTGGACTGAGTTGGCGCGTTGAGGGTGTTTAATTTGTTGATCGTTGTCTTGATGCCCAATGCGCCAACCCCATAGTCCACGATTGATTCCTGCAAGTTCCATCTTGCGGTGCTGATGATTTTTGCTTCGCTTATTGGATCCTGTCCCGAGGCATCGTCGACCAACACAACGGAGATGTTGTCTGGTTTTTCGGTCTGCCAATCGCCTAAGTTATTTCGGACAAAAAGCTGCGTGCCCGATGAAGTAGACTGAATGTGATTCTTTGCACCATCGGCAGACGAGCTGTTGATGGTGATTGTGTATGAACCGTCATCCTCAATGACCAAATCAGAACCTGATAGATGTGCGACGGTATTCTGGGAGTTTGGGTCGCTGATCAAAGAGAACGTAACATCTGTAGGACCGGGAGTGTGGCGGTATCCTTGAATCACATAACTTAAACTGTCGTCGATTGGAATTGTGCGATAGATACAATCTGGATTGTCGTATGAGTATCGACCACCAGGGACATCAAGACCAAACCAGCTTCGAGGACCGGCATCGACCCAATATGCTTTAGGGTAATATGGGTCCGTGTTTATGGCCTTTTGGAGAGCACTGAAAGCCAATTCGTCGATGGCTGCGTCGAGACGAGAAGCTGCTTCATCACTGATCGGAAGCCCATGGGCAGTTTGATATGCGACTTTCGCTTCGGCTTTGAGTACAACAAAATCATAATTTTGATTGAGCTCAATTGCAAGTGCATCCAACTCCTTTTGGTCCGGTGTAGCTAGGGGATTGTCGGCAATCACTGCGCTAGCGCATGCCATGACAACGGCGAGAACCTTACAGGTGATAGGAAAGTGTTTCATTTCGAAATACTGTCACCTGTGACAGGAGAATGTGTGAGTTAATCGGTGCTGTTTCATGGCCATCCCAAGCCTCCATTTATACCCGATTTTATGTACCCACGAGGTCATAATACAACATGAAGGTGTCTCCATCTAAGCGAGGTGATCGTCTTCAATTGTAGCTATGGCGCAAGAAAATGGCGACATCACATGGACAATCTCAATTCACGCTTCACTTTTAAGCGAACAAATTTCTTGGATATTCGGCTTGGAATTTGAAGATCTGATTGGTTTTCCCAGAAGCGAGCAGCGATCGTCGCTGTCAGGGATGCCTCAGGGGTTCCAAGGCGAAAACAAGCCTGCAGGGAGCCGTACACGATAACCTCGGTATAGTCAGCCTGTCGTCAATCTTCACTCAGTGATATCACCGATTCCAATTGAATCATCACATTAGGTGTGGCTTCCAGTTGTTGGTTGTCGTAGTCACTGCCTATTTTCTTCCATTATCCGAATTATCTGCGGTCAATTCCAAGAAAGTAATCTGCGATGATGGCCATGAAAACATTTTCCCCGGAAGTCTTAGATGATCTAGATTCGGACTCTGTTGAGTGATTGATGGGGGGTACTTTGTGACTGTTTGGCTTCAAGTCGCGTCTGTGCCAGGATCTTCTCTTCACACCGCAATCTAGCAAACGGGCAACCTTCCGACATCCCAACACTCGGGCCTTTCCTTGACTAGCGTCACTTGGGATCTTTCACATATGGATAGTGATAGTCCCCCGTCGCGGAAGCGGCCACGCCCGAGGCCAGTCGTCTCTTGCTTGCGATGTCGGGATAAGAAGCTGAAATGCGACCGGGCTACCCTTGTCAGAATTGCATCAAGGCAGTCTGCATCGCGGAATGCACATACACCCATCATCCTGTGCCCAATCAATCTAAATCCCATGACCCCGCAAATGCCTCCCTTCCAAAGCCGAAACCGCAACCGCTACCGAAACGAGTCCACCTCGACGTCTCCGAGGAATCCGACCAGCGGGGCCAGCTGGACCCTCCTCGGAACGGCATCATCGAAGATCTACAGCGCCGCGTGCTTCATCTCGAGGAGCTTGCCGCTATTCGATTGAATTCTACCGACTTGGATCCTCTAAGAAATGCCACCATTCCAAGCCCCGGGTTAGCATCCGCTCTCATTATCATCAACCTCCCATCCTTGGCTCTCGCGCTGACTATTTTTAAGGCCTCAGGAGAACCCAACTCTTTCTACTACTCCTTCCCAAGGCACGTTGGTGATCAAAGGATCTCGCTCCCGTTACCATGGCCAGAATAACAGGATCACCCTTCTCAATCAAGTGAGTCTAGTTAATTCTTTTGTGACCGTATTTTTTCTGACAGCCTCTGCAGTTCCCAGACGCCAAAGCGTTTATAAATCATTGTGGCACGGACTCCAGCCTCGTCGGACTAGCCAAAGAAGTCCAGTTTCTCCAGAGCAAGTTTCAGATACCAACGGCCTCTCCCGAATCTCTGTCGGAGTTGGAGTCTTTTCCGGAGTTACAGTGTCTCCTAGACTCTCTTCCGCCAAAACCTCTCTGTGATCACCTGGTGGATGTGTATACAAAGAACTTCGAAAAGGCCTTGAGGATTTTTCATGTCCCCTTCTTCTTACGACAATACTCGAGGCTTTGGGATGAGACATCGGATCCAGAGGCTTCTTCGGCGAAAGACTTCGTTCCCCTTCTCACCGCCGTATTGACTGTCAGTGCTGCAGTATTGGGCACACCTCTCTCTGATGATCACACATCATCATGGCGCTACTTGAAGGATAGCGCCCCTGGCAATATTCTCAGATGGCTGAGAAAGCTGCCGCGGAAACAAAGAACAGAAATGGCCACTCTTCAAACCGAAACGCTTCTTTTGCTTTCACGCCAACTGCGTCTCGCGGATGCAGAGGAGTTGTGGAAGGCTAGTGGGGAACTGGTGCGCTCTGCGATGGTGATGGGTCTTCACATAAACACCCACAGCTCTACCGAGATCACTCCTTTTCAGGCTGAATGCCGAAAGCGTCTTTGGATTACTATTGCTGAAATTGATCTCCAGATGTCTATCTCTGCTGGGATGCCAATAATGATTCCGGAATTGGATTTTCAGCTTCTGACCCCAGCTAACCTCCATGACTCGGACTTTGATGAGACAACCACGACTCTTCCATCTGCAAGAGATTTGCTCGAGGAGACCGATTCTTTGTTCCAAATTAGCCTCGCTGTCTCGCTATCCCAGCGAATTAAAACAATGAACATGGCCCAACATACAAACCCACAGGACAGTCTGGAGACGCGCTGGAAACAAACGCAAATCCTAGAAGAAAGTCTTCAGAAGGCATCTCTTTGTCTGGAACGGTCTGATGAACTTCGAGAGCTTGACTCTTCCGGGCATGCCTTAAATCGCGTCATCCTGGACGCTTTTCTCCACCGACCTCTCCTTGCTCTTCTGCAACCTATTATTACCGCAGGCACCCATGACAACCATCGCTTATTCCCTGAAATTCAACAGACATTCATCAAATCGTCACTCTCTATCCTTTCCTGCCAGGACTACTTTGACCCAAATATCTCTGGCCTTGACTTATTTAACCCGTCAGACGCATCCTGGGAAATTTTCCAAGCATTATTTCACCAGGATATCCTGAGTGCTGCCCTCAATGTCTGCAGATATATGCGAAATCTAAATCAAGCACCGGCACACCAAGCTCCGACCAATCACCGATCTACTTCGATAACCTTACCAGGTCAGAACGTTAGTAGAGTCAGCCTCATACGACTCGTCGAGAATACCCTGGAGACTTTGACGCGTCGCATTTCCGAAAGGCGGACGAATGTTAAGGATATCCTGTTGCTTGCTGTGGTGCTTCAGTCCGCTCGCGGTCGTGGCACGACAACGCAACAAGATCTACTCATGTCGCAGGGTGCCAGAAAGGCACTATCATCCTGCAGGCAATATTTGCTTTCTAAGCAGTCAAACGAAGCGATTCCGTTTTTTGCTTCTGACATTACACAAATGGTACTATCATGTTCATTCAAATTTGAAACTCACTTGCTGACTTCTGAATAGCCACCTTCCCCTTATGTCCCGATGGGGTCGTCTGGACCGCAACCATCTGCATCCAACTCCACGCATCTTGCGGATCTATTCGAGCCATCATCTGCTCTTGCGGTCGAATTCAATAACTTTGAGAGCGATCTATTTGCGTTGGATGATGGTTCATTCTTATGGAATTTATGATGCAATAGTGTACGTCAACCGTATGAAACCTTAGGAAAGCTAATACACAAATGATATGAATTCTCTTCAACAAAAACTCTGTTCTAGATTCCAAATCTATATCTGCAGTATCAATGCGCGCTTATCCTGGAAAACCATCTACAGATGGGATCCATGAATGTCGACTTTGTCTTTGGGCTTATTATAATACTGTGTCATGTCGTGCTTCAAAACATCCAGCCCCTGCGATCATCAGAACAAAAACAGGTCAAATCGGAGACTTAATAAACTTACCAAGGCTAGCTCCTGTGAAAGCTTATTATCGTTCTCTGCCTGAATACAGAGTTGAAAGAACTCATCATCCTGGCGAGCCTTGTTGGGATCCTGATCATGGAGTCGTCGGAAGTTCTCTCGCGACATAGGGTCAATGGTCTCTTCCCAGATACGCTTGCGGACTTCACTATACTTATCGAGAATGCTTTCGTCCGCAAGTCCTCTGTGGATGCCATTTAATGCATCGAAAAGATTACCTACGTCGACGATCCCACCCGTTAAACCTAGGCCACCGCTGGGTAAAACAAGTCAGCCATAAGCTAAATGAACAATTTATAAAGAGAAGGTCTCACAAGGGGTTGCAGAGATGTGCTGCATCCGCTGCGAGGAGGATTCTTCCAACTCGGAAAGAAGGAGCACATCGCTGCTGCAACTTATAAGGGCTGATATTCGTGATGCGATATTCGCCCGGCTTCGGATTGCCCGGTAGAATCTCTTCATATCGTTGGGGCTGTCGCGCGATATACTCCTCTCTGCTCAGACCTGGGGTGTCTCCATATGTGACTCGGTAGAGTCCATCCGTCGTTATCTTGGCTGCCATATAGTAATTTTTCGGGTGCACGATGAAGTTGCTGTCCCAATATCCGTAGCGGTCGAAGTCGTAATATACCTACTCGACATGGTTAATTCAAGACGCAGAGAAAGCATGCCAGTGGATGATGCCACGAACATTTGTAGCAATTATTTGTGCGTTCAGAGTTTCGCCGGGATACTCAGGGCCAAACAGCTCACGCCGCACCGTACTGCTTGCTCCATCACATCCAATGACATAGTCCGCCTCGGATCGTTTCAGGCCAGTTGGGGTCTCCACATCGACCCAAGCCTTGCCTTCATCCTGGCCAATTTTCATCACGCGATGCGACCATTTGACCTGTGCAGTGGGTTGACGCTGGATGTGCTCGTATAACAGTTTGCCCAATCGATCGAGAGGAAGCACAACCATTTTGTAAGGGTAGTCCTCCGGTAACGAATCGTGATTAATCCCGGCGATAAATGTCGTATCGATCTTCCTCCAGGCGAAGTTCTTGGGGTGTAGACCTCGAGCTTTAACGTCCTCAAGGACACCGGCGCGTGCCAGTTCATAGGCTGCTGGGGTCGCGTAGTGGGCTGCACGAGGCTGTTCGTCTAGCTGGGCGCCAGAATCGAATAATTCGACCTCAATGCCTTGCTTAGCTAGCAAAATTCCGAGAATTAGCCCCGATGGGCCGGCTCCAACCACAATGACCTGTGAGATAAGTTAGTCGCCACCAGGTAGTTGAGAGTCTCCGCTTGAGTACCTTTTTGATCGCCATTCTTTGATATAAATTGATGAGATCTCACTCTCCAACAAGTCAAAATTGAGGCCGGACAAGAATAAATATGGCCTCGCAGTGTTTTCCAGGGTCAAAGGAGTCCGGGGTTAAAACCACCCCACCTCCCCCGCCGTGGGGCTCGTCCACTTGGCGTGAGTTGATGGATTGCAGCCACTGCGAGTCGGCCCAGGAAAAAGCCAGATGCGGGGAACCTTAGGAGTTGAGCTAAATATTGGTAAAAACACGAGAGGTGCAGTGGTTTGCGGGGCGATTTTGGGGGAATCCCGAAGCCCTGAAGCAGCTTCCCAGACCAAGATGCGAGCCTAAATTGCACCTCTGAAGCTGAAAGCATAAATCTGTAGCTGTTAGACCTTGGTACACGTATCACCAAAGAAACTGTTGCTGGAAATTGGCCGAAGGTGCACCTTCCCAGTTGCTACTAGTCTGTACTGGTTCTATCCTCTGGGGTTCGATCTGGCCTCCCACCGGCAAATCAAAGGGTCCCGACAAACCAGTCTTATTCTCCATTTGAGACCTTTTAGCTGCGGCCTCAAAGGATAACCAGTATTGATCCAAGTGTGGGCGGGTGTTGACGGGTGATAGCGACGGTCGTTCGTGCTGTTGATGTGGTAGAGATACCATCGGGAGGTAATCTTGTGCCCCAGGTGCTAGGATAGTGTCCTGGTATCCATTCTCACCAGGCTCCTGGTGCTTTCTTTTCACTCCACTATTCTGGTGACGGTGGACGGAAGATTGATCAGTCTTACTCGGAGGAGTGCCGGAATCCACCGGGCTTTGGCCGATCAAAAGATGCTGCCATTCCCGGATATTTTGTGCATTATCGAGCGGAAATTGAGACCACTCGTCAATTCCTCTCCGATCAAGTCTGGCAAGGGGCATATAGGTACCAGCGCTATCCCGGCTGACCGCGGCGCCATCCCTTGGGAATGCATTGGAAAGCTGCGCGTCGGAAACCTGGGAAAGGAGGCGTAAAAGTACACCTTCTGTGACCTGCAGTCTATGCTCCAGTGCTTCGACGTGTCCCTTGGCGGGTCCACTATGTAAATAAGAACATGGATCAGTTGTTGAGCTGTATGGGCATGTCTTCAATCTCCCAGCTACATACCGGCGCAGCTGCTCTGGCCAATCACAGGGTCTATTGTTCTCCAGGCATTGCCCACATATAGGCCTTTTCAGATTAATTAGCACATCGATTTATTTCGATAAACCGGACACTCAGATCGTACTTATCTCCGCTGCACTGCAGTGTCGATTCGTATTAGTGGCAGAATCATTTGGCTCCTCCAGAAGACCACTTACCTTCTGTTTTCTAGAGCGGCAAGCATTGCATGCAACCGTGATTCTTGCGGGCTTTCTCTCCTTTGACTTTGCCATTTTGAATAGATGCGAAAAGAAACCACCGAGCCAGGCAGTTGAGAGATGCAAATGCAACCCAAGAAGGCGAGGAGGGGAAGATGAAATCGCCTGAAAGTTCTGCCGGCAGGCGGAACCATCAGCCTCAACCCTGTCAATGTTCCCCGAAATCCATTGATTTAAATACACAGTTTACTTTGTTTTCCTATTTTATTTATTATCTTCAAGAAACTTCTACTATTCTATCTATTTTCCCTTCATTGTTATCCAATACTATGTCACCAACATATCGCATCGCCTCCATCCCCGGTGACGGTATTGGTCCCGAGGTAGTCAGCGCGACCATTCAAGTTGTCGAGAAGCTCGCCAAAAAACTGGGAAAATTTGATATCGACTTTACTCATATTCCTTGGGGAACTCAATACTATAAAGAGACTGGTCAATATGTCTCAGATGATTGTTTAGAAACGCTACGCAAATTCGATGCCGGTCTGTTCGGAGCTGTTGGTGCGCCGGGTAAGAGGCAAAATAATTCCATGGCTTAGTATATTCTTCTAACAAAGAAACAGATATCCCTGATCACATCTCCTTATGGGGTCTTCTGCTAGCCATTCGTGGCCCATTGCAGCTTTATGCCAACGTCCGTCCCGTGCGAACATTCCCAGGAACCAAGTGCCCACTGAACACCGCCACAGAGGGTATTGACTGGATGCTTGTTCGCGAGAACTCGGAAGGCGAATATTCTGGCCAAGGTGGACGTTCACATGTTGGACAAGAATGGGAAGTCGCAACTGAAGTTGCGATTTTCACTCGCGTCGCCATTAAGCGCATCATGCGGTTCGCTTTTGAGACAGCGCAGTCTCGCCCTAAGAAGCATTTGATCGTTGTCACCAAGAGTAACTCCATGCGAAATGGCATGGTTCTCTGGGATCAAGTTGCTTCTGAGGTATCCAAGGACTTTCCCGACGTTGCCTGGGAGAAAATGCTCGTTGATGCCATGACCGTCCGAATGGTAGCTAAACCCCAATCAATCGATACTATCGTCGGAACCAACCTGCATATGGATATTTTGTCTGATCTCGCGGCCGGACTTGCTGGATCTATCGGAGTTGCCCCCTCGAGTAACTTGGACCCGACTCGCAAGAACCCATCTATCTTCGAACCTGTCCATGGTAGTGCTTTTGATATTACCGGAAAGGGTGTCGCAAACCCAGTGGCAACTTTTTGGTCAGCTGCTGAGATGCTCATTTGGATCGGGGAGAAAGACGCTGCGGCGAAGCTTATGCAGTGCGTTGAGGCAGTCTGTACCGCCGGTATATTGACGCCCGATCTTGGTGGAACCGCAAACACCCAGGGCGTGGTTGATGCGGTTTGCGCAGAGATTGAGAAGCTGCACGGTTAGTGGGAGGAGCATCAAAGTGGCCGGTAAATATTTTTTTTTTCTTTCTTGAAGCTCAAAGGTAATATGCCTTTGTATGGACCTAGACAATGACTTTTCTTTTAGCATGAGCCATTGTTTAATTATTAAAGCCAAAAATGGACTGCGGTTATTCTCTGGAGGAATCAATAGTATTTAAATGTCTCGAGTTTCCTGGTATCGAGTAGCCACTAGCATCCATATTTATCGCAAGGCTTCATCATGGACTACGACGTAATTCACAGAAAAGTCTATCCAGATGTAGTAAAATTGTGGTGGGTATCATTCATGCTGAGCCCGGAAATAGCTCATTGGACAGATTCAAAGATTCTAGAGTACCTGAAGGACTATCTCACTCAAGGTCGTGTCTGGGTAGGTCAGGATCAAACAAAGCAACCTTGGTGCTTCTCAGTGGTAGTTCGGGTCACACAGGAGCAGATTGTGTTCGCAGGGGGATTCGTTGAAGAATTAGCCATCAATCAGGCAACCTGCCTTGTCGAATCTTGGATTGCCCTAGGGGTACTACCTTATACGCGGCAGCAATTCTTCGGGCTGTCCTGAAATGATGTTGTTGGGCCTTTCAAGACCGGTTTCAATCCAGGTTAGGTTTTTTCTCACTTCCTTTCAACTTTCTCTTTTTGCTAATTTCCCCCCTTTACTAAGTTCTAATTTTACTAAATTTCTCCCAACATGTTTCAAAACTATCTTAGATCCAAGAATGAAAGTCACATAAGTGTCTAAAAAGAAACATTAAAAACACCTTGAAAAATTCAAGCATTCAAAAGGAACCAAACTGTATGATCTAATCAAAGACCGGTATTATTATAAATTCTAATAGTTCATTGTTTCTTGCTGAGGTGCATATACCTAGGTATCAGGCCCCAGACTACTTTCAAGTTTGGAACCTGGGTGAACAGACAAGATCAATGGAACGAGGCCCCCGGTAAAGCAGGAGCTTTCAAGTGATTTGAGTTTGATTTATTGGATTTGAAACGCTAATTACTAGCCTCTGGAGAAACTTTCATTCATTGCACTCGTCGACATGCTCCTTCGCGAGAGCACTCGAATATGAAGTCTAACTAAATTAAATGAATGAATTAGAAGCTATCCATACAAGGCTAAAGATCCCTCTCTAGTCGCATAACACTCACTAACGGTACGTTTAATTTTTGAAAAATTAGAAAGGAAGCTATAGTTTCGATGAATACGCCCACTTTTCAACAGAATGCCCCTTTTTGGGATCACTTTCTCGGGTGGTGGTAACCGACATGCACCACATAGTGTACGATATGTGAATGTTCGGTTCCAATCGACAGACTTCCAAAAATCTGATTTGGAGCTTCTTAATATCATGACGAGCGCTATTCGAGACCGTCGAGCCGCCATCTCGACCAGTGCTATCGGAAGATCTGCAGCTTCCTCCTTGACTTACTCGATTGAAATTAGGGGGCGCTTTAGAGACAGTAGTGATATCTATACCAAAGCTCAGGATCTCGTCTTTCAATGGAGAAGTGACGTGTTTAGACGTGGGCTACCATTTCACCGCTCGGAAATCTTTTAATTTGGAACCATGATGGTAGGTTCATTCTCTGGTTATCATTTTGAAGCGGATTTTGATCCGAATCCTTTCGGGATTATTGTTTCTCTTATTGTTAGCTTCAATTTTCGAGGTTGTTCTCTTTTTCATGTTCGGGATGAGCCTTCAAATTGTTCAAGTTCTAGTGCTGTCGGGGTGCTGAATCATGCTCTAGCGCGATCATACTTATTTCTATCGGGCAAGGGGACCGATTTTCCACCATACTTGATCCTTATCCATCTTCATGTCATTATAGTCAAGAAAATAATAGAAGAATGGCTCTTTCTTCACTCTAAATTTAGCAAACTGCCAAGCGGCTATAGCATTATGCATAAAATTTCAGGAGTTCGACACAGCCCCCGTACGAATACGAGTCCGTATGATCACCGCTCCGCCTGGTTGAGCGGAAATGAATACTTCCCTGGGGCGGGAGCTTTGACTGCCCCGACCGTAATGCAATAACGAATGGATATTCCGCTCCGTAAATAAAGGCCGGGCCAAAGAATCTGATTGTTTGACCATCCACGGCAGTGCGTGGCTGGCAACTAGCGCCAAGAGACTAGAGCGGAATTGGCTTAGAGTTAAGCGGGTCTTTTGTACGACGGAGCTCACCATTGGAACGAATACGAATTGATATGGATCCCGCTAAGCTCCACAAGCGGCAGAGTCTGGCGTTGATGACGACCGCGTTTTAAAACAAACTCATCATACACGCCGATCTGGCTTCGCCACGAGGGAAGCTTCCTTTACTGACTACTTTTTGATTTCGAAATCCAGTGTAAAAAATAGGATTGACGGAATATCAGTTTCTCCTGAATTGCAGAGACAAGGTAATATGAACGAGAACTTGAAACTTGCTACTTTCTATGAAGCACGTAATTTTAATGTATTATCCATCCCACAATTCCGTATAATTTCAATACTTATCCAGATGTGGACCTGGGGTTGACGAAGTCACCCCTGAAGAAGCATACGCAAGCCGCAACATGCGCATGCGCAAACTCGACCCGAATGACGACGGAATCGAAGCTCCCCCAAGTGAACTCCTCCATATATGCAAAGATATGGCGCCGACTTGACTTTTGGTGACCGGAATGAATTTCTGCAGATGGTACACCTGTCAATCATTCGCGCTTAGCTACGCTGTAGCTGTCTAGAATTTGAGGATGGTTCTTCCGTTTATTTGGGCTAGTATTGCCTTGTACGCCGCAGGAGCATGCGGGGACTATGTCTCAACCAACTACGATGAATACAACGATGGCGTGCTCGGCCACCGTCCTCATCTGGAATTTCATTCCAGCGATGAATACGCGCCGATCCTGCAAGCTACCATCTGGGATGGCGATGCGATATCCGACGCGGGCTCCCACATTTTCCTACGACACGACGGCAACGATACCTCGCCGCTTTCATCACCTCTAATTATTGATGCACGCGACTTGAGCGCGGTATACATGAACCGAACGTTCAAAAATGTTTTTGGCACTCGCGTTCAAGAAAACAAAGGAAAGAAGTACTTAACTTTTTGGGAAGGAGAAAAGGGCAATGGGATTGGCGATGGTTATGGACTTGCCTACGACGATACATATCGCCTAGTTTATAAAATATGGGCACAAAATCTCCAGGTACACAGTGACTTACATGAATTCGCATTCACTGGAAATGGGTCAGCTTTGGTTACTGGCGTGAATTCAATTCAAGTGGTTCCGTCAATGTTCCCTCAGTGGGACCTACCACCATTCAGCATCGAAATACTAGATGCAGTCTTCCAAGAAATTGACCTTGAGACGAACGAGGTTCTCTTCCACTGGCGAGCCCTCGACCACATAAACCCTATGGACTCATTTGAGTCAATGGGCCGTGTCTGGGATGCCTATCACATCAACAGTATTGAAAAGGTGAGCGCTTATGAATGATGCATGATCCTAAGAAGATAAATTTTGACAAATCCTGCAATCCAGACACAAGCAGGAAACTATCTCATATCAATCCGCCATACGTTCTCTATTCTTCTTATCAGTGGAAGTACAGGAGAAATAATTTGGCAGATGGGTGGAAAGCGAAACGACTTCGACGAAATATCCGTGCTCAATGGGTCTGATATAACCCAGGAAGTGTTGACAATGAGCTGGCAACATCACGCTCGCTTCGTCCCTGGAACAAACGAAACCCAGATGACACTCTTCGACAATCACGGGACTGTCACCAACCACGGCGACTGCAAGGCCTTTTGCTCCCGTGGATTACATCTTGCGATTAATGACACTATCACGCCCCCCACGGTTCAATTCCTGCGTGAATTCCGACATCCATCACAGCTTCAGGCCCAGAGTCAAGGAAGCGTACAGCCACTATCTCCTTCCGCGGATGGCCTTGGCAATGTTTTCATTGGCTGGGGTCGATGTCCATCATTTACAGAGCATAACTCCAAGGGAGAGACGGTGATGGACGTCCAATTCTCACCATGGCATAGTGATGAGATTCCTGATGCACTCGATAACTACCGGGCATACAAGATGAACTGGTCCGCAACTCCTTGGTGGGACCCTGCCATTGCCATGCGAAAGAACCAGGATGGAGAGCTTGTTGTCTACCTTAGCTGGAACGGTGCAACAGAAGTTGCGTATTGGGTTGTCAGGGGAGCTCATAATCCCGTACGTGGGAGTTACGACAAAGTCGTCACAGAAGGTGCGAGGACTGGGTTTGAAACAAAGCTGATTGTCGGAGAGACCCCATGGCAATATTTATGGGCTGAAGCAGTCGACGAGGCAGGAAAAGTACTTAGGTCAACCGATATTGTGGACCTGACAACTGAAACCCTCCCGATAGTCCTTGACAGCTATGATGCTAACTTCACTTTTCCCTCTGGAAAGGTGAATACACAGAGCATAGTTCAGCCATTAAGCATGAACTCCGTGCTACTACTCACTGCATTAGCCACCATCGCTCTTGTGATATTCTCCGTTGGTGGTATTTGGCTATGGCAAAGATACAGAAGTTATACACAGCTAAAAGCGGAAGACTTTGATCTTGGTCTAGAAGAGCTTTTGGAGGAAGACAAGAGAAAGGACAGCACAGATGGCGATATTTATGACGACGAAGGAGATGCTCTGATAGCCTCGCAATCACGATTCTGGGATGACGGACGACCTCTCCAGCCGAAGAATGAAGGAAATTTACATCCCAGAAACTAGCAAGTTAATTGTTCAAATCTAAGCATCACGCTCCTTATTGCTCTTTCGTCCAGTTTCACCCATGCATGTGATTTTTATCGAAGAAGGGCCATAGGCTATGCTACAACTTTCCGTAGGAATCCTTTGGGATCTCCCAATTTCATAAATATCGTCGTCAAAATCTGTTCGGTATTCGGTGCTAAGTGCTAGCACGAGCACCAATACCATCCACGACCTCTCCCAAATCCTTTCCACCAATAGTCATCGGCTGTGAAGGCATCAGAACATATAACATCCGCGCCCACTGCGGAATTCTCTCGTTTGTCACTGGATCAATCACATCCGGCGTCGCATTGCGCCAAGCATGATTGGTACCGCGCTGGACAGCAACATCCCCACGCTTGAGAAGTCGTGTCTCTCCCGAATCCAGGATAAGTTCAACCTCGCCCTCCAGCACGACGCCGTAGTCCAGAGAGACAGTACGGTGCATGGCACATGTGATCCCTGGTTGGACGTCCACAATGCGGCAGACATTTCCTGTAGAGATGGTGATGCCCGGCGGATTGGTGAGGTAGTTAGCGTATTCGTCCAAATCAGCGTCACCGGCCAGTTGCGCAGGGAAGTGGTCAGAGGTATAGGCGAGGCTGAAGTCAGCACCGTTGCCTACGGAATTGACTGGCATATCTTCAGAGAGGACGGTGGAGAAAATGGCTTGGCCTGTCTCGTTGTGGGTGGTGATATACCGGTTGAGAGGCCGAATATTTTTTGGTGATTCGTCGCTCATTTTGATTTCAATGTTTCGGTCAGCGTCGTTAGGTAGGATGTTGTAATTGTGACTCGTCGGGGGTGACAGGGTGCAAATACTACCTAGGTAGTACACTGATAGTATCGATTGTGGGCACCTTGATAGTATATAACTTCAAGTATTCTTTGTGCCCAGGTGCGGAGACCCCGGCTTTCGGGACTGTTTGCGCCCACATTCCGAGGTTCCAGTCAGGGGTGGCATAACGGGTATTGTAGAGGGAGTTCAAATTCCCGCAGATAACTATGCGACTGCAGCTCAGGCAGTCAGTAAAGAGTAGCGGCATGCAGGGTCGGCTGTTTCTAATTTCATCAGTTTCGGGGATTCTCAACAATGAACTCTTCAAAGTCATAGCTATCATATGCGAGTCATGCGAGTCATGCAAAGATGCCTAGCAGTGGGGTGTATGATTTGTGACCAGTAGGCTGTATATTTTTTCTAGCAACTTTGAGTGGGGTAGGAGTTCTGGGAACTTGAAGTTTGAAGGTGAAGACATGGGTAAACAAATATTATTTCGTATTCAGCTCTTGGAGGGGGAAGCGGGTGTATTTCGTGGAAAGAGAAACCGGGCAGAACTAGAAAGCGGTGTGGTCTCCCAGTCGGAGCCAAGGAAGCGGTGTGGATTACCTTTGGGTATCTACCTAGCTTGGCAGTAGCTAGTAACTAGTAGCTACCGGAATCAATATGGCCAAAGAGCTGCAAGTACTTCACTTGATTGGATGACCCAGTCCGCTTGATCCTCAGTTTCATCGGCATGTGGTCACTGTACGAAATGGACCGGAGGGAGAAGGAGGGTGAATACAAGCAATGTATAACCTTTAAATCCCTTTAAATTGCCATGATTCTTCTGGAATTTCGAGCCTCCGTATACTAGCTCTGGTTCACAAATCGCCTTTTCAAGAAAAACAGACACAGAATTATCCAGCAAAATTCCTCGATCATTTCCCCAGCAAGCTTCTTCCATCCCCCTCGAAACCCTCAACATGCCCGAGGCGAGATGGCGCCCCGGAAAACGGGTTGCTATCGTTGGAGGAGGACCGGGATCGATTTCGGCCGGTCTAGCTTTCATCAAAAGAGGGTATGACGTCCGCATCTTCGAACGACAGCCAGAGTGCAAGGCTATTGGGGGCGCAGTTTTGCTATCAACACCTGTCTTGGCTATTCTACGATCCTATGGCTTAGACCCAAAGGATTTTGGCTCCCATACAGTGACCTATTTCAAGAATAAGTCAGGCGCAGAACGTGTTAAATTGCCCTTCAACCCAGAGATTGAGAAAAGTATGGGTATCAAAGGCTGGCACTATGGCGTTCTTCGCTCCTCTATGTTCAAGAAGATGCTAGACCTCGTTCCAAACAATGTGATCTATGCCAACCACGAATTTACTTCATATATTGAGCATGAGGATAGCGTTGAGCTTTTCTTCAAAGGTGGTCATCAAGAGATAGCAGATATCTTGGTTGGAGCTGATGGGATTCGCTCAGCTGTTTCTCGACAAGCATTTGGTGAGGCTCAATTGTTTCACACTGGAATCCGGCTATGGCTTGCCTGGTGTGACCAGATTCCTGATATTCCACCCAACTATGGTTTCATCTCACATGATTGGCAATACCAAGCCAGTTTCTTTCCAATGATCCATGATGGGAAGCCAGGGTTTGAATGGTGGGTGGTTGAGCCTTCGTGGGATGGAAAGCCTGTCCCTGAAGACCCCAAAGCCCATCTTACTGAGATTCTGAAAGACTGGTCTCAGCCAATGCCTCGGTTCTTGGAAGCTACAAACTTCGACACTCAAGTTTATCGTTGGGAGATTTTCAACAGACCATCGATGAAGAAGTGGTCTAAGGGTCGGGTCGTATGCCTTGGTGACGCTGTCCATCCAGTGTCACCATATGCTGCATATGGGATGGGTATGGCAATCGAAGATGGCTACTTCATTGCTAAATTTCTCGATGGTGTTGACCTACGGAATCAGCCAGCAATAAGCGCTGGGTTTGAGCTATACGAAAAGCAAAGAGTCGACTACGTCAATCATAATGTCGAATTCGCCCGTTTCCTTGGCAGAATGTTCCACTGCGTTCCCCGACCTTTTGCTTGGATCAGAGACTGGATTTTTGACTATACGCCTGTGTTGAGTAACTTCCTCAAAACTGGCTATCTGAAAAAATCGGAAGAAGAAACACTCGGTCTCAAAGAACTCCAGGTGACTTGAATTCTCTAAGGGGTGCCCGGGACATCAGTGATTTTCTTTGTATCGATAATCGAAGCAAAAAAAGCAAATTCAAAATTATACCACCAAATCAAAAGCAAAATTTAGGGTAAACCAATAATTATGAAATTCGACGCGGGACTCTACAGTCCCAACGCCCTTGAGTAGGTACCGCATGGCATCCCATCAAGTCGCTATCTCGGGTTGACAGACAACCTCTGCGCCCCAGAACCGAAGAGAAATACATCCTGGAAGATAGTGACTGCTACTGAGTAATTTTCTCTTTTAAATAATCATTTGGGACGACGATATCATCTCTACCCTGCTGAATCAATGAAGTGTAGGTGTGATGCATTACTCGGTAATTTAGGCCCCATTGGATGTCTAGAGGCGAATGACAGGAGGATAAATACAGATAGTAAGACCAAAAACTGCATTCGATTACCGAGGACTATCAATAATTTTCCGGTGTGGCTGATCAAGACAGCATTCCAGATCTCAGCTGAGCTTGTTTAGTGGTGGAGTAGGCAATATTAGTATAGCAAACAACCCGGTTGCTCGGATGCCAAATACTACATCGGTCGAATGGAAGCTTCTTAAAGGGCCTGGCTCGTCACCACTGCCTATCATTTCAAACATTTGAGAAGCGGACCCCTTGCTCCGTTGATCAAATTGGCAAAGCCCTGCAGATCAATATAGTGCCAACCCCGCGTTCGTACATACTACCCCTCTCGAGATGAGGTCCCTCGCCCGATTATTGTACCGAGCCCGAGTCTCGGTTGTCTATGAGTATAAATTCAAATTTTAATCCATGGGATATATCAGATAAGTTCCTAATCGACTTCGAATTAAACTGCCATGTTGTTTCCGATACTCGTATCGCTCTCCCTTCTGGGACTTCCAGATCTACTCGAAGGGCATCCATTGGAAACCAAAGGCCTTTCGGAAAATCCAACAGTGAACTTGGGATATTCTCAGTATGAAGGAACCGCGCTGAGCGCTGGTGTAAATCAATTTCTCGGCATAAGATATGCGGCTCCTCCTGTGGGAAATCTCAGGTTTAGAGCTCCCCAGGACCCACTGCGCCAAGAGGGTGTACAAGATGCCAAGGAGGTACGCATACTATGTAAAGGAAATACTAGTGTGCAACTGCTCATCTGAGTCCTAGTTTGCACCTACATGTATTGGAACGGCTGGAACTCTCAGCGATACGATAAATGAAGACTGTTTATACGTTGACGTCTTTGCTCCTAGCAATGCAACTCCGAAGAGCAAACTGCCTGTTTGGTTCTTCATCCAGGGTGGCGGCTATGCCACGAACTCGGATCAAAATTTCAATGGAACCGAAGTCATTACTCGATCGAATCACAGTATGATCTTTGTGCAAATCAACTATCGCGTCGGCGCTTTCGGATTTTTAGCGAGCGAGAAGATCAGGCGAGACGGTAATCTAAATGTTGGGCTTCTCGATCAATCCAAGGCTTTGGAGTGGGCTCGGAAGTACATCCATCTGGTAGGTGAATACTCATCATCTCACAGCACCCTGAGCTTAATGTACTAACCAATAAATTTAGTTTGGCGGAGATCCAAATCACATTGTCATCCACGGAGATTCGGCCGGTGGAGGCTCAATTGCGTACCATTTGACGGCCTACGGAGGAGGTCGTGAACGATCATTTATCGGTGCAATTTCGGAGTCTCCATTTCTGCCTACCCATCGCACAGTTGCAGAGTCGGAATTCCAATTCGACAAATTTGTACAAGATGCTAATTGTACTGGCGATAAAGACGTCTTGGAGTGCCTGCGTTCTCAGGAGACAACCACCCTACAAGCTGCAGATGTGAAATCCCGTTTTCCCGGTACAACACAAACTCCGCTGTGGTACTTTTTGCCAGTCGTCGATGGCTCTTTCTCGCCAAATCTCCTTTACACTCTCTTCGAGCAAGGTAGAGTGACCAAAGTTCCTGTTATTGTCGGCAATGACAACGACGAGGGAACAGGGTTCACCCCGAATGTCACCACTTCGGCTGAGTTTCTAGAATTTATTCAGGCCAACTACCCCAAGTTGACCGCAGCTAACCTCGACCTGATCAACCGGACTTACCCTCTTCAAGAGCCCTTTTTGCCCAAGCACGCACCGTATTTTACCCCAGCTGAACTGGCCTACGGCGAAGCAACTTTTACATGCCCGGGCCTTGAGATTGCATCATCCATGGCGATCCATAATTCGCCAATGAAATCTTGGAGCTACAGGTATAACGTCCAGGACAGCTCTAAGCAAGCAGCAGGTCTTGGGGTATCACACGTATCCGAAAAGCCAGCTATCTTTGGGCCAGGAAATGCAGGATCCTGCGCTGGCTGCTCTTATTTCACATACAATGCGCCGATGGTCCCAATCGTCATGGACTATTGGATCAGTTTCATTCTGAGTCTGGATCCTAACACATACCGCAATCCTGCCGCACCAGAATGGAAACCGTGGGGATCAAGTGCCACTGGTCAGAGGTTGAAATTTCAATTGAACTCAACGGAGATGGAGGCTGTTCCTGATGCCCAGCTTCACCGATGCTCAGTTTGGAAACATCTTTCTACCATTATGGAACAGAAGTGACGTATTTGCGCAATGGTTTTAATGGTTTTTGGATATTATATGCCCCGGTGAACGTTTGAATTATTGGCCAAAATGGATTCTATCTGGTTCTATTCACTATCTTACAGTATAATTGATTTCGCTCATGCTATGACTCCTTTGCTCCTCAACTCTTCAATTCGGTCAGAGTCCATTCCAATGATGTCTTTCAATACCTCATTGGTATGTTCTCCCAATAAAGGAGGAGGTAAACGAATATTCGGCTCGGCATTTGAGTATTTCACCGGAGGGCTGATAACCTTGATGGGGCCACAAGCAGGGTGGTCGATGGTCTGAACCATACCCCTTGCACGTACTGCGAAAGTTAGCATGCCATGAACTAACAATTTCCAAAATCATAATCAAATTTTTCATACCATGTTCGTGATTCATAGTTCCCTGAACATCATTCACGGCGGCATATGGCAGACCACTCCCCTCGAACAAATCCTGCCATTCCCGAGTGGTGCGTCTTGTCAATTCCTCCTCGATCAATGGCTCCAACTGAGCACGGTTATGCACGCGCTCATTATTCGTCACAAACCGGGGATCACTCTTCCACTCCGACTTCCCAATTTTATCACAAAGAATGCCAAAAAGACGATCATTCGCTCCGCCGACAAAAATATCTCCATCTGAAGTTTTGAACCCTTGATAAGGAACAACAGACGCTAAAAGCAAAATTGGCCAATCAGTACCGGACAAAGTCAATACAAGCACCCAAATGAAAAACTTACGATGAGCAGTCCCCCACCGACCCGAATCTTTCTTTCCGCTAATAAGCACCGACTCCCCCATATTGGCCAAAGTCGCCACTTGACAATCACTCAAACACACGTCCAAATGCTGGCCCTCGCCCGTATTCGCGCGGGCCAACAATGCAGCCATGATTGAATTACAGGCATATAGCCCAGTCGTCAAATCCGTCACCGCAACACCAACCTTAACAGGGGGTCCGTCTCGCGTTCCGGTCAAATGCATCAGTCCGAATTCCGCTTCGACCATCACGTCGAAGCCGGGCCGGTTGCTGTAGGGTCCTGTCTGTCCATAGCCAGTGATACTGGTATAAATAAGACGGGGGTTAATCTTTGACAGAGTGTCATAGTCCAGGTCGTATTTTTTCAAAGACCCAGGGAGGTAATTCTCGACGAGGACATCGCAGTCGCGCGCGAGTTTGTGCAGGATTTCAACGCCTTCGGGGTGCGCAAAGGAGAGACCGAGGGACTTTTTGTTTCTGTTTACCTGTTTTTTTTTTCCGTGTTATTTCCAAGCATTCATCTTCAAAATTTCGGTTTTCGGGTCTTACTGAGAGATAATATGCGCTTTCACCGTTGCCTTTTCTGCCATCGTTGTATGGGGCGTAGGGTGGACCCCAGGCACGAGTATCATCGCCTCGAATGGGATGCTCGATTTTGATGATTTCCGCCCTGGATAGGCTCTATCAGTATGTCTCATTCTTCGTTGGCATCTATCACTAAGAAATGGATAATGCATACCCGAGATCGCCTAAGATCTGTGTGCAGTACGGCTATTAACAGCATCAGCGAACTAGTCAGGAAATAGACATCGAAGTGATCATCGTAGGTCAGATTCGAACTTACCCCAGCCAGTACCCGACTCATATCCAAAACTTTCACCCCTGCCAATGGTAACTTGTTACTCTTCTGCGCCGTGGCCAAGCCCCGGGAAAGACATGACCCGATCAGGTGAGAGGCGGATGTTGCCCTCGCCACCACGAATGGGCGTGATAATGAAAGGTAATTCATTGTGGCAGGGCTAGTAGTCCTCTGAGGGCAATCTGTTCTAGTCTGTAATAGTTGTAGGTAACTCCAAATGTACTTGTTTTAATTGCAGCTCGTGGGGAGCCCCACTGCGCAATCTGCAGGGCGAGGCAGCCCCCAGGTGGGTTCGAATGTTGACCCCACATGAGTTGCTCGTGGGGTGCAGACAAGCTTGGAACAATTCAAGTTCAACACCTGGGCACTTTGGATGGATGAGCATTATTTTCTAGGGTCGGGTCTCTTATTGGAAGTTTTACTAGAGTATTTACAGAAGAAATTTTCAATATGAAAAAAAATGCTCTAATTTTCAGTCTAGAACTTAAAAGTATCGACATGCCAAAAAAAAAACGTATCCAGAATCCCGAATTTACAAGTGGTATATTTCCATCAAATTTACAGCTGCATAAGCTTCAGGTCAGCGGAGACCTTGAAGGGGGCAGCGGTCTTGCTGCGGATCTCCTCGACGGTGACACCCTCAGCGTGCTCGATCAGAGTCAGACCCTCGGAGGTGCTGACGTCGAAGACGGCCAGGTCGGTGATGATGGTCGAGACACAGCGGGGGCCGGTCAGGGGGAAAGTGCAGTCGGCAAGAATCTTGGGGTTACCCTTCTTGTCGGTGTGTTCCTGTAGAGTAGAGTGGTTAGTTGAATAGTTTTTGTCTGTCTGGATTAAGTTGACAACATACCATGGTCACGACGACCTTGGTCTTCTCGGGGTTGGCGACCAGATCCATGGCACCACCAACACCCTTGACCTTACCGGGAAGCATGAAGTTGGCAAGATCTAGAAAATCATTAGTACAAGGCGCATATATTTCGATCAGGGGAGTGGAACATACCGCCGAACTGGCTAACTTGCAGAGCACCAAGCATAGTAAGATCGATCTTACCAGCGCGGATCATACCGAAACTCTCGTGGGAACCGAACAGGGAAGCACCACGGCCAAGGGTAACAGTCTCCTTGCCGGGGTTGATCAGGTCGGGGTCCTGCTCGCCAGGGTTGGGGTAGCCACCGAGACCCAGGATACCGTTCTCAGCCTGCAGGACGACCTCGACACCCTCGGGCAGGTAGGAGGGGGCGATCAGAGGAATACCAATACCAAGGTTGACGTACATGCCATCCTTGAACTCCTTAGCGGCACGCTTGACGATGCGCTCACGGCGGGCGGTAGCCTCACCGGAGCCAGCAGCAAGCAGGTCCTCGGGGCTCTTGGCGAAGGTCAGCTTCTCAATTTGGGTGGGCTCGGTGCTCTTGATGACAGCATCAACGTAGACACCCTGAATGTGAACACTCTCGGGGGCGATCTCGCCGACCTCGACGATCTCATCAGCCTCGACAATGGTGTACTTGGCGTTCTTGGCCATGGCCTCATTGAAGTTGTTCATAGCCTTGCGGAACTGGCAGTTACCGAGCTTGTCGGCCTTGTGCGCGCGAACCAGAGCGTAGTCACCAAAGATCGATTCTTCCATAAGATATTCCTTGCCGTTGAAAGTGCGAGTTTCCTTGACCTTGGACATTTCTGCCACAGAGCCATCCTTGTTGTACCGAATAGGGAGTTCACCAGTTTGAATAATAGTACCGTAAGCCGTGGGGGTATAGAAAGCCGGAACACCAGATGCACCGGCAGCACACTTCTCAGCGATGGTGCCCTGGGGAGTAAGCTCCAGGGTCAGGTCACCGGTGAGATACATCTTCTCGAACACCTTGTTCTCGCCAATGAAAGAGGCGATCATCTTGGTGATCTGCTTGGACTCGAGCAATTGACCTGTCGAGGGGTTGTGGGTTAGCCAATGTTTCAATGACCGCGGAGTTTGACCTCCAATGGCACATTGCACCTACCGAGACCGGCGCCGGGCATGCCAGCGTTGTTGGAAACAACAGTCAAGTCCTTGACCTCTGGACGGGCGTGGAGGGCGTTGATCAGGGTGTTAGGGACACCCGAGAAGCCGAAACCACCGACCAGCAGGGTCGAAGAACCCTTGATGTTCTTGACAGCATCCTCTGCGGAGTCACATAGCTTGTTGATGGCGCTCCGAGAAGTTGAGGCAGAGAAGTTCCGCCGCCAGATGGGGCTGAACACCTTGATCGCAGGAACAGGCCGCGCCATGGTGAGTACTACCTTCAGAGAAAAATTCCGGGGTAGTGCTTTCTGATCCAGCAGAAAGAAGAGGAAGAAGAGAAGAAGAAAAGAATGAATTGAATTATCTTGAAAGCTACCCCATTCACCCAGCGGCTTTTCGGCTAGGGACTGAGCCAGACAAGCCGAAAAAACGCTTACCCGGCAGACACCGCTAGATTCCCCCACAAGATCGGAGAGGGAGAGCGGCGAGCCCCAAAGGCCTTTGCCGCCATCGGAAGCCGACCCCACAAAAATACCCGATTGTTAGTCAGATGGCGTGGCCATGCCAATGGGGGAGATGGGGAGATGGAGAGATGGGGAAATGGGGGTGAATGTGTGGAGGAGAGAGGGTGACAGCGGGAGAAAGTAAATTGAAGTTGACTTAAGAGTTCACCTAAAGGTAGAAGGAAAGTGGTGACTTATCTGATGAACGTGAGGAAGGTGAAGACGATTCGCGACCGCGAGGAAGGTGCGATGGGCGGAGTTCCCGTATGGTAATAGCCCCGTAATCCGCCCTGTAAATAACGTGTATCTTACACGGAATCCCTTTCGGCAACCCTTCGGGACTCAACAACTGGCTTCGGTACTGATTCCGTTTGACTCCGGTGTCCACTTTATGTGAATCGCGATGCTGTTGAGTACGATAGCAGGGCCCAGCAGCCTGAAGAAGAAACCACATACTCCGTACTCCGTAACCCATGTCTAGGCCTGTCACCTCAGATCGTCGAGCGGGGCCCGTCCCCTCACGTCTTCGCTCCACCGTGCATATAGCCATGACCTGCTGTCACCACGCCATCCGGGGTAAATCCGTATGCTAGCATGTGTTTCAGGAGGATCACTGCCAATGAAGGCTAATTTCTTCATGCTCGTCGGCTGCTCGCCTAGCATTCAATGTCCAATCACCATAAGATCCCAGCACCAGTGTGCATAGAAATGAGGGGAAACGCTTATGGCAGCACGGGGAGAAGAAAGACAAAAGTAGACAAGATGCCACTTAGAAATACAATCATACCATAAAGCATCAACCGAAATAAGTTTTCAAAGGTTCCAATACCCCAAGAACCCTACCAAGCCACTTCCATACACCTTGTCGTACTCACCGTCAACATGAGTCCGAAAAGCGTATCCCCAACGCCGCTCCTTTCCGAAAAGCACAACGGAATCCCAGCCAGGCTGTTCGACAAGGCCCAGGAAACCAAATCTGCCATCTTCGATATATCCACCAAATCTGAAAACAACAGGACGAAAGTGGCCCTCCCGCAAGGAATCAATCAAATCACCTTTCGTACCGCAATCGCAGAACTCCGCGATCGACTGGGCGAAGAACATGTAGAATTTGTGACAAAACTAGACGATGGATGGTACGATATACCTAGTACTAGTATCCATTCATTTCCTGTCGTGGATATTCACTAACCAGCAGTCATTCTCTAGGTATATGGAAAGTCAGTAGAACACATACCCCCAAGCTAGCAGCCACGAAAAGCATTGACCTTTCACAGACCCCAATACCCACGATGGAATGCACGTCTCTGATGAAGATGACTTTGTCGCATCCGTCGTAGTATACCCCGGCAGCACCGAGGAAGTCCAAAAAATCGTCCAATGGGCAAATAGCTATCGCATCCCCATATCCCCGATCTCAATTGGTCGAAACTGTACGACGAATACCCTTTGATCCAAGACTCAACTAAAGAATACCCCTCTAACAATATCAGACGGCTACGGAGGCGCAGCCCCACGCGTCCGCGGGGCAGTCGTCCTCGATCTCGGTCGCCGGATGAATCGAATCCTCGACATTAATCCGGACGACTGCACTTGTCTCGTCGAGCCGGGCGTGACATATTTCGCTCTATACGAAGAGATTCAAGCCCGGGGTTTCCAGCATCTTTGGGTAGACGTCCCCGATATTGGAGGCGGGTCGGTTTTGGGGAATGCCCTCGATCGTGGGGTCGGGTATACGCCCTATGGAGACCACTGGATGATGCATTGTGGGATGGAGGTGGTGCTTCCTACTGGTGAGGTTATCAGGACGGGCATGGGTGCTTTGCCGGGGAATAATAGCTGGCAGCTTTTTCCTTATGGGTTTGGTCCTACTGCTGAGTGCGTCTTTACTACAAACGGTATCGCCAGGAAAGTATGAGATTCGCTAATTGGCGGCTTAATAGTGGATTGTTCTCGCAGTCGAATATGGGTGTCGTGACGAAGATGGGATTTGGATTGATGCCCAATCCTGGTGATCATGAGAGCTATGTGAGATTTTCTCGCTTCTATGAATTTGCGCAATGGCTCACAGATCATTCAGCTTTACACATTTCAAAAGGAAGAGGATCTCAGTCAGCTGGTAAGAAGATTTCGAGTCTAACTGCATACATACCTTCCACGATACACTAACTGACGTTATCAGATTGACATAATCCGACCGCTTAGAATCGCCATGATTCTAGAGAATGTTGCACAGCTCCGCCACATCAGCATGCAAGTCGGACTAGAAGGCAAACCCCGAAGTTTCTATTACAAGGGAAAAGGCCGGGTCCCCGACTCATTCATCCACGAAGCTGCCCAGAAACTTGCCCACGGCGACTGCTCTTGGTTATACTACGGTATGGCCTACGGACCCAAAGAAATCCGACAGTATAAACTCGACATCATCCATAAGGAGTTCATGAAAATCCCGGGCGCCAGACGAATCGACCCGTCCACTCTCTCTGCAGACAACTACTTCTGGGTTCGCGACCGGATTGCCTCCGGCGTACCGGACATTGAAGAGTTACGCTGGGTTAACTGGCACCCCAATGGAGGGCACATTGCCTTCAGTCCTGTATCGCCCGTCCGTGGGAACGACGCCACGGCACTATGGGACATTGCGCAGAAGCGATGCGAAGAGTACAACCTAGACCTGTTCCCTACATTTGTCGTTGGTCTTCGGGAAATGCATTTGATTGTAGAAATTGTGTTTAACCGCGACGACCCGGTCATGCGTGACAATGCGCGAGCATGTCTGCGCGGAATGGTCGATGATGCTGCGAAGAGGGGATACGGCGAGTATCGCACCCATCTGGCCTTCATGGATCAGATTGCGGGAACATATAACTGGAATGACGGCGCGTTGCTCAAATTCAACGAGAAGATTAAGGACTGTCTGGACCCAAATGGGATCATGGCTCCAGGGAAATCGGGAATCTGGCCGGCACGATATCGTGGACGCGGGTGGGAGATGAGTGCGCAGGATGAGTCCTCTGAAGGGAATGGGGTGAATCCGACTCCTGGCACGATGAGGTTGTAAGATGGGCCCACTCCGTAGTTGAGAATGAATTGCAGGCTTCTGGTGGTGCGGTGCCCCCGATCACCCCACATTCGCAGGCTTGCTTCTCCACCGATTTCCCATCGATCACCCGCAGTTGGCCACCGGTTGTGGCGAAGAGCTACCAAGAAAAAAAGAAGAAAAGAATAACACTCCCCTTGGATGAATCAAATTACTGAGTTTTTATCAACCGCGGTAGCCCATGTAAAATGTAAATAGCCGAAAATCGGGGGAATACACAAGGTGCAGTAGGGAGAGGGGGAAAGGAAAAGGAAAAGGAAGAATGCAAGACGATCGCCAAGGGGTGCAAGCGCCCCACCGTCTGGGGAAGGTCCTCTCCATCTAACCGGCCCATTCGGCACACATTTATGAGTTGTTTTCGACTTTCCTTCCTCTTACGCCCCCCCTTCTCTCTCCTCTCCTCCTCTCCTGTTTTCTATAATTGCATATCACTCCCTTCGAAATGCTGAGAAGAACAGCAGGCGAGGTGCTTAAAAAGAGCCCCAATGATGTGGTCGTGCTCTCCGCCGTGCGGAGTCCCATCGCACGAGCGTTCAAGGGCGGCTTCAAGGACTCCTACCCAGAGGAGATTCTCATGCAGGTATGCCCGTTGTGATTTGCACTGCTGGCTCTGTTGTCGGGATTGAATTACATTTCTAACAATGCATCGCATCACAGGTCATGCAAGCCGCAGTGCTACGGGCGAAGATCCAACCGGGCCAAGTAAACGACGTGATGATTGGCAATGTCCTCGCAGAGCTGGGCTTCGCGAAGACTGGTCGCATGGCCCTCAATGCGGCGGGTTTCCCTAATTCGACGACCTTCCACACCGTGAATCGCCAGTGTTCGAGCAGTCTGCAGGCTATCACGCATATCTCGCATTCGATTTTGGCCGGTCAAATTGATGTTGGACTTGGTGGCGGGGTGGAGAGTATGTCGCGGAATTATGCGACTCGGGGAATCCCCGTCGATGTATCTCCGACTCTGAAGGAGTCATCGGTGAAAGATGCGCGGGATTGCTTGCTACCTATGTTGCAAACCTCCGAGAATGTTGCGTCGCGTTATGGAATTAGTCGGAAAGAGCAGGATGAGTTTGCTGCTGAGAGTCAACGGCGAGCGAGCGAGGCACAAAAGTCGGGGAGATTCAAGGCCGAGCTGGTGCCGGTCACGGTCCGGTCTATCAGTGAAGGGATTGATGAGGAGACTATTTCGGTGGTCGATCGTGATGAGGGTGTGAGGCATACAGTCACGGCGCAAAAATTGGCGACTCTCAAGCCAGTGCTGGAGAATGGATATAGCACTGCTGGAAACTCGTAAGTGGGAGAACGGAGGGAAACCTTTGCAATCCATCCTATACTTTGGAGATATCTGCTCACTTCTGGCAATCACAGGTCGCAAATCTCCGATGGTGCATCCAGTACCGTTCTCGCCCGTCGATCGTGGGCTGACGCTCACGGTCTAAAGCCTATCGCTCGGTTTGCCGGAACCCAGGTTGCAGGCTGTGCGCCAGATGAGATGGGCATCGGGCCTATCTTCGCCTTTCAAAACTTGTACAAGTACTTGGGTATTGAGAATAAGGATGTCGACATCATCGAGATGAATGAGGCATTTGCAAGCCAGTCCATCCACTGTATTCGCGAGCTGGGTATCGATATGGACAAGGTCAATCCTAACGGCGGTGCTATTGCCCTGGGACATCCAGTTGCAGCAACCGGTGCTCGACAGGTCGCTACGCTTCTGGCGGAGCTGCAACGGTCAGATAAGGAAATGGGCATTGTGAGCATGTGTGCAAGGTAAGATCTCTTTATCTAGTGCGATGGGTCCAACTGCTAACTTGTGACAGCACCGGTATGGGTGTCGCGTCCCTCTTTATTCGAGAATAAATAGACTGCTATATCGGACTAGACTCGGATCAAACTTCTTCGGATTGTAAATAGCCTGGGTATAACTCAAAAATACTATATATTTAACTAGTACTATTAGTACTTCGGCTTCATGATTTTCTCGTACTGGTATGACAACTTTAAACTTTCAAGGTTGAAGTTAAGATTTTGGGCTACCTAGGTACGACCTCGGTATAGTTAGTACATCAGAATCTACTTTCAACTTCGATTTTTTCTACTATTCTCTAAACAAAATAGCTACCACTAGGTAGCCTTTAGCTTACCGGTATGTCAAGCTCAACCTTCCGGCCCCCTTTCTCCCTCCAAGCACTAATTTTGATCAAGTCATTTGGAGCCCTGGTGCTGACCTCGGAATAGCCTGATTCACCAGCCCCACATGCACTCCTTCCCAATTGAAATATGTGGGGCCTGGGTTCGAGAGATACTGTGGAGAGCAGACCGCAAAACACCTACTATTCACACTGGTCCAAATGCAAAGCTATACATAATTGAACAAGTCTTTGTTTACTGCTAATTCCTCGAGTGTCAAGTGCGAGGAATACCAAACTATCACCATGTCCATGTTCCTGCGTCTGTCGCGGGTGAACGCTCGCCCGGCAGTCTCAGTAACCTTCACCACTGGGCGCCGATTAATCGGCTCGGTCAGTGCAATTGATTCGAGCATTTTCCGAACGCTATTTGGTACAGACGAAATTCGCAAGGTATACTTCTTCTTTTCAGCGCAAAACTTGAGGACGCGTTTCTTACTCATGGTATTTCCAGGTCTTCGACGACGAAGCTTATATCCGACGATGCGTTGACGCCGAAGCTGCCCTAGCACGAGCGCAATCCCAATGCGATGTCATTCCATCCAAGATTGGAGCGATGGTCACGCAGCGTGTACAAGAATCAACCCTCGATTTTGATCGCCTGCGCCACGAAACCGAAATCGTGGGCTACCCTATTCTCCCCTTGGTCCGCCAGCTTTCAGCTATCTGTGGCGACGAGGCTGGCAAGTATGTACACTGGGGCGCGACGACACAGGATATCATGGATTTGGCAAGCATTCTTCAAATGAAAGAGGGACTAGACATTGTCGAGAGATTGCTCAAGGATGTCATCAAGACGCTGCGTCTGCTCTCGGAGAAACATAAGGATACACCCATGGCTGGCCGCACGCACTTGCAGCACGCCTTGCCCGTAACCTTTGGATACAAGTGCGCCGTATGGCTGTCTGGGTTCCAGCGTCACCTGGAGAGATTGACGCAGCTTCGTGATCGGACTTTACTCGTGCAGTTTGGCGGGGCAGCGGGCTCGCTCGCCTCGCTGGGCTCCGGCGATGATGGCCTCCGGGTGCGAAAGGCGTTGGCTAAGGAACTGGGATTATCGAACCCTTCGATTACATGGCATGTTGCTCGAGACGGTGTGGCTGAGATTACCAACTTTCTTGCATTGATGGGAGGTTCTATGGGGAAGTTGGCTTTGGATATCATCATCATGTCGTCCAATGAATTGGGTGAGGTATCTGAGCCTTTTGTGCCACACCGTGGTGCATCATCTACCATGCCGCAGAAGCGTAACCCCATCTCGAGTGAAGTCATTCTGGCCGCATCCAAGATCTTGCGATCGAATGCGGGTCTGGTTCTTGATGGAATGGTTGCCGATTTTGAACGTGCTTCGGGACCGTGGCATCTCGAGTGGGTTGCTGTGCCAGAGAGCTTTGTCATTGCCGTTGGGGCTTTGTCGCAGACTCACTTCGCGCTTTCGGGTCTATCTGTCAATAGCAAGCAGATGCTAGAGAACCTGCACTCTACAAAGGGGCTGATTGTGGCGGAGGCTGTGATGATGGGAATGGCGCCGCATGTGGGTCGTCAACGGGCTCATGATATTGTCTACGAGGCCTGCCGGGAGAGTATTGAGAAGGGAGGGTCGTTGTTAGAATGTCTCTTGGAGAAGGAAGAGGTTACGTCGAAGATGAGCAAGCAGCGACTCAGTGAACTTTGTGACCCAGTTAATTACCTGGGCGCATCGTCGAGAATGGTGGATGATGTTTTAGCTCATGATTAGATTCATTCGCCAAGTAAATAGCTGCGAGAAATCATTATATAGCTGTACATACAAATGCATAGTTCTCTTAGATGCCTAGGCGTCAAAATCATTTCAGCTTCTCCTCCACATACTCGCCTCAGCTCACATCCACATGCTCTCATCACCACCCAAGTACGGCTTTGGCTTTGGAGGCGATGCTTGCCTGCTCCACATCCACATGGCCCCGCAAGAAGTAAACAAAATTAAGATTCAAGAAAAGAAAGTTCCCCATGGGTCCATAGCTAAACCCGAGGCCTTCATAAGGCCATGAGGTCAATGTGGGTCCTGGTATGTGGGAGCATCTACATGGCACAGGATGATGGAGGAGCTCCATATGGGTCTCAGGTACTAGATACCCTCAGGGGGAAGACCCCTTAGAAAATACTTCAGCGTTGATAAACCTTTCGTCTTCAATACATTCACTTCATATATAGTCAAGCCTGTCTATCGCTATCTTAAGTCTTTCATTTCAACAACGATCTCAGCTCGATAGCCGCAAAGATGTCTTCTCCACCCGTCAAGGAGAGACACCCGGTCAAGGACCTCCAAAAGGTCTTCCATTACACAGATACCATGACTCACAAGCCGACGAGAGACAATGATCCATACGAATATCAGGCTGGTTTCGGTAACCGCCACCAATCTGAAGTGATTCCGGGGACACTGCCAGCAGGACAGAACAATCCCCAGGAAGCGCGCTTTGGTCTATACACCGAAGGAATCACATACTCTGCCTTCACGGCTCCTCGACACGCCAATTTCAGCACCTACATGTATCGAGTACGACCCGCAGCAGCTCACAGTGAGTACATTCGAGTTCGCGGGTGTAAATAGAACTTCGTATCCTAACCTATGTGCTTTACAGATGGCTATAAAGCCAACATCCCCCACAAGTCCGATATTGAAAACTGTTTCCTCACTTTGAACCCGAAGGTCGCAACACTAGCCGAGCAAGGCGAATGGGCTCCCTTTCCCTTGCCTGGTGACGACGAAAGGATTGATTTCGTTGACGGACTACACACTCTCGGAGGAAGCGGGGATCCCAACCTCCGCGAGGGAATTGCACTCTATGTTTACATGATCAATGCCGACATGGACCATCGTGCATTCTGTAATACCGATGGCGATTTCTTGATTGTCGCTCAGTTGGGTAATCTGGACATTCAGACCGAGCTTGGCAAGCTCTTCCTACAGCCTGGCGAGATCTGTGTGGTCCCGCGAGGGATTCGATTTTCGATCCGGCTGGGCCCAGGACATAGCGTTGCTCGGGGCTATATCACAGAGGTTTGGGGCTCGCGGTGGGATTTGCCTGATCTGGGTCCCATTGGGGGACATGGGCTTGCCAACCCGCGCGATTTCTTGCACCCGGTCGCATATATTGACGATAATCTGCACGAAGATTGGGCAATTGTGAACAAGGCAAATGGGCTGTATCATGCTATCGAGCAAGATCATAGTCCGTTTGATTTGGTTGCCTGGCATGGCAATGTTGTCCCGTATAAAGTGAGTCTACAACAACTGTACTTACCAGTCTCTTAGGTGGTCAGCACTGACATGACTTTCTTTCACAGTACGATCTCACGAAATTTTCTTCCCAAAATGCCACTTCGATCGATCATACTGATCCCTCTGTGAATTGCGTGTTGACTGCCGCCTCCCGCGATCCTAATACTCCGCTGGCGGATTTCCTGTGGTTCGGTCCGCGCTGGGATGTGGCCTCCAACACTTTCAGACTGCCATACTTCCATCGCAACTCGGCTACAGAGTTCCTGGCCTCGCTATATGGAAATGGATTGGGTCGATCGGATGACTTTCTGCCTGGTGGAGGTAGTGTAGAGATCAGTCATACCCCTCATGGAAACTTCAGTGAAGACTACGTGTATGAGATGCGGAACCAGGTCAATGAGCCCCGGAAGATTCTTGAAAGTGAGTATAACCCTAGCCCTATCTATAGGAACGTCGAATCCAAAATTTTTGGATGAGGGCATGGACTGATCAATGTTAGACCAAATGACTATCATGATTGAGAGCAGTCGGTCGTTCTTGTTCACTGAATATGCCCGTACTGGCTGCGGTACCTTCAAGGATCAGGGTACCGACCCCAAGGTGTGGGATGCTTTGCCAGTAAGTTCAAGTTCACTGCCAGTGTATCACTCCCCGGAGGCTTGTTATTGACTCTCCTGGTAGGACAAATTCTCGGCATATCCGAATATTCAGAAGATCCTGCAGCATGCCAAGGAGGACAAGGAGGCTCGCAAGCGGCAGTTGGAGACTTTTTATGATGACGATCAGCTGGCGGAGTTAGCTCGCCAGTAGATCGATAATGTCACTTGGGAGTTGTGTGTGTCGTTATGATGATCATCCATGGATAACCCTAACTCACTGGATCTACCGGTGAAAAACATCTCGGTATTTGCATGGATGACCAACTGCCGGCCAATAGAGTGGTTGATGACATCCAAGTCTCCAGATTCCATAATTTCGCATTTGTCATACTTTCTTCATCTCCACCGTATACCTATAGTTTTCGTTGAATAAAATATCAACCATTCTCAGCTGCTCCAACCCAAAATAAACAGTGGGCCACCTCTTTGTAGGGTTCGGAGCTGTTGCCTTCTCCCCACGGGGAATCCGGTGGCTTGTCATCAGGGGGCCAATGCGACATCCCAAACACGACTCATGGGCTACCATTCGTAGAGACAGTGGGACTGGGTCTTGCGGTATATCCTCGGTAGAATTTGCCTCGAGGTGAAAGGCCAGTTAAAATGAAATAAAAGGCAAAGAAAATCCCAGAGTCGTCAAGATCGGCTTAACCCCGGGCTGACTAACACCTTCTCCCCTCTTTCCCCGAAGGGCGGCCCCGACACCCGCTCACTCACTCTCTCAGAGAATCATGTCTCCTTCGTGATGCCGTCGCTGATTTGCGAGCTCTATCATGGTCCTCCGAAAGTGCACCATTTGCGACCGTCGCTTCAAGAAGACCGAGCATTTCAAACGCCATGAGCGGTCACGTCAGTCCCGGCCCTCACGCAGAAATTGGACCACCGCGTAAGAAGCGAAGCTCTAACATACTTTACATTAGACACCAAAGAACGCCCCTACGAGTGCAATGTGTGTCATAAAAGGTTTTCGCGAAGGTGAGCATCTGCTGGGAGTGCTTGAAATTTACCAATTTGATCTGCGCCCCACTTCCGCGATAAACTGCCGCAACAACAATCTAACGCGCATACAGCGACGTTCTAAGTCGGCATGCCAAAGGTCATAACCAAGGTACTGCGCCAAACGCTGTTACCAAAGCGAAAGATGTCGCGACAACCGAGGCCCATGATCGACGCCAGTCTGCAATGTTAGGGATGTCTCCGATGGTACCGGGCCAGGAAAATGGCACCCAAATGTTGCCCAGTATAGGGGCCGATGCACATCAATTCCCTCCTATCATGACGCCCCAAGACGTAAATCTCTCAGCAACCGGGATTCCGCCATCCTCATTGGACTTTCTCGCGGATATCTCAGCCCACCATAGCCGAACAGATCCAGAGATGAACACAATGATGCTCGATGAACAACAGCCTTACTTCGGCTGGAACGAGACCACACCTACAGCCCAGTCTCAACGAAATACCAGCTTAGCATTTGATGCGGGATCGAGTGACATGTTGCAGATGTGGCTTGAGCCGCGTACCGATGCCGGATCGAATCATGGATCCCTAGATTTTACAAACGGCCATCTCCCGTTAATAGGCGACAACGTGGTGCTTACCCCGGACCAACAACATCGCCAGTCTGTCGACGGCACCAAACCAAGCGGTGATAATATCCCCAACGAACGCTTTGCCAAGGTGCAACGGTGCTGGCTTGCTCCACCAAATCATACGGGCCGCATTATGAACACTCTCTGGCGGGATGTGGTATACAGTGATGTGGACAACGTATTTTCTATCAACTCGGCCCTATCTCAGAACAACCCTCCGCTTGGACAAGGATCCAGATGCGGCATTGATGAAGAGTGTAGACGCAGGCTTCAGGCTGTCATTGGCCAAACGATGTTCTCTTTCCCCCAAATGCAACCCCCACACAACGTTGCTGCTTCTCCAGCGACAACGGGCTCGACATCGAATTCCTTCCCTCAGTTTCCTCCAGCTGAGATTCTAGACATGGCACTCGATCTCTATTTCCGCACTTTTCACCCACTGGTGCCATTTGTACACCTACCTACATTCTCTGCTAAGACGACCCGCCCACTACTACTATATGTCATGTGCCTCATCGGAATGATGTTACTTGGTACTAAAGGAACCGCCAACTTCGTCTCGAAAGATTTTACAGTAATAACTCCACCCAAAATGGTCTTCTCGCAGCTACTAACACTGCTAGAATATGCTTGAAATGGTCATGGCCGACTTAGCAAAATGTACCATGGGTGTTGAATCGCCTTCCAGCACTATGTCTATTTTCGCAACGGCATTCCTCTTCCTGAATCTTGCTGTATTAACAGGGGTACGGATATCCTTCCTCCCATGCGAGAAGCTCAAAACTAACGAATCCACAGGACAAGACACATTTAGAACAGTGCCAGATGCTTTATGTTAACTTGATGTCGGTGAGTAATCAGTTCCCTGGTTTCTCTCTCCAAGGATGGGGACTAAAAGGACGCTAGATTACCCAAAGACATGGGCTTTTTGCGGCCACGGAGGGCCAAATACTAGACATGAGTCTTTTCGAGGCCGTACCCGATATCGAGATGCGATGGAAGGCATGGAGCAAGGTTGAATCTACCAAGAGGTGAGACGCCATTCATTTACTACATGGGCAAAACCTAATATCTTTGAACAGGGTCATCATCGGTCTCCTTCTTCTAGACTCGTGGTATTCTTCGCTGCTTTCAACAAGTCCCATCATCGTTCCAGACTCGATCCAAATCATCATGCCCTGCAATGAAGCCCTCTTCCTCGCGCACTCATCGATGCGATGGACCCAGCTCATCCGCAGCGGGAAAAGGATACTGATGCCAACGGTGCTGGCGCCGTCAGAAAACATCAATATCCCAGCAATCGAAGGCCCCACTGACGAATTATCGATCCAAGCAGTCTTGGCCATGGTCCAACTGCGTCAATCAGAGGCCTATCACCGCCTACTTTCCAACCGCGCAAGTTACCCTTTTGCTCCTTGTCATACATATGCAATGGACGGTCGAGCCAGGTGTCTTCCGTCTCTTCAGTTTCAAATTATCAGTAAATATCGCGAATACATGGAGAAAATGAACCCCAATGCGCTTGTTATGTGGCATCATATGTGTATGATGCTCACTGCCGACATTCAGATCTTTGAATTCGCCGCTGGTCGAGCTGGGCCGGCTCCGGCTCGAAAGGCGCTCGACGATATAGCCGAATGGTCACAGACACCTGCCGCCAGACGAGCGTGCCTTCACGCAGCTCATATCTACAAGTCCATGACCAATCGGAAAGCTTCCGATCATCCTACATTTCACTCTATCCTATCACTTTTCTCCGCAGCACTGGTCCTAGGCCTGTATACATTCATGGTTCCCAGCTCTGCCAATGTTTCGTCTACCATAGGCTCCATTGAATTGATGGACGATATTGATTGGCAGCAGGTCGGCACGGAGGGCTTCACGAGTTTCATGGAGCCAAGAGGGAGTCAGTCGTTTTCGCCAACTGATGATCCTGCTGTTAACTTTATCCGCAACGGCGCGACAATTTACCTTCGGGGCGTTCCTTTCCAGGGTGGCTATCAATCTGCTCGTCGAATCCTGCTTGATTACGCTAGCCTGCTCAAAGACTCGGGTAAATGGAGTGTGAAGAAATTTTCTTACGTACTACACATTATGAGCGATGTACTGATGGATGTGGAGTGATTTGAATGCCCTTCATTTTGACTCTGTATTACTTTGTATATTATTAAAGGGAAGGATTTGGGCGGAACAATAAATCTTTTTACATGCTGGAATTCCGATCAATCTGAATATGACTCTAATGAAACCTTGGAATGCGCTTAATATCTCCAACTATACTAGACATCTCACACACCTAGAGAAAAGTCTCTCGTGAACAATGGAACAGCCCTGGAGCCACAACATCAAGGATTTTCAACCTCACGTTACGCTTCTTGTATTTTGAGACCATCCTCTTCCTTAAATTCAACTTGCGTACTAGTTTAGACTTGCCGTACATCCTCCGCATCCTCTGGAACCACCACCGGTGCCTCACCCGGTTTGCGATCATAATCCGTTTTCAAAATATCCATTAACCGATCCGCTGTAAGATGATCATTCGCCGCCTCCATCCGATGCGCAAATCTCAACTTCCCATTAACAAAAATCCACTCTCCACCCTGCTGGTCCCAATTGCCACCTTTAAAGCCTGCTAGGCCACGCTTCCAAATTTGCTTCAAACACTTTGCGAACGAACTTCTGAGCGAGTGCTCCGTATAAGGCGGTGGCTCGGTAAACGCAGTCGTTCGATTCATTTGCAGCTTGTCGTATATATTTCCTGACGGGTCGGAGTAGATGGGGAATTCGTCGGTTGTTTCTTCCATGTACGGTATGATCATAGAATGGTCGCCGCATCCGATGATGATGACTTGGGCCGGTCGGGCATCGGGCGGAACTGTGTCTAGAAGATTCTGGTGCATTTTACCTGCGAGCTTTCGGACATAGTCTTGATCGTAAATGCAAAAGAAGTGGCGAACTAGATGGTTTGGAGCGGAGGGCCTTTAGTTAGTCTTGCCAAGTTATATAACCGAGTCTCTGAATGGAACGCAGCGTAGGTTCTCACCAAATATCACTATCGTGGTAATTGAATCGCCTTTGCCAGCTACCAGTTCGCCGAAGCGTATAGTGTCGCCATTCTGTGTCTCGAGTTCGATTTCGTAGGCTTGGTGTAAGGTCTCATCGCTAGGCAATGTGGGCCAGTCCGGAGACGTGTCGAGGTCGGTCATATCTGCCCCGGCATTCCCATCCATCTGCTGCGCGATGGGCATTGTTAGGGTTTGAGATGATTTCAGTGTCTCACTTGCTTTCAACTAGCAGGTCTTTTCGTTGTCAGTATCCGCCACTATCATTGCATCGAGAGTTTCGATGGATGTCATGACATCATGACATCCGCATACAATCAGGGGCGGCTAATGAGGATGGAGTTAGATCTGCGCTTATATGAGTTAAACTGATCAATATTAAACTTGATTTCGAATAGTTTGGATCTAGGCGTTCTTTTACTCTGGATGGTTGCGCCCCTTTCCTCGGCCCCAACTATAACGAGGGAATTGGCATGAAATTCGATAGAATAGCCCGCACTTAATACAGCGTCAATTTACATCGTACTAGTACAAACGACGACCTTTATCAACAATCCTCCCATGCCCCCTCTTCGTCACTTACATTAGTGAGCGATTTCCAAATAAATTCTCGCAAGTTCTCAAGGAAGTCTTGGCTTCGTGGGACGTAGTGTGTTCCCTCGAACTGATGCAATTCAATATTTTCCCCGCACTCCTGTAGACGAAATGATTTCTCGGGCTCTATCATTGTATCTAGAGTTCCGACAACATTCAAAATCGGTGTCTGTAACGTTGGCTCATATACAGGGGTGTATATCGGGTTTTCTAACTTGAACCCGCTAAAACATATCGTAAATTTCAATGGTGCGTGCTAGATAAAGCAATTAATATATTAGCTCTTCATTTGAGACTGCCAAATAAAACATCTGGCTTTGGGATTCTCACACTCGATCGAAAACCCGAAGCCGACTCTTTCTTCTCCAGGAGAGAACTTATCAAAGCCGCCACAGCTGCACCAGTCGAAAATCCAACTATTCCAATAAAGGGGCCATTTTCTTCAAGAATCTTGGAGATAAATTGCAAGGAATTTTCGAGGCCGTTTATTTGGTCCTGCTCGGGATCTCCGTGGCCCCATGCGCGTAAATTGCTGGTCTCTTTCGAGGGGTCATCGGGATTGGCAGGCAGTGGAGCAGAGGGGTAGAAAAAATCAACTGCCTCTGAATTTGATTCCTTATCACCAAATTCTTGTAGCCATCTGATCATGGTTTTTCCTACGACTTGCTGCATGAAGCGGGTCTTGTGAAAAAAAAATTGACCTGATTGACCATGGCCTGATTATTTGAATCAACACCTGAATTTCCAATGTATGAATATAGATAATCACCAACCATGTAGCATCAAAATTCTGGCATGGGGTTCAGCTGGCTTAGAGGCTGGCTCGTAGAGATCCATGCTGAGTGAAGTACTGTATAATGATCTCAAAAGGGTGATAGGATGGCTCCAACTGGAAGGGGGTTACCAAATCTTTAGGAAGTTTAGTTTCGCATATTATATAGCTCAGGTCATAAATTTTTGAATGGTATCATCTATTAAAATTGAGTGACGTTCGTTGATGAGAAAAGATAGTCGTTCAGCCCTTCTAAGGTTGGTGGCACATGTATTACAAAACCGATGCATGTCGATCTAAAATAGGCATCGGTATGATGCAACAACTTCATAAGAACAACCAAATCGAGAGAAACCGCGAACATGAGCTTTATAATCTAAGTTAATGACAGTCGAAAACTACATTTCGACTCTAAAGATCAAGGGTTGGTGGCAACTACTTGTGTCCTGATCAGTGCAAAGCTGTCCTTCGATCATTTTTGGAACTGGTTTGATAGCAAGGCTGAAGCTCTGGGCCAATAAGAGAGGGTTTGAACTCTTAAAAGCAAGGTGATAATCGCTTTCCATTACCTCAAATGATACTCCTCGATACTAGCGTCGGTGAACATTCAGAGCCTTTGTGCGTCCATTCAACAATGAAGTCCCCAGGTTTGAATAATTCTCTACGCAAGCTTGAAGTAAAACATAAAAGAACATAATTACTGGTCACCACCTAGGTAGTTAGCTAGCGCAGTTCCGCATCAGAAGCCAAAATGTCATGAAAAGTATGTGAGATTCGTAACGCTCGTTTATATGGTAGCATATATGCAATCTTTGCCGGTGGAATCATCAGCCACAGCATACCGTAGTATCCTCAACACCTTTGGCGTCTTCACGGACCGAATTTAGGTCGATTTGAACCACCATCCAATCACACAAGAATTTGCCCAGCCCCGCTCCGATAAAGATGCAAATGATCACGTAGACGTTGAAATACATGGCAAGCAACATCACAATATAGGCGCCTCCAAATGTCAAAGCATGAATCAGCGCCCGCGCCAATTGCTGCAAGGGGGTCACGCGAAAGCGAATCGCGCGCCCGGTGGTGGATTTATCGACGCAATTCGCGACGAATGCGGCCTGTTGCGCCACCGCTTGGCGCTCGAACTGGCGCGTCAAGAAATTATCATACTCCTTGCCAATCCGCCGGAAGGCTTCCACGAGCACTACCAGAAGGATCACACCGATACATGTCGCAGCAAACATGCCATTATTTTGAATCTGCCATCCTTCAGAGAGAAAGCAGGCATCGATGGTGTACCAGTTGAAGAGCATCTGCAATTTGCGTGAGTTAGTGGAGTCAGCCAAGACAACCGAACCTTGGCACTCACGGAGATTTTGCACTCATTGCTCGAGCTGCTCGAGCTCATATCCATGCCGTGCATGGTGATTTGGCCTGTTCAGAGGGGAATCGTAGGAGTAGAAGCGTGTCTAATGTTTTTGTAGAGTCATGGAACCTGCGCGGAGGCCCTCGTGGCTTATATGACATGGCCGGAGGCTCTACCCCCCCACAGCGGAGATTTCCCCGAGTGGAAACAAACGCGATTTATTCTGCTCAAATGTTCTCATCTACGGATGTTTCAGGGATCTGGCCACCTAGCAGGGTCGGAATATCCGTACATCGTGCCATGGGAGGGTTTTATATGTCAAAGACCACCCCGCTACGGCTATTAGGTGCAAACCAAAATCACACACATTTTCCTTCATGTTGAAGTCGAATCACATTTACTGATCATTTGAATCTAAGGCCCGTTCGAGTCTTGTCGTCAGCAGTCATCGACCGAATTTCATTGGACGAGGGCCAGTATGGCCGCCCTATCATCATCCCTCTTGGGTGCTCGTCACATTCAAAACTTAAGTGCTGCAGCAGTATTAGAGCCTCATTGGGGGTATGCGGATCGGGCACTCCCTTGCACCAATGATGCGGGCTCGTGTGCATACCTTGATTCTGTCTATTCAGCCCATGATCGGGGGATGCTATATAGCGGCATTTTCTGGTCTGCGATTGGTGCTATTCTACTCATTTGGGCATGTTGGAGACATTATGACCGTCCGATGATGAGCCCGATTCTCATTGCTCCTCAATTATCCGGTCTATACAAAATTCGTCGCTCATTTGCGGCGCTCACAAATCAATTCTTACTGCCAGATGCGTGCCGTTTTCTCTTTGGTCGTACTACACGCCTCCAAGTCCTCGTCCTCGCTTCGCTGGCTACCTATCTACTTGTGTTCAGCTTTGTCGGCATTCAATACAACACTTGGGTCACACCCGTATCGGGAATGTCGAACACTTATAACACTCGCTCAGGAATCGGTCCCTGGGCGGATCGTATCGGCACATTTGCGTATGCCCTTACGCCTCTTTCGATTATGCTGAGTAGCCGAGAGTCCTTTCTTTCTCTCATTACCGGCGTTCCTTACCAGAGTTTCAACTTTTTGCACCGATGGCTGGGATACATCATCTTTGTGCAAAGCTCCCTTCACACGATCGGCTGGTGCATTGTTGAACTCAAGCTGTACCAACCACAGCCATCAGTTGGAATTGAATGGGTCACTCAGACATACATTGTGTGGGGCATTGTCGCCATGATTCTCTTGCTTGCGTTGTTCGCCCTCAGCACTCCCTGGGGCATCAGAGCTACCGGGTATGAGACTTTTCGAAAGCTCCACTATGTTCTCGCAATGGTCTATATCGGTGCCTGCTGGGGTCATTGGAAACAATTAAAGTGTTATCTGTGGCCCTCCCTGATCTTCTGGTTTCTGGATCGTGGAGCTCGATTCGTCCGGACAGCAATTCTGCATTACCATCCAGATCAATTCGATCAATCTCGAATGTTCAGCTTTAAACCAGCAGAAGCAGCCATCACTCGGTTTCCAGATGAGGAGCATGGCGATGTCATCCGACTCGATATGGAAAACCCACAAGATATCTGGGCTGTTGGTCAGCACTACTACTTGTGCTTCCAGAAAGGGAGCATTTGGCAATCACACCCATTCACTCCACTCAATGCTCCAATTCTTTTACAAGGAAGAGTGAAGCACTCATATATCTTCCGAGCGAAGAGTGGCGAAACAAAGAAAATCGCCGACCTCGCCGCAACTGGCATCCCAATGACTCCAGTTATCCTAACGGGTGCCTACGGAGAAGCTATAATGGAGAACCTGACTCCTGACACAAACATCATTTGTGTCGCAGGTGGCACAGGAATCACGTACGTCCTGGGAGTCCTACTTGAGCTTGCACGACAAGCACCATCTCCTAATCGAAAAATCGAGCTTATCTGGGCAATCCGACACAGTTCCAATACGGAATGGATCGGTGAAGAGCTTTCTCTGCTGCGCAAAGCCAAGAAAGTCTTGAATCTGAAGGTAAAGATATTTGCTACTAGAGATTCTAGTAGCAGGCCCCACTCTATTGAGCTGGATGAGCCATCGAAAACCTTTGCCACGGATGAAGACGAGAAAGCCATGCAAGTGAAACCCGTCTGTGCTGCATCTGATTCCGATGTTTGCGATTGTCCGAGTGGCTCGGTTGAGAAGCTCGGTGGGTCGGCAAACAGCAGTCAAAGACATCCTTCTCTTCATAAAATGATTCCAAATTTCTTGGAGGGGACTGTCAGGGGACCTACTACCGTCTTTGCCAGCGGGCCTGGTGGGATGATTAGTGACCTGCGCAGCATTGTTGCCTCCTGCAATTCCGGCTCCAAGGTATGGAAGGGACAGGAGAGATTTGACGTCAGCCTCGTCTGTGATGATAGGTTGGAATGGTAGCAGCAGCATGATACACACTTATGATTAAATGTATATATTATTTTCTATCAATTCAATGCTTCAAACCAAATTCTTGCTAGGGTATTTCCACAAGCTATCCAAACTTGAATACTGGTGACGGACCCCACTAGTAGTGAAACTTCTTCAACTTGACCACCAACACTAGGTACCTAAAAGTCCGAGATAAAAGTACCCAGGTCCTTCTTGGCGGCCAATGCCAAAATTGTGTTTCCAGCAACAAGATCGGTGACACTGACGCCGATACTCTTATATACAATCAATCCCTCTGCGAGCCACCAGTTGAGGTCATGTGTAGATTCCGCGCCAAGAGACCCTTCTCGTTTCCAACTTAGAACCTGGCCAATACTCACAATCTGGTCTTTGTTCAAGCCACTCCGTACGATCTCCCCTGCATGAATTAATGCGTGCTCATCATCATCGACAATCACAGCCCCCGAAGATAATGTGCCATCATTTTTGTTGAATCCTCTGGTCTCCGTAACATGATGGAGAATTGCCGGGTCAACTTCAATCATATCCGGCTGCCATGAGCCAACAGCAGAGGTGAAGGGGGGGTCTGCTCCTCTTCTCCAGGTTCAGGGCGACTATAGGAAATAAAGGCTCTCTGGATGGCACCGTACAGAAAATTGCATCGGCCTCCGCGAGAATCGTTTGCAACTGCAACCCAAAGCCTTCCTGGGTGTGGGCTAAAGCTCTAAGCTGGCAAGATGACTTCCAGTACAAGCTGTTCTCTCTGTTTACCGTTTGAATAAGCTCCTGCGCTCTCTCGAGTGATCGGTTGACGATCGTTATAGATTTGATCTCGTCTCCACGAAGAGCTAGTGCAAGTCGACTGTGCCACAGTGCTTGTTTTCCGGCCCCGAAAATGAGAATATGCTCGGTGTGGCGTCTCCAGGAATATGTGATCATTGCGCTCATGGTTGTGCGGTAGCCAGTTATTTCTTCCGCATTAAGAATACCGGTGGGAAACCCGCATTTGTCAACAAGAACGACAATTCCATGCAAGGCTTGCTGGGCTCGACTCGCCGCTGCTGATTCTGAGGTTTCGGGGGCAGGAGCCGGGTGCACAATGATTTTTGTTCCCACATTCTCTGGGGATGTAAAGGGTCTGAAAAGAATCTTCTGGCCGTCGGGGCGATTGATGATGCCTGGGCTTGGTTGATAGTCACTCTCATTCCCAGGAGAAATTGAGATCAGACAATCTTCAATATCGTGTTGGAAACTTTTGATTTCTTCTCTTGAGAGGTTGAGGAGGAGCTGTCTAATAGCACTGTCACCAAGAACAGTGAATTGACTCATTCTGGAGAGTAGGGTAGAGCGTCTAGAATAGAAAACTTCAAGTTGATGAGAGCAGAGGTGAAGCTGCGGGTTTCAGCTTTCTTCAGGTTATATTCTTTTCGGGATACGGTACCAAGACCGATATTCAAAGTCTCTCGTTCTCTTATACGCTGCAAAAAACTCACGTCTCATCCCCTCCGTCGATACCCCGCACATCCATCGGGAGTCCCGCAATCGGCTGAAATACTTTGAAACTTGAATATAGTCCCTTAAACTCCATCACAGACTACTAGTAGTTCCATCATATTACACCATCATTGTTCCGAAGAGCTGCTCCATATAACAAAAAATTGGTCAATTAAAAAACAACATAAAGCTCATACAAATTTTGAGCGACGTAATTTTTATCGGGATACATTCCCGAGTATCAATCGTTCGTATGTCGGCCAACCGGTCCGAAATCTTGTATTTAGGAAACTAAAATCTTAGAGTTGCGGGGTACTCACTTTGTTTCCGAGATGATTCATCTCAATTAGGAAATTTGAATGAGAAACGTGACTGAGACTAACTCGATTGGCTGCGGGTTATTGTTCTACTAGTCCACAGCCCAGACTATCCCATCTTTACCCAGATCAGACTTCCAGACCAGCAGACATGCTCCACTTTTTTATATTCAAAGCTGGCCTCGTGCCTTTTTCTCACGCGCAGATACTTGTAAATCATTTTTCGAATTGGCACGCATAACTATTCTCGGGGCTCTAAATCAACTTTCAAGTTGCTGGAGTTCTCCGAACTTCAAGCGCATATCTGCAAGCATAACTATTGTCTCATATATCTTCCGCGATTTTCATCAGAATAATTGGATTGGCCACAGCCCCGCTACTATCGCGAAATCATCAAGTCACAGTGGTCGCACGAAATCTACCTGGAGACGATCCAAGTATAGAATGGGCCAGTCCCTGGGCCGGGGCACTCATTGTTCTTGGGGGTGTCTCTTCAAGCTGTGACCAGAAAATGCAGTTGCGGTCTTATTCTGAACCCTGGAAAATGAGTTTTCAGTATCCTGAGTACGGTATCAGGCGGATAGTTCTTGAGGATATCTTTGATGATGACTGTGTTGAAAGTGATGTCTGGTGGCAGAAGTTTATGCCTGAGGTATTTTCACAGCTCCATTGGGATTTTATTTGAAATTTAATGCTCATTTTAACTTTCTATCATCTTTAGTTTAAGTTTCTCTCTTCTGATAGACTACCCACCGGGGCGACCATAGGAGTGACGTGTATGCTTTATATGAGCTCAAAGGAGCAGCAACATGATAACTGATTGTTCTCAGATAAAACCGTCGTAGTGAACCCAAATGTCTTCCTTGCATGGATGAAAAAAAGACTTGAAAATTCCGGTGTTTCATTCAAGAGGAATGAATATCAAATCTTTATCGGAGCTTCAGCCCCTCGGTCACGATATTCTTATCAATGCCACTGGAGTCGGGTCCGCTTCACTATTAGATTTTCAGTATAAAGATATCCAAATGATCCGGGGACAGACTCTGGTCGTCAAACATAACTATGACAAAGCCATGCAGCGAGATGACGGAGTAAAATACACATATGCTATACCCCGGATGGATGGCACGGTGATTCTCGGGGGAGTTAGACAGCACAGAAGAACGTGAGTTCAATTCAAACTGACTGTTTATAGTTATTAACGCTGAAAATCACATTTCTATATCAGCGATGCGAAGTTTGATTGGGAGGTCTCTCAAGATGTAAGGCACAGGTTCCTATTCATCCCATCTAGTCTAGAGGGTATTTATCATTAACTGAAATTGAATCAGATTGTCAACAGGGTCCACAGCAATCTTCCCGTAGTGTTTTGTTTTCAAATAACCTGAACGATTACGAAATTCTCGGGCATAATGTCGGCGTGCGCCCGGCTAGAAGCGCGCCCGCGGGTATTCGATTGGAGAAGGAAACCAAAGACGGACAAGAGATTGTGCATGCTTACGGTAAGTATCTTTTTTTTGTGAATCTTCAACTTAAATTTCTCCTGCTGAATGGAATCGTGAGTGTAGGGTTCAGTGCTGGTGGATACATTCATTCTTTTGGAGCAGCGCATTCTGTGCTCGAGCTTGTTGAAGATCTTCTTCTGCCCCATTGGCCTTCTAAAATATGATCCGAGGCAACCAAGCCACTGGCAGGTATAATGACCCTTCTGATAAATCAATAATTCTATTTTATTTGGATATATCTTTGATTCCGTGACATAAGACGAAAATCTGTCAGGGGTTATTATGCCCGAAGCCATTCAGCGGTAGAGAATTCCATCAACCATCTCTCCGATAGCCAAGGAGCTCGTCAATCCGGGACTTTCAATCCCCAAAAGATTCACAAATCCTGGGAATCCTTCCTCTTCTTGGATCACAAAATCCTGGAAGGTCTTTCCGATGTTCACACCACCACCTCGACTCAACTTGGGCCGAATCCCACAGTAGTCAAGGGAGATGGCCGAAGGATCCACGCCAGGCATGTATGCTAAGATCTCTGGGATAGCTTGTTCCAAACGCGCAGCGCTAGGCTGAAGATCATTAGGGTCATCCACCCATTCAACGTCCGGACCAAAACGAATGCGCCCTCCCATATCGAGTGTCAAATGCGTTCCTAGGCCTCCGTGACCCGGCACGGTAGCAGGATATACGAGAACTGAGGCCCGTGGCCGCGATCCGCCGTACGAGAAATATGTGCCCTTCGCATAGTACGGTTCTCGGTGCTGTTCCTCGGGGAGAATAAGGTTGTTTATGGCGCATGCGCCGTGTCCGGCACTATTAATTAAGGTCTCCGCTGTGATAGTTGTCACGGAGCCATCCTCGTCCGAAATAGCAGTGATCTTGTACCCATCACTCACACGCTCGACGCCGGTAACTCTCGTCTTAAATGCGATATCGCCGCCCCGGTCCTCGAAGTCTCCTTGCAGATATGTCATCAGCGAGTGGGAGTCGACAATTCCCGTGCTTAAGCTCTCCACAATGCCGGCGTCCGCTTTGACATCGGGCTCGCGTCGGGCCGCTTCGTCGTGGCCGACGATCCGGGTCGGAGCATCGCCTAGGGTTTGTGCATGTTTGTGGACCCGCAGGCAAGATTCCCATTGCTCGGCTGTTTGGGCGACGATCCATTTTTTGGTGTTTCTGTGTGGGATGGCGTGCTTGGAGCACAGATCATAGAGCATATTGCGGCCTTGAATACAAAGCTTTGTTTTGAGGGAATCGGCAGGGTAGTAGAGACCGGCATGAATGACCTGCAGATGGGCGCGTGCGATTAGTGGCGGAATCCAATTAAGCTCAGGGTTGAGCTTTCCGGTAGCCATTGATATGCCGAGTTGCGTCTCACCTCGGAATTGCGACTGCTCGTTTCGGTTCCTGGGGCATCGTGTCGTTCAAGGAGGAGTGTAGAAGCACCTTCACGAGCTGCTATTTGCCTGGCAATTGCGAGTCCGACCACTCCAGCGCCAATTACCTGTCCGGGGTCAGCAGGGGAGCTCGTATCGTAAAGGCAGCTGTTAGACGGCTCCTAGGTCAAGGACCTTCCCAAGTTTGGCCGCTAACTAGTAGCCAGATTCCTGAAAAGAGCGTACTCACTGCATGCGTAAAGTCTGCGCGACAGACTCGGCCGCTTGAGAAGCAGCGACTAAGCACTGGGCTTCTCATGGCAGCTCTCCGTATGTACATTTTGGGGAGTGTAGCAAGCTAGGTTGAGTTGTGTTGCGCCGAGCGATAAGGAGCCCCCACCCCGACTGGCCGAGGCCGGAGATCGCGCCGATCTCCTTCCGCCTTCCCAAGGATTGTCATGAAGAGAACTAGTTAGTATACGGAATAATGTATATTAGAATTAGAAGTATGTAACGTATGATTAAATTAAAATGCTTATGTTCAAGGGTGGTAATCTAAAAAAAAAAAAAGCCCGGCAATTTTCGCAATTGCCATACGCTATGCGGGTCGTTAACGCTTGCTACAATTCTTCAACATCTCGTCCAAATGCTGTCGCTGCTCCACTGCTAATTTTCCTTGGGTATCCTGGTAACTGGTTAGCATCAACTGCTATATTTCGATTTCGAGAAAGCAACTTACACTAATAATTGTCAGGATCAACGAATAATTGTTGAAGAGGAAACGTTCCCTGCGCTTTGCATCCGTGCCGTTGCGACTCAGCTTCGTTAGAAGAGTGTCGAATTCGGTTCTTAATCGAGCCAAACTATTGGATACAGGCTCGTCATCACCTGCATCACTACTGAGGACCAGAATTCCATGCATCAACTGTCCGAATCTCTGCGTCAGGAAGTGTGGTGCAGAAGAGTTCTTCAGATCATCACCGCCAGCAATCGAAAGAGCAGAGACCGCGCTGCGCGCTGTGTTTGATCCAACTCGCTTCAGCGACTCTCCATGAAGATCCATGATGACTTGGAAGCGGGGCCACAGTTGCATATTAATTCCATTAACGTAGGAATCCGCAACAGGTACTTTGCGGCGTTGCAGCTCGAAAGCCGAATGTTGATTCAGTCGCACGCACATTAGTACTCCTAGAGAGTCCGTTGTATTTTCGATCAGCTTTTTGATCAAGTTGGAGCCAATTGTGAAAGATGGCTCAAAAATGTCTGTCGCCATGCGCGAGATCTGATGGAAGGTCATAGGTGGGAAAAATTCAGTGAGGAATGAATATTCCGCGGATATGTTATCCACTAAAGCGACATTGAAATTTCGGAATGGTGTTTCGATGCCATGATAGGAATGATCTTCTTCAGCGAGATAGGATGACAGTGCCTGCTGGTTTCCATTTCGAAGAACATCAATCCGGCGCCCCAGTGAGAAAGGGTCGTGTGCGGCAGGGCCAGCTCGGCCGCTCTGGATAATACTGCTCCCTCGGCTTCCATGAGAGTCTCCTCCCAGAACTTCATTTCGATCGCTTGGATATACCTTGACCTTATCAAGAGCTTGAAGGTAGCGAGTGAAATTGGAAGTATAATACCAGCGCATTGTATTAATATAGGCTTGAGAAATCTCTCCGGCAAGTTTGGGGTGGCACTTGAAGAGATAGCTAAACAGGTCCTTGAACTTCACCAATCGCTGCTGTTGGATAATTTGCACATTGATGTTCGGTGATCTAATAGCCCGGATCTGGGATACCAAGTAATCCCGAATTCGCTCAATGGCCCTATCTTTCAGATTGACCAGTAGCGGTCTGACATCTTCAATAGCTTTGAAACCACTAGAAGATGACGCCTTGGCTTCAATACCCGCTGTTCGCGCATCGATCTCATTCAGGGCGCGCACCCAGTTTTCATCCATGGGACCATCGGCGATAGTGCGCACTGCTTTGGGAGAGATGCTAATTTCTTCCACAGCGGGTCCTAGGAGACGTTCCACATTGCGCCTGTTTTCCAGCATGGCATTCAATTGCGTAGAGCGGGTCTGCAGTGTTTCAATCTCCGCTGATACGGCTCCCAGCTCATTTGAGAAATCATTGAGATACATCTCTACCGATCTGGATACATCGTCGCAGCCAGTGATTGAAGTATGCAGCTCTTCGAATTTATCGCGCTCCTGTTCGAACTGCTGGATCGTTTGCGCGTTGACATCGCTACTCGGACTCCTTCTGATTGGAGGCGGGTCTGATTTGTTGACGAATTGCTCTAGGCTCATTCCATTAAAGTTAATCGTCTCTACCAGCTCATCTGGTCTCGTGTATCGCTCGTCCGATAATTGTGGAAGGTCTTTTTGTGGTTGTTCTTTCCCGATGATTCCATTCAAGACCTCTAATGGATCGGGAACGACGGCCGGGCGTGTTCGCTGGCCACCACTGGCCTGTCTCAATCCTAAACCATTTGGCGCACGTGTAGTTCCAGGGAGGGAAGCCGTCGAATCATTCGGACTCAGGAGTAAAGAGGTTGAGGAGGTTCTCGCGCCGCCACCAGGACGGTTGTTATAGGGACCACCTGGAGCAGGACGGGAGAGTTGAGAGGAGGATCGTCGCGGTAGAGAGGGATTTCGATTCGGGGGAGGGGTGGCCTGGCCTGAGATACGGTCACGCCACATGGTATTGAACAATGTGGAAGAGTAGGTTGTAGCAGTGCAATGCTAAAGTAAAGCTACTGTTCATGCTAGATGCTACTGTTAGGAGACCACGTCCGCGAGACACGGGGACGCTAAACCCAATCTGGTGGTAGCGACTCGCTCCCCCCACCACAAAGCCTTTTTCTCTCGAACGAAAACTTCTCCTTCCATCTCCCCCCATCCTTAACAACTTCTCTCCTTATTCCCTCTCCCCCCCACCACTCACTCACCATGGCTGACGAGGTATGCGCTCTCCCCGAATCCGTTTTTTCTTTTGAAAAACTCATCTTCCCCGACTCCTCCCCAATCTCCCACCGCTGGGCTGGTCCTACAGCCCCGCATCTTTTGCGGCTCCCCTCTTTTCCCGGGTGCACCATGCGACACACCCACCCCTCCCTTCAGACCACACCATTCCTTGAAACAAAGAGCACTGGTATACTAACAACATGAATAGCACGATGTTACCTTCGAATCCGCCGATGCTGGCGCTTCGACCACCTACCCCATGCAGTGTTCCGCTCTGCGTAAGAACGGTCACGTCGTGATTAAGGGCCGTCCCTGCAAGATCGTCGACATGTCCACCTCCAAGACTGGCAAGCACGGTCACGCCAAGGTCCACCTTGTCGCCATCGATATCTTCACCGGAAAGAAGCTTGAGGATCTCTCCCCCTCCACCCACAACATGGACGTCCCTAAGGTCGGCCGCAAGGAGTACCAGCTCGTAAGTGGTCCGGGCCCGGAGCCCTACCCCGCTTCTCCTCTCCTGGGCACGCAAACTAACTCTCTTGCTCTCTAGCTCGACATCACCGACGATGACTTCCTTTCCCTCATGAAGGATGACGGTGACACCAAGGATGATGTCAAGGTCCCCGACAACGAGCTCGGTGAGCGCATCATCAAGATGTTCCGTGAGGAGGAGAAGGACGTCAGTAAGTACAACCTGAGGCCATGCGATCAATCAATCCAGAACATCGGATCTAACCAATCGTTACAGACGTCATCATCCAGACTGCCATGGGTGAGGAGGTCGCCATTGAGGCCAAGGAGGCCCCCAAATAAATGTCATGACATTGGATTCCTCACATGTTATGTCAACCTTTTATGTTTCAAAATGGGATTATCTCCCCCAAAAAATTCATCTTCAATGGTTCAATGAAGGACCTGATCGCTTTCTCAGCATCCTGTCCAACATCTAGCCTGGGATGTAGGCTGGACCGATGAGAAGAATTGCTTTGGTTGGCATGCAACGTGTTGTCCGAACAGTTCTGAACTCCAGCATCTCATGATAGTGTGACGAACGAATAAATATGAAAGCCTTGCTTGGTTTCATCCTCTCAAATTATTATTTTTTGTAATCAACTTGAATCTGCGTAGCATACCTGGTAACTAGATATTAGAAATTGAAGTAGTAGATACGCTAGAAAACCGTTTAGTGGCCAGAACAAAAAGGGGGGAAATATTCAATTTTCATTCATTTGATCACTTCTGTTAGTATCTACGATTCACTTTGTGAAAAGTTGACACCTGGGAATGTATAAGTCAAATCCAACTGTGTGTGGTTGGCTGGCAGCAAATGCGGTGGGCAGAAAAAAGTTTCCGGACTTGCCAACACTCCACGCCGGACGAACATTCCCGCCCAACCAGCATGACCAATCTGCCTCGGCATGGACTATGTCACCCGAGGGGTCTGTGGCCAAGAAGGATGCCGTGAGAGACGATATTTTCTAGATAACGGCCACTGGTTTTGTCGCCGGGGTCATTTACAAGAGGTATGCGCCATTCACGTTTTCTCCCTGCCTTGATAGTTATGTTATCACAACTGCATCATATACTTGCAAGCTGGGCAGACGTATATATCCAGGAAATAGACGCTAATACACCAAACAGGGCATTCAAGTCGAAGCTGATCCGGATGATTTCGGAAATCAGGGAAAGACGCATCGGGTGAGGAAAGAGAAGGCCGAAACATCACGGAAGAGTATGTGGAATCTGCAACTGATAAATCTCTTCCTGACTTCGCTAACTCAATCCATAGCATATCGTGGTCGATGGGCATCTACGCTCTATCTACAGGCCTATCAATTGATATTATGGAAGCAATGCCATGCTCTCGTCGAGGATCATGGGTTTCCAGAGCAATTCGAGGTGAGTCTCAGTACTTGAGAACGATAGAATCTTCGTATGCACCATTCCGAATATCACGCTCTAACAAATTCTTCCAGGGAGTTGTTCGAGATCTCTGGGCCTTGAGACTTCGAGGCTTTTCCACGCGAATCAATGAAACTTCTGACGAAGACGATGATGAGCCGCAAATATTTAGCTCTCAGGCAACACCCGCAGAATCGGAGAACGGCAGTGCAGATGAATCGGGGTTCAGGCCAGAATCCCACTTTCTCCAATGGCCTCGTTTGCTTGACTCTGTCGGCATTTGCTATTTGGCAGCAGTCTTGATGCGCCTTCCTCTTTGTGTAGTTGACGTGCATCGGTATGTTCCGTATCAATTGATAGCCCGCTTTGCATCTGTCGTTGGCTGACAAGAGATCTTTAGCTTGATCATTCGTCAAGAGATTCCTTATATACGAGCTACGAGGAGTATTCCCCTCGAGATGAGTGAGAAACTTCCTCCGGAATTTGTTGCAATGCTTGAAATCAACGTGAGTGGGTCGAATTATGTTTGTTACCATGTGCTAGAAGCCTTTCATCTAACCCAGTTTAATATAGAACATGCCCAAACCCGAGCGAATGCATCGTGGATTTATCGAGCTGGGTGCTTTCTACAGCCGTCGTTTCGGCATTACGCTGCCGCCTCTAAATGCGCCTCTTGTGCTTTACCGGCACATCAAAAGAATGGCCGTTCCCAGTATGTGGATCAAATACGGGCTTACTCATGGCAAATTACTAATATTTTGGTAGTCGATATATATGAGACGGCCAAAACCCTGCAGGGCATTCTTGCAATTACATTTGAATACCCCACACGAATTCGAGGCAATGGACGAAAGGAAGCTCTCAAGCTGCCTGAAGTACAGGCCATTGTCCTTATCATTCTGGCAACCAAATTGCTATTTCCTTTTGATGATTTGAAAAGAAATCCCGCCACGTCCAAGGAACCTGCAACTCAGACCATAAATTGGCATGGATGGGTGCAAGCCCAGCGACAATTCAGCAACCATGAGCAAACCGGTGGCCAGCTTGGAAAGGAGAAACTTATGCGCATCACCGATCATGATGCATTGGGCATGAACAACTCCGAAATCGATCAGTACATGGACTGGTATGAGAAGGACTGGCTGCATGATACCAAGACAATCAACCCGATTGCGGAGATGTTCTCAACTAGTCGGCCAAGTGCTGAGGATCAGTCAAATTCAGATGCTGAACCGGTTCCAACTTCGGGTACAGACACGGACGAAGCACTTAGGGCATTGTTGCAAGCAGTTATGGCAGACCTCAAACCCGTCTCTATGGATCCCAGTTCAAAGGCCTTGCGACCGGGCTCTTGGTATGCTCGTTACCGATGGGAATCGCAACTCCCAGAGCCTGCGCGGGCCTTCTACGAATTGGGGGCTCAGCTTGCTTCCATATCATTGACAACGCTTGTCCGGGCCGTTTCCGTGGCAGAATGGAGGGTCGCAAAGTTTCTCCTCAATCAACGGCGGGACGAATACATGATGGAGTGGGGAATGGAAGAGGAGCTTGAAGAGGATGAGGTGGACCACCTTGATGAGCAATTTTCTGATTTAGAAGTTTGATGCTGTCATTTTACCCCCCCACCCCATCATGACGGCGTTTGGTCTGATATCTTGGTTTTATCATTAGTTAGGCGTTGGAATCATCAAATGTATTTGTTGAATAATACCCACAGGACTCGCTATGCTTTTTTTTCCCTTTCTGAACGGAGGAGTATCGCTATAGCAATATTATTGCAAGGGTTTCCAATATAAAGTTTCAAATAATGCACTCACAGTTATCTGGTATTGTTGTTTCATACTCTTTCATATTTCATAGATCTCGATGACGCGTGATGCCGAAAAAGGACACGATCATCTGACACTAGGCCCAAGATAGAAATTTATATCACGTGCCCAGTGTCCAGCCCAAAGCGGCGGGTGATTAGGGCTTAGGGTACCCCCAGCTCGGTCCACCCTGTGCTAAGCGAAGCACCGCAACAAATTGTCATTGCCTCCTCCGCCTCGAACACAGCGACCGACCGCCGACAACAACGAAAACTCGCAACCAGTACGTTCCGTGAAATACGTTGGATTACGTTCCTGAGACCTGTGTGAACATGCTGAGCTAACATATTCTTTTTCCGCGCGCTTCCAGTGCAGATGTAGGTCATCTTGAATCTCCGAATGCTTTCGTCGTCCACGAACCGCTCCCCCTCTATTCCCCCTCTATTCGACGATCTACGAAAGAGCAACATATCACCGAACGGACGGGAAGATGGACTTGGGCTAACCCGCTCGATATAGTTTCGTCAAGACCCTGACGGGTAAGACCATTACCCTCGACGTCGAGTCGAGCGACACCATCGACAACGTCAAGACCAAGATCCAGGACAAGGAGGGCATCCCCCCTGACCAGCAGCGTCTGATCTTCGCTGGCAAGCAGCTCGAGGATGGCCGCACTCTGAGCGACTACAACATCCAGAAGGTATGACGCACCTCGATCTCGAATTTCGATATTTTTTGGTCGGTCGGGTTGGGCATGGGCAAGAACCAAGGGTTACACATTGATTTCATAATGGAATCGGAATACGTCTACGACTCGGAAAAAGTGACCGTCAATACCGTGATCGGAAGAGAAGGACTATAACTGCTCTTGCCCTGCCGACCTGACCACCATCAATCACCACCTACGTCAAAATCGTGACTAACACAAACGGCCTACAGGAGTCCACCCTTCACCTTGTCCTCCGTCTGCGTGGTGGTATCATTGAGCCTTCCCTGAAGGCCCTTGCCTCCAAGTACAACTGCGACAAGGCCATCTGCCGCAAGTGCTACGTACGTTGAAATCCCTCCTCCCGCGCTCCCACCGCAATTTCGACCCCAACTCCATCGCGCAAATCTTCCCACTGGGCCGAATCCCAGCGATCTGCAATATCATCGAAAACCCAAATTACTAACGCGACAAAAATCAACAGGCCCGTCTCCCTCCCCGTGCCACCAACTGCCGTAAGAAGAAGTGCGGTCACACCAACCAGCTCCGCCCCAAGAAGAAGCTCAAATAGACGACTCGCTTATCGGTGTTGTGCTCGGTGTGCTGGGGTGCAGAATCCAGGTCTGGTGTATGGCTGGAACGCGACACGCAGAGGTTTATTCATGGCGTTAGAAATGATGAAACAATAACAGCCAGTCATACTGTTTTTAGTTGGCACCTCTCAATCAGGTTGCATTCCATGAATTGAAGTAAAAGTTCAAAGATTCAAATCGCTTTCCACCATATGGCCCAGGTTTTGGGTCTCCCAGGATCTTGGTCTTTCCAACAGTTATTTTACGCTATGGACATCCGTGCGGGTTCAGTTTCAAGTTGAAGTAGGAGGATATTGGGGGAGGTGTACAGTCGGTTTCAGAAGTCCGACGGTTTAAGCAGAACCTTGGAAATGACAGATTCCCATCCGCGAATGGGCATTCTTGCGAATTCAACTTCAACTTCTAGCAATTACTTCTCAAATTGAGGTAGTCCGTAAAAGTTAACCCCGCAATGAGGGTCCACGGGTTCTATGCTAGCTCCGAGTCCTACAGACATACGACGGTACTTTTTGACATGCCGTATGTGGCATTAGTATGTATACTACTACGGCTGCCTAGCCCCGAGGCTTCAAGCTAGCACTACCTAGGTACTATTGATAAATCTTTAGTAGTAGCTTCATTTAAGTCTAAGATTTTGCCTATACTAGTAGATGATTAGTTCAAGTTGTTCTACAGCCTGAAATTTGGAAATACCTGGTAGTAGTATATATCTCGGGCTGCGTGCTACCTAGGCAGGTACTAGGATTTGGATGCCCAGACAAACTCGGAATATTACTCACGAGCGGGCTACTACCTAGTACCAGTACTAGTAGAAGGTACTAGTAAAATTATGAGATAGCCTGAGTTACTACCTAGGTACTCATTCCAGCCCTGGAAGCTAGTATGGTACGTAGGTAGAAAAAACTTGAAGTACTGCTGTTCAGATTGTGAGCCAATCGGAAATACAACAACTTCAAATTGAAGGTTCAAGTTGTTGAACTTGAATTATGCCTACTGCCCAGGTGGTTGTACTAGTAGTAGGTAAACCGGGGACAACAACTTGAACTTGAAGGATCATGATGATCTTTGATTAGATGTAAATCGGACATTCATTGAAACTACAGGCTATTGATGGCTTGCGCATACTACACATACAAAACATGGGATCCGAGTCGTATCCAGATCACACCAATACTAAGAAAACATAGACACCACATGCTACCCGAGCAAGACCGGCGACATTTTCAATATCTTAACCCACACAATCTTTGCACTCCGTCTCCATGTTTTAGTAAAACTGGACTCTAGTTGTCCTTCTTGTCTTCGACGGGGCTAGCGTGCCTGTGAAGTAAGATTAGTACCAAACTGGGCCAGTAACATGCGCTGAGACCGGGCAGAAGCACTCACGCAAAGAAAAGGAACTTGATGGTAATAGCCAGGGCCGCATGCAAGACAACAACCAAAATCAAAAGAATCTTGCTAGCTTTGGCATCCGTCGCGTTCAAAACGGGGTAAAGGTTCCGCAGGAGGAAGAAAGTCGTCCATGCAAAGCCAACACCAACAAGCGCCCAGTTGAGCGCAGTCAACGGACTCCAGCTCAATAGCGCCACAGCAATCCAAACTAAATTAGAGTATCCGTACAGAGCCCAGCATTCGATCAGATCAGCCGTCGAGCTCCCGAACCAGCGCAGAGCACCCCACAGCGCAATCGGCAGAATACCAGTATACCCATAGATGAGACCCGCCGCACCAGAGAGTAGTTTGAAGTCGTACTCGAAGTGGTCTTCGTGGCGGTTTGATAGCCACTGTGAGATCGTACCCGTCAAGAAGAGAATCACGACGACTGTCGTTGCAATCCACACGGGGCCGTACAAGTCCGCATTCCCCTCCAGCACATCCAGGAAGTTGGAGCGCGGGTAAAGCGTGGCGAGACAGCGGCGCAGAACCTCATTTGTGTCGACATCGAAAAACCGCTCGTAGTAGTGAATCGACCACCAGCTGTGCTTGGTGGGTGTGCCGCCAGGGGATCGATCACGGCCGGCGCGCGAGGAGCTACCGCCGCCCAGGAAAGGCTGCGAATCGGCCTGGGCCTTGGCACTTCGTTGATCGTTTTCGAAGTCTGTGATGCAGTTACAAGAGCGGTATTTAGAATGTTGTTCAAGCCGAAAAGCCAGGACTGGCGTTGGGGAACTTACTTGATGGGTGGAATTCAAGGTCCTCTTGGAGGTCGGTATGGCCGAGGTCGCCCTGTTAGAGAGTGAGTAATTAAACACAAATGAATCATACAACAAAATCTGGACTCACCTCGGCGTCCACGTCGACAACCACGTCGTAGCCCCGGTTTGCCATTGTGGTGGGATTGAGTTGGAGAGTCTCGGTGTTATCGGGGAGGTGGAAGTGTACACATCAGCTTTCCCTCCCGCGGGCCACGCCACACTTTCAGCCACACTTGGTCCCAGACGGTCCTATTAAGATGAGTAAGAGTACTTTATGCCCGCATTTTCTCTGACTACATGGCTAAATTTACGTTACTATTTCCAATATTGCTATTTAAAAAAAATGAATTTTGAATTAATCCTTTCAGAATAGAAGCAATCTGTGGTTGGGAGCTGTTTTAGTCGTTATTGTACAAAGGGGGATTTGAGGAATTCGGCATGAATCATGTTTCTATCCGAGGACCATGGTCTGGAGTCGACCCAAATAAGACCAGATGGAGGTGTCAAGGCCCCTCTTCCGAATGTAGATGGATGCAGCACCGATGGCAATTGCCAAAACCATAGAGCCCACAGTATGGCGATGTTTCCAGGCAAATTCGAGAGCTTGTTTCCGACGCTCTTCATGACGGATTTGCCGCGCTTGTCGTTCGAACAGTCTTACTGCCTCCTCCCTTGTCGGACGATGAGACAGGTCGCGCGAAGTCTTCAGAACACTGTAGCGAGAGATGTGCTTCCATGCCTTGAAGGGTAACGAGTCTGGTGGGTGGTCGTTGAATAGCTGCACCGCGCTAGAAATATGGCCATCTAGATCGAGCGGACATGGGAGTTTGGAAAGGGTGAAATGAAGCATTTCGGGCTCGTCCACTGGAATTGCCAGAAGCTCTTTCTTCCGGGAAAGAATCATTGCAGCAAACAAGTAGATGGCGACCACGGGCTCTCGAGCCAGGAGGAAGTCGAAAAGCCTGGCGATATCGCTGTATTCTTGGATGTCATGGGCATAAAGGGTAAGAGTTGCCGCGAGAGCAAAGAATGGTTGGATGTTGTCGAGGTGTTGGCATAGTGCCGGGTCAGTAGTCTCGATAATTGCAGGAATAAGATGCAGATGTTTCACAGCTGGGGAGAGTGACGGAAGCATGTAGTCTCGAATGCGGAAAAGAGACAAATTCTCCATGACCGGTGTAGCCTTCTGACGGCCCAGAACGAGAAGAAGAACCTGCACAATGTCATGATATCCTTGGAAATAGCATAACATGGGGTTATTTCTGAGAATCTGTGTTATCAGATCGGAGAGTTGCTCTTTCTTTTGCGAGAGCTCATCTTCGGGGGCTAAACCAGTTCAATCAGCGATATCGCACAAACTAAATAGACTGTATTGCGGTTCGCACTAACCATTGGGATAGTAAACAAATGAGCGATTGACATCTAGCTCAACCTGGTCTTCATCACGATGCCGGGGCAAACTGTCCAGGGGTTTGAGTTCGTCAACGGGTGTACTTCCATCGCATTGCAAGAATATAGGCCCTGATTACCGGTAATTAGCTCAGAGACTATCCAATAGCATTTGCAAAAGCTATTACTTACAAGCTTTTCGTCGTAATTCATCCTCAATCAAACCACCTTCGCTTGTCGCATACGAGACCAGCGCTTCCACGTCATGGGTATCACATGCCAGACGAATTGCTTGTGCTTTCTCTGCTCGTACCTTTTCCATTTGCTGTGTTTTCAATAACTCTTGGGAATCGTTAGACGACGCGACCGAAAGCTTCTCATCGTCAACTATGCCTGGGCTCTCCGAAGGGCTGCTGTCGTGGTGTTTGATGTCTGGTGAATCCATTTGTCACGCTTCACAGTGACCAAGAGGCCAAACTGGATTGATGAAAGGAAAACGCGTCGTGAGAATGAAGTTTGTGACCAAGAAATCACAGCCCAGGATCATGCCATTGGTAGCCGTCACGATTCTGATAGTTGATTTGCTAGTTGATTTCGACGCAAGATGATGATGCCTGAAGCTTGGGCACCGATTTGACCTGGTTTGACAACTCAGAGCCCCGATTTTGTTTCAGGTCTGCGATCACAGCGAAATGATATTTGAGGAATCAGAAACAGAGTTTGCACACCTTCTCCTTGCATTCCCTGCAGGGCACCGGCGATACCAAAGGGAAGCGCATGCATCCCATCGGCAGAAGAGCGGAGCCCCCGCTGATTCCCGCCCGGCTGCCTCAGGCGACCAAAAACTAACGTGATCCCCTCCCATCGGCAAAACATCACCATTTCAAGCTCCTGATCTATCTACTGCTGGGCTCCGCTGGCCAAGTCAAAGAACTAAAAACAAAGAGAACTTTCATAAGCCTGCCAGCTTGACCTTATTCGGCCAATCCTCGAAGTCAAGACCCCGGAACTCGTGAAAGAACACCCTGCAGGCGATACGCGGACGCATAAAGCAGAGCTATTGAATACATGTATACATGAAATTCCTATCTCCTCTCCCTGTTACAATAACTGACTAAGATACTAGATCTAAATCGAGCGGATCAAGATCTGGAAAAAAAAATACATCTTCCGCCATTGAAGCTGTAAGTCTTGCAGACTCTCCAGTTTCTTTGGATCTCATGAGTATTAATCTGATAGCTAGAGTTCGACGAGGCTATCGCACATTAAAAGACTAGTGAAGGCTACACTCACTGTTGACAGGGTGATGCTCCGACGTGCGTTTGTAATACAAAACAGGCATTGAATTCTAAAGACCGTCAACTGATTCAGCGGCCCCCACATCGGTACTTTTGACATCTCGATCATGACCACGCAAAGTTGATCATTGAAAACCCTCAAGGAACTAGACAACTGCAATACTGTGGAAACAGCAAATTTGCGCCAGAAGCCTCAACCTTCACCACCGGCTGTATCTTTGTCGATTGGCTCTTTGTCAAGTCAAGCTGTGGAGTCTGTGCTCAGCTCACGACGAGAGCCTCATCCCTGCAGTCGGGGCTTGTTCCCTACTATTGATCTCACTCCTCTTGCCGCCCCGCCCGTTCCATCGATGATTTTCCCTCGCCGAAGATAAATCTCCGAATACGTCACTGTTTTAGACATTTCTTCTCATCGTCACTTCGTCCCGCCTGGCAACGAATATGTCACAGGGAACCGGCATGCAACCGGAGCTGGATCACGGAATAACTGGGCTTTTGACTCAGACGGTTCTACCCAGTCCGGTCATTCAATGGATTCTTCCTGCCCGTCTGCGGAGCAAGAAAATGAATGATGTTGTATTTGTGGGGCATCGGCGACTTCAGATCAAAGAGGCTGCTAATGGTGGCTACCTGGAAGATGTGATGGAGAAGTCAGACTTCGACGGGACCATAATATCGGCAAAAGTTCTCGATATCCGCTCTCCGGTTCCTTGGGATCAACAGTTGAAGAACGAAGGACCTACTTTGGCGAGCAACGGTTATATGGATTATCATGACAACCTGCCTTCTCAAATGCTCGTTCTTTCTCTTGACTACAAAGAACTCCTTTTTCTCTGTTGCCCACGTGGGCCTATATCGTCAAAACCAGAATTTGTTACCTATCGTCGCCCTCTGCCAGTTGATGTGAGTCTAGCCGAGAGATATGGCAAGCATGTTGCCGTTGATCCAAAGTAAGTCTGGCTACGATTGCAAAGTGGGCTTTTAGCTTTGAACTAACCAAATCCTAGGTCTCGTGCGATCGCAGTTGGGGCAGCAAGTAACTACTTCGGAATTCTACTCCTCAAATCACCTGGCGTGATTGATCAACAAGTCTTCTTAGGCGAGCTCGATCCCATTGAAAAGGTATGTCACAGTAATTGAACTATCACTGTCAAAAACATGCTAATTCAGAGCTTTTATCTATAGGAATGCTTTTACAGAATCGACGGCAATATTCTGTTCATGGAGTTTCTGTACCCAAGGACGCTTTCGGATGAGAAAATAATACTACTTCTCATAGTGGCCAGAGATGGACACACTTTTGCAGAGATCTACGAATGGAACGAGAAAGATCCATCATCTTTGAACAACCCTCGCAAAAACAATTTTAAGCTCCACAAGGAGGATAGGTTACCGAGCACAATTGTTCCGCTGACCAAAGAGTCCGCCTTTTTGGTGATAAGCTCATCTTCTATGGCAGTCTACCCTCGCAGTGGCCCCTCAAACCGAATCGGATATAGCCCAATCATCCCCGACGGAGATGTCATGAAAGAAGTTTCCCTTTGGACTCGTTGGACAAGGCCTACGCGCAACTGGCTTTACAGTCAACAAAAGGATGGGATTTATCTCGCTCGAGAAGACGGTTGGATTCATCTCCTTGAGTTTGGCAACGAGGGAAATCTCGAGTCAGACTGTACCCTAGGCCAGGTTCATATTCATGTTGACACCGGGTTTGCCTTCCTTGACATGGGCCATGAAGGTGGCGATTTCATCCTTGCATCTGGGAACATGTCTGATGGTGGGCTTTTTGAAGTCGAGGCCAGGTGTCCCCCAAGGTGTATACAGCAATTCCTGAACTGGGCTCCCGTGATTGACGCTGTTGTGGTTCCTGATTCAAGCGGCAAATTGGGAGTAGATGTGCCGCGCAAGCGCCTTTTCGTCAGCTCTCCGTCTTCTTCGAATGGGGCTCTTCATGAGCTCCGGTATGGGATTGAGGCTCAGTTGGGTACCACGACTCCTCTGGAGCAATTCTTGAGCATCCGGGATATGTGGGTAATGATCGACGAAGTGAATCATGAAATTTACGTGCTGCTCTCAGATCCTCTCTCGACACTCCTACTTTCAATGAAGCCAGACATGAAAGAAGGAATCACTGCACTGCACGAAGAGGATACAGGATTTGATAATGCTGCTCAAACACTTTCAGCTGGCTGCACTCCCGAGGGCGTGCTGATCCAAGTGACAGAAAAGGCTACTCACTTGTTCGTCCCTGGAGAGATGTCTTTGAACACCTGCATTCCTCATGAGCCCGAGTCCACACTTGCCGCCGTGTTTGTGGATGGGCGGAGCTCGGCGGTAGTCAATGCCCTGAGACATCAAAATAGACTTGGGCTTCAGTTCAGTCAGCTCGTTGCTACACCGGACGAAGTTCGACTGGATTCCGGGCCATTGTTCGAGATTCAGAGGGAGCCTGTATGTCTCTCAATCAATACATTTGAGGCTACAGGAAGTGCCGTCTTCATATTCATGGGCACAGGTGATGGTAATGTGATGGTATTCACGATTGATAATGGAAATATTTCATTCCTTTTGGAGCATCACTTATCCATCGAAGGGGACCAGGATATCTCCCATGCCGTTGAGAGTCTAGCAATGATTCAAGTTACCTGGGAAGGAAGGCCACACGCATTTCTACTTTGCGGTCTTCGAAGTGGTATACTTGTCCCATTCGAGATCGGGTTTGAGAATGGTGACATGATAGGTATGAACAATTCGAATCCACGAGAGTTGATGCACGCTGATTCGAAAAATTGCTAGGTTTTCAACAACAAAAACCATGGAATATTGGGAGAACCTCCCTTCGGCTTCAAAGCCAAGGTTCATTTGCCTTGTTCACATGTGGTGATGAACTCTGGAGGGTGTCATACAGTCATAACCTTCCAGGAGAATGCCTTCTTTGGCGAGTTTGGATCACAGATCAGAACAATGTAAGTCGGAAATTTCATTATTGTTATTGTCCGGTGTCAATCGAAACTGACCATGAGCTAGCCTGCCTATTTCCCCGTGACATTTCATGGGTTTGGTTTAGCCAACCCCCGCGGGCAAGAATCAACACCAATTATCGGGACTCTTTATTGCTTTGCAGATGGCGAGCTTCTCATCTGCTCGCTAACGCAAGAGGCCAAAATGGTTCCTCGAAGGATCAGCTTACCCGGAAACCCCAACAAGCTGGCGTATTCCGAACATCTCAGGAGATTCATTGTCTCATACAATGTCACCGAAGTAGAGGACCCGCAAGCGCCTCTTGAGAAAACCACAAGATCATACATTGATTTCGTCGATCCAAATCTACAAGCACATGTGAAGCCAAACGATGATAGGTTATGGAAAGGACACGGCGCTGCCGGAGAGATAATTACTTGCATTCTGGACTGGGTCTTCGAAAAGGACGGGAATAAATTTCACCTGATCGCTATTGGAACTTCGCTTGCAGCACTTGATTCCGATGAGCCTCCCAAGGGGCGAGTTATCATCATGCGAGCAAGTGCATCCCCTGCCAACCCTTCCAAGATTGAATGTGCAACAAAGCATGTGCACGATATGCCTGGCCCTGTGCGCGCAATCGCGCCTTACGGGGATAGCCTGATAATTGGGGCAGGGAAAGAAATCATCCCAATGAGTTCCAAGGGAGCTACTACACGATGGGCCCCAAATGCTGGACGAACGGCTCCATCCTCGGTCGTTGGCATCACGGCTTATGAAACCTTTGTCTTCGTCACCACAGCACGGAACGGTTTCCTCGTCTACGAAGTCCAGGATGGGCGCTTGATCAGCCATGCCTGGGACCTCCAGCAAAACGACGGAATGGCCCATCAGATCTGTCGTGGGGAAAAGCCCATGGTATTCTTGAGCAGTCGTGGCGGCCGGATTCGAGCGCCTTTGCTATCACCAGGAGGTTTCCGCGACCGAGGCTTCACGACCCCTCTAACGGCAGAGAACAAGCTTCCCGATTCTATTCTCAAATTCGTGTTGGACTCGAGAGATTCTACCGATTCGAACTCGCTTTCACGTGTCTCTGGTTGGTCCAAGGGAAGCGCCGTTTACGGCTTCGCTCTCAGTGGTGCGCTCTATCGATTCCAGGTCGTCAAAAAAGATGAAATGACCTTACTGTGGCTGCTACAAGTGATCTGCCTTCGAGGTGAACCCGGTCTCAGATCGCGGTATTCTGGATCTGAGCCCAGACGACGACGAATGCCCTCGTATAGAGAACCAGAGAAAGACAACACGCAGGTCGACGGGGATATCCTGGGCCGGCTAGCCCAACGTGGCACCAAGGCATTTGAGGACCTAGTAGCATCGCTAGACTCTTCTCCTGAAGACGCAGCTGTGACATTTCAGAATCGACTACGAGATTTGGCGTACTCGGTGTTGGACGTTGATGATGAGGATTATCTCAAGTCCATTATGGCATGGCTCCAGCGACTCCTCCATGTTACCATTTGAAACCCGAGATAGCAAAGGATCCTTACAATGCCACCGTATTTTGAATATTTCATCTTCATCACTGACCAATAGTATACTTGACGTCTTCTTCATGTACTTGCATAGAATAGGCCATTTCCCATTTTGAGACCAAGTCAGATGATCACGATTAGCGAGGTGAAAGAAAGGAACACAACAAAAGTAAAAATAATAAAAATTCAATAAAAATCTGAAACAATTAAAAGATCAAGTCTCTCTAGATAAAATAGCTAAGATTGCTAGCTCATATCCAAATCCTACTAGATTCGCCTCGTGTGTTCGTGGCAACTTTGGGAAGGAAGTCAGAGGTTCCCCACCATTGACCACTCATTGAAACATTGAGAGATTCCCTTCCCGAAATTCTTTTTCTCCCCACCCCACTCCCTTGGTGAACCACCAGCCTTTCTTTTCCGGGGACTTTAAGATTGAGGTCTTTGACTCATCTTAACTCAACAATCACGGTTCGTGATTCGACCACGATTCTTCACCACCCGCAAACGAACGGTTAGCTCCGTTTGTGCGATCACTGCGATCCTTTGATCAGCCCTCAACCCATACACCAAACCACCACAACCCCCTATACCCCCAAAATGGCGCCCAAGAAGAAGGGAGGCAAGAGGCAAGAGGAGGACTGGGAGGCCGATCTCGGCGAATCAGCCCCGGCTGTCGATGCTCCCACCGGAGAGCCCGCGAACGGCGATGAAAATGAGGAGGCCCCCGTCGGTGGTCTGATGGCTGCTCTTCGCAAGAACAAGGCCAAGAAGGCTAAGAAGGGCAAGCAAACCAATGACTTCGTGGAGGGTGAGGATGCCGAAGCCGCCCCCGCTGCCAGCAAGGAGCCCGAGGAGGGAACTTTCGACGAGGATGACGTCTTTGCCGGAAAGCCCAAGAAGCAAATTAAGGAAGTTGCTCCTACCCCGGCCACAGATGAGCCCGAGGAAGGCGAATTCCGTGTGAAGTCAAAGAAGGAGAAGGAGCGTGAGAAGAAGGAGCGCGAGAAGGCCCGTAAGAAGGAACAGGTATGGTTACCCAATGAATATTATACATATGACTTTACTAATCTAATATCTACTATTATTAGGCCGCCTCAAAGAAGAAGACAACTCCTGCCCAACAGAAGGCCGATGAGGTGAAGGCTGCCGCCGATGCCAAGAAGGAAGCAGATGCTGCTGCCGCTGCTGCCGCTGCTGCCGCTTCAGAGCCCGCTGGTAAGGGCCGGAAACTGCCCAAGCATCTGGCCGCTCTGCAAAAGCAACAGGAGATTCTCCGTCAACAGCGCGAGGAGGAGGAGCGTATTGCGGCCGAGGAGAAGGCCGCTTTGGAAGCCGCCCAGAAGTTGGAGGAGGAGGAGGAAAAGAAGCGCGAAGCTGCTCGCGCCGTCAAAAAAGAGAAGGAGCGCGAAAAGAAGGAACAGCTTCGTCGGGAGGGCAAGCTTCTCACCAAGGCCCAAAGGGAGGCCCAGCAAAAGAGTGAGATGCGCATGAAGCAGATGCTTGCATCTGGTGTTTCAGTCGCGGGTCTGCAAGAGGGCGGTGCTGAGAAGAAGCGTCCTGTCTATACCAACAAGAAGAAGGGCGCTAAGAAGCAAGAGGAAGATCTTGAGGCTGCCGCTGAACGTGCTCGCGCTCAACGCGAGGCTGAAGATGCTCGCCGCCAAAAGGAGGCTGAGGAAAAGGCTAAGGCCGAAGCTGCCGCCGCCGCTCCTGCTGAAGACGACGGTGCCGTTGAGGACTGGGAGAAGGCTGCTGCTGAGGATGATGATGTTAAGGATAGCTGGGATGCTTCCAGTGACGAAGAGGGCGACAAGGACGCTCCCAAGACCGAGGAGCCTAAATCTGCCTCCAAGGAGGAGGATTCTGAGGAGGATTCCGAGGAGGATTCTGATGAGGATTCTTCTGATGAGGACTCCTCGGAAGATGAGGAGCAAAGTGCCAACCAGAGAGCCATCGCGCAGAGAAAGGCCGAGGCCGCAGAGCGCAGAAAGAGGCTGCACGAAGAGGCCCTGGCCGCCCGCTCTAAGGACAACCTGCGCTCGCCTATTTGCTGTATTCTTGGTCACGTCGATACCGGAAAGACCAAGCTGCTGGACAAGATTCGCCAAACCAACGTGCAAGAGGGTGAGGCCGGTGGTATTACCCAACAGATTGGTGCCACCTACTTCCCCGTTGATGCTCTGAAGCAGAAGACCCAGGTTGTCAACAAGGATGGCAAGTTCGAGTTCAAGGTGCCCGGTCTACTGATTATCGATACCCCTGGTCACGAGTCTTTCTCCAACCTGCGTTCGCGAGGTTCCTCACTCTGTAACATTGCCATTCTAGTCGTCGATATCATGCACGGTCTTGAGCCCCAGACTCTGGAATCCATGCGTCTGCTGCGTGACCGCAAGACTCCTTTCATTGTCGCACTAAACAAGATCGATCGTCTGTACGGCTGGAAGAAGATTGACAACAACGGTTTCGAGGACAGTCTGGCTATGCAGAACAAGGGTGTTCAGAACGAGTTCCGCACTCGTCTGGAGGCCACCAAGCTGGCTTTCGCCGAGCAAGGTTTCAACTCTGAGCTTTTCTTCGAGAACAAGAACCTTTCGCGAAATGTTTCGCTGGTTCCTACCTCCGCTCATACTGGAGAGGGTGTTCCTGACATGCTGAAGCTTCTGACTTCCCTGTCCCAGGAACGTATGACCAACTCGTTGATGTATCTATCAGAAGTTGAGTGTACTGTTCTGGAAGTGAAGGTCATCGAGGGTCTCGGTACCACCATTGACGTGATCTTGTCCAACGGTATCCTGCGCGAGGGTGATCGTGTGGTTCTTTGCGGTACCAACGGGCCTATCACAACGAATATCCGTGCGTTGTTGACCCCCGCACCTCTCAAGGAACTGCGCCTGAAGTCGCAGTATGTCCACAACAAGGAGGTCAAGGCCGCCCTTGGTGTTAAGATTGCTGCCAACGACCTTGAACACGCCATTGCTGGTTCTCGATTGATGGTCGTCGGTCCCGATGACGATGAGGAGGACCTTGAAGATGAAGTCATGTCCGATCTGGAGGCCCTGCTCAGCAAGGTTTCCACCGATAACCGTGGTGTCACTGTTCAGGCCTCCACCCTTGGTTCCCTGGAGGCTCTTCTGGAGTTCTTGCGCGTTTCCAAGATTCCCGTGGCCAACATTTCCATTGGTCCTGTCTACAAGCGTGATGTGATGATGGCAGGAACCATGCTGGAGAAGGCTAAGGAATACGCTATCATGCTTTGCTTCGATGTCAAGGTTGACAAGGATGCCGCTGCCTACGCCCAGGATGTCGGTGTCAAGATCTTCACTGCCGATATTATCTACCATCTCTTCGATGACTTCACCGCCCACATGGCCCAGATTGCCGAGCAGCGCAAGGAAGAAAGCAAGATGCATGCTGTTTTCCCCTGTGTGATTCGTCCTGTTGCTATCTTCAACAAGACAGACCCCATTGTCATCGGTATCGATGTCATTGAGGGCAGCCTGCGTCTCCACACCCCTCTCGCGGCTGTCAAAACCAACGCGAGCGGTGTCAAGGAAATTATTAAGCTCGGCAGAGTGTAAGTTCCCAGCGCAAGCTCCCCTATCCCTATTCCATAGTACTAATCTCATCGCTGCAGGACATCGATCGAGCGTGACCACAAGGCCATCCCCATCTGTAAGAAGGGTCAACCTTCCGTTGCCATCAAGATCGAGGGTGCCAACCAGCCTATGTACGGCCGTCACCTCGAAGAGAGTGACAATCTGTACTCGGCCATCTCCCGTCAAAGTATCGATACTCTGAAGGAGTTCTACCGTGCCGACATCACCATGGAGGAGTGGGGATTGGTCAAGAAGCTCAAGCCTTTCTTCGACATCCCCTGATCGTGAGTCCTCGGACAACAATGCAGGTGCTCGAGAAGTGTTCTATTAGCGATGCTTCAGTTGCGGTCACACCCCGTTCGTTATTGCCAGGCCTGCTCCTCCCATCACAGCCCTGATCATGGCATCACTCCGGTGCGGCATCTTCTCAAAAAAACCAACGAATGAGAATGTCGAGATATGACAATATCCATCCAAAAGCGAGAGAAGAAAAGTTTTCTGTGTTTTTTTTATTGCTTGTGATATGGACATAACCATGACCGACTACGACTTGAACGTTTGGACAGGGACAAAAAGGCACCTGTACATGAATAGGGGAAAGAGGCCTGGTTCTTAACAGATTATTTTTGTTATAGCTGCTTTTTTAATGAATGTTGTTAGATCTGGAGTCCGTATTATACAGTAAAACCTACTAACCAGTCTCTACCTAACACCTTTGACAGTTTGATATCTTCCCACTCGAAAGTATGTACAGCCCCCCCTCACACAGCCATCGCCAAACAAGAACGTAAACTCAAGTCCCCAAATCCTTGGATCTTCCCATGCGTAGAGAAAACATAGTGAAACAAAGATACCCCTCCACCAGCACTCTAATCATCCCCATCCCAAACCTCAACCTTCCCCCCATTCCTCACCCAATCCAACCAACTCCCATAATAAACCCCGAGCTTCTCGGCATCATACCCAGCCTGAACTGCCAACCGGGCCGCAGCATCAGCGCGCACACCAGCCTTGCAGTAAAAAACAAGCTCCGTCTTGCCATCCGCAACAGGCTTGGGGAATCCAAAGCGTGTCTCGAACTCGTCTGGCGTGAGGTACATTGCGTCAGGTTGGGAGGCAAGCGGGATGCTCAGGGCGTGCGGGATGATTCCTTGGGCTAGTTCGGCGGGTTCGCGGACGTCGATTAGGATTGGGGTGTGGGTTGGTGAGGGGGAGGCGGATGGGAGGGTTGCTGTTATCTGTTTCGACGAGGTTAGTGGGGCGATGGTTCAGATTTGGAGACTTCTTTTGCTAAGGAGATGACGAGGGAAGGAGTGATGTTGTATAGATGGTGAGGAAGTGTAGTTCAAGTTCGACATACCTCTTCAAACCCCCATTGTCGGAAGGTAATTTG